GTCCCTCCCTCTCACCGTCCCTCCCTCTCACCGTCCCTCCCTCTCACCGTCCCTCCCTCTCACCGTCCCTCCCTCTCACCGTCCCTCCCTCTCACTTCCCCCCCTTTTCCTCTCCTGAGTTATCACTTAATTGACCTCCCTTTCTACCCATACACCAACCCGCCGTCTTCTTGCTCACTACTGACTCCTCTGTCAAATTACTCAGTGCGATTGGTGCATGTTCCGTGGCGGACAGAGGGGTAGGGATCTCTACTGACCTCCTCCCACCTGTGGTCGGACCCTGTCATTTGTCATCCACCGTCTGCCCCTGCTGCGAGGGCACCGCATCACATCCCCCCAAAAAGACACCTCCACGGCAGTGGAATGGCTACGAATACGAAAGTTGAAGTCACAGTCATCCATCCATTCGGCATTCATGATTGACTCGGAAAGAGTTGAGAGAGTCGAGAGGAGAGTCTTTCTTATTTTTTTTTGAATAGTAGAGTAACGATCCTGTAAAATGAACCGAAAAGAGCAATATTGAGAAGAAGCTCTGTCTGTCATCATCATGCGATGACTTTCTCTGGTGGTGTGAAGATACGTACAAACAATTGTTTGCTGTTTTCTTCTTGTTTGTCTGCTTTCCTTTTTTTTCATAGCTCTGATTGCCGCAAGTCTTTGCAATGCTCATGGCATGACCTGAATACAAGTTCTAGCAGGCCATTGTCATCAATCAGCCCAGCAAATCCTAACCCCGTGCACCCCAGATCCTTGATTGGAGCAGCCTCTGAAGCCAGTACGGTCCCCGTGATCCATCCAGCCATACACATGTCATGTCTCACGCATCACCCACCTGTGGAAAACCCCATTGTGAGTTCGTCTCACGAGTTGTTCGATCTGCTATCATCTCACTAGTCAGTCAAACTTGTAGATGCCTCATTGGTTGAGGGTGAACACGCCTTGTTCTCAACCGCAGTCCTTCCATGACCATCACCATGTCAATTTTCACGTTTTCCAATTTTTGGTTTGCCTTATCCATTTTCCTCTGTTTGTCAATCCGTGGTAGCTCAACCGGTGGTCGTTTCGATCTGGAAATCATATCATGAAAATTCATGGTGAGCGCCTGCTCTCACACATATCAAGCTATCACGCCGTCTTTCTCTGATGCCTTCTCAACGGCCACTGTTGAAATTTTGCGGGGAGACATTGGTGTCTTGATCTTCCCGGGGGCGATCGGCTCTCGAATTGCCACGTGGTGGCTGAGGGGCTCGTCTTGGATTCAAGAACGCATTGTCAGGTTGGAATGTCGGGAAACCTGGCTGTGGCAGACGAATTGGCAGTGGCAGAACATGTGGATGTGGTAGCATGGGCGCGGCGTACGTCGTACCCGGCAGGTGCTGGTTTCTGGCTTGTTGCCGCGTTGTTGTTGGTGCTCCTTGTCGAGCCTCAGGTTCGAAAAAAGACTCCTCCCAGCGTTGGACATGGCGTTCTGCCTCTCGAACATCTTCTGGTATCGACCTCGCACTGTTTTGATGTCTGACACCCACACTCCCAAACTCTCTGTTAGGTACAGGCGGTTGCCGTTCAGCCATCGGAGGGCCAGACGGGTGGACAGGCCTTGATGGCGGGAGGCTGACGCCTGTGTGCCCAGGATAGTAACGAACAGCGTTACTCACGGGTTGGTTCATGATGTCAACGGACAAGGTTGGTTGGGTCGGTGGTGGTTGTGCTTGGAACTGGCGTTGTTCGTGTTGGGGGACGCTGGTTCGTTCCTCTGCGACGGTGGTCATGCTGGGTTGGTATAGTGCTGGATACCAATGGGGCATGGCCCCCAAATTTGCTCTCCCTTCGACGCGACGTGGTCCAAATGGATCTCTCGATGTCAAGGTCATATGAGGAGCATCCCAGGTTTCCAGTGGAAAGCAATTACAACTGTCGCCAGTTCGAGAGGGTCTTCCGCAGCTGAAACAGAAAGATTGGCCACACCGACATCTCAACATAGGACAGCCCCCTGCTCGTTCACAGTAGATCCCACACGCTGGGCATCGCTTGTAGCCTCTCTGTCTGAACAACTCCCGAGAAGCAGGATCCATGGGTTCTTCTGGCGGCGGACATTGATGAGCGTCAGCGCCTCGCCTACACTCTTTGCAAGTTTCCAGGCCGCACTTGTGACAAGTGACAAACTTTCCCTGAGCGAGCTGGAGCCGACCTGTGTTGATGTAAGCACTGCAACGCATGTTGGAGCAGAAAAATCGGCTTTGATCAGAAAATTCTTCCACCACCCGGTTGAAATGCTCGATAACGTTATCGTCCAGAAGGTATTCGTATTCCTCGACATCGATAGCACTGAAGCAGCACCGCGGAGGAAAACTTCCCATATCCTGCGTCGATATCGACACCAGTTGATTCAGACATGTTCTGCAGGAGCGGTGTCCGCATGAAAGCAAGTGGAGACGTACTTCGCTAACATCTCTGTGGCAAATGATGCATTCATCATCGTCTTCTGTTTTTATCGGATCAACTCTGGTAACGTCCTGAAGGTATCTTTGACTGTACGCTTCGTAGCCAAAGCTCGTACGGTCAAATCTTGGACCTGATGAGGCTCTAGCCATTGGACTTTGTGTGTGACGAATGCTGACTCCAACACCTGAGATGGTCACGTCGCTGACAAGTCCATTTGCAAAGTCGATCAAATTTTGCGCGTCTTCATGAGATAGAGTCTCAGACTCTAAGTGAAACAAAACCACAGGCAGTGGACTCAAGCTTGGATCTCTAGGGTGGTCATGATCATGAGAGGTCTGGTCCGATGCCACACTGTTGGTACCCTGATCTGTCGGGTTGGACTCTTGGTCAGTTGTCGTTGTTTGATAGCCAGACTCTTGCAATGTGTTCATTGATTCGGATGCGGTTTCTCGAATGCCGGGCTCCGTCGACTGAAGGACTTGATCCCATGGCAATTCTTGATCAATGGGTTCGGTCAATCTGTCCGTTTCACCAGACACCATACTGTCGGAAGAAGTTCCAGTTGATGACGTATTCAGAGGCTCTTGCTCTTGGTCAGATGCCATTCTGTTGGGATCAAGGTTGGTCAATGGGCCCTCTTGTTCAGACGCCATTTTGACGGTACCAAAGTCTGTTGACGATGGACCTGGAAGGAGCAGAGGCTTTACAGGGAGACGAGAAGATGGGAGAGGTAGGATCTGTCTGTAGAGGAAGATGTGAGACGACTGATTTGAGAAACTGGGAATGAGGCGTCGACTTACTTGCAGAGAACCAATGGTGGTTTCTTTGCTCCAAAGGCAAAGCCTTTGGCTCCTCTATCGATAGAACGATAGAGAACCAAGCGTGGCTGGGATGTTCTGAGAGGGATAAAGCAGGATTTGAAGGAATATGGCTCTCTGTGACGATAGAAGAGAAGGACGTGTTGTTGATGATGATGATGGAGAGGAGGGTGAATTCTGTGAGGACTGGGAGATGAATAGGAATATTCAAATATTGCCTGTTGAGCTTGCGTGTGTTCGCCGAGACATAGGTCGAACGACCATTGATAGAGCTGCAGCAGGGCAGTGCGAGAGAGAACATCTCCCGCACACAACATCACAGCGTCGAGGCCTCTTTGTTCGACAAGTATCTTGGGTATTTGCCCGGAAGCTGCTTCAAGACCTCTTAAGATGATAGACAGACAAGGTCTCTTGCTTTACCTGTGCCATCTTCGTCCTCCTTTATTTATGCGGCCACACCATCTGGTCAGCCACCACAGCATCCCTTGTTCTCGCCGCCTGTTTGACTTGGGACGACACAGTGCTGTCCAGTTCATCGCACTGTGGCAACTAGTACCATGGTGTGGATCGACAGACTTCGCAGCTTCCACCATCTCGACGCTTTCCACGTCTTTCTGTGCCAGTAACGCATGGCTCTTCCTTGTCGTGCACGGCTATACACAACCGGTCAAGAGAAGGAACCTCAACAAGGGGCAGCCAGCTTCCATACACACAGGTTCAGCTTAGCACAGTGTCCAAGAAGCCAGGCAGGGTCACTCGTCAAGGCTGGGACTGGGCAGCAAACCCATTGGCATAGGACCATGTCGAAAGAGTCTGGACCACATAAACAATGAGAGTCCAATTGGCATGGTCCTGGTGTCCCTTGATGCGACGAGCAGGAGCTCCATGTCGCCAACGTGCTCAGAATGATTAATTTATATATTCTTTCCACATGGACAACAACTGATGTGCATATCTGTCCAACAACGTGGCGGCGAGAAAGACGACCGTAGTCGGCCGGATAAACATCGGATATTGCATTGTTGTGAAGTCTGTCGAGCCTCATCAACAACACCAGCAGTCCGGGCGAAAGAAAGGCTGGCTTTGCCGTGACAGAAGCTGGACAAGTGCTGCCATCAAATCCCTGACAGGCAAGGATGCCTGGGAAGGGGCCAACATATGCTGGCATAGTAATGCCGTATCTGTTCAATGATCCTCAGAACTGGAAGGACAATGTTAACAGGGCCCACGGCTTTGAGAGAGTCCTCTTGACATGCCGCCCCTCCATCAAAGGAAAGCTGGCTTTGATGATTGTGTGATATGGATGTTATGGTATCAAGTGTTCTGTCTCGAAAGCGCCATCTGGCGACGGGCCCGACAATACGGACGCGACACAATGAACGCGACACAATGAGGGCAGCTTGTGAAAGGAAGTGTAAGAGCAAGAGCGTGACAAGCCGGGCGGGCAGCGACCGTGAAGACGTGTATAAGTGGGATGGATGAAAAGGCTGGAGATTCTGTACTGCCGGAATCATTTCAGACTGTCTGCTTGATGCTTTTTTTCACCATCCGCTGACCATTTCTTCTGGCTTGTTGCTTTCCTATCGCAACCATCCTCGCTCTCTGTGGAGTTGGGACTTGGGATCTCAACATCATCCATCCTCAACTGTCCCGGCCCTGGTCGACCATCTGCTTCAAAGTTCACCGCACCGTAACATGGATGAGATGGCCAAGCCCTTTGAGACATTATCGCAGGTTAGTGACCGGCATCTGTCTGCCATGGATACACGACGTATCCTATCTTCGTCCACTGACGATCAATTGCAGGCAGCATCAACAAGCCCTTCTCAAACAGCCGACACCCGTTCTGATGGAAGCTTCACGAGCAGCGCTAGTACATCTGGAACCAGTACTCTTTATTCCTCCTTCACCGATGTCCAGTTGACAAAGTCTGAATCGACAACCTCCGACGCCAACAATGACGGTCCTCTGAAGCTGAACGAGGTACTCGATCATCGCTTGTCGATGATCCTTGAATCTGAACCGATCGCCAACTCAACAAGTTATGACAAGTCGAAACAGGTTGCAAATGAGTTTTCGGCAGCATACAAGTCTCGATTCAATTTCAACTGCGCCTTTAGGTTTACCGGATCGGTTGATGAGCCCGAAGCGCCGCCAAAGACAAAGGGTGCATTCCTGAAGGCGTTGATTGCCGAGATGGGCCTTGCCGCAAACGTCCAAGCTGGATTACAAGCATACCAACACGCCCTCAACTCACGGAAACATCATGTCTTTGAACCGGACTTCCTCATCGACCAGAACACGGCTACAATAATTACCATTGACCAGCTCGATCAGATCGTGGCTCACCTTAAGGAAGCGAAAGAAGGGGTTGACAAGATCGAACTGGACGACGCGGGCATCCCGGACGAGCTCTTTGAGGCATTCTGTCACGCTCAGCTGTGGGTTGCAAGGACCAGAGCCATCCTCGTTCAGCTGCATGTGTTTTACAAGATCAACTTTGTCCTTGTGAGTGACAAGAGTGCAACCAAGGCTTCGGCTAGTCACTAGATTCCGTCTGCGTGTGACATGTCTGGAACAGATGGATCATGAACTGTTGTGATACACTTTCTCGCCTTGAACAGGCTGCCTAGACAACACCTCAATTTGGTACTATTTTTTACCATGCATAGATCGCTAAGACTTTGTGGTCTCCGAATTGATGACGACGAAGATGATGATGATTGCAAATTTTGCCATGACACACCGGCCGCTTTGATAAACCTGATTTGTTTGTAGTATGGAGCACTGGATAAGAAGGTACCCAGACTCCTAGAGCCGGTCTGTGTCTGTATGAATCCTGCCACGCTGGCAAGTGTCCACGATAGGTACCCAGTATGTCTGGACCACATCAACTCGGCTCGCCAAGTAGTCCAATGCAAGTCCTTATCCTTCGCTCCATCGGTACCATGCGAGATTGAGAAAACGACCCCCCCTCCGGAAAAGCGGCGGCTGCAGAACTGCTTTCCCGATCCAAGATGATAAGAACGAGTTGAATGAAATCTAGTAGTCACTGTATCGAACAAGCATTTTCTTTTCCTGGCTGCATGGGGGACGAAAATGGACTGGACTGGACTGGACCGGACCGGACTCTGCTGCGTTGTCCTCCTGTACAAGTGACGGTGACGGTGACGGTGATAACGATATGCGAGTGACAGGATTCCCACCAAGCTCTAACTCACCCGGGATCATTACTTTTGTTACCTAATGAATGGCCGAGGCTCGAGTTCGCAATCTTTGGGTGGCGCCGGTGGTGAAGTTTGAACACCCTGATCTACCGTACAGTCCGCATTGGGGACCCCTGTTTGAACCTGACAGGTGAGCGAGCGATCACTGATCACCCGTGGTGGCGTGCAGCGCAATGCGGTACGAGGCAGCAGTGCCCAAAGGGTTGGATCCATGACCAACCTCAGCAATGGAGGGGGCGTATCTACAGTACCTTGGGTACCTGATCTACTGTACTCACATACTGTACCTCCCTGCACTTGTACTACCGACTGAAGAGTAAAGGTATCACCCTCATCATCATCATCATCGCCACCACCACCATGATCACCATGACAGGATCCTGCAGCCCTTGCTTGACTGCCTGACTGACTGACTGACCGAGTGTGATACAAGGACCAAAGAAACAACTTGTGCACAGTGCATCCTCGCGTCATCACATGCTTTCTCGCTTGAATCGTCTCTACCCAAGACCGAGACGCAGAAACTCGCTTCCACGTCTCTCTCACTTGTTTCCCCATCGAGACCATTCGTCGATGGAGAAAAAAGAGAAAGAGGGACGAACGAATCCGTCTACACCGTCGTCCCGTCTTCTCTACACCGCCAGAATTGTATCATCCCGCATCGCTTCTAGGCCCGTGGGTCAAGTGTCAATCCCAAGGTCCCAGGTCTGAGCGCCACCGTCACCGGCCATCACCCATCATCACCCACCGTTGACCAGTGACCACTGCCCAGCGACCACCACCGCCTTTTTCTCTGCTTTCTCTCGAATTCCCTCGAAGCCACTTCACCCTACGGGTACGATACAGTAGGGGACCGAGCTAAGGTGCGCCCCCAAGTCACAAGTGTCCGCACACGGCACGGCGCCTTGCTTGTTCCAGCGGGCCGTCACCTACCGCCACGGCATTTCATTCGGCGACAGTGCGTGCGCGCGGGCGTGTGTGGGTGTCGAATACAAGAAAAAGATTCGGTGAACGGGGGCTATCATTCGTTTGATTGGTACGGATGCTCGTTCGTCCACCCTCGTTCTCGTGCTTGACAGACGTGTTTCTCTCGGTACGGAGTACGCAACGTGGCTTTTTTTGTCTCTCTCACATCACATCCCCGTCACCATTTCTTTTCCTTGCATTTGTCAGGTCGTGCCAGGTCTGGTCTGATCTGATCTGGTCGGGTCGGGTCGTGAGGTGTAGGAGAAGTCAAGCCCTGATCGATCGGTGATTAAGCAGTGGGGTGGGGGGGGGGGGGACGAAAACACAATTCCAAGATTTATTATCAGGCCCAGTGAGCCCAATGAGGGAATGAATGGATTTGAACGCCCGGTATGCAGCCCAGCAGGTAACCCTATGTAGGCCGGCATGCAGTAGTGCCGTCGACCTACTCTGTAGAGTGATTAGCACACCTGGGCTACGGAGGAACTAGACGAAGCAGCGCAGCACGCAGGATGCTAAGCACACCGCATGCGGCGGCCCAACAGGTCAGTCAACACGGCCATGAATTGTGCATGAGATGCATGCATGCCACTACAGCCAGACGGTGGACGTCCAAGAAAGGCCGGGAGGGGCGCCAGAGTGGGTAACAGAGTGGTAGAGGGGTAAGAATCCTAAGATTGCGTCTTGAACGAGGGGGGCTGAAGGGGTGCGTCCGTCGAGGGGCAAGTTCCAGTGTCGTCTGTTTCTTTATATAAACAACACGGTCTTCGAATTGTTTCATAAACCCTTTTTGTTTCCTCTCTCTCTCTCTCTCTTCTGTTTTCTCGTTGTCATTCATCGACCTCTCTACTTTCCAAGCCTTTGTTCTGACCTCCACAGCCAGACCTCTTACCACCACCACCACCCACCCACCTTTACCCACCAACACCAACCACAATGGCTGACGAGGCTACCAAGGCAAAGCTCCGAGCTGCCTTTGACAAGCTCACCCCTGAGGACTTCGCCTCGGTCGCCGGCAACAAGGATGCCCTCGCCGACAAGGTTGCCGAAAAGTACTCCATCTCCAAGGAGGAGGCACTCAAGCAGGTCAACGAGGCCTTTGCCAAATAGACGACCACTTGTCGTCGACGTCTCTCCTCTTCGCTTCCAGTCCTCCTGCGTCGACTCATTTAGGGAAAAGAAGAAAATCCTCCGTACAAGAGTGTTTCCGGTTCCCTCCTATGTCTCTCTTTTGTTTTGATGTGTCACGCGTCTCATCGTCACCACGACCGCGACCACCGTCACCACAACACCACGACCACGATCTCTCCTTCCGTTGATGTACACTTTTGACCAGGCCCCATTACGAACCACACGGCCGAAAAGTCCACAATGTTCACACTCGTTTCCAATTCAAATACCGCACCTCGAGACCACGAAATGAGATTCCCTCTTTCTTTTTTTGGAAATCAAGAGCGTCGGGGGGAAATGGAACAATAGAAAAAAAAACCTCATGACACACTGCTGCTCACTTGCCCCCCCTCGTTCCTTTTCCGATCAGGAGAGGTACGAGGGAGACAAAAGGTACCGAAAGACAGTATCGTGTCTGGCTCGGGGATGGGTGATATGTGGTCAATGGATGCAAAAGTGTCGATATGTCGGAAGATAAATCACGGTTGATTGATGATGGGTGCGAACGATGACGGTGACGACTGCGGACACCGAAAAAGAGAGACGTGTTGGGGATTGGAAATTACCTCTTTGAATGGACGGGTTTCCTTTTTCTTCCCACATCATTCATAGCGAAGGGAGTTTCAAATATCAAATCACATCACGACACACGCTTTCAATATAAACCTTGACACATAAAGACACAGTGTACTGGCAATGTGCTTGATCTCTCGACCCCCCCCTTCGCCCCCCCCTTTTCGGAGTACTATATGTATGCGGTCGTGTTTCACTTTGCACTCGGGGGACCTTTTGTCTTCCTGTTTGTGTTGTAGGACAGATCGATCCGTCGTGGCACTCTACAACTCGGTGACGTACGTGGAATAGATGTCTACCCAAGGTAGGTAGGTAGGTAGGTAGGTAGGTAGGTAGGTCGGTGGCTAACTTGGAGACACACACTCTCGTACGGACTGTGAGTGAGGTCAGGTAGGTACTCAGATACGTACTCAGAGAAAATCCCAAAGAAAAATTGTCTCGTGTGTAATGTAAAATACAATCTCAAACTAGTTAGCACTTTGTCCACAAACAAAACACATTCCAGACCAATTCGACCTTCTTTTCGTGCTAAGGAAAAAAAAGAGGTCACTTGTCGAAGAAGCACCACTCACCACCACCACCATCTATCCCTCTCACTCTCCCTCTCCCAAAAATCTATACTTCTTCTTCATCGTCCAGTCCATGTCCAAGTAATTCATCATCCTCGACCACCTGAGAATAATCCTGCCCACGTCGAGCAAAGGCATCTCTCGATCGATATGGAGCACCGTACCCACCGGCGCCGGCACCTCGTCCGAGTCCAAATCTTCCACCACCACTACCGCCGCCACCGCCAACGGGCATGTATCCCTTTAGATTTCTCCAAATACTCATCACGAGTAACGGGGTCGCCTTGGCCACGGCCACAGTTCCAGCCACGATGGCCACGGGAACACTAACCCAAGGTGACTCGCCCGGTGAGCTTGACGTGCCCATGCTCTCGCCGAGTCTGATTTGACCAAACCCGCCAAACCCGTCTCTCCATTTCGTATACACCCAGTACCCAATCCCCGCTGCGGCTACAAGGGGTATGGTAATGGCGAAGAAAAGACCCGCCCCGCTGATACCGTGCTTCTTCTTGTACTCTTGCTCGTGGCCCGGACATTCCTTGCTCTCGACCTTGTCTAGCTCGTGTCCGCCTTGACACGTCGTAAGAGGGATGCGTCTGTATCCCGTCGGATACCAAAACTCGATCTGATCCGGGTTCTTGCGGCAGTTCTCTGCATGGTCGGGTGGATCGTAGCCGGGCACAAGAGCGCAGGTCCCGTCGGCCTTGGGCTGGAAGTTGTAGTCACACTCGAAATCCTCCCGCGTGCAGCTGCAGTTTTGAGCAATGTTGTGGATGTGAGTGATCATCTTGCCGTTATAACACTGCGCATCTGTACGTTTGCGGTGGTATTGAGCCACGTGACCAAAGAGGCAGTTGTTGTCTTGCATAGGGTGCTTGGGCTCCCAGAGGGTGTAGTCCTCATTCTCGGGCTTCTGCTCATCGAGCTCACAAGGTCTCTGGCGTTCCTTGAGGCCACTAAAATCCACCGCGACCGTGAAGATACCTCGTTTGGCATTGCTGCCGACCTCGCGGCCCCAGAGAAGGAAGTTTAGAGAATTGTCAGAGGGAACGGTAGTGATGGCATCAATCTGCATCTCGACGTCGGGCGAAAATTCAAACTCTTTCCAAGACTGGCCCTCGTCCAAAGTGTAAAAGAGACTCTTTGTGGGTTGCGATTCCTTCACGATGACGATGATGCTACCTTGATCACCATATTCCCACATGTAGCTTCCCTTCATCACAGAGGACCATGTGATGCCAGCATCGCGTGTGATGAAGGTGTCGGTGTTCTCGTCGTCTTTCCTCAATAGCCGGTCTCCAACGTTACCCACGGCCATCATCAAGCCGACGGCGCTTGGACTTGAGAAAGTTACAGACTTGTCAGATCGTTCAGTGTAGCTGTGGATATGTAGCGAGCACTTGTCAGTGGCTTTGCCGGCATTCTTGACGCATTCGTAGTCGTGCCCGAGCGCGTCCTTCTTGGGTGGCGGGAGTAGTGTCCACTGCGCGCCATCGTTGTGAGTGATCATGGATTTCAGTTTCTTCTTCCCGCCGTCATTGACCTCATCAATGTTAGACACTACATTCGTCATCGCCACGCCCTCAAGGCCTTGCATTTTCTCAAAATCAACATATCCATTCGTGTCTCTGTTGACAGCGTCGAGCGTGAAAACATATGAGGTGCCGTTGCTGTTTGACTTGATAATTGCACCGTACTCCCGATCAGGAAGCGCATTGACAGTAACATGCAGGAACACGGCATGGGTTGAGCTGTCGAGGACCGTGTATGCTTGTTGATGAGCAACTTGGAAGTTCTTGGGGAACTCGGCTGGAGCGAATGTATGACCATCAACGCTGGCGTCTACCTTGAGACCTTGGCTGTCCTCGGTCTTTGCCGCAACGATGATGAACTCAGACATTGTCGCAAAGTCTAGGATGTCGGGGAAGTGAACCTCTGATTTGCCGAAAAAGTTCTCGCTAGACAAAAGCATCAGGGGCTTTTCTGGGTTCTCATCCTGGTACTGTTCACAGTATATCAGTTGGTCAGAGTTGGGTCGACTCTCCCGCGTGATGAATTCACACTTCCTGGCGTATCGAACCATGGTCTCCCACTTGTCGCCACGGTCTTTGGAGAAGAAGATGTTTGTATGGTCGTCCTTGCCAACAGAGCCAGACCAGAGCAGCCAGTCTTTATACTCGGGGTGGAACCTTAGCGTTGGCAGCCTCAAGCTGCTTGGCCTTTCCGGTGCCTCAAATTTGTCAAATCTGGCTCCCCTGTCGATAGTGTAGTGCACGGCCTCGGAGCCCGTCAGGAAGAAAATCACATCGTTGTGATTGGGATTGGGCACAATTGCCGTGATGGGCTCCCCTTTCAAGATTCGCTCCCAAGATTTACCATGGTCGTGCGTCAGGTATATGTCTTGTTCACTTGTGCGCATGACGATGGTCTCGTCGCTTCCCATGGCTTTGGCGGCTCGTTCAAGGTAGTACCATTCAGAGAATCGATCGGCATCGAAATTGGTCTTTTCGATCTGGATGTCGCCACTGACCGGCTTTTTGGTTGTGTCTGAGCAAGGTCTTTCGACCTCTTCGTCCAGCTGTTCTCCTCCGTCACGAATGCACTCATTTCCTGGAATGAGTCGCCAGCCGGAAGGACCTTTGAAAGTGTCCTTTTCATCCTTACACTCACCTTTGGGTACAGCAATTGAAGCAGCAGGCGCAAGCAGGCACTTGGTGCGATCGTCTGGATCCCGAACAAAATTATAATCGCATTCAAAGTCCGCCATTGTGCATTTGCAAGGTTCAAACTCAGGCACAGGATCTTTGAACTCTTCGTCAATGAAACATTCTGCGTCTGCCTTTCTTCGGCGGTAGAATTGCTTGTGACCCATGACGCATGTCGGCTCCCCATCATCGTCAACGCGAGCGGGCCATCGCTCAAAGTCTGACTCTTTGCACACACGCTCATGCAGGCCGTCAAAGTCGATCTTGAACATCAGCCATTCGGTCTTGGAGCCAGATCCCTTGGAGCCCAATAAAGAAAACTTCAGGGTGGTAGAATCGACAAGAGTGGTCAGGAATTTGGCGCGTATTTTCTCTCCCAGGTCGGCCTTTTTCCACGTCTTACCATGGTCAAGAGAGTAATTGATGTGACTGGTGGCGTCTTCGTCGTCAATAGCCACGATAACGGCACCTTGGTTGCCAAACTCATACAGGTGCGCACCGTCCAGTCCCTTATACCAGGTAACGCCCGCGTCGTCCGAGACAAACAGGTCACCATCTTTGTAGGGCTTCAGGAATTTGCCAGTGTTTCCCACGCCCATGACAATACCAGGTGCGGGGCTGGAAAACACCCTCCCGCCTTGCTTTGCGTCGGTCACGGAGTGCAAGTTGAGTCTCTCATCTTTGACTTTTAGATCTTCGAAGGTTCGTCCGTCATCGAAGCTTATTTGTGAATAGATGTGCTTGTCCACAAGGATGGAATTTTCGACCTCTTTGAAGTTCTCCACCACGTTGACCAGTACAATGCCCTGTATATTTGAAACCTTTTCAAAGTCCACTCGCCCATAGATGTTCCGGTTGGTATGGTCAATGTTACGAGTGAAGTAGGTTCCGTTCGAGTTCGAGGTAAACAGGTAGCCAACAGGGTTTGCAGGCCTTGAGCCGAGAACATCAACTTGCATGCTGTAGTTCGTGCTCTCGAGGATGGTGTAGGCATCCTCATTGATGCGGTGCTGGCCAAATTCTGCACGATGCCATTGGGATCCGTCCTTGGTAACATATAGAGCGAGCTCATCGGTCCCTGCAGACTTTGCAGCTGCAACCAAAAATCCCTTGACAGACGCCATGCTGATGATACCAGAGACTGCTCGGCCATCGTCAAGTGCTGGCTCGACGCCGTCTTGGTCAAAGAAGGCGTCTGAAGCGAGGAGCCGGTTGTCTTTGGGCCACGGTGAGTACAAGCCCTCCACGATGCAAAACACTCGATCCTCAACCTCGACAGCAACATCTTCGGCAAATTGGGGGGTTCCTACAGCCCACTGGCAACCTCTGGTCTGACTGCTCATCTTCTTGACCGTCTTGAAATCATCTTCTGTGTACATGGCGGTCTCGGAACAGACAAGGCCGGTACACTGCTCGCCGTTCCAGATGACTCGTTTCGGATCCCGGCCGTGAAAGCTGAGAGGGGATGGGCGGAAGAGAGCAAGACTGGCACCATTGGTGCTGAACGTCCTCCACGTCTCACCTTGGTCGGTCGTTATCCAGTGTTCAGATCCCAGACCAAGGATGTATGCGCGCTGATTGTCCCAAGGGTGGGCTACCAGATCCCAAGCATTCCCAGACTGGCCGCCTCCTTTTACTTCCTCCCAGGTCCCACCAGCATCAGCACTCCGCCAGATGATGTTAGCATCTCGGTCTTGGGCAAGTATTATATCGCTATCGTCAAAATAAAACAAATTCTCCAGGGCATGCTCGAACTGGGTGGAGGAGATGGTTGGGCCGTCCTTTTTGGCGTGCGCAGGCTGCGACGAGGAGAGGACAAGGAGAAGGGCTAACGACGAGGCGACGGCTCGCCTGCAGAAGGACCGGAGGATCATCTTTGATTACCGCATTGAGCGGGTCTGAATGAGAGAGGTGGTTAAGAGGCAAATACAAAAGAACAATGGCACGATGAAAGGGACAAGCTGTTGTTTCGAATTGCTTGTGGCCAACGTATCTCGAAACCCAATACGGGAGTATTAACTTTAGCACAGCATTATTGCTCCGTCGACTCAGCCTAGCGGGCGCGTCATTAGCGTGCGCCAATCCGCCAATCATGGGAAATGCGCGCATAGAGCATCTGCAGCGAAGGCGACGAACAACTCATGACTGTAATTGTAGAACTGCATATCCCAGCCTACGACCACTGGGTGTCTCAGGTAGTTAGTTTTTCGCTTATGCAGAGTCAATAGTACACGATGTCTGACAGGGTCGAGGAGGCAGTACTGTAGGGAGTCACTATCCACGTCTCTGAGAGTCAAACTGTGCTTCACCAGAAACCACAGACAAGTCGCGACTACACAGATGATAGCTGCCGAGGCGTGGGACTGCTTTGTGCTATATCAATCTCTGTATTGTACGACTCCAGGCCCTGTCACCGGACCATTATGAATATGAGTCTCATAAGAAAATGTTCTGTCTTGCCGCCCGTGCCCGGGCTCATATTTCTATCCTGACCGTGGGGCTTCATGTAGCTGAACACCAAATACTTGAATTAACGCCCCCTACTGTCCCAGTGCCTGGTGAGCCAAACAGGCTTCCACATCAACCCACCATTATCGCCGTAAACTCCTTCGCTCAATGAAGCAATTCCACAGCCGAAGAACCAACAAGAAAGGGGTATCATCGCTCATCTCAGTCTCAGTCTCCTGAAGAATCTCTTCATCTTCGATTCCGCAGGCGGTAAAGTGTCCCAGATGGATACGGGGCTAGGTTGTGCCGCGAGTTCAGGTCGTTCCAGCGGTATGGCATTGATTTTGTTCCGATACTCTTCATCAGGAGACCGCAAGTCTGGTCTCGTCAATGTCATGCGCAGTGTCATTTCTCTGTCCGTAGTGGATCCACGAGCGTATGCCTCTGGCCGTCTCCGCATGAAGGACGGTCTTCGCAGGCTGACGCCGCCATCTCCGTCGATACTGAGCTTGGAAGAGGGTGGAGGATGAGGCCGGTGCATATAGAAGACAGCTTCCTCTGGAGTCCTTGGGTCAAACATGGTGTCATGATGGTCATCCTCGTTATCGCTGTCGTCCCCCGACAGTGACGGCGTGTCGTCATGAAAGAAAGTCCGATTTGGCTCGTGTCTGGGGTGAGGGCTTGTCATTGGTCTCACCCGATCCCAGCCGCTTCTGTCCTCGACCGAGGGGAACCCGAACTCTATGGCCTCGTCAAATTTCTGCGGAGAGGCGAGGTAGAGTCTGAGCTTCATGCGTGCCGCAGGATCCCGGTAGTGGGTAGCTCGAGGATCAAGCGAGGATAGTGATTTCTGAGATCGGAGGTGCCGGAGAGAAAATGACGAGGACTTGATACTTGAGGCTTTGGAAGGAAGGGCAGGCGTATCGAAGGTTGAGTCGAAGATGGGCCGGGCAGAAGATGTCGACGCTCGGCCACGGCGTATTGAAAGACTTGATAATGATGTAGTGCGCTTTTTAAGAGTGGTGCGCTTCACTGGCTCTGATATCGAGGCGGTACGTCGGTTTGTCTCGGCGATGGCGGAATGATAGTCGTCGATTTTCAGGTCGAGGTCTGGTTCGTCTTCCAGCCACCGGAAGCCTTCTGTCGAGTATTCACCCATGTCGACCGCGGAATCTACTTTCTCTTCGCATTTGGAATCTTCGTCGACCACGATTGTGTCTTCGTCAGAAGCCCGACGTTGGGAGGTGGAGAGGCGGGGAGGATGGGAACTGCGCCGGCGGAGGGTTTCGTCGGCGGCGTCGAGGATGAAGGTGGTCGTCTCTCGTTTGTAGAAAGAGCACTCTTCTGGCGAGAACAATCGTCGCTGGACCGCAGGTGGAAGCGAGGAGAACCAAAAAAAGGTTGGCTGGCTGACGTGGTTCCTCGACCTCGTGGACGACAACCTTTTCTTGCGTAACTTGTTTCCGTTTAACAGCAAGCCCGGCGGCACCAGCGTGTCGGTCAGGATAAGGAAATCGAGGAAGGCGCTGCGGGAAGGTTTTGTAGCAGGCCCGAATGCCTTGGACGGGAGGATCGACAAGCGAGAAGGACGAGGTGATAGACTGCTGGCATTGTTGGCATCTCGAGCTAGTCGGAGACGTTCTAAACTGCTAAAATACTGGTGCAACAGATACGTTAGCGGAGGGCCCTGCAGCATCAGCGATCGCCAGAGGTGGTCAAACGGTCGGGGGGAACCAGAGTGGTATGGGCGCATGCTTGACTGGCGGGCGTAGGCACAGAGGCAGCTTAGCGGTGGAGATCGCCAGCTAGCGGCATGCTGGTGCCCCTGGATTCGGCACGGTCCAGGAAAGTCTGCTTGGCCACGATGCCCTAGGGGAATGGGTATGTCGACCTATTCAGGCAGTGAGCAGCACTCCCAGGCCCGTCCCCTACCGAGCAGAGACCGGGTCGCCCAACCATGTCGACCTCCGAACTGGGGCTGCATTCCGCACCGTCGATGTTATGACGTGGACCGGGTTGCCATGCCACACGTTGACAGATGGATTTCGCACGGACATGCAGAGGTCCCTCTGTGCCAGTGGAGAAGGGTTTGTGCTGACAGCCAGGTCCTGAGTCCGACGTGTCCTTCTCAATGGACAAGGAGGAAGAAGGGAAAGAGGATGTCATGGTGGCGGCTGACACGCGCAGCCACCTGTGCGGGAGAAACACAGGTACCAGCGAGTCCGTCCGCCCTCCGGACACTGGCGAGAAAAAGACTAGAGAAACGAGAAACGAGAGACGGGAAAGACTGGACTCACCTTTCGACGTAGAGCTGGCGGCAACGAGTCGTAAGCCACATCGTCTTTGCTGTTGGCGTGAGAATTGCGTCGAGAAGTCGGCATGTCGCGGATCGTCATTGGTGGTTAGCGAGTCAATGAACCAGCAATCTAGCACCAATTTGGCCAAACCGTTGCATGGCTTTTATTATTTACAGTATGTTTCCCGGTGACTGACTGGCTGCCAAATGAAACGCCTTCGGCTAAAGAAACTAGTCCAACTGGAAGATGAGATGGCTGTTGGTCTGTTGAGTGGTCCGAGGTGTTTGTGGTGGTGTCGCTGGGAACGCACGCCCTCGTGGTTGGTATGTACCTGAGCTTGTGGCGGTGGGTATTCCGGTGTCAAGCACAGACAGAGACTCGTAAGGGATTCGTAAGAGACCAGTAACTCCGTACACAGGTGCTCGTATGTATGTACTCCAAGAAAAGAACGGCCGTGCGAGAAATGAAGGAGTGAACGAAAGGAGTGAGTGAGTGAGTGAAAGTCGATAGTTGGCGGTGCTAGACAGATGGCGACGCTGTCATGCCATATATGTATGTAGGTAGTATCAATATCCGTAGTCCGTCCAGCATCTGTATCTGCCTAACGTACGGACGGGACTATGCTAGGGGAGGCTTCATGAACTGATGGATTGAAGCCTGCCATTCTCCATCCCTGAGATTAAAACCAGTGTGCGGAAAGTTCACGTCCCTTTGTGGCGCATCACATCCTCGCCTGGCTGCATGCTCTTGTGGTTCCCTCATCATACACCACCACAGGCCATTCGTTGAGCCTTGGAACTCTTCAGGGCATGGGCTGGGCACGCTCTTACGAAGGCCTCCCTGTGGTTCCCTGTCGAGTTCATGCCGGCGCGCGAAATTCCAGCGAACTCCATCCGAGGAGGCGGACAAGGGTTTGCAAATGAACTGGTCTGGAACCACAGTGGCTACAGGGATCTGGACCACTGATTTCCTCGCATCAACTTCAGAATCACAAGCCCCCCAGCACATCAAACACGCTTGTGGTACAAGAACAACATCTGCATGAAGATCTTTGAGGAGGGCGCGGACGGATCGGACCTGTCACTCTATCCCTACCTAGGCAAGAAGGTCTTGTAGATGGCACGTTCATCAAGGGGGGCCTTTTGTGGGCTCACTACGAGTAACTAATAGACTGTCGGATCTGCTCCGAACTTTGTACCGCACGAAAGGATGCTGCTTATTTTATAGGAGTTGATCTTCGGATAGGATCCCTTACAATTGGCCGTATGCGAGCACCTCTAGGCTCAAGATATCTGAAGCCCGAAACGAGTTTTTGGGGAGACACCATTGGATATCTCTCCCGACTCGTGTTAGTGTTACACAGAGTCCCCAGCTTGTTTCCAACGGCTGTGTAACCGTCTGGAAAACCATTTTAGAAGTATCGGCACTTTTCCTACGGCCCCAAGTGAGAGCCACGGGTTCAACATCGGACTGCTACATGACAAGTCGGTTGAGCTGTGTGCAACGTGCACGGCGAGGTCACAGCTGGCCTTGCGATGGGCATCACCTTGACATACATACCTGATGCAGGGGAACTGGGCTTGTCTCATGTATTTACGTGTCCTGCAGCCTACTATGCTCTCTCAATCTGATTAGTGTCAATAAACCATTTCTCGTGCCGCTGTCATTGCAAGAGGTGTTGAGGTCTCCATACTCCGCAGAGATATGCTGACGGGGTGGACCTCGGTGCGAAGTACGGATGTCGGCTGCCTGACTCAGGAGGAGAAATTCGTACAAGGTTGCAGAAAGAACACCGGTTTGCAGGCTGATTATCAGCAGAGGATGGCATGTATGCATCCGGAGGGAGCTTCGCTATCCTCTAACATGTATCGGACGCGTGTTCCTGTCTCAGCTGAGTCAGGCCGTGATGGGCGATAGCTGTGAGTCTGCTCGCCAACGCCACGTCTCTTTCGAAATAAGGAGGCCCAGCCGGTCGAAGCAGCCTTTGCAACATCATTCTCTTTCTTCAGTTCCTCAGCTGCCCAGCTTGCTCCGAGAATTGAGACTGCGAAGACAAAAATAGTTGCCACGGTGGGATGCGTGCATCGTGTCGTTCGCTGCCGAACACGAGGAGCTCAGCCTCAATCTCGACAACGACGCAGCCTCTAACTCGCCTGGGAACGGAGAGATGCACTGGTGACTGATGAGGGTTGGGGTTCTTGGTGCAATGGTCGCTCCTCTGGCTCTGGAGGCTCTGGCTCTGGCTCTGGCTCGAGGTGAGTACAGTAGTTAGCTGCGGAACATAAAAAAATAAGCGGCCCCGCGGCCCCTTCTAATCTGGTCAGCGTCATCAAGGTCTCGGATGCGGGGAGATGAGTGGTGAGCACAGGACAACGGGTGGTGTGAAGAGCAGCCACAGGGGCCCTAGCGAAGCCTTGGTGGCTTCAGTGGCGCCAGCTGAGGCCTATTGGAGCCTATTGGAGCCTATTGGAGCCTATTGGAGCCTATTGGAACCAGGTGCAGCCCCCCCAAGGCTCGACAACGTCCCCCCAATCTTCAGCGACTTGGCCTCATCTCGTTAGTCGCCGTCACTAACGCCTCCCAAAGTTTCGGTCGTCGCGCAACACGCCTTTTTTTGCTCAGCGTCAACACTGCCCTGCGGCTCCTGAGTACGGAGTACAGTATATTTTTTCTCTGCCACCGTCACAGACACCTTCGTTTGAGTTGTATACTTGGATAGCATTCATTGTCATATACTCCCTATATACATACGCTCGCTACCACCACGCAAACTTGTATCCACCTCACTCCAGTCTACTCGTACCTATTACATACCCGTCCACGCTCCTCCTCTCACCATGCGCTTTCTCTCCACCGCAGTGGCAGCGCTCTGCGCAACTGTTGTTGCGGCTCAGAACAATGCCATCAGCATTCCTGCCGGCCAAAGCACTCTCGACGTCACGGCTGGTCAGCCTCTCACCATCCAGTGGACCGACCCGTCGAGCGGAACTGTCACGATCAAGCTGCAACAAGACCCCATTACCCCTGACGGAGGCATCACACTTGCTTGTAAGTTCTCCCACGACTCGATGCCATCCTCAAGGTCAAACAAGCACTAACTCAGCTGTGCCTCAGCTGGCGTGCCTGCGTCCGATGGTACTGCGACCCTTGACATCCCCCCGGCCGATGAAGTGAACTCCCACCTTTATACCATTGAAATCATCGACGATACCGATACCACAAACATCAACTTCTCCCCCAACTTCGGCATCCAAGGTGCCACCGGGACTGGCGTTGCATCTGCTTCGACCGCCTCGAGCACCGGCACTGCTAGCACGGGATCCGCAACGGGATCTTCCACTGCTTCTGCCAGCAACTCTACCAGCACCGATTCCTCGTCGACGTCAACCGAATCATCCGCCGCAACCACCTCGGGCTCGAGCTCGAGCTCAAGTTCGGAATCGGCGGCAGCGAGCACAACCTCATCCTCGGGAAGCTCAGCCACATCTTCCTCGGCTTCTCCCAGTGAGACAACCACTGCTCCCGACTCCAACAGCGGCGCCACTGGCCTCAAGGTGCAAAGCGGTTTCCTTGCCATGGTTGTTGGAGCCATTGCAGTCTTGTAATTGCACCACACAGTTTCGCCACACAATGCCCCCAAAATACCTCCGAAAGCCCTCGAGATTGTCGTTCCAAGGTCGAAGAAGCCTGTTTATATATGTACACCTTGCAGTTCCTGGTACATGTCTGGTTGATCTGTTGTAACAAACCCTTCCCTGTACGCAATCTATGTGTGCAAGAATTTGTCCCCTTGAAGAACCTTCTGCCATGTATTTGAATTTAATCTTGGGCAGTGTTGGTCGTGTATAATGATTCCGTGGTTGAGGAAGACGAGGAAGTTTTTGCAGTTACACATTGGTTTTTGCACGGCGCAGCAGTCGGGGCTATTAGGCATAGCGACGGTGGTCTGTTGGGTCTAGCTCTCGTTTTTCTGTATCACAGGCTGCATATGTATGTAGGTGAATAAATTAGCTGCCAATTCGATGGTATTTTGTACCTGTGTTTTTTGTTGGTGCTTCTGCCAACTGGTCTTTTGTCATGCTGATTGAACGCCCGTGTTGGGGGAGGGCATCCAGAGTAAGCATTCTTCATGTCAAAGTATAAGAAATTTGGAAGCCAACAGAAAAAGAACGCAGAGTTATGGCGAAAGGGGAAAAAGCACAAACATCTTTCCAAAGCTGCAACATTGATACTTTTGTCTTCAAAGGGACACGAGCAGCAAGGGAGAATGAATGTGTGCGTCAGTTGGCCAAAACGCACACCACATCTACCACCGGTGTTGCAACGGGTTTTTAGATGCCTGGTCGTCTCGTCACCAAAACCACCTACTTGTTCATGCAATCAATGTTGTTCAACAGAATTCGTACTACAGTACATGTGACTAACTCCTCCTCAGTCTTGCGTGTCGTGCTCTCTCGTTTCTAAGCCAGAACGGCGGTCTCCACGGCGGTCTCCTGGATCTGCCGACTTTCCACCCGAGCGATGTGCCATGCATGCAAGGAGGTCGAACCATTTCAGGTATCGTGTCAAACACGCGCTTTAAGTTGTACATATGTGCAGTATGTTTCATTCTTTTTTTCTTGTCCTGCATCGACACTCAGACAAGGTAGGTAGGTCATCATCCCATCGACTGGTTCGCGTTTCGCGTTTCAGCTGCCGATACAAGCATCCCGCGCGTTGTTCTCGTGTGACGACGACTTGACTGACAGGCGAATGCGAGGTTGGTTGCATGCACGCATGCATGCATATGCATGCCGGAACAACAAAACATGCCTGAATGTTCGTTGAGCCGCCACCACGTCGTCTTCTGCTGGTCTCGGAATGTCCCACTGGACCACGGGTATTTTGTCAACCTCGTATACCTGAACTTATTACCAAAAGTCTCTCTCCATTCGACGGCAGCGCACGTGGATCTATCTACTCGACGACAGTCCGCCGGGGCACCCTTAGTTCTTTATGGCCAACAGATCCATGCCCATCATCGCAGCAACTAGACGGATCTGGCAAATGTACAGCGTAACGGACAACGGAGGAGGCGTGGGGCATACGATAATGAAAAACTTCGAAAAAGCACTCTCCTTATCAAAGCCAAGAAGAGTGAACGGAAAAGATACCCGGACCGGACCGAACACCGGTTATAGCCGACATCCCCTGTATACAGCACGCGGGACGGAGTACGAGTACAGCACCTGCAAAGAATTGGGTTACACAAGCAGGCCAGCAAAGCAGAGGAAACACCGAAACCCATCGAGAACTTCTTTGCCACCAGCACACAACACACACACACACACACACACACACACACACACACACACACACACACGCCTTGCATTCGCGTGGTCACACTGCTGCCCCAGGTGTTGTATCCATGAAGATGGGGTCGGTAGGGTAAGGTGAAAGGGTAAAGGATAAGGGTCTTGATGCCCACCTGGCTCCGATTCACGGGTTTTATGTCCGACTCTGATATCCTGGTGAGACTCTTTTTGTGGCACTGATAGAGCCGAGGCGAGGGAGAAGAAGTCTAGCTGTGCCGAATGTCGACCGGTGCCCTGTTTGCCCAGGGTCAGTGTCAACCTACGCAGCACGGAGTCGTTGTCCTGTGTACAGCAACAACCCTGCGATTTTGAAGGAGTGACCGCTGTCGAAACAGGAGATGTAACAAAGTCAACGGCAACAACAACAGCAACAACTTCTCCTCTGCAGAAACATACAACATCACAGACAGATGAAAGCCTTGTCTGCTTCAATCGACCCACGACCCTGGCATACGATGGCCGCTCTTTGCTCCTTGGCTTTCTGTATCGTCTGCTGCGTCTTCCCACGCGAGCAAAATTTCTCGGACGCGATGGGCGGCAAAGTGTAAGTCGCCAAGCACAGTCAGACTTCTTTGTAGGCATTCAGCCATTAACCGTATGGCTTCATCATCGCGCCCCTGGCGTTTCAGTACAACAGCCAGATCCTCTATACTGCTCAATGTATCAGGATGCTCATCACCAAGCACTTTCTTCCTAGCCTTCAATACCTGTACTCCCAGTTCTTCAGCTTCGTCCCACCGGTCTTGGTTCAGGTATATCCGTACAAGGATACCGATGCTAATTAGCGTTTTCGGATGCTCGTGACCAAGAATCCGTTTTCTCATCTCTAGCGCCTTGACTTCGAGCTCTTCAGCCTCTTTTAAGTAACCTTGCTTGTTGTAAATTGACGCCAGATTACTCATACTCATAATAGTATCAGGATGCTCCTTGCCAAGGACTCTCTTCCGTATTTCCAGACATTGTATATTCAGCTTCTCGGATTCTTTCCAGCGGCCCTGACTCGAGTAAGTTGACGCCAGATTGCTCATACTAGTAATTGTAACAGGATGCTCCTTGCCAAGGACTTTCTTCCTTATTTTCATTACCTGGTCTTGGAGCTTCTCATCTTCTTTCCAGCGACCCTGACTCGAGTAAACTGACGCCAGATTGCCCATACTAATAACTGTATCAGGATGCTCCTTGCCAAGGACTCTCTTCCGAATTTCGAGAGATCGTATTTGTAGCTTCTCAGCTTCTTTCCAACGACCTTGATTGTAGTAGGTCAAGGCCAGGTTGCCCAGACTATTTAGCGTGTCTGCGTGTTCCTCACCAAGAGTTTCCTCTTGGACGTGATATGCTTCTTGAAGGTATCTTTCCGCCGCGGTCCAGTCACCTTGCCAGTTGAGCGCTTGTCCAAGATTGGAATAGGCTACCAGGGTCCTTTGATCCTTGTTACCAAAGGTTTGCTCCCTCCACTGGACAACTGTAGAGTGGACTTTCACGGCGTCCTTGTACTTCCCATCCTCAAACAGGCACGAGCCTATTGCTTCGAGTAAGACATACCGCTCAGGAAAGCGTTCCGCCATGTCATAATCACACAGCCTCTGCGCATGGGGTAGGTATGCTCTCCACACGGCCGTGTTCATGTGATTTGATACTGGTGGAAAAATCTGTGCCAGCCGTGTTACGCATGCCTTGTTCCACGAAGACAACAAATCATCTCTCCGTAGCCAGCTCCGAACCGCCAACCGAACCAGTTGATGCATATCGTACAATTCCGAAAAGGCGGTTTTTGTATCGGTGCTAGCTGGCCGTGAAGTGACGAACGAATATCCCTTCAATATGCCGACAGCCTTGACGATGTCCAGCTTTGAGCTATCTTCTGGCAGTAGCGATGAGGGAACGCTTGACGGATGAAAACATACGAGACACGACAGAAGTTTCATCGCAAGCGGATGGTGTCGACCGATATGCTCGAAGGATATGAGCCATGTGGTAGCAATGGGATTCTTGGCATCCGGATAACGCGACTTGTCTCCAAAGTCTTCGCTGAGAAGCTGGATGACGGCGTCCTCAGGCTCTTTCAGTAGCTCGAGATATGTTCGCACTGACGCTCGAGCCATGTTGATAAATGAGGCAGCTTGGACAATGGCAAGCGGCATATGGGTCAGCGCCTGCACCAATGCCAAGACTACTTCCAGGTCTGCTGAGCCGGGTGCTTCCAGTCTGTTCAGAAACATCTTCACCGATTCCTCCTCAGTCAGAGAATGTAATTTAACCACCTGGTTCTCCGAGAGGAAGGATGCGACACGTGCTGTACGGGTGGTAACAAGGATGGCTCCATTCGCCGCCATTGTAGGCAAATAATCGACCAGTGAAGCTTCCGGTTCGGTTTTAGAAGGTTTCCCCCATAACAGCTCATCGTCGGCGTTATCAAGTATGAGCAGCCACTTTCCCGAGGATGGGTCACTCAGCCGCTGCTTGACAAGTGTCTTGATGTCGGCATGTTTCTCTTCGATGCCCGGAATCTGCAGCTTTTTGCCGATTGCCAGCAGGTCGTTGTCGAAAGTGAGTTGAGTGGTGGCCTGAGCCCAGAACATAGAGTAGGATGGGTAGTCGGACTGGATATGGGACGTAAATTCCAGCGCAAATCGACTCTTACCTATACCTCCCAAGCCGAGAATGGAAACAATGCGGCGGCCTCTGGTTTCAAAGAGTGCCTGTCTGACTCTTCGAAGTTCGTCCTTGCGCCCCACAAATTCCGCCATGCGTATAAGAGGCACATTCCATAGAGGGCCGGTTGACTCTCCTAGAAATACTAAGCTCCTCATCATACCAGTAAAATTGAAGAATAAAGGCCAAGCAGAAAAACACCAGTAGATAGTGAACTTACCTTCATTGCGTCTATTGATTTCCTGTTGGAGCCGAGTGAATGCATAATCTCCCTCGCCGTAGATAAGAGGCATGAAAATGTCAAAGATTCCAAGTAAACAGTACGCCCTATCTTCGGCCTCTTTGGTGTGACGGTTCGAGGCCCATCGCAACCTCTCATCACTGCTGAAATGCGACATCGGTGTACCGTAGAGAGCCGTAAGAGGGATAGAAGTGATCTCATGGATCACCTGCGCAAGCCCACTGCGATCACCCAGTCGCTCTCCCTCGCGGGAAAAGAATTCGACCGACTTCGGTGCGAGGAGCTCTTGTAGCGTCCATCCACGCGTGAACCATTTGCTCTTGCGGAATGATGTTTCCCATAGCCGCTGACTCGGGCTGCCATTGTCCTGATCGTGAATCGAAACATCTGAGAGGTATACATAGCATTTTGTGGCGTCGCCGTACCACCTAAACATGGAATTGATCGCCTTGGAAACCTCTATAGGGTCTGACTTGTTGATACAGCATGTGTCCACCCAGAAGTAACAAAAACCATCCCTCCTTGCTTGTTCTGCGCAAAATTGGATCTTCCTATAGCCCTCTTTCTGTTTTTGGTCGTCAGCTCCACGCCGGATATCGCTGAATGTGACCTCCTCTTCCTCCGCTCCCCAAGTGTGTGACAGAATCGCGTAGAATGGGATATCGTGGGACGAAGTAACGACAAAGCGCGGTGTATCCGCGGTATCAAGTTCCAGGAGGCGCATGGTGTGATTGATGTCAGGGGCAAACGAAGCATGGGCAGATCAGGACGGTCCTACCAAGGGCGAAGACCCTTTCAATGACTCAATGAAAGCGAGCCAGGGCTCAGGAAGAGAAGCCGTTTAGACGCCCGAGTATATAGCGGGCTTAGATGGCAGGCAGTCTGCGCCTCATTGCGCAATGGAAGAGGACTCTCAACAACACCGCCACGGTCACCTTGTAGCAGCAATTGGAGGTGTTAGATCTTTGTCGAAGTCAGAGAGGATCAGCCGCAGATGAGAGCAGCATGTTGTGGCCGTCAGCCTGAAAAGCTGGCGTGGGGTTGAACCAAGGCATCACGCTCCCACCCCATGTTCAAACCCTTACAGGCTGATCGTTCTTGGAGTACCTACCTAGTCCTGATCGGTAAGTACGATTCGAGACGCGTTGTCCAAGAGTACAGAAGGTCATCTCAAGAACCCAACAACAACACGGCCGTTCTTTCCCCTACTCGTACGTACTACCTCTGTGTTGTTCGAATACTAACAATGTTGAGTAAGGCCGAGTATTTCGCCGGCACACTGTATAAGAGATCGACAGTGCGACTCCTTCTGGACCCTGGTGCGGAAGAACCATCACTATGCCTTATGTGGTTAGGGCATCGAGGACTCCGTATTTCTCCGTGAGAAATGCGGGTGAATCAGGGAGAAGAGCAGATCGTCACGTGCTATTACGTACCACGTCATTTTCTCCTCATGCAAGACATCACCTCACCCTTGTCGACCTCACCTCACCTCACCTCACTTTCTTGTTTTGATACTCGCGTCCCTAGGCGTCTGGGAGAATGCTCGGGATACGGTACATACAATATCCACACCACGCCACGCCACCCTTACCCGAGGACGAAACCATGGCACACAACCACAACCCGGAGAGAAAGACGAGTCCTGTCTTTGCCTTTTCCGATCCCAGTACTCGTACCGTCGACTCGGCACGTCCTCTGCTCTCTTTGTGTGTTGCCTAGGTATCTACCTTGACCCGTACCCACCGAGGTACATACAACAATTATGTGGGTGTAGGTAAGGTAGGTCTCGTATGTGCGTGTGTTTGCGGCTCCGGTGGACGAAAGGAAGGATCAGGTAAAGATTTGACAATTCCTCGGGGTTAAGCTTTAATACCTTCTCGTAATCGTACCCGTATGATACCTTCTGGACCCTTTTTCAGTCGTCAATGTCAATCGTCACTGTCAGTGTCACCGTCCAGGATCATTTTCCAAACCGAAAAAGATCAAAAGAAGAAAAGGTTTCTACCGCCCGTACCTCCTACGGTACCTCTTAGGAAACGTAAGCTAAAAGCGCCCGTGATATCATGATTGCCTAGGTAGACACCAAGGTAGAGTTGATACCTACCAGTATCTCCCTGAGATAGTGGAACTCGTACGAGCAGTTCTCATCACGAACACACCTGTGAGATGTTTTCCTCCTTTCTCTTACTAGTATCATGAACAAATCTACCACGGAGGATCTCTAGGTGCCTAGTACTCGAGGTACTCCGATTCGTATGAGTATGAGTAGGGACTCAGTATACCCATTCCAGTTCACCTGCCACGCGGACAAACTCCTACCATGCAATAACAATCTCAAATCATGATTCAAAACACAGACAAAAGACACCGAACTTCATCTGGACATGTTGAACAACAATATTTTTAACTAGTCATTTCCAGCCCTTCTATACCTATGGTTGCCGTCTATATATCTGCTGGATATCTTGTTGTTTTCATTCACCCGCCCAAAGTAAGCCTGAGCCTAGCCTATTCCATCGTATATACAGCCGATAGCCTCCCGACAACCCACATAGAATACTTGATCTCTTTCCACCCAGATCCGTCAGACTGCCTTGCCCTGTTGCGTGTCGCAGGACCACCTTCCAACAGTAATGGTGACGTGTAATGAGGCTGCCACTTGACAATCCCTAAACAAAACCCAACAAAACGCCCACGCTATGCATCGTGACAAAAGATCCAAAAATAGAATTCCACCTGGCTGGTCGTTATTTTCACCGTCGATTCCATCCCACGTTCCAAACCACATGCGCGATATCCTTGAACGTATTCACCGCGTACATGGCCTGTCCGAAAAGTGTATGGTTCATCACCGCTTCTTCGTCATTCTCATCATAGGGCATAAACATGCCAGATTCTGTCCGTCTCATATTGGGGTGGTCATTGTTCTCGTCACCGTCGTCGTCATCGTAAGGAGACCTGCCTCCTCCCAAGGATGATTGAGGCTGCCATGGCTCGTCCGTCACCTCGGGATCGTCGTCAATCAAAAAGTTCTGATAAGGCTTCGCAGGTCTTAGAGTCTCTTGCGACGGCGAAGGAGATAATTTTCGACCACTGGGCCACAATCCCATTTGGCCATTGGCTGCCTCCTGGGGTTCAGGAGTGTCACTCCGATACTTCAATGTTGTTGATGGAAGCGGCACTATTGTCTTGGAGTCATTGCTGAAACTCCCACGAGGCGTCGCCCTGTTGCTACCATTGCTTGGCATTCGAGATGGAGCCATCATTAAGCCAACGTCATCGTCATCTTCCTCGTCAAAACTCGTGGCTTCATCTTCGTCAGATTTGTCATCTTCTTCCGAGTCAACCGCCTGTACTTGTCGGACTTCTTCGTCGAACAGGACGTGCTTGCACTCGGATGGAGTGGGGATGTCTCCAAAACCAAATGACGATCGAGGTCCCGCGAAGCCGGGCATTTCTTGTTCGGCAGGAGTAGTGAGGACCGAGCTGGTGGGATAACGAGGCAAAGTAAATTCTGAATTGCCTCTTCGAAGTATAGGGCGACCATGGGCCGGGCTCGCCTGCTGAATTCTAATGATGTCGCTGGCTCTCTGGAGCAAAGATCGCTGTGACCTAGACCTTTCGAGGATGACCGCCGAAGCCGACTTCTTCTTAAGGATCGGCTTCTTGGAGATGAACGACGATGAATGTGACAACCGGCTGGGTGGCGGGGATGTCTGTTCCGTGGAAGTTGCTATGCTTCGAATGGTTTGCAATGGACCGTACAACCAGGTCACATCACAATCCTTGAGCCAATTGAGGGTTTCTGGCGAGATTGTCTTGAGGTTGTTCTTAGCCTTCATCCATGACCTCCAAGAGGCATTCTCCAGGCGGGTGCCGTTCGTTAATGACCTCCTCCGGTGCGAGACATAGCTCCAAGATTTCCAGATATCCTCTTCTTTCCACTCGTGCGACAAATAGTCGACATGCCGAGTAGGCTCAGGCTTCACCGCATGATCGTCCTTGGTTTTGGTCGGCAGCGACAAGTCGTCGTCGGTAGGAGCGGGACTGGGCGCCTGCGAGACAGCATCATCTTGTTCTACGGGGCTTTCGTAAGACTTGTGCGGTATGAGTGAGTTTTCGAACGCAGGAAAAGCCATATCATCGTCCTCGGTCTCGTCGTCCTCAGCAATATCTCTCTCTAACGAAAGGCAGCTGGCGGGTGTCGACGAGTACGAATCCCGCCTGGACGAACTCGTATATGTCAGCTGAGGGGAAGACGGGGCGGTTGAGGGTGTAGAATCTGAAAACATCCTGTTGAAATCATGAGGAGAGTAAGAATGGTTCTGCGGGGAGGTCTGGTCGTAGGACAGAGACTTATTCACAGCCTCGAGATCCGAGTATGAGGCTGATCGAAGAGGGCTTGAGGAGAAAGGTGAGGCCCCTGGAAGAGGAGCCTGCAAGAGTGTAGTCATGAGAAGCGACTCATGGATAGCTCTTTCAAAGTCGAAGGTCGAGGTCGGAAACTGTGCTCAAGGGGTGAGGCGACCACGACAAGGAAGGTTCTCGTGCGCGATAGCTTGAGATCGGTGATCTGTGGTGCGTTGTATGTCCTGTCCCCAGTGTCTTGTCTCTCGGGTCTCTGCTGGCGACTGAGTACAATATGAGAAGGCGGGTGGCCAAATATGGACGGCGAGAGATCTCAGCTTATGACGATGTGGGGGTCTTTTGAACAACACCGGTGGGCGGGAATTTCCACTGTGCGCTTGCGGGCGTCTACGGCAGCGATCGAGGATCGTGGGCTCTTGAGGAGAGGTCTCTGGGTGAAAAGGGACGAGATTATACTGCGTAGAGACAGACGTAAAGACAGGCGGTAGGAATCTGTGGGAGAGAGGGCGGAGTGGAGGTTGTGGTTTGGGATCGAGAAGCGGGTGGAGGTTTGAGGTGCAGATGCGTCTAACACGGTGGAGTCGCTGTGAGGAGGGAGGGCGTGTGGGAGGAGAAGGAGGAGAGCGACGAGGAGCAGGAGGCGCCGAGCACGAAAACGCGCGAGAAAATCCAATCCGACGTGCCCTGGACAGAAACAAGACGATGGCGAGGGGAGCCGCTTCCCGAACGGCCGTGCAGGAGGAACCTGGGAAGACTCGAGCGCACAGACCGAAAATCTCTCTGCAATAATGCTGCAGTTCTGCAATAGCTCACAATGCAATGCAGACTAGACCCTGAAGAAGGTGAACTAGCTGCGTGCTTCCGCCGTGTCGAACAAATCATGCCACGCTCCCAGCATGCGCCATCGGTGCAGGCGGATGTGTCATTTCAGCGCCCGTGGAGTCGTGGGAGCCTCGAGCCTCGAGGGGTCGATTTCTGTTCTCGCTTGGCGAGCGTGGGGAGAGCGAAAAAAAATACTGTGGCGTCGGGGGCTCGCGGGCCAATGCTACCGTAGGCCAGACACTGCTACACTAGTCATTAGCAGCAATAACTCGTAGCATCCGTTCGTCGCAGCCACTGAGCGGTGTTACGAGTTAGTCACAGCCTCCCAAGGTGCTCTGTCGACGGAGCAGCACGCACGCCGCCTGTAAGCTGAGACACGATGGGACCCCTGCCCAGGCGGTTGAGGTGAGACGTCCACTGTGCACTCGTGTACTCGTAATGTGCCAGGGCAGCAGGAGACGGCACACTGCGGCCGGTACGGCGGGAGGAAATGAATCGTCGTCATCATCATTGAACAGAGTTGGCCTGGGCGAGAGTCAAAATCAGCGAGGAAAAGACTACGAGGCGAGCATTGCCTTGATGGGAGACAGAAGCTAACAACAGAAAGGTTGGTTGACAGGACGCGGGCGACGGAGAAACGTACCTGAGAATATCTCGTGTCTGACCGCGTCTTTTGCTGGTCTTGCACTCCCAAATGCAGAGATCGGCCAGTACGAATCCCAACAACATGTCGTCAGGCAAATGATGTATCCCCCTCCGGGCCTCGAGGCCTAGAGAGCCGACAATTCGTGCCTGGACATGCCCACGGGCCCCGTCGATCAACGCCTAAAAGGCTGCGTTTGTTACCTAAGACGTACAATAGGGGCTCCCGCTTGCGGGGAACGCGGCTTCAGTCGAAGCATGTTCGAGCACTGAACAAAAGAACGCCAGCAAGCGCCTCTTTAGTGACACCACTACCGGTAACTAATATCTTCACTTGATTGTTCTATACGTACAGTATGTCTTCTTATTTTGCGGTACCAGCACGACATGCAAAAGCGCCCAGAAGAGCAAATGGTCCCGGATTCGCCTGCACATGCAAGTCACCGTTGCTGCTGCTGGTAATCGCCAGCCTTTCTCATTTGTTGTGCTGACACGAGCCATGCATCCCACGTTTATCCAAAGCTGCACGCCACAACGGTCTTCGCTTTACGAATCCTCCGGACACGCTTCCCATGGATAAAGTGGATAGAGCGTTTGGCCATGGCCACCGGCCTCATCAAACATGTTCGCGGGCCTTGAGAGCAGGTATACACTGCATCCTCGTCCACCCAGGGTTCGATGTCCTCGATCGATGCAGCACATGTCATATCGGTCTCTAGTTCACCGAAAGTTTACATTGCAGTGTCCTGATTCCTCTGACCCCATCATCTCCTTCAACCCGTCGCGCGTCGCAGAACAGACACTCGTATCCACGAAAATTTACTCCTTATCCACCCGGCTTGCATGCCACTCTTGAGCCACAGTCGCCCTCGCCACCCGAAACGTTCCATTGCTTTTGAACAAATCCTTGTGTCGGGAAGCTCCAGACTCGCGAGTAATCTTGCGCAGTCTCATCACGCAGATGGTGGTGTGGATACGACGCACCCAAGGAGTCTACTGCACACCGTGCATGTCGAGGGATGGCAAACTGTCTTGCAATAGAGAGAATGCCCATGGCGGTGCGGAGCTTTGGCTTCAATAGAAGAGCCACAGACAAGTCTTGGAGAGTTTTGTCCCGTGCAATCATCCGCGCGGCAGGATCTTCAGGCATGGTCCTTGATAACATGCTTGAAGAGGAGGCCCTGCTGCACTGATATCATTCCGTGCTATCCTGGTGATACTATCTCTCAGCGGCTGCTTCAGTCTACATCCTTCTTCGTCGGCGTCAGATCAGCATCTTTCTCTCATTTCGGCGTGACCGGCCAACACAGGCGTCAACCTTAACTTGGCCCTATGCAGGGAAGTCCATCACGCTTGCCAGCCTGAAATGAAGTGGATATCGAGATGTGAGAGGTGTCAAAGCACATGTTGGTGGTAGCATTTCCTGTACACAATAATAGCAGAGCGTGCCCCGCTGATAAGACCCGAAGGTTTATCGTGGGCGGGAGATCAACCAGGATGACTCGGGAGTATCATGGTCCAGCAGCTATCTGTGCACGTCCAAAGGCAGACCTCGCTAGGGCCATCGTGCATGATAGCTCAGCGGTTATTGCTCAACGTTGACACATGCACCGATCCAGCTTCCTGAATAGAGAAGGGAAATTACTACATTGCACGCAGTATCAACATGACCGGCTGGCTGTAAGCAAAAAACTTATCTCTCCGTGGCCCTTTCAGTTAACCCGCACTTCTCTGAAACACCGCTCTGTACCACTATCGTTGCCCAGCCTGTGGCTTTTCTTACCTGTATTTCCGCCCGGACATGGCATCCGGCTAAATCCCCTTCAGACGTAGTATGTATGTGCCTAGCGACGAATCACACGTTGAGTGACTGATTCAACAAACTGCGCCAATCGTGTGAGAAAGATGGACAACAAGACAAACATCTTCATGTCCACAGGCGAAGCAATGGTTTTATACTCTCCTGAGGCAATTTGTGAGTCGAATGACATTCACTTGCCGGGATGGATCGAATATCATAGCTTGCGGATTGCGCGATTGTCACACACACACAACCATCATCACATTGCCACAGAAACAAGTCGGGCCGCTTCTGATTGACAACGAAGCAGACAATCCAAATAGATGCGCTCCACCGGCTCCCCTGTCATGCTACTCATCGCTTGTCAAGCCCTTGTAGACGAGCCAACCGGGTTCGTAAGCCGTGTGCGGAAGTCAGCACCTTGAATGACTTTGGCGACGTCGGGCCCGGATTCCCGATAGTAGGACTAAACTTGACAAAAGGGAAGCGAATTCGAGTAGAGGGCAGCTATTTCGCAATCCCGTTGTCTCTCAAGCTTCCCCCATAAATCTAAGGCTTCAGCTGTCATGGAAACTGATGTGACGGGTCGAAAGTATGGCCTCCATGCTCATGGTGACATCTCGGCCACCGATGGAGCAATTGCTTACAACATGGGGTGTCGGAGGATCAGTAGATGAGCTCGCTAACTAGCAATGGCTATATGTAAGCGCCGAATGCCCGACCGTTCTGGCCGTCCGAGGGGAGCCAAAACCCATTTCTTTCTCTGTAATTGCCGCTCTTTGGGTTCCATAGGGGGGCGTAGATGGCTGGGATCCAGAGTAGCTTGCGTAGTTGGGATATTCGTGGGATGACACCCAAGGTGAGCGGTTCGACGTCTTCACATGCAGTGAGCAGGTTGATTACGGGCCTGTCCTTGTCGTTGTTACAGGCTGTCAGAGAGCCGGAATGCCCTCACTACCGTTAACATACCTGTGCGTGACAGTGGAGCGCGACACAGCGTTGAGACCGACTTGCCAAAAAGAAACTTACAGCCACGCTCTCCGGACGGGACCACCATGGATGTTCCCATCTTCCTGCAGAAGACCCAGCCCAGCGTCAATAAGCAGACAAGGAGGATGAAACGGGGGGGGAAGAATACCGGCCGAGAGGACCGGAGGAGGCCAGCAACGATACGAGTACGAATAGCAAGACCACTCGGAGATGCCATATGCACACAATGCTTCCAAGTGAGGGGAACCTTGATAGATGACAGGGGAGCCTTGTGCACAACACAGCGCCGACACGAGGTTGTTTTGCCCTCATAGAGAGAGAGAGAGAGAGAAGAGGCAGGGAGAGGAGTTGTCTGTACTTCCTACCTACCTATCCTGTCCCATGGGCCGTTACCGCAAAGAGACAGTGTTGATCGCCCTCGAGCGTTCCCACCGCAGACTGGCGAGACTTCTCTCTCTGTTCGAGACCCCGCACCCGTCAACCCAATACCAATCTCTTCTCTGTCGTGCGTGATGCCCGGGTATATTTCTCTGAATATTGCACGTGAAGATATGCAAGCCGCTCAAGTCTGAGTCAGAGGAGGAAGCGGAACAAGCGACGTTCGCCTACAGCCGACATTCTCCCGGGCTTGGCGGGCAACTGCGCCGGCGACGCCACATGCGCATCTGAGGGCAAAAGTCAACGGCGGATTCGGAGGCGAGATCAGAGTCCGCTGCACGACCGACGACAGCCACATACATGAAACCGTACCCTATACGCGGCTCAATTCTGTCCACGGGTGTTACTTGAGACCGCATAATCAATTCAGCCTATTTCGCCCTCGATGTCGGCAGAGGTTGCAGAGCACCCCTCTGGCCCTCCGGCCCGGCAGGTTGTTTATTGTGGAGGTGAGCATTTGCTGGGTATGCCCGGGACTTTGGGACTTGGTGGCTGATATGGCAAACGGACAGTGTGCAGCCTCCCACCAGAGGTACGGGCACTTTCATCGGCGAAGTTTGGACACCGGGGCTGACGCTGTGGACGGATAGTATTGTGAATTTGGTGGGACGGTGAAAAAGTGCGAGGAATGGCTGCACAAGAACCACCCTGACATGCACCAGAAATTGTACTCGGCAGGTTCGTGCCCCAACGGTCGTCAAGACGACCACGGTGCTGACCAAGTCAACAGAGGCGTTGAGTGCCAACTTGTCGGCCCTGTCGGTCGAAGCGCAGAAACGAGCCGAGAAGGATGCGGCGAAGAAGACAGCCAAGGCTGCAGCGGCCGAACAGCGCGAGGCCGAGAGGAAAGCAGAAGCGGTGGTGCTGATCAAACGGGTCGAGCGCAACAAGAGAAAATACGTCACGGTGGTATCGGGACTCGAAGACCACGGTCTTGATCTTAAGAAAGTGGCCAAAGAGTTGGGCAAGAAGTTTGCGACGGGAAGCAGTGTGACAAAGACAGCCAGCGGCGGCGAAGAGATCACGGTACAGGGGGATGTGAGCGATGATCTCTACGACTGGCTGACCGAGAAATACCCCGATATACCAGAGGACAACATCGACATGAAGGACGAGACGAAGAAGAAGGGAGGCAGTTAGCCCCTTCTTCGTGGACATATGAGGGCTTATTGGGATACTGGCCGGGGTACTGGCCGGGATACTGGCCAGGATGACTGTGTGCAGAGTCTATACCACCTATTCGAGGGAAGGCTGAAATCCCACCGCAAAAAGTAGTAAGCGTGTGTGAGAATCGGAATCCCATACGGCGCCCTCCAGACCAGAACAAGGCGTTTCCCTGGTATTTGCTTCACTTCACCTCGCGTTTCATCTTGCAAAAGATTTTATTGTAGACCACTCCATATCAAGCCACGTTGACGCTGCCTTCATCGCATAACTCGTGCATACTGTCTATTATCCAACCAGGTGGTGGGTGATATGAGAAGAGATGGCGTTAATTGGGCCAGCCTCTGACGAAGACCCCGACTGGGTATCGTACAACAGCACCTCGTCTGGCAGCGATGACTCTCGAGACACGACGTTGCTGCCGACGTCGACAAGCAGTCGCACCAGCAAGAGTATCAGAAGTTCCCTCTTGACGTCATCTTGCAAGGAGCGTCGGCGAGCATCGGCCAAGTCAAAACCGCCCACGCGAAACGCCGACAGCGGCATCAGCCGAATCACCGGGCTCTTTGGGTCTGGTACGGGCAGCCGTACGAGTACGAGTCTTGCTACGAGGCCCTCAGGCGCGCCCACCGACACCCCCAGGTTCAGCATCGAAGGCTCCCCAAACAGTCCTCGCCGGAGACTCTCCAGACCCTGGCCACCCTCTGTCCCCTGGCCGTTCCTGGCACACACTTCGACCCGACACAGCCAAACTCAAACACATAACCATAACGCTCTCCCTCAACCGCCCTCGGCACAATGCGATCCAGGACAGCGGCTTCTGCAGTCACAAAATGACACAGTCCAGGAGACAAAGCAATTCCCACCGCGCCCTGCCCTTGCCCTGACCCGTGCGCCGCAGCTCCATCCTGCGAATGTCCTGGTCGACCGAGTCACCATGGACATCACCAACCCGGCGCAGAGTCCCAATTTGTCGGACCTCCTGACCAGCCTCTCCAGCCGTGAAGATGCGAGTCGCAAGATGGCAGCATTCAAGCTGCAGTCGCTGATCAACGATCCCTCCTTCGCCGAACTCTTTGTCGTCTCCGGCGGCCTGCCTCGACTGCGCAGTCTGATCCTCGAGAGCAATGGAAACACGTTGGCGTACAGCTTGGCGAGCTTCGCACGGCTACTGGAAGTTGACCAGGGGTGGGAAGCCGTCAATGATCAAGTGGTAGAGAAGGCAAGACGCCCGCCATACAAGAGGGAGAAGACGAAGAACTGACAGCAGTAGGTCGTGGAGTTGGTTGTATGTCAGCCGCTGGTGAACATCTTGCGAGGAGCCATGGCCATCTTGGTGTCGATTGTGTCGCGGCCGTACCATACAGATCGATCATCACAAATAAGCACGTCGAACAGTACAGGGGGCTTCCAGGCCCTGAAACCCGCCATTGCGGTTTATCCACAGTTTTTGGAGATGCTGGTGACGAGATTATCTTCGGCGGATCATGCTCTGTGCGCGAATGCCCTACAGCTGATCAACTCGCTCATGAGGGACGCAATAACGAATGATAATGAGACGGAGTGGCCCAAGTTCATAAAGCGCATCCAAGATCTTGGGGTGATCAAGGCTGTCTATGTGCTCATGCAGAGCTCAGCCCTGCAGGATCTGGCGCACCCGCTGCTGGAGTTCCAGGCTCTTACGAAAGTCCTACTTAGAAGGTGGAGGGATGTGCCAGTTGACTTGGTAAAGCCGGAACACAGACGAACAATCAAGGCCATCCACCTGTCCAGTAATCCAGAGAAACCCTCGGAGAACGAAGGGTTGAACGGGGACTCGAAGCCCAAGCACAATCCGCTCAAGTGGCGACGACTAGGATTCTCTGGTGAAAACCCGGAGCCAGACTTTGCTGACATGGGGTTCCTTGGGATGATGGACCTCTCAGACTATGTGCGCAAACACCAAGACGAATTTCAGAACATCCTGCTTGAACAGGCGGTGGCCCCGGAGCAAAAACGATGTCCGTTAGCTCGGGCCAGTTTGCTCCTAACAGCGATTCTTTTCGAGCATTTTGAAGTGGACAAGATGGACCTGGAAGATTCCAAGAGTTATCTAGCTTTGGAAAGTCGGACTAACTTTGACAAAGTCTTCAAACCTCTGCTTTTACATTGGAGCAGGCTTCATGTTGCGGGCCTGCATGCGTTCTTAAGGTTGTGGAAGGCCACAGGAGCCGAATTAGTTGACTTTGTCAAGATTACGGAGTTGGTTCGGATATTGGTAGAGAGTGTGGTCGGTGGAGCTGATCGCACCAAAGGGATCGAAGAAATCGAAAAGGAGATGGCTGCTTTTGAGTACAGGAAACTCCGCGAGCTTCAGATGGAGCTGCTGGAATTGACTTACGAAGACGTTTGGGGTCACCATCTTCGTGGCGTTAAGGAAGAGCTGCAGACAGAGGCTCTACAGTTTGTCAAGGAACAAAGGATCAGATGCTTGCTTGCCGGGGCATGGTTTCCCCATGGTGGTGCCTATGCTGACCAGGAAACTGGAGGTCCAGTCACTGCTGACAGTCTTCTTCAGACCTCGTCACATGGCTACCGGTTCATCAAGCTCTCCGAAAACCGTAAGTACCTGCACTGGGGTGACTTTGACGAGAAAGATGAGGAGTCACCGGCTATTTCTCGTCTGCGGGACAAGATCGATGTGTCGATCATCTCCTCGGTCGTGTCGAACGTGACCGCCAATGACCGGTCATCGATCGCATCGGATTCGACCCTGAAGGAGCTGACGCACGACAAGTTCACCACGACAAGAGTCACCATCCATGGCTACTTACCCAAATCGCGAGGTGGGCATTCTCGAGCTTCATCGAAAGCTTCCTCGGGTCGGAGTGCGACCAAGGAATCTGTCCTGCTCACGTTTCAACCGAACAGTCATGCGGTGGCATCAGAATGGTTAGATGGCTTGCTCATGCTGCTCGATCAGCAACCCATCACCTCCGAAACCAACAGGCTGATCCACTTGATAAGTGACTATGGGCTGAAGGTACGACTGCTGAATGTCCGGTTCAATGATGAGGAAGGCATCGTTGAAGGCATGGACGGGATGGACGGCCCTGAGATTCCTAGCAGGGAAGGACTGGATGAAGACTATTACTACGAGATTTGAGCCACCGTCGTCTCCATCTGGCTGCGCTCGTAAAGGAGAGGTGTAATGAGAAGATGTCATTTTCGGACCGATTTGGGTGCACCAGGATCTGGATTGTTTGTACAAGGAAAAAGAGCGAAGGCCGCCCTGGGATGTCGATTGTCAGATCAGCGAAAAGCGTCATGATGAGTACTCGGACTGGGTTTTTGAATTGTCTTTCTTAGCACGACCTACGCATACGCCGCGAGATACCCCCTTGCCTGTTCTGGGCCAATTCGAAGCCATTGAGATATCGAAAGGAAGCACCGCTACGATACCCAAGCGTTGGCATTCACTCTCTAAGATTGATCGTGCCAGCTCTTATTTGAACTCCATGGCAGGATGTGCTACAGCTGGTAAATCGGCGGACTCGACTATCTACTAACTTTGACGATGCCCTGCAACGAGTCTACAGTACGCCGTACCCAGTATCTATTTGACCTAGAGTTATGGGAAGGTGAAGCCAGACTGAAGCCTGTATCGGTTCGGTGCCTTTGTAGACAACTGAACCTCGAGTCCATACATTCCAGTCTCACACCTCTTCACCTTTCCTTCCTGGCGACAATGGCGATTCGATCTGGGAATCTGTATCTTGCTCCATGCCTCCATACTAGTACAATTGCGAGTACGTACAACTCCTCTCGCTTAGATAAATATCGACCCGGCAGCAGTCAGTTCTCAGGCATCCACGGCGGAAGTCACCGCTTTGTCTACGAGTACCTGGGGCTTCACGAGCTATCTTTTCCTCCTTCAATACCATCATTTGCCGATGACATTGACGACCTTCCCGAAACGTCCACGAAGATCATTCCACCCCTGAATCCTGACCAATGGTGCGACGAAGGGCGAGGACGAGCATACTCCGTTCTCCTATCTCTCTGTAATGATCGACATCGCCCATCTCCACACATTCCTCGTGCGACCTCTTCGTCACCTGTCAATACATACGCCGGTTCTACCTGTCCCTGCATCCTGATTCGAAGCAAAGTAGCCGTGCTGCTATTGTCCCAGGGACTCCTACCCGCGGGTCGTGGTTATCCTTACCCTAGTCGGTTCTCAATGCAACATCAAACACCTGCCATCCTGATATGGCTCGCGTGGTGGCGACCATTGGCGACCTCATTGTTGAGATAGCAGTCGGCGATAACTCCGTCATTTCTTCTATCAGACGTTTTGGCCATGGGTCTTTCGGTTATCTTTATGTAGCTGGTCTTCTCGACAAGCGATTGCACAAGATAGCAAGATAAGTCGCTTGACAAAGGGTATTCTGAGGTGTTTTTTCCCTTCAAGTTGAAATTCCTTGTCCGTCTGTACGTAAACTTCGTCATTGAATTCATCCGCCACACTCGTCCATCAGAACCGCGGCACGCGGACGTCTTCACCACAGTTCGGATTGCAGCAATGGCCGAATTTCAAGAAGACATCAAAGCTGTCCCTATTCAGAACCTCTCTGGCGTTCGGTCCGTGTCGCCGGTTGACGAGAAACGTGGATCCGTGTCAACCACCGCGGCGGCCAAAAAGATCCTCGAGCACGGTCAAGATGCCGACGAGGCCATGAAAGCGTACGCCTCTGGCGAAGTGGTCGAGGTCAGTGAAGCCGACAACAAGCGGCTCTTGCGCATCATCGACTGGCATCTCATGCCGCTGCTGTGTCTCGTTTACGGTCTGAACTATCTCGACAAGACGACGTTGTCCTACGCCAGCATCATGGGCATCAAAAAAGACATCAATCTCAAGGGTGACGACTATCAATGGCTGGGAAGTATGTTTTACTTTGGCTATCTGGCCTGGGAATATCCCACCAATCGACTTCTTCAGAGACTGCCACTGGCAAAGTATTCCGCATTCTGCGTTATCGCCTGGGGAACTGTTTTGGCCCTCTTCGCTACCGTGTCCGACTTTGGGGGAGCCGTGGCTATCCGATGTAAGTAACCAGCCCTTCTACTTGTTTTCTCTTGCAGGGTGAACAAAACACAAGGCTATTTTCAACCTGAATACAACATATTGCGATTTGTTAGTGGTGGTTGTCGTTGTCGTTGACTAAATCCCGCTAACATGCTTGATTCCGATAGTCTTTCTCGGCGTCTTCGAAGCTGCCGTCACCCCAGGATTCGCTCTGTTCACTTCTCAATGGTACACCAAGAAAGAACAAGGCACGAGGGTAGGAACCTGGTTCAGTTTCAATGGGTTCGGTCAGATCTTCGGAGGCCTGGTGGCGTACGGCATCGCTGTTGGCGCCCGCAAGCACGGCACCGCCATTGCCCCGTGGAAGATCGTCTTTCTGGTCAATGGCTGCTTGACTGCCTGTCTGGGCGTGGTTTTCTTCTTTGTCATGCCAGACAATCAACTCAACGCACGTTGGCTGAAGCCCAGAGACCGTGTGATGGCCATTGAACGAGTCAGGGTCAATCAGCAGGGCATTGGCAACAAACACTTCAAGCTGTATCAATTGAAGGAGGCGCTCTTGGATCCCTTGACATGGGCATTTGTGTTTTATTCGGTTAGTTTCGACCGACCTGCTTGACGACAGAACAGCAGACTCTCTACCTTCCTCATGCGTTGTTGTTTTGTTCTTTCTCTCAGACCCTGGAGCTGACCATCTTTCACAGTTGACGGCAGATATCCCGAACGGTGGGATCAGCAATTTCTTCTCGCAGTTGGTGCGTGCTTTTCCTTTTCCCTTTTCCCTTGTCTTTCGACGATACCCGAACGGTTTTTGCGTCCGCCTGCCCTGCCGCTGCCGTTGGTGGTTTGACTACGGGGTCATCGTCAACGTAGCTACCGGTCTTTGGTTTAACAAGGATATACCAATCTGACCTTTCTTTGCGCAGATCGTATCGTTCGGTTACACGCCGGAAGAATCTCTACTGTACGGCACACCAGGCGGGGCGGTCGAGGTCGTCTCGCTCATTTTCTGCGGATGGCTGGGCGACAGACTTGGACAGCGCATCTTGGTCTCAATGGGCGGGTTGACCATTGCACTTCTCGGCATGATCCTCATTGTGGCCTTGCCTCTGGACAACAACTCGGGCCGGCTGGCGGGGTACTACCTCACTCAATGCTCGCCGACGCCGTTTGTCGCCCTGCTCAGTCTGATAGCCACGAACGTCGCCGGGTATACGAAGAAGACGACCGTGGCGGCATTGTATTTGATCGGCTATTGCGTTGGGAATATAGTGAGTCAACCCACCCCCCCCCTTGTTAGGCGTTGGCCTCTGTTCCAGCGTCGGTGTCGGTGTCAGTCCGAGTCGGGAAGGGAGGGAGAGAGTGAGGTACTCGTACCAAGTAACGGCAACATGTACAGGTACCCACACACACAGGTAACTCGACGATCTGACTCGTACTGGGCCGGGCCGGTTACAGAGATAAAGGGGCATTGTTCCACATTTTCACGGAATGGAAGGCTGACATATTCTTCGTTCCTTTTTCTGCTACCACACAGATCGGCCCACAGACATTCAGACCAGGAGACGCACCGAGATACAAGCCTGCCGAAATCACGATCATCGTGTGCTGGGGTTTGTGTCTGATTGATCTCGCCTTTATCTGGTGGTATTGCCGCCGTCAGAACAAGCTCAAGGTCAAGGCAAGGCAGGAACCGGGTTATGTCAAGTTGGAGAACCAAGAGTGAGTTTCTTTCGTTTGTGCTTTCCGGTTGTTTTCGTTTTCGTTTTCGTTTTCGTTTCCGATCTTCACTCATCCAACAACATACATACCCTTCACACGTGTCTTTTGGTCTACAGCAAGAAACGAAACGGCACAGACTAACTTTGAACGTGTATGATAGATGGCTCGATTTGACCGATAAGGAGAATCCCGAGTTTACGTATAGCTTGTGAGAGTTGATCGGTAGGTGGGTTGGTTGGTTGATACGGGAGATGTGTGTGTCGTGTGTCATGTGTCATGTGTCATGTCTCGAGGTTGACTGAAGCTCAAGACTCTAATGTTATCGATCCCAGTACTCAGGCATGATCGTATTCAGATAGAATATCTGGCATGGTACAGAAGTCGCACACCTATATGGTCATCTTGGGTGATCTGATTCCCCAAGAAGGGTTTCGTCGTAGACACTTCGCGTCGACACAAGTATTTAAACATCTGCTTGGAAGATGTCATCCTGGCTATTGAGACAGTATGCTGGACCAGGTATCTATCTATCGACATATCCTATCTGGAACGTGATGATCTGGGTTCCGAGAGCGAGATCACTGCCAGGTAAGTAGGTAAGCTTAAAGCTCCCAACTTACTTGCTTTCGCGTCGCCATTTATTTACCGCTGCCGTTGTCGTCCTGATTCTTCTGCGCTGAACTTCCATCTCCCTTCTCATTCAGAAAGGTACTTCTTTATCAACGGTTTCATGCCCATTGCCCTTGCAACCACCGCACATGACGCCTGGAGCTGATAGGGGATCCACCATCTCAAAGGGCCCAGGAACCAAGCTTTGGGAAACCATATCAGTGCCGTCGCCGATACGTGTCTGTTTTGGGAGGGGTTCCGATTAGCCATTCCATTCGTACAGCACTCCTGGAGATTCTTCATTTTCCAGTCTTCATTACTCTCTGACTCTCAGACGACATGATGTGTCACACATATCGTCCGACGGAGTGAGGTAGTAAAGAAAGATAAAAACCAAAAGGAGGGGCCGGGACAGGGGAAGACGCTGAGCGTTTAAACGGGAAGGAAAAAGATCAAGGTCAAGGTCAGGGTGGTTTGCGGGAAAAAAAAACATACTGAGTAAGCATGACCTGCAAAATGCTCAGCCGCTCCTTCCCCTCGACCACGTCGCTGACGTACATCAACAGGTTCTGGAAAAACAGCCGGTCCATCTTACTGTCGCCCACGTCGTCCGAGTTCGGATGCGCCCACACCAAGAACGTCGCGTCCTGCTGTGCGTCCGGATCGGGCCAGAAGCGATGAGGCATCCAGGGGCGTATGACGTGAGGCTTGTCCTCGCCCGTGTCCGAGGGTGTGTGGATAGTGTCGACGAGAGAGTACGTTGTCGTCGTGCCGACGGAGCCGCTGAGGACGCTGAAGGATTCGAATTGTTTGAAGTGAATGTGTAGAGGGGGTGACTGTTTCGCCCCTCAAGCCGTTAGTTCGATGTATTTGGGTACCCAAACAGCATACAAGCAAGCAAGGCGAACCTAGATAGAAAGGGGAGGGAGGGAGGGAGGGATAGAGAGAGAGGTCGAAAGCAAGGAATCCAAAATACGGACGACGAACCTGGCCGTGACCTTTGCCGAGTTTGCACATCGGATGGTCGTGTTTGTACGTAGCGCGCATCAGGACACTGTATCATTGTACACCAGCAGTAAGTATATCGTATCATATCATATCATATCGCGAGTGAGTGGATGGGAGGACCGGCTATTCGACAAAGAGAGGCTCGGGAGGGGAGCAGGTGTAGTATGTATGTGTGTGCAAAACTCACGATGCATCCCTCGAAGGTTTCGGTTTCAGAAACTCTAGAATGAACGACCCGTCGAATAGAGCGTACGGTCCAGCAATGACGGGTTCCGGTTCTTCTGCCATTGTGGACTTTCGCTCGGTGGTCGCGTCACGTCGTGTCTGCAACTCTCGTCGTATCGAGACTCGCCAAATATGTACGCTGTACAATGCGGTGGTGGTGGCTTGGGGATTACCTTGTCTCCTTGGACTCGTTTGGAAAAATCAAAAACCAAGGAGCCAGACTCACCCTGCAGTCAGCGATCTGGGGGATCGGGGTGGCCATATATATATACGCAAGATTAAGAGTACATACGGTGGCACTCGGTACAGGCGACCGACGCCGTCTTCCATGGCGCCACCGTATGGTCCTGGACGTTGGATAAGTGGCGCCGTGGGAAATGATACTGGTATTATTACCGGCTCATCGCTGTTTGTCTGGTAAACAGATGGGGGAGACCAGAACAATGCAATAAATACCCTCGCATGGTCAAGTAGGAATAGGAGTAACTGATACTGTATGTGGCATGGCGAGTGAAGCACGTCCATAATCAAGGAGCTTACCTTTGTGCTGACGGTGGCGACCGCCAACTATGTGTGGTGGAACATATTCCACTGCTGGTAAGGAGAAGTCAGTGAGACAGAATGTGGAAGTTAGATACAGTTTACTCCATACAACACCTCGACTTAGCACTGGCACTAGGCCAGGCCAAGTAAAGACTTCGTTTCGCTACGCGGTCCCAGCTGGGGATTTTCTGCTGACTGCTGACTGGCGGCTGATGTAGTACCCGCCGTCTAATGCTTACTTGCTCGTACGAGTGTTGGTATCCGGGAGTCTTGGACCGCGCAGGCATTCGACCATGGTATGTATGGGCACGGACAGGGGCCGTGGGGGCCAAATGAATTCACCTTGGTGAGCGAGCAACTTCAACGACACGGATCCTCGTGAACCTCGACAGTTGACGAATGACTCCAGCGCAAAAGATTGATACAGCGAATGGCATTCCATGTCCCGAACAGAATGCTAGCCTCGTGAATGCAATGTCCGATCTATCATCAAGCTTTAGTCATGAAAAAGAAAATACAAATCACACTCCCGAGAACTAGTCAATATCAAGCATCAATCTTCGCATTTCATCAATGATCCTCTCAGCTTGATCACTCGACAACATATCGTTTGGAGCAAAGACCCCAATACCGAGATTTCCATCAATGACCTTGGCCTCAATGTCAACAGCGGGCTGGAATAAAGTCAGCTTTCGGTCTCCTTCATATTCGAACAACAGCAGAACCACTTACCAAACACCACTTGGCTGCCTCTTGAGATGCTAAACCACTGTCATTCGCAAATGGCGAAGGATTGTCCAACTCCGAAAATTTATCCCTTGCATCTGGGTCGACATTTGCGTGCGTCACCTGGACTTGCTGCTCGACTCGCTGGGCATTGCTGTCCACATCGTCGTCGTTGTTATCATCATCACTAGGTAACGACAAGAAGTTGACAAAAGTGTTAACTTTGACACCAGTCCATTGGTATATTTCCCTCATGCTTACAGCGGCATTCTCCATGCTCGCTATATGCGCAAGGTCACTTTGTACCTGTTGTGCGATTTCCACAGTTCCCTTGGTGCCGACATGAACCCTCAGGGGTACGACATTGAAAGTCGGCGCGACAAGTTCGGCTATTCCTTCGATCTCCAGAGATCGGTTTGCGAGGTAAATTCCCATTATCACATCTGAAGATGCCTGGGTCTTGTCTTCATCCTCTTCAGATCTCAGGCCGATGCTAGAGTACAGCCTACCGTAGGCGGCAAAGAAGAGTGCTTGGATACTGATGCCGTGCTGTTTGAGCCTGTCAGTCAGCTCAGCAGTCTCCAAGACACCAGATTCGAATCTCTCGACTCGGGCAGCATCGAAAGTGCCTCTCCCCGTAAGAGGAGAACGTGACGAAGAGTCCAGATAACTGCTCCAGAACTTCCTCGCCCCTTCGATAGCCAAGCTAGTCTCGTTGACGAAGTAGAGCATATTGTCAGGAACCCGATATTGCGAGTTCCGAGTCTTGCATAGTCTCTCTAGTTCGGTGGCCATGAGTTGAAAACTAACCGCATCGTAGAGCGCATGATGGATCCGGAGGATTAGGAGCGATCCGCTGGTCAACTTCTTGACGTTGAATGTCCAAGGAAAGCGATAACTGCGCGCCACATCTTTTTTGAGGACAATCTGCCAAGTTCTCACTTTGCCATCACGGTTGTGACTGCAGAAGATAGTCCTCAAGATCGGTGTTCGTTCAGACAAAGATTCAACGGCGGACAAGACATCTTCGGGTGTGACCCCGAATACTTCCAACCAGAATGTCGGGTAGAACAGTCTGCCTTGACTTGCGTTCCACATGTCAAGCGTGAAAATCTGCCCAGCAGTACAGGGGATTATTTCTTCAATGTCTTTTGAGGGTACGCTGATGGAAGTGCGGACAGCGCTCGATTCGTCGTCACTTATCCATGTATCAGACGTCGTACTAGATGGTATTGTACCTCCTTGTCTCGCACGCTGAACTGCCGCCGCCATGTTTTTGATTGTTTGAGCTTTGACGATCTCACTGACTGGGAGTCTGATTCCTTCCTTCCGCAAGAGGCTCGAGAGCTTGATGGCACTGACGCTGTCCAGACCAAGATGGAATATTCCGGTGCTCTTTGTGATCAACTTGAGGTCTGTATGGGTCAACTTGGCCAAAACCATCCTGATCGTTGTTTCAAGTGGGCTCCAGGCAGCATCGTCATCAACATTTTCAAGCCGAATGGTCTCAAACCGGGGAGAATTGCCATTGCGCAGTTCAAACACATCATGGAGTTCTGGAAGTCCGCAAATGGACAAGCCTTCAGCATTCCTCTCCAGCATAGGTGAATCTGAACCTAGCATGAGTGATGAGAGTATTCTATCCAGCAGGTCCAAGATATTTTCACCTTCGATCTTGTCGGCTACATGTTCCTGCAAGGCCAGCGTCCATGTTATAGCCTGACCTTGACGACATTCGAGCTCGAGGTTTACAGGGTAAGGCGGATTAATTGAGGCATTGGGATCTTCAATTTCGTCATATAATTGATCGTTTACGTCTGAAGTGTCCGGCAGTTTCTGAAACGTGAAGAGCGAATCAAACACATCTCCGCCGGCTCCTTGTTGTCGAGCATATTGTAGTATCTTGCGTAGAGGGAAATGCTGGTGTTCTGAAATTTGTACAGCCATGTGATGGACACTTTTCACAAATTGTGTTCTAGTAGCTTTCTCGTCAATTGTGTGACGGAACAGCACGGTATTGAAGGTTGGAAACACGAGACGTGCAGAATCGTCAGTCGTGCGTCCAGACAAAACAAGCCCAAAACTCACATCAAGGCGAGAAGAAAAATATGACAGGATAATTGTCCAACAAGCAAGGCCAAGGGATTGTAAGGTAATACTTTGCTTTTTGCAAAATTGGAGAGCATAACCTTGGCTGATCTTTGATGTCTTCTGCAGCAAAAGGCTCGGACTGGCTCGATTCCGATCGCTGATGCTGTGTTTGATCGAGGTTGAATGTATTCGTGAAACTCTGTCTTGCCAGAATGCCTGAGTTTCTGGGCTTCTTGAGCTTTCCAACCCCTGTTCAAGATGCCGTTCAATAGCCATAACAGTGGTTGGACTAGTCTGGTGAGACCGATACGACTTCAGAATCTCCTGGTGCAAGAGGTGCAGTGACCAAGCATCGTACAGTGCATGTGGCATTGCGAGTACAATGAACGCAACCTTCTCTTTACTGACGACAATGCGAACATTCGTTCTCTGCGCGCTGATAGCCTGACTCATCGCTACAGCTCTGATCCTCCGAGTGATCTGGGATGGATCCTGGTTCTCCACAATGTCCACATCAATATATTCCTCCGACACAAACTGAAGGAATGTAGAATTGTCATCTGTCGACTCATTGGCCGCAAAACGAGTCCTCAATATCGGCTGTTCTTGGAATACGCATTTCCAAGTCTCGGCTAATCGCCTAATGTCGACATCCGCTCTCACCTTCAGGACCATGACATTCAGATACTTAGAAGACTCCGCCAGGAGGCCTTCCTGCAATGGGGTCACAGGTAGAACAGTCTGCACGTTGCCTAGATTGACGCCTTGAAGCTCCAAGATTCGTCGATACTGGTCTTGCAGCACAGATATAAAGCCTGCGGACGAATGGGAAGGTCGAGAGGCTAGGTTTTGCGCTCCGGTTCGTGAGTGTTCAGCAATGCCAGCAACAGTCGGATATCGCATTATGGCGCTGACTACAATCTGGATCCCAGCGTCCTTGAGACGAGTGACCAACTTCATAGCTTCAATGCTGTCTAGCCCCAGCTCAAAAATGGATGGGTTTTCAAGACGGATGATGTTTTTGTCGACACTAGCCATCTCTGCAAGCTGGTCACGAATTGCTAGTTGTGTCTCGTTCATGTTATCGTCTCCTCCGGTGCTTCGGGGCTGGTCCACTTCCGTGCTTCTTGTGACCGGAGACCAGGCATCTCGTTGTTTTCGTTGACGGAAAGCATCTGGGAGGACGTGGTTTATTCTCTCCAGGCCTTGAACGGTGTTGGTGAAGTCACTGAGAATCTCCTGGGTCTCCATGTCATTCAAAGAATCTGCATTTGCAACGATAGTGATGTTGAACACTGTTTCCTCCTGTGTCACCTCGATGTTAAGGGGATAATCTGGTCTGTTGGCCTCAGCAAGTTCAACCCATAGAACATCATCTGTTTGAGTTTGGCGAGGGGCTTGAAAGACGAACAAGTTGTCGAACAGGCCAAATCTTGGATCTTGCCTCAGATACTGCGCAATCTTACGCAGAGGTGTACTTTGATATTGCATCACCTCGGCATTTAGATCGTGACAGGCCGTTACAAGATCACGCATGGTGGAACCCTCTGAAAGAGTGTAGACAGCGAAAGGAACTGTATTGAACATGGGACCAATTACATTTTCAAAGCTGCCATTAGGGGTCGACCTTCCGGATAGTACGACACCCATAGAAGGCGTACATTTGAATGTGCGGTGCAAAGTATACAGCCATGCAGCCTGGAAGAGTGCCGAAGGGGTGACATTGTAGTTTTGCGATAATTGCTGTACTCTCTGCCGGGACACTTGGGCACCGGCGGAGACTAGTCTTCCTGAAGGTCCGTTGGCTGAATGCTTTTGATGAAGTTTCAGCGGTTTGAAATTGGTCAACCGTGAGAGCCAGAATTGCTCTGCGTCCGGCATTTCAGAGAGTGGACCGCTAGCCAAAGACTCATAAAAGTCTTTGCTCTGAGGTCTTTCTTGTGGGATGTGATATAAACTGGTGACATGATCCAGCAGCAGCGGGAGACTGATTCCATCATAAAGGCCATGGAATATCTGTAACACCATTTGTCGTGTCCTGCCAAGGTCGAGCAAGTCAACCTTCCATGGTGGTGTGGTCCCAAAGAAGGCCCACTCTTGGGACATCGGGATGACAGACGCGTTTGCGTTCAACTCTGACGTTCTGTCATGATAAAGGATTTTCTTCTTGGTAGGACATGTTCGAAGAACCACCTGTGCGAATCCATCGGTCGTCGAGACAAAGCATGTCCTCAAAACTGAGATTGATTGGCATGCTGAATACCATGCTTGTGTGAGCCGCTCAATGTCAACGGTTGGCTTCAACTCGAATCGGAAACACGTGAGATACGTACTATCCTGAGAATCACTGCGGATGACTCTGGATATCATGCCCTCTTGTAAAGGCGTGCAAGGCGCAATGTGCTCGATGTCGTCGTGCTTGATTCTGAGCTCGTCGCGAATCCTTTCGAGATGGGTTTGAGAGAATGCTTCGATGCGCTTTTGAACCTCAGATACCGACCAATTCTGCTCCAAAGACGGTTTTTGACCGACGGCGAGAGCTAGTTCTGACACGGTTGGGTGGCGCAGAATCTTAGCCACATGTGCAGTTGGATAGCCATTCCTTTTCAACGCTCGAGATAAGCCAATAGCAGAAACGGAGTCCAAGCCGAGCTCGAAGACTCTAGAGTTTGGCTTTATGACCGATGATGAAATTCGCAAGAAGTCAGCGAGTACTTCTACCACCTCACGCATCAATTCCGAATTCTCAGGGACAACCGTCCCTGCATCTATTGACGGAGAAGACTGCCCTTGAGGTAGATTTGCCTCATACATTGCTTTCAGGGCCTTATTGTCAACCTTGTTGTTCACGGAAAGTGGAATGAAATCGACTGCCAGAAAACTGTTTGGCACCATATACCCTGGGAGTTTGTCGGAACAGTGCTTTTGGATCTTGGTGGTAATGACTTTGGCTTGCTCGCTCCGTTGGATACTTGGTTTTGAGGTTTGAGAACGTCGCTGTCCAGTAGAGAAGAAGGTGACAAGCTGTTCTCTGTGTTGTACTGGGTGCTTCAATACCATAGTTACCACATCCTTGATAGTCGTGTCTGCACTCATTGCAACATGGTTGATCTCACCGATCTCCAGTCTCTGACCTCGAAGCTTGACCTGATCATCTATCCTGCCCAAGAACTCGAAGCTATTATCGTGCAGGATGCGGACTAGATCTCCAGTTCGGTATACTCTCGTTGTGAAATCCTTCAGGACCACAAATTTTTCCGCAGTGAGTTCTGGTCTGTTGAGGTAGCCTTTCCCTACGAGAGGACCGGAGAGGCAAAGCTCGCCGACGGCTCCTCGGAGTACCGGCCTTTGTGAAGTGGGTTCTAGTACAAATGAGCCCACATTGTCCCATTGTTGGCCGATGTTGGTGGGTTTTGCACTGGTGGGAACATTTTGATGCACAGTGCAACCTATGGTCACCTCGCTTGGGCCGTAGAAATTGTACAAACATCCAGCATCACCCCAAATCTCCAGGATATCTCGTGTGACTTGCTCCCCACCAACAATGAAGATACCCTTGCACAGACTTGGCACATCTTCAGGGGTCAGTAAACGTGCAAGACTTGGGGTGAGGTCGAGGTGAGTTATGTTCAGCAAGTTAATGGTCCCGGGTAGATCTTCGAACAGCAGATCTCTTGGAACAGAGGTGACGCAGATACCGACACCCCAGCTCCAGTATTGTTCAAGCACACTGACATCGAAATGGAACGAAGCGAATTGTAACCACCTAGCTGTCTCACTCCAGCGTCCTCGAAAGATACGCTGGAAAGCTAGCATTGCTTGGACTGCACTATCATGGGTGATCAGGCATCCTTTTGGCGTACCGGTTGTTCCAGAGGTGTAGAGACAGTAGCACGTGTCCTGCGCTTTTAGTTCTCTTGACAACTCGGGTTTTTCTACTGGAAATCTTTGCCAGTCCTCAATATCAAGCGCAAGGACGAGAACATCCTCAGAGGCATCGAAGTCGGACAAGTTGTCTTTCATCGTGAGCACGAGTTTGCATTCCGAGTCTCGAAGGATGAAGTCTTTTCTCTGCTTGGGAGCCCCTGGGTCTATCGCAAGATAGCCACAGCCGGCTTTCTGAATCCCCAGGATAGCGAAGTAGGCTTCTGGACATTTGTCGAAGCACACAGCCACGAGCTCTCCCACTGAAGCGCCGTGTTTCAGCAGAAGATGAGCAATTTGGTTGCCATTAGAGTTCAGCTGAGAGTAAGTCCAACTTCGGCTTTCACAGACGTCCTCCTTCATACCGGTTATGAATTCGAGGGCCACGCTACTTGGTTTTTGAATGGCTGTTGATTCGACGAAGTCGTGCAGGAATCTTACTTCTGTTGCAATCCGTTGGTCTTGCGGAGGGACGACCGACAGTAATGAGTTGGAGAGCGTCGTCTGCTCGTTGGAAGCCAATGCCAAGATTTCTTCTACGATACCGTTGAATTGTTGAAGAATAATTCTCCCTTGCTCCGGTGGGAGGATGCTCCGCCGGAAAGTGAGCTGGAGGTTCACATCCGAATCAGTAGGAATGATCTCGAGCGAGACTGCATACTCCGTCAAAGCCTTCTCCCTGCTGAGGTTCCAGGGACTTGCAGGGCGTTTCATGGAACCATACTTTTGCACAACAAGAACAGTGTCGAATAGCTCCTCTTCGATACCGGACCAGCGCTTGACAGAGTTTATTGGAGTTTGCTGGTACCTTAACATCGCCGCAGAGCGCTTAGAGATGCTCTCCAGAAGATCCCCTGGTCCCCGTGATACTTTGATGGCAAAAGGAACAGTGTTGACACATGGGAAAGCCACGTCGTTCTCGTATTCCTGCTCGAAATCTCGACCTGACAGGATGATACCAAACGTGACATGGTCTTGAGCCGTATATGCTGACAGAAGTCGCGACCAGGCAGCAAGAGAGACAGTCTGTATGCTTGTTCCGATATCAGCACAGGCAGCCTCAAATGATGTGCGTGGTATGGAACAGCGAGAAGAAATGTTGCAGAAAGAGTCATTGTCGGTAAAGTAAACCCTCATATCTGGAAAACGGGTTGGACACAAGTCTAACGCAACCTCCTTCCAGAAATTCTGCGATTCTTCGCTCCTGCTCATAGCTAGAATTTTGGAGACAACTGAGGAAATAGCTACGGGTTCTCGAGGCTGCTGGTTCAGATACAAGGCTTGGACGTCTTGCAGGATGATGTCCAGCGATTGGGCATCGTAGAGAGCATGCAGCATCGATATATTGAGCTCCATATTGCCATTGTATGATGTCAAATCAATGCGCCATTGTAACTTGGCCAGGGCTGACTGGCCTGGCTGGTCCTCTGTGTGTTCAAGGGCCCTTGGATTTGCGATAGATCGTGCATCAGTCCACGGAAGAGGATTTGCTTCAGGATAGTAGGTGACCATGGCAAAGGGTATCAGCGGGTCATCAGTCTCGACAAATCCTGTCCTCAGCATCTCATGTATGCTTTGAGCCTTGGCCCACGCTGCCTTCAACCGTGACACATTAACATCTTCATTAAGTGTGTAGCACATGGAATTGTAATACATGCATTTGCCTGAACGGAGAAACTGTGACAAGATTCCCGATTGTGTTGGTGTGCATGGTCGTACTGCATGTATACTTGATTCGTCAAGGTGATTTTCTCGGCATATGCCCTGACGATATTTTCGGTCGAATCCTTCGAGATCAAAGTCTAATGAATGGGCGTGCTTACCACTTCTTGCCCAGCAGACGGCTGCAATCCGTTTGATACTGGCATTTTCCAGGATGTCCGCGCTTGAAACATGATAGCCTTGTCTTCGGAGCCTTGCTGCGATCTGAATGGCATTAATACTATCGAAACCGAGGTGAAAAATGGTAGTTTCTCTGTGGACGGATGCGGGCAACTCGGATTTGAGTCCGCGCATAACATCCACGATCAAGCGCTCTAGGTCGGAGAGATATTCTTCTGGAAAGTGGGCCTGGTCTTCCTCCATTGACACCGATCTCGGACTGTCTGAGACCACAGTTGCCGTGGATCTTGTTGATGGTAGTTTGTCGACAACAACGGAGAAGTCGTGAGCGCGCGATTGAGGAAATTTTGCAGTATGGGAAAGAAGACAGTCAAATCCAGCCAGAAGCTGGTCGAGGAACTGTTTGTTGGCAACTTCCGAGTAGAGCTTCACGCATATTGTATCAGTGTCGACATTCGTGACAACTTCCAGAATAAATGGGAACGACATGTCTCCAGTCTCTTCGACAAGAGACCAGATGTGCTCATCCATCTTTGTTTGTCCTTGCTGCAGCAATATCAACGTGTCAAACAGAGCCCCACCTTTCGTCGAATTCTGTCTTTGTATGCGACGAAGTGAACTTGGCTGGAATGGCAGCACTTCAAGGTTGGTATTATGCAGACTCCGGACCAAGTCGGAATTCGTAGCATCACGGCGGATGTTGACGCGGATCGGCACGGTATTGAAACAAGGTGCAACGACCCTGTCTATGTCGTCGATGGGTAAATTGCGACCGCTAAGGACACTACCAAATAGAACATCTTGGCTTCCGAATATGCATGATAACAATCGAGTCCAGCAAGCTTGAATCAATGCCAAAGGGGTCGAGGCAAGATCGCGGGCATGCTCGTGAAGCTCCTTCACTCTCAGAGACGGATTGCAAATGGTAAAAGTAGGCTCCGGTTCTGCTGACTTGTCCAGTGGCTCTAAATAATCACCGAGTATACAGACTGCACTATTCTTGAGCATACGGTGCCAGAACTGATCAGAAGTGTCAGAAATCGACTCCGCCATGTAATCGAGGTACCCCTCGAAAGCAATAGGACGCGTCAAAGGGCGACCTGCATAGATAGCTTGGACTTCGCTCAAGAGTATCGACATAGCTTCTGCGTCATACAGGCAATGGTGAATCCTTAGGGTCAACTCGCAGTCCGCTTCACCAGGTTCACGCCTGCACAGTTGCAAACTCCATGGCGGAAGCATAAGTGGTTGAGAACCATGGGTGACGTTTGAAGGGGCTGATTCAACGAACCAGGGGAGGGCAAAGTTTTGTAAGACGACCTGCGTCACCGGGCTCTCGGCTGAGTCAAGAAAAATGAACCCAGTTCTGAGAATTTGGTGTCTGGACGTAACTTGTGTCCATGCGTTACGTAGCCTTGAAATGTCGCCTCGGACATGGAAACGTAATGAATTTTGATAAGCTGTTGAGGAAGGTGTCAAGGACCCTATCGCCATTGTCTCCTGGAGAGGTGTGCAAGGGAGGATCTTCTCAACATCTACTCCCACTTCCGAATATGTCTTGACAATCATCGACCTCGTCTCCTGATCGAATACGTCTCTCGGTGACTTCTTCGAAGGTGCGACCACTTGTTCTTGTTGCTTAGGTAGAAGTGAGACCATGAGCTGACTAATTGAAGCATTTCGCAGTATAGTGGAAATCTCCACGTCTGGGAAATGAGGTCTGAGGTTTCGAGCTACCTTGATCGCACTGATTGAGTCCATTCCTAGACCGTAGAATGACGTATTGCGTCGAATGGAGGAGATGGAAATGTTGAGAGCTGACGATACAGCATCAGCAATTTGGCTTTCTGATTCAGAGAATTCAGTCATGTCTGCAGGGCCGCCGCTATCTCGAGAAATCATTTGTAAGTGTTCAGGGTCGATGTCGAAGTACAGTTGCATCAGCAATTTCCGATCAACCTTTCCCTGCCTTGTCAAGGGAATCTCCTCAAGGTGAACGAGGACATCAGGTACCATATATGTTGGAATTGCGCTTGCAAGGTGTTCGAAAAGATGTCGGGTCGTCTTTATAGCATCATCTGGCTGAATCGAAGAGCGAGAGGCCCAGAAGCCGACGAGGCTGGAAGTCCCTGTCTCTCTTGCAATAACCAGGGAAACAGCATCTCTAACCTCGCTGTTCCTCAGCAATGATGAATTAATGTCCCCCAGCTCGATACGCTGACCTCTTAATTTGACTTGGTCATCCTCTCGACCTAAGATGTTCAACGTTCCATCGGCAAGTAGCCTGCCAATATCTCCAGATCGATACAGTCGTCCGAAGCTCGGATGCTCGAAAAAGCTGTTAGCTGTCAATTCAGGATCGAGGTACCCACGAGCAACCTGCTCTCCGCCTAACCAAATCTCACCCACGGCGCCCACTGGGACCAATTGAAATTCCAAAGAGAGCTTGTTTGTAGCGTTGTTAACGGATGAGCTTGACTTAGATGCCCGTCTGTGACAGACGAAGACAGATGTGTTTGGTAACGGAGGACCAACATTGTAAGCCAAGTCCAACCGCGATACTTCTGTTCGCACATTACAGATATTTGTCGTCTCGCTGGGGCCATACCCTTGATAGAGACCGCGTCCAGCCCAGTCTCCGAAGACTTTGGAATTCATTGGCTCTCCAGCAGTCACTAGCATCTTGACTGTGGGAACCGCGTCTGGGTGGACGAGTGCGGCAACCGAAGGCGTCATGCTAAGGTGAGTAATGTCCAAGCTGCAGATTAAACGTGGTAGGTCTTTGAACAAAATATCATTTGGTGCCGTGCACAAAGTCATTCCCGTATGCCAGGTCCAGAAAATCTCGAACACGGAAACGTCAAAGGCAGGAGAACACGACTGCAAGAGTCGATCTTTGCCCGGGGCAGAGGGATAAATCTGCGACAGTTCATCGAGATTGCTAAGGAGATTCTTGCGAGTGAGAAGAACGCCCTTCGGAACCCCAGTACTTCCAGAAGTGAAGACTGCGTAGGCAAGATGATCATTTGTCACTTCGAGCATCTCAACTACCTGTTTTGGATCCACCGTCGTCTTGAGAATCTCGCGAATTAATGCTGACCGCCAGTCTTGCGTCGAAACTGCGCGGACGTCGTCGCCTAAAAGAACCAAGCAGCTTTTAGAGAGCTGCAATATTTGTCGGAGCCTCTCTGGCGGAGTTTGCGGATCGATGCACATGTAACCTGCTCCGGCGATAATGATGCCAAGGAGGACGACGTATAGATGTAGTGATCTAGGCGCGATCACACAGACAATATCATCTGGTCGGACTCCATAGGAAGTCCTCAACTCATACCCGAGTCCTTCGGCCTGAGTGAGTAGCTCGTGATAGGAAAGAGTTTCCTTCTCTACACTGCCAGTGTCGGCGTCAAAATGGCGCACGTATTCAACTGCTGACCTCTGTGGGTCTGTCCTAACGACATCCCTGATCGAGGTTGTCAGGTCAAAGCATGAACCAAACTTGTTGTATTCGGTGTTCGCGAGTGACATCAATTCCAGTTCACAGCCCTCCCACAGACGTTTCAGTTCAATGTCAGGGTCTTGCACCATTTGAGAGACAATCTGGTCTAGTTGAGCAGCTAAGATATTAGCGTGCGACTTTGGGACTCGGTTCGCGTCGAAGGTCATTTTTAATGAGATGACCTCGTCAAGGGGCTCGAACTCCAGGATGATGGTGTAATCCAAGACATCCTGCGTCCCAATGGTGCGAACGTGGAGCTGGTCAGGACATTTGCGCTCATAACCTTGCTGCCACACACACAAAGTATCGAACAATTTAGTTCCAGAGTCTACAGCAGCCGCCCTATGGATATCTCGAAGGGCTGAGGCAGCAGACACTCGAGTTCGAAGGCGCTGTTTCTGAACGACGTTTACCGTATCTCGTACCGTTCTCAGACTCCCCAATTGGAGACGTAGCGGAAATGTTGACAAGCAAGGACCAATGATAGATTCAATGCCTAGTATCGGGGCATGTCTACCACCAGAGATCACTCCGACAACAACGTCAGGATCATCGACATAATAGGACAACAAGAACGCCCAAGCTGCTTCAAACAAGGCTTCTCGGCTACAATGGAGCTTCGTGGCTGTTCTTGAAAGATGCTGATAAGAAGTCGAAAAGGAGGTAGTAATGGAAGCATTACAGCATGTCTGTGACGAAGAAGCCGACAACACTGGAAAGCCTGAGGGTACAAAATCCCGGAGTAGAGTGCACCAGTAAGCAATTTCTTCTGAACCAAGTGTCTGCCGATGTTGGTAAGAGATCAGCTGCAAAAATTGTGGTCTTTCGGGCAACGGCTTTGAGTTCAAGACCGTGTTGAGATCCTCGACGATCAGATCCCACGACCAGCCATCATACAGAGCATGATGTATGCGTATGAGAACTTGGCCATCCCCACCATCAGGTTTTACGAGCTGTAGAGGGTGAAGAAGGCTCAATCCATTCATTTTCAGGTCTTTCCACACTATTTGCACAAATGGCATCTTGCTGTCGCCGGTAGAAATGAACCCTGACCTTAAAATCTCGTTGCGCTCTGCAACTTTTTGGAATGCCCCAACAAGACCCTCGAAAGTGTTGTTAGATGAGAGGCTGACCCAGATATGGTTGAAATTCAACTTCTCGTTCGTGGCAGTCTCGACCAGCATTGCCACTTGCATGGGACTACAAGGCTGGAATCGTTCCCAGTCTTGCACCAACTCCGAGACTTGAACACCCTCCGAAAGTGCTCTTTGGAGAGCATTCCACTCCTCTGTAGTCTCGTAAGAATCAGAATCGTCGTACACTGTCTTGCTTTCCTGCTCGCTGATCATTGTTGCCAGGTGGGCGACGTTTTCAGCTTCTACCACCATTGCAGCGTTTAATTGTCTGTAGGTCTGGCGAAGACGTGAAGCAATTTTGATGCTCTGCAAAGAATCAAGTCCCAAAGACCAAAAAGCAGTCGATCTGCCAACTTGTCTGGCAATTTCTTGCCGTAGTACCTCCGCAACGTCGGCTTCGATTTGGCTTTGAAACCCCTGCACTTGCTGAAGTTCCTGAGCTGACTCTCGGAAGTCTCGCTCCAGAGCCTTACGGTCGACCTTTCCTGATGGTAGTCTAGGCAAATCCCTTCTCACAGTGACTTTTGTAGGCCGCATATAGGGAGGTAGCCAAGCTTTACATATTGCGGACACGTCTTTGGCGTGGACGCCTACCTGTGCGGCACAAAACAATACTAGGGCATCGGCGACGACAAGTGCAATAGCGAGTCGGACTCCATTGGTCTTTGACGCGACTTCCTCGATCTCACCCAGCTCGACTCTTTGGCCTCTGATCTTCACCTGCCCAGAACTTATCCGACCCAGGATCTCGAGAGTGCCATCTTGAAGGCATACGGCTCGATCTCCAGTTTTGTAGATTGGACCATATCCTGGAAGGTCGACGAAGGCGTCCTCGTTGTGGTCGGGTCTGTTGAGGTATCCGTCCGCAAGTTGGCCTGCAACGGCAAGCTCACCTGGTTCCCCAATTGAAGCAACAACACTACGGTGGATTTCGTCCAGTATATATGTTGTCACTGTCCTCAAAGGGCGTCCAATGCTCCGGATAGATGCTGCCGAAGAAAGCTTGGACGCGAGCGTGCAATGAATGGCAGCCTCCGTCGGTCCATACATGGCGTAGAGCATGCTTGGTCTGTCAGAATTGCCCCCAAACTCCGACACTACCTTCGAGGTGAGCATTTCTCCAATGGTCAGCAGCGTTTTCAAGCAAGGCGCTGCTTGCCTTGTTTGTAGAAGCGTCCCGGCTACAGTTGGAGTTAATTCAGCAGCATCCGCATCAAGACATTGAATCGTGGCTGGGAGATCGCTCAGCATACGTTCACGCTCGCAGCCGACCAAGGTCGCGCCTCGGAAGAATGGAAAGAAAACCTCGAAGATTGATACATCAAAGGTTGGCGAAGCGAACTGAAGAAACCTCTTGAAGTGGGGAATATGCTCATCGTGCGCTAATAAAGATTGAGATACTGAAAAATGGGAGACCATGACACCTTTCGGTAGTCCTGTCGAGCCTGAAGTGTACATGACATAAGCAGGACCACCTGGGTCTGCTTGGGGATACTGGTGTGCGTCAGCTTCCTCGTGGTCGCGAGACTTCGCTCTCTGGCGCAAGTCTTCGAGTGATATGTTTAAGCACGCTAGATCTCTCACAGCACTGCGGACCTGTGGCGACGTCTGCGAGATAGTCAGGACCAATAACGCATTGACGTCTTTGAGAATGAACTTCAATCTCTCCACAGGGACATCCTGAGCAACTGGACAGAAGGCTGCGCCAGCCTTCAGAACCGCGACCCAAGCTATGTACAGCTCGGGACATTGTGGTATGAGGACTGGTATGACGTTCCCTCGACTTTGAGGGCACTGTGCTCGTAGATCGACTGACAGTAGATCGGTGAGACTGCTAAATTCTTGGTAGGTGAGCTGGATTCGGGACCCGTCTGCGGTCAGGAAGTCGAGAATCACCTCTTGTTCGGGTGTAACTGCGATGAGCTCATGCAGCAGCCCCGGCCCCGGGAGAATGTCGCGGTTCGCATTGAGTATGGCCAAATCACGTGGCACAGGAGGGTGGTTGGTCGCAGCTTGAGCCATGTCTGTTTTGTAAGAGGCGCTGCCGCACCAATCCCTGGAGGAGATCAGAATCTGTATCCGGCAGCCTTCCGAGTTCGAGGCTGAAGGCTTTTGCGATTGCTTGGAAAAGATAATCCTCAGTACAGTGTGACGAAACCTGCAGAGGAAGCGGAGCAATAGCCGTTGGCGTCATAGACAGGGCAGGGGTAATGGGCATCAAAAATCTAAAGGGCAGCTTGACGGCAGCCTCGCCTTACGGTAGCCAGAGGTATTGATGTGCGTGCTGTGTGCAGAATATCTCGGCTGTATCGGTGGTGGAAACACGGGTGCACTCCGTCCGAGTAGGGCGTATCGTCCTCAACCCGGTCCATCAAAGGATTGCTTCAAGCCCCTCTCGACAATTGGTAACCCCGCCGGCAACGGGAAGTCAGGCCATTCCAACGGTAAGGATCGTGGCCGTCTGGTATCGATCGTGTCATCTGTTCGTACTTGGACGCGCAGAGGACCAGTCTGGTTCTCTTCGCCAGCACATGCGATGAGCAAAATTTTTGTTCCGGCATGATGGTGTTGCATGGAGATCCACGCCGCTAACAGGGCGTGTGGATTGATGAAGCCGTTGTGAATGGCCCGAGATGCAGCGATTGCAACTTTATCAGATAATCGGAGGCAGAATTTTCTGATTATCTGATAATCGGGCGTCTTGGCCGCCCTGCTAAAGGTCCGTTCATCGGCGACGCGATGGGTCGTTGAGCATCTCATTTCCTGTTCTCACGCTGACTTTGGCCTTCAGGAGCCCGTTGAGACATCATGTGTGGACTGACCATGCTGTGTAGGGCCCGTTGTAACAACGTAGCGACCACGCTTCGCTCCATCTCACAGCTTTGGCCAAAACGCTGCCATACGGAGGAATCCGTGTCGATGATGCGTCCATGACATTGGCTGGTTAAGCACACTTGCCCTCCCGCCGACGTACGTCTTCTTAAACAGCTCATCGGCGTCTTTTCTTATTTTCTTCTCCTTTCTGTAGTCCCCTTTTGTCTGTAGTTTCGCGTATTTCAAGTCAACTGTGTGCCTGAGATTCGGGTGCTGTCTGAAGGCTTTGTGACGATGGCCCCAGGCATTGCCGCAAACGACGCCAATGTCGAAAATGGCCACCACCTGACGAGCCACAGCAATGGGACCAGCATCTGGCAGCCTGTGTCTCTTCCCCAGGACGACGACAACAGCAGCAACCGTCTCCCGCGTGCCCCAATCCATTTGTATTCCACGAGTTTGGACGAAGTTCACGATCTTGTCTGCGTGGGGTTCGGACCCGCGTCACTTGCGATTGCTGTTGCGCTCAACGACCTACTCGATGCGCAGGGTCATGGACGAGATGTCCATGTCAGCCCCAAGGTGCGATTCCTCGAACGACAGAATACGTTCAAATGGCATGCGGGCATGCTGCTACCAGGGGCAAGGATGCAGATTTCTTTCATTAAAGATCTTGCCACGCTTCGGGATCCCTGCAGCTATTTCACCTTTCTCAACTATCTGAAACAGCATAACCGTTTGGTCCAGTTTTCTAACCTGGGGACATTTCTGCCTTCCCGTCTGGAATTTGACGACTATCTCCAATGGGCTGCGTCACACTTCGATGATGTCGTCGAATACGGACAAGATGTCGAATCCATCCATCCGCGAAGACTTGCCGGCACAGACAAATACGACTGTTTCGAAGTGGTCGCTCGTAACCTCTCAACCGGACGCCCTAGCACATTCTTCGCTCGAAACGTGGTTATTGCTGCCGGTGGTCGGGCATCGAGACCCCCCCAATTTCCGACGTATCACGACAAGATTCTACACTCATCGGAATACAACACGAGGATCGAGCAGGTGTTGCCGGATAAGGAACGACCATATCGCATAGCAGTGATGGGCGGTGGTCAGAGCGGCGCCGAAGTCTTCAATGATCTAAAGGCTCGGTACCCCAATGCAAGCACCAGGTTGATCTTCCGCGATACCGCCCTGCGCCCCAGCGACGACTCACCGTTCGTGAACGAAGTCTTCAACCCGGAGGCGGTAGACAATTTTTTCGACCAGCCGGACGACTTCCGCAGCGCGACCCTGAAGAAGAACAAGGCCACGAATTATAGCGTTGTCAGACTGGAGCTGATCGAGAAATTATATGATGACCTTTATCTGCAAGGCATCAAACAGCCGGACCGGACAAAGTGGCAACATCAGATACTGTCTTCGAGAGACATCGTCGAAGTCGTTGATGACAAGGCGACTGGGGGCTTGATACTCACCTTGACCAACTTGGAGCCCCTCAGCAATCGATCAACCGAAAAGGTGCCGGTCGACGCCGTCATCCTGGCAACCGGCTATCGCCGTGACGCTCACATCGACATGCTGCGAGACTGCCAGAGCATTAACGCAAATCGGAACGGTCACTGGCAGCCAGGGCGGGACTATGGGTTGAAGTTGGACCCGCATAGCGTGGATGAGGGGATGGGAATATGGTTACAGGGCTGTAACGAAGGCACTCATGGGCTTTCTGATTCACTGTTATCTATCGTGTCGACCAGGGGCGGGGAATTGGTGGATTCCATCTTTAGCAAAGAGTTGAATCTCAATGGACATTAGATGTTAGTTATAGCTGGTACGATGAAGCGACTTTGCCTTTTTTTTCAGCCCTGGGCGGCAGGGGAGGAGCATGGTCTCTGTCTCAACCCCCCCTTCCCACGATCGAGGTCTGCGCATCTGCATGGGTTCCATGTACGGATGCTCCGGGCAATAGCATCCCACCATTCAGAACCGATGTAATCGCAGGTGCCGCAGATGCACTCAGCGCGACGTGCATACGACATACCTTTTACCGGGCCTTATGGATGCGGAGGTCCAATAAGCGAGTTGGGATAGGGACTCGCCGGAAGAAACGCATTGTCCTTGGGCGCTCCTAGAAGCCACCTCCGCAAAACGTGTGCGAAGGAGAAGCGGAGAAGCCTGTCGCAGCCATGGGTGATACAAGTAGTGGATAGTGGGATTGGTGATGGCAGAGGTGTTGATAGACATGCGACCGGGCGTTCGGGTAAAGGGCCTGGGTATGTAAGGTAGTATAGAGACGTCCTCTCACCTTGGGTCTTGTTTGTTGCTCGACTCGTTCTTCATTACGTCTCTACTCCTACACGACAAGAATATCCGATTGCCTGGCGGGAGATTCCGATGTGCTTGAATCTGACCTTTGGATCCTCTTCGCGCCACCACGAAACTTGTGCCTCGGCATTTGAATTGGCTGGCAGCCGATCATTCCCTTGTTCCACTAGCAACGCAACCGAGAAGCTCTTCCATGCGAGTTTTTGTTCTATCAGACAAGAAAGATTCCTCCTGACCACAGCTCCGCTTTCTTGGTGATCGGAGTATGCAGATATCGGCGCTCAACTGCTAAAGCAACATGAGCCTCAGACACGAGCTCGAGCACCCAAAGAAACGCCGCAGGCGTGAGATTTCACGACGACCATTGTCCGCTCGTTTGGCATTCGATGACAATATCAAGGGCAATGCTGCCTTCGTACCGCAGGAGCTGTGGAATCATCTCGCGGCCGCCGATGATGGTAAGTGTCTGCTCTTTGATAAGACCCGTCTACACAAGCCCATGCTCACGAAGCCGCCGTTCCAGACATTTTCTCTCCCGCGTTCGTAGCCGTCACTCCCTGGTCTCCCTTGCACACCGAGTTGCAGGAGTCAATATGGACGATCCTGCCCGTGCAGCAGAATACCTCACAGCCTGGCCTTGAGTCCACTGAACAATCCGATGTCATCAGACTCGCCCCGACGTCCTTCGCTTGCCAGTCGCTTCTCAAAACTTACGCTGCCATCGATCGCGATCGCCATCCAGGCCATGTTCCCAAGTCGATCGAAGTACGTGTTGTACCAACTAAGCCTCTTAACCTCGATACAATATACGTATCGGTTGAGAAGGATCTACTTCAAAAGGTGGATGACATCCAAGCAAAGTTTGGCGGTGGCTTCCAGTACGGAAAGAACTCGAAAAAGTCCAATATGACAAATGGAATTTTGCAAAATGTGCCTGCACATATGTCTCGTATGACGGCTCTTGTGCGAGAAGCCCTGTCTCAGATACCCATCGTTCACTCCGGGGATGTGTTTGCCTTGCCACTTCCCGCCCACCCAATTACCCATGTCCGGCCGGCGCCTGCCATCGTTGTGGACTGTGAGCCTGTCTCCCAAGGACGAATATCCGAGAAGACCAAGATAGTCTTGATTCAAACCGGGTCGTCCCAAGAGAAGGCTCTGAAGAAACTGGCACCAGTTCAGCCCATCATTGAGGAATCTCTCGAAGATACCGCAGAGGACACCTCAAACGATCAGTTCTTCTCTGCTGCGGAGGAAGGACAGACAGAAACCGGGTCTGACGTTGGTGATGTATCTGACGAGCACTCTGAAAGCGACGATGCGACACAAGAGAACAGCGATGAGGATTCGGACTCCATGGATGACATGATCTCACTCAGTGCACCAGGACTGCCTCCGCAACAGGCCGGAACATTGTCAGCCATGACAGCTGCGACGCCACGAGCGGGGGGGAAAAGGGCCAGTGGGATGCATACTCCTGGTTCTTTATACTCCAGTTTCACTTCGACTACCGCAAGGGCGGGCAATCGACCAGGAAAAGTCTTCCGGACCGAGGCTTTACTGCGTAAAGTCCCAGTCGATTTGATGCATCCAAAACCTAATCTAGATGAGGACGAAGAGTCCTTTGTTTTCATTGACACGAGCATTTTGGCCAAAATCGGGTGCTTCTCTGGCGATTGGGTGAGGATCGAAGTGGCCAAAAATGTTAGTCTGCATGGCTTTGCGCCTTCGGTCATGAAGTCTCTCAGCGGTCTTGCAGGCGAAGAAGAGTCGGACTGGCGCACGGTCAGGATCTTCGGCATTTCAGGCCTATCAAACCAGCAGCCACGATATGCGGTCGACAAAAGGGGTGACAGAAGGTCGAGTCTTTCCCAACGAGATCTAACGATGCCTCTGTCACCAGCCATCTACCTCTCGCCGATCTTGCTCGCCAATTTGAGTAATGCGCAGTTTGTGAAAGTAGGGGCTTTGCCATCCCCTTCTAGGACGTCACAACTGCCTCGATCTGGAACTCCCAAATCCCCCCCATTTGCCAAAGAAGTGCAATTCTCAAAGATTGCCGACCCGGTAACGACCAATCCATCCTTACAATCCACACTGTTCTCCTCCCTCAAGCATTATTTAGAATCCAGAAAGCGGAAGTTAAAGAAGGGAGATCTAATCGCCGTACCGGTGGATCAAGAGTTGGGAAAAGTCACCTCCTCCCCGGGATCGGACGAGAAGGAAGGAGACGATGAAACTATCGCAAAGCTTAACGCTCCTAGTCCATCTGGATCTCGTCGCTTCGCATTGGCTTGGTTTTGTGTCGAGTCAATTGAAGTCGAACAGGTTGATGGAGCTCTCAGCCGTGACGACAATGCATGGGGTGGCGTTGCGACGCTTGATAGCTCTCTTGCCCATGTTTCACAGAGCGGCAACAGTCTTCGATCTGTGTCATATTCGACTGATACTTGGAGCCGTTATTGGTTTGGGATACAGAAGCTTAGGCGTGGAGTCATGCATAGAGTCGACCACATTGCCACAGCGGCCGATATTCCATCCTCGGAGAGGCTCCCCTTGGAGAAGAAATTGTCGGGTCTTATGTCGGCTGCTGTGAGCAATCGTGCAGTTAGCCTGGGTCTTCCGCCTCTCGTGATACTTCTTCACTCGACACAACGACAATCAGGCAAATCCTACATTGCCAATTCAGCTTGTTCAGCCACGGGACTGCATACTTTTCCCATCTCTGCGCACGATCTACTTTCAGAGAATGCTTCCACAACTGGTGGTGGTGATGTCAAGACTGAGGCCTTGCTGAGGACGCGCACCGAACGGGCTCTATCTGGAGGGTCCCAACAGACTGCACTATTGATCCAACATATCGATGCTTTGACTGCGGATCGAATGGTGCCCACCCTTCAAGAGATCATATCTTGGTCTCGCGTTCTCATTGCCACGACATCCAAAATTGACGATGTACCTCAAGGCATCCGAAGTCTTTTCTCACATGAGTTCGAGGTCACCGCACCAGACGAAGCTGCAAGAGAGATCATTCTACGAAATACCTGTGTCGCTGTCTCTACGCCTCTGTCGAGTACTGTCAATCTCAAAACTGTCGCTCTGCAAACCGCTGCACTCGTCGCCGGCGACCTTGTTGACGTCGTCAATCGTGCTTCACTTGCGCGACTATCCCGACTTCTATCGCTTGCAGAAACTCAGTCCTGCGGTCTCTCGGATATCTACATCGCGGGGGGTGATGCTGCTGCATATCTTCTCTCTGTTGACTTTGGCAGTGCCATTGCTGCCGCTCGATCGACCTTCTCCGACGCAATTGGTGCACCCAAGATCCCGACAGTCACGTGGGCCGATGTTGGTGGACTATCTTCGCAGAAAGATGCCATCATGGAGACAATTTCTCTCCCCCTTACACATCCAGAACTGTTTGCAAATGGCATTCGGAAACGATCTGGAATATTATTCTACGGTCCTCCTGGAACTGGAAAGACCTTACTTGCCAAGGCGATCGCCACAGAATTCAGTCTCAACTTCTTTAGCGTCAAAGGACCTGAGCTGCTGAACATGTACATTGGTGAGTCTGAAGCAAATGTGCGTCGAGTCTTTCAGCGTGCCAGAGATGCGCGCCCCTGTGTCGTCTTCTTTGACGAACTTGACTCAGTGGCTCCCAAACGTGGAAACCAAGGCGATAGCGGTGGGGTCATGGACCGCATTGTGTCCCAACTCCTTGCCGAGCTGGATGGGATGTCAAGTGGTGGCGGTGGAGACGATGAAGACGGCAAGACATCGTCAAACGCAGGAGGTGTCTTCGTCGTCGGTGCTACCAACAGACCTGATCTTCTCGATCCAGCTTTACTTCGACCTGGCCGATTCGACAAGATGCTGTACCTCGGAGTGGCGGACTCACATGATCAACAACTAACCATACTCAAAGCACTGACGCGCAAGTTTACTCTCGCCCCAGATGTGGACCTCTTGCGTGTTGCCAAACGCCTACCGTTTACATACACCGGTGCTGATCTGTATGCATTATGCAGCGACGCCATGCTCAAAGCCATCACACGGAAGACGCACGCTGTCGATGAAAAGGTTCAACAGATCAGCAAAGCGCGCGGAGAGCCCATCAGTACAGGCTACTTCTTTGACCATCTGGCCACGTCCGAGGACGTGCAGGTTGTTGTGGCCGAGGAGGACTTCACTGCTGCGCAGAACGAGCTCGTTGGCAGTGTGAGCAAGAAAGAATTGGAGCATTTTGAACGGATTCGTGGGTTGTTTGAGGAGCAAGACATTACCGTTGGCACCAAAGGTGGGAACGAGACCAACGGCGTTCCTACAGGGGCCAAAAAGGCAGAAGAAGCGAAATTACCTTTGCGGTCGGCTCAACGTCCATCTACCACGGCCCCGGCTAGAGAGGGTCAGTCTCAAGATTTTGGACAGGATGTGCAGCAGACACTACCAAGCAAGGGGAAGGGAAAGCAAAAACCGAATGCGACGTCGAACATCATCATCCCTCCTGCAAACACGAACACTTACAAGCACGCCACGAGAATTGGCAATCCTGATTCTCGCAATTCTTCCGATGCAGATGATGATTATGGAGTGAGCATGGCTCATCTGAATGGATCAACTGTCAATGGTAACAGTTGTGGTGATATCAAAGGCAAGGGAAAGAGTAGAGGGGATGAAAACCTGACACCCACGAGCATCCCGGACGGATTTCACAACGACGTGGAAGGTGACGACGAGGGTTTATATGACGAGTAAAAGTTATGTGATGCAAAGACATGACCATTATCGAGTTTATGTGGAGCGATGATGCCGCGCATTAAGCTTCGCCTTTCACCCTGCACTGGGATCCTTTTGCAATCCGAGACTGTTCGATAGGCTGAGTGGGAGAAAAAGAGAGAACTACAAGTCGAGTCTGGGTATATGTGTGGGGGTGCTGTTATCGTGCTGTCTGTGCAAAACAAAGGAGGGAAAAGTTCTGAGAACCCTAGCTAGTACACGTCAATTCATTCGAATTTACTTGAACAGAACTCAATTCCGGAGACCGGCCATCTATACTGTTCTTGTCATGTTGTTGTCTCACCATGGTGTACGTTGTACATACAAGCGGACAGGACTACTCGTACTAGATTGACAGTTTCTCTGAAGTTTAACTCTCCGCAGACGAGACTCACTACCGAGACCTCATCCCCCTGCCGTCGGGCCAGTTGGTCCGTGCTGCTGTCGGGGTCGGGCATATTACATACGTTCTTCGAATCAGAGACACGACGCACACTTTCAACCCCGTTTGGGGCCAACGAAGAACCCTAGCTTGTCCAGAGAGACCGATGTGTGTGTGTGTGTGTGACTTTGCATCTTCTTGTATTTCCGGTTCACAGTTTGACAGTCTCGCCGCCATGATTTCGCTTAACGAGACCGGGACCCAAACTCTTTTCAGGTATGTCCTGCCGGTGCCCGGATACTCCGTGTGTGTGTGTGCGTGTGCTCGTACGATCGGTCGGTCCCTCGGTAGTCGGTGGCCTGTAGGTGGTCGAACGGAGACTGAGTTTGCCCAGGGTGCAGGTGCAGACTACGAGGAGTAACGCACTGGACAGATTGACTCTATGTACCCCGAGAGGGTCCTGAGCATTGTGACGGTGACAGAGTCCAGAAAACGCCCGAGGCTAGGTCTGGTAGCGGCCCAAGGGCCGTAGTACACTATAGTAAGTCATGGTATAGTACCAAAAGGTGGACCGAATACTTTTGTTTGTTGCATCGACACGAAGAACAAATCGGCATCCCAGTTTCCTCCTCTTGACATTCTCTAGGTTAGAAAACGGCGAGGTCGTCTCCGCCCCCCTTTCTTGTCTTGAACAGCTGGGCTGCCTGCGGTAAGGGGCCCAATGAAACTCTGATATCAAATGTGTAGATAGTATATTCAGTCTACCTACCTGGCAGTGTCGTCCCTACCATCATCCATCGCCGATTACATACCTATATACCAAGCAAGTCATGATCATAAGCTCAGATCATATCTAATATGCCATACTACCTAGTTAGAACATATCAGATAAAAGAAAGAAAAACAAGGCCAAAATGGACTTCATCATGGCCAGCAGAAAAGAATAACCCCGAGGACAAACCCAGTCCAGCCCGGTCCAGCCTAATCTTCCTTCTAACATGCCGGACTTAGAATTAATAACGCCTTCATCTGTTGCATGAATTGCTGTTTTCTTCGTTTCTCCCGCTTTTGTTGAGTTAGAGGAAAAGCCGCCCAACCCCCGAAAATATCAAACATGTATTAAAAAGCCGTATGCTTCATTTCCAACCACTCTAAAGCTGTACGAATTCTTTTGGTCCCTCATGAAATAAACTGGATGCGAAAAGAGGTCCTGTCCTGCAGTCGTGACTCGTCTCGGCAAAGGAAAAGTAGAAATACAGGGAATAATGATGAGTAAAAAAACGGCACAGGTTTTGGTTGTGCGCAAGCTCGTATTCTCTCCCGCAAGAGAGCCATTAATGCGATTAAAGTGAGTTCGTAGGCAGTTCAAGGAGGGGGCCTCCTGTAGGTAAAAATGTGATGGCAAAGAGTGCAATGTGACAAGTTTTTGGCCACCCATTGGTCTGTCTGTCCGTCCGTCGTAACCATGGGTATCATCGAGCATATCCATATGGGTATTCTAAGGTCGTAGCTCGTACAAAGAAGGTAATGTTGCGTGTAGATAGTAGGAGGGATATTTCGGGGATGTAGAATTGACCCATATAACAAGGGAAAACCGTGTCCATAGTCACACTGAAGCCGGTCCAGATTGTTGATCGCCTGGTGACTGCACGGCTAGTCGTTCGAGATTCGGGCTCTGCTCTTGTTTTATGTCGCGTGCTAAAGCAGCCACGGCCTGAGCTCGCTCAGTGGACCTGTGCAAAAGTCTGTCGGATGGACTTTGAGCGGCCTCTGTGCTCCTCTCACCCGCAGACTCTTCTGGTGATGCCCTGGAGAATGCAGGGCGGGAAGAAGGGTGCTCGTCGACATCTCCCCTGAGCCTCGGCCTTCGCTTGCCACTAGAACTCCCTTCGTTTGGTTCAGTACGTTGCACATCCGGGGTTTGTAGAGTTGGGGATGTTGCCGGGAGTGTGTCTGCGGGCACAGCAGGAGTCTCAGAAGACCTGGGCTTCTTCGCTGGGCGCCTTTTGGGTTCATAGGTCTGACCGACCAAAGCAAGTCTCCTTTCGCGTTCTTCGACCTCTTCCTTCGTAGGACGACCACGCTTCTTGCGTCTTTCTATCCCTTGGTCAGGCGCGTACGGACCGAGAATGGTAAAGCCCTCAGTCGCAGTGGTAGACGCCATGGGTGAATCCGTGGAACGTGGAGGTCGGGGTTTTATGCTACGATGTGTTGGTGGTGGAGGTTCTTGCCCCGACGCTGACCTTCCTTGCATCGCATGAGGATCGAATAGCTGAGGAGCAAAGGTTGGTACAGCAATAGACGGGAAGGAGTGACGTCCGGAGCCACCCAGCATGTCTTCGAATGCTTTGCGACAAGCATTTAGGGAGCGGCCTACGAACGCGTTAGCCCTCACTATCACGAGATGCTTCGGAGAGTTGGCAACATCTTGACGCGACAGGGAAAGCAGAGCAGAATGAACCTTCTCCAAATGCGCGCAGGTCGCCTTCCATCGTACTACATACCTGGTGGCAAAGTAATGTCGTTCCACATAGGCATGAGAGCATTGCTGTTTATGCTGTGTAGCAGAATCGCAGGAACGTCCACTCCAGCGCCCTCGAGAATACTCGTCAACAAAGCCACTTTTTCGGCATTTGACCAGGGACCGTTGAGCAGATTTGACATCGGGAGAGGTGGGAGGGCAGCGCAAAACGGCTGTCTGAGCGAACGGGCGGCATGTGCCTGATTTTAGACGAGTCAGGGCCAGTATATGGCACCGAGGCGTTCGTTCATCTAGGGAGCGAGGGAGCAGTGAATTATACGGTAGACTCGACGTTTTGAGCGAAACGAAAGGCAAAGGGTCAGTCGGATGTTGTCTTCTGGGGGCCTTTTCTGAACGATAGATTGGTCGCTCTCAGCGCAAGAAATGAGAACAAAAATTCCTGGTCCAGCTCGTTCGAGGCGCAGAGGAAGTGATCAGCCGTTTACGACGAGCCACTGGGCACAGGACACTGGCAGATGATCAGGAGGTGCGGATAGGCCAACGTAGGCCGCAGCTGCAAGACATGCAACGGCGCGCTGTGAGTGGCCGGGTCGCGGCCATGAAGGAGGGTTTGGGATCTGAGGGTTGTCTGAGGCAAGGTTCCCGTCCGGAGGCAGCTGCGTGCAGGACGATTTTCTGGGTCATGGGAGATTTCAGTCATGAGCTGTTCGGCGCTCGCAGCTGCAGCATACAAAGCTAGAGCGGGTTGGTGGATGCGGGCGTCGAGGTGGTAGTGGTTGGAATGGAGCTGCACGAGCATGTCAATGGTCAAGATTCTGTCTCCTGCAGCGTCCCAGTGTCTTTCAGGCTTAGCCGGCGAGGTCTTGGTGCTGTTGGTTCATGCTGCGCAGAAATTAAACGGAGCGGGTTGACGATACTTTTTCCAGCAGGCAAGCAGGAGCTCCGTTCCCCTGCAGCACGCCGCAGATTGCGAGAGATTGTTCGGGCGCATGGTTCGCCTGGCGAAAAGAAGATACAGAATGAGCGAGGGCGTCGAGCATGGGCGCCGAGAGGCTCGCGAATCGTTGCAGGAGGGTTATTTTTTGATAGAGGAGAGTGGGTTCGAGGGGGGAGGCTTCTCCCAATAGCGGCGCAACCCGTTGGGGGGGCCCAGGGTCGAATAGGAGGCTGGAAACGCGTGTTTGGGCGTCCCCCGCCGCCGAATCAAAGCCCATAACATGCCCAAGCTTCAGTGCCCCAGCTGTGATCTCTCTCAAGCCTCACCCACCCATGCCTCCATCACCACCTCAATCACCACCGCCTCGACGCGTGCTGGCCAACGGCTTTGCCCAGAGCGCCGGACTCCCTGTTGCACCTCAGCCTTGTCTATACAGAAGACACAACAACATGCATCGACCCAGACATGGCGGCGGGCGGCGGGAGCAAACTGTGTAGCCTGTTCCCAGCTACTCTGCCGTCTCTCTATTAGGGCGCAGTCTCCGGAGGCAAAAGCACGACGGTACCTAGGTAGGTGTCGAGAATGTGCTTTTTTTTGACTTCCGCCTCTTCCTCCTCCGCCATCATATCTCCGCCGAGTGCTGTCTCGCTCAGCAAGACACCCGCAGCTTATATAGACATCCTCGCGCTCTGACCGCTCCTTGCCGTTAGCTTTCGGCTACGCCAAAGCCGCCAGCGCATCCCGATGACGATATCGGGCAGTGATGCAGGACCACGTTGCACCCTACACGAGCTTCGCATCTTTCGAAGACGGGAGCTAAAAGCATGTTCGCCTCACTATAGTCAGCCTTCACACAATTCGACAGATACGCTAACATACTCGCCGGCGGGATTCCGCACCTCTTTACGGTCAGGTGCCCGATGACTCGCAGTCGCTTGTTCTGCTGCACCAGTTACCATGTCGGAGATCTGCTTCGTGAAGGGACGATTGCTACTTGCCACCAGTACCACTCCGACACGTGGCGACAGCTTATGGGTTCACTACAGAAGCTCTTATAGAGCAACCCTTTGCCTTTTTACCTGCCTAAGGTATCCGACGATCCGACTGTCCTGCCGTCAAATTGTGTGTTATAGAAAATGAAGGCGGGACATTGTGACACAAACATGAAACAGCAGCCTTTCAGGCTCGTCACCTGCTTGACATATCCTCGAGAAAGAAAACACTTTGACCTAAGCTGGCCATTGCTATGAGGTTGGGGCATTAAAGGTAGGTGTGGAAAGGTTGAGAGGAGAAAGTCTTTCAGGCAAACTACCGAAACGTGAGAAATGCTTCTTTGATGACTGGAAACCCCAGAAACTGACACCATTTCAGAGATCGAATTAACATGTATAACAGAATCAATCGCATTCGGGCTTCAAAACGTCGGAGGCATATGGAAGACCTGCTTACTGATGCTCTTGCTTCCCAAGTTTGAGTGGCTGAAACACCCAACTGCGACAAGACCTGAACCTGTTACTTCACAGAAACACTGTCACTCACAGTCAAGACAAAATAACTATGCACCATCACCGGTACATGAGCCTCTATCGTCTATGTTTCCGCACGTTTGTAGCATTTTGCTCTCGGAATGTGCCTTTCCCAATGCATGCCTCCTGTTCAAGACAAGTCTACCTAGGGTTGGCCCACAAGCTGTTTTGAGGATCAGTCTGTATCGATACAAGGAGTCTCTGCAGCTGGATAATCTCTCCAGAAACTATCAATAGGTAACAGGTTGATGACTGCGATAGAAGTTGCTTGACCTTGGTCGCTGCCGTGAGTGCCTTGATCACGTGCAACCCCGGCAAAGCTTCCCAAGCAATATAGAGAGTAAACAACTGTTAGAGACATGCCCCAAGTGCTACCACATTTACACTGTCTGGTGACTTTAATCTTGGTGGGAATATTGGTCACATACCAGAGTCCGACATGTCGCAATCTGCGCCTAGTGTACCGTCTGTCGTCGTGAATTCCCAAACCAGCAGGCAGCAAGTCCCACTCAGAGACTACCTCAATGCGCGTGTTGCGCCCTTCTTGAAGAAAGCCATCACTGAAAGTCTGGGCGTTGAGTACGTAGCAGTCTACAGAGGCCATTGCGCCGATGTCAATAGCCTTACTGACCAAACTTCACCGTATAGAGCAGAGTTTCCACTGCAATGGCTGGGAGAATGCCTCATCCATCAATCGATCCTGTATGAGGGGAATCCTGACCGAACAAACATTCGCGAGCGCTTCCAGTACAAATTCGAAGACCCACAACCTCCAGAGCAGTCTGCCCAGGCCCAGGCCCAGCAAGAGCCACCCCAAGCGCCTCCGGAATCTGTGCCAGAGGCAGCTCAGCCGGAGGTGCCTCCTCAAGCGCAATCAGAGGCTACGATGACCGAGGACGTTCCCATCGCCGGACAGGAGGCTTCAACCGTATCGGAAGTACCCACGGAACCTACGATCTCAACAGCGGAGGCTCCTGTCGTGAATGGAACCTCAGGGCTAGACACTGCGACCCCAGGAGACCCAAAAGATGATGATACAGAGATGGGAGGAACATCATGAGAACGAGGAACGCATTGTTTTTACGGGCATATAGCGACGGCGTTTGGCTTTTAGGAAAAGGGACTGGACACAAAAAATCCACAACATCGATACCCCTGGGTGGCTGGAAGGATTCCCACTACGGTTCTGGAACTGCTATTGGAATGAAGCTCAGAAGATGCCCGAACTACAGGTAGACTCAAGAACCAAACCTCGTGGCTTGACTTGCACGAGGCATGCGAAAGGAAAGCTGATTTCCGGAAGTGTCATAGCTCTACGAAGTAAGGCAACAAACCAAAATCAAAATTCAATGGGATATTATAGTCAGTCAAACCGGCCTATGTCGTGCAAAAGTTAGCATACATCTCGGTGCAGACACTCGGAACTTTGCAGCAGCTTGAGGCAGGTATAACCAAATCAGAAGTCCATTTAGATCATCGAAGAAGACCAATTTTGCAACCGGTCTCTTCTGACATAAGAGGTACCAGAAATATTGAATATTTTGTGTTGTTTGTCATCATGGAAAGAAAAGTGCATGAGGGAATTGGAGAGTGTACATGGACAAAGCAAAAGGTACGTACCCGGATCAACCCTGGGAAGGCGTTGGCATGGACGCAAGTCGTGGAGAGCGGACGGTGAAAGTGCCAGTGTAAATGTAGCATGTTAAAGCTGGAGAAACCCGACATGGCCCAACTCCATTTTCGTGCTCACTGTGAAGATGCTGCGCTGTGCAAAAGAAAGCAGAAGAGATTAAATAAATCCTTGTCTGGAGGGAGAACTCAGGCTTAATTTTATTAGAGGTAGTTTGTCGAGGCAAGTTTGAAAAAAAGTTCCCGGGTTCGGGCTCTGGGCCGCCAAGACCCACGTTCTTGGCACTCGGCACAAGTCACACCTTTTCTTTTCCAGCAACCCTGCGGAGAATTGATCGCATAACGACGAGGACGAAGGAAGTGATTCTCGACAATCGACAACAGCAGCCATGGGTCGTCTTCACAGCAAAGGAAAGGGTATCAGCGCCTCGGCCATCCCGTACTCGCGATCCGTGCCCACCTGGTTCAAGAGCACCCCCGAGACCGTCGTCGAGAACATCTGCAAACTCGCCAGAAAGGGTGCGACTCCTTCTCAGATTGGTGTTGTCCTGCGAGACAGCCATGGCGTTGCCCAGGTCAAGGTCGTCACCGGTAAGAACCACATCGCCTCGGGTCGCCAGGGAGTGTTTTGGGAATCGCCTTTCGCTGACGATTTTTGACGCACAGGTAACAAGATCCTGAGAATCCTCAAGTCCAACGGTATGCGCAACCCTCAACTCATCCCTACGTGAAAGAGAAGGAAACAAAAGAGGGTCCGAACAAGGCAATCAAAATGAGCATCAATACCGAATGACGGTCAAACTTTTTTTTTGGCTTGAGAGAAATTGGGAAAAATGGACATTCCTACATTCTTTCTCCGCCATCATGTGGAAAAAAGAATTGGCACACCAGAGCCTCTGAATTTTGGTCCATGAGACTGACAGAGTGACAAAATAGGTCTTGCCCCCGAAGTCCCAGAAGACCTGTACATGTTGATCAAGAAGGTATGTTACAACAAAGCCCAATGCATATCCAGCGTCCGGTCGGTTATACGATGATTGACATTTTTGTGTTCACTAGGCTGTCGCCGTCCGCAAGCACCTCGAGCGCAACCGCAAGGACAAGGACTCCAAGTTCCGCCTCATTCTCATCGAATCCAGAATCCACCGTCTGAGCAGATACTACAAGACCGTCGGTGTCCTGCAACCCAACTGGAAGTACGAGAGCGCCACCGCAAGCACCCTGGTCGCATAGACGTTGTGCCGTTCCAAGTCATTACGGGTTAAAAATGTGTCGGCATGAGCCGTGCGTCGACCAGGCTACGCATTTTCAGGGAGCGTGAGGACTGGGGAGGTACTGAAGATGGGGCTGTTCTCATGCATCCAGACTACGCAGACCCCGTCGTGGGCAATCAGCCGTATCCGGAGCGTTTCATGGTCAATTGGCTCAAAAAGATCAATAGATGAGGCAGCTTATGCTCAATGTTATGATATGCATGCCACCCAGGCGACTTTTTCTTTCTTTCTTGTTTCCTTCCACAGAGGTCATTGACTTCAACGGCAATCAAGTACTACAAGAACTCTAGTTTGCGTGATTGATCTTCGTTGTCCTGTCCCTTTGTGCCATCACACCAAATGAATAGAGTACAAAGCAAAAACAGTCATGAATTGCCTGGCATCCAGTTACCAGCCATGTTCGTATCGACCAACTCGATCGACTATCGCCCATTCTACCTATCCCAATGCTATGATGGTTTGTCTGCCACACATAGATACCCAATCTCATAGGCCTCACCAATGTCGCGATTGATCGATCGGATGTGCTAATGACTCGACATATCCTGGATCCAGCAATATCAAAGCTTAAACATATTTCCTGAACCCGCTTTCATGATGCACCTCGGTAGTGAGGTGTACAATTTTGACCTCCTGCATGCTGAAATGCGCACCGACCCAGTGGGTATCTCGTATAGAAACCAAGATGAACGCCCTAAGATAATAATGCCGCTGAAGAAAATCGGGTTTGTCTAGCCCACCAACCCCCTTGTAGATGCCTTCAACCACCTCGACTTGTGCCGCCAGACTGTTGCAAAGCAGCGACTTGCTTGCGGAGCTCAAGCCAGAAGTCCTTACCGCCAACCATGGCTCCCGCTTCGGGCAGTTCGTCAGTCGCACCAAACTAATATGAACAAGCACATCTGTACTTACGTTTCGCACCCCATGGGCTTTCCGGTTTCGTAGCTGGTGTCTTGGCCTCTGGTTTGTACAAGGGCGCCCTTGCGTCGTAGCCCTGCTTAAGCATCGCCTCGACTGCGCCAGAGTTATAGCCAGTCATCGGGACGTGGTCGTCGCTCGGGGTACTGGCGGCCGTGTGGGACGAGGAGCCATTCTGCATGCCGTCGGAGCTTCTGTTCAAAGTCGATCCTCCCCCTCTTCCGCCTCTTCTGCCTTGTGTAGCGCCAGGAGTGCCATCTCGAGAGCCGCCAGACGGGCGCTGCTGCTGGTTGGGGCCCCGGGACTCTGGTCCTCTGCGGCCACCTCGATTCCTGAATTTAGTCATAGTGTAAGTACGGCAGTTCAGGGAAAATTGGTTGGATTTTCCGATGCGGAAAGAATGGTGATGATCTGTGGGTAGTGAGGATGAGAAAAATCCTTGACTTACTCTTCAATGGCACTCATCTGTGAAATGTACGTGGCAGAATGGGAAGCCAGTCGTACCTGCACAATTCACTGTGACTTGTACTTGTAGCGGAGTCGGCGAGCGCAGGTCGCAGGCCCCGGATGCCAAGACGAGGCCACTTGAACATCAAGCGCTCAACCCTCGATCGGGGAATAGGGTGAGGCCGCCCTATGCTCGCCCTCGGCTCCCGCTTACCGTGGTTGGGGCTCATGATACTGGTTATAGTTGGCCCCTTTCAAAGCCTTCTGCCTCTGAGTACGGAGCACCTCGCAATGGAGGGACAGACCGTTTAAAAGCAGCGACGTCGAGTCTACTACTTTAGGAACAGGATTCTTACACTCGCGAAGAGGAGGTAAACAGATATCTTGCGAAAGGACTCTCTCGCTAATGAGCCCAACAGCCTCTCCGCTCTTCCCTTCTCGTCCATGTCTCCTGATATTTCCTCCCAAGGACTCTTGATCGAATGGTACAGGGCAAGAACGACATTAACGCCTGTGCCTATTGCATTCCTGAGCATGTGAAGTCAGGTTTAGGCGTGAATAACCGTGCGAAAACGAGATTCTGTTTGGAAAGCGTTACAGCCAGGGGGGTGAAGCTCTATTGGATTAGATGCATGATATCGTGCTGTCGGTTATGTCCTATACATCCCTGAGTTACGGCGTGTCTTAGAACCATAGATCTTGATGGATCAGCCTTGGTATAGCGGCCTCCGCAGCGCGTACAGGAATAAAGTCTCCTAACCTATTTGGCCAGTCATCTTCGTCCCATCGGAGGCCTAAGAAAGCAGCGGCATACTCCCAATAGCTAGGATACCAACCAGCAACTTCCCAGTCAATGATTGATAGTCGAAAATCCCTGCCCTGCATCGTACCTTCCGGTGCTGTGTCGACGACGATGTTCTTTGGCTGCACATCTGAATGGCAAAACGTAGGTGAATGATCGTCAAGCGTCGGGGCGAGATGCCTCTCGAAGAATTCCGCCAGATATGGATGTTTTCCATTTAACCTTGAATTCGCTCGCGATCTATTTACCAGGCCAATGACCATCTCGCGCCCATGATTGAGTGGCTCAGTAATTGATGGATCACCCTTTGCATCCCAAAATAAATGATAGGGGATCGGTCCTCGGTGGATATTTCCAAAGAATCCTGATGATGGTAAAGAGTGAAGTGACTCTAAAATATCTCGAAGTCTGTGGAGAACATGGGTTTTGTCCATGCCTCCTAGTATTGGCCACAACTCATTGAGTGGTATGCCTGGTACTCGGTCCATGATAATAAAAAATTCAGAGTTAGTTAGTCCTATCTTCACGCCACATTGCATAGAGCTTCGGGGCAGGGATACTAGGAGCGCATCTCTCAAGAAAAAGCAGATTTTCTCCCTCTAACTGACTTAAGTACTTCCCATACTTTATTGCATACGGGCCGATCACAACCACTTTCTGATCTGCGGAAGGTTCATTTCAGTGAATGATATTTGGGCAATCTCGAATCTGATCTTCGCGAGGTAGAGGAGCAGGCAGGCTCCTAGATTCCTTCTTGAATGGAATTTCAACTTAGCAATCCATCCGAATCGAAATTCGTATTCGTTGCCGAAATGATTTCAAATGAGACCGAGTTTGGGGAGCTCGTCTTGGTAGCGCCTGTAGAGGGCATGCAGATCGAAATCAAACGCATTGCATTGTCCTGGCAATTGCAACAGAGGTTTAGCAGTTATCTTCATGTTGAGGGAGTGCATCAGATGCAGTGAGTTCCAGCGGTTGCCGAACCTGAGGTCAGGCGGAATCGATATGAGTTGCTGCTTTTAGTTTCGCCACAGGAGATCCTGGTGATCACGTGCAAGTCCATCGCGCCAAGCGGAGCGATGCCGATGGGATCGTCGACTCCAACTTTTTTTTTTCTAGAAGGCTTCATTGTTCTGAACATCTCACTTTGCATCCCTGCATCCTTCACGCCGCAATATCCTGGCCGTGATCCGCTGAGTGAGCCAGAGGCAATTCACCATCATCATGTCTGAAAGCGCAGGTACGACCACCAACCCCGATGTATCCTTCTGTGAACTGTTTCTGATTCTCGAATAGCATGGCCGATCGCCGATGGGCAATTGGCGCAACTTACCCTAGACCTGGTCCAGCAGGCTAGTCATTATCGCCAGCTAAAGAAAGGCGCCAACGAAGGTGTGTTCTTGCTCGGAACACCTTGCTGCGAACGAAGACTAATCCCGCTGCTTAACAGCCACCAAGACCCTCAACCGTGGAACTTCGGAGATTCTCATTCTCGCAGCCGATACCTCGCCGCTCGCCATTCTCCTTCATCTGCCCCTACTCGCTGAGGACAAGAACGTCCCATATGTCTACGTACCGAGCAAAGTGGCCCTTGGGCGCGCTTGTGGTGTCAGCAGGGCCGTGATCGCTGCGAGTATCACAACGAACGAGAGCAGCGACCTTATGCCTCAGATCCGAGAGTTGAAGAACAAGGTGGAGAGACTGATGATCTAAGGCGTATCTTACGGCGGTTGATTGGATCCGACATGAGTGCACATGAGCACACAAACCATGTAATGTTTGAGAGCCGGGGTTTCACTGTTTCGGCGTGGCGTGTGACTGGCGTCAAGGCGCTCCCCGGGTAAAATTCTGACGACAGATAGGGGGGCTATTCAGCTGCTTAAAGCAACTGCATTCTCATTCACTCCTCAAAACCGAGCACGTTGATCGCAGAAGACATTCTCCTTGAGCCCTTACCAGGATCTCGGAGTTGTCTTCCTAGCAGAAAATTAGTGGTTAGATACAGCTAGCAAACAAGAATAAAAAACTTGATGCCCAGCATCAGAAGAAGCGTATCAGCCCACGAAGAGAGTCTACACTCAACACAACTAAGTACACTGTCAAGACTTAAAGAGCTTCATGCCTTTAATACAGGCTTCTCGCACCGAGAAATCTCTTCCTTTCATGCTTAGAGTTCTGTACTGAGAGTATTCCCTGGATAGAAATACTTTGACTCTTTATTGTGTTACTACTCTGCTTATTTATGTCTAACAGAAACTTTGGATATTCTTATTGGGTTACTAAAGAATCTCTACATATTCAAGACAGAAGATCCTTCTACCCAAAGAACTGAAGTAAATGACTTGTGCACTGATGAAGGGGCACGAGATGTACAAAAATCAGACAGTGTATACCTGCAGACGTGGTGCATAGCCGCCCCGTGAGGAAAAAGACTCGAGTCTATCACATGTGCATGATATGTCATCGACGGCGCTGCCCGTGAGAATACCTGCACACATCTTTGATTGAATTATATGTCCCTGTCTCGACCTTTGTCGTTCCACGCTCGGTCGTGGCCTTGCCAATTTTAGATCAAAGGCTTTGCTTTTTCTGCTTTCAGACGAGGCAGAATGCCCAGTTTAGCCATCTCAGAATACATCTCGAACAAGACCTCTCTTGTGTCGACGAATCCCGTCCAGCCGAACAGTCTTGCCTTGTTCATGGACAAGCTGCTGATTTTGCGGAATGCAGCGTCACCGAAAGCAAAGTTGGCCACCGGGTCATCAAACGGGTTGGCGGTAAGCTGGCCTCCGGAATTTGCCATCAGTTGTTGCCAGGCCTCTTTGTTGACGGGGTCGGAGGCCCAATCGACCAAAGTGAAACTGCTGCGCCAGAGCAAGGGAGGACCATATCTAACCACAGGTTAACAACAGTAGACTCTAGCAAGACACACGCGCAAACACATGTCGAAGTGATGGACGTACCCTATTGGCGTATCTTTGCCGGATTTGCCCTCGAACACAGCGAACTTTGTGGAATCCTCTTCCGGCGGATGGACGCCCTTCTTGACGTCGAACCAGCGGACGAGCTCCTCGTAGAGACGATCCCATGTTAGGGCGCCGGTATCCTGCGCATTGAATGCCTGGTTGCGGCATTTGTCTTCGAGAACAGCCCATTCGGAGAGATACCCGGTCAACAATGCTGACGAATGGTGTCCTTCGTGTTGCCACACATCCCAATCAGAAGGAAAGTAAAGGGGCTCTCCTTTCTGTCCCTGAACTGCGGCGTAAAATGCGATGGGCAAGAGAGCGTTCATTTGGGCATTATTCACAGCGCCGAGCACCCAGGCCGGTCTGATGACGTTCCATGAAGCATTGTTGGCTTCACAGAATTCAAAAAGCGATCTCTCTTGAGGGTAGTAGAAATTAGGCTCCAAATGGGACAGATACGGGTCGGATTCCACGGCGGGACTTCGAGTACGACCGATATGGACGCCGTAGTGTTTAGCACCTGTCTGCAGGAGAAATCGTTTGGGGGCAATCTTGGCCAGCGATAACGCCCGCAGGAAGTTATCGAGAAGGGCGGTGTTGACCTTGACGAGTTCTTCGGCATTCGACCATACTGGAGCACCGGGTGGAGGTTTAGGTTGCAAGTATGAGTAGAAGAAAACATAATCTGCCCTGACCGATTCCAGAGCCTGCGCAATCTTCGAGGGCTCCTCCAGAAAATCAACGGTTATGTGTTCGACCCGGGATCTCTGCGACTCTGGAAGCAAAGCCATCATGTCCATGGGTGGCGGTCTGCGTGACAATGCGTACACCTTGGACCATCGGTCAGGGCTCTCCAGAAGCACCCTCATCGTATGAAAGCCCGATATCCCATTGGCCCCGGTGACGATTGCGGTCAAGCCTGTGATGGCCGGATCGAAGACTGGCAAGTTGTGGTAGATTCCTCTTTGCTGGACTGGGAAGCGTTCGGACCCCATCGTGTCTTTGGAATTGCTATTCGACTTCGGGAGGCAGTTGAGTGAGCGTGCAATGCGGCTGTAGCCTCAAGCACGCAAATAGGTCGTGAAAGACGATTTATACATGTACAACTGGAGAACTTACATTCTTGATTCCCGAGAATTGGTAAGCGTGGACAAAGGACGGCGGGTCTTCTACCTCAGCGCTTTGGGAGCTCTTCTTCCTCCTCTTCTTCCACGCAATCCGAGGCATGAGCCAGACCCATCGGCACTGAAGGAGTGCTTGCAGCCATTGATGGGTCAGTCTCCTTGGCTGTGACTAACACCAAGCAACGGATGATTGGAATTGCCTGCAATACCGACCCTGTCTCGCTAGCACGGGAGTTCTAGATCGATATTCAAAAGAGAGAGTACTGCGACGGGGGTCGGGAATTAGATAGGAATTTCGGTACCGATGTTATAGGATCTCGGCACTTGGAGAACTTCGGTACCGGACACAACATGGAAATGCCCCTTTCCCGTTCCCTCCAGGCCCAACCACAAAGTCGAGACTAATGACTGACGCCCAGTGAAGATATAGTGCTACTTTGAACTTGTGTCTTCTGAATTATGTCTATTGACCACTGTGACAAGCAAACGGCATTGAAGAAACCCCATGCTTGTCGACTTCCCTAGAACCCTGAATAACTTAGCACGTAGGGATCGGTCAAAACCAAGCAATATCTTAGGAACTCTGTCCGGTCATGTCAGCCATCGATCACTCTGTTGATGCCTCCGGCATATCGCGACATGTCCCACCTTGGAAACAAACAGCGCTCCGAGCCAAAGAAGCCCTATCAAACAGCATTCCAGCCAAATGGAAACTGCCCACGACTTTCGAGACACCAGACGCTGATTTCCAGCGTGCCGCTTTGGATTGTGGTATCCTGACCTCTAGACAAGTGGCCTTGACTCAATTGACAGCGTCTGAATTGTTGTCTATGCTCCATATAGGGGCATTGAGTGCAGCCGAGTTAACGGAGGCATTCTGTGCTCGTGCGGCCATTGCTCAACAACTGGTCAACTGCTTGACCGATTTCTTTCCAGACGAGGCGATCGAATCGGCCAAGGCATTGGATGCGGAGCATTCCGAGACCCAAAAGCTTCGGGGACCTCTGCATGGTCTTCCGGTCGCGGTCAAAGACACTTACGCAGTGAAGGGCAAGAGAACCACCAATGGTTGTGCTGCGTGGTATGACAGCGAGCCGGCAGAGGAGGATGCCGCTCTTGTCCAGGTCATCAAGGATGCAGGGGCAATCATATTTGCCAGGACTACAATGCCCCAGACCGGTATGGCTCTGGAGACAGTGAGTCCTCTATGGGGACGTACACTCAATCCGTACAACTCGAAATTCGGGTCTGGCGGATCCTCTGGCGGCGACGGCGCTCTAGTCGCCATGCATGGGGCTCCCTGTGCGCCGGTGGCTTCTGACATTGGCGGTAGCATTCGTGCTCCCGCAGCTTTCAACGGTCTTTATGGTATGCGCCCAACATCTTATAGGGTCCCTCGGACGGGACTGGTGTCGCAAAGACTGGGGCAAATTTCAATCAACGCGTCGTGTGGTCCCATCTGCCACAGCCTGAGCGACCTGAAGCTTCTTGTCAAGTTGATCGTGACACATCCGACTCTGCCTTACGAGCCGACATGTATTGCAGGGTTCTGGAAGGAGACGTCTCCCAAAACAAAGCTCACCGTTGGCATTCTTGCCACGGACGGCATTGTAGAACCACATCCACCGGTTACTCGCGCTCTCAGAGATGTCGCAGCCAGTCTACAAGCAGCGGGACATCAGATCATAGAGTTCAAAGCGCCGATCGATCTTTGGAAGGCCGCGCTCACCACCTGGACGCTCTATTTCCAAAATGGAGCCAACGAGACCAAGGCGGCTCTAGCGGCGTCAGGCGAGCCTTTGATCGCCCAATTCCGACACTACCTGGATGTGTTCAACGTCCGTGAGCACACGGTGTCGGAGATAAGTGAGTGTCACAGGCAGCAAGCCGCCTACAAGAAGGCCTTTGTCGATGCTTGGAATGCCACGGCCAAGGGAACCGAGACAGGCTTGCCGATGGACTGCATCATTACTCCTTCGGCACCACTGGCTGGATCCCCCCATGACTTTCCGCTCTGGTGGGGTTACACAACGATCTGGAATCTCATAGACTATCCATCGATCATCATGCCGCTGAAATCTTTCAGACTGGATCCAATAAAAGACGCGAAAGACACGGGCTACCACCCTCGTGACAATCCATTCGACAAGCCCAACTGGGAGATCTGTATGTCACATGCCTGAATCAATGAAGGGTCCTGGATGCTAATACAACTTGAACAGATGATCCTGAATTGTGGAAAACCCAGCCCATGACCTTTCAGATTGTTGGGAGGAACGGTAGGGACGAAGAACTCATCAACAGCGCAGAAGTTATCGACAATGTTGTGAACACGGGCCATTCGTCTTGCGACCATACACTCTAGGTGCTTCAGCAGACAGAAAGAAGAGCGATGATGAGATGGGTCGATAGCTGCAATTTCGGGTCGTGCAAGACACGTCCAATGTGATTCTGATAATCGTCGTCGGGTAGGGCACTTCCTGTGAAGGCGTAGCATTAATTCACCGCGTTGAGTTCGAGCTTTCTGAGCTTCCGAGGCATACAGCTCGGTGTAGATTTATAATTTACATAGGCTTCTTGATCGGAGTCATCGCGTAGGTGAGTGGACTAGCTTGTTATCTGCACGATCTCCAAGGAGTAAGAAAGAAGCGATTGTCGTGATCCGTAGTCGGGGCCCATGCTTATCCACTCCTTAGCGATCTTGGCCGAGCCGACGTCCCTGTCAAGTAAGGTACCGGATCGTGATTATCTTAAGGTGATGGCTATGCTCGCGGCGGCTGAGATGTTTGCGACAAAAGTCGAGTTGTAGCCTGCTGATAATGCTCTCAACAACCACCGTTACGTCCCGTAGAAAGAGAACGCCCAATGAACTCGGCACCGGACGATCATGACGGAGGCAGGCATGCGCCGCCCGGAAATCTACTACACAGCGAACGTGGTACTCTGCGACGGCGCTTGAACACCTCTTGCTGGACTTGTCGAAAGCGCAAAGTTCGGTGCGACGCCACCGAGACCCTAGGCTGTACCTCGTGCAGGCGAGCAGGAATTGATTGCAGGTAAATGGTCTTCACGTGTTTCTCCAGAGAAGTATCAGAACTGAAATGGATGTATCAGAGCCCATCCGAATCAACTCAGGTCTCCCAAGGCCCGCCGACGCCGCGGAGGGCGAGAAGACAGCACTCCTCAGGCCACTGCTCACCCTGCTCGGCCCGACGACACGGTATGCGATGCATCAGCGGACATTCCAGCCTCTTCTCTTGATGTTTCTCCAAACCTGGATAGTGGGAATCTATCGCGGTTCTTTGAGGCCGGTGTCATTTCTTCCAAGTGGGACGGATTCGAGGAGAAGGGCACCTTTCGAGACGTCTACATTGGGACCGATGTCGCTAATTTACATCATCTCGTGCGAGATCATGAACTTCCTGGAAGTGGGTGCCTGTTCTATCCCTTCCCGGCGATTCGGGATGAACTGTCTTGGAAACCAGCTCCTGGTCCCTCGATCCAACACTACCTACCAGCAGAGGCTGTGAACGATCTGAGCAGTTTCCCTGTCCGCCCCGTCCGAGATGCTCTGGTGGACACATACTTCGAGAACATCCACCCAGGATTCCCGGTCGTGGACGAAGCCAGCTTTCGCCAAAGATATAAAGACCCTGACAATCCACCTGCACTCATAGTCTTTCAAGCGATGCTTCTTGCTGCCGCTCGCATCACCGATCATCCTCAAGTTGCCGCATCCCGTGAATTGACGACAGCGGTCCTCTTTAAGCGGGCAAAGACGCTGTTCGATCTCAGACATGAGCACGACCGCGTCGATCTGATCCAGGCGGCGCTCTTGATGGCATGGTACACGGACAGTTCTGACACAGTGGCCTCCAACGCGTACTATTGGGTCGGTAGCGCGGTGCGCATAGCTTTTGGCATGGGCCTGCATCGAACCGCCTCGCTTCGATACGTACCGGTGAACAGGCGACGATTCGACAGGAAATACAAAAAGATATGGTGGACTCTGTTGTATAGTGAAGTCATGTTGGCTTTGGAGTATGGCAGGCCCAGCCTGATTCGTATCGACGATTTTGACGTGGGCGTTTTGGAGGACGACGACTTCAAGAACATGGATGACTCAGAGGATCTTGCGGTCAATGGTCGTTTCTGTTCCATCCTTGGTGACATCTCCATGGTGGCTTTGGACATCCTCAGTCTTCGAGCGCCGCGAGGCAGACCCGGCGACCTGACCACGACGGCAATCGAACGTCGATTAGCAGCGGTGGCTATGCGCATACTTCCAACCCATGACGCGTGGTCTTGCCAACTCCGCCTCATCTATAACTTGGTCGCATTGACATTCTATCGAACCAGCGACGACGGGGGTGCGGCCAAGCTCTGCTCCGAAGCAGCGTCCAACATTCTCACCACATTCGAAGCCATGGTGGTGCACGGTACCATTCGCCAGTGCCATCTGAGCACCACCACGGCGCTGACGGCGGCGGCTATCCAGTTCGCCAGGGAGGCCCGTTCGGCGGCTGCGGCAGGCTCGATCGTAAAGGCCGTCTCGGCGCACGGGCAGCTGGAAAGACTCCTGGGTCCTGCAGAGGCGCTATCCCCATACTTTCCGCATATCAAGGCCGTGCGTAAACTGTGCAAGAGCCTGAGTGCGCGTGCCGAGGTCCTCATCACAGAAGCACAGGAACCGAATTCTTCGTTGTCAAATTCTCAGATCCCACCCGAAGCTAGTATTGACTGGGAAGGGATCATGACAAACTACCGTATGCCGGATCTCGGATTTGGTTTGGGTCTCGATGGCGAAGAGTGGTTGAATGACTTCTCGTGGGCAAATGCCGAACAATCTCACCGCGCCACAGGTTGATAACGATGGTTCTACGTCGAAATCTACGCAAATCACTTCTCGAAAGCACAATGCGGGCTTTGTTCTGTTCCCTCTGGATCAGAAGCACTTCAGAGATATCCGGTTAATGTAGATGAAGGTGTTCGGATGCTAACAAGCAAGTCTAAGCCTGATGGCGAAACGTAACTTATGCCCGGATGTTTTGGAGCCGACCCATATATCCCCATTACGCGCTCTTCTTTCGGTCTTCCACAGAATTTCAAGATCATTTGAGCTTTCGAAAACGAAACGGCCACCTATTTTCACTCCACGTCCCTCTGCTCATGTCTCCTTCCCGTGCGATATACAAATACTCTCACTTCAATGCTGAGCGCCCGCGTGATAAGCCTCGACGAGTTTCCAATAGTCAGCCGCACTTCGAGCCCGAAGTCTCTTTCCGAACCAAATCATGAAGAGGAACACTGATGAGGCAGCCATCCCAACGAATGCTGTAGAGATGAAGCAGTTGCGAATTCCGAGATTGTTCACCCAGGGAGTGATGCTAGCACGGGTCAGTAGCCGCAGATGTCTCAATCAGAGGCGGACCTTGAAAAGGGTTCGGTGACTCACCCATAACTAACCGCAAAGGACATGGTGTTGCGGACAAGAATCACAGTGACGAGAGCATCCGTGCTAATGTCGTGGTAGCTGTCGATCAGATAGTTGACACTCAACGACACACCCATGGTTGTAGTCATGGCCAGCATGCCCATGGCAAAAATAAGCCCGACCCAAGAGATCGAATAAGCTGCCCCCACACCCCAAAGAATCGACGCACTGGGAATCACGACAACACAGATGACAAACGGCCACAGGCGATGCTCAGCCTCCATAAAGCCACCATTTCGCCTCGCAAGCCTAATTGTTAACCAGTCGCTCAGTCTCCCTGAGATCAAACTTCCAACAATCACGCCGACACAGCATGAAAGGTAGCTGAGCCCGACCATCGATGATGAAAAGTTGTAGGTCAGCCCGGATAGAATGACTGATGCGGTGGCATTGGTTATATTGAACCATATCAAACCTGACCCGTAAGAGAACCCCGCATAGAAGATGACCGGCCAGGAGAGGTATTTGAGACTTCGCAGAGCTCGTTGAAACATGGTCGGACCTGTCGTCGGGCTCCACACGGATAGTTTCTGGACGAAGGATTTCTCGTCGTTGAGTATTTCACCTTCCTGTGTTCTTGACTGGGTTAGTGGTGCATCAGCAAACGTTGGGTTCTTGTCTGAATTCTGTTCGATTACAGCACTCTCGCCGTGCGACGGTCCGTTATCCTCGACAATTCCGACTGTCTTACGTGTATAGTTTGTCTCCTCTTGGAAGAGGAACAGGAAGATGAATGCTGCCCCGTTGAATATGGATGCCCAATAGAACACCCAGGCCCAACTCTGTTGGTCGGCGATGAAGCCACATATCACAGGAGTGAAGTAGTTGCTGCCTGCGAGACTGAAGGCATACACACCCATCCAGGTACCGCGTTGATGGGTAAAATACTGTGCATAGCGTCAGTTTCAACCGTGACACTCTTCGTGCAGTTCGGCCGCCTGGCAGTCGGGACCTACTATATCCGTTACGGAGATCTCTGGTAGTGCTTCGATGGGCGCAATGAAGAATCCCATAACGATGCATCTTGCAATCCATTCTCCGTTACTGCGGACATATGGGCTTCATAAGTGTCAGTTTAGAAGATCTGATCTATGCTTTAACTAAGACAATGAGGTCTTACCTCCACATGCTGGTCGCCTGTATGACTGTTAGTTACCCCTGTAGACAAGACAGAGAAACCAACTCACGATGGCACCCAGAACCGAGATGAGAAAAGTTAGACGCTTGCCATAGCGGAGCGCAAACGGCTGCCAGAACAAGAGCCCCCAGCTGTGACAAGTATATCAGTATAACACTGCAGAGAGAGCCCTGCCGGTACAAGTAGACAAACCCCAGAAACAAGAACATGTAACCAGTCCCCTGATTCAATGTCGTGACGGAGATCCCGGTGGCTTGGGAAATGGGGACGAGAACCGAATATACCGTGGAGACAGCAACTCCGGTACACCAGGTGTACCTGCCGAGCAGAGTCAGTCGAGTGTCTATCATTGAGTACACAGCCACATGCTCACAGATTCGCACAAATAGTAGAGAGTATCTTTCTTCTCGGACTCCAGTTCAGGGGATCATTTGGATCCTGTGAAGGCGTGGGATCGAGAACAATATCCCCCCCGTCGGCATGCTGAGTGTGAAGGGTGTGATGCAAATCAACAAGATGAAGCGTTCCAGGAATCTTTCTTGGCAGTCCATCTATCTCAACAACGGTCGAAGCCATCTGGCCGGGGAGAGTTGAGATATAGATATCTGACTATGGTAGGTGGCCGTGTACTTGCCATTAACGGGCGCAAGAAGGGCTTTATATAGTCTCTGCGTCTCTGCGCCATGTCTAGCTCTCTTTATCAATTGGCTTCGACGAGGCAGAAAGTGTCGGGGTTACATGGGGCAGCTTAACACGAGGTCACCGTCCTTGGGGTTTCGAAACATCAGTGGTCTACCGATAAGAGAGGAACATCTGAGATGGGTACTCCCCGGACCATGGGATCGAGATAACGACGTTCGTGGAGAATTAGAGTACCGAGCCGAAATTCTTCCTCAGTGCCGAAACGAACACAACCTTTTCACACGGCACTTGTCGAGATCAACCACTTACTGAAAGATGGGTCCACACCACGAGTACCGAGCACGTACTGGACACCGGCTAATAATAGAGGCTAGGTATGTGCAGATAGGAACTCACAGCCTATGTTCACTTCCGAAGATAAACGGTCTCCCAGCTTCGCGCCGAGACTGAGAAAATGAGGAGCGGCATCGTCTTGTTTCCCGAAAATAGAGAAGATTCTGCTTCAACCTTTCTATTCTGTCAGTGATATTTCATAATGACATTCACCGGCAAGAGAGGGTGGTTCGTGGACGTGCGTATGACTCCGCAGCGGTGATGTTCGCATGAGGCAGTCCCTTCGCAAGTGCCCAGCCGTGACACAACCGCGCAATCCAATTCTAGAGGATCCGAGCAATAGGTGAATAGGTGACATAACAGTGGCCGACTTCCGATCCCATTTCAGAAGGCCGAGGACGACGACGAGGCTGCACGCGGCGATGATTGACCCGGCTCACACGTGCCTGGGGCGAGCAAGGGCGGCATCACGTTATTCCCGACTGGGCGATTAGGACTTGGCGGGCGGCAACGTCCTGCGTGAGCGTGCTTGTGCTGCCAAGCCTTGAGTCGCGCTTGCCTTTCCGAGTTTGGCGATGCATCTTGAAAGGACGTCGACCGAAGACGTCTCGAAAGAACAGCCTCGCCACCACCCAGACAATAGTTCTAATTGCATCGTATGAGCCGGTTATGACTGCCTGGTGACCTGCTTTTTGATGACACCCGACTAAATGGAATCATTTTCGCGGGAACCCGATCCTGACCTCACCTGCGTCTCCTAGTCGAGGGGTTCAACATTCGTATCGCGTCCGCCTTCAGCGCAACTTGGACACGATGGCGCCGCTGAGAAGTGGCCAGGCACGGAGTCGGCCCCGAAGAGATACCACAAAGGCCCCGAGTGTATTCGACGAATCAGATCGCGATGAGTACGCCGATTTTCAAGACGAGGAGCCTCCTACCAAGCGCATGCGAACATCTCGAAGGTCTCAAACAACACCAAAATGGGTTCCTGGTGGACGGGGCGGAGGAGGAAGACATATAGATAATGAGAACACTCCCTCCAATCCAAGAATGTCACGCGCCAATGACGAGTACACGGTTCCCCGAACGCGTCCCAGATCGAGTCGAGATCGAAGAAAAACAACGGCCTCGACCCCTCGGTTCTCAGCAAGAAGTAGGAACCGCGGTGGCACTCGCCCTCGGTATAGTACGGCTGCAGCAGCATCTGCCGCTGTGGCGCATGGGGATGGTTACAAACCTCGGGAAGAGCGGGGCTGGGAAGAGTTCCATTCAGACTTAGAACTCGATAAGGACTTCGCGGTCATTGTTTCTGATGAGATTGATGGGGTCTCAGCTTCGGCAACTAACGAGGGACATATCGTTGGCTCAACATCAGAAGCAGGCGAGACGCTGAATGTCGGCTATCAGACCCCCTCTAAACGAAGGCCGGGCAGACCACATCGCACACAAAACTCTATGGTACATGCGCTGCTGACGCCAGAAGCTCCAAAGTTTGTGCCAATGCCCGGACCAAATCCTCGAGAACGACTTACACTACCCAGACCCTCCTACAGAGAGCTCGATCCCTTCTTGTCCTATGAACAGAAAGACATTGCACAGGTGGACTTTGTTGACAAATCAATGGCCAACGTCGGTTATCAAGAGAGTGAGGTATTCCTACGACCAGAGCGCACACTCATTAGGCAAATGGAAGGATCTGCTGAAGAAGACCTCGACCTGACGCCTGATCTCATCACCAACGGAGAAAACTCAGCTATAGGGAGCACAGGAGTTGGCCGCGTGGAGTATGACATGGACGAGCAGGATGTGAAATGGCTTGAAGCTTTCAACAAGGGCAGAACAAAAGATGGGGTCCAAACCATCAAGCCTGCGATTTTTGAGATAACCATGACCAAGATTGAGAAAGAATGGCATGCACTCGAGAAAAGAATACCCAAGCCAAACCCGAAAGCACCGCAGACTCAACGGCCGCGGTCTAGCAGTGCTGCCGCCGTCAAAGGCGAACCCTCAGGAGAGGAGCCCGACAGCAAGTGCGCGATATGCGATGACGGTGATTGCGAAAATGCCAATGCAATCGTTTTTTGCGATGGCTGCGACCTTGCTGTTCACCAGGAGTGCTACGGTGTTCCGTACATTCCAGAAGGTCAATGGTTATGCAGGAAATGCCAGCTCGTGGGGAACTCACGTCCAAGCTGCATTTTCTGTCCGAATGAAGGAGGTGCTTTCAAACAGACCAACAACTCCAAATGGGCGCATCTTTTCTGCGCAACCTGGATACCGGAGGTCACCATTGGTAATCCATCACTGATGGAGCCCATAACGGATGTTGAAAAGGTTCCGCCCAGCAGATGGAAGCTCTTATGCTATATTTGCAAGCAAGAAATGGGCGCATGCATTCAATGTAGTGATGGCCGGTGCTATGAGCCCTTTCATTTGACATGTGCGCGTCAAGCAGGCCTCTACTTGCGGATGAAGACAGGGGGTGGGCAAAATACACTCATGGATTCATCACTGTTGCGAGCATTCTGTCACAAGCATTCGCCTGCAGACTGGAAACACGAGCACAACACGGATAAAGCCTTTGAAGAAGCGCAGAAGTACTTCAAGGACCACTTCCGTGGTCAGATATGGGCAGACAGTCGAGCTTCAGCCCTGGCAATCAACGATGTGCATGATACGCCTAGTACCGACAAAGGCCCCTTGAGAGTAACCCTGACGAACAGAAAAGGCCAAAAGCAGAAAACCATCTGGCGCCTTCCATCAGGTGCGCCTGTCATTCCCGAGGTCATCCTTAAGTCTATCGAAGAATCTCTTGTTAGGTTCACTGTTCAAAGAAAGAAGGAGTATGTCTCGGAGATCTGCAAGTATTGGACCCTGAAACGCGAAGCACGCAGAGGTGCGGCCTTACTAAAGCGCTTACAACTGCAAATGGATACCTTCAGCTCTTTCGAAGTAACTCGCCGCGATTACAAGGCTCAAGGTGCGGCAGGAAGAGCAAGGTTAGACCGTCGCATCGACTTTGCACAAATGCTTGCCACCGACATGACCAAAATCGTTGAAATCTGCGACTGGATCAAGCAGAGGGAAGCTCTGAAACTACAGGAAGCTGCCTTGATGAAAGATATCGTGGATACTGTCTACTTTCCAGTACCACATCTGCTGGAACCAATTGTCGATAAAGCTCTCAAGTAAGTTACCATCACAATCCCGAGAAGACGATGTGCTGACTTTGTGTGCAGGCTCGACCGGGGTTTGTTCCGAAACGAGTTACTAGAACTACGTGCTCGGGTGTGCAGACGGGAACACACTTCTGTAGCAGCTTTCTCCCATGATGTTCTACAGGTTATCAACTCAAAATTTGGCAACAGTGCCGCAACGATAACGGAACTTATTACTCTCGTTAGTGGCAGGGCAGAAGATATGGAGTATGAAGCTCGTGAACGGCGAACACTGGCACGGCGTATCGTCAAGGGCATCGAGCCAATGATCGAAGATGCTGCCAGGAAAGAGGCTGAGTTGAACGGGCGACCCTATGCGCAGCAGATACGTGAAATGGATGAAGCACTTCTTTCCAGGCGTGATTCGCTAGCGGTCTCGATGGACATTGCCATTCTCGAGTCGGTAGAGACCAAGCACGCCACAGGCATCGCAAGTCCGGATGACGGTGATGTAATCATGGAGGATGCAACAACACAAGTGATTGACAGCACACCAACGCTTGACTCTGCGGAGATGAACAACCATTTGGAACACTCTTCAGAGCCCCTAAAGACAGAAGCTCTCCAGCTACAGACAGCAGCCTCAGTGGAGACTCCACCAGCATCCACTAATGGTTTCAAAATTGAGCCGAATCACACCGAGGAAATGGCCCCTACACAAGTCCAACACGTTGAACCACCTACCCCACCAATGAGCCTCGAAGGTCATTCACAGAATCTTCCCACCGAAGGCGGTATCCCTTGGTATGTGGCTGCATTTGACCCTGATGGCCTGACTGTGTATGAAGAACGTTGGACTGGGCCCGAAGTCCTACGAGAGCTGAGTGAGGAGTTAAGCGAGATGGATGAGGATGAACTCCTTGGTTTAGGCCCTGGAGATGATTTGGTAGGAGACGGGGATAAAGCCTTGGTTGGGAAAGAGCTTGACCCAAGCATTGCCGACCCTATTGCGACGAAGAAGATGATACGCAAGGGAGGTAAACGTACTCGTACCTCTGAATGGGGTACGAGATCCTTCCGACTTCGTAGGTGATGTTTAGGCCAGGCAGGCTGTGTGTACGATTGTATATTTTAGTCATATACCTATTCTTGAATAACAGAACGTTCGCCTCGATGCATTAGGTGACTGCTCGAAGCACTTGGATTAACATGTATACAGTGTTTACTCCTCTGCAAGCGACCATGCGATTTGTCCTTGATAGTTCCACACCCCAGATTGACCTCTATGCGGGCATGGGCCCTACTTCGTACCTAAGCGAATCTGGCCAGACTGTCCCAGGTATGATCGGAACAACAATCAACCGCTTCCGGGATAGCGCTAGTCCTCATTTGGTCACGCGTCCTTCTAATTTTCGCCTGTTCTCATCGTTGCGCAGCCTCACTTCCAAGTTCCAACATCCATCCAAATCCTTCACATCTACCTGGGATCTGGCATCTGGCATCATTTGAAGCTTCTTCTTCCCTTGAGCTTCCCATTTTCTCATTCTTGCCGCGTTTTCTACGTGCCAGGCCGCGGGTGACATTTCCTTGCCGTCTTATTACCCCTTTGCTTCACACTTCTGTCATCACAATGGCCGATTTCGAGGACTCAGCAGCTCGTTACGAAGGTGAGAGTTCCTGTTCTCCCAGCATTCTGGCATCATTACTGAGTGATAACCCAGATGATCGCGGTTATGAGCGCCGTGACCGATCGGCTTCACCTCGCGGTGATCGAGACGATCGCAACCGCAGCCGATCTCCCAATGGCCGTGATCGAGTGTACGTGTCATCAACTGAATTCGTTGGTGCATCCAGCTAACAACTCTCCAGTCCGCCTCCCCCTTCTGATACAAGAATGAAAGATGCGGATGAAGAAGGCGCTGCCAATACTGGCTCCAACCTCTTCGTCACTGGAATCCACCCTCGATTGACAGAAAGCGACGTCTCCAGACTCTTCGAGAAATACGGCGACGTGGAAAATTGCTCCATCATGCTTGATCCCCATACCAAGGAGTCCCGTGGCTTTGGTTTCGTCAAGATGGTTACCACCGAACAGGCTGAGGCTGCTAAGGAAGGTTTGCAAGGAGAGGTCATCGAAGGTCGAACATTGAGCATCGAAAAGGCCCGACGTGCTCGTCCTCGTAGCCCTACTCCTGGCAAATACTTTGGTCCTCCCAAGCGTGGTATGTACACAAAGCCCCCTTTCAGAGTCATCGCTAACTGATCTTCGAGGCTCCTTCCGTGGGCCACCTCGAGGTGGCGGCTATCGTGACCGTTATGACGATCGCCGAGGTGGCTATCCACCGCGTCGTGATGACTATCGTGGTGGCTCTCGCTACGATGATTATGAGCGTCGAGGATATGGCGATGATTACGAGCGTCGAGGCTACGGCGGTGGCGGCGGCGGAGGCGGCAGACGCGAGCGCGATGATGGCTATGGTGGCCGCAACATCGACAGATACGAAAGCAGACGTGAGGAAGGCTATAGCGGTCGCGGCGGTGGTAGTGGCGGCGATCGACGTGGCTATTATGACCGTGGCGACGACCGTGGCTATCCTCCACCTGCGCGCGAAGAACAGCCCCGTGAGTACGCAGGCGGCCGCGACTACGCTCGTGAAGATCGTTATGCCAGCAGATGAGCGGGCTACAGAGAGTTCTGTCCTCCACGTCGAACTCCAGTCGTGGGCATTTCGGCGTTCCAGACATTGGCTTCGATTTCCCTCCATGTATTTCCACAGTTTCCTTCCCAAGCTCCGCAACAAAAGCAGTGTTTTATTTCGAGACAGAGGTTGTGGTTCAAAAACTCGGCGCTGAGGGATGACGGTTCATGCCACGAGCAACGACAAGAAGGTCGGCACTGGCTCCTAATTGACGACGTGGTTGTCGACATGTATCACAACGGTATCGGCTGGGTCTTTTTTATTCCTCGACTGAAATCATCATGATTCTTGTTGCGGCAGTCAGCATACTTTCATTCAGCGCCTTGCTTCGCCCTCGATAGTTCGCCCCGTCAGTCAAGAATCGACGTCGAACTCGACTCATATGTTATGTCTTACGCGCTCACTCTGCAAATCAAGATAACACAAGAACACTGACTCGCCCTGTACGCCATGATCAATACACCAGTAGTCCCATTGACAGCACTCTAAGTCACCCTTTTTATCCTGCCAGATCGCCATTCCGATGCCTCCATTAATGCCGTGGCATTGGCGTCTTCAAGCACGGACCCTAAACCGGCTTTTCGAGTGACAGCAATTCGACAGGTAACAGCTATTGTTCAAGGTATCCTTCTAATCAGTTTCACTGGCAGTGACCTTGCGTGAGGTAAGTACTAAGAATGAGTTACTGGATTGACCTGGAAATAGATTCGCCAACAAACATGCGGCCAATGCGTCCACTTCTTCAATTTATGTCGGTTGAAGCAAAGTTCAGCAGCGTTCCGGCGTCTGGCGCAGTTGTATTCATCCACCCGCTTTGGCACCTACCGCCTGCCTGTTGCAAGCTATGCAGCCTCATTGTCGCATTGAGGATACAGCCGTGGCGGGAAGGCGCTTCAACTAGAACTCAGATTTGCCAGAGTCTACAGAAATACGAGACACGTTACTGATCCGCAGTGTCTTAGCTAAATGAGTTCGTTCATGCCATGGATGAAACAGTGGCAATGCGGAACGAAATCCGGATATATTCGGTAGATGCCCAGGGGAAGCCTCAGGCACAATCGGTGAGTTGCTTTCGAGCCTTATATAGAGATCAACGAATGTCTTCAACAATGCTGCAATGAGCGTGTCCTGTGATCTAGCACTCTGTACACTCTGCGCAGTAGTAGACCCCAAGTAACACACGCAGTGACGGCTACACTTCGCTGTCACGGTATGCCACCTAGTGGTCTTGCTTAGCCTACATTAGCCAGCACAGTCTCAATTTACGAAGTTCAAATTACTCCGTCCTTCGCGCTCCGGGGCGATCTCAATTGACAGTGCATAGGTGCCACCGACAGACCTGCCAGTGATAGTGAGGGTCAGCCGTACAATCAGAGGCTTCTGTGAAGTGATTCAATCCGTGATACTGGTCTTGTCCAGCAGCTTAGAGCCTAGCCGTGATGACCTGAGTCGATGCTCGGTGTTTCCACGTTCTGCACCTCGTTCTAAGGAGCTGGATAGTGCAGTAGCAGAACCAAATGCAGTAAAACTCTGCGTCCCGGGCCTATCATCATGGACCATACTGAGATGGCTGGACGCAAGCACTGGTGATATTGGAAAAGATTCTCTAGCACATTGCAGATCACCGGGTACGTATTGCAGGCGGAATCTCCTGCACGGTCGATTGGGTGGCTGCAGGCAGGATGCTGGTGTATCACAGAGGTGAGCGCGTGTAGGGACGAGGCCATTGGTTGTAGGCGAAGAGATGCTGCGAGGCGAGGGCTAGTGAGGTGTGAACTGGGACGAATGGCAAGGCTGGTGAAGCTGCCACCCAGCAGCCCCCGCGATTCGAAGTTGTCGCCAGACATATAGATACGCGCCCGCCAGGCCGCTGGGTCGACGGCTCTCTTTTCTTCCTTCTCTCTTCCTCCAGTGCATTGATTGTCTGGAACTTTCCCTGCATTCTATTTTCATTTGACTCTTCGTCCACACGCCCTCCGCCTTTCTAAAATTGGCTGGTCCAATTGTCCCTGTGCTCCCGTCTAATCGCTTCACAAGCTGCTATTCTTGCTCATACCAGCGTCTGCCAACGTCACTCAATTCGACCTGTTTGCCATAGACACAGGTATCAATAATTTTGTCATTCAAAGCTCTGGAAGCCAACCTCGAGTCTTGAAATTTCTGGGAAATTACAAAGACTCCACAGCCACATCCAAGTCAATCCTACGGATCCCGTCGTTGTCATTGTCGTTGTCAGAAGATCACATCATATCATCAACCATGCTTTCCTCAAGAGTCGCAAAGCCAAAGTTGTCCCTGAGCATCTCGACCTCGACTGTCCCAGCCGGACGTCCATCGCTCTCTCTCAAGTCTCCCTTGGACCCTCTGCGGTCACCGGTGTCACCGTCGCCCATCAGTCCAACGGCACGCAATACCAGACTGAACCAGAGGGGGTACTCGACCATGCAACAACCGACGTACGCATATGTCAACTCTTCTTCATCAAGAAGCATCCTTAAGAAGAGCAGCAAGCCAATCGCCCCGGCCAGAAGGCAGCTGTCTTTCTCGGAGACCCCGGTTGTTCACTGCATCACCCCGATCGAGGACAAGGAGTATTACGGCCAATATGCAAAGATGTCCAAGGAAGAGAGGAGGTGGCAAAGGAGATGAGAGAAAGGTATGTCGTACTCCTTCCGTTGATCACACTTGACAATCATGCTTACTTATCAACCAGGGTTGTTGTTCGCGGACTTTGTTTGATTTTCTGATACCACGACGTGATGACTCCACAAGAGGAGTGGCTTTAACAACTACAATTAATGAACAAGCTTTTGATGATGATGTATGAATTGAGACCAGAGACAACCTCTCGAGGCGGAAAAAGAGACAGATAGCAGATAGATTTGGAGACACAATAATGTCAACCTGACAACCACAGAATAGGGAATGCAAAGTCACTCTTTTACTCCAGATCTCGAGAATCTGTCCGTGTAATTATCTTGTCCTTCCATAATCACTGTACTGCGCTGTAAATGTGCTCCTTGGTATGATCCTCCGCAACTCTGGACTGGAACAGTTTCTCAGTCGCAATGATATTCCGCCCGCCGCGTCCATACGTGTGGTCAGCCAAGGACGTCACTACCTCTACAGAGAACGAGTGCCGACTAGAGGGCACATGCGTCGATAAGTAGAAGCGGAAGATCTGCTCATCTTATTGAAAAAGGGTCGTCATGAAGGCAAGGAGTAGGCCAATTGATTGCGCACCAGTCGACTCAACGAAGACAGGGGGCTCCGACTAAATTTAGTTTCCTAAGCGCCTCGATAGCCGACAACTTACAAGGTTGTCGAGTACGAAAACCTTTGGACGACGGCCCCGAGCAACATTTACCGACCACCATTCGTCTGTTGCCCAATTGGCTTCACAAACGACGTTCTATCGTCGAGATGAACCTAGCTGGTGCGCAGAGAACAGCGCACGGCAAAAGAATAGGAAGTCATCAACCGAATTCGACAAAAGGGCTATTGTTTTGCTGCAAAGGAGGGCGGCACGTTGGCGATTGTTCCATGGCGCTCGCAGTGCCGCAACCAATACCAGCAACGACATGACGAGATATACATGATCTCCGTGGCATACAGAGTCGCACTAGCATCAAGATCAGCCCTACACACGATGACGGCTTTTTTAGAATCAACGGCCTAGCGCAGTAGAACTGGTGGTTCCTATGGACTCGCGCCCATCCCGGGATCCCTGCTACAAGGCGGCTATTTGAGATTCGCCTCGCCAACAGCCGCCTCGCTCGTGCGCTCGGAATGGTTCGTTTCAGATCTCTGGCCTGAGAAGGACAAGGGCGTGTACTCTTAGCATGCTACCAAATATACCTCGAGCTCTAGAATAGCTGAGGTACGCCGATCCGATCCAGCGGTTCGTCTGGCGCAGCGTAGCGTCCAGGTAGGCGAGAACAGACGGTCTCCGGTTTCATCTTAACGTGGATGGTACGAAGCTTCCAATGACGAGCAGCGGCGTCTGTTGGTCGGCGAAGTTGTGCCGCAAGTTTGCTCGATGCGCTGGTTGCAGATCTGCCGAAACGTCTGATGGTCTGTCGGGAGGCATTTTAGAACGGCAGAATCCGAGGAATCGAGCTTTTGTTTCGTTTCGTTTTGCTTCTTGTCTTGCATCTTCTAAATCTGAAATTGACGCCCGTACGTTTCGAATATTTTGGGCAGGATGTGTGTGCTGGATATCGTTCTTTGATTCCTCATAAAAGAAGGCGGCCAGGCTCGAAAGTTACCCGGGCTTTTTCCAATTCTCACTCTCGTCCAGTCAGTCGACACATACCAGGGATCTGCTTTGGTTGTTTTCTCGGTCTCTCGTCAGTACGCTACACACGCTCGTTTTTCTCAGCAAGCCAAACACATAATCTCGAACGTCCGGGCGGTTCTTTATCCGTTCCCTTGTTTGTTTAAGGAGGGAACCGACTCTCGACCCCGGGCCGAGTCGGTCTGTCAATGAAGATGACCTTGATGACACACCCAGGAATGACGCCTCAACCCGCCGGACCTCGTCAACTGGAGCGACCGGTCCCTTCTTACGGTCTGCCGGACTCGGGCGGCATGCCGTGCACGACGAACATGCCAGCCACCATGACACCGGCCATGGCAGTGTGGCCACAAACACAACCAGCGCCGCCATCGACCATGGGCTGGGCGGACCCTTCTTTACAAGAGCAGGTCCGTGTCCAGTACCCTCACCAGAGCATGATGCAGAGCTTTATGCAACCGGTGCGTCCGCCGTCAATCAACAGCCATCGACCTCAACATGACATGGGCCCCCGTCCCATGCAGAGCGGACCTTGGACGGCCAGGGAAGATGACATCCTCGTCAAAGCACGCAGTCAGGGACTGGCATGGGAAGAGATTCACAAGCAGTGCTTTCCCAACAAGACGGGCAACGCGTGCCGCAAGAGGCACGACAGGCTGTTGATCAAGGCCAGAGACCCGACCTGGGACGAAGCTCGAATCCAGAAGGTGGTGTATCGATACAACCGCGCGCGCGAGTCAATGTGGCGGCCCATCGCCGACCAGGTTGGAGAAAGGTGGGAAGACGTGGAAAAAGTGGTGGGTCTTTTTTTGCCTTTTTGTCCCTTTGTTCATTCCGTTCTGGTCCCCTTTTTACAGTCTACTCCAACATTATTTCTCTTCCCTAATCCCTATTCTCCCCGTAGCGGAGGTGGACATCCAGGCTGACTAGAAGCAATCACACAAACAGATACTCCAACAGGGCTGTCGGGGATTGAAAAGTCGCAGCCGTCAACAACATGGCAGAAACAGGTCTCGCGCCAGTTCGGGCCAGACAGGATTGAGTGAGTGGGAGCAAGATCCGTCGCCAGACGAGCATGATAACACGGACGACAGTGGCATCAGCGTCGGCCTGTCAGGCGGAGGACACAGCCGGCGGTCAAGCGAGATAGCCGTAACCGGCAGCAGAGCCTTCCAGGGGTAGACTATCTGCTCGGTGAAGACCATCATCAACAACACCAACAACAACAACATCATCATCATCACCATACGAGTACGAGTGGTCAATATGGATATGCCCCGTACAATGGAGATGGCGGGCAGTAACTTACCCCATGCTTCACTGCTCATGGGTCGTCACAACGGGCCGCTGGGATACTCGCAATGTGACTGTTACGACAATTGGGGCAAGCTTACGGAATATTTTGTGCGTACCTTTTATGTTCGGGGTATGGGTGGATGAATATGGTGTCAGCATTAGCGATATCTGTTTGGATGTATTTTTAAGTACCTGTAGGGGGAGGCCGATGTTCGGAGGATAGGTAATAAGTCGAGGTCGTTTGTGTCGTCAATTTACTGGTATGGAGCATTGGGGGTGTCAACAAGGACAAAAGTGAGGACAGTACACCACAGTCATAGCTAGACCTAGGTTGGTACATGCGGTACGGATACATGGGTCAAACGAGTCATCAGTGACGGAGTGAGTTCTCCGATGCGTGTCTGTGTCGCGAAAGTCACGGATTGTCCTCGTCTCCTGGACCGCATGGAGTATCATCATCCCTTTGACCCGAGATCCTGCAATGTCCACAGTCGCCTTTTTATGCCGGCGGCATGGACTTTGACGGACTCGTCCCCCGAGCCACAGGCGCTATAATTTCACTTTTGCTCGTGAACCAACCGATCCGCGCCTTAGCGTGCCCACGCCTAAGAAATTGTCCCTGGAGGTGTTAGTGTGCGGCTAAGTCGTCTAGCGAGAACGGTGGTTAGCGGCCGGCCAGGGGGTTTAGGCTCTGGCTGCCCAGTAAACGAAGTGCCACAGCGGCGCTAGCGGGCCCTAGCATCCCTAGCATCCCTTGCTCTGGGCGGCCACGATGCTACCGTCGATCCGAGACAAGGGCCAAAAAAAAGTTACGCCGTCCACAGCTGGGCCAACTGCATCCTCTGGCTCTGACCGACACGGCGATACCTGCGACTGACTGCGTCTGCGCCCGAGCAATTTCTTTCTCCAGACTGTCGCCCGTCTGCGTTCCATTTCCCCAGATAATCAATTGCTTCACGAGGCCACGACTGCTTGGGCGTGTCATTGTTGCATCTTGGTTCTTGGTTCCCGGGGATAGACTTGGTTTCAATTCGTCTCTCATTCTACTGCCGTAATCTTGTCTCTTTATCGCGTCTGTCACTGGAGCTTCTGTGAACGTCCTGCGACTGACCCCGGCCAATTTCACATTGACCTCACCTCTCACTTCACTGCGTCGCAGCAGCATAACGCCTCTTTTTTTTTCTTCTGTTTTCTCTCGGCCGGACGACATCATAAGCATCGGCGCAAGTCCTTGACCCTAACCTCTCCCTCGGCGCTCTAAAGACATATCGCCATGGCGACCGTCGGTGAAGCTGTGAAAGAGTCGTTGCTCGGCACGACGCAGCCAGAGTCCTTATCGAGCGAAGCCAAAGCCACGTTTTTGAAAAACTCCAGACAGGGCGAAGATGGCGAGCTCTACATGAACGAGGAGGACTTTATCAACGCCATTGCTCCCCCGGAAGAAGACTATGTGAGTTCCGTCCACAGACCCCGGGATCCCTGTCCGCCCCCAGAACGTGTACCCTGACTCTGTATTTTGCGCAGCACAAAATAAAGCGAGAACAATATGGCATTCTGTTCGGTGTTGCCGACCGACACAAACGTGGCAGGATCTCCCTGCCTGAATGGGCAGCCTTTGATAACCTCCTGGCCAAGTCAGACGCAGAGTACGAGATTGCTTTCAGACTCTTCGACGTCGACGGCACGGGCTCCATCAACTCGGACGCATTCCAGAAAATCTACGAACAGAACCGAGGCCAAGACAGCATCCCCTTTGACTTCAACTCGGAATGGGCTTCATTATACATTGGTGGCAAGAACAAGAGGCACGAGATGACATACCCACAGTTTGCACAGATGATGCGTGGTCTGCAGGGTGAGCGGATACGACAAGCTTTCCATCTGTACGACAAAGACAAGGACGGATACATTGAACCGGAAGAGTTCGAGCGCATCATCAGAGCTACTTCGGGCCACAAGCTGTCCGATCACCTTCTCGAAAACCTCCCAACCCTGTGCAACATCTCGACCGGCACAAAGATCTCCTACGCCAACGTTCGAGCCTTCCAGAATGTCATTCGAGAAATGGACTTGTTGGATCTCATCATTCGCAATGCGACCGCCAAGTCAAGCGATGGCCGAATCGACCGACAAGACTTTCTCAATGAAGCAGCTCGCCTGACACGCTTCTCTCTTTACACTCCGATGGAGGCGGACATCTTGTTCCATTTCGCTAGTCTCGATCAGCCCGGTGGCCGCCTCGCTCTGGATGACTTCGCCAAGGTCCTTGATGCGAGCTGGCAGACCGCTAGCTCAAAACTGAGTGCCGTCACCGATGCTGCGGACCGCGCCGTATCCAAGTCTCAACAGTTCCTGCATTCCTTGCTCGAGTCGGCTCACCACTTTGGTCTAGGCAGTATTGCTGGTGCGTTCGGTGCCTTTATGGTGTACCCTATCGATCTTGTCAAGACGCGGATGCAGAACCAAAGAAGTACGCGGCCTGGTGAACGACTGTACGAAAATTCGATAGATTGTGCCCGCAAAGTCATCCGAAATGAGGGTGTGAGGGGCTTGTACTCCGGTGTCCTGCCGCAACTTGTCGGTGTGGCCCCTGAAAAGGCGATCAAGCTCACCGTCAACGACCTGGTCCGTGGCAGATTTACGGATAAGCAAACGGGATACATTCCCCTTCCCGCCGAGATCCTCGCTGGTGGTTCGGCAGGCGCTTGTCAAGTTGTAAGTTGGACATGATCTTTCCTTGAGCACACTCACGTGCTAACACAAGTTAACAGGTCTTCACCAACCCTCTTGAAATTGTCAAGATCCGTCTTCAAGTCCAAGGCGAACTCGCCAAAAACACCGACGTACCCAAACGTTCGGCCATGTGGATTGTTCGCAACCTGGGTCTGATGGGCCTGTACAAGGGTGCATCCGCTTGTTTGTTGCGAGACGTCCCCTTCTCGGCCATCTACTTCCCCACCTACAGTCACTTGAAGAGGGACATGTTTGGAGAGTCGCCCACGAAGTCGCTTGGTGTCTTGCAACTTCTCACAGCCGGTGCGATTGCCGGCATGCCAGCAGCCTATCTCACGACTCCATGTGACGTGATCAAGACGAGATTGCAGGTCGAAGCACGAAAAGGCGACGCGACATACAATGGTCTCGTTGACTGCGCACGGAAAGTTTACCGCGATGAAGGGTTCAAAGCCTTCTTCAAAGGCGGTCCCGCCCGTATCTTGAGAAGTTCACCACAGTTCGGTTTCACCCTGGCGGCGTACGAGGTGTTGAGTACTCTGTTGCCGTACCCCGGCAGTGAAAAGGACGCCGCGACGCACACGGGCACGGCGGGTAAGATGGAGCCCGGGGTTGGTCTTAGAGAGGCCAAGGCACCCTTGCCGTATCTGAGAAGTCGTAACGCCTTGAAGATCCTGTTGGACTTGGACAATAATTTTGGTCAGGTCAAGGTGCCAGGTCGCATCCCTGAAGGAGCGAAATGGTTCGGAAAAGCCTGAGAGAGGACTTTCTTGTTCTTGAAAAGGGGTCGGACCTCAGGGAGATAACGACGGGGAACAAAGAGCGGGTGAGGTGCAGGTTTAATGTGTTTGGGTGTGTGTATTTTTGTGTAATGCATAGAAAGGAGTCGGAAGCTGAGCTGGTGAGCTTAGACTTAGATTTCTAGAAATGGCGAAGGTTAGATTTTCTAGAAGGAAAGAGAACAAAATTTTCCATGCATGAATCAGATTGCAGATGGCACATCCCCCAAAAGAAAAAACGCCTTCTTCCTTGTTCCTTCTGGAAGAATGCCTACCTGGGTAGTATAGTACTTTGCTACGCAGAACGTACGGAGTACCGAGTGCAATCACCATCCCTGCCAGGCGTCAAGAGGTGTCCAGCTCACGGCACGGTGCCATTGCCGTTGCCGTTGCCAGCACCACTGTCACGGACATGACCATTTTGATCACCCACTTCTACGATGGACCCAAAGTACTTTTTGTTCGTTGTCATTGTCATTGTCATTGTTGTTATTTTTCTTTTCTTTTCTTTTCATTTCATTTCTTTTCACCGTGACGTGGTCGTCGACAGTTGTGGCGTCGGCCTGACTTCTCCAGCTACGGCATGGCACAATTCAACCTTGACGCCGGCGCCCAAGAGCACCGAGATCCAAAGGCGTTGTGTGTCGCTCAACCGGTCGTTTGCGGACTTTACTTCGACGAAGATGACTTCGCCGCCGCGCCTTTTCCCTTTCGAGGTGGCCCCTCTAGCCTCACTGTTCTCACTTGTAGCCACGGGCACGGACACGGATTCTGATCTTTCGTCCTCGGCGTCACCAAAACCAGTGCCGGCACCGCTCGGGCCCGTCGGGCTCGTTTGACGTCGATGACGAGCGTCGGAATCAGCATCAGAACCGGAACCAGAATTTCCGTCCACCACCTTCCAGAGCACCAAATCGGGCACACCACCACCACGGCTCTGATACTCTTGAGCCATGACCAACATGACAGTAGCCAAGCCCTGATTGTCCCAGCAGGACACACACTCCATGAGATCGTCGCGCTCGAACCCGTCCCACCTCACGCCGACGATACATGTGCGCCTCTCAAAGTTGTCGTCCCACACGCGTCGAACAATGTCCTCTGCCTCGCCGTTGGAGATCTGGTTGATCCGACCCAGGATCTCGGGCACGCGGCTCGAGAAGAAGCTGTCGGTGTGCAAATCCAGCGGACACGTTTGGTATGCCGTCTGGAACACGTTGGGGATGTATGGGTTGAAGAAGAGGATGTCGTAGAACAACAAGCCGAAAATGGTGCGGAGGATGCCGCCTTCGCTGTGGTACCCCTTGTACCCGAGCACCTTGCGGTAGTGGGAGAGACACATTGCCTCGACGCTGACAGGTTCGTTCGTGTCGAGTGTGTCGAGCCAGATTGTCTTTGCACCGGGTGCACTGCCACCACCACTGCCAGTGCTAGGGTGACGTACGAGGACCGTCGACGATGGTGTCTTGCTCGCGCTCACCCTCACGCTCGTGTTTGTAGTCTTCTCTTCTCCATCTTCTCCAGCCTTTTCATCATTGGAGTGGACGTCCGCAACGAGAGAAGTCACACTAGACTTCCTGTTGCTGATACCACTGAGGCTCCGCCATGGCTCGACGTCATCTTTCTCAAGCTTGACCCCGACGACATCGCGTTCAAAGGGTTTCGCGAGTCTGACGTGTCCGAAGTCATGCTGTTCGCGGACAGGTATACGTAGTTGCTTCTCAAGTTTCTTGACTCGCTTCTGCAGATCGTAATGGTATATGATGTGGCATTCCTTGTCCTGGAGACCTTGCTCGCACGTAGACAGAGCGATTCGCTTCCAGTGCTTTTTGTTGACTTCGGGGCTCCTACCTTCCGAGGGAGTCAGGGCGTGCAGGTAATGTTCCTCAAGCAGGGCCTTGCGCTGGTACCATGCGCCACGACGAGAAGCGTGAAATAAACGCTGGTCCAGGAGCTCGGTGAGGATCTCATGCTCGCGGAGGTGCTCCTTGAAGCGCGCGAGTGGTTGGAGACCTTTGTGTACGATCCGGGTGTAGACCCAGGCAGGGCTGAAGCGCCGCAGGTATGCGCCCTCACCGGATTCGTAAACACGTTCTTCCTTCCGCTCCTCTTCGGCAAGGAGGAATTTCCAGCGCGGATAGACGGCTTCGAATATTCGCTGGACTTCTTCGAGCGATTTGCGGCCCGGGGTGCCGTTGAACTCGAGGATGTTGTCCACTTTGAACTGAGTACGTAGGCTGGCTTCGAACTCTAGCAACAGTGCTCTTGACTCGAAAATGGTGGCAGACCGGCTCACAATGTATTCGGGAAAGTTGCGACGGGAAATCTTTGCGAGAATGAGAGTCGTCAGACTCTTCTCTGTCCACTCGGTGCTACGGTAAAACACGAGATGAACTCGTTCAAAGAGTTTCAATGGCGTCAGCGAAAGTCTGATGCAACGCCCTGTCCGGCGGAGAATCTTCTTGGTAAAATGTGCGTCTCGGTTGTTGATCGTTGGAGTTCTCGATCCCGATGTTTGGCCATCCTCGTCATCATCGTACAGAGACTGTGAATCTTCGGACATCACACTTGTGGCACTCTCTTCCGTGTCTGTACGTCTTAGTTCTTTGAACCCCAGCCCTGTCTGTTTCCCGCTTGTACGGCGAAAGTTCTGCAAAAGCTCACGCTTATTCTTGCCTTGCACCTTCGCCTCCTTTGCTAGAATCTTCAGCTCGTCCAGGAGGAGGAGACTACTCGCCTCGTCCAAGGTTGTGATCTGGGCCGAAGAGCATTCTGCAAAGGCAAAAGTTTGGCCGAGTACCGATTCCCTGTCTGGTTCCAGCTCACCAGGATAAATTTCAGGCTCTGCTTCATCTGTAGGGAGCGGCCTCTGTTTCTGCAATTCGAGCACCGCTGCGTCAATATCAGCCACGTCGCTGTAATACTGCAAGTCCTTGACCCGAAACCATTTACTGGTCTTTCTCAGGAACAGCCTGACATAGAGATACTGAGCTTCGTAGTCCAACTTTTGCCATATCTTGAAAAGGCTGTGCTCGGCTTCGTTGAAGAGATGCCCCTCGTCTTCCAGCACAGTATTAAGGGCAAGATTGAACGCATCGACGTAGATGGAACTGCGTCCTCTGACCCACCTTCTCGACTCAAGACGTGACACACTTGTGCTCTCTCCGTCCTCTTCTTGCTGTTGTCCAACATACTCGCTCGCCTTGTATGCCTCGTAGGCCTCAATCGCCTCTTCGTCTGTCTGAACGGGGGGAAGAGTTGCCTCTAGTTGAGTGGCTCTGAAGTCTGCGGGCAAACGCACGCCACCATCTTCTTCCAGATCTTGTTCTTCATCTTCCGAATCAGGAATCTCGTTCCTTGTCCGCTGCTTGGGTAGAGGTTTTCTGGGAGATATTCTCTTTGGACTGGATGGGGCTATCTTGTTACGCTTCGTTGGACGCAAAGGAAAATCATCATCCTCATCATCCCAGCGGGTAGAGGCAGGATGGGGAATGCGAGTACCCATCAAGCTGTTGTGTATCGAAGGAGACTGAGGTCCAGGAGCCATTGGCATCTGCCCAGCCCATCTTGTGTCGCCAGTCCTGCCCAGCACTCCAGTGTACTGTGTTCCGGTACAAGGTAACAGTGGGAGATTCTTTAGTTGCACACGTCACGATCACTGCGGGGGCCGAAAGGGAAACTCATTAACGCCCCGAGACGCGTCCGTCGACGCGCGCTGTCACGGGGTTCACTAACTGAGGTATACTAACTAACGTAGGCTGCGGCTCCTGGGGGCCTTGCACAACTAACTATAGGTATCCGGGATGTCACAAGTAAACCAAGGACAAGAATGAGTACTGGGTATGGTCATGAACGTGTTTGTTATGCCTCTCCACCGACATCTTGTCCATTATGTCCCAATAATGGTATATATATCCTTCGTCACGGTTTACCTAACCTAACCAATTTAAATGCCCTCATAACGTCGTAGCTGATACTTCGGATCTTTTCTAAATACAAAATAAATGGTGATTGTCCTCTTCAACCCCGGCTTCAATCCTCGCAGATACCCTTCTCCAAGGCAGCCAAAGCTGCCTCATATCTTCCTGGAGAGTGGTCGCCAAACATGTCTCGGCCAAATCTCAGTTCTCCGAATCGAGTCTCGACGTCACGTACCAACTTGAACTGGACTCTGGTTGCAGGCCGGCCAAGGGCTCGATACAATTTTTCAGTCCTGTAGTCTCTGGTGTCATCAGGGCCAAAAACTGCTTCTCGAGCGACATTTGGATCCAGCCTGTCAAACACTCGGGTAGTCTCAACCACGAACACCTCGCCAGGTGGAACAAGCTTGTCATTAACCATCGATGCTCTGAGCGTCTTCAGCGCAGACCAAGCCCAGGTGTCTTCACCCAGGCCGTCGCCGGCCATGTTCTCGGGCGGAGGTGGCCCTTTCGGGTTATTGTAAAAGGAAGACGCTACTGCGTTTCTGACACGCTGCCACACCCGCGTCTTTAGAGCTCCTAGAGCGTCTGTTGTGTCTGACTTGAGATGAAGGGCGACGGTGCGAAAGTCGTGAAGTATACCCAGAGAGAGGCATGGGACAATATCAGCATTGTTGACGACTGTTGTAATCAAGCCTCTGGTAGCCACGCGGAGGAGCTCAGACATGCATGCTGGAGTGCCATAAGCGTAGACGTGAATAGGTCGACCAGCTGGTAAGCTGATGGGCGGGATGTAGGATGTGAAAGGACCGTTCGAGGTTTGGTTTGTGAGCAGCTTCGGCTTGTTTCCGGTAACAAATGAAGTTTTGGAACCGTCAGAGGATGGTTCCGAGAGCAGTATAGCCAGGACGGCGGCCACAGCACCGCCTAGGGAATGCCCACAGAGAACGAGGCCATAGTCGGGGTATTGTTCCAGCGTTGCTCTAATTGTCGCCATAACACGACTTCCGCTGCCACCTAGGAGTCGCCTGGCTGAAGCATGGATGCCCTTGTGTACTTTATAGCGTCGTCCTTGCCAAACTAAGTCGTCATAATCGCATGTCATATCTGTCAAGACATCCTCGAATCCAAGAGTGCCTCGACAAGTCAAAACAACTGCCTTTGAGTCGTCATCAATGGAAATAAAGTGAATTAAAGGGGATATTGCTGAGGGCGACCAGTCTGTATTACCGGTCACACCTTTCGGATCATAGAAAGAAGATAGCAGAATCGTGTCCGGAGGGAGTCCTGTATGACTGGAAAAGGAACTGTGCTCATGATGAACGTCTAAGGTCATTAGATCAGTGGCGTTGCTGAGTTGTCCTTCGGCGGAAGTGAGTCCCATAACTCGCAGAAAATTGGACCCATATGAAGCGGATGCAAATCTTGCAAATCGCCTGACTGTTCTGACCATATGACGGTCAGGAAAGATGCCAGGCACTTTGCCGTTAAGGATAAGGGCATTCAACATATTTTGATCTTCGTAGATAGACTTCCGTGGGATCGGCGTCTTGGGCGCCAGTATAATGGCTTCAGCCGAGTCTTTGGTTGTCATCGAGTAAAGACTGGGCACAAAAGATCGCGATCGAACGTGATGAGTCGTACCGTTTGTAGATTCGAGCCTTGACGATGTCTCGTCCAGTGACAGCGCAAGCTCAGAATTGGTCTTTGTGATCCCACTCACAACACGGGCATGGGTTCTTGTAAACGTAGGAGATCCTGGTCGGCTCTCGACCGAATGGATCGAATATGTTTCAGTGGTCTGTGACACCGTCGAGTCTCTCCGTCGATCATGTACCGCAAAATAGCTAGATGAGGATTCTGCATGTGTAGTACGCTGCAAACTTGGACTTGTCATAGGGGAATGGCCATGGCTCATAAAGCCAAAGTGTTTTCGTGGCGTTGTATCACCACGAACTGCTGAAGTTCCTCGGCGTGTAGAGTTTGAGGCTGGTATCGATGTAGGAGGCTTGCGCGGAGGAAGACTTTTGTGAAGATCCTTGATGGCCGCAGAAGATTGGCTCGGGCTGAGAGTCTTTAGGGCTTTCTTGATCACACCTCCTCGATCATGCTTGTTTTCTGGCGAAGGCTTAGATTTTCTGTTCTTGACAAGTGGGACACGAGTTACGACGTTGGCTGCGGGAGGTGATTTTTTGCGGGGGTTTGGGCGTCTACTCCTTTTCTGGTTGGCAACTGTTCCAGAGACTTTAGGCGGAGGTGTCGGAGGTCTAGATGCCCCTACAGCCTCAGTCTCATGTTCTGTGTTTAGCAAGGCTGGGTGATCAGTCTGAGAAGATTCATCCACCATTGTAGGCGCCTGAGGAAGCTTCATCATGAACACATCGTCGTGATCGACCTGATCCCTCCGTACTTCTTCGTCGCTGGTTAGGCGCAATTGTTCCGTAGCAGAGGGGATGTCTGTGCTGCTTGATCTCTTCAACGCTGTCCTCAAGATGATTGTCTGCTGAGGTTCTTCAAGCCCGCTAGAGGCGGAGGCTTGGTGGTTCAGTCGCTCCGCTACCATGACTGTACCAGGCGGGGGGTCGATTTGTGCCGTGTCGGCGCCATATATATCCACCTTGATGGTTTTCGCCGTCACCGTCTCTGATGAGATAACAGCTCGAGCACCTGCTGGCAGCTGTCTCTCGATTCGCTCTCTGATTTCTTGGTCAGTCAAGTTAGTGTGGTCTTGTGGTGACAGCGTCATCGCAGAAGGATCGAACAAGGTCCCTCGTTCTATTGCTTCAAAATCCTCATCCTCGTCCGGAGAAGAAAAATTCATAGCAGGTCCGCCTGCGGATGGATGAACGCTGATGAGGTCTTTCCTCCGCGTACCCACAACATCTGCTCTGAAGCCCTTGTCGTCGATCACCGCATCCCAAATTGTCTCCTCACCGCCAGCATTCCGAAAGTCGAGTTCTGTCTTGCGCCTGCCCCATCTTTGCAGCATCACGAAAGCTACGGTCCCGACGATGAGATCCATGTACGAGGCGACCTCGGCACTGTTGGCAGATTCCGGTTTCCCAAGCTCGTCCCTGATCAAAGTGATGATAGCAGCAACGGCACGAGAAGATTCTGTTGAGCCAAGAATTGCGTTCAGGGTGGACAGTCCTTGAATAGACAAAGCGGATATCGAGTTCATAGAAGCCTCGGTCAGGAAGAAGCCTGTTGACGCCACAAAGGAGATTGTGGAAATAGTCGAGTACAACGCTGATATCTAGATCTGATCAGTTCGTATATTCGATAGCAATAAGTTTCGTTTTTGTACACTTCTCTCTAGCAGATTCTCTGCTTCTGCCCTACCAAGTTCTCCATTGCTCCTACTGGAAACGTCCCTCCCCGCCGCGATGAGCACCGTCTCGAGCGCGCTTCTGCTCACAGATAAAGTTTTCAGAGTGGCTTCTCTTCCAGCGTATAGTCCCCATCCTCCTATTTTTGTGCCAGCACGGACGTAGAACGAGGTAAGGCCGGTGATGCCGCTCACAACTGCAGCGGCAGGCGCAGGTAACAGAGTTCTTCCCTGCGGCGACTGCGCAAGAACAATCTCGTCTTGCCCTGATTCAGGTTCCCCCGGCGATACATCATTCTTTCCTTCAGTTCCAGGCTCTTGATGTGTATACCAGAACATCGCGCCGGAGAGAAAAGGTGTCGAAGGAGGAAAGCGGTGTGACAGACGAAACGGGTGGCGGCGTCACGTCGTGCTCCATATGGACTCAAAAGGACACGGAGAGGAACCCGTACGCGGTATCAAAAGCGTTGGGAAGTTGTCGAATATGCAGGTACCCGTGAGCAGCGTGCCTGGCATTGCTGGGATCAAGAGTTGGAAGTTGGGAGGCAATGCTGCTGGCTGTAATTAGAGCCGACGTTTTTGTCACATGCTACGGAGGGCGAAATGGCCCGGGGTGTCACTTATGGCATGGCTAAGTTAGTGGCGACAACGCACGTCCAAAGACAACTACACACGCGAAACAAGGCAACGAAGTAAGCGGCAATGAGAATCAGGAGACAGCTGTTGCAGGCATTTGGCTCCGTGGAGCCCATCTTTTCCAATTGACGACATCCTTGCACTTGATATCCAATTATCAACGGTTGTGACGATGCTAATGATGTCCTTTCCAACTCCATGCTAATGATGACGCTCCGATACCCCCGGGAGCACTAGCAATACAATAAACAATATCTGGTACCGGTGATTTCATGGTCGTCTTCCGTAACAATATCGTAATAATATGGCATCTTGTCGTCGATGCCTGGACCCCCCGTTTGGGAGTCCGCCTAGGCCTGGAAGTGCCTCCTACACCCCCGCAATGTACGCATCGGCAGGAATTTGACCCTGTGCCTTGAGTTGGGCGAAGTTCGCCATGGCTGTCTGGTAGTCCCAGTTGTTCGCAGATAGGCAGTTTTCGACCCACTGCATTTTGAGTTTTGTCTCGAAGCTGAATTGAAGTCCCATTTGCTCTTTGAGAAGTACCTCGGCAGGCTTGTCTGGGGTGGCGATGCCAAAAGTTGACCCAGGAGGGAATTCTGGGTGCGCCAGAGTAGGCTCAGGGCCAAGCTGTGGCTGAGGTTGGATTGGTTGTACGGCACCACCACCGAAGGCTGGCTGTTGCGGCTGTATGTCGACGTCAGTTGCATTTTGTATAGGTTCGTTGTTGTAGAATTTGAGGTTCGGGTACAGCTTGAGGAGGGTGCTTAGAGTGTCCGGTTTACTAGCGACAGGATTGCCGCTAAGTATGATGTGTTGAAGAGATGATAATTGGTTCTTTCTGAACTTGAGAGGTTCTAGGTCTTGTAGGGCGTTGTTTGCAAGGTCGAGGTTTTGAATGTGAGGAAAGGCATTTGCCAGAGGCAATGTGTCGTGGATAGTCTGAATAGAATTGTCTCGAAGACTGACGCTCAGCACTGCTTCTTTCCGTTTTGGTAATGTTTCCCAAATTTTGCTTTCGCAGAGAGCGAAAATGGCTTTGTAGAGCTTCGTTGGTTCGCTGACGAGACCGGCGTTGATAAAGTCGGGTTCTTCGCCCAGCAGATTGAGAATGAGGTGTTTGTCTCCGGCGTGGTATCTCTTGTGGATTACCGAGATGATGATATTTTCGACATCAGATGTCACGGAGCCATTGGTTCGACGTGTGTCTCTCGTATTGGGTTGCTGATAGGTTCGACCGGGCCCTCGTGGCCCGGAAGGTGGCTGAGATGATTGATTGGAGAAGTGGCCTCGTGGGCCGGGGGGCGGTTGTGAGAAGCCGTTCTGAAATTGAGGGCGAGACGGTTGTGAGACTCTGCTGCCAAATGATGTGTTTTGAGGTGACTGAATGCTTTGAGATGGTGCATTCCGTGGAGGCCGGGCGTCTTCGACAATAAGGGAGGAGCCTGAAAAGGAAAAGCCGTTCAAATGTGTAAAACGGCTCTTGTCGGCTTCGTTGATCGTAATGATGAGTACAGAACGCCCAACCAACTTGTTCGATAGGATCTGTCGGCTGGACTTTCTTTCCAGAAAGGCAAGAAGTGCATCGAGGCCTTGATCTTGGGAGGAGGTAGCTATTTTGCTGTTTCCCCAGCCCTTTACGGCAAGCTGTGTCGTTGCCATTGTGAACGAGAGTGTGAAAATTTCGTGCGAGTGCCGGTGTCTGATGGCTCGGTATCGAGAGGGAGAATATGGTGTGAAATGGTGTCAAGATGCAGCTGAGAGAGTGTGATGATATTTGAATGGAATCGTCGTCAACTAGTTCATTGAGAGAATGTGTGGTGGTCAGATGTAATTTTGAGAGAAGGGGAATATGAATGGCAATCGAGGTTTGGGCGGGTTGTAAGATCGACGTCTTGTTTGTCAGGTCACGTGCCAGGCACACCAGTATCCCCAATTCTTAATCGCCTTAAGGTGCGGAGTACGAGCATTGTTATCCGTATATTACACTCTGTACCGAGTATCGTCAAGGTCGTCCTCCTATCCCTATCAATGGGTGCGCATACTCGGCCCCAGTATTACGATAGTTGCTCTATTTGTCCGGAATCATCGGGGAAATGTGAATTAGAAAGACCGTCGTGACCAATGCCCAACAACGCTAGAATGGGCCTGCACTGTGGCGTCAAAGGCTACGGACAAAATCTATCGTCTATCCTCGGGAGGAGCAGGGCTCGTAGCTTTGCTCCCAAACCTACCGATGCCTCCAAAACCTCCCAAGTCACGTTTGAAGAATTTGCCAATGTTCTTGAGGTTTTCATTCAACTTGGCACCGGCATCGCCTCCAGAGAATCCACCCTCGCCTGGCGCGTTGATAATTGGCACTCCAACAGGAGGTGGACTTTGTGCTCCATCCCTGGGTGTACCAATGCTTGGGCTGCTAAACCGATCAATAATAGCATTCCCCAACCCGGACGCGTCGAACTTCATGTTGGCCGGGAGGTTGGCAGTGCTAAGAGATGCTGCTGCCGAATTACCCAGGGCCGACAAGTTGTGCAATGCTGTCGCCGGAGTAGAGGCTTGCACTGGTACCACCGCTGATCCCGAAAAATTTATAGAAGTCAGCAGAGGGGATCTTTCTACCAGTGAATCCTTATATCGTGGACTGAACTTGTGCATCTGAAACAATTCTACCAGATGATTTTGGTCCGCCTTTGTCTTGATTCCTTTCATTTCGAGGATTTTGCGGAAGTTGGTTTCAGACAGATCGGCGATGTGGATCAGGTAAGCCTGTACCAAAGCTTCAGGTGGCGAAGGGCGGACTTGTAACGTCTTTAGCAAAGGCTCGACTTTGCCGAAGGCTGCCGTGACGCGTTTTATGAATAGTGTTGGAGGAGTGCCAGGCAGAATGTGGCTCAAGGTGTTCCTGATCTCGTGAGTATCCAGCAGCATCTGTTCGGCGCCGCCCTCAGAGATCGGCCGGCATAGCGCGATATTCGAAGTATAGGTCGAAGCAAGAAGCTCCACCAGGTTGTCTGCAAACGCCCGTGCATATTGCTGCTTGTGTAACATCGACAGAATCTCCCCGGACCTGTCCTTGATACGGCTTTGAAGCCCGTTGATGTAGGAGCTCTTGTCCTCACAGCTCTCAATTCTGGACCAAGCAATATTCCTCATCTCCCTCCAGCTGGGCTCAAGATCAACTTCGACTCGGCGCACTAAGGCTCGAACGGCAGCACTCGCTATGCCCATGAAGGCGTCCGCTTGGCTTTGTAGATCCACGCTCTCCCTGAGGTTCTCATCGATACGACTTTTGATTTTTTCTTCCAGTGAGTTGGAGGTATTAAAGCAATAGTCGGCGGTGTTCAATACCAATATAACATCTTCGGTGGTTGGATTTCGAGAGGGCGTTCCTCCTGATGGCTTTTCGGAGATATGAAACAACAGAACTTGTTGGGCATACTGGTCTAGGTAACGTCCGAATACTTTGGACAGGTCCAACAATGGTTGCCCAGTGGAAAGCTTCGCGCATTGGGTCAATGAGTGCCGGTAGAAGTTGAACAATTCCGTGGACGATGGAATCACCTGCTGAGAAGAAAACTCCTCATCTGCCAGCCTGGTAGGCCTCTGCCTATATTGAGGCAACAAGCTGGCCAATTCCTTGTCCTGAGCATCTACCCAGAGACTCAAGTATGGCTCAAATGCGTCAGATATGGGTTGTGAGAACAGAGGAGTATCGTTGCTAGAAGTCACAGTGTCGATTGATGTTCGGGAGGATTGGTTGAAGCGTCTCTCCAGACCGTGTTCGAAATCCAGAGTTTGTTGCAGGCAAGATAACAGCATCTTGACATCAATGGTCTGTCCGTTACGCGTGGTCCTGGACAGAATGCCTTTGTAATCCTCCCGGGTGCCTTCTGCAAAGACATTTGCAAGTACCTCATTTACACGCCAATGAAGGGGGAAGATGGCAGCATGTTCTTCATCGTAGATCTTCAGCGTCTTCTTGAACCATGCATACCTACGATCGATGTTGTCCAGCGAACCTGCCTCTTGGTCCCACTTGAAGATATGTCTATATTGACGTAGTTCCGTGTTGCAGTACCAAGTGATCAAGCGGGACCTTGCGGCATCACCGAGAGCGTCTACGACCAAGCATGCTTCATGCAAAAGACCTCTCTTCTGAGCCACCTCTTCTTTTGTGAATGTGATCTCGAAATCTTCGCACACCTGTTCCAGAAGTTCCCGTTGGATGTCAGCAACATTCCTGCTAAGAGAAGCAATCTGGTCTATTGAACGATATGACTTGAAATGCGCCATGAGCTGGATGACGGCTTGAAGCAATTGAGCACATTCTCGATATTGTTTGGTCTTGCCCAACACTCTCAATTGCTCATAGGCAGTCGTCAGCATTTGAAGCCTCTTTAGGGCGGTCATAGACAGAGTGAGGTTCTTCTTTGTATTGTCCAACTGTTTGATATCGGCTGTCATCTCGGTGATGTTGCGTTCAGTTTGCACCGCTCTTTCACGGACACTGTCGATCCGCTGAAACAGGTCGGCCAGCTCTGCCTTTGTCGCTTGCATTCGTAGCAGGCATTCTGCGTTGGCTCTAACCTGCTCGTCCTCGAGGAGGTCGATCTCATGGTCGAGGTCATCCTGATAGGCCTGGAGTATTCGGTGCGTTTGGCTGACGGAGGAAAGGGTGGAGGGATGGGAGAAGATCTGATTCAGGTGTTCGATTGGGTCATAGTCGTCTGCGTATATCAGAGACACACGAGGTATAGCTGGGTGAGATGACTTACCCACGTCCAGGAGATCTACCTCCGACTGTGTGCCATTCATGTGGACTGCGTGTCTTGAACCCCAAGTTGCACCACTTTTCACAGCTCCGAATCTGATCGCTCATATCCAGTAGGATGCAAACCCAAAAGCAGAGACACAAATCAGAAGACTACTCCGGTAAGACACACTTCGGCCAACTTTGGAACATTGAGCGAGCATCTGTCACCTTCTCGTTCCCCGGGACGTGTTTGCGACCACAGATATTCCTGCCGCTTTAACAAGTCAGGAGTTCAGGCTACCTGTAGTTGGTGACCGCCCAGTTTTCTTACACAATACCTGCTAGGTACGCCAGGTAGGTGGACGCGGTGCCTTTCGTAAGACAACATCAGGTTCCAAGCACGATGAGAAATCTACGACCGACTCTCGCTGAGGTGCTTGTCAATATACAAGCAGTCAAAGACAGCCAGAGCAACCGCATAACAAAGACAGGCCACCCATACACGAATCGCCCTCCTAACCACGATGACACATGCGACTTGTTCTCATTACAGGGAGTCCATTTCTTCTTCCAAAATATCCCCGAAATGCCTTCACTAGCCGTTGGTCTCCCTTTCGTCCATGGCTACGAACCTTTTGGGAACAGCGGCATATGCTCGTCCACTAACAGTGGCCAATAGCTAGAGCTGTGGCCACCTTCACACAACCCTTCCACACTGTCGAAGGAAATTCAGACCCAGGTGTTACGCCCAGGTCCAATATCTCCACAAGCTTCGGATGCACCAGGGTTGTATCAATCCAGGAAGGTGTTACAAGATTGACTCGTGCATTCATAGAGGTTTTCGGCTGCCTGAGAGCTCGAAAGAGACCTCGAACACCAATTGTGCCAAGCATGTGTGACCACTTGCACTGAGTATGTAAAGGTAGATTGCAGGCTCATCTTGAAGGTAAATTCACGCAGCCTTTGACCTACATTTTGCAGCATTGTGGTATGTACTTCCAGGCATATCACAGTAGCCCCATAACAGGTACAAGAATCAGTGACTTGGAGAAGGACTCCGCCGACGATACCTTGGACTGAATGCGCATATAACCCAAGGCTAGTTATCAAGGAGCTCTTGTACAAACCCCAAGTCAACTTGGATCGCGCTGCTTTGAGGTCTGACTGGTAAACCGCCTGGAATTGATGCTGGTGCAAGGCCCACCAGGACTTGGTCCGTCAAGGTCCCTCGATGTCCCTCGACTCCGGGAAATGACCAGCAACGTGCAGCGTTATAGTTGGAAAAAAGAAGCAGCGTGCTTGAATGCCAAAACGCTCGACAGCGTGTTCATTACATCACGGTATATATAGGAAACGTGAGAGCCTTCGAATGTACGACGTGCTCGTCAGGAACATCGCCAATGCCGGAGATGGTGACGCATGCACCATCTCGGGCTGTGTGCGTAGCTGTTGCTGATATAAAATCTAGATGCCCGTATGTGGTACTCCATCTCAGGTCTCAACGTCAGCCGGGTCCATACGGGCTCGAACATACAGTGACTATCACCGTTTGTTCTCTTTGCGGCGATTTGAAGTATAGAAGATCAGTGCATCTTGGACGTGAGATGCAAGGTTAAGCTTCCACAAGCGAAGGTCTTGCTTCGCAAGGAAGAAAAGTACCAACAGGGCAACGTAAGACGCAACTCCACCGGATTCCCAGAATATACGGGGGCACACGCATAATATCCAGCTACCCTGACGAGTGTAGTAGCCATCACCCGGGTGATGTAATTGCGGAGTCAGAGCATTAAAGGCCCAGGAGGTAGACAGCTGAGGTGAACTGTTTTGAACAATATCATACTTGTCGGCCTGGCTGTGCGGGCATAAATCAGTTGTCGGTGTCTTCGCGGACATCCGAACAGCTATCGACAGCCATCGACATCCGGATTGACGCAGACGGACAGTCACAGATCGTCGTTTGGCCAGCGAGTGAAGCGGCGTGACGTGTCTCCGTTGCTTGCAAATATTGTCGTGAGGTGAGGAACACGAACACGGCTCGAACCAGAAGAATAGCGGGCCGACAGACTAGTCCCATCATGGCTTGGCTCAATATTTTTTTAAGGAGGGAAAAGCGTACGGTCTTTTATTTGGTTGTTGTTTTATCCTGCCTTGTCATCGAGTGATTGTGTCTTTTGTTCGTGGCAACGCAAGCAGTCATGGCACAGGCACAGACGAGAGCACTGCTTCTCCTTGCTGAGGTCGAGGTCTCGAAGTATTTCCCGTCCCGCGGCGAATCAGGGACACCATTTGTCGCATCTGAGCGAAAATATGGTAAGCTACATAATCTTCTCCTTCCCACCACCAACAACGCCTTCGTCTGGAGCCTACTACTTTTTGTGATGAACAAATGAAACCTCATGGCATTAGGAAGAGCCGGAAAAGGATGTCATGGAAGATAACACATTCTGTGGTGGAAAAGCGTATCGTCAAATGCCTTTTCTTGCCCGCCAGAAATTGTGTCCTGACGTCGGTGCTTAGAATGGTTTTGCTGATAGTACATTATCTTCTTCTGAACTGTCTTCCCCCGTTGCGTGCGAAATCCAGCTAACATTTCAAAGTCAGTGCTAGGTAGGAAGCTACGACGCCCTCCACTGCTGAGCCAGCTGGAATGCGATGTCGCCGAATGTATTCGCTAGGAATGTGTGGCAGCGTGAGAAGCAATGATCTTTGGGGGCTCCGAAAACTTGCCTGCCGTCCCATATTCAGGTCAGGTGCGGAGCGAACGCAGAAGCCTGGGTTTATGAGATAGAGCAAAGGATGGAGTAAAAAGCTCAATCATCAATACATATATCATGCTAACCCTGATGCATTTTTTTCAACCTCGAGCTTCCTTCGTATAGACCTCGGTCGATGGCCGCGGCGACTGTCAACGTGCCACCAATAACAGCACAAACACCAGTCAAGAAACTGGCAAAGGTCTTTGGCCTGATCTCTCTGTTGATCACCCTCATTGGACTGATATCATAGCTGAAAAATACTCCTGGTATTCCACCATGAGCATGTAATCGTTCCTTGTGACCCTCGGCTGCATCAGAACCTCCACTCAAGGACCTCTTGTGGCTTGTGACAGAGTATTGATGCGTCTCGATACTGCCCTGACTGCCTGCCCCGCGCCCTTGCATGCCCAAGGGGATCAGATCGCTCAAGCTTGAGTGGTGTTTCATGCTCCGGTCCTCGTCCCAGCCCAAAGGTAGGTAAGACGTAGAAACCACCTTGATGAAGTACATGAAATTGTACGCCACATCGTCGGTATCCTGCCTGTGGCCATCCAGCGGATTTGAGTGGTGGTGATCACTCCATTTCGCAGCCGTCTCGTCCGGCAATTGTGGTCCGAAGCGTAGCGAATGTATCTCGTGGGTGAAGGTATGTCCACCCTCAACGGGAGAGTCAAAGTAGTTGTTGAGGTCGTGTACATGCATGTTCCCGTTGCTGAAACTGCGTCCTGGTGCAATGTGAAAGTTACCAACCACCTTGTTGACGCGGATGACACCTTCGATCCTGCAACCCTCTTGCCTCTGAGCGTCTAGACGTTCGCCATAGCCTTCCCGCTCACATTGCTCGACACCTTCACCTCGTCCGAAGGCCCAGCTGTTTGCAGCATATGCTTCGCGGACATCGTCACAGGTGTTGCAGCACCCAGGCTTCTTCGCATTTGGCGGCGCAGGTGCCGAATAACACGAGCCACAGTAGTCTGGGTCGAGATGCGTCGCTGTGTCCTGTTCATGTAGAACAAGGGCAGTGGTGTCGATCACCCTCGAGCCTTCCTTGTAGTTCGACAGCCTCACTTTGTTTACCCCATGCACCACGCCAGTCTGTTGTTCGCCAGACACATCCATGACGTCGAGCGTAAGGAGTTCGCAAGGTATTCGAGGAAAGGTGATGTTAAGATGTATCTCCATCTTCTCTCCTGTGCAAACGGGACCACGTCAGCATTGAACGGATGTCTGGTCAGTTCTCTGCATACCTCTGCCTTTATCCACAATCAACTCCGGTTGCACCAAGATTTTTCTGTAGTCCGCCCATTCACCCAATATGAGATATATTATTATCACAATCGAAGCTATCGTAACAATGCCACCCGATGTGGTGCGTACCCGGGCATCTTCGACGGTTTTTGTGAAGGCGTCAAGCCGCGTGAACCGCGACTTTACTGCCATAGTGAGGCAGACTCACAGAGGAGACCGCGCACAGTGCGCTTAATCTGCCTCTGTGACGGGAAGTATCGTGTTAGGAGGTGGTGAACGAAGAGTACAACACAGTCTTATGTCGCATGCAAGACTCTCAAGCGTGGTGAGGTCGGCATTGTCGTCTCAGTGTTGACTTGGAAATAGTGGACAGCATGTTCGATTGCATGCCCTAAAAAGCCCCTTGTATCGGGGAATTCACAAGCATCTTTTAGGTGACCAGCAAGCGACCCTGGCATTCAGCGCTCCAATCATGTCTGGCAGAGGTTTGGACCTCTCTCCACCGAGGTCTCATCTAATATACAATACTTCAGCTACATCAGGTACTTCCTGGAATGCCTCTGCTATAAACACATCCGCCGTCCGGAGTGCGACAGTCTAACGTTGATGCTTTCGGATCTCGACTGTCTACCAACCCAACATGCCCAGCGCGCTATTGAAGAACCTACAGGTACCTAACACATGCCCCCCACCGTTCCTCTTGCTCACAAAACATGCAAAGAAGGGTAATTTGTGGAAGAACTCACAAGTAGCGTGGCTCAAGGAAAATTGAAACTCAAGGGAGGCACGATGGAGAACCTTACAACGAGCAAAGGAAACCGAAGAGTTGTAACGCCTATGAGGCCAACAAATATGCTTAGATTGGAACAGTCTCATTATTTGCCGCGACACCACTTCTTCAGGCGGGTACCAACCATGGCAGCGCCTCTCTGGTGAACACTGACCATCCATGTAGCCGCAAGCTTCATCATACGTGTCTGTTTCCGGGGACACAACTGTGCAGATCATGCTCAACACATGCTCAAGACAGATCCATAGGCTGCACCGTTTCCTGTAGATGTGTTTGAGAGGAAAGTTGTAAGGGTTGCTCCCGGTTCCCAATGCCACTCAGGATCCCCTGACCACCGTTAAGGCTCTTTTCTCGAGGAGCGACATCAATGGTCTCCGAAATTGTGGTTCCGATAGGCTGCTGTAGCGTTTTGAGTGCTTCATCGGGGACCACGTTGCCATTCATATTCTTTCCATTAACAAGATGTTGCTCCGGTTCTTGTGAGGGAGGCTGTCCTGGCAAGACATCGGATCCTTCTTTGCCCTTCCTGTACCTCAGTTGTACCACCAAGCTCTCCTGAGTATTGTCGTCCTCGCCCAGCTCATCAGGCTCTAGCGCTTCATCACTCATGTCGTCGTCCTCGTCGTCCTCGTCCTCCGCATCGAAGTCAGGCTCTGACTCGTCAGGCTCGTCTTCGTTTCCACTCCATTCATTTCCTGAAGTTTGCGCCTCATCACTCTCGGTATCCCCACTGTTTGGGTACCTCTCTCCAACGGGCTTCACAACCCGACCCGATCTTGAGTGACGTGGTCCACGTGTTGGTGCAGACGCAGGCATGTCCTCACTTGTCTCTGTGAAATGGCCTTCTCCAGCAGTTCGTTCTAGTTCTTTGCGTTGATCGATAAGAATGCTCTCGCCGTACATACCGCCAACTCTTGACCTGACCTGCCTTCCACTCGCGGTGACCGTAGGGCCATTGTCAGGTGGCATGGATACACGTGTAGATGGTCGACTTGACAGTCCATCCGAACCATACTCGTCGTCTGAATATGTATAGCGCATCTTCTTCCCTCGTGTTCGTCCCTCATAGAGGGAAAATCCAGGTTCGGGGCGGGCGAAGGCGGCTTTTCGAGCGAGGCGGTATTCGCGGCGTTTGCGTTTCTGTAAACTTGTCAGTAATAGAACCTCACGAATGTGGTGACCAGACCTCTTCACCGGCCTCAAACCGAGGTACTGCAGCCCTTAATTTGTCGCTGTTCAGTTTCGAGTTCTGGGTGTGTTCTTCGGCGAATTTATCTGCTAAGGCAAGGACTTCTGGGATAGAACCGGCCACGCTGAACCAGGTGTTTGTCTTTGCAGTCCTGCCATCATTTTCCCGGTAGACTCGAAAATAAGAGTCATCCAAGCCTTCAACCAGCCAATATTTGCGACGCCATTGATCCGAAAACCAAGGTTGAACACTTCTGGGTTGATTCTTGTCGTCATCTCGGCGCGTCTGTTTGTAGGAGTCTTTGATGAGACCTTGCACAATTTCCGACGAATTCAAAGCCCATAGTACTAGAGCCTTCAGTAGATTTAACTAGAGGCTGTAAGCAACGCTGGATTTACTAATACTGGGGAAGCATACTCTTTCTTCCGGTGTCATGTTCCTGAAATTCTTGCCGCCGTGGATTGGGTTGATACCTTTCCACACCGTCGGCCATTGGTGATGATTTGACGAAATCGCGTCCTCCAGAGCTCTTCCATAGTGACCGCGTCTATAATGAACATTAGTCAAGGATGTCTTCATGAACCGTATGTTACCAGCCAGGATACTAACTCGACATCTTTCTTCCTGTTCAGCACAAGCCCTAACAACGCGCAAAGCAATTTTTCCACGAGTTCATCGGGCAATTCACCAGCAACTCCTCTTTCGATGTCCTGAGGCCCCAGTGCTGTGAGGTATTTGGGAAAGGCTTCGTGGAAGCGACTGAGGAACATAACAATGAACGCGATCGCGTCATTGTCGGCGAGAGTATACTCATGTGGCGGAGAAGGTGCTCGCTTGGGGGGTGGTTCTGGGGATTCGGCCTTCAGTGTAGGTTTGAAGTAACGATTTATACCGACAGGCTTTGACATCTTGCGGACCATCTCTTCGTCCTCTGAAGAGGGCGCAGATGATAGGGAGGAAGAATCCGAGTCAGCCATGGTGGTTGTAGCGGGGGATAGTGACGCGGTTGTTGGGAGTCGGGACGAAGGAAGAATTATGGAAATCACAGACGTAGAGAGACGCAGGAGCAGGAGCGGTCTGAAAACGCCCTGAATGCTAAATTGACTTGGCGCGTGCGAGTCACGCGTTGAACTATTCGATAATTCGACAGAGGTATGTCTTTTTGGTCTAAATGTCTGTAGCAAATTCGCAGCTCGAGCAGCTCGAGCCTTGACCATCGCCTTTCGACTCATACATCTCAACAGAATATCGTTGGGAGTTGTGGCAGCCGAAGGACCTTTCCAAGCCGCGACGTGCTTCACGGGTGTTCCATTTGGAAAATGGCGCCTGTGCCAAGCATGCACATCTGTTGCAAGCAACCAGGCATTTGCAGATGCATGCGCACTCATGTCGCCATAATTGCCCCGTTCGTTGCCATGAGAGTGAATATCATCTCGCATGCGACTGTCGTCCTCACTTCTGTGAGTTCATTTGATGAATAGCCATCATCAGAGACTCCCGTCGAAGAGGCCACACTCCTGCCAGCTCCAGAGCACTGCGGGGTTCTCCGCACAGATCAGACTCTCCCAGGCGAATACTATCGCCATTCATCAAGCTTTGTGCATGTCAGGGATCTTGTTGAACCGTTTGCTGATGAAGACGCCTTATTCCAGGGTGACTTGACAATACAAGCCCTGTAGCAAATGCTTGATGTGGCAGCGCAGTTGCAGCAGATGTCACTCCATGACTGGAACTCTGAGGAATGTGGGATCGCAATCCAGTACTGGGCGCCTTATTTTTGCTTCGTCCGAAATCCACAATGCAGCGAACAAGTCTTAACATAGATGAAACCAGATGGCAGTGCGTTGGTCATTTGACGAGCAGCATGCTAGGGTGGACTATCAGCACTGATTAGGCGCTGTAAGGCCAGGAAACTCATTTGAAAATGTCGCAGACCCCCTTTGAGTGCTGTGGAGGTTTGTGCTGTATGGTAAAGCGGAATTCTGATGATGCGATCTCCAAGATCGGCCAAGCCAATCCACGTCCTGTCGGAGAGCGCAGATTGATGAAAAAGGTAACTGTCCATCAAAAGAAACTAATATCGCGCAATTCAACTCTGCAACGAAGCACAAAGATGTACTTTAAATCGCAAGGAGATAAAGTAGGATGCAGGACATCTCGAATCCTTGATTCGTAGCAATGGACTTACCTGGCGAGATGTAGGAGACATGACTATGCATCGCCGAATGGACTGAATTGCAGTACGGGCAAGCAAGACAATACCAGGCATGTCGCTTCGGCCACAAGGTTGATGTAGTGCCATATGACAATTGATGTACCTCTTCAGACGGCTGAGGTCTGAAGAGGTCCGTAGAAGCTGAACGGCCAAGGAGAGATTGAGCTTGGCGCGATTCACGTGACAAGGCCGATGCCAAGATTTGAAGGTGGCAGTCGTTGCCCACAGGTGGAAAATTGTAAAGTGCGCAGGTTGAACAACTCTCTATTCACGACCTCATCGCCGCCCCGTCCTAACAACACCGTTGCAAAGTAAGGTGTCTCGTTTACTGTATCGTTTGCAGTCGCTAATTGTAGCAGGATGGGTCGAGTTATCCGTAACCAGCGAAAAGGCCGCGGGAGCATTTTCAGTTCGTCGTCGCTTTTCTACTCGTTCGACTTCTCGCTAACCTCATGTTTACAGCCGCTCACACTCGCCTCAACAAGGCCCCGGCCAAGTTCCGAACTCTCGACTTCAGTGAAAGACATGGATATGTTCGAGGTATCGTAAAGGACATCATCCACGACCCCGGTCGAGGCGCACCACTCGCCAAGGTAGAATTCCGCGATCCTTACAGCTTCAAGAAGCGAGCCGAGACATTCATCGCAAACGAAGGCCTCTACACTGGACAGTTCATCTACGCCGGCAAGAACGCTTCTCTGAGCATTGGTAATGTCCTGCCCCTGGGTCAGGTCCCTGAGGGTACGGTTGTCTCCAATGTTGAGGAGAAGGTAGGTGACCGTGGTGCTCTGGGACGAACTTCTGGCAACTATGTTACTGTTATCGGACACAACCCTGACGAGGGCAAGACCCGAGTCAAGCTGCCCAGTGGTGCGAAGAAGGTCATTCTCAGCTCGGCTAGAGGCATGATCGGTATCGTTGCAGGCGGTGGACGAACAGACAAGCCAATGCTGAGTATGTGGTTTCAGTAAAGTTATCACCGCACAAGCCTTGCTAACACTTTACCTACAGAGGCATCCCGTGCGAAGCACAAGTTCGCCGTCAAGCGAAATTCCTGGCCCAAGACTCGTGGTGTTGCTATGAACCCTGTCGACCATCCTCACGGTGGTGGTAACCATCAACACATCGGTAAAGCCTCAACCATCTCCAGATACGCTGCACAAGGTCAAAAGGCTGGTCTCATTGCCGCCCGAAGAACTGGTCTGCTCCGTGGTACCCAGAAGACCAAGGACTAGACGTGACGATTGCATGAGTGCGGAATTCGGCGTCATTGTATTATGGTCAGCTGGGCACTTGCAAGATAGTCCTGCAAGGAGGTCAGAGTATCTGGCAAGCAGAGGGCCAGGATGTGCAAACTCTATCGGAAAGACGAAGCTCACGAAGGCCGAGATTTTTCAGTGGAATGATACCAAAGTTTCATCAAATACGTCCTTTCGATTGACACTGTTTGTGGAGGCAGACATGGCATAAAAGCTTCAAAATCCTCAGTTAATCCAATTCAAAAGTGACTGGTCTCTGGGTCTCGTAGTAATTTCGTTGAACACCAGGTGTGACTTTCGTGGCGCCGCTGCCAGGCGGCCTGCTTCGGAGTGATGAAGATAACGCTCGGCGGAGACCGTGTCTGCTTTCAGAGGGGTGACCGGTTCTGCGCATCAAACTGCCAATGAACGTCAAATAAGATATGGCAGTCCAGACGTTCCCATTCTGGCGGCGGCTCAGGGTGTGTGGCGTGGGGTTTGTCTCAGAGAAACAAGCACCACAACGGTTTGAGGTCAGGGATAAGAGGCACGAACCACTGGCAACCGGACCCTAATGGAACAAGGTTGCGCGTTACGATCGCCGCTTCCAGCGTTATCGAAGGCTGTTTCTTCAACGGCCTTCGGGTCTTTTTTCGTTGCAGACTCCATGTTCTTCCTTGTTTAAGGCCTGTAAGCGCAGACACTCGTTTTAAGTCATCTTCTATCCTGGCGCTGCTCTTTCCGGCTCGCCTGACTTTCTTTTAAATCGCTCGTGCAGCCCTTGTGCCGCCGCATTCCAATAACAAGACCGCGAAGGGCCAGATCAGCCGGAGCCTCCGTTCGCTCACTCACTCGCTCACCGCGCAGCACAATTCTCATTTGCATAATTTATCGCCGTATCATCATATTCTTAGATTTTCCGCTCTCCTGGTTTATTCCTCCCCCCATACACCATCAAATTTGACGCAACACCACCGCAACCATGAATGTGAACAAGAAGCTGGATCGTTTTAAACAATGGGCCGGAGAGCGCATGGGAGGAGAAGTCAAGACCAGTGTGTCCGACGATTTCAAAGCACTGGAAATGGAGATGGGCCTGCGCCAGGATGGTGAGAAGCCGCCTGTGGTTACTACAGATTTGCGCCGAAGGCGAGAATCTAACGCGTGATATCTAGGTCTGGAGAAGATGCTGAAATCCATGAATGGATACATGAAAGCAATCTCCAAAAGATCTGAAGTAGAGGGCAAAGAGAAAACGCTACCGATAGCCTACCTGGGAGGAACCATGATAGCCCACGGAGAGGATTTCGAGCCTGACTCTGATTATGGGCAATCGCTGACCAGTACGTGCACTACTTCACGTTGGCTTGATGATGGTGCTGACATCTACAAAGTGTTTGGTCGGACTCAGGAGAGACTGGCTCGCGCCCAAGAAACATACATCACTAGTGCTACGAATTCATGGCTTGAGTCCTTGGAAAGGTCACAGGTCCAGATGAAGGAATTCCAGGCTGCTCGCAAGCGGCTCGAAACAAGGAGGCTTGCTTACGATACATCATTAGCGAAGATGCAGAAAGCGAAGAAGGAGGATTTCCGAGTTGAAGAAGAACTACGGACACAGAAGGCGAAATACGAAGAGTCCGCCGACGATGTCCAACGAAGGATGGAGGAGATCCGTGAGGCTGATCCGGAGAGCGTGTCGGATCTAGCAGCCTTCCTTGACGCTGAATTAGCATACCATGATAAGTGCAGGGAAGCGTTGTTGCAATTGAAAAGCGAGTGGCCGGCGAAGTACGTAATCCACCTCCCCCTTTGAAACACTTACTGACATTGGCGCACAGATCGCAACAGTACAGAGGTTCTCGACCTACTGCTCGGTCCCGGTCCAACACGGTCCGCTCCTATACCCAATACTCGGAAACGGCTGAGGAACCGACTCCGACTCCTGTGGTTGAAGTACGACCAACCATCAAATCGAGCCGCTCATCAACAGGTCGTTACGGCGATCAGCCCGATGACCGCTCGCCGCGCCCGACTTTTAACAGATCAACCACATACGATGGTGGACGGGAGTTGTCTGCCGCGAACATGACCCGCATTTCACGAGTACCAAGCGACTCTCTGATGATTCGCACTGCACGTTCACAGCTACGGAACGTCGAAGAACAAGATGTCTTTGCCGACGAATCAGGTTCTTATACGACTAGCAGTCCTGACCGTGGCTATGGAGATCAATCAGTCTCTCCTGCTACCTCGTATGGAAGTGGTTCGTTCACGCCTCTAAAGAAGAGCAGCGTACCACCGCCACCTCCCCCATCTCGTGCAAAGAAACCCCCTCCACCTCCGGTGCCTGCCAAGCGGACTCTGCTGACGTAGAGGATAACGTATATAAACTTTGCTGTGAATGGATTGGAAGGCTTTGGTTAGCACCGGCAGTACGGCGTTGGTGAGATGCTGGGTTTTCCTCAAGCCAATGGAATGGAAGATGCCGTATCATGGATTGGGGTTATGATATTAGAGACGCCAGGATACGTTGCACTCAGAGATACAAATGATGACGGCTCAAGCCCACCAAGACGGTCCTGAAATAGTATCAGCTCTGCACGAGACGTGTCATATGAACTAGATCCGTTGGTACTCTTCATACATACCTACCTCTAGGGACACAGTATCGATCAACAAGTCTGCCTGAAACTGCTAAAATCACGTGATCGTAAAGCGGCGCGAAGTTCTGCTTGGCGTTCCGCTGATTGAAGCGCCGCAAGTTGCGAATCCTTACCGTGTCACTGCCTCCATTTCCGAAGCGAACGTGAAGCCCCTCTCAGCTTCGAAAACCATCGTCAACGCGTCGCATCCATCATTTTTCATCGTCACGAAACTCTACTCGGTCACCGACTGAACTGAGGAGTGCGCCAAAGACCGGCCACCCACTCTTCGTCCCCTCCTTTGGCCAATCTCACCTCGAATCCGTATCTTCAGTCAATTCACCAGGAGTAGTTCCATCACTGGACACGCCAAGGTCATATACCCTCACAAGGCTGTCCTCCATTTCCGCCAATTGATCACCAGCAACCGCTATACTGCACAATATTGATGCTCTGCAAAGACATAATCTGATTGCCTTGACTGAGGCGTCCCAAAGTCAACGGTCCGGACGCCTTCACCATGGCTTCGGTCCAGTCCGCGCCAAACATGCAATCCCATGGTATTGCTCTTCCCCAGAACCTTTCGCAGGCTCAAGTCCAAGAGGTGTACCAGGTAAGCAGGATCGCCGGTGTAGATGGAAAGCCCAGATATTTGCAGACGCATTTTTGGTTGCCACCTCACTGACACGTAGCAGAAATTTCAGCGCATGAAAGCCCAAAATGTCCCCGAAACTGATCCTGAGTACCTCAAAGCCCACCGCTTCCTTGCTGCGGTCCAACAGCAACAGAACTATCGAAAAATGGCGGCGATGCAGCAGGCGCAAAAACAACAGCAACTTCAAGCCCGGCAACAACAGGGTCAGCAAAATGGACAACAGACAAACAGCAATGCCCATGTGGCGCCGATAAACGGCGCGGCCAGCATTTCGACGTCGAATACTGGTCAAACAGTCAACGGTACTCCTCCAGCACCTAATCAGCCTGCGAATCCATCCAATGGTGCTCAAACGGCCGCGACCCAAGCCCAACGAGTTGCAGCCCAGGTGAATGGGACGTTTTCACCTGAACAGCTGAACCTCTTGCGAACACAGATATATGCATTCAAGATGCTATCGAAGAACATGCCGCTTCCTCCGAAGCTTCAACAGCAGTTGTTCCCGGCTCACAAGCACCAACAAACCAACATATCTGATGGTAGCTCGGCCAATGACAAGACGGCGAAGGCTCCCGTTCGCCAAAAGGATGGTGCCGCGAAAGAGCTCATCCAAGCAAAGTCTTATTTCGAGACATCTCAATCTCCTTATGATCTGCTTAGCAAGATGATTAGCTTTTCAGAGCATGCTCAGCGGTCTAAACGTCAAAAGATCCCAAGCATCATGCCTATTGGTATTGACGTCGAGGAAATGCGAGAGGAACAAGAGCGTCTTCTTTACAACCGAATCCAGGCTCGCAAAGCTGAACTCGCCACTCAAGTTGCAAACATCGCGACATGGGATACTAGTAAATCAGCCGATCCAGAAGCTGATGACACTCTCAAGATCAAGGCATTGATTGAATTCAAGAAATTGAGTTTGGCACAGAAGCAACGTGATCTTCGCCGAGAGCTCCAGCAGGATCTGTATTATTACGATAACCTGGCCATGACCGCCAATCGGTCTATGCATCGTAGGATGAAGAAACAATCACTGCGCGAGGCTCGGATCACCGAGAAGCTCGAGAAGCAACAGCGAGATGCGAGAGAGAACAAGGAGAAGACAAGACAGTCTAATCACTTGCAAGCCATTATTGCACACGGTCAAGATCTTCGCGCTAATGCTACCAGCCAGCGTAGTCGTGTTCAGAAGCTTGGCCGCATGATGGTCGCTCATCACCAGCATATGGAACGTGAGGAGCAGAAGCGCATTGAACGAACAGCCAAGCAGCGGTTGCAGGCTCTGAAGGCTAACGATGAAGAGACCTACCTGAAACTTCTTGGGCAAGCCAAAGACTCGCGTATCACACATCTTCTGAAGCAGACTGATGGTTTCTTGAAACAACTTGCGGCTTCAGTCAGACAGCAACAACGCAGTACTGCAGAGAAATGGGGCCAAGACGATTATGAGGACGAAGACGAAGACGAAGAGGGATCCGACGATGAAGGCGGTGGAAAGGTCGATTACTACGCAGTCGCCCATCGCATCAAGGAAGAAGTCACAGTGCAACCGTCAATATTGGTAGGAGGAACCCTGAAGGAGTACCAGCTGAAGGGTCTTCAATGGATGATTTCGCTATTCAACAACAATTTGAACGGTATTTTGGCCGATGAAATGGGTCTTGGAAAGACGATTCAGACCATCAGCTTGATCACGTACCTTATCGAGAAGAAGAAGCAAGCTGGCCCATTTCTGGTCATCGTACCTCTCAGCACCTTGACTAATTGGAATCTTGAATTTGAGAAGTGGGCCCCCTCGGTTAGGCGAATTGTGTATAAAGGGCCTCCCACTTCCAGAAAAGCTCAACAGGCAAGCATTCGACAAGGTAATTTCCAGGTGCTTCTGACAACCTACGAATACATTATCAAGGACCGACCAATATTGAGCAAGATCAAATGGGTCCACATGATCGTCGACGAAGGCCACCGCATGAAGAATGCCCAATCCAAACTCAGCAGTACCATCACTCAGTACTACACAACGCGTTATCGCCTGATTCTGACTGGTACGCCGCTGCAAAACAACTTGCCCGAATTGTGGGCGCTTCTCAACTTCGTCCTTCCCACTATCTTCAAGTCCGTCAAATCGTTTGACGAGTGGTTCAATACCCCTTTCGCGAACACTGGTGGCCAGGATAAGATGGAACTATCCGAAGAAGAATCTCTTTTGATCATTCGTCGTTTGCACAAAGTTTTACGACCTTTCCTCCTCCGTCGACTGAAGAAGGACGTCGAGAAAGACCTACCTGACAAGCAAGAACGTGTTATCAAATGTCGTTTCTCGGCGCTCCAGCAAAGGTTAAATGTGCAGTTGATGACACACAATAAGCTTGTCATTGCCGACGGCAAGGGTGGCAAGACGAGCATGCGTGGTCTCAGCAATATGTTGATGCAGCTGAGGAAATTGTGCAATCACCCTTACGTCTTTGAGCCAGTCGAGGATCAGATGAATCCCGGTCGTGGCACCAACGATTCCATCTGGCGTACCGCAGGCAAATTCGAGCTTCTCGATCGCATTCTGCCCAAATTCCGCGCCACTGGACATCGCGTTCTCATGTTCTTCCAGATGACGCAAATTATGAACATCATGGAAGATTTTCTACGTCTCCGTGGTATCAAGTATCTACGTCTTGACGGCGCTACGAAGGCCGAGGATCGGTCAGATCTATTGCGCGTCTTCAACGAGCCGGGATCTCCATACTTCTGCTTTCTGCTCTCCACTCGTGCAGGTGGTCTTGGTCTCAACCTTCAGACTGCAGACACTGTCATCATCTACGATTCTGACTGGAATCCCCACCAAGACTTGCAAGCTCAAGATCGTGCGCATCGTATAGGACAGAAAAACGAAGTCAAGATTCTGCGTCTGATCACGTCCAATTCGGTGGAAGAAAAGATTCTTGAACGCGCCCAATTCAAACTCGACATGGATGGCAAGGTCATTCAAGCTGGTAAGTTTGACAACAAATCTACAGCTGAAGAACGAGATGCATTCTTGAAAACTCTTCTCGAGTCGGCCGAGGCTGCGGAGCAGACTGCAGAACAAGAAGAGATGGACGATGACGATCTCAATGAGATCATGGCTCGCAGTGAAGAGGAGTTGGTCCTCTTCAAGAAAATGGACAAGGAGCGAGAGGCATCCGACCAATATGGACCTGGCAAGCAGCTGCCGCGTCTTATGGGCGAGGACGAACTTCCAGATATTTACATGACCGAAGAGAATCCTGTCCAGGAAGAAGTTGAAGAATATGCTGGTCGTGGAGCCCGAGTTAAGACTCAAGTCAAGTATGACGATGGTCTGACCGAAGAGCAGTGGCTTGCCGCCGTTGACGACTCCGATGACTCAATTGGTGAAGCTGCAGCCCGCAAAGCCGCCAGGATCAAGAAGAGGCGCGACAATAAAGCCAAGCGTGAACGTGTCGCAGCAGGTGTCGCATCGTCACCTGAGCCTGAGCAAGAGAGCTCTGAAGAAGAAGAACCGCCTCCCAAGAAGAAGGGATCGAGAAAATCAGTGGGCCAGAAGCGAAAAGGAGATGACATCGAAGAAGAGACACCGCCTACGAAACGCAAGCGTGGCAGACAATCCAAGGCTATGGATCTTCTGAGCCCTTCGGACCGAAGTACATTACAAAAGGCCCTCAAGTCGGTGTTTGAATCGATCAAGGCTTTGGAAGTTCCGGACTCAGACCCAGAAGAGCAATCAGACGATGAAAGTGATGACGAGACACCCACTCGATTGATCATAGGACCCTTCCTGGAACTGCCACCGAAGAAATTGTACCCCGACTATTACAATTTCATTCAAGACCCGATCGCCATGGATATGATCGAGAAACGCATCAACAATCACCAATACTCCACGCTCAAAGATTTCAGCAACGACATTGCCCTTCTGGCGAAGAACGCCAAGACATACAACGAAGACGGCAGCATGTTGTATAATGATGCCATTGCTATTGAGGTAAGCTAACAAATCTGTCATGTTTGTCTTGTCGTCTACTAACATACATCTAGAATCATTGTAATGAGCAAATTGCTAAACAAATTGGTCGAAACCCCAGCCTTGCCAGCATTGGCGACAAATCGGGCCAAGATGGTGATTCCACTGCTGCAGGTTCAAGCGCTGGGACACCTCGGGCATCAGTCGCTCCTACGGGAGCTACCAAGCTCAAATTGACTCTAGGAGGAGGTGGTAGCAATGGGTATGGAACGACAAGTGGTGCAGCAAGTGGGACGGAATAAACTGTACTATTGTACCATCAAGGTTTTGGAGAGGAAAGCATTGGCGTTGAAACATTCAGGGCGTTCCATTGCCACTAGAAAAAGTATGGCTGACTGGGCGCTGGGGACCTGTCGAGGCAGGCAAGCATTCTCATGAGTAGGATGGTGCCAGAAGAATCGGGGTTGTGGATGGAGACGCAATGAATATGTGTGTTGATAATCCAGATCATACATCAATGTTAAATTAGTTTGAACATGACTTGATGCGACAGCCTTCAGCTGCGTGGTGAGATACTCGGTGTTATGTTGCTTTTATTGATCACAAGGTTCAATAGGAGAAGACCTGGCTGACGCGTTTTCAGCCACAGCACTCTATGCTCCGTATCAGGGGGTTGGTACGGCTTCGGGTACGTGGGATCTGGTGTGACAGCGTGACAGCATGACAGGTACTCGCAGGCTGTAGATCGTAGGCTGTCGAGGACGAGTACTCTTACCTTGACTTGGGTGTCGTGCTATATGTACGTACCTAAGGGTTCTGGGTAAGGTTTTGACAGGTCGCCGCACAACGTATCGCATTGTGGCCTCAACACCTGCCTACGTAGCTACGAGTAGTAAGCAGTTCGTCAGGGCCGCACAGTCTCTGCAGGGACTGTCCGTAACAAGGGACGCATTTGGACGACTCTCAGCAGCAGACCATAGGGAGCAGTCTCGCAGGTAGGTTCCAGACTTCTCAGTTGCACAGTACTGAAGTCTACGGAGTACAACCTCTGATTCATTACCTGTTCAAGGCTGTGGCAGCCAATTACTGCTGGCCAAAGACTGCGCTTCGCCCCGCCGTGATATCGATCGAAGTGGCCCAGTCCTAAAGTCTCGGTCAACATCTCGATAACTATCGGCCACCTCGCAGCCTCACTAGCCTGTCCCTCAAGCAACCCCAATACTGTCCCCTGATCTTGAGGCGCACGCTGCTGTCGACACCCTGTTCACTCTTGTCGTTCGGCCATGCTGAGTCTGCTGGACTGCGTCGAATGATTGCTGCAAGACCTGCGCCCAAATGGCGTCGAGTTTAGTTGGCGCATCGTTGCACTTTCTCCGTAAGAGACGAACGAGACATCCCGCCTCCCCAACACGATACTAATGCCTTGCAGGTCGACAAGCCGAAGAGCTTGACCCCGACGGTGCGATTCTCCCTGACTGACGCTTCTGCCGAGTGACCGCTGACCGTCTCCTCCACAGACGCTGCTCCTGAGGCCGGACAAAAAGAGATCTTCTCATCATGGGCGCTGTTCATCCTGATCATGCTGCTCATCGCAGCTCTGTTTACGAGCTACATACTGCAGCAAAAGAGAATTCAAGCAGTCCATGAGACTGTGATATCTATATTCGCAGGTGGGCACATCCACGGCGCGCAAGAGAGTCTGGACTTACTCAGAGACACTAGGAATGGTCGTTGGGCTGGTGATACGCATTACGCCTGGGACCGCGATACAGGATACTGTCAGCTTTGATTACCAATTTTTCTTCAATCTGCTCCTGCCGCCCATCATTCTGGCTTCAGGTTACGAGTTACATCAGGTCAGCTGCGAGACCAAGTGGTAGATTGCCAACTGTCGCTAATGGACTGCAGGCCAACTTCTTCCGCAACATTGGTACCATCTTGACTTTCGCCTTTGCTGGGACCTTCATTTCGGCGGTGTCACTCGGCCTGATCCTGTGGTTGTGGACCAGGATCCCATTCGATGGCCTGACCATCACCTGGGTAGAAGCCATTTCCGTGGGTGCGACCCTGTCTGCTACCGATCCCGTCACCATCCTAGCCATCTTCAACCTCTACAAGGTCGAGCCAAAGCTGTATACGGTGATTTTCGGAGAATCCATTCTGAATGACGCCATCGCGATTGTTCTGTTCGAGACTGCGCAGCGGTACCGTGAGGGCGCATCAGGGAATCTGAGCGTCATCAGTCTCTTTGAGGCCATCGGCATCTTCTTGCTCGTGTTCTTTACCTCCTTGTTGATTGGTGTCATTGTGGGTGTTGGCACTGCTTTAACGTTGAAGTACACCCTGGTTCGAAGGTTCCCAAAAATTGAAAGCTGTCTCGTCGTTTTGATCGCCTACGCAAGCTATTTCTTCTCCAATGGCGTGCACATGTCAGGTAGGGTCCCAAAGAACCTGGGATTCCAAGCCACAGTTGCTGACTTGTGATTAGGCATCGTGTCCCTCTTATTTTGCGGTATCACACTCAAACATTATGCATATTACAACATGTCGAGGCGAACACAGCTTACCACCAAGTTTATCTTCCAAATCCTTGCACAACTATCCGAAAACTTTATCTTCATCTATCTCGGTCTCACTTTATTCACAGAGACCGACCTTGTCTTCAAACCACTATTCATCTTGGTCGCAGTCATGGGCATATGCGCTGCACGGTGGCTAGCAGTCTTTCCTCTGTCCAAGGCGATCAACTATATTATCCGCCTTCGTGCGAAGAAGAGGGGGCGAGATGTCGCTGATGAGCTTCCTTGGCACTATCAGGCCATGCTCTTCTGGGCTGGTCTGCGAGGTGCTGTTGGTGTCGCCCTTGCCGCCGGTCTACAGGGCAATGAAGGCCCCGCCCTTCGTGCGACAGTCCTTGTCGTAGTGGTGCTCACCGTCATTATATTTGGTGGTACAACAGCACGCATGCTCGAGATTCTGGGAATCCGAACGGGGGTCGTGGAAGAAATTGACTCGGATGATGAGTTCGACATCGAGACCGCCAATGGTGGCACATATTACAAGCGATCCGGAACTGGATTCGGACACCATCCCAGACCCACTAACATCGGTCTAGATTATATAGAGAACAGCACGAACCGCCGGTCTGGTCATGCAAATGGCTCGGCTTCCCACCCGCGTTCTGACAGAGGCTATAGCAGCAGCAACGGCGCCTCTCCTCCTTTTGACAAGCCCAAACGTGCCGGGAGTAACCGTAAGAACTCTAATATCAGTCAGCGTGAGCGAGAGATTACTGCTCAGCAAGGAAAGCTACTTGATCACCATGGCGGGTCGACCAGCGATGACGACGAGGACGCCATCGACCTTGATCTTCCCCCTGCGGCACCCAGACGGAAGCCATCACCCCTGGCAGGATTCAGTGGCAATCCTTATGCCCCTCCCCCACGGACGAGATCTGCTCCAAATATTGTGCTCAACGATGGAGAGCATGGAACAGACGGGGATATGGGTGTGGCCGGATCTACGACCGGTGGAACGTCGACCCCCTTGTCAGGTCCATTGGGGAGCAACAGCATACGCAATCTTTTACGTGGAGCGACGGCCGATCACACAGCGTGGTTCAGACAACTGGATGAGGATTTCATCAAACCTCATCTATTGCTCGATCAGCATCAAGGCCAAGGCAAAGGGCCACCGTCCGCCTAACCGCGCTACTAGGAGCAAGGCATACTAAGAGCAAGGCAGGTGGTCTGCGGATGAAAATCTCGGCTGTGGCTTACTTGTAGATTCTGAGCGAGCGGTAATGGCGTCTTCTCAATGTGCCGAGCTGGATGAAGAGACGTTCATCCGGGAATGCCCACATCGGCATGACGCAAGTATTGCCATATGGAGTGTTTTCCAAAATTCGCTTTTGGTAGCTGTGCGCCGTTTGCGTGCGTATGTATATAGTTATAGACTTGGTGTATGTACCGGATACTTTTGAAGACTTAGTACGATGATGGGAAATGAATGTCAAGGAGTGTTTCGCAACGTGTATATAGTAAAGTTCTCATGTGAGCATTGACATGGTCCGTTCTACGTTTACTCTCCAGCAGCCTACAGTCAGTCACGTTAGGCTATTGCACCGTGGAGAACGAAAAGTAGGTTGCCAGCCCATCTACGGGGGAGGGAGAAGTACAGAGGGAGAAGGACGGGAACGATGCGAGTGAGAATCTGATCCAATTGACATAACCGTACATCCGCTAGAGAATCTCATAAGCTCTCGGGGAGTCTTCAACAAAACAAATTCCGTCCACAGGTTGAGGTAAGGTAACTTGGCAGGGGAAGAAGAGCCACGCACGCACGCACGCACGCAGACTCATCAGCCGTCGAGCTGGGTAGGTACATATGTAGCTACAGGACAGCAGCTCGATGCCAGTGCCGGGGGTAGACCACACTGAGTGAGAGTGACGTTGATCCAAATTAGATCTGCCATCGAACGGGATGGGTTCCTAGGAGAGTCGGTCGGTGTGGTGTATTGTGGTGTGGTGTGTCGCGTCCATGATTTCCAGGGCATAACGAAACAAATCTATCATTTCCCAACGCCATCAAAATAAATGCTTTAAGCACCCTCTGAACGCCGTCACAATGCTCTGCGGTGGTGGTCCTTTCTGTCTTGTCTTTGGTCTTGTCTTTGGTCTTGTCTTTGGTCTCTCTGCAAGGAGAGAGGGGGGAGACGGTGGTCTTTTCGTGATGACGACGCAATCGGAGAACAGAAAGGCCAAAAACCAAAACCAAAGCCATATATCCCCTTCGACTGGCTTGCTTCCTCTTGTTCTTGTTCTTCTTCAAGTAGTCATAAAACTCGTCACATCATGCCCGTTGTGTGCTCGCCCATTAAACCCCCTTGCCACCGCGTAATCCATACGTTCGGTTTTGGCGGAGGCGGGATTTTGTTTGGATAGGTATCATTTACTGGGTCTGACATTGGGCCTGTTGGGGACCGTCGTCGTCCTCCCACGCGTTTCCTGCCTCTTGGCCACCGATGTCGTCAATGTCCGCAACCTCAAACGGCACTTCGTCGGCCTCTTCGACCTCGATGGGCGGAGGAGGTCCCGGCAGTATCTTCTGGAGACTTTCGAGGGCGGCCGGGTCGGTGAAGAAACCGTCTTCGGGGAAAGTGACTTCGACAACCAGGTACAGGTCTCCCTTCGTGTCGCTGCGCTTCAACGGCATGCCTTCGCCGGGCACCTTGAGGACTTCGCCGGGGCGGAGGATCTGGCCTGGGGTCTGCGGGTGGAGGAGTTCAATGCCGCGGCCGTCGAGGTGCTTGACCACGACGCGGTGGAAGCCGGCGAGGGCCTCTGCGAGGGTGATTTCCAGCTTGGCTGACAGATCGTTGCCCGTGCGCTGGAACACGTCGTGCGGCTGCTCGACCAGGTGGAAGATGATGTCGCCCGTCTCTTCGGCGCCAGGCACCTGGTCTGCCTCGCCCTCGAGTCTGATCTGGTCGCCCTCTCTGGCGCCCCGCGGGATGTAGAGTTCGAGTTGCTTCCGCTCCTCGGTGACCTTCTTGCCCTTGCACTTCTTGCACTTGTCCTTGGGGTTCCAGACCTCGCCGGTGCCTTCGCACGCGCCGCACTCGACCATGCGCTGCGTCAGCATACCGGGCCCGACCTGGCTCAGGATCTGCTTGACACCTTGGCCCTTGCACGCCGAACACTCCTTGGGCTTGGCCTTGTCGACGCCGCCGGTGCCGTTGCACTTGGAGCAGATGACGTTCTTGGTCGACGAGAACTTGACCGTCTTGCCCTTGTACAGGTCTTCCAGCGTCACTTCGTACTTTTGGTTCTCGTCCGGGCTGCGCCGCATCTTTCGGCGTCCCCCGCCGCCGCCCATGCCTGGCATCCCACCCATTCCAGGAATGCCGCCGCCCATGCCGAACATGTTCAGGATGTCTTCCATGTTGACTTCGGCGCCCATACCGCCGGGCCCGCCGCCGCCGTTGAAGGCCGCCATGCCGTGGGCATCGTAAAGGTGTCGCTTTTCGTCGTCGTAAAGGATCTCGTAGGCCTGGCTGGCAGCCTTGAAACGAGCTTCGGACTCTTCTCGCTGCTCGGGAGGCACTTTGTCAGGGTGGTGTTGGAGAGCCATCTTCCGGTACGCTTTGCGGATATCTGCCTGCGAGGCATCTTTGGGCACGCCTAGGATCCCGTAGAGGTCGATTTCCTCCGCTGCGTCTGGTGCGCCGTTCATCTTGGTGGGGGGATCCGAGTGGTTATCAAATGGTCTGTGTCAAAAGCTCTTGCGTCTGGGAGAGGATATTTCGTTGGATGAAGAGCGAAACAGATTTCGGGAGGAAGAGAAAGAAAACCGAGACGTCGAACTGGCGGTAGAGAAGAGATGGATTGTTCGAAAAACCAAAAAGCCAGTAGGTGGAAAAATGGTGTTTTGTCAGGCTGCCGGAAACAAGAGGTGAAGATCCTGCGTCTCCAACGTCTCTAGATACGAAGAACTCACTAATTACCCCAGTGTTGGGCCTGAATTTCATCCGTCTTCCGTGTGTTCCTCGTGTAGGCGGCGACAGCGAGCAGGCAATGAGCAGGACCGTAGATTGTACCATCCCTACGTAACTGGCCACCAGCCATTGCTTGAATATTCTCGCGTCTTCTGTCTCGACCGCTTACCGCATCATTGTTGTTGTGCTGCGGCTTTTTTTCGCCGCAGTTTACACTCCGTCTCTCACACCTTGGCCCTGGCCTTTCGCCCTCACCTCTTCCTCAGCTCGACACATGAGGATTGGCCGAACCGCCCAGGCTGGACTAGGCCGCCTCACGGGATGGATATGTACGACATGTCGAGCACGCCAGACCCAAGATCGGGCGACGTACACGTATAATGCTCCAACCACGGCTGCAAGCGTTGGACGCATCCATACGCGCACCTATTCCTCAAGCCCTCCTCTGAAACGCGGGAAACTACCAGACACTCCCGCCCGGACCAGATTCGCGCCGTCGCCTACCGGAAACCTCCATCTCGGTTCCATCCGTACAGCACTCTTCAATTACCTGCTCGCCCGTGCAACCCAAGGCCAGTTCCTCCTGCGCATTGAAGACACGGATGCGAAACGCACCATCCCCGGCGCCGAAGAAAGACTGTACAGAGACTTGACGTGGGCAGGGCTTAATTGGGATGAGGGTCCTGTGGTCGGCGGTCCATACGGGCCCTATCGACAGTCCGAACGACTACCTCTTTATCAACAGCACATAAAGTCGCTTCTATCCACGGGCCACGCCTATCGGTGCTTCTGCACACCTGAACGACTAGACGACCTAAACCGGCGGAGGCACGAGAAGGGCCTAAGTCTGGGCTACGACCGGAAATGTGCACACATTTCCCATGCCGAGTCTGAAGAGAGAGCCTCCAAGGGCGAAAAGCACACCATTCGCTTCCGGTCGCCGGATACATGGCCACGGTATAATGACCTGGTGTACGGGAAGAGTGGACACGGTGCGGAAAAGACAAAGAAACTCCTTGTGGATGAACCCGTCTATGAGGACGTTATCCTGATCAAGTCTGACGGATACCCTACATACCACTGGGCCAACGTCTGCGACGACCACGACATGCACATCACCCACGTCGTGCGTGGAAGTGAGTGGATGGCCAGCACACCGCTGCACGTCGCTCTTTACAAGGCCCTGGGTTGGACGGCGCCTTTGTACGCCCATGTACCGCTGCTGGTGGATGAGAACAAGCAGAAACTCAGCAAGCGCAACTTCGACTCGGACATTGCGAGTTTTCGGGACAAGGGTATCTTTCCTGAGACGTTGGTCAACTTTGCGGCGTTGCTGGGATGGTCGCACACTCAAAAGAACGACGTCATGGACCTCGCCCAGCTCGAGAAGCTGTTTGATCTGAAAATCACAAAGGGCAACACCATCGTCTCGTTCAACAAGCTCGAGTACCTTCAGGTCCGTCATGCGCGGCGCCGGATCCAATCCCGCGGCCCGAACTTTGAACAAATGGTTCGCGACCTCGCTGTGGCCGTGCTGGATCGTTACGGCGCTCGTAATGTGACTGAATTCATCGGCACGAGACCCCTACAGGAGGTTCTGGCGTCGATGCTCGAGATCGAGTCGTTCAAGTACCGCTCCCCAACAGACTTTGCGGACCAACTCTCGATTTTTTTCGAACCTGTCTCGTTGACCGCGGCGCACGCCACACCCCCCGACGTCGATGCGTCGCTGCTGCATTATCTCCGTGTCGCGGCTGCGACGGTATGTCTCGTCCCGCAAACCTCATGGAGTGAGAGTGTCCATCTATCCCAGCTGAAGAGCTTGGAGATGTCCCCTGACGAATCTGTCGATGCAGCCCGGTGGAAAAGAGATCTGTATCATTATCTTCGATGGGCCTTGGCCACGGGCCCCAAGGGTCCACCTGTCGCGAAGACGCTTGAGCTTCTGGGGAGGGAGGCGTCGGCGCGTAGACTCCAAGCTGCAAATCTGAGAGCTCAAGAACTCATGGCCGCCTCCTCGAAGCCGAAGATCGAAACCGAGACCTTCAAGGGCAATGCCGACGGGAAGAGAAGGTTTGAGAAGGAGTGGACCGGGCATAGTCTGCCTGTGTAATCAATAAAATGCTACTGTATGCTAAGGCATCTCTCATCACCTATATCTAGGTATGTATGTAACTAGTATGTATCTGTACATGTACATATAGACACCTCACATGGATTTGGATGTGTGTATCATCTGTACTCTCCTTGTACAAGGTGTTTTGGACTCCTGACCATCCCAAAGCAGGTGCCTTATGTAGGTAGGTAGTCAGCCATCCAAGAAACGCACAGTCTATCCATACACATCTACGTCTCTACATCCTCTGTCCTTCTGGGGTTCTACTTGTCCTCCCATGTCCTGGTCGGACGGTTCTCAGCGTCGCCTACGTAGACTACTCGATTCATGGCGGTCATGTAGACGATCTGTTTTATCAGTACGTACCCACCTGGGCAGGTAGTTGAACGTTGGAGATTTGCTGTTCACACAGGCCTCATACACCCCCGGGACCACCAGAGCACCCTGGAATCTTCCCTTTTGGTTCTTCCAGGTGTTTTATCATCGCCAGTGCGACAATAACACGGGCATGTAGACCCTATGTACAGATTCGGTGAATATGCAATGGCGTTCCTAGCGTCCACTCACTCGGCACTTAAGGTATTTCATTGCATATACCTAGTCACCTACGCGTTCGGAGTGAAAGAAAGTCATGCAAGCAAGTCACGTCGAAAGTGACCCGCTTCAAGTACCTAGTACGTGCGGCATGTAAAAGTCCTACTCGGTAACCTCTCTGACCATCTCCCAGTTCCCTTTCAGATCCTCCTTCCACAGCGTGACCTTGTTGTCGCCACCGCTCACGGCCAGGACGTTCCCGCTCAACGACCAACTGACGCGCCACAGCACGGCGTCGAACTCGAGCGTCTTGGCCAGCGTCCACGAAGCGGCGTCGGCAGGGTTCACCGACGTCCAGATCTTGACCGTCTTGTCCTGGCTCGCGCTCGCAATGTAGCTCTTGCTCAGCAGCGTCGGGCTCCACGACACGTCCCTCACCCAGTCGACGTGCCCGTTGGGGAGGACCACGCTGGTCTCGTAGGTTTGGCTCTGCGCGTTGAACTCCCACACCTTGACGCTGTTGTCGCTGCCGCCCGTGACGAAGCGGCGCACCGGCGACGCAGACGCAGACGCAGATGATGTCGACGATCCGCCGCCGTCTTTGCGCGTGATGGCACCCGGCGCGCCGACCGGCGACCAGCTCACGGCGTTGACGCCCATGGTGTGCGCGGGGAAGATGACGTGCGCCCATTGATTGTCGCGGAACTCGAGCACGCTGACGTTGCCGTCGGAGCTGGCGCACGCTAGCAGACAGCCTAGCTCGGGCGGCGCCCAGGACACCATGTTGACGCTCGCCGTGTGGATGGTCGACGTGAAGACCAGTGTCCATTGCGCCGGGCCGTTGGGCTGTTGGGACGGTGTTTCGCGGTAGATGTGCACGCGGCCATCATACGATGACGACGCGAGGAGCGTCCCAAACTTGGGATGCGCCCACGATACGCACCAGACTGCGCCTTCGTGTCTGCCACATGTCCATGTCAGCTCAGGCACCTGTACCCGATCGAAGGGGGGGCAGGGAGGACGAATATCGGGAGAGGGGATGGTTTGTGGTCGTCGCCCAGTCCTTCCTTGCTCAGCACCACCGACAAAAAGGCGTGGCCAGGCAGTGCATGTAGAACAGAGCAAAACCGTAAACAGTAAAGAAAGGTCATAGCATACCCTTTGAGAGTCTCCGTTAACCGGTGTTGGTCCCCGTCTATCTCGAAGATCTTGATCGTCTTGTCGCTCGAGCACGTTGCGAGGCGTCGACCGTAGTAATCCAGTACCGCGTCGTGCTATTTCCCAGATCATTGTCAGCCATGGCCTTCTTCTCTTCTCTTGACGGTCCAGGAGGAGAATTCTTCTCCATCGCATGTGTCCCACTTCATTCCGCAAAAGTCCGCTGGTACTGTAGGAGGGATGCAGGCCGGGGAATTGGATAGGTGGAACGTACAATCATGTCATCGTGACCCGAGTTCGCAATGACTTGCGCCTGTATACACAGAGACACAAAAATTAGCACCAATTCTTCCGGTAACAAACCCAAACCACCTTGCCACACGCCCATAGATCTCGCGAGAGGCCAAATCTCCCATACATCTTTCGCAGCCATTCTGTAACCGTCCCCTCATTCACGTACCATTTTCAACAAGCCACCCCCTGGTCTGCTCCTAAGAACTCTCGACGCTCGTCTTCTGTAACCAAGCTGGGAAAGTACGTGGCGAGTATTCTACCGCATCCGGTGTGCAATCTCCGGGTCTGGGCACGCAGAAAGAGAAGAAGAAAGAAGGTGGATAGTATGCTGTGCGTTGTGATTTGCGATCTGGCTTCAATAAACAGCATTCGCAGACGCAGACGCAGACGTGAGGGCGCAATGTCCAATTGTTGCCGCAGATCAACCGACTTCGCCATCTTATCTAATCATGCAGCCTTGTTCCAGTTTAACTGTAATGTACAGGATCCTGCTTCGACGTCTTTCATTCATGCTTCTCTGGCCACTTTGCAACAACCAAGCATCCATTGTGGGTGTGAAGGACTGTCTCTAAACCACCTTGACTCGCCCAATAGCAGCCAAATCCGCAGGACTCAGCGCCTCCTAATGCAACGCCCCGCTGGATGAAAGCACTCTCTGTGACAATACCCCATAGTAAAACAGCTCCGAGAAGAATCCTGAACCAGTCGGTAGAAGATGGCCAGGCAAAGCATCCGTCACAAAACATTGAAGGAGGAACGCCTCCACATCAATGCAATAAATGGCCTTCATCTCCTTCCCATACTCCCTAAACCATACCTTATCTTCCGAGAGGAACATCATGCTTGTGCAGTCCTTCTGCCCAGACCGGTAATTTCTTGTCTCGCTCATAGATAAGTCCACAATTGTTGCAAAGAGTCTGGAACGGATTAGCGTGAAGAATATCAACATCGTAACAGTATTGCTCACCCTTGGTCCGAGTGGTCCATCCCTGACAGCCCAGATAGCATTGCCCCAGATGAGACAATGCTTACATCGCCACGTCTGCCTTTCAAACTCTTGCAACCTATTACCCTCACCACCCCAAGCAGCACTGGCAGAGCTTTCGGGAGTTCCAGCTTTGCCGGTGGGACTTAGAGAACGGAACCGCCTCTTCTTCTTGCTTCTCTCCCCACGACCAAGAGATGGTGTATCTTCACCACCTGCCCCGACCGCAGTATAATCAAAGTAACTTCCACGTAATTGCGCTTCTTGTTCTCGTGCAGACGGAACCATTCCAGCAGTCGAACTGAATCTTGCAGTTTCTCTTCGCAACCGTCTTAGTTGTCGTTCTCGATCGCCTTCCCGCTTCTCAATCTCTTCTTTGCTCAACGCCTCGAATTTGGGTTCCCATTCTGCACCAAAGTCGTCGATATCGTATCGCCAACCGGCACCTTCTTCAGCTCGCACGGCTTGATTGTCAATCTCACCACCACCCCAGGCGCCGCCCCCGATCATGACCATCCCGCCCTCACAAGCTTCCTTCTTCAACCTCAGGACCGCTTCGTAAATGGCATGGGTGATGGCCATGACCCATTCACCATTCAGACCCATGTCGGCACATGTCTGTTTAGCGAATGCCTCTGCTGCACCAGGTGGGTGCAAGAGGGACCACTCGAATTTGTCTTGGTAAAGCTTCGAAGATAGGTAAATTGACAGTGTTATGACGCACCGAAATGAATCGTCCGGGTTCAGAGATAGGTCGTCAGTCGAGTTGTCAGATACTATGACAGGTTCTGCTGGGAGGGGTGAAGCAGCAGCTGTTACTGATGCGCCATTAGCAAGTGTTACTTGCCGAGGGGTAGAAGGAGCAGGAGTGGCCGGCGCTGTCGATGCAGGACGCGATATTGAAGCACCGAAAATAGGCCTTGGAGTTCCATCACGGGAGCTGCCATTGACCACCGCTGACGGAGTACCGGCATTGTTCACTTCAGGCATCTGTGATCTCTTCCCCTGGGTATGAAACAGTGGGTGCATGGCAACTCCGGCATAATCCTCGAGTTGATTTCGGATTTGCTGGCTGACATTCATTGCAAGCGCAGTCTGATTTGGCAAGTCGAGCTCCCTAACAAAATTCAATGCGAAATCATCAGGAGTCAGTAGTTCTTCATGGAGGTTCCATAGAAATATGTCTCGGATCTTATACGCGGGTGTAGGCTCGGGTCGCTTGAAGACTGGAAGTGCTGGGTTAACGCCAACGGCCATGGCCTGTGAGGGTAGAGGGTATGGTGAATCTGGCTGATGCTGGGGGACGTCGAGATCGATCCGAATGGGTATCAGCGTCAAAGGTAGCTGAGCTTGTATGTGCGCCTGGCAATCGGTCCTATACAACATGGGTACCGGGTCAATACTTGGATCATTCCTGAATTGCACGAGGGGCTCAAAAGAGTTGGGGCAACACATGAGAGACGTCTCAACTTACTGGGGTCTGACGGTCCTCCGAAGTATCCATTCCCGGTATATGGGCTGCAAGTCTAAGGGTTGATGTAACTCCTTGCCCAGCTTTTCATGTTGAGGCTCTCTCTTCTCGAGTTCTTCTCTTCGTAACGATCGCAGACCTGTTGGCCGCCGTGACGACTCGCTGTCATCGAAATCGTCATCATCATAAGCATCGTCGGCATAGTTTATGATTGTGGTCCCGCGTTTCGTCGTGCGACTTCCTGGGCCGACATTTTGGGTCTGCAGGACAGGTTGGAGTAGGGTATTGGCGTATTGACGGAGTCGCGGCGGATAGCTGGTAACGAAGGCCTGCGCGGGAGCCATAGCGAGGACCTATTTGAGGGCTATACCATTGTCAGAACGCTGCGGAGCAATGAGGATGCAGAGTAGCTGGACTCTATGCGAGATTTCACAAAGACACGTACTGAGTCGCCAGTCGCAAATCTTGAGCCTCCCAGACATGTCGCGCGCATCGCGGCCGACAGAAAACTGATGTCAGGCCCAAAGGGTAACAACAGCCCGCTGCTTTAAGGCTGCCACACGATAGCCTCCCTGTCTCACTTCAGCGTTTACCACATGTACCTGATGTGTACCTACGTATCTACAGTAACGGAGAACAGCTCGTGTCTATGTCTCTAGACCTGCAGGGGCTCATCGCGTCAAGAAGAACAACTCAAGGTGCTTGGAGAGTCCTCCGAGTGCAAATGAGCCTTAGAAAGCGACCCAAGGTGATGAATTCCCTTGTGAACCCATGACCCGAGCGCAGTGCTAGTTGTGGAAGCCCCGAATGCTGCGACGCGGCTGTTCTAATCCTATCAGATGTTGTCACCGACACGGGGTTCGTCAGATGCAGAGAGGTCTCTCGAGATGGAGGTCAACAATCATGAATCCATCCCGGCTACGAGTTACTTTGTCTGAAGCAGGAACGTAGTGGCACTTTGCAGCTAAACTCCCTGTATCCGCGGGGCTTTCCTGAGTACGGCACCACATATTGCCAATCGGGAATTCTCACGGGACGAATGGACTACTGGATGGGGGATAGATCGGCTTCTTTATCAACAATACAAACAACGAGTGTCACATACGGGTGGGCACGGCAGGACTTCTGTTGTTTCTCCCCACAGCCCCGCGCTGTACCTGGTCACTAACAATCTACAACAAACGTACATATACTTTGCACTGCAGTCAGGACCAGACATCTCAGCCTAACGGCACTCCAAATACGCAGCGACATCGCCAACTGAAACTCGACTTCAGACCGCAAACGCAAAACTGACAACATGTCTCGATACGTGAAGATCGACTGCCACTCTCATTACCTTCCGCCGTCAGTACTGAAGGGGTTCTCGCCTGTGAAGCGCTACTCGCTGACGATAGGACAGGGGATATCGCGATGCTTGCGCCGAGAATGGACATAAGAACCCAGATGGCATGCCTGCGATCCCAGTATGTTGTTAAAGGAGGCTCCTTGCCATAAATCTCGGATTTTGCTGACTGCTGATATGTAGCCATGGAGCCCAGAAGCGCATTTGGATATGATGAAGGCGGTGAATATCACCAAGTCAATCCTTAGCATCAGTTCACCCGGCACCCATCTTGTACCCGGAAATCTTGACTTGACTCGCAAAGTCACGAAGTACTGCAATGACTACGCAAGTGATCTGAAGAAACAGAAGCCTGAGCAATTTGGGTTTTTTGCATCACTGCCCCTGTCAGACGTGGAGTTCTGCCTGCAAGAAATCCCACGGGCATTGGATGAGCTCGACGCAGATGGATTCGCCGTTATGACCAATTTTGGGGGTTCGTACCTTGGTGACAAGACTTTCGATCCGATATTCGAGCTCCTGAACCAACGCAAGGCCAAAATCTTCATCCATCCAACCACGCCTTGTCTGAAGGACGGTACAGCAGCCACCCCTCTGCCTCACTTTCCTCGACCGGTCTTCGAATTCCTGTTCGACACAGCGAGAGCGGTCATGAATCTGTTCATGTCAGGGACAGTGAGTCGTTGTCCCAACGTGACATTTCTTGTGACACATGTGGGCGGTGCGTTTCCTCCTCTGATCAACCGATTCTCGGCCTTTGCTTCGGCTGTGAAGGTTCCTGGTGTTGATTCATCGGTCAACCCTCAGTGGGTGAAGGAGAGGTTGAACAAGCAATTCTACTTTGACTCGGCTGGATGGTCACTCAGTGAGCAGATGAAGGGCATGTTGGAGTACGTTACGGTGGATAGGATGCTGTATGGAAGTGATTTTCCGTTCACATCGCTTCCGTATGTGCAAGTTTTGTCGGACATGCATGATCAGTATCTGCCTGAGGTGTTTCCGCGCGACGAAGATCAGGAGAAGTTGTGCAGCAAGAACGCATTGCAGCTGTTCGGGAGCAAGAGCTCGCTATGAGCGACAGGGCCATCGCTGTCGTCGGACACCTGTAAAAATGCGGTCACTGACCAGGCACCCCAGAGTCGAGGGGTTGCGCTGGGAAGCCTTCCGATATGTCTCGCGGGAAAGCCCGCTGAATCGGGTGATACACAATTTCATTTCTTATTGAGACCTGCCTCCATCGTCATGATTTGTTGCATCACATTGTCCTGCTACCCCGGAAGACGTCGATGCGATCACCGTAGAAGCCCAGTGCTGTGCTTGAATTGCTCCATACCAAGCCTTGGGTGTCTTTCTTGGATATTGCGTCCGCTTGCTCCTCACCGGTGATGTGTCCCGGGCACACCCCCCAATGCCTGTCTTGGTTATCGTCATTGAGCCATACTGTACGTAGGAGGATGAGGTCATTGCTGGTGTCAAGCCAAGCTGGATTGTTTATAACAAGAACTTCTTGCTCATGATCCCAGGCCTATGCCGTTGGCACTTCTCATGACCGCACCACAACCTCAAGCACTCACGAGATTAGAGTAGACATTCCAGAACTCGAAGCAGAAGCAAGCGAGCACCATGACAGACACCCAACAGCCAACAGAGTCCCACTCAAAACTATTCGGACTTGAAGGCCAAAAAAGAGCATCAACAACAGCAGGCTCTGGTGCCGGAACGGGGATCACTGGCACAAGCGGACATGCTGGATCGTTAAACAACAAGGCCCCCGATGCACGGGTCGAAGCAAGTGAGAAGACCGTTGCTGGCGTGCCGCATGGAGGGAGATCTGGGACAAAGCCGGGTTCAGGAGGAGAGCCGCTTTATCCTAGTCAAAGAACTGGAACGATTGGAAAGGATGCCTGAGAGATTACTTGACTTTTGTCTGCGGGCGGGAAGCAAGAAGAGCCAAAGCGAAGAGGACTCAATAATGAGGTGCCTTATACGAATATGTTAAATTGCGTTTTTCTGCTGCTGAGTGAACACTGCTGCTCTTCAGGTGTATGATAATGTTTCCACATGGAATTTCGACAAATTGTGCTCATGATTGTGTTCGAAGGAAGGGTGCATATGGGTGTGGTCGATGTTGGTATTGAACAATACTGTAAAGGAACTACGAGCACGTTAAGTGGGCACCTACGGGTGGGCTAGTTAGTGCGCTAGTTGGTGACTTCAACACCTGTACGTAGGCTGTTTAGGCTCCCCATTATAAGGCTCTACGTGCCTACGCCAACGTGGCTAGTGGGCTTGAATCTGACAGCAACAGCGGCCCCTGGGGCTCACTAATTAGTTAAACGTAGTTAGGCTCACTAGGCCTCCTGTTAGACGCCCGAGCACCAGCACAAGGGCCTGCTAAGCCTCGAAGTTACTGTAGTTGGACTCTCTGGTCCGCCGCGTGGGAAGTGAAGCGGCTACTGGGCGTCTAAACGGAATCCGACGAGGTGATCCCGTCTCATCTCATGGCTTACAGAGAACCTTGAACTCTACCAAGTGCTATTAGCAGTAACCGCTAACAACGCCAAAATTAATACTCCTTCCAACTTCCAACCTCCAACCTCCAACCACACCCATCGCTTCGCTTCTACCACTCCAGACACCTCAGCTGATGTGTCGTCTGCCAACGCTTCATAGCCATCCACCTGCCCTTCCTACTCTCAATATCTCATATGCGCGCTCAATGTTGAGCGAGAACACCTGAGCTGTCCTGCGCAATCGCCGTCCTGCTTGCGACAATCAACCGACATCTTCAGATTCACATCACACGCTCGAATTGGCTGCGGCTCCGGCAACGCCCAATCAGTCACATCGCCACACCGGCTATTCGCTCCAGACTCGCCCATCACGGCGTTGTCAAGTTATAACACTCTCGACACTTCTGACGACAAGATCTATACCGCTCCGCCGCCTCACTCTCCAATTTCTGAGGGCTCATCCGCCGGTTCTCCTTCCCAACGACCACCGCCCTTTTCCTCCCTTTATTTCCCTACCGACGCCGAGCTCGATCGTATCAGAGCAACTGTCACTGAGACTGCTTGCGACTCGCTCTTAGCCAGTGCCCCGGCGCCCTCCTTTGAGGAGGCTCTCGCCGAAGACGAGGTCGAGTGCAAGGTCGAGGCCGAGACAAAAGCCGCACTACCTCCGGACACCAAGGCACAGTCTTCCAGAGCCGTTGAAGAAGGAGAGCCCCCGCCGCCTTACACCGAGGGTTCAAGTCCATTAGATTCCTTTGCCTACATCATGGCGGTAGCAGGTGGTGCCGCGAGCATCATAACACAAGTTCAACAAACCCCAGGACCGCCGATCAATACGTTAGGAGGTATGAATACTCTCTCGAGTGGGGTAAAAGTGAAAACAAGGTTCTGATGCAATATTCAGCAGGAGAAGCCGCTGCAGATGAACACATCACATTGGATCTGAGGTACAGTCTGCTCCGGAACTGAAACGCAGATGAGAAATTGACACTGGCTAGGGGCACCCGCTTCACGCTTTCCAGGGAGGAATTGTTGACGTTGCCCGAATTCGTCCTCCTCTCCCTCTTTCCCAATGGCCTATTACCAGACGGCCACATGAACTCGTTTCATGATGGCGATGTCTATCCCGTCGACGTACGTTTCACATCAAGAACCCACCCCTTCATTGTCCTTGCGAATCCTTGTATTTATATTGGAGACATTACTTATCGTACACAGTATGACCCAGCGTCCTTGCAGTATATGTTAAATTTCTTCCGTGACGTTGCGCAATCGATACCTTCAAGATCGCCTTCACCAACCACTCCATCCGAAAATGACCCCATCTCGATCGAACCACTCCAAGGTTCCACCAAAGACATGCTCCAAGATAGAGCGGGGATTATCGTTCTGAGAGAAGACCTCGACTTCTATGTCATTCCTCCTCGACCCGACATTGAAGCGCTGGAAATGACCGAAGTCAAGAGAGCCGCGGGAAGGTCACTGGTCAAGCAAAATGGCATCTTCTCGGGACTAAAACGAAGCGAAGAAGCCGGGACCACCGAGCAGCATCTAATAGAGATGTTGACTGCTGGGTATGTTTGTCCTTTCGAATGCTGTGAAATGCTGTGCTGACGGAAACACAGTGGTTTCAACCATGATGACAGCTGGGGCCACCGAGCAGGAGAACCTAACAAAGCAGTTATCTGCAGTCTAGCCCTTGCCCGACTACGGACAGATGTCAAGGGCGATATTGCAGGAAGCAATGCGGTCGGCATGGCTCAGAAGCTATTGCTGTTTTGGAGAAAACCTGCAAGAAGATGCTGGTGGGAAGGAGTAGAACTGGACGATGTTGCTGGCGTCGAGGGCAAAGTAAAGGTCTGGATTCGAAGAGTATGGACTCTTGAAATGGTAAGTGTTTGCATATCAAGAGAGTTTTTGCTGTTGATTTACTGACGTTATCTGCTTTAGAGTGTCATCGGCCTGCGGTGATATAGTGCATAAGTTGCTTTTCGTTAACATGGGTATTGTTGGTCCCGGACGTCAGTCAAAGTCTGGCCTTTTGTCGTGATATCCTTTTGTTGGGCATGCTATGGAGTATTGTGGATATGGAAACATAAGGTAGTTGAGCGACAGATGCCACATATGGCTTTGTATATCAATTTCGAGTTTCGTTGGTGAAGTCCACGTACGAGTACAAGTACATCAGTTGTGGTGGTGAAATTTCTCTAAGCTGAGACTTTATCCAACAATTCTATTCTCTGTATTTTTGTGGGGGATGGCAACGACAAGTGACACGTAGTCGTCCAGGTGTGTGTGTATCATAAAATTCATAACTTGTCCTTGGTGCGTGTCGGTGTCAGTGCATCAGCCTTGACCCCTGATCCAGCGAGCTGTGTGGTGGTGGCGATGGTCGTTGCTGTCGTTGTTGAGTCGTCCAACGCTCCCGACGCCTTTGTCTTTTCGTAATCTGGTCTCAACAGTTCAAATCCCTCGGTGACCCGTCCGTAAGTGATGCCGCCCAATCTACATATTGGACGGAGGACCTGTCGGGAGAGTACTCTCAATGGTTTACCCTGGGAAGTTGTATATTTTTGGAAGGTGGGTAGAGAGGGAGGGACAGGGATAGTGGCGGAGAGGACGGAGAGAGAGAGAGAGAGAGAAAGAGTCTCACATTCGGGTCAATCATATTCAGATCCTCATTGACGGCATCCTCCCTCACCCAGAAATTCACCCCTTCCAGAAGGGCCATGGCACCAGACTTGCGGCCCGGTTTGGCTCGGCTTTCAAACTCCTTGACCTCGTCGACCAGCTTGCATTCCACCGCGAACACACTCTCCTTCACCCGCGCCGGCTTCACGTGCGTGCTGGGGGCGGCGTGGAGTCCCGAGAGCGTCCATTCCGACACGCCCGGGGGCGCGTTGATGGACGTCGCGTTGGCGGCTTCGATGAAGTGTTCCGACACCATGTTGAGGACGCCTGTATGGGCGAGAGAGAGTGTGTGACGGTCAATAAATTTGAAATTTGTGGTGGATATTTTGGAAATGTCGTTCAGTCGTGGGTGCGTGCGTGGACGATGGAGACGCGAGGGAGGGAAGGGAACGTAGTGGCAGGCAGGCAAAATCGCTAAAAAAAGATTTTGAAAACTCACATTCTCTCGTATCAATGAGATTCTTGAGCGTGTCTTTGGCATTCTGTAAACCGCCCGAGATTCCCACGGTGAACATCGGAGGGTCCGAACAAACGAGGTTGGTGTAGGAGAATGGAGCGAGGTTTGAGGATTTGCCTGTTTTGGGCGGGAAAGATGTTGGATTTTCCATGTTAGTACAGACGGTCCATGTGTCATATGCGCTTTTGCCGTTCGAGATATGAACAAGTACTTCAGACGTAGATGTCTCAACGGAGGTGGGTAGGTGGGTAGGTAGGTAGGTAACTTGGTTCTCTTCTTTTCGGTCTTTGGGTCTTCCGTCTTTCGTTCTCCTTTCTTTCACTCACTCACGCACACAATCATGGCGTCAACGACACCGGGTATGAGGCGCTCCCGTTCTCATGCTCGTAGGCAACTCGTAGATAGCCGTAGACACAGCACACCCGGAACTCACTTGAAGATGCGGAGTGAAAATCAACAGTCACTCACCGTCCTTGGAAATCGTACTGAAGAACCCAATCGGTCTGGGCACGAAGCCTGAAATGAGCAATTTGTAATTAAACGCCGACGGCCGCCCTTGAGCATAAGGGTCGATTTCGACGTGGTCCTTGGTCAGCGACGCCCCGTTGTCGTTGCCGCCCTGGCCCCATGTCCAGTTTGGATCGCGAGTTTTTGTAAACGTCCAAGACGACGACGACGACGACGACGACGACGACGACGCGTGGTAACCGGCGTCCTCGGACCTCCAGTCTGGTCGTGACGCCTGCACGAGGTGGAAGTCGGGGTGTGGATTGCGGTTGATGGACGCTTCGTGTTTTGCTCGTTGGAGATGTGCGGGAGGGTGGTTCGATGGAGACGAGGGAGACATCGCTCGACCGAGGGTGTGTTTTATGAATCGTAGAGATTGTATTGTTGCGTGAACGCAAGTACAGGTAGACACTCGAAGCAACTCTTCGGACGACGTACTTGTACTCGGTAGGTGTCGATGATCACAAGTTAAAACGGAGTACGGAGAACGGAGAGAATATTTCTTGCAGGGATGCTTGTGAGCTCTAACCAACCTACTACAGTGGTACATCCTCTATACGGGGTCTTTTCGACTCAATACAACCTCTATACCTACAGTATCCGAGGTAGACAGACACACCGTGGTCCATATTTCTACCTCGACTTCAGCTTTGCCATCGACACTATACAAAAGAAGCGCCAACATCAAAAACTCCATGTACACATTTCCATGCTACGCAAGCCGTCTGGGGACTATGTACTCAAAACAGACACACGTACACTACCACAATCCTGTCGCCAAAAAACAAATAACTCCAGGAAAACCCCGCTGGCAAGCTCGTCACGCTTCGTAACACTCGGCTCAATACCCAACTTAGCATGCTCACAACGGTCAAGAGAAGTTCTGTGAAAAGAACGGCATAACTTTCTCGAGTGCTTTTCTGACCTCAATCGCCTCCTTTTCCATCTTGACCCTCTGAGTCCGCATGACTTCGATATCATCCTGTAATTCCCGATGTTTGGCCTGCATGTCGCCATGTCGACCACTTAGTCCGTCGATTTCACGCCTCAGGGCCGCCTTCTCTGCCTCGTGAGCCTCAATGTCCGCCATCAGTGCAGACAGTTCACCCTCCTTGCGCCGTAGGGTTTCTTCGTGTTTGCTGCTGGCACTCGTCATACTTGTGATTTGCTTGCGCAACTCATCGTTCTGACCCTGAAGTTCTCGGAGCAGTTTCTTGGTGTTGCCGAGCTCGTCGTTGGCATGGGCAAGCTTGCTCTCTGCGTCTTTGTCAATCTTCGACAAAGCGCCTTCGAGGTCGTGAACCTTGCGGTCCTTGCCAGATAGTTCACTCTTCAGAGCGCGGATCTGTGATTCGTAATCATCGGCCTTGCGCTTGGTTTCTTCCGCTCGTAATGATTCCGAGCGCTGAAGTTTCTTTTCGAGCTCCTCTGTCGTGCGTTCGCGCTGAGAGATCTGACTTCGCAACGAGCGCATCTCTTGCTCGAGAGACGTCGATTTGTTGTCTCGCTCTCGTTCGGCTTGGTGGAGAGATGCCTCGAGCTCCGCAATCTTCCGGTCCTTGACACCCAACTGAGACTTGAGCGTACGCAGTTCCTGACTGATATTCTCGAGCCGATTGTCCGTGGATGAATGATGCTTCTCGACGTTCTCGAGCTCTTCTTCTAGCCGTTCGATTTGTCTCTGCATTTCTTTCTTCTCGGCCTCCAGTCTTGTTATGATCTGACCGGCTTGCAACACTTGTTCGCGACGCGTGTTCAGTTCTTCTTCGGTCTTCTTCTTGGAATCGAGGGCTGCATCGAGTTGGTCTTCCAGAGTTTCTTGCTCCGTGATGGCTTCGGAGAGCTTCTCGGTCAGCTCACTTTCGCGAAACTGGAGACGCTTGAATATCTCCTCCTTGTCAAGAGCCAAGGCACGTTCGGCCTCAAGCGTCTGTCGGACACGCTGGGCGTCTATTTCAGCACGGCGTCGCTCGTCTTCAATACGATGGCGCTCGGCAGCTTCTTTCTGCATCTTGGACTGAAGCATCTCAATCTTCTCGTCACGCCTCTTGACTTCGCTCGCAGTCCGGGTCGCTCCTAGCAGAGGCTTCATCCGGACAAACAGGCGCCACCAGGGATTTGCTTGAAGGTCGAGATAGACATTGAGATTTCGCTGAATAACCCGGGTTGCTTCCGCGCGATAAAGCTGCTTGAAAGCTACGCGTCGCTGCATAAACCCACGAGCCACTGACTGAAACCTTGACATGATATCCCGGATTAGACTGTCTCGCTGCTCTTCCAGGTCTGCGAGTACACCTGCTCTGAAGAAGACTTTGGTCAAACCTACCCTATAGTTTTGACCGTCCATCTTCAACCGATCAAGCATAATCTTAGCAGCCTCCTGACCTCCCAAGTAGCCTTTGGGCATGTTCTCGCAAAGCACCTCGTACCTTGATCTGAATTCAGCAAAAGTAAGTCTGTTGGGGAAGCCAGTTCGTGCGATTCTTATGCCCTCCAGCACACCATTGCACCGAAGTTGGTCTAGGACCAGCGGCGCGTTGAACTGTTTGGGCTTCTTTTTATGATTGGGTAAGATGCAACGAACAAAATGTGGCTGTGTTGAGTGCAGTTGTCGCATCAAGCTGCTCAATTGCTCTTTGTGCCTTTGAGCGACAGTCCGGAACAGCCCCTTTTTGACGCGACTTCGAGGGCTGTATGGCTCGTCGATTTCGTCAACACAATCGCCAAACAAGTTCGCTATATGGCTATCTTTCGAGCATGCCAAAAGACGGGTTAGATTATCATTCAGGGGGTCCTTGTTCTTCTCAAGCCAGCCTTCGGTAGAGTATTCAACTTCGGCAGCATAATGAGTCAATATGAAGCCCTGCCTGGTCTTTGCCGCGGCATACTTGGGAGTTTTCTTCTCCCACAACGAATGGAGCTTATCTGTGAACGACTTATCTGTTGCCTTAGGCATAACAGAATCCTCGTCCAGGCAAGAAAAGATGCCAATGGGGTTGGGAAGCTCGATTAAATCGATGGTTGGCTGAAGATCCTTCCCGAAATCGATGAACTGCCATTCGATTTGTTCTCGAGCGTATTCCTCTTGCTCCAAAACAAACATGTAATGGTTGAAGAATTGTTGCAGCTTTTCGTTTGTGTAGTTGATGCAGAGCTGCTCGAAGCTGTTGTTCTCGAAAATCTCGAAACCCGCAATATCAAGCACTCCGATAAAGTGGCTGTCGTCGCTACTGACACCGCCCCGGTCAAGTTGGGCATTGATCTTGTTTACCAAATCACCAAAGCCTCGTTCAAAAATCCCCTTGGCGAGAGCGTCAAGTGCAAGCCTGACCTGTTCAGGGGTTTGGACTTTCTCAACCCATTCTCTCCCAGCCTTGACCTTAGGGTGAAGTAGGCCTTTGATGAATGGCTCGGTCTGCACGCCTAGTAGTCTGCAAGCCTTATCAACAGATGCTTTCGCCTCCGGAGTCAAGGTGGCCTGGTCCGCTGCCCTGCTTTCTTGTCGCACTGCCACATTTCCGAGGTGAAGGATTGCCGCAATAGTCTTGAAGACCTCCATTTGCTCCTTTTCTGAAAAATTCATGATATGAAATGCTTCGATGAGGGTATTCCATTCATCGCGGTCGGACACACCACTGATGATTTCATTTCCAGCACGGAGGTAGGCGAAATCCGCTACATCCATACCAGACAGAAGGAGGATATCTCTTGTTCTTTGGTCTGCTCCAGCGAGCAGCTGGTAGAAGATGTGGTAACTCCGTTCTTGTTGACTGACCTTTACGACTCTTGACTTTTCGAGGAGGTACCAGTCGATAAATGCGCCCGCGATCTGACCGGATCGCGTAAACTGAATTCTGATAAATTTGCCGAATCTCGACGAGTTGTTGTTCCGTACCGTCTGTGCATTGCCGAAAGATTCAAGTATAGGGTTTGCGCGCAAGATTTGCTGGGAGAGGTTGGACAGTTGTTTCCCAGGAGTTCTACCTGTCAAAGGAGTGTCCAGATCGGATGTTGCAACGGCTGCGAGGTACTGAATGACCTTCTTTGTGTTCTCTGTTTTGCCGGCGCCGGATTCTCCAGTTACTAGAATACTCTGATTTTCCCCTTCCTCCACCAGTCTTCGAAAGGCTGCATCTGAAACAGCAAAAATATGCGGGCGTGTGTCTTCCCTCGTCTGGCCTTTGTACATTCTAACATAGTCATTGCCGTAGATTGGTAGGGGGCAATAAGGGTTGACGGTGACTAAGAAAAGCCCCGAGTAGGTGTATATGAGATCAGCCTGGTAGCGAGTGTACAGATTATGTATGACTGAGGCTTCATTAAGATGGGTGAGTTCTGCCATGTCGTCGGCCTTATCGAATTTGGCGGGGTTGACCTTATCCACCTCGTCGATGTCGGTCTCAATTTGGGAACCATTTTCAAATTGTACGAGTACCTTGTTGCCGGATAGTTCCTCTGTTATCCAGCCTCTCACAAAGGCTTTTTCCGGGTCCTTAACCCACACATATCTCTTTCCAGAGAAATCATTCTCGCCTTCTATGGCAGAGATTCTGTCCTCGCTCTTTCGCATCTCATCAGACTTGATGAACTTTGGCGCAAAAGTACTCGACGTGCTAGACTGCCTCTGGAGTGACTGCGTTCGGACATGATGCGGGATCGAAGTGAAGGAGGCCGTCGGCGAGTAAGAGTGTTGTCTTTCGTGCCTGGAAGCGGGAGTCGGAGACGCAAAGTGCATTGATCTCGACATGCTTGCCGGAGACATTGGCGTCGCTAGAGACATGTCTGAATTGTATGACCTGCTGAAGGAGTGGTGTCTTTGAGAATGGCCATTGAATGGTGAAGTATCGGGACTGCGATCATGAAGCAGCATCTTGCTGCACGGTCAAGAGGCCTGTCACCATATAGAGACAACAGCCAAAACAGATAAGAGAGTCAGTGCACAGGCGCTGAGCAACTTTGTTAAGCCGTTGTTGGGACTGTGCACGATGTCTGAAATCTTGACTGACATTTGGCTCTTCATGGAGGTGGCGCCGCCTCAGAAAGCAACAACAAAAGCCTCGTGAACTGTATTGCCCCGGAGACCAACGACGCTATTCCACTATGAGCCTAGCGTGTATGGTCAGGCAAAGACAACTCCTCCAGCACGCATGACCGACCGTACACTCTACGGTGGTGCATATCATCCGTGTGAGGTGCAACACGTGAAGGGGAATGTCAAGAAAGACATTTCACTTGTTGCCGCCCATGTGGAAAAAGCCTCCTGCGGTACTTTGCTGTTAGCCAAACACCATTCATCAGTTAAACCATTCTCAAGGCGCAGTATTTCGACAAGAGGAACAACTGGCAGAGCATCCTGACCGCGGAGTGATATCCCTTGTTATGCACCGACGTTGATGGACATATCTCAGGAGTAAGACAATCGAGCTTTTGTCTCTGCGCGTCTTGTCCTGTTCGCTCTTGGCCGACATTGGAATCGCCAGCTGGCTTAATGATGCCTCCGAGCGACTCTACTACGCAGGTCCGTATTTGCTGGCTTGCAAAAGTGTTGCAGTGATACCTATCGCCCTTGCTGTCGCGTCCCGCGGCACTGCGCAACATGGCGCATTCATATTCTTCGAACCCGTTCTCTACGGGCACACCCTCCTACGCTCCTCAACAGCCCTACTATCCTATCCCACATAATGGAACTCAGCAGCCTATCCATACTCCTCCAAGCTTAACACAGCAGAGCTCGCAGTCGGTTGCCTACCAGCACCAACCGGTGACGAACACTTCGAGATTTGAGTCAAATTCGCAACCCATGGGACCTGCGCCTACCTTCAATCCTTTCCACCCTCCACCAATTCCCCCCTCTACTCTGAGCGCCGACTTCTTCAAACAATTTGCTAATGCTGGCTTGCCGCCTCCACCGCCTCCCTCGTTTCCTCCTGTGCCTATTCCTAATACGACTGGATTTCCTCGCTTCTCCGCGCAGCCGACTGCTTCGAGTTCTTCACCGTATACTCCGCAACCTGTCCCTGCTTCCCACTCCTTTGCTTCAGGCGTGAATCTGGTTGAACAGTCTCGGCATACCCAGCAGGAACCGTCTTCAGGCAGGCAAATGGGAAAAGATGGAAGGGATCTGCGCCATCTGAATGAGCATACTTCCCGATCTCATAACACTAATCGAGGTGGGAATGCGCAAGCAGCCCGTGCTGTATTAAGAGAAGATGATGATAAAGGTATGCCCCAATGCGCTAAGTCACATTGCCGCTCACTTTTCCCGCAGATCAATCGCTCCCTTCGTTTGGTTCGCGATCGGATTTAGAACTACTTTTTGCCAACCTTCAGAACCAAGTTCCACAGGAAGTTGATGCACATCTGGCAAATTCTATGTCTATAGGGGGGTATGCTGGTGCAAACAGACAGCCATCCGAGGAACCTGGAGATGTATCTCGTGAGTGCATGTCGGTGGCAATCATATTAGACATGAACTGACCGTTGCTCTTAGCCTATGATCCTACACGACCAGCAACAATTGATGACCGAGCCATGGGTTCATTCCGTGGCCGGGTTGATAAATCTCAGGCTCAAGCGCAGAAGCCAATGCAGCGCAAGTATGATGATAAGCCGGTACCTGAGCTTCGCCAGTTGGCCAAGGGCGCTCTCTTGTCGCTTGTGCCACATAAAATCCTGTATCCTGAATTAGTCAAAGAAGGTATTCATCCTCAGGTCTTAAGAGAATTGTACGCGGAACTGGGTATCAAAGTGGATTTGGATCAAGTTCAATCAACACGAAAAGAGGCAGCCGAGCCAACTCGTACCGTCATGCCTCACTCAAATGCACCTGGCTCCCTCTTGGACCAGCAAAATGTACAGAACCCCTCTGACGACTCCTCATCAGGTGCACCATCAGGTGAGGTCTTCCACAATACAACGGTAACGGAAAAGCAACAAGCTGCTCCGACGCCCAGCATGGAGCGCAAGGATCGAATTGCTCAATTGCTTGCAGCAAAGGCAGGCCGACCGAGCCCTTCCACTCCCAGTGCAGGTTCACCTGCGCAAAGACAGGAGGCACTGCCGGCAGTTCCTCCTGCTAATGTCCTCGAAACATCTAACGCCTCTCCGTCAGCTCCGCACTCTCCACAATCGCAGCAGGAGACTCGTGCAGTATCCCAGGCTCAGATATCGAAGGCGAAAGCTCAGACAGAACTGGTTCGTGCAAAAATGGAGCAGCTCAAAAAAGAAGCGCAGGCAAAAAGTACCGCCGTGGGACAGCCACTTTTTGGGACGACATCTCAGTTGCGAAGCTCGATCACTCACTCTAGCCTGATTCCGGGGTTGTTCATGACGCCTGCAGGCTCTGCTTCCGATGAAGCTAACACTCAAGCAGACAACAGAATGTCTGTAATGTCGTCAGAAGAGCGGCCTGCAGCTAGTCCCAACCCTTTGAAGCGCTCGTTGTCTTCCGACCCTTCTGCCACAAGTACCGAGCCATTGATGAAGCGAATCCAAGTCGAAGATCCTGACGAACAGTCCGAAGGTGAAATCATCGAAGACGAGAGTGATGCAATGGCTATGGACTCCGAATCTGGATCTGCAGAAGTTCGAAATCAAAAACCCCCCCAGTCATTGCCAGCCGCTGTCGAGGAAATAGCAGCAGCCCATCCGTCGCGCAGTGATTCTGCCGTGGAAGCGGGTAACGACGATCTATATCGGATAAAGCAGACTGAGATCGAGGCGATGCGCAGAAGGATTGCTGAACTCGAGCAGCGTAACAAGTTGAAACGAAGTAAAAGCGAAGTTGAATCCCCTGCTTCTTCAAATCCGTCGACGCCGGTCATGACAAGAGCTGGAAACCCGTTAAGCAGCCCCCCTACTTCACAGTCTCTAGCAGTGAGTGGAGTCGCAGTGACGTCTAAACAACCCCGGTCAATCACAAAACTAACACCTGCGCAACTCGCGGAACGGGCGGCGGCGTTGAAGGCAGATCTCCTCAAGCAGCGCGCAGCTCGACAGAAGGTATTGCAAGAGGGACTACCTGACCTCAATCTGGAAGTCTCCAAGACTGAATTGCGTATTAAGAAAGTACGGGCTGATCTCTCCCAAGCTCGATCGAATGTTGAAAGCTATAGAACAGCTTTGGAACAATCGACAAACCTTGAAAAAGAGCTTGCCGAAGAACTTCACCGCCTCGAAACGCAACTACAAGAGGGCCGTACGGGGCAGAAGCAATATTTTGACGAGCTCCAACAAATTAAGATGGAAAAGTTAGCCGAAGCTCAAGGAGGCGGACCATCCAAAGTCGTCGAAACAATATCTGAAACGCAGCCCGCAACCGACGCCAGTCCTTTTCCCACGCCGGCCTCAAGACACGTGGAACAGCCAGCTGTAGAAGGAGACAGTGACCCGACTGCATTCGACCAGAGACTGCCTGAAGACGCTACTTCCAAAACACTTTCGATGGTCGACCGCGTTGAAGCTGCAAACGTTTCTGGAAGTCCGGAAGACGTCTTGAATGATGAACAGCCCGTGAAGGCAGTGATGGTGCCTGAACAGGAGCCAGAAGATACTCAAGGGGAGCAGATTCTCACGCGAGCTGATACTCTTCAAACACAGGAAATGGAAATCTCTCCTGAGCCAGACTCCGTACCCGAGCAATCATCATCTGGAGATATGGACTCTGGAGAGGTGACAGAAGAAGACACGGCGATGGATATGGGAGAGGATAGTGATGGCAGCGCAAGTATGTCTGATTCCGAGAGGGAAGATGAAGAGTACGAGCCCGCCGCAGCTGAAGATCCTGGGTCATTCCCGCAGTCCATGGAGTCCGACGAATATGATCCTGAGGAGGCTCCTGTCACAGATGCTACTCCGACTACCAATCAGTTCGAGAATGAAACAGATTTCTACGAACCGTATGAACATGCCGAAGATGTTGACGACCCAGTCAATGCTGAATTTACGGAACCGATGGCGACGGATCTTGCGCCTGAGCCGACCCCGGCTACGGGAACCCTATCAGAGGTTCGTGCAGAGAACGACCATGACGACATTGAATCCGGTCCTCAGTTGACGGAAGCGAACGCTTTAGTCAACAAGGAGCATTTCTCAAACAGCGAAAATCGTGCCGAAGAAATGGCCGTCCTTGATGGCGGAGCGGAAACTATCTCACGATTCGTTCCGTATAAAACCCCTCTATCGAATTTCAAAGACTTTCGTTTCCATGCGGACTACAAGGACAGCGTCAAGACCGGATATAAGTCGTTGACTTATTTCAATAATATCGACCCTTCACGCCCAATATGCCCCACCGAACTCTCTGGAGAGACTTGCACTGACCCATCTTGTGAAGAGCAACATCTCCATCAAATAGGTCTTTCAGGTACGACAACACCATGATCCTGATCCGGTTTCCATGCCATGGTCCTTGGCAAGCACGTGGACCCTTGTACTGACCATTTTGATGTCGTAGAAAATGCGATTCTGAGCGAGATGAGCTCCGGCAGCAACATGGACAAAGCCACCAAGGACCAGTTTTTCACGGGTCTAAAGGAAGTCATCGCTGACCTGCGTGCGCGAGATATCAAAGAGTTCGATGGTGTGGCCAATGCACTGTCGGAATACCGACGAAAGTTTTTTGCGGTGAGGGATGGGAGAGACATCGAGCATACAGGTAGTGGTTAAAGCAACCACTAACTAGTCTTGTGGGGCCATTCCCACGTGGGACATGACTGCTGTAAGATCATCTATCTGGATCAGCACGAACGAGGACACGGGAAGTCTCTCGCACTGGTTGGACAACTCGACATGGCTACGGAAAGGTATGGTTGCATATTGAGTAGCGAGGTAACCTGACATTCCACGAACCCTTGCGCATAGTTACATACCTAGGCTTCGCGCCTCTCTCGATTGTACGAGTAAATTTCGATACTTGAGATGTCATTTTGCTGAGCGGGATTTACAGAAGTATTGGCAAATGACCGAATGTAAAAAACTGTTGTCGCAAGCACGGGGCCTGCAGCGGTTGCAATCTGCTTGCCCTTCTTGCTCGTACTCCGTACAATGTAAAGAAACTCACTGTTGCAACATCTGGGTGATAGATGTCATACTGAGATGATACACCAAGGGCTGCTGTGCCCTTTTTTAAACACGGATGAGGCAGGGGTCAATGTGGAAGGGTGTGTGCGCAATGACTTTTATAAAAGCAGAGTCTCCTAACATATCGCTCGTGCTCATTATAGGTCAACAAGGCGCACGCATTGTAGACGACGCTTCCTTGATAGAACAGTTCTGAGAATCCTCGTGAGCGATACAAGACTATATATGCATGTTGTCTTAGGGAAGAAAAACGCCTGGACGCCTGGATACCCTCCGGCCCCCGTTTCCAGAGGTCGCACATTAGATTGCGTCTACCGTTAAGTGACGCCCGCACCACCCTGAGGACCGATACAAATATCCCACCTAAGCTATTATCCTTACAACGTCCCAGACATGGTTCTCATACAACATCTCATCGACGCTTTCATGCCTGGCTGCCAGAGACACCGATAAACAAGGCTGTAAAGCGCACAGCACTACCCGCGGCCGCCAGTCTACTCGTCGTCAAAGATACCACAGTTAGGGTGCAGGGCATACGTGACTCGTGAGGCCGACGCAGCACTATCCTGCTCATCGCTATCGACGAGGCCTTCGCCTCGGATAGGAATAATCACGTTATCCTATTGGCAGATGTCAGCATGAGTCGGGCGCACGTCTTGGGGCGTCGCAGGTAGGAAATGGAAACGGGGAAACCCATACCTTGATCATCCTCTTCAATACCTTCTTTGCAAGTGAGCGCTCAGCGTTCAACTCATCCTCGTTCGAAATGCTGTCTTCGATCTGTTCGAGGTACCACACGAGCAGCTCGTCGTGCTCGGGGCCCTCGCCGTTCTGGTCCTCCTCGTCGCGAATGTGAGACGCGAGCATATTCTGAATGGAGTGGTACTTCTCAAACGTGATCTTGGTCGTCGTCCTAGCAGGCGCCGGCGTGTCGTGTGCTCGCTCATCTTCGTCGTGACCGTCACCGTCGGCCATCGGGCTGTCTCCTTCCCTGTCGCGAGTGGCATCCTGATCCTCTTCGTCTTCGACATCGACATCGTCCTTCTCGACGGTGATGATGGACTGTCTGAGCAAGTCAAAAGCCTCAAGGACCATCGGTACGGTGATATCCTCGACGCAGTTAGCCTTGGCGATTGCCTCAGACAATCGAATCAGCGATTCGAGTTGACGGACGGTGATCCGGTAACTGTTTCGTCCGAGGCCTCCCGAGTCATTGGCCCGGAGTTCTTTGTACTTCTGCACAAGCAGACTCATGGCTTCAGGTGTGAACTTGGGCTTGAACGTCCTCGCGAATCGAATGTACCGTTGAAGCTGTTCGGTTGAGAACTCCGGCTGCACAAAGTCGTCCTTGAGCATGTGCAGATTGACAATGTGCTCTGCGAGATGGCGGTCGATATTCTCGTTACACTCGTCGAGCACGACAAAGAAGAGATCGAATCGCGACATGATAGGTGCAGACATGTTGATGTTAGCCCTCAGGGTCGTCTTGCGATTGTACCGTCCGCCGATTGGGTTTGCCGCGGCGAGGATACTTGTCCGCGCGTTGAGTGTGGCGTGAATGCCTGCTTTGGCAATACTGATCGTCTGCTGCTCCATGGCTTCATGGATGGCAACTTGATCTGATATATCCATCTTGTCAAATTCATCGATGCAGCATGTCCCCGAGTCCGAAAGCATGAGAGCGCCGGCTTCAATGGTGTGTTCACCCGTCTCTTCGTCTTTGACTACTGCGGCCGTCAGACCAGCAGCACTTGAGGCTTTACCTGAGGTGTACACCGCACGTGGCTGGAAAGAGGAGATATACTTGAGAAACTGAGACTTTGAGGTCGACGGGTCGCCCACGATGCAAATGTTGATGTCTCCTCGAAGGGGCATGCCTTCAGGAGTCATTTTGGAGACACCACCCAGCAGCTGAAGTAGGAGCCCCTTTTTGATGATCTCGTGGCCGTATACCATAGGCGCAATGCTTTGGACGAGTCTGCTATAAATCTTGTCGGAATGAACCATATATTTCAGGTCTTCTATTTCCTCGTGAGTGAGAGTCTCGAGATAGGCTTCCTGGGCGCGCTCGCCGCTGTCATATTGGTCGAAAAGGTCGGTCTGGTGGAGAGAGTTGAGGATGTTGGTAGATTGGCCGTTCAGTTGGTTCGCTGTTTGGCCCGGAGTTGTGGTATCGGGACAGGAGAAGCAGGCTAAGAACGCCATGCGGTATGTAAGGTCTCGCACACCCAGGGCTTTGAGACCACTGACACCGGCACCACCGGCGTCAGCGCCTCGGAAGTTTCTGTTGTCCTTAGACGCCTCTGGCCGTACACCAGGAATACCGAGTTGAGAGACGTCTGGTACGACAATCAAAGTCCCTGTGAAAATGCACTTCTCTCCAGGTTTTGTGCGCTCGACTTGTTCTCCGCGAAGAATAACATCCATCGTGCGCGGCATGCTTCCTGTCGGGATCTCTGAACTGTTTTCCTGGATACGACATCTCTGCCAATCTACGAAGGTGCTGTTTCGAATATCAAGTCGCCATGCGACCTTGTTGCCACAAGTCAGGTTTGGGCACACAGTTGGCTCTGTGTATCTGAACGTCTGCTCGACATTAAACACTGGTTCGTTGCAAGCCTCGCAGATGAAGGTGCCCAGAGCCAACTCCGGACGGACTTCAGAAGTTCTTGTAACTGTACCTGAGATGGACAGCAATTTCCCTACTTGGTCTGTTCGCAGCTGTCGCACTCGAGATACCAAAGGCAGGTTGTAGAAAGCCAGCGTAAACAGTTTATCGGTCTGCTGATTGAGAGTCATCTCACCCTGGCTATTTGCCTCACTGGTTGCATTGCCAGCTAACGAGGTCCCAGCCTGTGAAGCATTGCTCGTCATCTGCCGATGATCCTTGAAATATACTGGCTCATACTTGGCCAAAAGGTTGTGTAGTGCCTTTGTCAAAAACGGCAGAAAGCGATAATATTGACTTGCGATTGCGTCCGCCAGGATTGGCCCCTCTTTGTAGGAGAGAAGATGTCTGTAATCGACGTACAACGTCGATAGCTGAAACTCTCTCAGGCCATGGATTTGGTTGACGTAGTACTTGTCTGTTTTTAACTCGCTTGAAGGAGGGATCACAGAGGATGACGGTTCTTCGATGTGCGATTCGAGAAAATCTTCAAAAGCCTGTTGGACTCTTTCTCCCGCTCGATCCGTCACTTTCGAAACATTGCGGTCGAGAGGATTTCTATTTCTTCCACGCGCTACCCCTACGACCTCGTCATCAGGGAAGATATCTGCTTCAGAGGGTATGCCATTGCTTTCGGATGGTGGGGGTCTCGGTCTTGAAGATGAAGGGATGTTTTGCGCACGCCGCGGTGAGGAAGGTGTTGCGCCAAAGGCATCCGAGTTGAGGATCGAGTCCACCAGGTTCGACATCTTTGAGATTTGACTCTTCGGATTGTAAGGAGGAGGTGGTTTTCGACCAAGGGAGGGGCTGCTTGATGCTACGAAGTATGCGTGCTGTGTAAATCTGGCGAGCCCCTGACGCGAAAAGACGCGGGTGCGTGTTTGCACTAGACCTAATCAGTACCACTTAACGCGTCGTTGCTGATTCGCCAGAAATGCGCCGACCCTTAGCCCCGCCTCAACTCTCCTGCTCCTGCTGCCCCGGCATGAGATGCAGGCATAGCTAGAATCCGAGTTGCAAGCGTTGCATATCAGACTTCTGCTCCTCATGTGGTAACACAAGTTTGCAATCCTTGGCATCCTAGCAACCCTCTGTGTGGATTTGCCGTCTGAGGGGATGCTGAGAATGTGGCTTGCCTTTGCTCCGACCTTATCCTTCGGCCTTCAGATTTAGGTCGTTCCTCCGCATCGATGACACCAATGGTCAAAGTTATGAATGATGAAGCGAGACAGCAGAGGCGTCCCGACGACGATGATCCAAAAATGGGCTCGACCGCCTTTGTCGTGCCGGGCCTGCCGGGACAAGAAACGAAGATGTGACCGTCGTCAGCCTTGTTCGAATTGCTCCCTCAGGACCATCAAGTGTGAGTTTGATCGGGGAGAAGCCGACACTGCAACAGATAGCGTCAGAAGTATTGTTCCCTCTGAAACGCGGTCTAGGTACGTCTGCCCACCTTCCTTAAAGACGGCCAGGATAGTTGACTTGCCCCAACAGCAATACCGATGATATGCTGTCGCGAATTCATAGATTGGAGGAGGCAGTTTTCAGAAATCCTAAACACGTGTCCCCGTCGGTATTGGCGAAGGACGTTCAAGACAGAGACGGGCAGTCGAGTGAGGATGTCAGTCTGGGCTCGACTAGTCCTCGCCATGGGAGCACACGGTTCTCTAGCCACTCTATGTCAATATTACCAGATGAGCCTGCGGACCCTCCTAGGTTTGTACTTAACTTGTTCAATAAACTGCCCCCGTTAGACGAAGCAAGACTACTGTTCGATCACTTTGTTCTTGCCCTACACCCGACACTTGGAGTGCTCCATCTGCCATCTACACGAGCCATGATGGAGGAGACATACCGCAAAGCCTCAAACGGAGACACAGACATCTCTATTGGCAACATCCTAATGCTATTCTCCATCTTCGCCGGGTCAGCGCTCTCATGGACATCCCATTTCTTGGGAAAACTGAAAGCTACACAGAAAGAAGCGAACGCTGCCTTCAAAGCATATACACGTCTCGCTATTTCGGTCTTGAACCGTGGCTTTGGAGAATTTTCAAGCTCAACATTTGCTCTGGCTTCTGTCACAACTCTGGCTTTTGTAGTGTCGAACGCGTCCTTCTCGCCTTTCGATGTGCACATGCTCAGATGTCGATGCATGTTGATGGCTAAGCTTATGGGGATCGATAGACTGGACACTGTCAAGAGCCTCGAAGACCGAAAACTCAAAGGCTACGACGTGGTTGAGATCGAAGTTCAGCGGAGGATTTGGTGGCACCTGGTGGCCTCGGACTGGTAAGACATTCCCTGATCGGCTTCCGACTGCCTTCGAGCGAAGTCCAATTTACGACCGGATATCGGACACACATACTTGAATATATGCTATTGCTTTACGGTGATGCTGATGATTTATAGGCTTGGTGCTTTCTCAGGGAACTCTCAAGAAGGCGCATACACATTCCAACCACGACATATGAATGTGAAATATCCGAGTAACGTTGACGACACACTCATAACACCCAACGCCCCAGAGGAGGAACTGCCTTGGTCTGTCGCCACAGCAATGTCTGCCTTTCTTCAACGAATTAAACTGGCAGACCTTTGTCGGCAGATTGTCGATGCGCTTCCCTCAGCATCTTCAGATTCCCAGGAGCCCAAATACTCCATAATTTTGATGTTGGACAGTATGCTACAACAATATCTAACAGAGCTGCCTGTCTTCTTTCAACTAGATCCCATGAGTATCCAGCAAAGCCAGCGAGTGTGTGAAAAACGTCCATACGTCGCCTGGCAGAGACTTAATATCCATTTCAGTCTCCATGCACGCTTATGTCGACTTCACCGTCCGTATCATCTGGTAGGGGCTACAAACCCCGACTACGCATACTCCCGAACGGCCTGTCTTCGTTCGGCTCACAGCATTTTAGACCTTCGACGCTCAATGGACGATCTAATCCCTCTCGCCGGGATAAGGCCAGGGAGGCTGTGGACGGTCATGCAACATGTCTTTATGGCCGCTTTGACACTTGCCACAGATGTGTCATTTATTCCGGACTCGCCGGATGCCGAAGCACAGAAAGCTAAAGTCATGGTTGCGTATCAGACGCTCGAGAAGTCTAGGGAAGAATCGAGTGCTCTGATGCAAGGCATCCAAAAGAACATGCAAACGCTTCTTGCAACGCTACAGACGCAGCGCACTCGGAGAGCAATTGAGCCGAGGAAACAATTATCCATTGTGAGAAAAGAGAGTAATGCAAACACTCGACTTGGAACGCACTTTCAAGTCTTAGCCCAATCTGACGAGTTTCCATGGAACAACGACACTACAGGGGACACAAGCCTAACATTGAATGCGTCGGAAACCCAACGAAACTGGACATATTTGGATGAGGGTCAATCAGCTGAAGAAGACATGGACGAACTCTGGTCAGACTTCCTGGCCGCGATACCTGACTTGGCTCCTTTTCAATGGACATCGCTGTTAGACGACGTGGATTTCAATTTCGACTCTGTATGATAGAATGAGAAGATTTGAATATTCGGACTTCGCCTTACTCACGGGTTGTAACCAAAATTTAAACATCATCAACAGCTTGCCATTGCCAGAGGTCCGCAAACAAGATCAAAGGTCTGCAAAAAGCCGCTGCACTGATGATACCAAGTGACTCTCATTCACAAGCGCGGGCACCGTTGCAGCCTGCGCAACACAACCGCGGCAATCTGCAGCCATGGTCGGGAACGTCGATCGAGGTGCGACTAAATGTTGTCGCTGACGAGGTTGTATCACTGACCCCGGTGAACCTGCGGAGTGACTTACCCGATCGGGCAACGTGCTCCAGGGACACCCGCGGACACATACTGACCCGATGCACTGCAAGCAACTATATATCTGCTTGGGTCATCTCCTGTCAAAGCCTCATTAACTTATCAATCCATTAGACGTCAATTCATTGGGAATCCGCCTCTACGCCAATCGCAAAACCGAGACCAGAATGGTTGTGTCAGAGAGGGTTGGTCCTTCAATCCCGTCAAGCCTTTCCATGCTAACGCTCCTTACGGGCAATCATTATTGGAGGTGGACCGGCTGGTCTTGCAGCTGCACTTCTTCTAAAGCAACGGAACAATATATCGTCCAATATCTACGAGCTTCGGCCGGAGCCCACAACATTGGGAGGTGCCATTGGCATCCCTTCAAACGGAACACGGCTTCTACATAGGCTTGGTGTATATGACGAGCTCCTGACCCGTGGCAGTAGCTGTTCAAATGTGGTCATGCATTCAGAACGCGGGACCGTCTTGGGGGAAACGGATGTCGTTGGCGCAGCAAAGGAAGCAACCGGTTTTGGGTACATGCGCATCAAGCGAACTGATCTACTAGACGTGTTCCTCAAAGAAGTCGATAATGCAGGTATACCTGTACGTTACAACAAGCGACTGGTCTCTATCTCTAATCAAGATGACGGAGTCAAGGCGACATTCTCTGATGGGACAGTCGACACAGCTGATCTCTTGCTTGGTTGTGACGGTATCCACTCAGCCGTGCGCCGACTTTATGTTGATCCAACCGTGAGGGCGAACTACACCGGTCTGGCTGGCATAGGATCAATTATACCAGTTTCAGTTCTCGGCGAAGAAGCAGCACCTCAATTGCGCGGCATGCATATCACTATGATGCAGGAAGGCATGGTGTCTGCCATGAGCTGTTCTGCGAACGACGACGAGATATACTGGGGCTTTCAGCGTGAATTGGCCTTGCCTAATGGCGAAAACGACCGTGATGGATGGGAGATCCGCCGAGAGCAGGAAGTTTCCGGGTTCAGAGAGCTCCTACATGGTGTACTCAAGGGCGCAGGAGACCAATGGGGTGATATGCTCCGTGGCCTTGTCGACCAGACGTCGGTGGTCAAGTTCTATCCTATCTTCAAATTACCAAGCGGAGGAACGTGGCACAAAAAGCGCGTTCTTCTGTTGGGTGATGCTGCACACGCAATGCCGCCGCACGCAGGACAGGGCGTTAGTATGGCTTTGGAGGATGCGTTTCTGCTGTCGAGACTACTGGGTCGAAAGCAAGCCTGGAGGCGGGGGGAAGATGACGTGAACGAAGTGTATGAGACGTACGACAGAATCAGGCGACCCCGCATCGACGAGCTCGCTGCGAGATCGTCAGGGAACGCGGCGCTGAGGAAGAAGACTGGGCGCTTGGGCTTGATGCTGAAGGAGTTTGGGATATGGATGTTTCTCCACGGTTCGTGGGCGCTCGGGATGGACAAATGGGGCAGTGAGATGAAGCAGATGGTGTATGATATTGAGGAGGTTGAGATTTGAATCCTGGGTACTGCTTCGGCTGAGGATTTCAAACGTGCTGCCTCGACTTCCAGTCCAGCTATTAACCTGCAGGCGCATGGCCACCCTACTGCAGACATGTTGCTATGTATCAATAGCTGATGATGGCGTCGGTATTATATATGTGGTACTGTGTTGGTAAGAGAGATCTCATTGCTAGAGACGGCACCTCTACCATTGTCGAAGATGATGGACATTGTCTATTGAAGTTGACCAAGACATGGCCTGGGAGGAGCAATGTCATTCCACTTTGAAATGACACGTACGCCGGTCACGTGTGCATAAATGGACATCACGTGAGCATATTAGCCACGTGACTCGGCATGGGGTCACTTCCTCACTTTGACGAGACAGAGCGGCACTAACTCCAGCCACTAGTGGAAGGTGAGGCTAGAGAGACTGCCAGTTATTGTACTAGGCGCAAGATCGGGGTCGATGTGTCTGCGCTTCTTCTTCCTGTCATTCAAACCTGCTCAGCGTCTTGTCACTCCTTCAAACGGCGACGATTCTTTTTCAATTGTCATTGTTACCCCGACCTTCACCACCAAGCACTCCTCCTTTGTCCCTTTGACCAACCCTACTGCTCAGCCTCATCCACCCGACTCGCGCCAATCCCGCCAGTCTCCAACCCGACCACATCGACTGACCCCCACCCCGAGGAGAATCAGATATCGCACCGCCACACGTACAGCTTCGAAAGCCGACGAAGCCATTGGCGACAGCAGGGACTGGTCGGTTGTCGACACATTCTTCTGCGCACTTTCATGTCCCATACTCGTACAGCGAGACCGGCGGCGATTCCCCCCTCACCCACATCTCCGCCCGAGTCAGGTTTGAAGCGACGGCGCCTCTCTGATAACCTCCCGCATTCCCCGGTTTCTCCTTCGTTGATGTCAGTCGCTACAAAGAGCTATGCGCCGCCTTACGGACACGCCCAACATACCGATGAGGCTCCGGGTCACTCGTCTCCGCCCTCACCAAGGAGTGCGGCATCACACTCACAGCAATCCTCCTCCCGCATAACGCAATCTTTGCCGACTCCAGCACATAGCGTGACGGGAGTCCCGGGTCTCGATATGGCAGATGATACTGATCAACATCGTGACAAACGCCCCAGACTAGACGATGACGGAAACACCGACCGAATAGAAGGAGGAGCCTTTCCAACTGCCACGAATCACGATCGGCAAGATTCCATGGACGTAGATGTTGACGAAGACAGGGGTGGTCAGGTGGTCAAGACCCCTGGTGGAATTGCGGCGGGTGAGATGACTGCTCTGGAACAGTTACAGGAAGACATGGGTGAACCATTCCTTCTCTGTCGATCCAGTAAGACTCTCCTCCTGTATATCAATCCAGAGGTCAAGTTTGCAGATTTATTAACACATGACCTGCGCAGAAGTTGAACGCCAAAAACCGGACCCGCAACAACATTTACTAGCGTTATATGGTTTAGGCCCGCTGCTGCGAACTGTCGCACGTACCGATCCTCGGACAGGAGAGAAGATTAACAAATTGCGGAAGTCTTATGAAGGGCAGATCAAAAGTTTTGGTTTAGCAGGTCGCAACAAGCCCGTCAAAGGAGAGCGGAATGTCGAAGAAGATCAACCTGGACCACTGCGGCGAATGGCTGGCTCATCGGCGTGGGGACTGCAACCAGAGGAGCAATGGAACGCGGAGCACGCGACACCCAAGATCGAAGTCACCCCGGATTTCAGAGCGAAGCTCAAACAGGCAATGCAAATGCAGCCAGGGACTGTTAGGAATAATGCCTATTGGGAAGATATCCTCGGATTCGACAAGCCAAAGCCGAACGCGCTACCTCCCCAACAGAAGTCTCACCCTCCGACCCCGGTGCATGTTTCAAACGGTATTTCTCGACAGCCCGCACAGCCGACAGCAGAGGCGAAGAGGCAAACCCGTGGCAAGAAGCGGAGTTATGGTGATGATAGTTTTGTGGGATATGGAGAAGGCTTTTCGGACCAGGAGGACGGTGTCGACGGAGACGACTACGGCGGCCAAAGGAAACGCAAGAAGGTGATGATGACGACAACGAGTTCTTGACAGAACTACGTCGGCTGACGTCGCACAGGATCCGAATGGCACCCCGACGGCTTATGGTCAGTATCAAGGGCGTTAGAAGCGCTCGGGTGCGAAGAACAAGTCGCGGAAGAAGAAGTGATATACAAGAGTGGGGCTCTGCACCGCTGTGCCAGAGTTTTTTGTACTGCGCACGATCCAGACACTTTCAACGATACCCTAATGACGGCTGAATAGACTGAACAGCAAAAGAGGCAGGTCGACAACCGCGGATAACCGGGAGCAAATGGGAGGGCGTTGAGTTATGATTTTTGTTTGTCGTCGACCATGACTTGGTGTCTTGGGGGGACGATGCTGATACTGAGGGCTTAACTCATGAGCGGGACTGAGCTTATCACATTATGACAGCGGCGAAAGCACTTTAATGAAGCCTTCTGTACGGAGTAATGCTGATTGACGGTGAAATGGCTGGCCTCGCGGTTGACATGTCAACCATACGGTTTTTCCGCCGTAATGTCAGCTTCACTTTCTATGAACCACGCCCTCCTCCTGTGCCTGCTCTCGAAAATGTCGTCCATCCTCCCGTGGCCCCCTATATGATAACCTATGTCGTTATTCTCCATCGCTGCACTCTACTCCTGGCGTCTCTCTGTTATTCCCAGACTCGACATTCCTTTGGCGACGACTCTCGGGGCCGACTCGCGATCATGACGATCTTGTGCGACGCAAAAACGCAATGCAAGAACATCCATACGGCCCCGAAACAGAGCGCTTGCCGCAGCAATCAGCCGGTGAGAGTCTGAAGCTGGCCTCTGCCCGCCTACACAGGAACGCAGCACGCTGGTACGAATTGAACGCACCTGGAAACGCTGGGACCGGTACAGTAGCCACCAGCCAGCCTCCTTGAGGGCATCCGCGCACCGAAATGCACCGCCTTTCTCCCTCGACTCCCGCTGATTGTTCCCACGGATTCTGTGAAGAAGTAATACGAGACCACAAGCCACTTGTGGTCGTCTAATCCTGTGACCGTGTGCCGGCAGCAGACACTTGAGCTACCAGGTCGCAAGAGCTTTTCTCGAGTACGACTGCAAGATGGTCTGCTTCGGTGTCATGGCCAATCCTGAAGCTGCGAAATTCGAACCGTGGACAAACCTGATGTCCTCGAAATTGGTAGTTAGAGTGGCTTCCATGGGTGGAGCTTCGACGTGTGACATTCTGAGATGACGGGAGTAGAACGGTGTTCTCGTGAAATGCTGAATAGTCAATTCCGTGCCAGACATCAACAGGTATCATGATGCTGCTAAAGTGGCCGGTGCCATTACAATGTGGTCTCAACTGCTGTACAAGGATGCCAAGATGAAAATCCGCTCAAGTCACCGATTCCTATCGAGAACAGGGAGTAAAGCCGACCGCGGGATGTCTGCAATGGGCTTGAGATCCCCCCAGTTCGGATCGATAGAGTGACTGTTTGGTGTTGTGTCCAGTGTGGAGGACGCCACAAGGCAGTTTCAGTTGGCTACGCCTTAGACGCCCCGCGCCCTTTGGCACTGACCTTAACGAGCCCAAGAACTTGCCATACCAAGGGCGTGGGAGCGGGCCATGAAAGAGCAGATGAGTAAAATGACGTCTCGTCTCAGGCCAGACTAGATCGTTGTATCCTATAACTATCGATTGCATCTCATCGATAGCGTATGCATCTCAGATCATCCAAACGTGCACTGACCCAACCCGCCTAAGAGTACAATATCTCCAGCTACCCACCCACCAGTTCATCAGCCCACGATATCTGAAATAACTGCCTGGGTAGAGCTCAACACCCACCACAGCAAGTTAACAACCGGCGAGCCGTCCTCTGATCGACACTATGGCTGCCGAAATCCCAATGCCCGAGCCTACAGTGCCTCGCAAGCCATTCTCGTCATTCAAAGTCATCTCCTACGACATCTACGGGACGCTCATCGACTGGGAGAGCGGAATCATCGATCAACTGCAATCACTGGTGTCGCGGATCCCGACAGGTTCTCCGTACGCAGTATGCCGCAGCAGCAAGACCGGTGAAGGGCGAATCAAACTCGCCGAGAAGTTCAACGAGATCGAAGCGCAGGTGCAAGCCGAGAACCCCACGATGAAGTACAGCCAGATTCTGCGTGAAGCGTATCTCCGCCTGGGTCCTGCTCTCGGGGTCAAAGACGGAGACCTCGAGAACGAGGCTCAGCAGTTCGGCGACAGCGTCGGCTCGTGGCCTGCTTTCCCGGACACCGTGGACGCCTGCAAGAGGCTGGCCAAGTACTATAAAATGATCCCAGTGAGTAACGTCGACAGGGACAGTTTCAGCAAGACCCTTTCCGGGCCCCTGGCTGGCGTCGATTTCTTCCGCGTCTACACCGCACAGGATATCGGGAGTTACAAGCCCGATCTGCGGAATTTCGACTACTTGTTGAGCCACGCGAAGGAAGATGCCGGCGTGGAAAAGGACGAGATCCTGCACGTTGCGCAGAGTATTTACCACGACCACGTCCCGGCGAAGAAGATGGGTATGAGCAGTGTTTGGATCAACAGGAAAGGTGCGGGCATGGGAAGTGCAGGCGGGATCCAAGGGGTCCATGAGCGCGGCGAAGTCGGATACGGCTGGAGATACGCCACGCTGGGAGACTTTGCTGACGAAGTTGAGAAACAGCGAGCTCAGGAGTAAGTAGTAGGAAAGGAGGTAGGATCGACGGAGGATATTCAACTACGATTCGTGCTCATTTCGACAAGAAGTTCTTGGTGTCATCAGCCTTTCCTTTCGTGCATCATTTGTGTGTTTTTGGTTTTGTCGATGTTGCTAACACCAGGCAGCGCCAATTGGTCTTCATCGGGGTGGTCAAATCATGCCTGATCACGACCAAAGCCTCACTTGTACGGGATATGGGCCAATCGCTTGCACCTGGTATCGCCAACGAATCAGGCTGTGCTCGCTATTGATGCATGCCAGCCACGGGCTATGCTGTTTCGAGTAATGCTGTATTGGTGACCAGGGCTCTTCCCTGCTGCGTGCATTTACCGCCTGAGGCCGCCAAAATCAATTCCATAAGTGCCGCTTTGGGAAGCTTCTCCTTACTAGACACGGCACTGCAGAACCATAAAGCCCAATATCCCCTCTTGTCACCTCGACCGTCTTCTGGTGTTCAACAGCTCTCATTGAAGTTCGCCTTGATTTTCATCAATCACGCGCTGGCGAAGTTCATACTATTACAGGAGATGGTGGGCCAGCGAAAGACATCCGACCGAGCGGATGTATTCATACATCAAGACCCCAATGTGCCCCGGTACAACCAAAGGCTTTCTCGGCAACAATGGGCTGATCTGAAGCCTCTGATCTTCGCTCTACACCAGCAAGGCACAACGCAAAACGGAATCTTAGAAGCACTCCAAGAGAGAAGCATTTCTGTTACAAAAGCTCAGTTGTACCATCAATTGATGAACTGGGGCCTTCGAACATATAAGAAGAATGCGGCCGACATCCAGAATATACTAGCGATAGGATCGTCATCAACACGGCCGGAGGTGGAAAGTCCTTCGGCCGTCGAATCTCTCGAGAATGGCGAGCTCGAATTGTCCGATGCCGGTCGCGATCGTCTCTTCCAGGCTTCGGACGATGACATGTCGAGTCCGACATTACGTGCCTCCGAACGCACAAACACCAGCACCTCCGCTCGAAAGAAGGACATGTTCCCACTCGGAGACGACTTGGCAAACAAGGAATCTATCGATCATTTTCCAACCCCTGGATACGGAGAACGTCTCAAATTCCACCTGCCACCATACGAAATGGACAGTGATGTGGTTGCGATCCTGTCGTCCTATGACAAGAAACAAGACCATTTCAGTGATCGCCTCGAAAAGATAAACAGGGCTGCGGCAATGCTGTTTGTGCTGCGTCGCCACAAGTCATCCTTCGACTTTTTCTATCACCTACTTTCCATACTTAACGATGACGAGAGACAGTCGTCTTTCACTCGTGTTTCGCTTGCCCAATCTGTTATCAATTGCAGGCGCTCCGCCCAATCAAAAGCGCAATGTGACCTGGCAGATTCTGCAATATTACAGTTGCAGCTATGGTCACAATATAACACACTATTCTGCACTGCAGACTTTGTAAAGGAGTTCTATTACAGAGAATGTGTTGACCATCTTTGTGAGAATCTGACAGAATCTGAAACCTGCACAGCTAATTCAATGCTACTGCTAAATTCCATATACATGCCGGGTGTTGAACCCTGGTCGAAACACTTTCCACAGGATATCCTTCGCCACTGCTTCGAATGCGCAAGACTGAAAAAAACCCTTTCCGAAGCTCTGCATGTGATTCAGGATTTTGTGACGGCTAAGCAGACGACTGTTGATGATGCACTCAGAGGATTTTGCGATCGCAGACCTGTGGATTGGACAAGCCTACAGCTCCTGTGTCTCCAGATACTGATGGAAGTCCGCCTAGGAGGGCCACCTCCTTCGCAGCGTGCAAAGTGCTGCTGCAGTCGGGAAATCAACAGCTTTATCTTCTACCATGTTGCTTATGCCGTTCCCGCAGTGCTTGAAAGCCTTCTTCGCCCCCCTTTCACTTCCGAATGGAGAAATCCCTCGGGCTTTCTGGCAATCATTGAGCAGCTACGGAGAGAATGTATCAGCACCACGCCAGGGCGGTATCAATTACTGGTGCGTTCATATATTCGGCACTGGTCCAAAGTGGAGTCCTACCCACTGCTGGATCGCGAGCTGTCTCTCTCGATGGTCAAGTCTGTGGCTGTTTTCGCTGGCTTACTAACCTTCGAAGACGTCGACTCGATGGAAGTTTCTACTGTCCCCTGGAAAGAAGGTGGTTCTCCTGGACGGCACACACTGGAAGATGTCCATCGGCTTCTAAACCCCCGGCCGATGGGTCTTGACTTGTCGAAGATGGCTCCCACCATTGCGCCCTCGTGCACATCCTCACTGAGTTCCGGATACCGACGATTCAAGATATCCTCGAAGCGCTTCGAGGATTCCCAATCAGAGTCTATTCGCAGCAGGCATTCTCAATCTTCCGGAGGATTTGTGTCTTCGCGTATGAGCTGGGAACTTTGACTTCTTTACCGGAATGGCTATAGACAAGAGTTTCATTTTGGAGATTGAGAACGAGATCGCGGACGAAATGGACATTGATGCTACGTCGAACGGCCTTGGCTTATTTACATGAACTCTATGCACACAGTTGAGCGGTGAGAAGCGAACAGCCAAGGGGGCCGAAGATACTTGAAGGGGGGTGTGCAATGTCAACTTCACTGTCATCTGCATCGTATCTTGCGTGTAATTTGACAGGCAAAAGATTATGTGCACAAGGCTACATATAGAATCAGGACTTGATAGGAGAGTTCAGTCCCTAAAACAGTGTAGTGGTTGCATGAGAGATACAGCCTCGTGATATTAACGTGGGCGGTCATCACGTGCTAGACCGCGACGAGGCTGCCTGGATAAACTGTTCGCACCCGAAAGTGAGTGCTCTGTCTTTTGGAAACATCCTTCACAAGACTGCAACACAATGTCCTTTCAATCAACAGACAACAAATTTGGCTGACGAGGTATCTGCATTGCCTGATCAGGTCTCAGCCATAATTTCACAATGTAGGTGTGCTTTTCGGAGAAGAGGAGAGGTGAGTCAGTCCTGCGCACCTCCAGGACCAATGTGAACAAAGGTGAGGTCGAGTTGCTAAGCAGCTGATTCTTTGTTTGTTCGTCGTCATTCCCACATTCTCGCGATGTCGATATGTGGTTGGTGGCCAGCGTGGAATTGGGCTTGGTATTGTGGCAGACACTCCTCACAATGACCTTTCACAAAGGCGTCTTGCGTCTAAACCAACGGAGAACAGCCCATTCAATGGCCTGGGTATACTCCAGGGAGACAAGCCCTGCGCCATGTTCACTGTCTCTGGAGCCATGTTTGCTACTATTCGATGATTGAAAACAGTGAATCGAATGGTAGCCAAGACGTTCACCAGCTCCTTCGCGCAAGCACAGCGGTTGCTGTTGACGGCCCCATCTATTCCATCGACGAAATTGTCTCTGGACGGTTCACATTCCTATCGACAACGTCCAAATGGCGGGCTCAAGCCGACCTCGACCAGGGTCCTCCCTCTTCGCAATCTTCCATCCAGAGATGGATGGGTACCTGCACGTCGGCAAGATCGCGTCAGGGGACCGAAGCAGCACGACCTTGGTCCAGTCGGTTGCTGACGGCCGAGTCTGCGTGAGGAAGAACGTCCTGGCAACCCACGCGTTTGGGGCCGATGGAACATGTCAAGAGGTGGAATTCTATCGCCAGTATTCGCACCCTCAAATCCCAAGGCTCCTCCATGCCCAGGCGAACCGGATGTTCGCCGACGGCGCGCTGATCGGGGCCCAGTACAAGGGCACTTCACTGCTCTTCGAGGTCTGCAATGGACATACCATGGAAAGACTGGCCGACATGGAAAAATTCAAACCGTCGACCTTGTTCCTGTGGCGGACGTTCGATCAGCTGCTCGGGGCCTTCTCCTTCCTGCACCGCAACGACCTCGTACACACCAATGCCCACCTCGGCAACATCTTCCTGCACTTTCCGGACGAAGACGCCAGACTACCTGATGTCGTTCTGGGTGGGCTGGGAAGCGTCACGCCCTTGTCTCCTGACATTTGGAAAGACTCGGATCGGACCGAGCTCAAGGATGACTGTGACGAGCAGAGTGTTCGACCCCTGCTCGAAGACCTCGCCTGGATCCGTTCCGCTATGGCCGATTTGTTGTCTCTTTCCGATCCGACCGTTGCAGCCGAAGACGCGAACGAGGAAGAAGACGAGGAGGATGCTCTAGACGTCGTGGAGGTCTTGAGAGAGGTGCTCGAGGACACAATTCAAAAGAACATTGCTTGGGGGAAGCATGGACGAGAGATGTATCAACTGTGGTGGCGCTTTGACGAGGTGATTCAGGGAATGCTCGAGAAGGGAATGCATTGGTATCAAGAGCTACGCAAGATTCAAAAGGAGGTCACTAGAGTGAGGCTGCGGGAAGACAGGCGGTTGCCATCTGACAAGGCGCAGGATATGCGTCCGCTGATGAGAACTGTGGACAAGCCCAATCCTTGTTTCAGCGTGGATGATGCTGAACCATATCTCTTCTCGTCGAGAACGGAATTGGAAAGCTACGTCGAATCCGAGCAGATACAAGGGCCGTATCGAATCGCGAGGATAGACGCGGGCAATTCCAAGAGGATCCTCAATATCGACAAGTTCGACCACGGATATTTTCATGCTGGCACGTGGCACATGGACGTACCGGTCTTTTCTCAACATCTTCTCCCGATACTCCAGGAACGGCAAAAGTACGACTGGCGATCTTGGCCTGATGTTGTGCGTTTGGCTGATAAGCTGCTGGATGGCATTGTGGTCCCCAAGCAGTCATTTTGTCCCTTTGGTCGTCGCCTGGAGACACTGCCGGGCCCAGTTGATGAAGAAACGGTCAACAAATTCTTCACCCCTGACCCAGAGTGGCATACTCGACATACCTACAGCCGATCTGAGACGTATGAGATTCTCTATTCATCGACACTGAACTCTTTGGTCGGGAGTTTGTCGATCCATGATGACCATGATGATGATGATGATGATGATGATGATGATGATGATGATGATGATGGTGACGCCATGTCAATCAGCACTGAGAACTCTAGAGTGACTGGAACTGTGGCGGGCATGAAACGCAAGCGGACAGCGACCGACGAAGGAAACGAGTTGCCAAGTGGAAAGAGACGTGAGAAATAGACACTAGATTGGGAGATAAGGACTATGACTTGATTATCCATGGGATCTCTTTTTGAGAAACTTGGGCTAGATTCGACCCTCAAACCAGGATACAAAATAAACTTGCTGCCACGCAAAAGTGGCTATTCATCTGCCCGTGGATTGGATTCAAAAGCAACTATGAGTACTATTCAGTAGGCGGATTGGCATGATCTGCGCCAGATGGTCCGTGCGCCTCTGTTCTTGTACTTTTGCAGAAATAATAACTTTTGACAATGGAGGGATGAGTTAGTCGTAACATAGATCGATCAGCTTGACGCTGTGCACAGATTTGATTGCCGATGAAACCGCTAAGTTTTAGCTTTGATCGGAAGCCTTTTCTTTTCCGCCCGCCGTGATTGTGTCTCGCTTCTGTTTCGGACGCGGAAACCGATATAGGATTCACTGCAGATCGGGCGGGGAGGAACATGGCACACGGTCTGGGCGCGAGAGCGGCTCAATACAAGGCACGCATCGACGACCTTGCAATTCGAGGGTCTGAGTCGATGCGGATCCTCTCAAATGTGCTCGACAAAAAAGCGAACCTCCCAACAAGAGTGTCGTACTTGAGCAGGCCGAAAATGCACATACCTACGCCGATTGGGTTCGAAGCAGATTCTCACTCCACGTTGCGGACCGCCGACGAGGTCATCGCCGCGGTGAGTGCAGCCTCTGACAGAAGCGAGAAAGGCATCTGCATCGTCGAAAATATCTCACCGACCTATATCTTGGAGCTGGGAGCTGCCTGGGACGTCGATCCAGAATTTTTCGCCCGCCATGCCGCCAGTCCTCGGCCGCAAGACCTGTGGGTGCACAGAAAGTGGGAAAAGAATGGAACGCCCCCGGATGCACATCATCTCTCTGGGGTCTACGAATGCGGTGGCCCGGCTTGGACTGAGACCGCTGTGAGAAAGCTCTCGGTCAACTACTGCGACAGGGTCATCCACAAAGACTCTGGCTGGCCTGTCAATCTGAGCACGGTCATGTCTTACTGCATCGTGGCATCGCAGAGACAGCGAGGTACTTGTGAGTATTGTATCCCCCCATCCCCCCCTCCCCTCAGGGCTCGAGTACCCGTTACACTGTCCATCTACGACACCTGGTTAATGCATAGGCGAGCGCAGACCTCCTTCTTGTTGACCCTCCACTGAAAATGCCAATGTCGCCTACGTCGAGCAGCAACGTGCACACCGCGTGCGACATGACTCTACGCTTTCCGTACGCCGGGAACCGAGGAGGACTACTGATGCCACTGGATCTCCCCGGTGAGGAGGAGCACAGGAGTCTTTTCGACGCCGTCGAACACATGCTCCGCCAACATCCCTGGCAGCTGGACCTCATTCTACACAGACCCTCGGCGTTCCCCGGCGTTCCCTTTCTCTACCTCATGGCGAGCTCCCTCTCCCAAGACCTTCTGCAAAGTCTGCGGAAACGCCTTCACAAGATTAGCTTTCTCGACGTGCGCAGGCCTGACTGGAACCTCACGGACCGTCTGCACGACATCCGGCAGGAGCTCAACACGATCCAGGCCTCGCTGCAAGAAACGGAGGCGTACGAGCCGACGCTCGTCGAAGACTTCTTCACGGACCTCAAGAACGACGTCCCCAAGGACGAACACCGCAAGGTCTTCCGGCGCACGCCCGGCGAGCGCCTCCGGGACCTCCTGGGAGAGGCGAACCAAACGCACAAACTCGTCCTGGAGACCTTTGACATCCTGATCGGCACCACGGCAGTCCTGGACAGCAAGGAGAGCAGGAGACAGACGGAAGAGAGCCTGAAACAGACGCGCCAGACGATCCTGCTGACGGGCCTCGCCACCGTCTATCTGCCGCTTTCGCTGGCGACGAGCGTCTTCGGCATGAACTTGAAGGAGATGACAGGTTCTGGTCCGCACGCGTGGACGTTCGCGGTTACGGTCGCTGGTCTGGTTGCCGCGACCGTGATTATCTTTGGAAGCCTCTTTTTCAAAGGAGTCATTATACCGGTAAAGCGCTTATGGAACGGATCCGAGAGGGAAGACCGATAGATATTGTCTGAAACACCCCACGAACGCGAATCGATCACCAATACATTTCAGTCCTCAAAGGAGGTAGGTCATCGATGCGCTCAAACAAAGGAAAAGGGTGGAGGATTTTGTCTGAGATGGGACCGGTTCTACGCGAGCCCCTAAGATCCCATTAGGTAACATACTGCCTGGCCGTCGATCCATTCGTCAATATGTAGTCTTTCACCCTATGTCGCCGAGATGGTTGTAGAGGTCGTTGGCAGGTGTGTGTGGCGGCGGTATTTCCTATCTTATAAGTATCCGCAAAGGTCAAGTTCTAAAATACACAGTAACCGGACGTCACTTTTCTCTGGCTACGCCATGCTATCTATCTATACCCCCCCCCAAAAAAGCCAGACAAGACTCGACACGACAAGACAAGACAAGACAGCAGTCGTAGTTCTCTTCTTATTTCTCCTCTGTACCTTTGGTTTCCATAAGCGGAACACCCTCTTCGCCAAACATTGGTCTTGACGACTGCTGCTGATGCTGCGGATTCGTACGGTGCAAAGGCAGGGCCTGACCTTTGATTGTCTTCCCTCTCTTTTCCATGTCTTTGATAAAGGTCTGTGTGAAGTTTGGTGTTAGTTTTGCCCTTATTACACACAACCACACAACATCAGAGAATTGTCCACATCACGCGACACCGTGGTATTTTTTTTCCACACACCACACAACACCATAATATTTGCCAAGTCATATGACAAAGTCGAGAGATGAGAAGGGTAGCAAAAACACTTACGTAGAGCATAGTACCGGTCAAGATGACGGCGATACTCTTGATGCGCGACGCAGTCAGTCTCTCGGCCCCCAGGAACACCACTGCCAAAGCGGACTGCAAGACGCCTCTTGCAGCAGTGGAGATCATATGTCTGTGTGGTTTCGAGGTGATCACGTTAGCTGTGAACGGACCAAACGGGACAGAAGGGCTTGGGGAGGTGAGGTTTTCATAGTGGAACAGAACTTAGGAGGGCAGATCGGGTAAGGTGGAAGACGAGTAAAACGTACGTCGTAGGAGAAGTGACTCGAATCTGTAGGTAGGCCGCCGCGCTCAATGCGAAATTGAACAGGCCGCTCAGCAGCACCTTCTTGTCAAACGTCACCATGACGGGGTGCATCGCTCCCAGGGCGGACAAGTGGGACATTTCGCCGTTCAGATAGGCCATCACCGTGTAGGCCGGGACGCAGGCCAGCGACGTCACAAAGACAAGGTCGAGAACGCGGGTCTTGAGCGCCAGGTACTTGACCAGAACCGTCTCGAAGGCAGTGGTGAGCGACGACCAAACGCCCCATGCTATGCCGATGTTGGTGGCCTGCCCGACCGCCTCGCCGGAGACGCCGATCACGAAGCCGAATGTCGTGATGGCACATGCTGCCGACGCCCAGAAGCTGGGTCGCGAGTCCTTGAGGAGAACGAACGAGAGGAGGATGGTGAGTGGGAGGAGAAGCCCTCGCGCGATTTGGTAGAAGCTTGCATTGACATTCTGGAGAAAAGAGAAGACAGGTGGTGATGTTAGCTCTGGTCTGCTCTGCTCGTTCCCGTGGTCTCAATCAGTCAATCGAACAGGCGGCCGCCGCCGCCACTGGCGTCGGACCAGCTTCCCTTGTTTCTTCGACCTTGACCTGCTGCGAACATGGCCTGCTCAAAACCTGACAAGGTGCACTTACAAGTAGACAATACGTCTTGGAAAGTTGCGCGATGATCTTCATGGCCAGCAATGGTGCAACGCCCCGGATGTACGTCGAGTCCAGCTTGGCCGGAACGTACAGTTTCATCATGTACGCGAGGCCTAAGATGGCGATCGATATCACAGCCTGGGCGAGGAGGAGCGTTATCGGGACCGGCAGAGTATTCAGGACGGACTTGTTGACGATGGTGACCGCGATGGCGGTCGTGATGTGGAAAGTCACCGTCGCCGCGACGGACAGTCTTGACGGAGACTGGTCTGCCATGTCGATGTTGGATTATCGTCTGTGATCGAGGACCTTTTTGCTGAAGGGAGTGATAAATACTGGCGATGATTGTGGTGGTGGTGGTGGTGGTGGTGGTGGTGTTGTTGAGCCTGTGGACAAACTAACCAACTTTTTCTGTCTTTCGGGAGTGCAACTCACTCTTTGGCAGAGAGTTGAGCCTCAGACCCTGTCTCTCTTTTTTAGCCGCATGGCATTCTCAAACCCATCACGGTCCCGGATCCCTTTTTTCCTTTCAAATGAAATTAGGCAGGTTGGAATGTCGGGCGTGAAGACGGACGTCAAGATATCTGACAGCACGTCGCGCTGATAACTGACACCAGCCCCGTTTTCTCGACACCCCCCTTTTTCACCCTTGGCCACTTGGAACGCTTGGACGATGACTTGCGGCTCAAAGTACTTGTACCTGACTACGTGCTCGAACCACTTGGTTGTTCAGTATGAAAGGATTTTCGCCTCAGTTGAAGAAAATCACTTCACCGTCCTTGCCTGTTGTTTTCGGTTCCTTTTAAAGACCCTCGACCTCAGCACCCTGCATCGAGAGGCACCATGTATATCTCACGACAATGGCTATTGACCCTTCTCATCGTCTTCTCCTTTGCCGTGGTGTACTTGTCGCACAGCGGCAGCTCGGCCATACACTCTAGCATACACTCTGTCGTGTCGAGCATCAAGGGCTCCCACAATGGAAAATGCCAATCGACGCTCGAGTCCCATGTGGCTCTGCTGGTCCAGGAGTATTCACGAATGCTACCGGGAGTCACGCACGTTGCCATGATCGGCTACCCGAATCACAGGTGAGAGAAAAGCCGCTATACCCTTGACACTGTCACTCTTCTGTATCGTCCTCGTGCTGACCCGCCCAACAGCAACAAGGGCGACTCTGCAATCTGGACCGGTGAGAAAGTGCTGCTGGAGCAACTGGGCATCGAGACCGTGTACGCGTGCGTCACCAACCGCGACTACCGCGAAGCCGACATGCGGGAGGCCCTCGAATCGCACGGCGGGCCGGAGAAGGCGGCCATCCTGTTCCACGGCGGCGGCAACTTCGGCGACATCTGGCCTGCGCCCCAGATCAACCGCGAGCAGGTGGCCGAGGACTTTCCCGACTACCGGATCCGGTCGTTCCCGCAGACGTACAAGTTCTACGACGACAAGGCGCTCGCCCGGGCGCAGCAGGCCTTCAGCAAGCACCCGGACCTGCAGCTCACGGCGCGGGACACCAAGTCGTTCATGGCCATGCAGAACGACTTCGGCAGCAAGCACGAAGTCTCGCTGCTGCCGGACCTCGCGACCATGCTGATCACCAAGCCCGTGCCGGAGCGGCGGGTCAACTCGATCTACGACATGCTCTTCCTCGCGCGGACCGACCACGAGGGCGCCCAGGACCACCGCAAGGAGAAGGACGTCATCGCCGAGCTGCAGCTCGTCGAGGACGAGGACGGCTCGACGCACGAGACCAACGTGACGGTGGCCGACTGGATCAAGATGGACCCGACCGGCCTGAAGGGAGCCACCTTCGACGAGCAGGCCCAGCGCCGCGTCGACTGGACCTACAAGTACCTCTCGGAGAACGGGCTGATCATCAGCGACAGACTGCACGTGCACATCTTGAGCACCGTGTGGGGTCTCGACCACGTCGCCGTCGAGGAGGGCACCTACGCGAAGCTGAGGACCTACCACGACACCTGGCTCCTGGGGTGCGGCGACAGAGTCGCCATGACTCAGAGCGTGAGAGAGGCTGTCGACGCCGCAAAGGCCTGGTACAAGAGAGGGAGAAAGTTCTGATTTTTTTTTCCTCCTTTTTTTTTATAAATAACCCTGGCTGGGGTTTTATTCCCTCCCACCTCTGGTCCCGCCTAGGTACCTTAACCTAGTAGCTAAACACGGTCCCTATTTGGTCCGGTCTTTGCTGTTGTCGTCGTCGTCGTCAAATCGTATGAAATGTTAGGTACCTATGCTAGAAATGATTATGTGCACATAGACAGATGGACAAACTATACATGACGGCACCAGGTACTCGTACTTACAGGTCACTCTCCCCCCCCTCCCCGCCTCCTTGGGGTGTTTGTGCGGTACAACAAGTAGGTCAGGGAGGTAGTCGTCGGTACGATTTGGTAACTAAGGTATGGACTGGAGTGAGTACCCACGCGCGCCGCGCGCGCGCGCAAAAACGGACGCGTTCGAAGGCGTGTCATTCATATGACAGACAATGGAGTACCGCCACCAACCTTTTCAAGACATACATCAAGGACTTGGCAAAGAACGTCTGTTGGATCCATTGCGTCTTGGTACCGTAGGTAACAGGAGGACTGACAATCAATCACAAAAAGGAGACACACACCGTAGCCCGAGCCCGAGTGTCCTAGGGAGTAAGTAATAGGACCGGCCTTTCAGAAGTAAAATCCTAAGATCCTGAAACTGGGACAGAGAGGTACATGCGTCTCGCAAGTATCGAATCAGGGGAGGGGTACAGTGATTGGATGCCGTGTCAGTACTTACTTTGAGCAGTGGTGTTGTAAACTGGTAATTTGCACAATCCAGGAGACGAACGGGCCGTGGCGTCGCCCGTCAAAGAAAGAAAAGAGGAAAAGGTCCAACTAGCGGCTCGAAACACTAGTTATAGTAAATGGAGCGATCAACTCATCAAGATAGGACTGGTGGGCTGGTACCAGAATCCAGAATCATGTCACTCCTGATTCGGGTTCGAGTCGGACTGGACAAAGCACAGTACGTGACTGCCTACTAACAAGTACTCCATCGACCATCCAAAGGTGGACGGACGTCCCACGACCAAACGCCAGCGCCCCCATCCCTACCTGGTCATCCACATTAATCAATAACAACACGTCCAAGATCAGTCCTCCATCTTCACGTCCTGCTGGGGTAACGAGCCCAAGTTCTTCAACAGGTATGACCTCTTGAAGTATGTGTTGGGGTGAACGATCGTCTCCAGCTCGGCCGGGCCCCAGATCCCTTCATCCTTGACTTTCTTGATCTCGGCCTTGTGGGCCCAGTCAAACACCCGGTTGCACGCAATGTGGTACCTCTTCTTCTCGACATCTTCCTTGACACCTCGCAACACGTCTCGGTCCGACACACCGGTCGCTTGGAGCATGCTCGTGAGGTTGTCGACGCTGAAGTGTCGGTAGGGGCAGCCATGTGCCTCGCCGGTACCGGGTGGGTGTTCCGTCAGGATCTTCTGGCACGAGTAAGGCGCGTAACCTTTGCCACGTCGATTGACGTCGCCACCGACGTCGCCGTACACGTGACGGATGTTGTACCGATACTCCTTGTTGAATTGATCGTCGGTAATCAGCTTGAAGCTCTGGCGCCAGAACAACAGACAGTCTTCCAGCGTGAGGCCAATTCCTTTCAAGAATAGAGAGTATTGCAGCCGTCCGAAATGCTTGAGATGGCTGTTCTTGCGCAGAGTCAGATGGAGGTGTTTCATGCACAGAGGGAAATGCTGAGACAATCCGTCAACGTTCGCTGCTGTGATAGGAGCGCCAGCAAGTGACGAATCCGACTCCGAATATCCAGCGTCAGGAGTGGCAAAGTTCTTTGAGAGGTGGTTCAGTATGGGCGTGAGGCGGTCATCTTCGTCCAGGCGAGGCAAAGCACGCGAGGTCAATTCGAGTCCTTTTTCCAGTCGATTGGAAAATTCGGTCAGAACCATGCTGGTCTGTTCTCGCATCGGAACGTACGCCTTGCCTTTTCTCACAAGGACGGTCCGATGCTCAACCAGCTCTGGTACCCGTGTCCAGTCGACTTTGAACCAGTTTTCATCCTCGAGTCTGCGGAGACCCGGTGTCGCCGACAGGAGCTGTTCACCGAGCTGTTGCTTTTCCTCTTGTTGGACCAATTCCCAGTTCAGATTCAGACTCTCCACAAAAGCCCTCCGCTCTCTGCTATCGTCGGCCTGAAATCGTAGCTTGAAGAGCATCGTCTCTACCCTGGCGAAACGTCTGCGTAGATCTTCCGTGCCCGAAAAGGCTAACCGTAGAATAAAGTGGGAGTAATGGTCTTTGCGTCGCTCATTTCGTAGGCGTTGGTCGACAACACCGCCGGGTGCGGACGAGTTGGACGAGAGAGGGAGGTATTTTTTGAGCAACGGCTCGAGATGCGCGGCCGTCTCTTGAGGAGACTTGTTTCGGAATGAACATGCCTCAATCTCTGCCAGGACTATGAACTGTCAGCAGGCTGCAGCTGGTAAGATATGAGAGCCCATACCTCTCAGTCGATCGATAGCCCATGTCTCAAACTCCTCCAGACTGATCTCTTGAGTCGGCGGCACATCGTAGAAGGAGAGCCGAAATGGATAATCTTGGTCTCTGTAGGTGGCTGTTGCAAACTGAGTCTTCTTGTAGTCGACCTTCTTACGCTTTGGATCGAATCTCGTCTCTGTACGCATCATGTTGGTGGTTATTGTCGAGGTTGCGTGAATGGCAAGAGAGTCGTAATGCTTGCAGCGCTTCCGCCAGCACACACAAGGTAATTGAGTGGTGCCGCGGTCGACGCGTCTTCAACTTTCACGCGTCAAGGCTTCGGCCGACCCCAAATTCCTATGCCAGCACATATACCAATGGGGTTCTCCAATTTTACGGAAGGGATAAACATTTATGCGGGCCCCGGCCTTCTGAGTGGACTCGTACTTATGATTCTTGCCCTTTAGAGCGACACAGGAGACATTCTGTGATTGATCTAGCTTCGACATGCCTCAGAAGATATTGAATATCAGGAGTCTTCAGACGGTATGGAACTCATAGGACACCTTGGTCGGATCTTTTTCATCACTCCCAAAACTCCCAGACCCGCCGGATTGGAACAATTCTCCTAAAGTACCGGTCCCAGCAGAGGGGACAATCTCAAAACGGCCTTCGACACGGTAAGTACTAGCATCAAAGGTTCCTCGTCCCTGTGTAATCAAGCTACCTGAGAGGCCACCAAAGTCCTCTGCCTCGAGGTAGTCGGAAAAGGTGAATTGAGCATTGCCTGCCTTTTCGCCTTCGGCCTTTGGAGGTAGGTAGACCATCGAGTAGTAGGTTGTCAGGGTCGCCTTGAAGTCGGGGAGTCCCATTTTGACCGTAGCAGGCGTTAAGCGTGGTAGATTGGTCAGGGAGCGGTCTTCCTCCCAGGACATACAGGATGCGGTGGCCTTGAAGGTCTTGTGTGTTGCCATGACTGTGAAAAGAGACGGGCGTCGATACGATAGTATTCTCCTAATGATGAATCGTGTATTAAGGGGGATCTGAGTGTTCTCTGGAGGATGGATCTTCTACCTCCATCACTCAGAGCAGTCCTGAATATATACGGTAGGGAGGGTATCGACGTCGGCAGACAATTTCTGAGTAGCTGCGTGTCGGTTGGAACCTTATTGCACGTAGCCCAGGCAGCAACTGGTGGGCCAAAGGCATAGAGGGACCCAATTGGTGGCTTTGAAGTTCTCGTCGCTTTCAACGCGAACATAGCATGGCCCCAGAAGGAAATATCCTCGTCAGTAGAAATCATGTCTCAGCCATGTTGAAGAATGCGGTTTGGTGACTGTGAGTTTGACGTGTATTTGACTACTGCGAACAGACAGCCATAGGTAGAGTGCTCAGCAATGCTGAAGCCCGAGTCCTCAGGGAAAGCTCGTGTGAAAGCAGCGTTCGCTCACCCACAAGGAACAAACCTCAGGTGGTGGTTAAGATGGTCGTTCTCGAGCAATAGGAATAAGTAGGGATACATCGAATGCGAACAGCAATGACTCTATGCCTGAGTTGACTTGATACCCTGTACAGGTGCTGGGAGATAGACTTAAGCCACCTACAGTATCTCGGCTAAAGGGACATCGGACACCGAGTTAACCGAAAATTGCTGCGGGCCTTATCGCCCCGAATCCCCCCAACATCTGGCTTGAAGCTCGGGTTTATTGTTGTACTTTGGCTCCCTCACGCCTCGTGCTCTGCTCTATAACCGAGCATCCCTTGTATCTCTTCTCCTATCGTCCCTCAGCGACTTTCGCGACTCGCTGCTCCCAACGTAGAGTTGCGCGCGGCCTGTCCACTCCACACTATCGACTGCGCCGGACCATCAACATGGTTGATTCCTAGCCGGGCGCCTGGGTACCAGGCTCAGCACGACCCTCTTTCTTCCCGCCATCGCCGTCTTCGAATAGACTACGATGCCCTTCCGCACAGCGTCTCGCAAGCTGGAAAGGGCTGCCCGAATCATCCTCGTTGGAGCTCCGGGGGTGGGAAAAGGAACACAATCTGAAAGATTAATAGCGAGGTTTCCCCAACTCTGCTCCATTGCAACGGGAGACCTCTTGCGCGACAACGTCAGGAACAAGAGCAGCCTAGGTAGGGAGTTCCAGGGTCATCATTCCCAAGCGCATAAGCTGACGCATTACAGGGCTTCAAGCAGAAGGGTACATGAAGGATGGGGGCCTTGTCCCCGATCCTCTGATCCTAAACCTCATCCTTAACGAGCTCACTTCGAGGAAATGGCTGGAAACGTCTGACACAAACGACAATATCATTGCCGCTCTCGGGCGAGGAAATGGGTCAGCATCGTCGGTTGTCAAAGCCTCGAATGCGCCGGAAACCTCGTTCATCCTAGACGGCTTTCCACGCACCGCGAGTCAAGCGCAGGCTCTGTCCTACCTCTTGCCTATAAATCTGGTCTTCCAACTCGTCACTCCGGTCGATATCATACTGTCTCGACTGGCGAATAGGTGGACACATCTCGCGTCGGGGCGAGTGTACAATGTGGGTTTCAACGACCCCAAGGTGCCGGGGATTGACGATGTCACTGGCGAACCTCTGATACAGCGGGAGGATGACAGTGAAGCCACGTGGAAAAAGCGACTGGCCATGTTCGACCGAACCAGCCAGAGTCTCCTCGACTTTTACCGACAGCAAGATCCAAATCTGGTCGTCACGGTGAGAGGGAACAGCAGCGATGAGATTTCTCCTCAGATTTTTGCAGAGGTAGAGAATAGATTTTGTACATAAATTTACGAAATGTCTTTGGAGGACTAGTTATATTGTACCCTCGACTGTGATTTTCCAGATCCCATTGAGATCAAGATGATCCCTAAGCCCCGGACGCCCAGCCAGAGGGTCGACTAATCTGCGCTCGACACAAAAACACCCTCAGCAAGGAAAGATCCGAGACTGGCGATATAAAGTAATGCACTTTATCCTGTCGGCGGGATAGATGAGAAGAGAGAAAAAGAAAAGGATTGACGGAGGCAGAAAATAATTATTCACGAGAAGCACGAGGGGCTGATCTCAGACTAACCCGAATCGGTCGACATGTACAGTGCAGTTCTGACTCTAATACCTCTCCGTACAAGCACATAAATAAACGGGATCTCTCAGTGGCAGTGGACCTCTACGGAGACCTGTACGCGTCCTCGTAACGGGTTCTCTCAGCAGGTCTGGGCTTGGCGGGCGCAAGGCTGGGGCGGCAAGGCAGCGATCAGCAGCTGTGGTAGCTGGTCGGCGGATGTTGAGTTCGTGGGAGCTTTACCAGCCTGTAGCCGCACTAGCCGGAAGGTTGAAGAAGCCCCAACGTCAATATGGACTCAACGACGAAGCTGAGTTTCCTGGATAGCCTCAATTTCGCTATACAAGGCATCATGCTCGCTCCGTGTGGGGTCGGCGTGCTTTAATATGCTGAGAAGCTTCTCACGAGTCGGCCTACGAGCATCACCTCTACACCGGGTCCTATCGTTTAGATTGCGGCCTCGTCTGTACTTCAGCCTTCTCCTTTCTCTTCCACTTGATGTTTGGTCGCCGTGACGACTGTTGCACGGTTGTCATGTTGTGAGACATAACACGGCGGCTTGCCACGGTCATGGCGTGCAAGTAGGCTTTCTGTCAGGCAATGCTCCCTCTGTGATAAACTGAAACCGGTACAAAACCAATGCCAGCAACAGTCTAGGGGTAGGGGATGTTTCCTCCGCCCACAGTCTCACTAGTTTCATTTCTTCAACTCGCGCCATCAGTCTTCCCGACCATCTTGAATTCATCTGAATCGTCCTGGAGGCAACCCGCGGTCCTTGTTTCGCATCTTGATGGTATAGGCCTCAAGATGTGATTGGGACAAGATGAGTTCCCACTCAATCTGCCTGAGACGAATGTATCACCGATCTGCCCAGCTTGACCGGGCTGTTGCAGTGCCCACCCGCCATTCGGCTGCGACGTTCCGGTCAAGGGACTTCCAGATGAACCGCTTGACAAGCCGGTCCAGCTTCACGGGTCCCACCGGAAAACATCGACACGAATATTCCAAAGCACACGACAGCGTGACAGGGTCGCACGGCCGGAAAATCGAGGAGGGACAGACGTTAGGGCCGCTGTCACGCAGAGATGGACGGGTAGGACGACCTTCGCGTGTCAAGACACGGATTGCTCTTTGAGTCTGGTGTGATCCCATACACCGGGATGGGCGGAGGGGACATGGTGGTGACTGCCCACAAAACCTGATACCCCGGACAGCGCTATGCTATTTTAAATGGAGCCATCGTGGATCAAGACACACACCACTATTTTTGTGAGAGAACCCTGTAGGAAGGAGAAGGAAGCGCTGGCAGGATGCCCGTCGTGGGATCTGCTCAGTGCTGTGGGAGCATCAACTGCGAGGACGCACGCGGTCATGCTCACTCTGAAGTGCCCGCGTCCTGTGGCTCAGATCTCCCGGGCTGCGTTCTTTCTTTGTCACGGTCCGTAATTGAAACGAGATGCGCTGGATGGATCGATAGAAGTGTGTGTCGCCCAGTTTTTGTGATTGCTGACTGGAAACCTCCGGCCACTGGGCGCACCACGACGATCCGCCTGATGCTGGGCCGGGACCAGTGCCATCCTTCAGAGACGGCTTCATCGTCATCACTAGGCCGGAATCAGGATGAGACGTGGCACCAGGGCGTCCTGGGGGAGCATCGAGGCAGCCTGGCCGCTGGGGGCGCGACCGTAGTCCAACAGCCAGGAGGCCAGGGAGGCCGGGAGCCCTGGTAGAGCCCACTATAGCAGCCAATCACGTCGCCGTGGCCCATCGCCCGACGTGACACCTCCAGCTGCGCACAGAGTGACACCACCAGACCCAAGCACCCTGTGCATTAGCCCCTACGGCGTCTCCATGTCGTCGTCCCGTCACTGGCGTTTAAAGAAAATCACGGTCCGTATGAATCGATGCGCAGCCATGAGGCGGAAACTACTGTCCACTGACTTTGATCAGACCTTTTTGAACACACCGACCCTGGCCCTTCAATCCAGGCCGTAACCTGCCACCTCTTCGACCTCTCTTCTGTGTAGAGCACCCCGTCCAGACACTCATCAGCGCAGTCGCTATCAGCGTTGCCTACTGTATCGTTATCGATCGCGGGAACTATTGCAGAGCACTGACTTCATCCCTTCTCCCTTGATCGAGCCCGCACCCTGGTCGGACTGCCAGCGCCTCGTATTTCCTGCAGTCGATCCAAAATCATCCCCTTGCATCGACACGAAGGCCTGGAACACTCCCGTCGACCTCTCACCGCTGTACCGTGCGTTCTGCCAGAGCACGTACTTATCTTCTGCAATCCGTGGGTTGGACGACTGGTCTCTCGGCTTCACCCATGGTTGAGTGGACTTCACTGCATGGGAGCGCTTCTGGAGGGATACCACAATGAGCCTCGATTCTGAAAACGCGAGCAGGCCCAGTTGCCTTCTTCTGTTTTCACCACAGTCCTCGGCGCGACCTTGTCCCAGCACGTTCGAGGCGGGTTAGCTCTTATCATCTCCAGCGTTAAAATACCATCCTTGACTGCGAGGCGGCCACATTGAAGCATGCTTTCCATACCTTGCCGGCCCTCACATACGATGGATAACATCCGAGACCCTAATATCTACATCCGCCGCCCTTCCGGAACCTCTCGTCAGTACGCAGTCCCTGCCGAATCGAACGCGTACCGACATGCTCGAAATAATTCGACAAACCTCAGCTACGCCGAACATGAGATTGTACGGCAGCGCAAGACACCATACGGAAAGCTGTCGGAACAAGACACGGCGGCATTGGACAAGACCATTCAAGTTCCGCCCATCAAACACCTACTCCTCTCTTCTTCACCAGAGTTCCAGACAAATACTCCCTCGTACTCGTCTCGATGGGCAACATCGAATCACGTTTCCCGGTCAAATGCTGCGGCAGGAATAGATCTTGGAAGAGATGGGAGGCAGGAAAGACAGCATAAGAGCCATGGGAACTCTCAGTCGTACTCATATCGGCCCGCATTGGAGTTCTCTGTCGGCCTCGACTCGATGCTCAATCAAACCCTTCCACTGTACCCTACGCAGAGATACTACCTGCAGCCGGGATCTAACATCCCAACCGTGCTCCCGGCCACGCTTCAATCTCAGTTTGGTCCTACTGCCTCGGCGGGTCAAGAGTATTACGGTCCTTACTGGCCCGATGGCACTTACAATCCATATCGTCCCGCTGCTATTCGAGATTCTCGGTTCTTCCCGCCGGCTCCTACGGAGAGATTTCCCCTTGAGCACTTTCAGCACCCTCGTACTTTTCAGCAGACAACACATGTCCCTCTCGCTCGGAACAGTGGGTACATGCAGACCGTCCAAGCTCCGCTTCTGGGGATGCCACTCACGACAGTCGAGTCACCAGCAGCAAAGTGGAATGCCGTGCAAAATGCCTATCAAAACGCTCAGTATCCGTTCCCACAACAGTATTCACCTCCTGAGCACTTGATGACCGATCCGATAACTGCTTCGAGGCCCCTACTATCCTCAATTGTACCGGGTCCCAGCTCCGAACGCATCGCTTTTAGAGACAGGACGTTTGCCTGGGCTAACAAGGTCTATACTGACCTTCTCGAGACCATTCGGTGGACGGTAAAGGACCAGCGCGCCTCGGGAGGCAGTACCTCCGATTCCAGACCAGTACAGAAACCTGCCATCTTCCCTAAACCGCCTAGACGATCCGGATCACATTTTCACGAGACATCACTGGACAGAATATCAACAAATCCAAGCACTCCCAAATTCTACCCACATTACAACAACGAACATTCCATGCCTGAAATTCCCAGTCGCCCACAGACAGCTATCTACCGGCCCCAGCAAGCGCAAGCTGGTGCGGCGAACCAACACCTTTCAGCGTCGACAAATGGTTCAAACACTCACTATCAGCCAAGAGACCGAATACCTGAGGTCCGGCAACCGGGCCAGTCCTTGGCCGATGGCTTCACGAGGCCTCCTTCATTTGAGTCCGCAAATTCGGCCCTGAGGACGATGGAGCTTCTTTGTCATGAAGCTGACACACCTTGGGTGGATGGAATGCTTCTAGCCGGCTGCCTTGCTTACGGGCTCGGGAACTATGGCAAAGCAGAAGAGTGGTACCAGGCCGTACTCAAACAGGAACCTGGTCACATTGAGGCAATGTCGAATCTCGCTGCTACGTGTCATGCTCTGCACCGGAGAGAAGACGCTCTCAAGTATTGGTCCGATGCCGTGAGCTTGAGACCTAGCTACTTTGAAGCCGTGGAACACCTCATAGGTTTGCTTTGTGCAAGCCATCGAGCCCGGGAAGCAGTCAGTGTTATCGAATATGTTGAAAGCACCTTGCGTCTCCCCCCAGATGATTCTCATACTTGGAGCGAGCTCAGCGATGCCGAAAGCGATTCAAAAAGCCACACGTCTAGCATAGCTACCGTTGCGTCCTACGATCATGCGCACCACGATTTCGATTTTGATCTCTCGCAAGCTTTTGGGTCTGGGTCCGAGACTTTAATGCCTGGATTTGGTTCGAGCGGTTTCGCTATCCCTGGAGTAGACAACGGCCGAATTTTGGCGCTCATTCATGCCAAAGGTAACATGCTATATGCTCTCGGTAACAATCACGGCGCTGCTGCGGCCTTTGAAGACGCAGTTCTCATCTCCACCGGACACCGGAAGCAGGGCATCAAGGGCCTCATCAACAACATCTTGAGAGCTTGCCTACGCAACATCAGAGACCCCGAGTATGTTCGATCAAAGCTGGAAGGTAAAGAGCCAATCCTGTTGGCTCCTGAACACGCCGAGGCCACTGCCAGGAATATGTTCCCTCCAGATGGTGATCTTCCTGGACTGGAGCACATTACACCCGCTTTCGCGGTCCAAGCGGCCGTGTCTACGACAAGTAACTCGCTGTTGTCACTCGCAAAGATCTACCAAGACGGAATGTCCAACGCAACGGACATCGGGACTTTGAAGTCACCAAGTACCAGGGAGATTCTTGCTCTGTACTACCTCTCCTTATCGCTACAGCGCAGCCCTTCGACGGCCAATAATGTCGGCATCCTGCTCGCAGGAGTGCAACAGAGTGTTCATCCCGCTCATCTGGCTGAGTCGCACTTCTCCCAGATCTCGAGCATCCCGGGAGTGAGTGCTGGAAGTGGTATTTCTTTGGCCTTGATGTACTATAACTATGGTCTCAACATCGATCAGAAGCACGCTCACCTGTTCACCAATCTGGGCAGTCTCCTCAAAGACATCGGTCAGCTCGGCGCTGCAATCAAGATGTATGAACGAGCAGTCAGTTGTGACGGTAGCTTTGACATCGCATTGGCAAACCTCGCCAACGCCGTGAAAGACCAAGGTCGGGTGGCTGATGCCATTGTGTACTACAAGCGCGCAGTGGGTGCCAACCCAGACTTTGCTGAAGCTGTTTGTGGGCTTGCCACAGCTTTGAATTCAGTTTGCAGCTGGCAGGGGCGCGGGGGCATTTGTGCTCGTGATAAGCTGCGCGACCGCCTCCACGTTGATGATAATGGCATGAAGCATGCACCCTACCGGCCGTACGGCTGGATCAATCGCGTGGTCGAAATTGTCGAGAAACAGCTGAAGGACGGAGAACACTGGGGATGTGGCACGCTCACCTCGAGCGTCATTGACTCGCTCTCAGCACAACTTTCCCTCCACAAGCTTAGCTCGCATGACAATGTACGAGAGCAGACCATCAATACCCTGCGACAGGCCCTACGCAGCTGGTCAGGGCAGAAATGGGAAGGGTCGAGGATAGTGCGCTTGGTCGAGCGGGCGATACGCTACATTGGCTGGCAGTGGTACCAAGATCGATATGTCAAGCGTAAAGAATACTCGGCACGAAAATACTCGCGGCCTCTTCTCCCAAGCACACTGTCGCCACCCTCGGCGCCGACCGTCCTTCCTTTTCACACCTTTACCGCCCCTCTGTCTGCGAAACAAATCAGACAGATATCACAGCGGAACGCACTTCGAATATCAATGTGCACACTTCGCTCTGCATGGCTTCCGGCGACCGTGTTTCCTCCTCCGGCACCGCCAGACCCCTGCCTCAACGTCGGTTATGTGAGCTCGGATTTCAACAATCATCCGCTGGCTCATTTAATGCAATCGGTGTTTGGGCTCCACAATCCCTCAAAAGTCCGAGCCTTCTGCTATGCAACAACGGCTTCGGATGGCTCGGTACATCGACAGCAAATTGAGCGTGAGGCCCCTGTATTCCGTGATGCTTCGTCGTGGAGTGTTGAGCGGCTCGTGCATCAGATTGTCAAAGACAACGTACACATTTTGGTGAATCTGAATGGCTACACCCGAGGTGCGCGCAATGAAGTCTTTGCAGCCCGACCTGCGCCTATCCACATGTCCTTCATGGGTTTCGCGGGAACCCTGGGCGCTGAATGGTGCGACTATGTCTTTGCCGATTCCATCTCCGTGCCACCCGATACCCTGTCTCCATGGAGACGAAATGTGGACATTGAAGACCGTCTCCGACCTGATGCCTTGGTCGAAGATATGGAGGACTGGGTGTACTCAGAGAACGTCATTTTCGCGCGGGACACGTTTTTCTGCGTCGACCACAAGCAGAGTGCCCCAGATGTGAGCAAAGGACCTCCAAATTTCAAGGATTCGCTGAAACGCGAGACTGCTTGGGAGGAAGAGCAAGAAACTCGCTGGAAATTGAGGAAAGAGCTCTTCCCCACCCTTTCTAACACGGCGGTGATTCTCGGCAACTTCAATCAGTTGTACAAAATCGATCCCGCCACGTTTGAATCGTGGCTGCAAATCCTGAAAATGGTACCCAATGCCATCCTCTGGTTATTGCGTTTCCCAGACCTCGGAGAGCAGAACCTCCTGAAGTATGCGCGGGAATGGGCAGATGCGGACGTCGCTTCCAGGGTCATCTTCACCGACGTTGCCGCAAAAGGCGCACACATCACACGCGCGTCAGTGGTGGACTTGTTCCTCGACACGCCGGAATGCAACGCACACACTACGGCTGCTGACGTGGTATGGTCTGGCACTCCGATTGTGACCTGGGGCAAATGGAAATATAAGATGTGCAGTCGCATGGCTGGGAGTATTGTTGCGAGCGCTCTACCAGCCGGTCGTGCGGGTGAAGATGCGCGGCGCGAGCTGCTCGTCCAAAGTGAAAAGGACTATGTCGATACTGCCATCGAACTCGCTCGAGGGCTCAAGTACCCATCGCATGAATCGGGTGGACAGAAGATAGGTCGCGGGAAAGGCCGTCTGATGGATTATCGACGGATGTTGTGGGAGGGACGGTGGTCCAGTCGGCTCTTTGACACGCAACGCTGGGTCAGAGACCTCGAAGTGGCATACTGGTCCGCGTGGGAGAAGTGGGAGAAAGGTGAAGGAGGAGACATCTGGTTGTGAGTGAGTCAACCTGGAGAGCATGTCAGTCAGCACATCCTGCTCCGACATTGCACAGACATACTGCTACCACGGGCATTTACGTGGACAATATTCACGGAGTTCTGTTGGACGACGACCTTGATGAAATCACGACCGAAACGAAATTTACAGTTGATTGATACCAACCTACAGGTTTATCCGACGAAATGGGAACTCCCTCCTTGACAGGAAAGGGCACTTGGGACAGGCAAAGAAAAGTTGAATTTTTATTACTACGAGCTACTTTGTTGGCAATGTTTTATCACCGGCGAAGGGTCTAGTGGGACAGGATCATTAGCAAGCGAGCTGTCGGACAGGGCGAGGCACGGAGATTATCATCTCGTGAGCTGGTGGGGGTTTTCTGAAGGAAATCAACCTTGATTGATTCATTATATTGCTTCGAGGGGAGTAAATCACCGTTTACTTCTCTGGCATTTGCGGCGGAAATGAGCACGACAGGCATTGGGACTGGGGTCGGTCGCACCTTGCAAGCATGTGGATGGGCACCGGGGTTTTTTCTTCCCCTTGATGATGTACGCGGTATATCGCTTTTTATTCCACTTAGACATTTTGCTGTGTACTACCTGCCTACCTACCTGGGGCGGGTACGTTATTTTTTTTCTCTTTCTCGAATCGAGATGGGGTAATTCGAGTTACCCTTTTGGCTCTCATTCAGTCGTTCGTTCATCAGGTCATTCAGTCGTTATTCTATCGCGTGCGTCCCAGTCTGCTGTATCCGTACGGAGTACCCACGGTAAATAGAAGTACAGTTACAAAGTTCGAATACGAATACGAGTTGGGAGAATCCATCACGCTGACATGCAAAAGAATCTCGAAGAGCTTCTCGACAAGACTCTCGGCGTAGAGAGATATCCCACCTGGAAGTGCCCATTTATCCCCCACCCCAAGTTTGCGGCATGCTCTCGTTCGTCCCGTGTGCCCATCGCCGTCGTATAGTTCTTCCAACCTTGCAACTGTGTACCGGGGACCACGCGCAGTGAGGGTCGGATGGTAAAAGGGGCTGCCGGGCCCTCTGCGGTAGTTGTGAGACCCGATGGAGGACGGTTATTGGGTGTGTGTGTGTATGTGTGTGTGTGTGTGTGTGTGCTCGACGAATGCGACGAAGGACCAGGGAGTGTTGTTGGACACGGTGAAGAGGGGAAAACGAGGAGGGTTTGTGATGATCCTCGATGATCCTCCTGGGCGATCCGTGTCGCTTCCCTAGCTAGGTAAGGTAACCTTGATGTACTTACTGTTTACCTTGTTGCAGCACGCAGCTGTTTTTTTTTCGGCGTGATCGAGCATTCCCGATCCCCCATTCCCCATAATCCCCATATCCCCCGTTCTTTTCGACAGCTATAGGTAGACATGGAGCTTGACTGACGGCAGGGTAGGAGTCTGCGTGAGAAGCTCACTCAGCCTTGTATCGACCCCAACGGCCTGCATCCCTTACCCTCGGCCATAGATGGAGCCGACGCGGACAGAGACTCCGTCTCATTCCCTTTTCTCTCTTTGAAACATTTGATATGTAGACCGAGGGGGTGTACCACTAGGGTACGAATAAAAACTCCTCCGTATCCTCCTCTGACGTGCCCTCCTCTTCACTGTCCTCCTCTTCTGCTTCCCTCCCCCACTTCTCCCACAGCGATGTTTTGTGCTGACAATCACATACAGGTCTTCTCTGGAGTCGCGGGTCAACATCCGCTGCCCATATGTCCAAGTTCCGGGTTTGGTTGGCCAAGATCAAAGACCATACAAGCCGATTGATGTGGAAAGTCTGATGCCATGAGCCATCCACTTTCCTGCCGTCCCCGCGGCATACTGTCACCCCATTGACCAGTCTAGTTTGAAGTCGTTGAAAGTGAAGCGTATACGGATCCTCGGCATGCGGTGCTACATGAAACGTCGCGATGCCCATTATACCGGGTTTGCCAGGACGAATGACGAGCATCAGCGAATTCTGGCCCAGGTCCCAGCTAATGAAGGAGCAGACGAGATCGCCTGGGAGGATATTTGGGCCCCCATATAGATACCACACAGGATTCCGCTTCCGCCTCCCCAAGCTCAACTTGACCTCTAGTCTAGTAGCTGGAAGGACCGAGATTCCCGTGTCATCAACCTGGTGAAGCTCGTAGACCGTCTCAACCCGCCCATAGATCTCGGTCCAATAACGGAACCTATCCGCTTTCGATCCTGCCAAACCCACAACCAAGTCCCTCTGGGAGAGCGACAGAGACCCCAGAAGCGACTTACTGCTACGTTCGATAACTCTAAGATCCATCCAGCTGAGGAAGGCTGTATCCGGGTACAGGGAAGCAATCCGAAAGAACAGACTTCCCACCGATTCGCTGTAGTCGATATCTAGACAGTGGCCATTTGTCGCAAGTGCACGAACTCCATAGGCCTTGTCCCGGGGGTCAATACACCGTGCAGACTTGAAGGTTTCCATGAGTTCAAGCAAGTGTCGATCTTTGCATCCGCGGTTTCGTAGATTCATGACTTGCAGACAGTGAGGCGCTCTTTCGGCAACGTCCCCCTCAATTGAACGGCTGAAATCATCCCAGTGGCTCAATTTGGTGCCGCACATGATGAGCACGCTTGTCGCAAGTGCAATCTCTTGGAGCACCCATATTCTCGTCCAATAGGGACGCATCGCGAGTTGTTCGAAACATGCCGACAATATTGGACGGCTGTAGACCGTCTCCTTTTTGGGATTGCTGCTATTGATATAATCGAACGCGTAGTCACTGTCGGCATCACCCTCACCGAGCCACGCATAGACACGGGCTGCAGAGGTGAAGATACTGCCCATCAATGAAACCTGCCGATTTCGCTCTTCCGCATCTCTCTGATTGATGGAGAGAACATCGAGCCACACCGTCACTGCCTGGTAATACCTGCTCATGTGCCAGATGAATGAATATATGTTGGGCCGTACGAACACACGCGAGCCATTCAGTTCAACTGCTTTGAGATTTTCTGGGGTGACCGGCGCGCCCCAGTAGTACGATAACGCGTGATAATGCGGCTTTTCATCCAAGCTGACGTGTCGAATGCGGCACATGGGCGGATCTCCAGCTTCAACATCAATGACTCGAATCTCTCTGTCTCCGAGCCCCGTGTATCCATCGTACTCTGGCCACTGGTCTAGATTGATCTGAAACGCTTGGGACTCCGCGGCTGGAAGTTGTACTTCAGCCATAACAATGAGGGTGCCAAGAGCTTGCAAACAAGGGGGAGTTTAGTCGTAGTCGTGAATCAGTTGGCTCAGGGCTCCAGAATCGAAGTTCGTTGCCACGGCTGCGGGTAAGGAGGATGTTTGTGGTGCCTCCCGTGTCTACTCGTAAAATACTCGACTTTGACTGGAGGTTTTGGTAAGCAGCATTGTCCATGCCATGACCAAGACTGTGCTGAAGGAGAGTGTATGTGATCAGGCTGAACTGCAGGCAGCTTCCGGATGGTCTGCAAACATGTCGACATGTGATTTCCGCTCATGGGGGACTTTGGAAAATAGTTGTTCCGGGGACCGGTTTTCTCAGAGCTGGAAGCCAGGTACCTAGGTACCTATACCTAACCTTGGGTGCCTTGCCTTCTTTCACTCACCGATCAGTGAATGCCATGGGCGGCCAGCAACGACCTGAAACCCTTCCAAACAGAGCAATGGCCGTAGGTCGATAATACGTGCTTTCGCGGACACCAACAGATATCACCAAAATGTTGAAGCATTGCCAGACCAGGAGCTCCAATGGAACAAGATCTCAATCTCAAGAGTAGTCCTCGTCGTCAGTGGTCACATCCCTTATCACCAGATCCCCGTCTTACCTACAGGTACCTTTGACTCATGTTTGACTCATGTTTGACATCGACAGGGTTCTCACCACATTGCAAGGTCCCCGGGGCAGACCGCCGCCTGGTACTTTGTCCAGGAGACACAACACATCCGAAGTGATTCCAGGTGCTTCCCAGGAGCAGATAGCCAGGGGTTGTCGAAGCTTGGGAATCGCCTGGCAAATCTCGCCTCGCCTGCATGTGAGGCCGGGGGGGTTCCAAAGGTTCAAAACCCAGCGGGTGAAATCGCAAGAGAGGCTTGATGATCTCGATCTCAACCACCATCCCATTTAGCCACAAGACACATTTACTTTTTCCCAGTCGGATCAGGAATCAGGAATCAGGAATCATCATAAAATGCCGGATAAGTACTCCGTACATCCGGAGTCCGTACTCGTACATCCACAGAAGTAGTGCCTTTCCCTTTCCAATATTTTTTACAGCTCGGTCGGCTGCCCCCGGAAAAAATACGAAGCACGACAAGCCACCAGCCAGACAAGGTTGACAGAACAAGGAGTGAAAGGAGAAAAATGTAAAAGGATCAAAGCTTGACCATCTTAGCGCAATAATTCGTCGCTTGCAAGTTGCCCCGTGCCTGCAAGGGACTAATAAGTTGCAGGCTATTGATTTGCCGATTCTCCTTATATGTGAAAGATCGAAAATGTGAAAAAGCAAAAAAGGAAACTTAAAGTTCAATATCACGGAAACAGTTTCCGGATCAATACGAGCGACACTGGTTTACTCGTACGAGTACAACGAGTACTACAATACCTACCGCCTGGCCAGGGCATCCGAGCAAGGGGGGGAGAAGAAGGTTTTGCTCTCATCGTGGGAAACCAGGTGGCATGTACATACAGGATTACTGTATGATTTGAAACAGCCCTATAACTCGGCAAGTACCTTCTACCTACCTGGAGTCAGAACACGAGTACTGAGTTCGGAGTAAAAAAGTTGTGAAGTTGTAGAACAAGGGAAGAGATGCATCGTAACGGAAAACCGATTTGTTCGAATCACCGGCCAGGGAGGTTATCAATAATGCAGATACCAGTACAGAGTGAGCCCCCCCTTACCTTGCTTTAGGTACCAGTACCCCTTCTTGTGATGAGTATAGTATATGTACCAGAGCTCGAGACGAAGAAACACAAGAGAACGGAAAGACAGACCAGACCAGACCGGCCTTGGAACACGCAGATCGGACGACCATATGCCGTTGCCAGAATTCCTCGCGAGTCCTTCCTGGTCCCTGGTAGGCCTACATGATGAAAATTGGCCAATACTCGTCCGTACCCCACCAACTAGACTTCGGTGCGAGGACCGAGGTGGACGGACAATCTTATGTACGTTGACTTCTCGTCCTGGTCTGCCCGTGAGCGTGAGCATGGGCACGAGCACGAGCACGAGCACGAGCAACCGAATCCAATGTAGAACTCTCAAATCTGTGCCAATACTCGTATCCTGGATGGGACCAGGGTAATTACCCAAACAGTCAAAGCTCCAGAGCTTGGAACGAGAGACGACAATAACACTCGTCGCACGAACCTTTAACTGTACCCTGGAAGGCTGAGACTCGCGTCAATTATTACTATAACCATTACGTGCATGTACGTCAACATTTGACAAAACATGACCATTTTATTTCACCCCCATTTCAACCAATATCGTGGCCATAGCGCCGAGTGGCGCAACGGCCAGAAGTCTAAAAAGCGTTCCTACTTGTTGTACCGGGTACGAGTAGTCAGTAGATCCGGCCACTCGTAGATGGGGAATTGACAAGTTATTGGATAAATAATATGAACAATCACCGTCACAATAACGCCCGTGCTGTAAGTTTGCAACGGCACAAAATGTGGTGGTGGACCCGATGGTTCCTGTAGTACTAGGAAGAAGGACAGACCAGACTACCAGACTGTCAGACTGTTGTGCTTATTGTAGGCACCTCTAGTAGTAGGTACCCAGTGTGCACCGTGACGAACATTACATTTCAGCCGTTTAGAACCGTGGGAACCATCAACGAAACAACTCTGTCCGACAGGTATCTTCGAGTTACGAGTCTCTCGGAGGAGTAGCTTTCAAAGGTCGAAACGTAGTGGTCGTTCCAAGTTAAGCTCGAGTAAAACACCTCCCACCCCCCCCTTTTGTCCAAAGACAAGTTGAATTAGCAATCTTAGACCATGACCGTTCGAACGAAAGAGGGGTGGTAAGACGTTGCTGACAGGTACGTAAAGCTGAAGTCTTGGAGTTTCAAGAAGGGTCGCATGCGGGCTCCGCAAACGGGCGGTGGCGGTGGTGGTGGTGGTGGTATACGGGGTTTGTGCAATCAACGCAATAGTATCGTGCTCGGAGCGTGCACGGCCCCGCGAACAGGATGTCCTGAATCTGGGTCGACGGTTGCGTCCGTGCATAAGGTGCGTGGATAACTGAAGGCCGGGGACATTCTATCTCCGGTGGGTGTCAGAGCAAGTATCGTTTTCATGTCGCCTTACCACCCTAGTTGGGACTGACAGTCTGGCAGCACAGACACCCGTCAATATATGTAGGCCGTGGCCTGGATTCTTGGGAGTCTGAGGACTGTAGTCCATGCATGGTATGTACCTTTGGTGGGTTCAGCTCCGCTTCCATGGCTGACCACGTCTAGATCCTTGTCACTGCGAGTAGGTAGGGAGGGGGATGGCAGAGCGCGGACATTCCAAGTACGCAGCGTGGAAAAAAGAGATGATCTACCACTACCAGCCATGTAAATTGAGATCTGGTCGGGCCCTATGTCCGTGATGATCGTACTGGGGCGTGCTGGATTTGACATGGGCAATCCACGGTACTCGTAACTCGTACGAGTGAGTCCTGTGCGCACGGAACACCCAAAGAGGTACTCGTGGATGGTCGGTGGCGCCGGTGATGACGATGAGACTTTTCTCCTGCATCTCACTAATTATCGGTACACGGACCCCTCTCCGATCTGTCGGTAAAGACAAAAGGGAAAAGGCTTCCACTAGCAGTGATTGGTAGTGGGCAGTAGAGCACAGACTGCCCCAGGCCGTTGTCAATCGGGAGGCAGATTGACGAGAAACTATATCTTGGGTTTTTGAAAGTGGGCCCTGCATTTCCGTATCTGACAGCGACGTGATGAATCACCACATTTACTGTCTCGCCCGGTTCTGGCGCTGGGTGTTGGGGGCAAGGGCGTGTCAGTTGTCCACCGTACGGGAACTCTGAGGGCTGCTTCCACCGGCCTATGGTTGACACCATGCTCGTCTCGCCCATAGTGGGTGCGAGGGATTCGTCGAGGATTCGGGCATGGTTAAATCCACACTCATAACTCGCGCATTCGTAATCGATCTTGATCGCTAGTAAGAACCACCGTGCATGCCGCGAAGCAAAACTTTGCAAGGAAATATACCGGGCTAGCACTGCTGGGGTGTTCTCAAGCGAGGCACCCAGTGCCCTGTTTTAGGCGAATCGCTAATACAATAGTAATGTTTCTCTCCACCAAGGGGCGGCTGAGCTTGTTTCGTAAGGTTCAGGAGTCCAAGAAAAAGTCAATGTTTCACATCTCACATGCAAGCCCCAATCAAAATACTCTGACTGGGACATTTGCAGCTCTGATCTCCCTTCGTGCAGACTCAGGCTCGAGGCTCCTACAATATGGCCTATGGGGGACTTTGCTTCGCGTCGGATCATGTCATCTTGCGTGCTTCTCGGTAAAGCCAGAGCCTCGGGGATCACCGGACTCGTCTATTATCTGAGCGAGGAATGGCGTGGGTGGAGAAGCAATGACTTTCGGCAAGATCACTCTTCGACCACGTCGCCGAGATTGATGAAGTCGGTCCATCTATCTGAGTGTGGAACGTCCTGTCAGCGACGACAACCTGAGTACGTGTGCAGGTGAAGGTGTTAAAATGGCCTTGACGCTGCCAACGAGACCTTGGTCGCAATTCCGATATGATTCTCGCGATCGGGACGGTGAATGTAATTCACAGATGGGACATCCGCCCCCCCACCTGTGTGGAACGGCGGTCTGCTGAGGAAGCCTGTGCTGAGCCTATGGGGAAGACCGGGACCTGGCACGGAAAACAAAAGGTACTGTAGAAGCCGAGTTCAGCTGGCCTGCTTCACACGACCCCAAAGGGTGGAGCACCAGTCGAAGTTAGACAGAATGCCTGGGTGATACCGGGTCTGGGCCTGGTGGTGAGGTGTTGGACCTCGAGTTGACCGTCACGAAAAGGCAGGTAAAGAAGACTGGAGGAGCTAGAAGAGAGAGGCGCAGGATTTGACGCTCTGATTCCATATGGTGTGCAGGTCGAGGCAACCTCGAGATTGGGCGAATGCCATGTGAAATGTCTGTTGCTGCCTGACTGTTGTGAGATATCCAGAAGACAATGCTGTCCCTCTCCTGCTTGGTGCTGTGTAGTATCGGCCGAACAAGCAGGTCGAGACGTTAGCATGTATCAACTCGTCTGCGTATCCCCCGCCCTGTCACGACCGTGACGAGGCACCAGGACGGCCCTTCTCCATGGAATCCACGTCTCGCGCTACACAATTTCAGTGTTAGAAGCCTGTCGTCTCAGGGTGTTTGCCGGGATATAAGCGAGCTGCAGCTGATGATCTTTGGCTCGGAAGGGCGTTGACCTCCACAAAGGGGTGGAGTAAAGGGCCCTCGGAGGAAGTTTCCTCGATCCAGGGATCATTCAGCGTGTCTGCCGGGACTAAGGTCGTGCGTGATATTTTCGAGCTTGCCAGACGAGCCTGCCGATAGCTCTTACATGGTGCAACTCGCACGCTCTACGCCTTGACCTAACAGTTCCTGTCATTGGAACCGGGGCCGTCTGCGAGGCACGAGAACTGATCTCGGTTCTGCCAAAGGATACATAAACGGAAAGATGGTTATTTCATGACACGATGTGGCTTTGATCTGTACGACCATCTCATTTTCTCCCGGGATAGATGAGGCCTTTTGACTGGATACCGGTGCCGGGTCCCCTTGTCATGTACTCCGCCTATTCCGAGATTTGCAACGGCGTGAGATGCGAGTTTGGCGATCTGGTTCCTCGAGTCACCCCCCGTCATCATCCTTGTTCTATGGTGTGACTGGCGTGCTGACCGCTGCACTCATTTGGTTGCGTCCCCGCCCTTGGGTCTTGCGAAGCACCCTGGAGGGTTGGCTGTCTGCGGGACGTGGCCAGCGAGGAGATGGCGAGCAGCATGATATCGAAGGGTCCCGCGTTTCCAGCGGCAAGAATTACCCCTGCGTTGAGCTTTGGGAAGCGTCATCCACATCACTCCTCTGCCTGGCCGGGAGGCTCTGGACGGTTCTGCCATTGACTGACACACTCCTGTCGGTCCAGAGCGGTAGAACTGCGTGACATCCATATATCGTCCATGTCACACGATCGTATAGTGGTCGTGATTACTACCGTAGATTGATGGCCAGCCAGTGATCTGAGAACCGATCAACCATTCCGAAAGTTCATGGCGTTTCGATTTCGACTGAGCATTCCAGTATGCAATTTTAATCAATGTCCTGTCCTCCAACAACTCTGCCAGTCAGGTCAAGTCCTGGGCCGTATCCACTTTCAATCCTCTTTCAATCCTCTCCTCGTATAGCTATTGTACAATTCAATTCACCTCCTGTACTCGACCCGGTAGCATCCTGGGTATCATCAATATTAATAATGTACAAAATTCCATTAGTCCCAAGCCATCAATACCATTAAAACATCAGGGCCAACCCATTTGCAGGGAAAGATGGCCGCTCAATAACACAGAATCCACAATCTTGCAGTGCGCCAATCCAAATATCGCTCACGTTGCCGCTGATAATGTCTGGACGTGAGTCTAGTCCAGTAGACGTGATACGTCCATGCGAGCATCCTTGGTCGCCAAAGTTCTAGAACCAACCGTAAAATCTTTCAAGTCGCTCGAACCTCCCCTGTGGCCAGATAGTGGGGGTTCCGGAGCCGGGAGGAGCTGTGCACTTGGCGAGCCGCTGAATCTGTTCAGATGTGGCTGAAACGCAGATACATGTCCCTGGTCTTGTTTGTATTCTGCCAGGCAAGGCCTGATATCTTGAAGGCTCCCCCTGCTGAACGGTCGCTGCGTGTCAGACCACAATTGTACCTGCAACGTGTTTGATGACGGTATTCCCGGTCGGGGAGACGGTACAGTCTTGGGGGAAATCGAACAGTTAGACTGATTGTCCGAAACTAGAGACGGTGCTTGTTGGTTTGAAGAAGCATGTGAAGCCACCGTTGGTGCCGGAGATAGTATGGGACGTTCGAGATGGGTGAGGGGCGGCAGGTGCCAGTCATTTCGATGGACTGACGTAGGTGTTGGGTAGGACGGTAGTCTAGGTAGGGAGGGTGCGAAAGCTCCTTCTTGTCGAAGTTGGCTGGATGACTGAGGTAGAAGAAGGCTCTCCGGTGGTAATTCTGCAGAACGGGAGCTTGATGGGTGCTGAAGATGACCGATGGGTAGCTGAGACGAATGGAACTGACGGTCCTGCCTTAGTGATCCATAGTTTCGTTCCAACTCATAGCCGTTGAGCGGCTCTTCGCAAGAGGTTGGTGGCTCGAGCGATTGCCGGTCTCGGTACTCGTCCGTCGAAGTCATGCCGCGGTGCTGTAGGTAGATCTGCCCCAGAGAACCTGAAGCTGGGATAGGATGAGTGCGATAGCCGACAGAGGTGCTACCACCGCCTGGATGGACCGAATGTCTTTTGCGTCGGTTCATACTGCCATTCCACCAGTTCTTGACTGCATTATCACTTCGATTCCCAAGCCGCCGCGCGATTTCAGCCCATCGTTTGCCCATCTCTCCGACAAGCTCCTCGATGAGTTCCCCCTCTTGTGCAGAAATGGGTTCGTGGTTCAGACTGGGCTTCAGGTTCTGGTGATATCGCTCTCTGCACTGTTTCGGTGACCGATGCTGCATGTGCTGCGAGATTCGCACCCAATTGTTTGGGCCTTGAGTCTTCACCAGTCGAAGTAGAGTGGCATCTTCCTCGGGTAGCCAAGGGCCCCGTCGACTTGATCGAGACATTGATAGATAGTGGACAAGTTCAGACTGTGTCGAGATGGCCTTGGGTGGAACAATTGTCAAGCGTGTGGACGCTTTCTCTACGAAGAGAGAGAATGGGTTTTCGAACAGTATCCGGTATATTGGACATTCAGAGCATCATCGGCGATGCAATTATTCTTGACTGGCTTGGGATATCTTGCTAGCCAATTCGGCAAAGAATATAGGCATTTGACACAGGAGCCGACGCTATTAACGACGCAAGTTAGAAGGTCGGGAAAAGTCCCTCTGAAGAAGCTTTCAGATTGCCCACGGCAGACTCAGGTGGGTTGATGTGCGAAGATCGAACGAGGCTAGCCAACGGGTAGAGATGACAGAAGGGGTCCTACAGTAGACTAAATTCTGGTAGTCCAGTTTCGGGACGGCCTGCGAAAGGCTGCAGCGTCCTAGCTGAACTGAAAGGGTAGGAGCAATAATGACACGGGCCGGCGCCTATGAAGGAAAAGGGTGGTGAGATCGTTATGGATATGCACGTAGTGTACGTACAAGTGGGTGCGGCATTGAAGTCAAGACGCCCAAGGAGGGAGGCGCTGGAAGCACGAGCTAGCATCGGGCCATGAAAAGCCTCTTGAAGACCACGGACGTCCACTTTGGGAAAATTTGGCTTGATCGCCAGGTTGTATGCTGAGCAAGGGATCTCTCTTCCCGCCCATGTCACCCTGCCAGAGTTAGCGCTTCGTCATCAAAGACGACAGGAGTGAAGGGTTCTGGGAACCAACCTCTTGGGGTTGACTTCATGAGTCCATGCCACCGAGCCCACGAAGGTCTAAGACGCCTTGGCGGAAAGAAGACAACAGTCGCGAACAATACCACCAGGCGTGCAAGTCATAGGTCTCCCAGAGAGGTGATCCGCTTTCTAGCAATTTGGCCGTGACCTCTGTAGTTCTCACCCTGAGCACTTCCCGACACTGGGATGGCTTTCTGCGTACGGCTCCAAAGGGCAGCGAAACAATCATCCTCGCGAGTTTCGGCTCCATCGGGTGACTCCACCGGATCGATCTATGGTCATGGGTGTCCTAGTTCAGATGACCGTAACGTAGAACTCAGTTCGGTCAGGACGGCGCCAAAGGGAAAGTTTCCTGACAAATTTTACAGCTCTTGTACCGTGTAAGGAATGGTGGTCCAAGGTTCCCGCGCAACTGGCTACGCTTGTTACAGAGTATTGATGTGAGCTTTAGGCCTGGTGAGCCTGGCCACCCCTTTCCAAGTGAGCCGCTTTAGGTGCGACGGCACTCGCATGCTGGCGACGTTGCTAAATGACATGACCATGTTCCTGAAGTGACTTGTCTATGTTGACATGATCACATATCGTTTGATGTTTCTTGCCTCAGACACAAAGCTGTCCCTGAAAGAGAGATGGTGATCCATATTTGTTAGAGGAAAAAGGGTTGTGATTCCATGCAGAAGGGCCAGCAGATGCTAGCGCGACTGTAATCGAATGCTTGCGACAACTTTAGTTCTGGTGCCTCTTGGTATCCTTCATAGGAGGGACCTCGGCCGGCGGTGTGGACTGGGATCCTCTTTTTTCACGTCAAAGGGTGGGTAAACCAGATTGCGCATACTGCGGGCTGCAGCCGGAGCGTTTCGACCGTTGAAAAGTCTTTTGCGCACAATCGAGAGGGGCTGACTATGTCGCTAGCAGCTGATCATTGGTGGGGACTTCAACCACGAAAGATTGCGATCGAAGCCGGATCTTCGCCAGCGTGACCGCCCAACACATAGAAGGGTAGGCTGAGACGGCTAGTGCAACAGCGGGTGGACGCTTTTGGTGCGAGACAGAACGCCACAAGCACGTCCCATGCCCCAAACAAGCTGAATCGTGAGCAGGACGGGATATGCCCTGGCCATCACTCGCTGCATACCCACAATCTCACGGGTCCAGTTCACTCAAGATGCTGGCCTCTGAGGTGCGGTAGATCATCGTCCAGCCAATGCATTGAGAGGTTGTTCTGGCATTCGACCAGCCAGGGCCGGTTCGGCGGAGGATGGTCTCCTGGTTCAGAGGAACGATACGAGCTGTACCCATATGGTACACCAGCACCAGCACCATTGATGCTAATGAAGAGCGTCCGAGCATTCCAAGCGAATAATGGAGTGGTGGCGCACTGGCCCCCGCTCCTCTCCTGTACGCTGTGGTCCGAATGCTGCTGACGAAAAGCCCTTTTCCTTGATGGGAGCTCCTTATGCTTGTTCCAAGCTAGACCGCCGATCCACCTTGGAAAAAGGGGTTGAGTTTTACGGAGTATGGATACGGAGGTACCTACTGTGGAGGAGTGATGAAACTGCGCCGAAGCGGGTTCTTCGAGATATCGCGGCAAGAAGAGCCTAATTGCGTAGAACGATCGTCGATGGCCAAAGCGACTGTAGCTTGTAGAGATCGAGGTCGAACTAGACCCCGTCTTTGAATTGGAATTTTCGTCATGTGGGCTTCCACTTTCAAGCAGAAGCGAGTTTCTCGTTAGCGGTAAGCATCGACAGGGGCTCATGCTAAGGGTCTTCCGAGTGCGCATTAGCTGGCAAGTCTTGGGTGCAGTGCAGCAAGAATAGTTCGCGTCACGACTAATCTACCTTTTCAAAGAGCATGTGCGTAGGGATGCTTGGCTGGTGCTGAAGCTGGTAGTCGCAGGGACGAATTGAGTGTAGCAGCCTGACTCTCGTATTCCGTGAAACACGGGCCTGACCAGCTCGCCGGGACTGCCTAGCTGGCAGCTTGCAGCTGTGGTTGGGCAACGCATCGTTGACGTGACGCGAGTGCGAGCCGCCCCAAGCGAATAAGCAGGGGAGAGGCAGGAATAGGAAAATAGCCACCTCCAGTGGGGAGGCCCAACCGTCCTAACTGCTCGACTAGGATCCGTAGGGAGGAAAGTATCCGATGTGATGGGCTTACTGCTTCTTCTTTTGCCACAGGCCCAGAGTCACTTGATCGTGTGGCATCGCTGAGCCAACCGCGGGTTATTCCAGGTCATACAATTCTTCGCGACACTAACCCAGAAAGCCGACGACAAGCAAGACGAAGGACAACAGCAAGGTAAGGTCTCGCTTCTGGTGCATGCCTAGTGGTATCTCGGGATCGGACTCGGACTCGGGCTAATACCTTGCTGCTGTATCGACCGTTCCAGGGGGGCATTCGTTCATCCGTGACTCGTACTGTGAGGGATCCCTGCTCCCAGCCCTGCACCAGACACGAATAAACCCTGTGTCGGGTCTCGTTCCCGGACTCGGCGACCGGTGGCCTTGCCTTGCGCAGGAAGCAGCAACTTCAACCACAGCAGCCTTGCCCGAAGTCCACGTCCTGTTTCCGTGAGCAGTGCCAACCATTACAGCCCTCGCCGACCCGTGAATCTAATCTCAATTGCCACGCGGTGTAAATAAACAGACTCATAAGAATCCGACACAACGCGGAGCCAGCAGCCTGTGCCAGATCTGCAACGGTGGAAGATCATAGGTATACTAGAGCCGGGAGGAGGTAAGAAACAAGACACGACCCAAGCAAGGTTTCTGTCAATCTGCCAATCGTGCAAGTAGCTTGATTTTATGTATGTATACTGTAGTCAATATATATCATGACCCTGCCTACCGCGGCTCCAAAGCCGAAGTTTGTTGAGAAAAAGTGACAGCTGACAGCTTGACTTCGGCCTAGCCAAATGGATTAGAACCCTGTTCCACAAGTACTGCCGATGAACACCGGCCTCCGCATTGAGCCCTGAGACCTGGGTGGAGGTGGTGCAATACCTTGCATGATCCTCCCTCATACCTTCTCCGTCTTGAAAACAACACTCCTGATGCCCACTGAGACCAGGTGCTCCGCTATCCCAGGCTGTTGAGGGCGAGGACCTGGCTTTGGCCAAGGATAACTTTTGAGAAACATGCTCTGCATGGTCTCCTAATCAACCCTTTGCAAGCTGACACAATTGACAAAGGGCGCATCTTCCCGACTAACCACTTCAGCGTGTTTTGAAACTTATGAAATATAGAAGTCCTGCGGGTAGTAGTGCTGGCGCATAACGGCAGAGCGGCAACTCTAGTAAGTCTCTGCCTGCGAGTATCCGGAAAATTCAGCCTTCTTGCTTGCCGAATGTCTTTGACAGTCATACATGGCTTACAAGGGACGCAACTGCAACCATTCGGCCGGAATGCTGGGCATTTGACCATTTATCAGGGGCAGTCTTGAGGCATCAGCGATGGGCGTGAAGGATTTTGCCGGTCCCAGAGGCATCGCTCTGTCCGGGAGGCGCGAAGCTGCCAGCACTGATGAAAACGCGCCCGTTACCCGGGATTCTCGAGACAAGATCGGCGGAGCGGCTTGCGTTTTGGTGCATGTCAACTAGAGTGACGATGATCATGTACGTCAAGTACTGCCGCCCAGCTAGTGTTGCAAGCCCGCCTGCTCGTCGCTTTTGGAATGAAACAGCGCTGAACGCGGTTAGGCAACATGACCCAGACGATCCTGTTGTTGTTTTGAAGTTTTTTCTCCCCTTTGCACCAAAAGAGCAAATTAAGAGGAGCGCTCGCCGTATGCATGGGGGGAAGACCACTAGGCTACGGTAACGAAGCCTCTCTTAGTACCTCGGGTTCCTGTCACTTGCGTGTCCAGCCATGTTGACTCGTCAACATAGTCACTCTCTCCCAGCTCCCGGACCCGGCGACCCATCACTCGCAGCCCAGCAAGATTGAACCCAAGATCATGCTTCTGCTTCTGAAGCGTTTTCCGAAGTCTCTCTCGCGTCTCGTCAAGGGCCACTCGGAGGGCTTGGCTACTGACAATCTGCTTTTGATGAGTCTTGAGCATGAAGAACAGGATTCTACATGTCAGAGGAATGTTACGACCTTCCTTGGCCCACAAACCTAGGAACGTGAACAGAGCAGGAAGCTGTGAAAGTGACAAAACCAAAAGCGCATCCTGCAATGAGGCAGAAGGTACTTTCTGAAATGTGTTCAGGACGTAGGCAGATGCCGAGATATTGTTGTTGGCCAGGAAAACAGTATCTCGTGGTGGCGGCGCTGTCTTGGGATTGCTTCGTTTCGATAGCTCATACTGCTGCATGAGCTTAAGATCTTCGAAGCCTACCTCGAGTGCTTCTGCGATCTTCTCTCCGGCCATTAACGTCTGAGCAGTTTGCTTGCCAGCTGAAGTTGCTTCAACCCCTTCCATCTCGGCATCCGCTTGCTGTTCGTCCTTCTCGAGGGAGGTTAGGAGTGTTTTTTCGTACAACTCTTCAAGCTCCCTTTCCCTTTCTTCTTCTAAAAAGATTTGTTCGTCTGTCTGCTGCCAGATTCTGATGCTCTTGTCATGGCTGGCGCTGACCAGGAATTCTCCTGAATGCGCCATCGCCATTGCCCAAATCTCGCCTTGATGTCCGTCCAGCTTCTGGATTTGCTCGAATTTGTCTGCATCATAGTATTTGATAGTCTTGTCCTTCGATGCGGAGAAGAAGTGGTGTCCATTACCTTCGTTGTTGTTGGGAACAAAGAGGACCGACAAGATGCTGTCCTGATGTGCGAAGAAGGCTTTGTGGCAATCACCAAAATCCAGTCCCCATACTCGAACATTTTTGTCTGCACTGGATGTGACAATGAGCTTACTGTCATAGCTAATATCCATGCTCAATACAGGTAGCTTATGCCCGTATAAGGTCAAGAAGAGCTTGAGGCTGTCTACGAAGAACACTTTGACAGTGTTGTCCAGAGTACTGACAGCCAATAGTCGCTCGTCTGGCGAAAAGCAAACACTGAGAATGTCGTCTGCCACTTTCAGTGTTCGAGAATGCACCAGGGTCAACCTAGCATTCTTGCGGTTCGTTCCTAAAACCTCTTCTTGGACAACTTTGAACTGCCAGAACTTGGCACTCTTGTCAGCGGATCCTGTGACAAGCGACTTGCCATCGGGGCTAACTTGTAAGGACCAGATGTCGCGCTCATGGGCACTGATAGTGTCGAGTAAATTCGAGGCAGCGATGTCGAAGATCTCCAGCGTGCCCTCCCGGGTCCCGACTACGACAATTTTGTCCCCGGGTAGGAATGCCATACATAAAGCATAGCCACATTCGAGAGTGCGGAGACAACTCTGAGTCCTGGTATTCCATATTTTCAAGCTCCCATGCGAAGCCGTTGCAAGCATTCGATCATCAGAACTCAAGGCGACGCAGCGGACATCCGACCGATGGCCAGGCATGTCAACTGACAGTGTTCGGCTGTAATCCGGCGTCTCCTGCGACTTCTTGTTGTCAGATCCGACAATGTCAAAGAGCTCGAGCTGATTATTCGAAGTCGAAACCAAAACCCTGATGGCCCTTCCGTGTTGAGTACTCCAGTCCATGGATCGGACTTTTCCACCTGTCCGTACGAGAACATACGGAACAAATATGTCTGAAATGGAAACCGTCGTCATATCTGTAACGTCTTCCTTGCCATCTGCAACATCGACTCCAGACTCGGCCTCTGCAGTTGTTTCCGTCTTTTCCTTTCTCCTCTTGCGTTTTCTTGTTAGGGTTTTGCGTATCTCATTCTCTGAGCGAATGCGGAGCAATTCGATGGCCTTTTCAGCGCCATGAATAGCGATGAGGTCTTTCTGAGGATGGAACTTGACGGCCAGTGGACGATCGCGACCCTGTCTGTAGATTGCACCTCGTTCGTGCAGGATCTGTTGGTGCGCTTGACGTTGAGTACCCACGTCATGCGTCAATGCAGACTCATCGATGGACCACACTTTGAGCTCTCCATCATTGCCAGCCGTTATGCAACCCTCCCTATCTTTCATGAGGCCCATGGCCCAGCATTCCCCGTTTGTTTGAGTGACGTGCGTTTCAATGCAATGCTGAGTTGAGAGATCCCAAATCTTAATCAGCGCATCTTTGCTGGTGGTCAAGAGGAAGCCGTCCGACTCGTTGGAATCTTCTAGACCTTCTCCAGGTATAGCGCGCGACAAGAAAGCAATCGAAGTGATCTGGTCCTTGTGGCCTCGTAACCGGTACAGCCCAACTTCAGCAACTAAATCCCAGAGGATGATGTCGGTGTCCCTTGAGCCGCTGGCCAGCCGGACTCCCGATTTATCAAATTTCAGCTGTGTAACTGCGGTCTTGTGCCCGTTGAATGTAATGATCGCTGTCGCAGTCCGAGAATCCCAGATGCGAATCTTGCCGTCATCGTAGCCAACTGCAAACACATCTGGATCAGTGTCACTCCGACAAATGACTGTCACCACCGCGGTGTTGTCTTCAACGGTCCATGTTCCGACTCTTTCTGACTTCTTCACATTCCACACCAGAACATCTTCATTTGCACCAACATAAGCTAGACCTGCACCGCCTCTTGCTGCCGAGTCGTCGCCGCCCGACGGATCCCAGACAACATTGGCGGAGGCTGTACAGATCTGGCCGAAGGTCTTGCTGTGTTCAAACTTTCTGTCAAAGCAAGTCAGCCGGTGTCTACCGTTCTGGACCAAGTACTCACAAATATGATTTGACCATTGCGCAGTAGACCGTGTCGCAAAACCTGAAGCGCTCCGGTAACTTTTTTCTGGACTTTATGCGCATGCAAACCCAACAAAAATGCCAAGTGAATCTCAGCCTCGTCATTGCGTGGGGCAAGGCTGAGTGTTAGTATCACCTTGTCTGACATGCCCGCAGTTTGCTGGATCCTCAACCCAACCACTTCCAGGCTGGCGACATTGACCACATACAGTTGCACGCAGCTTCAGATAAATGTCCTAGCTGCTGTTCAGCCCGAGTCTATAATTCCCTCACGATCCCTGTCGCATCAGCGGCAGCACAACGCACAATGCTCCTTCTCGATTACCAGAATGTCCTGCTTCAATCTATCCTGACGGAACGCTTCTCAGGAGCACCGCCTCAATCCATAGATCAAGTCGTGTCCGACTTCGATGGCGTCACCTTCCATATTTCCACCCCTACGTCGAAGTCTCAAATCTTGATCTCTCTTGCAATCAAGTGTTTCCGAGAACTGGTCCAGTATGGAGCAGAAGCTGTCCTTCAACGAGAATATGGGAGTTACATTACCCAGACCGAAGCGGGATATGACTTCAGCATCTTGATTGATCTGGAAAACTTGCCGCCCACACCTGAAGAGAGAGAAGAGCTCGTCCGTCGCATCAGTCTGCTCAAGCGTAATGTTATGGCGGCGCCATTTGAAAAGGCGTTCGATGAATTTGCCCAGCTCTCAGAGGAAGCCGCCAAGTACACGTCCGAGTCAGCACCACAAGGCGTGAGAGAAGGAGGAGAGGTCTCGGCAATTCATTATCGTGAAGAGGAGGCTATCTATATCAAAGCCAGCCATGACCGGGTGACTGTGATATTTTCAACACTGTTCATCGATGCGGTCGATAGGATCTTTGCAAAGGTTTTCTTGCAAGAATTCGTCGATGCAAGAAGGAGAGCCATTCAGAACGCGCCACAGGTGCTATTCAGAAGCGACCCCCCTTTAGAGCTTCAAGGGCTGAAGGGCGTCGGGAAGACCGGCGAGAAAGGTGAACTAGGATTTATCACATTTGGTGAGATCGGATTCGACCGGCTTCATGTCTTTCAACTAATGTGAAACAGTGTTGTTCCCCCGACATCTCACCCGCCAACGACGAGAAGATGTCATCTCACATATCCAGACATTCCGCGACTACTTCCACTACCACATCAAAGCTTCGAAGGCATATATTCATTCTAGAATGCGACGGAGGACTGCAGACTTTCTTCAAGGTTTATCATGCCCGTACCCTATTCTTCCTGCCTCGGATGCTAATATTTACAGTCCTCAACCGTGCTAGACCCGAGATGGAAGAACGAGAGAGGAAAACTGCTAGCGGCAGGACATTCAGAGTGCAGGGCTGAACGCTGTAGCTCACAGATTATGAGGAACGGTACGAAGACGCCTGAAGGTACTTGTTGGCAAAAGATTTGCTTGACCACGTTCGCCATTGTCGGACTTTATGTACAGGGCAAGTAGGCGACTGCTTTCCTTGCACGAACGGTTTGCATGGACCTCTAGGTCCGTTCCTGAGCATCAGCCAGTACTACCTAGCTTCAGCACTCGGAACAGGCTATAGACCAACATGAACTATACCTAGGCGTCTATATGTGTCTTGCAGAGTAACTGGTTCTTGACGAAAATATCTCCAAAATTGAACGTCTCACAATACTGGTCTTTCTCCATGAAACTTACTGGCGTCGCCGCAACCTGTTTATAGGAGCAGATCAATCTTGTGACTCGGGCTCAAGGCCAATCTCTGAAGGCAAACGTACGGCATGAGAGAGGTGGCAGCTCGCGCTACTCCACTACCCAACAGTCACTGCTCAATCTCATGTTATGACAAACTAGCAGTGTCGCCGTGCTGTACAGAATACCACAGTGCTCGTTCTTGTCCTCATCCTTCTCATCCTCGGGTCAAGTAGCATGCTCGACCTTGCAGCTTTTCGCACCGCACCCCGAAAAGAAGACCACCAAGTGACCTCTACATCGGCCAAGAGCGGAGACAAAGGGCATACCAGGCGGAGGCGGAGGCGGAGCGGGAAAGGAGACGAAGACCTCGACCACCTACCTACTGTTAGGTACCTACAAACGACTGTTCGGGACCCTGAGCGAGCGCAAGTTGGACTCCCGACCGTCAATTTTCGTCAAATAGCTCGCCGGCTTTGCATCGGGGCCTCGGACTTTGTTGTGCACATACGCGTACGACACGAGTATCGCCAATCCACCTTGTATTCCGGACACAATTAAGTACCTGGTTGGTGATGGCATTGGGCACAATAGCTCAAAGAATGAATGGATGGATTTCCGCCAAAGGGCCACTGTTTCTCTTCTCGAATGAAATATATTTCCTTGAAAAAAAAAAAACCTTCGAACGTATCCGTGCCATTTTGTTCTTGGCCGCCGTATCAGAGTGCTTGACTCTGGTACCTGGGTCCTTGGGTATTCTTGATGGCTCGCGATGTATATGTCCATAGACCGCGAACAGAGGTATTGGCTGGTTGAGTCTCTTCACAGGGGCACATACTATTCAGGCACCTGAGTAGCAAAATCATACAAAACAGCGGAAGCATCACACCACATAGACGTATAGATATATTGACTCTTACTTGTCGCCCGAAGTGCGGAGCAAGTAGTAGATATTATGCTATACAGTTGTCATGACACTAGCATTGGCATACCAATTCAACATTGGATTCTCGCCATTTCGCACCTGCGTCTCTTCCAGGAACGCCCAGCTTTCTAGGAACGACCGATGAGACGATACCCTCGTCAGTTTGCCCGTGATGGCACGGTAAACGTCCTCCATCATGGCAAAGTCCGTGGGGAAGAAAATGTCAAAATACCCCTGGTGCACATACGGCGTCGTGACCTGCACGTTCCGCCGCTTGTACCGCGTCTGCACCACGGGCGCGTTGATCCCGGCCACCGCGTCAGGAAGAAAGTCAAAATCCGACAACACCAGTCTGTGGGCGGGGAAATACTGATGCAGAACGTCGAAGAACTGCATCAGTCGTGTGGGGATATATTCGGGTTGCGTGAGGTTTGGTGCAAACGGCAACGAGTGCCGGAGCCGCCGGAGGAGTTTGGGCTGGGAGATGGGAGTGAAGAAGGGCGAGCGGGCGGCGACTTCGCGGACGCGCAGGTATCGCAGGGCCACGGGGTCTAGGGTGCGTTCGTAGAACTCGAAGAACTCGCCGTCTTCGTCAATCAGGACACTCCCTTGCAGTGGCTCCTCGGTTTCAGGGTCGTATCGAATCTGGTCGTGGGGGAAGTTGTCGACCACTTCGAGTGCGAGGACGAAGCATGGCGAGTGGACGTATTCGGACCAGTCGAAGATGGAGCGGTGGAGGATTTGCGTTTGCTCTATGTGGCATTCCGCGTAAGGCGAGCGAGACAAATTGGTGAGTTGTAAGTCCGCCAGCGATTTTGAGATTTCGACAATCTTGAACTTTGTCCGCTCGTAGACTTCCGGCTCGTTTTCAAAAATGTAATCTAGAATGTTACGCATGAGAGTCCCGTTCCCGGCGCCGAGCTCATATATGATCAGATCGTGGTAGGGGAAGAGTGTCATTTTGTAGTTCGTTACGAGGTAGCGGGCAATGGCTTCGCCGTAATACGGGCGGAAAAGTTCGGTCGGCGTGTGCCAGAGCTGGCGGAGCTCGTTGGGCTCGACGCTGTCAAGGGCATCTTCGAAGTCGACGTAGCTTTGGTCCACAAGGCGATTGAACTCGGCGCCGTCTCGGATCGAAGGAAAGTGAAATGGTCTGGGCGAGTTGAAGATGGTCGCATGCTTGGAGAAGTAACCGTAGTTAGGGTTATATAGACTGTCTGCGGGACATTGTCAGCGAGTTCGAAGAGCATGGCAGATGAGAAGCCTCTGTTGAGAGAGATTGCATTACCTTCGATAAAGTCCCGAGCATACATTTTCACCCGTCGTGGTCGCTGCGTGCGGTGCTGTAGATCGCGTGCAGTTACTCGAGGATACTCCTGCAATTGACGACTCATATCTTTCGGGAATGCATCGATCCGCTGCTGCCACGAGCTGCCCCCGTCCTTGTCATCTTGTTTTCGGCGAGCCGCGTATGTTCTGTGCTGCTGAAAGGAACGAGGCGCTGATCGGCGAGAGGCACTGGGAAAGCAGAGGCAGTGTCGAGAGCGTCGTGCGAACAGCTGCTGAAAGATCCGGCTGACTGCTGGCGAATCCATCTAGCCTGTCTCAAGGAGGAAGAACTCGATATGTCTTCCCGCAGCGAGATGGCGACGACCGCGTGGGGATTCTATGAAAGGTGTGCAAGATACAGACACTGTTGCTGTGTCCGGAGATCATGTCCACCAGTCTGTGAAATATTGCACCGAATATCAACCGAGGAATTGGGTGTGAGTTGGTGCTCTACAGATTGAGGACAGCTTTAAACAGCCTCATCAACACCCTGGCAGACGTCAGTAGGAGCAATTGACCACCTCTATCTGAAGCAGGGAGTCTCAGCAGTCCAGGAGCATGCAATGGACAAGTCGCGAGCTGTTGCTGGGTTTCACCACCGGCATCGCCGTCACTCTGGTTCTTGACCAGGTCCGCCGATATGTGACATCTCCATACTTTGGTCGGCGACATACTCACTCTCAAGCTCAAGCCAAGTCTGGTACTTCATCGTCTTCTGCAGACTCTATAAGACCAGCTGGTTCCGGCATCGAATCTACCATTGGCAACACCCCTCTCATCGTCATTCCGTCCCTTAGCAAAGTAACAGGATGCACCATCTACGCCAAAGCCGAATTCCTCAATGGGGCTGGCAACAGTCCCAAAGACCGCGTGGCTCTCTCTATCATCACACGCGCTGAGTCACAAGGGCTTCTGACCCCTCACGGCGGCGACACCGTCTACGAGGGCACCTCCGGCAGCACAGGGATCTCACTGGCGACATTGTGCCGAGCTCGCGGCTACCTTGCGCACATATGTATGCCCAGTGATCAAAGCCATGAGAAGAGCAACTTGCTTCTGAAGCTAGGTGCGATTGTTGAACGAGTCACGCCCGCGCCCATTGTCGATCAAGCTCATTTTGTTAATCGTGCACGCATTCTCGCTGATCAGCACACCGCCGATCCGACGAGACCGGGACGGGGCTATTTCGCCAACCAGTTCGAGACTGAAGCCAATTGGCGCGCACACTACGAGGGCACTGGACCAGAGATCCTTGCGCAGACAGAGAATAAGGTCGATGCATTCGTCGCCGGTGCTGGCACGGGTGGAACACTGTCAGGAGTTGCAATGGCGCTGAAGGAGCAACTGGACAATGTCAAGATTGTGCTTGCCGACCCACAAGGCAGTGGTCTGTATAACAAGGTTCAGCATGGTGTCATGTTCCACAGCCTTGAGCGCGAGGGTACGAGACGGCGTGATCAGGTCGATAGCATCGTTGAGGGAATTGGACTCACGAGGTCAACAGCCAATTTCGAGCAGGGGCGGGAACTCATTGACGAAGCAGTCAAAATAACCGACGCTCAGGCGAAGAATATGGCCAGGTGGCTGGTCGAGCAGGATGGCATCTTCGTTGGCAGCAGCAGTGCGGTCAATTGTAAGTGTACATACAACTATGTGAGTGATGCGGTATTTCTGACAAACACCCTACAGGTGTTGGCGCATTACAAACAGCGATCAAACTAGGTCCGGGTCATTCCGTCGTGACCATTCTGTGCGACTCTGGAGCGCGACATCTATCCAAGTTCTGGGCTCAGATAGGTGATATCGGAGGGGAAGCACGAACGACCATCGACGACATCCTTCAGGGACGAAGCCTGACGTGAACGGCGAATAATTCGTCCTCCGAGTCTTCGGTCTTAATGTATCGTTGATCGACCGCGCCATGTTCTGCAGACCGTTCGGTTGCATGCTGGTTCATTTGGGTACCCTCATTCCCACGATGCTTCTGGCGCTCGCGAAACGGCACAAGCCACGACTCTGCCAGTTTGTTACCGATCTCGGTATTGCTGCGGTTTTTGAAAAATCTGATGAAAGTGCCGAGTTCTTGCAAAGGTTTCTGGGACAGATCGTCCAGGATCTTCAACTCCTCCTCGGACCACTCAGGGCTTGTGTCTAGCTCATCATATCCGGGGGGCGTTCGAAACTTATCATACAGGTCATTGAGAATCGGGGCACTCTTGCGCGTTCGCAGCACGTTGCTGCTGGCAATCTCAGCAAATGACACACCAGCACCTTCATGCATCTCAACCATCGTTTTGAAATCACAAAGGCATAATCTGGCCTTCTTGGGGTTCGTATTGCTCTTGGACCGATACTTCCTGATATATGCCAAATCATGGATGTCATCGGGGGCGGTTCCGGTCTTCTCTGCCTTGAACAGCAAATTGGTCCAGTGGGTGAAGACTCCAGCTCGCGAACGTAATTTTACGCCGCAGAATGAGCAGATGGCTTGCCTCATCAACTCGATATGTTCGTCATCCTTTCGTCGCCTCCTCGCTTTCGGCTTTTCCTCCTCGTTCCATTCGGAATCATCATCGCTCTCAGAACCAGCATCTGCTTCGGGTTGCTCTTGCTTATCTTGAAAGCCTTCCTGCAGCGGGTCCTCAGAAACTGCTCTGATGCTTCTTCTAAAACGCATCGTATGCATTTGTTGGGCTGTTCTTCGAGGCCTCGGTGGTTTCCACAGTGATTGGCTTTTCTGTTGCGAGGCGGGCGGGTCATATTGTGGCGAGGAGCGCATAAGCTGTGCTGGTGAATGAGATCGAGAGGTAGATCGCGGAGCCTTGGGGGGGATGATATTGGCAGGAATCCGCCAGGCAGGTTCAATATGTGCCTCGGCCATGTTTCTCGTCGTTTGTACAATTTCTAGGACTTCGTTGCCAATCTCAGGTCCAAACTTTTGCATGATATCCGCCTCGTCAATTTCACGATACTCCTGTGGCATCTCTGCTGAGGACTGGGTAGTGTGTCTGAGGCCAAAGTCTTCCCGAGGCTCTGGATTGTCTTGAACCTCAAAAAGGGAATCTGGAGTATCTGATCTTTGGGTATTTTGTAGCTCGAAGAGCGAGTCATTGTCAGAATCACCGCCCTGAGACCTTGAAGTAGTACTACTTCTAAAAGAGTTGTTGTGTGGTTCCTTGGAAGCTGAGTCTTGTTGCATGGGAGCCAGAAGTTCATCATCACTATTCAAGACCAAGTCGTCTTCGTCTTGGTACTCGTCGTGATCATCGTCATCGTCATCGTCGTCCTCTTCCTCTTCCTCTTCCTCTCCCTCTTCCTCTCCCTCTTCCTCTCCCTCTTCCTCTCCCTCTCCCTCTGCGTCCGGTATGGCAGCATTCTCGGCAATCTCCTCGATGCTCTGCATGACTTTGTCTGCACCCTCGTTGTTGAAGTATGAATCGGTCGTGTCTTCCGCCTCGGTCATTGCCCTCAGAAGAGACGTGCCGTTGTCTCCAGTATCGGTCTCGTTCGTGAGCCCGTGCAGATGACCATTGTTGACCTCGACTTCTCCAGTCCACAAATTGATCTCGTCACCGACCCCGTCGAAATTATGCGAGTATTTCTCGAAGATTGACTCGAACCGAGATTTCAGCAGGTTGTCATTGCGCTCACGCAGTGCATCAAGGTCTTGGTCGAGGACGTCGTCTGCAGAGTCATCGGCGAACATGGACAGGCGCGGTCTTTTGCGCATGGGTTCCTCCATTGCGGCGCCAACAGGACTTCATCGATTGCGATTGCGTAATTTAAGCTGCTGTGTATCCAAGGAAGATAGGAAGGTAGGAAGAAAGCGACTACATGGGTTTGGGCACAGGAATTGGTTGTTGGACGAGGAATTCACGTTAAGTGAGGGTCCGCACAAGGCAATGAAGAGTCCGCGGCGCGTTTGTCCTTCTACAGCGCGTTTACTGTACGTCCCTATGTTAGTGTACGGAGTACCTATTGCGGAGTAGACGCCTGAAGAGCCTACAAGGACCTGAGGCGCCTAGAAGGATTACTTAGGCCCAGGTACCTGCAACCTGTAGGCCTACATCAGCCTAAGTTAGTTAGCCATGGGTGGCCTGGGCACTCTAAGGTGCGGGCGCCACCGCAGCATAAGTGCGTCATTTGGGCCTGGAGGGAATCTTCAATAGAGTCAATAGAGTCAATAGAGCAGAGCCTCACGAGTCACTCACTGCTCGCGAGCCTTGAATACAACTCGTCACGAGTCCCTTGCCGCAGTCAGGTTCAGCTCAAGTACCTAGCCAACGTACAATCCTCCAGCCACTCTCCGTCCTACTATATCGTCGCAGCATGTAGACCTCTCTTTCTGTGCATAATGTCGCCAACTTCGACGCTCTACTGCCAAAAATGTCGCCAGCCACTTGATCCAGACACTACCATCGAGGACCTCAACCCAGCTTCATTCGATGTGCTGGTTGGTAAGTCATTCGAGCTGTTCAATTGACCTCGCAATCGCTGACCGCCTTCCTCCCCTTCCAGCATCGACAGGCAAAGCGCAGCAACCCAACATTAGTCGCCCGCATCTGAACTATCCTCAAGAGCGGAAAGACCTCTACGATCGTGTCTCGACTCAGACCAATCCTCCTGTATACAAACGATCTATTCCGGCTCCCCATGATGGTCCTACCACGGACCTTCGTTCTGTCTCGGGCCAAGGTCCACGTGCGGGCGCTCCTGACATGTCTTTCATCGAAATAACTCAATCACAAGCCATTTTACCCGAACGAGACGTGGTCAATGGTCACAAAACGGCTCTTAAGAGCAAAGGAGACGGCGACGACGAAAAGAGCAGAAAGAAACACCCCATTTCTGCAGAGATTGAGAAGGCTCAGACACTCTATGAGATCCTGTCGTCCCGTTCTGACATCGACCACCCCATCTGTGCCGAATGTGCCGCCTTGCTGTTATCCTCGTTCAGTACTCGTCTAGCCAGTGCCAATCGCGAAAGAGACTCATATGCTTCATTCTTGAAGTCCATACAGCAGACAGCGTCTTCCACACAGTCTGCCGGCCAAACTAAGGCTGCCAAAGCCTCCAAAGATCCTGAGATGACCTTTGAGTCGATTTTCGATTCATTAAAGCGCACTGAAGACCAGTCTGAAGCTGTCGAGAAAGAGATCGGAGACTTGGAAGAGGAATTCCAAAAGGCCGACTTGGAAGAGCAAGCGTACTGGACTTCCCGCAATGCCATAGACGACAGGCTCCATGAAACTACTGTTCGGCTCAAGTCTTTGCAAGAAAAATATGCGCACGATCGTCAGCAGCTGGAGCGATTGCAACGTACCAATGTCTACAACGACACCTTCTGCATCAGTCACGATGGCTCGTTTGGAACGATCAATGGACTGCGGCTGGGTCGTCTACCAGGTCAAAACGTCGACTGGGCTGAAATCAATGCTGCATGGGGCCAGGCTATTCTTCTCCTAGCAACCGTGGCTGAACGGCTCAAATTTTCATTCCAGGGCTATCGTCTCCGGCCTCAAGGCAGTACGTCGCGTATAGAGAAGCTGGAATATCCCCAGCAATCGCCTAGTGTGAGCCGACAGAGCATACAAGATCGTGGTTCGCACCCGGCTACCGGAATGTCTGAGCCTAAGATCACGATATTGGACCTGTTCAGCAGTGGCGATATGGCCATTGGGAGACTTCTCAACCACCGTCGCTTTGACAATGGGATGGTAGCCTTTCTGGATTGTATCGACCAGTTGGCGAAATATGTCCAACGTACATCAAAAGTCGACCTGACCCCGAAAGCCACCCCTGTCAGGAATGCAAGCGCCCGAAAACCGAGGACAAATACCATCCTACCATATGAAATCCAGGATGACAGGATCGGAAATGTCTCCATCAAGCTAGGCGTTGGTTTCCATCAGGATGAAAACTTCACCAAGGCCTGCAAGTATGCTTTGACGTGCTGCAAATATCTCCTCGCCTATGTGAGCAATCTTGAAGTTCAGGGCCTGACTAAATGAGCGACGATCGATTTTGGCAGCAGTCGTCTACGAATGAGAATACGAGGTTTAGCGAGGTCCGTCTGCTCGTCTATCGGCTCTGCATTTCAAACAAGCTTTGTAAGCTTTCCTTGGTGCGCTTGTCTCCCTTGAAAATGCCGCTGATTTCGAAGAGGGTACCGCAGATGCAGACATCTCCATGAATCGAATTTCCACGAATATATTTTCTTCGTCTTGAGAGAAATTGCTGAGTTGACGGCACAGGTACTCGTTATGACTGACTCGGTCTCGCATTTTCTTGTGTGGCAGGCCAGACATGATGGAGACAACCGCTGATTTACCGCAGAGGCTTGAGATATGCATCGGAATGGGATCAGTTCGCACTCAATCGACAGCAGTCCTGGAGTACGGGCTGCCAGCGATGAGGAACTCGGGCGTCTTGTAACGCAACATGCTAAATGCAAGGACTCAAACTGACTAATCGCTGTTCACGGTGGCGTCCATCTCCTGGTGAGGTCGAGCTGCGTTGCTTTTGGTAGAGGCATTTGATTTGTTGATGGTTGCGATACGAGCCGTTTAGTAATCCTGCATAAGTCAGCCACAGGTCGATTTCGTCAACCGTTTCACACGCCATCTCTGCCCACCTGTTGCTAGCGCTCGCCGAATGCTTCTACGCAGCTCGTCTCTGGGAAATATGAGCAGGCAAAGACCGCTCTGGCGATGGTGTGTTCTTCGATACCCAAATGTTCACTTGAAACAAAGCAACTTCACTCTAGTTGTTCCTCCTAATTCTCCGTGTTGTTGTTTTACTCCATCGAACCGGGCTGTGTTTCTCGACCGACCCATGCAGCATGTCGCGCTCCAGCCAGGCGAAGCGCGAGCTTCATTTCGTGACGGTTTCGTCCGGTAGATCAGCCTCTAGTCCGGATGCAAAGCAACGGAAGTCACTGCGTTCTTTCGTGATGCAAGACTATCTCCGACAGAAGAATGATCCTGAGTGGCATTTCGCTCCGGCAAAGGTAGACGCCCACATCAGCTCACACATCTATCGATTTCGCACCTCCAGGCCGGCGTCGTCGACCGTAAGCAGAAAAAGGCCGACCAAAGGAAGACGAGTGCAGGACAACACTGCTCCCCCTAGAAAGCCGAGAAAACTGCTCCCTGCGGATTCTCAGACCACAGAGGTTGCAGCTTCTGAGATTCCAGACGAGAGTCAGAGTCCTCGATCACGTTCACACCTCCATGATCTCGACATGCTCGACCCTTTTCATACGCTATCCGTCGATTTTTCTGACTCCAAGACGGTCGACTTACTTCAATACTATCATAGTTCGTTCTGGGCCAACTCTTATGCTTGCAATCCTGAAGGGCGGTGGATTTCAATCGCACTAATGGATCCGGCAATCATACATGCCACGCTCTGTCTGGTGGCCATTCACAGGAGGGATATTTTTTCCATCAGTTTATCTCACGACTACTTCAAGCATCGAGGCATTGCTATGAAGATCATCAGTGGACGGTTGAACAATTCAGCTCAAGCCATAAGCGATGCCACCATCGGTGCTGTAGCCATCATTTCAAGCTCAGACCATCACTTTGAATGGCCGGATGATGTGCAAGAGGCGCACGCCGTCGGCTTGGCTGAACTGGTAGCGTTACGGGGTGGTATGGAGAAACTCACCTCGAACAGACATGTTCAGCGAGTTGCTGGTTGGGCAGACCTACTCCAATCTGCCATGCATGGTACGAAGCTGCAAATGAAACTGCCATCAAGTCTGAGCAAAGCTTCGTCAACGGACATCAATATCGAACCTGGCAAGGTAGTTAAACAACATGCTTCTGGTGTCATGCTGTCTGAAATGCACCCTCGTACTGCCTACATCCTGAGTGCGCTTCGGCGTCTTGCGGACTTGAAGTCAAGTCTATTGGAGAAACGCAGTATCGACCTCTGTCAATCGTTCAGCGACTTACTCTGGAAGCTTGAACATTTTATTCTGGAGAAGCAGGATCAGACTGGCCTTCAAGATTCTGCAAAATCGTCTCACGTCCACGTCGGGGAGGAGATCACCGATTCTGTTGGGCTTGCCGCACTTATCATGTCGTACTCGCACTTGCGAGATCTGGCGGCGCCGGTACTCTACGACAAACTCAGTACACGATTAAGAAGCACGCTATCTGCAGCTACGTCACAGACATATGCGCGAGGACTCCTTGTCGACAACGAGCTTGCCGTGCTGCTGTGGGTATTGAACATGGGACTGCGAGGTTCGAAGACCAATCTTGGGAACAGACTCTGGTTTGCCGGAAAGATGGCAGCAGTATGCTCGAATAATGGAGTTCTTTCACTGCCCGATTTGAAGGAAAGGATCCAGAGTGTGGTGCCACAAGCACAGGGGGCGCTGGACATTACTGAGCCAAACTGGAAAATGGTGGACAATCTGATATGGCTGGAGAACGAGGAGATATAGTGGTTTACATCTACCAGCATTGAGGAGCATCGGTTCAGTGACTCCTTACGGCCACCCACTAGCAGGCCTGTTTCAGGGTTGATATCGTACTTGGGACGTTTCTAGATGCCCGACGGCTGCGAATCTCAATAACCAACCCAATAGCTCAATAGGAGAAGATGAAGCCTCAATCCCTTCGAGTATCACCGTCTCAGCGACCTAAGAGCTCTAGGTACTCGTATGTATTGATACCCACCTCACCCTCTTCCGCAGATCCTTTTCACATAGTTATTGGTTATGACCTTAATAGTACCTAGAGTTACCTCTCTTTGGCAGAAGCATTGAGGGGAGCTTAGATAAGCCGTCGATCCCAATATACGCGCCTCGCGTCTTTTCGCGTCCATCTCGTGTTCAGTTCCTCAAGGGTTTAGTCATCACGCCAGTCGCATTGTCGAGTCCTTGGTCGCAATTGAGACTTGGGTACGGATACCTTATCGGTCAAGCTCACACATATCCAGGATCAACATGGCGCGCGGTGCCCAGCCGGTCGCTGAACCCTCCGAGTTCGAAAAGCAACGTCTTGCCAATATAGCCGAGCGCGACGCCCTCCTTCGCAAACTGACCCTAGAAGCGCAACAGGCAGGTCTCTACTCCAAGCCGGCCCCGAGCAGCGCCAACGGCCAGAAACGGCCGGCGAAGCGAAAGGAACCTCCTGCCAAAAGGGTGAAAAAGGAGGAAGCCCCCCGCCGGGTGTCGTCTCGACTTGCGGGCCTCCAAGCCGACAGCGAGGTGGTCAAGCAAAAGGCCGAAGAGGCATACGAGAGGGCGAAAGAGGAGGAACGACAGCGTCGGCAGCGCGTCACGGGCGACTTGAGCTTCGGGTCCAGCCTGATCGGGACGGACGTGCTCCTCAAGGGTGTCGCGAAACCCTACGAGCGGACGTTTGACGACGATGATATCCGCGAGACGGGCGACAAGGACCTCAAGGCGCTGCGGGAGCGCATGAGCAGTCTCGAGGTGTGGGATCAATGGGAGTCGAATCGGATAAAGATCACTCCGGAACGAATATACTGTATGAGTTTCCACCCGGCGGCGACCAAACCGATTGTGTTTGCGGGCGACAAGGTCGGGACGCTGGGCATTGTCGATGCGTCCCAGACCCGCAGGACGAACGTCAAGGCAGAGGACGATGTCGCGGGCGGCGGCGACGACGACGACGATGATGAAGAGGACAATGATCCGGATCCGGAAATCACGCACATCAAACCTCACACCCGCACCATCTCGGCGATGCACACGCACCCCAGTAAGCCGGAGACGATATACACGGCGTCGTACGACTCGTCGATCCGCGCGACGGATCTGACGAAGGCCGTGGCGGTCGAGGTGTACGGCCCGGCGGACAAGGAGGACGACGAGCCCGTGTCGGGCGTCGACATGGCCGCGGCGGACCCGAACGTGCTGTACTTCACGACCCTGAACGGCGCGTTCGGGAAGTACGACACGCGGCAGGCCGCTTCCAAGGCAGACCTGTACCAGTTGTCGGAGAAGAAGATAGGGGGCTTCAGCCTGAACCCCGTGGCACCGCACTACGTCGCGACCGCATCGCTGGACCGGTACATGAGACTCTGGGATCTGCGGAAGATGACCAAATCCTTGCCGACGCTCGTGGGCGAGCACGAGTCAAGGTTGAGCGTGAGCCACGCGGCGTTCAATTCGGCGGGCCAAGTGGCGACGACGAGCTACGACGACACCATCAAGATTCATTCCTTTGGCGTCAAGGGGTCGAGGGCCAGGGGGGCCACTGCGCTCGAGACCATGGAGACGTGGAAGGCCGGATACACGCTTGACGAAGAGGTCATGAAGCCCGAGGTGGTTATACGGCACAACAATCAGACGTGGGTCGTTCGCCGTTCTTTTTTTTTTTTTTTTTTTGAATCGAGTTGCGAATTTTTGGGAACTAACTTTTTGGGCATCTTAGGGGTCGATGGGTAACCATCTTCAAACCACATTGGCAGACGTTTCCGCATGATAATATCCAGAAGCTTGTGGTTGGGAACATGAATCGGTAGGATTTTTCTTTTCTTGTCCCCCTCTTTTTCACAGTTTCTCCCTTCCTGTTCCTTTTTCATTGCATTTCTTTTCTCTGCCCCACGGCCCTTGCTCTTCGAACCATCGAAAAAGTGCGTTGTTGGAGAGCAACGCTAATTGTGGTTATTGTTGTTGAACGAAACAGTTTCGTCGATGTGTACGCTGCCGATGGAACTCAGCTCGCCCAACTTGGTGACGAAGGGATAACTGCCGTTCCCGCCGTTGCCGTATTCCATCCGAGTAAGGATTGGATAGCGGGTGGTACTGCTTCGGGAAAGTTGTGTCTCTGGATGTGATGGTGATGGTGATCCTACAGATGACGAGGCTTTGGTGGATACGATGCCACCAGGGGGTACTGGCTGCACGTTCCCCAAGAGGACCCCTATTTAGATATACCTACTAGTTTACAAAGAGCTCTTTGGTAGGGGCAACTTGTCACTTTTGGGCGGATTTCTGGGGTGAATTGAGTTGATGAAAAGAAAACATGCAGGCCAATGTTGTAAACTATCTCCTTGGCTACACTCTCACATGTGGTGGTGTCGGGCGGCACTTGAATGATGGATGATAGTGAAAATCCTAAGCTTATAGGCTATGCTGTCAAAAGCCCGCATGATCGGTGGGCGAAGCGTCCCAGGGCCTGCCGTCGATCTAATCGTCAAAGCTCCATATCATAGTCGACGTCGACTCCGTCGGTGATGCTTTCAAATGGTATATCCATCATGTCAACCTCCCTGTCTTCCCGGGCTTGGTCAGCCTCCCTCGCCTTCTGGCTAACCCCACCGGCAACGTGCTCCAGCCTTCTTAGCTCTGCTTCTGCTCGTCGGCCTGCCTCCTCCAGAGCCCCGAGGACTGACCCGAGAAGTTCATCAAGTTTCAAATCCCGAAGTACTTTCTCATATCTTCGGACTTTCGCCTTGTCCCACGTCTCCTCCACACGGTCGTGTCCTAAGAAAGAGTCGTAAGACCGATGGTCGACGTCTTTCCACTTGTTTCGAAACTCTTTGGCCACGCCAATGTAAGCGCGAGTATCGCCAGTGCCGAGAATGTCGTGCAGAGGATTGGATGGGTGGTCGAGAGCGGCGAGGACGTTGGCGTGGAAGCGATGCGATGCACCATGAAAATTGCGCGAGTCGCCGATGATGGACTCTGGTGGTCGATTTTCTGCTTGCCTGAGATTGTCCTGCTCCGAATCCGGTATCGATGCCGTTATCACAATACCCCAGATGCTGAACAGGTGGACAAGCCCCCTTTCAAGCAGGCTGTAGAACTCGTAGAAGTCGAACTTGAATTGTCGCTCCGCCTCTATCGGATCGATTATCATGTCGTAACGGCCCAGCGTTGCCTTAGGCCCGAGCAAGTTGTGCTCAACACCCATGCCGGGGTGACCATGACCATTGGTAGTAGTGTAATGTTGTTGTGACTGATACTCCTGCGCCAGAGTCAACGCTCGATGCGACCAATGGGTGAGACTGTTTGCTCTCCACGCAAGCCGCCGGAAAAGTCGACGGAAGCGTTGGAATTCAGCGTCGCGCGTCAGGTATAGCCTTTGCGCTGATGTCAAGGGTCGCACAGGCGAGGTCGATATCGACGGTGCAGATGTATTGCTCGGTATATGACTGGAATGAATGGAACCGTTCGACCCTGGCGTACCTGGGGGTCGCTTCTGCGGAGATAGGCTGCCAGCTGGGCTTTGATACTGTCGCTCACGGCGCACTTCGGGGCTGGCCCAGCGGGAAGCAGTTAAATCTGATACGGGCATATCAAGGAATCAATATATAACCAGTAATTGCGCTTTGAGGATTTCCAATGCACGCGATCTGGTTTGTCAAAGGCGTCTGATCATAAGCTGTGCTTCATTTGTGGCTGTCGATTAAGGAGACTTGGATGTGATGTGACGGTGTGTTTGAGAAGGCAAGAGCAAATGTTTCATGAAGCGCCTGCCTCTGAAAAGCTCACCTCCAGCCCGGTATACGTCGGCCGTAGACGCCTTGATCGCAATAACAGAACATCTGCTGTGATGGTAGTTGTCGTGTCGCGTGGTAGAGAGATGCCTCAGTTGCGATCGATGGTAGTTGGTGACTTGGGCTATTGATGGGCACGTGACCATTGGACGACGACGACCCTTGACACCAGGATCAGTCGAGTGTTCGACAGCTACTACAAAAGATCAAGTCCGTCATCTCAAAAGGACAATCATATTATTACTGATATCGTGCGGTACACAACGCCTTCCTTGAGTCACCAGGCCGTCCCGAGTCGAAGTCGTCAATATCTGGAAGCCCTCTTGTACATAACCTCATGAAAAGACCATCCTTTCCCCTAATTTGAATAGTCACCGCATAATCGATGCGCATAACTAATCATCACCTGTAGCGTCCCGAGTTCCCCGTCCTCCAGGGCGGCCGGCTCTCCCTGTGATATCCTGCCAAGTGGCACCAAATCTTCGGCCAGTACTGGCGAGGAGCCCCTCCTCTTCTTCCTCGAGGTCGTCTTCTTCCGCATCTGGATCGGACAGTTTCGGTGTCCGGAAGAGCAAAACTACGAATCCGAGAAGGAAAATGCCCAAAAAGACAAACTGCGCCCAGAAATCGACGACGCCAAAGAAGGGAAAGTTCACCGTAACTCGGTTGAGAAATGTGGACACCACCGATGGTGTACAGACGTTTCGTGCAGCTGGGTTATCGCTAATTTCAGTGCACGGGATAATGTGTTGTGGATGGTCCGAACAGTCGGGCTGTTCACCAGGATGTTTGGGCGGATGGTCACAAAATGTCTGCGGCCCGAAGGTTGCGTACTGTGGAGCGACCATCATTGCAATGGAGTAGTTGATGGCCAATGTCATGAGGGTGAGCATAACAGTTGCAATAAGCAGTGCTTGAGGAGATGTGTGTGCCTTGCGGATTCTGAAAATCGTGATCCAGAGCACTCGAATACCAATGGTAGCGATACCGATGATACTTGCACTAAAAAAGAGCATCACCAGGAAGAGGAAGATGATATAGTCAATCGGGAAGACCTTGGCCGACTTGACCAGAATCCAGTTGATTGGCTGGAAGATATTGATACGGGCCAGGAGGTAGCCACAATGTCTCTTGCAGATCGAGTTCTTAGCTTTGTCGATGCCGGTAATAAGCATACTGGCGAAAATGAGTAGAACGATGACGACAAGCAGAATACCTAGGATGAGCTTGATGGGTCGAAAGACGGCCTCGATTTTGATCCAGATTTTCCAGAAGATGTTCCGGTCTTCGCCCGCAGCTTCTGCGGCCAGCCTTTGGTGACGGCGCAATGTGCGCTCTTCCCGAACTAATGCATCCAACTCTCGCTGATCTTTGGAGGACAGGCCCTCTGGGTTGCCCTGAGCCCGGCCTTCTAGTTGCCTCTGCCGTTCAAGATTGCTCTCCAATTGTGAGGCGGTCGTTTCGCTCAGGGCTGGTGCAGAGATGCCGGGAGCGGACTTGATCAAGGTGAGTGGTAGAAGAGCAAGACCAGCTGCGGTGTAGAAGCAGTACATGAGGACGCCGATTGTAATGAGGAGGCCAAGTGCAAAGGTCAGGGCTCTTTCTCCGTGGTTTTCTGAGAGCAGGTTCTTGAAGAAGTCCAGATCAAAATGCGCTCCTCCTCTGTCACGAGCAACTGGAACGAAGAAGCCGACCACGAATAGGGCGACACAAAGGAAGATGAAGATCAAGGTGTATTTGAACGCAGCCCAGAACCTGGACCCGAATGTCTGCGATCCCTCTTCTTGCGCAACCTCGTCATACTCTTCATACCAAAAGTAGGTGAACGGTACCACAATAAGACAGAGCAGAGCATCCAGAGAGTAAAGAAGGTAATAAACAATGCGCAGTGTGTATGTGATGTTGTCGACTTTGCCTTGATTCGCCCAATCTTTCCGTCTACCTTGTTTGGAACTTGTCGTACTCGAAACCAGAGCAACGTCGACCGGCAGGAGGAGCACTGTCGCGAGTAGACAGGTAATAGTAAAGATGCAGACAATCGTGACAAGGACGGACCGTTCGCGATGGGTCTGGTAGAGATAGACGAATAGACTGGCGATTGACAGAAGAATGGCGACCGCGATAGCATAGACTACCCAGATCAAGGTGATCTGAATATACCCTGCGCTGGCCATAGCCGAAAGGCCAGGCTCAACACCAAACAGGCCGGGCAGGTATTGCATGGTGCGCGTTCACACCCGTCGACGTGTGGGCGAGAGTTTCAGAGTGATCGTTCGAAGCTTCGCAAAGATGTCGACATTGGAAGAGTATGAATTGTGCGAGTCACAAGACGGCGGAGGGGAGAAATCAAGGCCCAAGAGTGAAATCATCCATCAAAGATGCAGCTGGCGCCATCATCGTCATCATGCAGCAGGTCGCGGTGCGCGTCGCTCGTATTCGTATTCGGATCGGAAAAACATATTGTCACGTGTATGCCAAGACAGGGAACCTCGAGTTGACTCCAGCTCAAACACCCCCCAAATCTCCAGAGACAGGCATACTACACTTTACACACATATGCTCATTCTATGCTTGATCAACATATCTCCCTCTGCTGAACCGAATCTCATCGCAACAAGTGCATTGATCGCAGCGCTCGCCATGAATCTTACCCGCACACCAGACGCGATATAAGCCTGCCGATGGACCTCGAACACCGAGAGTGAAAACGCGACTCAAAACACCAACAGCATACCCGAGATGCAGTGTTATACGGAGCTGCTCCCGCCTTCCGGTGTCACGCATTCACTGTCAGCCTCGTTTACCTCTGCAAAGGCGGAGAACTTAATTGTAGCTCGTACATCATTGCTTCAGGTCTTCCAGTACAAGCACCTCGACCATGGCACCAAGCTCATTCTGGTGGCCGAATACAATCTTGCTGGCACAGTGACGTCTCTTGGTAAAGTGAGAACTGCAGACTCGAAGAGCGGTGGGGATGCTGTTCTTGTGGCTTTTCTAGACGCCAAGTTGAGTCTGATCGAATGGGACCCGACACTGCATAGCATATCTACCTTGTCAATACATTACTATGAGCAGCATGATATCCAGTCCGCGCCATGGCAGCCCGATCTCGCTGATTGTGTCAGTCGCTTGTCGATTGATCCTTCTAGTAGATGTGCCGCATACAATTTTGGTGTCAGTAATCTTGCCATCATTCCGTTCCACCAAACAGGTGACGATTTGGCGATGGACGATTTTGATGATCTTGACCACGACGAGAAAGGGCACCATACACCAACCAAAAACCCCGACGGCACTATGAATGGGCATTCCAGTCCCTACAGCCCTTCCTTTGTCCTGCCTCTCACCGTCCTGGATCCTGGCCTGTTTCATCCAGTCGATATCGCTTTCCTCCACGAGTACCGCGATCCAACCATCGGTATCGTCTATTCGACCATGGCCCGCTCCTCAAACATGAGCGCGGAAAGACGCGATGTAACGATATATGCGGTATATGCACTCGACCTGGACCAAAAAGCCTCGACCACTCTCCAGTCGGTCCAAAAATTACCCAATGACATTTACTGCATTCTCGCTCTGCCGCCCCCAGTCGGTGGTGCTCTTCTAGTTGGTGGCAACGAATTGATTCATGTGGATCAGGGTGGAAAAGCAAGCGCCGTTGCTGTCAACGAATTCGCAAAGGATGCCTCCTCTTTCCCGATGACGGACCATTCGGAATACAGACTGAAACTGGAGGGTTGCCGTATTGAGCATTTAGGCAACGCCGCTGGGGATATGTTGATCATCCTATCTACAGGTGACCTTGTTTTACTCACTTTCAGAATGGATGGCCGTTCGGTGACTGGAATATCCCTTCGTCGTATCGCCGAAGGACAGATGCAAGGTCTCCAGCTAAATGCCGCCTCATGCACCGCAAACCTGGGACCAAGCTGCTTATTCATCGGCGGCGAAGACTGTGATTCGGTGGTTGTCAGCCTTGCTAGAAAATCGGGGCAGTTGAAGAGGGTGCAATCTAGGATAAAATCCGAAACAGATGGCTTTGAACCGGACGGAGATGAAGACGATTTAGATGACGAGGATGACCTCTATGGAGAGATTTATTCCGGGGCAAATGGACACAACTCGGCAGATGCAAGCGGCCAAAACTTACGGGTTATGGATCGTCTACCATCCATAGCACCAATCAACAGTTTCGCGCTTGGCTCGAAAAAGCGCAAACGAGACGACACGGATACAAGTGAAGAATCCCAAAGTCAACAGCATGAACTTGCAGTGGCTTACGGAAAGGGGCATGCTGGCGGCATTGCCTTCTTGTCCAGACAGCTGACGCCCAAGGTGACAAAACGTTTCAAGTTTGAAGGTGCCAATGGTCTGTGGTGTTTAGCGTCGAAACAAGCTCCGTCGGAAGGTGGCCAAACATTAGACGATCTCGTCATTGTCTCGCAATACACTAGCGAAGGTCTTGGGCTTTCTTCACTTTGCCGTCTGAACGGAGGTAATCTTGATCCGGTTCCAGACTCCGAATTTGATGAGATGGCCGGCCCAACTGTCTCCATTTCACAGCTGCATACTTCGGGCCACACGATCCAAGTGTTACCCACCGAGATACGAGTCTATGATTCCAAGTTTGCGCTTTCCCAGATCTTCCCCATTGTGGACGAGGACGATGGCCAGTTAGCGAAAGCCGTCAAGACCACCTTTGCCGAACCATACCTTGCGGTTATCCGAGATGATCGAGTGATGACGCTACTCAAGGCGGACAAAGCTGGTGAGTTGGACGAAGTCGAGCTGCCAGAAATGTTACAAGACAAGGCGGTACTTTCTGCGTCTCTGTATCAAGACCACCACGACTTTTTCCAGACTTCAAGGTTCTACGACAATGCAGGCTCACCTGGCCCGATACTGTCGATATTCACGACAGACGGCCATTTCTGCCTCCTATCATTACCGAACATTAGCCTCCGGGTTTTCCAGTGCGATAGTCTGCCGTTCCTACCCACCTATCTGATGCAAGATTTGCAGATCCCCAAGCACTGGCGAAACAAGGATGATATAGGTGAAATCTTGCTGGCGGACCTTGGAAACATGACCGATCGTCGACCTTTCCTGGCCGTACGAAACTTGACCGGAGATGTTATTCTCTACGAACCTTTTGCGATTCCGGATATTGCTGGGAGCTTCAAGTTCAGAAAGGTCATGACCAAGTCGGCGGAAGATCTTGACGACCAGGGAGAGGAAGAGGGCGAAGAATCCTCGCTAGGTCCAATGCAAGTCGTTCCAAACGTAGGAAGCCGTGCCGCAATATTCGTACCGGGCGCTCATTCCTGGATCATCCTGCGCGAAGCTTCAACACTGCCCCGTGTCTACGAGCTGAACCTTCCCGGAACCAACTCACTGGTTGGAGCACATACACCCCTGTGCCCGCAAGGGTTGGCTTTCCTGGACGGCCAGCAACACGTCTGTTTCGGCCAACTTCCAGACTCAACGATGATCGGCCAATCGGACTGGTCTGTAAACAGAGTCCCCCTCGGGCAAGACATCAGTTCCATCGCATATTTCGAACCCTCGGACTCTTATGTCCTCGCCATAAACTACGGGATTGATTTCCAACTACCTCAAGACGATGAATGGCATCCGGAGTGGCAAACCGAAACCACGAGCTTCCTCCCGTCCTCCATCCAGAGCAGCCTCAAGCTGATGAGCTCAGTGAGCCACTCTATCATCAGCCAGTACCACTTCGACGCTTGTGAGAGGGTTCTTTGCGTCAAGACTCTCAATTTGGAAATTTCAGAGGAGACGCACGAGCGTAAAGACATGATCGTCGTCGGCACGGCCATCGTCAAGGGCGAAAACGTCACGACACGGGGAAACATCTACATCTTCGACGTGGTCGACGTGGTCCCCGAACCAGGCGTGGCAGAGAGCGACCTGAAACTTAAACTGATCACGAAGGAAGACGTCCGCGGAGCGGTCAGCGCCATCTGCGACATTGGCTCCCAAGGGTTCCTGCTGGCGGCACAGGGACAAAAGTGCATGGTGCGGGGCCTCAAGGAAGACATGTCGATTCTCCCTGTTGCGTTTCTCGACATGCGGTACTACGTGCACGTCGCGAAAGAACTGCGAGGGACAGGCCTGTGTATCCTGGGAGACGCGTTTTCCGGGCTGTGGCTGACGGGATACTCGGAGGAGCCGTACAAGCTGCAGATCATCGGCCGCGACCTGGAGAACCCGCCTGTCCTGGCGGCCGAGTTCCTCCCGGACGGCAAGCAACTGTTCATCGTCTCGGCGGACGAAGACGGCACGTTGCGCGTCTTGCAGTACGACCCCGAGAACCCCAAGGCCGAGCGCGGCACAAAGTTGCTCTTGCGGAGCACGTTCAACGCAGGCACGCTGCCCACTCAGATGTCTCTGCTTCCTCCCAGGACGACGGGCGCGGTTGTCGCGGGCGGCGACGCGGACATGGACCTGGACGGCGGCGGACGGATGGCGAACTTCAGCCGCATCCTCGTGGCCACGCAGTCGGGGTCGCTGTGCATGATCACCCCGCTGCCGGAGTCGGCGTATCGACGCCTGTCGACCCTCCAGAACACCCTGCTCGCAACGCTCGACTTTCAGCCGTGCAGCTTGAACCCTCGCGCCTACCGGAAGGTGGAGACCGACGGGATCGGAGGCAGAGGCATCATCGACGGCAACTTGGTCAAGAGGTGGTGGGAGACGAGCACCCAGCAGAGAGTCGCCAGCGCCGACAAGGCCGGGGGGAGCGTGTGGGAGGTCCGCGCCGACATGGAGCTCATCAGCGGTGGTGATTTGACATTCTAGAATAGTTCATCTCGGAATCTATTGCTTCAAGGAGGTGGTGTTTACTCAACTAACCACACCTGGGAGGCACCTAACTCGGGTTTATTGATTGAGATTGTTGGTTGGTTTTGACCCAAAATTGCAAAGATTTGGTTGGGTGTTTGCTTCTAATTCACGTAGGTGAAAACGAAGGAAGGGGGATTCTTGTGTACGTAGTATGTCTTCTATCACATCATCTCGGTTTCTGGCTTCTCGCCTGTGGCACGGAGGGAGAGATTCGAGCAAAGAGCAAAGTTTTGTCAGATATGGACTATTCCGCTACTGAAGGGGCCCGACTCCCTCGGCCTCAGCCTCCGTAAAAAAGATTGAGGAGTCGGAGAGCATGACCTTCACTTCCAAGTTGCTACATATAGTATTGGGACGACTGTGGTTTGGTTGAATACTGACATATATATATACCCGACATGGCACGATCCCCGGGTGGCCAAGGTCCTCGGTCGACCGAGCCACCAATTCCCTTCGGTGGTTCCCAGCGACACCCAAAGATGAGAGAGAGGCTTCGCTCCTCGTCTTGCCGAAGGCGAGGGCGGATGTAAGAAGGGTGCCGGCGCTCATCGAGGGGCCACACTCTCATCATCAATTGGCTTTACACCTTGTTATCAAGTCCCCTTTCGCCCTTGTGTACCCTGAACACCCAACATAGCAGGTCAGCGAACGTACATACAGTATGCAGCAGGACCAGGCACTGGCAGAGGCCGGGGTAGGGGAGGGAAAAAGGGGGGGGGGGGCTCTGCTCACGAAAGTACCTCGATATTCTCCTCGCCTTCGATAAAGACCGTCGGGGTCTTGGTCCTCTTGTAGGCATTGAACCACGATCCCTTGAAGAGCGTATCGATCTCTTCGACGCTGAGACCGGACAGTTCCGGCACCGCGAGGTACACGTAAACCAACGAGACGCCGCACCAGGCGGCGAAGAAGATGAAAGCGCCCCAGTTGTCGGTGTGCTCAAGCAACGACGGGGTGCCGTACGTCATGGCGTAGATGAAGAGCCAGTGGAAACACTGCGACATGGCGCCTCCGAACGAGCGGATCCTGTTGGGCCAGAGTTCGCCGCCAAAAACGTACGGTAGGGCGAAGAGACCTGTGCGGTGAGTGAGTGAGTGGGTGAGTGAGTGACTTGGTGAACATCGGTAGATCAGGGAGACAACCTCAAGTTTGTCTCGAATGTGCAGAGGTAGGTGGAAGATAATAACAACTCATCGTGAACAAGGCGTCTGACTTACCGACAGCGTAGCCAAAGGCGTGCACAAATATGAGTCCAATCGCCGCACGCGACGATGCGGCTGATGCATTGTCCTCTTGCTTGTACTTGATGTAAACACCTGGACGACCTGATCAGCCCCTGACACGATTCCCTGTAGCGTGTGATGCCGACTCGTTTTCGATGGAATTCAGTCACTCACCAAGGTATATGTCCGAGAGGCCCTGGAAGAGGATTCCGACGAAGAGAGATTTGCGTCTTCCCAGCGCATCGATGAAGAAGAACGATGCAATGAGGGCGAATGCCAGCTTTGATACCGCGTACATGCCACTCAAGAAGATGTTCCGAGTCGTGCCCCCTCCCACCCCCATCAGGGTCAGGATTGGTATAAAGTACGACGTGACGGAGTTGGCGCCCGACAGCTGAGCAAGTCCGTACGACACGAGAGTCTGCTGGACCCGGCGCAGGTTAGAAGGCACCGTGAAGGTCTCCTTGAGGATGCTGACGATGCCCTTATGGTGGTCGTCTCCGTACTGTGCCCTCGCGAGTTGTATAGAGTTTTGTATCTCGCTCATCTCTCTCTGCACCCGGATATGGTCCAGGGGTAGACCTCGAAGTCGAGCGAGAGTTTTGGCTCCTTCGTCATGGCGATCCACCAGCATCAACCACCTCGGTGACTCGCATAGAAAGAAGCTGGCGACAACGCCCAGCCACATGAAGACGCAGGGGCTAAAGAAAACCACCTGGTACTGGAGTCTGCTGGGAGAGATGTTCTCGAAGGCCCCAAGGACACAGAAGTTTGATGTCACCAACTGTGTTGTTTTCTTCGGTCAGTGGAAGCTCTCGTACTAGACAGACTCCAAGGCAACACCTACCGCGAAGCCCATACAGACCGTGAACCACGACGCGAGAAGACCACGGATTTCAGCAGGTGCAATCTCCACGAGACTCATAGGCCCGGTGACGGTCAGGCCGCCGATTCCCAGTCCGCTTATTATTCGAGCTGCGTACAGTCCAGCCAATCCCGGAGCGACCGTGGCGACAATCTGACCCAGTGTCCACACGGTGATATACAGTCTGTACGACCACCGTCGGCCAACTCGGTCATTGATGAAGAAGGAGAGCAATGCGCCGGTAGCCATGCCGATGTAGACGATCGACACGAAATTCTTGATCGCCTGAGCGTTGGTGCCAGAGCTAATGCCGAAGTGGTGTTGGAAGCCTGGGAGTGATGGGATTGTCGCAGAGGAGCCTTGGTCCCATGCTTTGGTAGGGGTTAGCATCATGTCTAGACAGTGGGTTTGAGTGCGAGGGGCGACAGACTAGCCGGTATCGCAGACGTAGCGTACAGCAGCGCAGAGAGGATCAGGTTGCGGTTAAAGATGACCTCGCGAGGAGCATCTCTGATTCTCCTGCCATATGTCGCTAGTGGAGATCGCCCGAATGCTTCCTTGACACCCATATTCTCCAGAGGGACGTGACAAGCCGCAGGGCAATGGGCACAGAGCAACGACTTGCCGGAATCGCTCCACAAGGTAACGAGTCAAAGGGCGCGAGAGTTGCGTGATGTTTGAGACCCAGAGAACCGCGCCCTTTGCCGCCATATTTATTTCCAAAGCAAGATGCGGTATTCCAGCGATTGATTCTAGCTGGTAACAGAGGGATTGTTCGGGCTTCCGAGCATTTGGTGCCGGAAGAGTTGGAGCTGCTCGGAAGGCCGAGCTCAAGGAAGATCGGCAAGCCAATGGAAGCGTCCTACGGGGCCTGAACCTTATCAGGCATATCTCCAAGACATGAGACTAAACCGTTCACAGTCGAAGAGTAAAAGGCGCCGCCTTCATTGATCTCAACAATGGGCGTAACTCGTCATACTGCAGAAGGGTACCGACGTCTATCACCGGAGATACCATTGGCAAGTCAGGGTACCGGAACTGCACCCTTGTCGTGAAGTCTCGGGTATTCCGAGCGTTCGTTATCGTGAAGGGGTGTTGCATACGAAGCCAATCAATGGTTGGTTGTCAAGAGCCGTTGCAGTAAGCCCATTAATTGCATTACTCGGGTATAAGAGGTCGCAATGCATTCCCTGCAAGGCTCGAGGATGCAGATTCACAAAGTTGTCAACTTGATTGTACAAGATGGTTTCTCAAGACTCCAAGATCATCATTGTTGGGGCTGGCGTGTTCGGCCTGAGCACAGCCTTGTGGTTGTCTCGAGCCGGATACAAGAATATAACAGTCTTTGACAGGTGCCCGCTCGACACCAAGAATTACAATCCGTCTGATGGATGTGACGGAGCTTCAGCGGATATCAATAAGATCTTCCGCACAGCATATGGGACAGAAAAGGAGTAAGGTTTCCGATTTTGAGCCACACCAGTGTATCTGACGGTCCAACCCAGGTATCAGAACCTCGCGATCGAAGCTCGAGAGCTATGGTTGTCTTGGAATCGAGAGATTAGCGAGAGCTCCCCGTCGGCCCTTCCGCCCGGCCTTACGCCAGACGACAAAGTTCTGGACCTCTGTGGGAACTTCTTCTTGGCCGAGGGACAAGAGCTGCAGAAGTTTCATAAGGACTCTTTGTCTCTTATGGAAAAACTGGAACCCGAATGTCGAAAGCTCCAATTCGTCAAGGTGCGTCATAATTAAGATGGGTTGCCTGCTCCCCTAACTTTCAGTTGCCTGACACAATATCTTGCAGGGTGATAGGGAGGATGAAGAGCGCCTGCGACAACTTCATCCCAACTGGGTCGAGACCTTTCATGCCATTGACGGGATCAACAACAACAACACAAACGGGTTTCTAGACATCCAAGGCGGGGTTACTCTTGCAGATAAGGTAAGCCGAACTGAACGGCAATGCTCGAAACGAGCCGCTGACAGCTGCAAGGCCTGTACCTACGCGCGTTTTCTCTGCGAGAAAGCTGGTGTCCGTTTTGTCCTCGGACATCCTCAAGGTCAACTCCAGGAGCTCATCGTTGCCAACGAGGGCAGTGGGAACAAAGTGACTGGTATACAAACATGTGATGGCAAGAGTCATCACGGAGACATTGTTATCGTGGCATGTAGGTCAATATCTATTCTCGGCCTGTTCCAGGTATGCCTCTAACACAAGACTTAGGCGGCGGTTGGACTGCGTCAGTCATTCCCGAGGCCGCTCGTACTGTCGAAACAACCGCGGGTACGTTGATGTTCATCGACGTACCCAAGGAACGGAAGGATATATGGGAAATGTTCGATTCCAAGCATTTTCCGGCATGGTCGTATAGGAGAGGTGAAGGGGATGAGTATGCTGTCTCCACAAGCACTTTTCGCATCTACGGGGCTGACAACCGTACAGGTATTACCAGGGAGGCGGAGTAAGTGTGATTCGGCTTCCCGAAAGTCTCTATCGTCGCGAGCCAGATTATTGGCGCAGGCGGTGCTTTGAGACGGCGTCTTAGACATCTCAACCAATCCTAGGCGTTTCCATCATGATTTCGATACTCGTGGCTGACACCGGCTGATATACAGTTTCCTATTACCAAAGAAGGACGACTGAAGTTTGGCTTCCGTGGCCGCAAGGTATGTCAGGTGTCGTGGTTCTTGATGTGGTAGTTCTGACTAGTGGTCTTAATAGTTCACCAATTTCCAAGACCATCCAACGGCTCCCAATTTGTGAGTTTCTCATTGAGCGAGACGTCGATAAGCAAAAGCTGACGGTCTTTGCTAGACGTGTCTCCACTCCAAGGACGAAATACACGCCTGACCCCATTAAAACCATACCCCTGTATGGCCTCCAGTTGGTGAAGGAAGTCATCGGAAAGGCTTTCCCAGAATTGGCTGAATTTGGATTCACGGATTTCAGGGTATGTCCACCGCCAGTTTGTCCAGCATTTTCATCTTTCGCTAACACGTTGAGTATAGCTGTGCTGGTATACTGATAGCATTGACAATGATGTGAGTATCTAGCGTGATGCGGAGTTTTGAGTGAGAAACTGATGAACCCTCGATGGCAGTTTGTGATTGACTATGTGCCCGGATATTCAGACACCCTGTTCATTTGCTCGGGGGGCTCGTGAGTATACTGCATTTGGCATGTTGGAACTTAGTCGTCGCTGACGTGGAGGGACAGTGGACACGGATTCAAATTCTTACCGATTCTCGGGAAGGTAAGGGCTGATCTCCACCACGTTTGATCGCACTGTGCTGACCATATTGGCTCTTAGCACGTCAAGAACCAACTAGAACGGATTCCAGATCAGTTTACAGACCTTTGGAAATGGAGGGTCGTTGAGGACGGTAAAATATGCAACGGACTGGAGCAAGGAGAGGATGGACCCAGAGAGTTGTCCAAGACTCAGATGGCAGAGCGTGAGTGCCACCGTCCGCGAAAAGATGACAAAACTAATGATTTGTGGCAGCCCGTGATTTCAAGTTTTTGCAACCAAAAGCCCCAGCTCTCCAAAGTCAACTTTGAATTGGTCCTCGAGGGCTGAGGCCAGGAATGTAGTCCATAGTACTGATTAGCCGAAACAACTATAAGCCACCCCAGAGATCAGTCATGTCTGGCTGAGAACCACTCATCGACAGCATGTCGAAGGGCATATCAAATGGCATTGCGACATCGCTAATTCCCATTGCCGAGAAGAATTCACCTGTCATTGGAAAATGTGAAACTGTCAAGGCGTCATCGTGGGCTGACGTTTCGTATAGATGCCCTTCGTCCGGAGACCATGAGTTCAAGATCCTTGGATCTGAGTCAGCCCATAGCGTAGCTAGGAATGGAGTTATAAATACCTGGATACCTGGGACGGATCCTTCGACATGATCTCCCCTAGAAAAGTCCGCAATCGAGGCATCGAGGTTGGAGTGTGTCTAGTTAGGTCGTCATGAGCCCCGAGGAACCTGTCAGAGAGCTTGTCGAAAATATCGAGAAAGGGAGCTCCGACGGGAAACTGTCGCGTATATACGGAGAGAGTGCTTGAGCAGGCGAGTATAGCTCGTGCAATCCGCCTGGCCGGTAGAATAGCCGGTTGCAAAGCTAGGCATTGCAGCAAAGTTATACCACAGTAAAAGCTCTGGTATAGGTCAGTGAGGGATGGGTGAGTCTCCGGACTTATGCTGAGCTGTCTCCCGACCTAGACACCATGAGTTAGGCCCTACATCGAATGGAGGTTGCTTGGAGGGTCACCTCGCACGCATCAGCAGCTTTTCCGGCACAAAGAAGCAGTAAATGTTCGTCGACACTCTGCTGAATTAGGACAGGGCGCATCGTCAGAAGGACTGCTTGAAGGTAGAAGCCTTGTTTCCTTATCTCGCTCTGTTGCGGAAGGCTGTTCGGACAGTTCCGAGGTGCTGTTGCCATCCACTTATCCAGCTTGGAAAGTAGTTCCTGAACATCTTCGTACGTTGGTGGAAGCGCATGTGGCCCAAACAGTCTGGTCCTGGTGTTGAGCTTGTCAGAAAGTCTGGCCGTGATAACCCCGGCGGTGATTGATTATCTTACATTATTCTTGATTTCAAGCGGTAGAATTCAAGATGATGTAATGCAGAACTCATCTGAGAAACGTCAGTTTCGTCAACCATTCATCTCGCGGCGCGTATACCGAGGTCAGTCCGCCTATTTGACAGCCATCCTCGCCAGCTCTCTGACGGGATTGAAGATATTCAAGTTGCTCCGAATCTGTACTTTCAATGTTAACGTTCACGGGAGTCTACTCTGAGAGTCAGCTAGTCGAATCGAGGACGGCGTTAACAGAACATCTTGCCTCAACATCGATATCTAAGTCGTGGATGCCAAAAGGGCGCCTGGCCATGGTCGATACAAGGCTTCAAAACGTCAACAAGTGTGCCAGGTCGAGCAGGTAGGAACTCCTACCGATCAAAACAGTAAGCACACCAGAAGAATCTCTTCTGTAGCTCAATCGCAAGGGGATCCATAACATCAGAAGATGCTTTCCGATGATAACCAAGCTCGACACAAAGGCGCATGATGATGCCGGAAAGGTGCCTAGGAATTGGTAAGCGATACAGATCTGACTGAGGGCACGTGCTGTTACCAAACTGATGGTCCTCCCTGAGAGTCTATTAGTATGCGGTGAAGGTAGTCCTCTGGCTTGACTTACGGTCGTTCGGAAGTGAAACTGGCACAGGCAAAGCAGCGCTTGCACGGTGGTCGAGTTTTGCAGTGTCAAGATCGGGTGCAAATACTTAAGCGCTCGCGCAAAGTAGGCCTGGACAATCAATGTGAGACTTTGATCAGGGTTCAGGCTTGCAGAAGCACTACCTTCGGTGGATACTCCGGGTTGGGAACAAACCCTGCCCCAATGGCATAGATGATCCAAATAAAGTATGCGCCTAATACGAGCCAGTGAGCTATGGGTCTTGAAAAATCATGTTACACGTTATATGTATGGGCCTTACCGGTTTGGCTGTCAAGATCATCCTCCTTTGTCGAATAGCAGATGGTTTCCCTCCGTTGATGCCATTCACGCAATTGCACCCAATCAACGATACAGTAGCGTGCTTGAATGTAAAGGTAGACAGTCTCGAGCAGGAGATGGCCGACCTTTTGTGAGGGAAGCTCAGGCAAAGTGGAGGCCTGCATCTCAGAGGTCGTTGTTCCTCCCTGGAGCATGTTGAAGCTCGTGATTTCCGAGGTCGATTCGGGCGAGTTTTGCAGACTGCTATGAGACGGTTAGGTCAGGTGGCACGGGAAAGTCCTTTTTGACATGCCTCTCAACAAGCTGAGAAGGGGTTAGTCATGGGGAATACAGGCGAGGCTCTCGTAGATGTAGGTACCTGGGTGAAGGAGAAGGTGTCCTTTGTTGAGTTATGAGACCTCGTAGAATGTGTAACTGCCCTCGCCCTCCGTCCAGGAGACGTAGAAACTGCTCAAGAATCAGCAAAGGCGCTTTGCCAGAGAGGAGTGAAACAGCACCATGGCCACCCAATTGTCTACTTCCATCGTCCGGTATCAGTTGATCGGGCGGAGATGAAAATGCACGCACGCTGCGGAGCTCAGATTCAAGGGAAGCAATGCGAGCTTCAAGGCTGGCAACATATCTGCAGTTCTTTCAGGATAACTCCAAAACCTAGGTGATTGGGAGCTTACTCTGAGCCTCTAGGAATGCCGTCTGAAGGCACGTCGAAGACGCAATCTGCAGTTGACATTGTGGGCGACACTCTAGTGCGTAATGCGAGGGACATACCTGAATCCGACCTACCACACGCGGCACATTTGCTGACAGTGTCAGTCGGTGTTGAAGCAAAGTCTGGATTCAACTCACTCCTGAATTTGCCCGATGAAGTGGCACTTGAGCTTCTTACTTTTGCAACGGTGACCTAAGGGCTAAGCATCAGTTTGCGCCGGTTAAGATCAACGAGATAAGGATGAATCACAAGCATTAGTACTCCGTCGGGTTGGGCCAGCAGTGATTTCTGCGCGCCGCCGCTTCTGACTCCTACCACCGGTATCATGAGAACCGCTAGATCTTTCAGGGAGATTCATCGTTCCGTGTTGTTGAGTCAGACAACGAGGACGATCGCGGGGCTTGAAGGCTTCAGGAATTCAATGGGAGCTGATAATCGCGCCAACTGCTAGGGTGCCCAGACACAGCCTGTCGAAGAGAGCAACGACAAACCTGGTTCGGCCTCATCATTTGGCTGTTGAGACCTAAGATGGCAGGTATCATCGATATCAGCCGAAGATATTCTCCCCTATGTAGGAAAATTGGAAGATCAAACCTGCTGAGGCCTTTGGAAAGGCATGCGTTGCGTAACTTGCAGAGGAGCAGGCAGATTGGAGGCGGGGTTGACGCCGCTCTATGCGACACCTCGACATACCTACCTAATGTAGCTAGCTAAGTGTCTATTAGCTTAGCACGCTTTGCTAAGTGTAGTAGTTATCACTTCAGCACTCGTACGGAGGCTGCGGCTGGAGCTAGTTAACTAACTATCTTATCCCTGATGTTCACCTCAGAAGCAAGCAGCTCAGCGGCCCCCTTAATGACGTTGAGCAACTATGGTTTCTGGGACAATCCTTCGAATGAGAGCCGGATGTCGAATTTCCGGTTGAACCGGATCTGCTCGGCGACGAAGCCCTGCCACATCCTGCAGGGACCCTAGCCTCGCGATCGAGTCAGGTTTAGGTCTCGGTCTCAATCCTTCTGAGAAGCCTTTGACTGCGGGGGTCAAGGACAATGACATCAACTTAGCACAACGTCGACAGGGGATCGGATTGCATTCAGTTTTTTATTGGAGGTGACACGTCCGGAAGTGAATTTTGAGTTTCCCCAAGGTTCTGCGGGAACTGAGAAGAGCTACATGTACGTACGTACAGTCGGAGAGTCTGCCAATCATACCCGCAATACCTCTGAGAATGGATGACCAGGAAGATATCGCCGAACAAAGTTTCGTGCCGCCAACTCTGACGCAAGAAAGCAGTGTAAGGTTCTGATAGTACAGGACGGAAGTACGTATAAATATATCGTTCCAGGACCCTTGAATTCGACGTTTGAGTTACAGATATTACCGTACAGTAGTTTACTGGTATTCTTGCTCCTCAGTAACTCTGTTCAACTGGCTTTTCCTCGAACGTGTCTCATCCGTCAAACATGGCCAGTACTTCATCAGACCGCAAACCTGTTCCTGACCGGGCCGAACATGACGCCTGGTTCCCATCACCGTACTCACTGACACAGTACGTGTCCCCGAAGACCAATTTCGACGGCGTAGATCATCCGAACGCGTACAAGGGTGGCAAATGGCGGATTCTGACGATTGCGACGCAAGAGCGCTACCTGCAAATGGCGAACGGCGAATTCTTCTCGACCGGCAATCATCCCGTCGAGACGCTCCTCCCCATCCTCCACCTCGACGCCGCCGGGTTTGAGGTCGACATCGCCACGGTCTCGGGCGACCCGGTCAAGTTGGAAATGTGGGCTTTCCCCAAGGAGGACGAGGCGATCAAGAAGATTTTCGAAAAGTACAAGCCCAAGCTGCGTCAACCGCTCAACCTCGACCGCGTCTGGGACGACGGTTTCACGAAGGACACGCCGTACATCGGGATCTTCATCCCCGGCGGACACGGCGCGCTGAACGACATCCCCTCCTCGCCGACGGTGGGCAAGATTCTCAGGTGGGCGGATGCGAATCGGCGCTACGTGATCTCGCTCTGCCACGGACCGGCCGCGTTGCTTGCCGCCGACGTGGACAAGCCCGAAGGGACCAAGTTTATCTACTCTGGGTACAAGATCGACGTCTTCCCCGACGCGCTCGACAGCGGCGCCAACATCGACATCGGCTACATTCCCGGGAAGATGACTTGGCTCGTCGGCGAGGAGCTCCGCAAGCTGGGCGTCATTCCCATCAACAAGGAAATCACGGGAGAAACGCATCGCGACCGTTATCTCCTCACGGGTGATTCGCCTCTGGCTTCGAACAATCTAGGCAAACTGGCTGTTCGTACTATCCTCGACGAGCTCCCCAACTATTCCTGAAGATAGAACTCGACATTTTGTTCCAGCAGTAAGTATATACTGCAGATGGATCTCATGGTGCAGGCAAGAAAAATTTTTGTAATAGTACTAAAATAAATGCATATTTACTTACTTATACTAGTAGTACTAAATGCTGTCGATATACACTTGTAAGTACTTACATTAACTGAATTTCACGTTTATTTTGGCTTAAAGGTATATTTATGTACCAATAGTACTAGGAGTACCCCTTAGGTGCCTCTTCTATATGTATCAGCCTACTAGTAAGTCTCGATATAGTTTATGCCTATCCTGAAATCGTATGTTGACTCGCGCTGATCTGATTCAGTCTGATCCGGCCTGAATCAGTCTCAGTCCACTTTGCATCGGTGTTAATCGGCCTTAGCACACTTCGAATCAGTCTGAGCTCGCCTCGAGATCAAACTCAGATCTAGATCTAAATCAGCACATGTGGTATAGTATCTATCTAGTAAGTGGTTGTAAAACTTGAGTGATACGCAGCACTATTTTTTCCTCTTCTAGACTAGCGCGTCACTCAATCTTTAACTAAACTTCACTGGCACTCCGAGTCCTCGCCCACCCAACCCTGCCAGGTTCCCCTTCGCTACTACTTATCTTTCTCTCTTTGAGAGGAGAGCGAACGATTTGGGCTGAAGAGACTCGAAGTGATTTGATACGAATTTTCAGTAGTAGCTACTGTACCACATGGCGAGCTTGGATGCCGCATGTTTGAAACCGTGCTCAGTGGGATAATCCAGATTGTTGAAGGGGATCGTACGTTTTATATACAGTAATCGACATCCCGGCGTTGTGAAATCCCCTCCGTAATGGGAGTGTTGAATCGGTGCTTGGACTGCCACTCAGTGCTGTCTGTCATCGGTTCCTTTCACGATCTCTGGAACTACGAAATGCTTCATGCTGTTGTCACTACGAGTTTTGATCATAAACACTGGGATTTGAGCCGTTGAAACCCTCGTTCCTGGAATGGTACAAAAATCAGCAAAAACCAGCAGACACCTCCTACAAGCGTCAACAGTGCCCAACTTCACACAACTCAAAGACGACAAATACATAGAATGACCGCCTGTTCATCTGATGACCGATTATCGAACCTCTCAGAATCTTAAGACGTTCTACTTATTTCTTGAACTTGGGTTGTTCACAACGTTTTAGCTTCTGGTACTGCAACGCTTCTTCGTAGCAAGATTTCAAGTGCTTTTATTCCATCGCTCTAGTAGCATCAAGCCTCGAGACCTGTGCGAGAGAATCTCATGTTCAGTCATCAAGGGCGGCGCCGACGTGAATGTGGCAAGTGGGTCTTCTGTGGGCGTGGCTGGTTGGCACTTGAAGTACTGATTGATACCCAAGACCGTATGGACTCAGGGTTCCGTCCTATGAGGCTGCTCCGCGATCTGCCTCGAGGTATGTGTACCTGACAGGGTACCAGAGAGGAGTGGAAAGCGGCACCGGACCGTTCGACGATGACAGTGAGAGTTATCAAGGATCGGTCGTCGGTTGAAGGAGGCGCTTCTTTCTATGTATTTATCGTCTTTTTTTTGAGTTGTGAAAGCTGGCAGCACCATTGCCGGTCCCTCTCTAACTAGAGGGAGGGTCCCGGCCGGGTTTTTGGCTGGTTTCTGCGCACTTCCAACAGTACAGGTACCCGCGGGTCTGTCTACACGTCAGGTCTTGGTACATTTATGGACAAACCGGGTAGTGACCATGGCACAAAGTCAATCCTCGGCGTATCTCCAAGAGATCTCGAACGATGGCAATGACGGTACTGGGCGGCGGTGTGCCAACCGCGGTGTCTAGTTCGAAGTACCCGTGAACATATTTTCACTGCGCTGGGGCGTTCCACCGCGCCGGGATGTCGATCAGATCTCCTGTAGAATTGATAATATCAATATAGCAAGTGTACTACTACTACTACTACTACTACTACTACTACTACTACTACTACTACTACTACTACTACTACTACTACTACTACTACTACTACTACTACTACTATACAGCAGGAAAAAGCTTCATCACCATACTAGTAAGTAAGTAGTACTTACAGTGTACTATATGCTACTAATACTACTACTACACGGTATGAAGAAGCCCCCTTCCCTCAAGTTGGTCAGTCAATCCGTTGGCCAAACACACATCACTTTTTCGACTTCCTCGGTCCAACCGTGAGGTCGCGGGGCGTCCTGGGCAAAGTCGTTCAAATCCATATTGTGGTAGCGACGAGACACCTCATTCAACAGGACGCGAAAAATCTTCCAGGCGCGGTACGCCGACAGGGACGCCCCGGCCATGCAGTGCAGGTATCGCATGGCCTTGGCGACGGACTCGACCAGCTTGTCCACCTCGCCCTCGAAGTGCTGGGCGTCGATGGCCAGCTCGAGGTGCAACACGGCGCTCGCCTGCGCCACGAAGTGCAGCAGCGACCACCAGGGCAGCAGCCGGTAGATCTCCTTGATGGTCGGGACGTCGGGCAACAGGGCCAGCATCGACAAGGCGCCCAGGACGCAGGCGCGGGCCGCGCGGTGGTTGAACTCGCGAGACTCGACCGCCTCGGCCTCGGCGCTGTTGGCACACAGGCACGGCCGGTACAGGATCATCTGCAGGCTGTGATAGTACATGGCCAGCTCGATCCGGATGCGCGGGTTCAAAAATTCGTCGCCGCGGCCCGCCGGGGACGACGCCGGGCTCAAGTTCTCGGGAAGAGTCTCGACCCAACGCCGCAGTTCGGCCTCGAGGTCGTGGATCCTGCGTTGGAGGCCCAACCAGGACGGGTCGTTGGTGCCGCTGTACAGCTGACGCGCGATCTTGTCGCTCAAGAGGCACAGGTGTAGTCGCTGGGGTAGGTAGGTGGTGGGAATGGCGTGGTCGTCGTCGTCACCAATCGTGAGCCCAGGGGACAATGATGAAGAAGATGATGATGACGTTGCTGTGTTGTTGTTTTGCATGAGCTTCAGATGTTCCAGCCATGCCTTTCTCGAGATTTCGAGCAAGATGGGTTCGCCGACTTGTGTTGTGGATATCGGTACTGGTGGTACTGAGCGAGTTGAGTCATCTAAACTAGTACTTCTAGTACTACCGCTCGCAGGTCCGGCGAGTAGGTCGATCGGCGCAGTAACATCGGACACCGAGATGGACTTGGGCCGGCCGGTGATCTCAGAAATCAAAACTTCGAGGCTGTAAAGCGAATACCAGGTGCGTGCACGACGCCTCAGGTCTTCGTTGCTGACACTGGGATCGGTCACCTGTAGATGCAACCCCAGCGCGGTGGCGTGTCGAATTGCACATCCCAGGGTGTTCCAGGCTCTATAGAGTAGCAGCAGTTTAGTTAGTGCTCGAATTAGCCGCAAGATCATGCTGAATTTGTCCTTGTGGAGGAGGACAACCAGCATTGGACGAGGTCGAGACACGCACGGTAAGTAACTTACCTTGTAACAGAGCCATTGAAAAGCAGATAGAGCGCGAGCAGTCCCATGGCCTGCACCTGATCGATGTTGGGATGATCAAAGACGACCCTGTGATCAAGGCCCAGAGCCCGCGCCCTGGCATAATAGTGCGGGTGAGTGTCCGTGGGGGATAGTGCTTCGCCGTTCATGCCAGTCATCTCCAGCCATTTTGATCCAATGGCCCAAATCATATTCGCTTTTGCCAACTGCCTCCGCCCTCTCCAGGAATGCTGCGGCGTAGACATATCAAACAAGTTGGCAAGAAACTCGTCGCGAACGACAAAGGGGAAAGCACCTTGGAGGGCATGGAAATATGCCTCGGTCAATATCAGGGACCTGGAAAAGGAAGGTCTTTGGTATGGGTCGATCCGGTCCTCGTTGACGGCCAGTACTTCGTTGTCATCCACGAAATAGATGAAATTCGTCGCTGAGAAGACGTGAGGGTCCAGGACCCCCGATGTCAGTAGTCTCGGTCGCGTTGCGTCCGGCCTCCCGCGAACAACTGCAAAGGCCTGGTCAATCCACGCCACCTCCGACATGTGGCCTACGAGTCCGGAAGCTCCTCCACCCTGGGCCAGATTCACCACGCTTGAAAGCTCTCCAATGGTATTGAGGGAGCCAGCACGCGACGAGGCGTTGGGTTGCTCCGCGCCTGGACGATTTAAACTGGAGCCTTCTCCTGCAATCTGAGGCCACCGAAGTCGCTCAGGATCTAGTTGTTTGGCGGCATGATCTTTTGCCTTCAGGCACATAAGTGGGAGGGATATTGTCAGTAGCGACTTCGACTTCCCGATCCATGCATGCGTCAGGATAGTGTACAGACCTTGGACAAGTTATCATGTGACGCCGTCGAATCTCCTCCAGACTGCTGATAGACGTGGTTTTCTGTCATGGCGTCAAGCGTATTCAGCAACATCTTGTTTTCCCTTTCTAACAAGGTAACGCGGTCTGAATTTCTGGCCGGGGGCAATCAGTATCCACATCTAACTTGAGCCCGGGAACATCAGAACCTACTTCTGGTTTCGTTCCCGTTTGCGGTCGCCATATGTGCAGACTGAATCATGTTTGACACAATTCGAGCATCGCTTGCCTCCCGAGCATTTGGTACGCAATAGTCGACAACGATCGCAAGCGTGTGTGGTGCGCCTCCTGAAAACGTTGTTGTCGGTGGGTAGATCTCGCTCTGGCGGAGTCTGAGCCTCAAGATCGTGTAGCGGCATGATCCCAAGTGGCGGGCAGTACTTTGCAAGAAACTCTGATCGGGCGGTCGCAAAGACAAAGTATGGGCACGATAGCACGAATGCTCTCGGCTATTTCACATGATGCAGTCGTCCCGCCACGATGGCTGTCGATCTAACGTTTCGACTTTGATGATAGGCATCGAATCGGCTGCGATCTGATCGAAGGGGGGAAAATGTCAAAGCTGGAGTTTAGCGGGGTTGAAAGTTATTTAAGAAGGCCGGGGCAGTGTTACGGAGTGGGGTCCAGTGGAGGGAGGTGCTGCGGTGACACAATCCCGAACAAGGGCGGCATGGATCTGCAGTACATGCATGCTCTGCACTATCTCACATTCTTAAAGTTACATGGTTCTCTGGACTGCACGCATTGTCGATACATCCTGCATGGCCCCAGGAGGCGGCGTGGCCAAACGAGGCCTGGTGAGCAGGGTACTGCCAACTTCCAAATGAGTGTCAACGGAAACAGTCTCCGTGAGGATATATTATGCTCGTACATCTTCGACTCGTACCGATATCAGCTCGACGAGAGGATTACGTCATATGTTGTTGATCTGAGACCAGAAAACACCGTTCGAGGACGAGAACCTCGTATATTCCAGGCACTGACGCCGGCGACACTCAAGGGTCTTTGCAGACGTCGACACGTTCGCTACGCCACAGCAGTGCGACAGCTGACGGATGAGACCCCGGAACGACTAGCCTGAGTGTACAGGGTGTATAGAGCGTCCAGGCGAAGATCCAATTTTCCACCATATACTAACTGATAGTGCACGGTATGCGCTGTGGTTTGATCAGCTCACAATACCCACCTACAGGTGAATGTCATCATTGCAAAAACGTCTAATGTTTCTTTGCCATGCTCGTCGAGGAACGCTTGGATGATCTTTCTGATTTGATCTCCCAGGCACGCTCCTCATCCTCTCCACAATCTTCGTTGCTCGTTGGCGGGACCTTCACTGAGAATAGCCCTGTAATGGAATAGTTCGATGCAATGTACTCTATTGAACCGTCCTCTGTAACAACGACTTCATCGCTTGAGGAGCAAAGGAGTTGTCACGATTGTGACCTGGATGTCAAGCCTCTCCTTCACTGAGGCCCTCGACGCGGCGCACCCAACACCCGCGTCCTAAACCCCAACCTCTTTGATAGTCCTTCGTACTACAATTTATTTCTTTTCCAACACCTAGTTGTGAGTCGCTCCAACAGGAAAGGTCCGCGGGAAAGGCGCTGGAGAAAAATCGCATGTTTGCTAGTAGTTAATTTCTGACCGCGAGAGTCTCGGCATAAAATGAACTCTTCCGAGAGTGTGTCGCTCCACTTGCCACTGATAAGGTAATGCTGGATGGATGATGGGAGGGCTTAGTTTCCCTGAACCAAACCATCATGATCTGCTAAGCCCAGAACTGTTGGCGATTCTTTCAGGCCATCAATGCCTCGCCAGGTACTTGAGCTAGCCTCGAGCTGTGAAATTTCGACTGATGTCGGCTGATTATCTCGGCTCGGAGGTGCTGCGATTGGGGTGCAAGCGGCCGTTGAGAGAGTCCCCAATACTGCATCCTTCTGCCTGTCAGACTAGACTATGAATTGCATTCCCAACCACCTGCCAGCCACTCTATCTAGTGTCTATATAGCCATAACGTCCCCTAGGACCCAGGCAGAGACAACAGAGATTCTTTCACCCTTCATTTTGCTCCCTCAACTGCGATACAGCCCAGTGCATCCGACGAATCCAGGTACCGTAATTCTCTGCCTAGAAGAATGAGCCATTGTCTGAGATGTAGAACTCGATGGTCGATGAAATCACTGGTGGATGGGTCCTGAGAAGACGTCATTGCACTGATCCTTGCCACCTCCAATACAGATGCATCTAGAGGATGGCGTTGTTATCGCTGCGCGGTCTTGGGTTGTAGTTGTCTGAAGAGGAGTGGGTGTGCCTGGGGGTCGGTCTTGTGTGGAGATTAGCGGACAAGATATCCGATGACCAGAGGAGCAAAAGTGTTACTGACAGCCTGAAAAGATTACTGTTCTGTAACCATAATATTGAAAACCAGTAAGCTAAACTATTAAAATGCCATTCCGCACGCCGTGACTTCTCGAAATCACCAAAACCCCCGGGTTGACTATTCATCGATTTATGAAGTATTATACGTGATTCCGCGTAGAGAGGAGTACCTATTGGCTCTTCGGAGTCAACTTAAGAGGTATGGCCGGTTCACACGACGTTTCACGTATCCTTGGGGGTTCTCTTGTTGGGACTTGCGTTCTGTAATCGAAACAGCCTCGAAGCCTCTAGTTTACAGCTTATGCTGCTTGCCATGGTCGACCTCGCTGGTCCTTGTGCCTTCAAGCTCGTAGCCTTCCATAGTAGTGGCGTTATGAACATGCATGGGGCCTTCAAATATTTCGTCGATTTCCTCGAGCGATCGCTTGCGTGTTTCAACCCAGTAGTAAGCGACAAAGGCAACCTCCACAACATCCCACGAAGCGTTGATCATATAAGTCTTCCAGCCAATATTATTGAGTGCAAACGGCATAACGAATGTGGCGAAAACACTACACGGTACCCAACTCAATTTAGCGGAGAGTATCTTCTGGAGAGAGAATCACGGGGCTGGACTTACGCTGCCGAGTTGGAAACAAAAGTGTATATTCCCATACCATTGGCACGTAGAGAGAAATTCAAGACCTCTGGCGGATACATGACCAGAAGCGTTGTCCATCCAAAGCTATAGCCTCCTGTTTCGAAGTCAATATATGAATGACATGCCCATAATGTTTGCAGTCCTACCTTGGAAGAGGAAAATACAGGCCACAGTTCCATAGACTGCAGATTTATTGGTGGATGAGCTGTATACTGTATGTGATTATCACCTAGAATCAGAAGCTGCCCAACCCAGACAACATAACCATCTTCGAAGGGAGAGACTTACACTTTGTAAAAGCTCCTACCAAATACAAAAACGCGAGACTGAATGTCAAACTGCCCATGGCCAAGGGCTTTCGTCCAATCTTGTCGGCAAAGAAAGTGCCTGCTCCTGCACAAATGAGACACCACAGATTGAGGACAATGTTGATTTGAAGCTGGCTAAGTGCATCAGTGATGCCGGCTTGGCTGAGCATGGTTCCTAACCAGTACCTTGAAGTTGGAAAGGTTGTCAGCATTATAGTGGCAGAACTCTGCATGGATAAGTGATGACCTACGATGCAATCGCGCTTCCGCTTAGATTTCCGATTACGGCAACGGACATGGCGAGGCCAGTTCGTTTCCTGTTGGGTGGAGTTTTGAATGCAGCAAACCAGCTTTGCGCTGCTGGATTCTGTTGCTCATAGGCAATTGCCCCCATGATCTGATCGTAAGCTGCCAGCGTTGCAGGGTCTGATGCATCGCCATTGGCCATCACCATGGCCAAGACATTAAGAGCTTCATCCCCTCTGCCTTGAGCGACAAGCCACCGAGGGCTTTCGGGAACCAATGGGAGTAACAGGATAGCGAGGAGGCTCGGAATGGCTTGAAGCAGAGAAGGTAGTCTCCAAGCCCAAGTGTTTGGGATCCGGGCTGTACCGTACGTGATAACCGCGGCAACCAGACCGCCGAAGTACCAGATGTCGTAGTAGAATCCCAACATCCATGCTCGATATTTGGTTGGTGCCACTTCCGACGCATAAGTTGGGCAGGCGATGGAGCTGAGACCGACTCCCATACCGAGAATGAATCGGGCTACCATGAACATTGCGGCATTCTGGGCCGACCCTTGCAGACTGACTCCAAGGAAACATATCATAGCAGCTCCTAGCAAACCATTCTTGCGGCCAAACCTGTCCAACAAAAGCCCTCCAAAAGGAGCAATCACCGCACCGCCAATCCAAATGATGGCCGAGCTCGCTGCCTGAGAAGCCGTGTTGAAGTTCATGTAGTCAGCGAAAGTAGGAAGAATCATCAGTCCATTCCTAAGGTCAAGGTCATCAGTCAGATTGAGGCTAGGAAACTGGCCTCGTGGTTACTCACATCATGTTTCCATCATAACCCAGAGTCTGCAAATAGTGAGCGAGCAACTATATTGTCTTACAGAAACTTGAACATACCAACGAGTTGACCAGGATGACCATGAAAACCAGGAAGATGACACTAGATGACCGTTTTGGCATGTACAGCCCTCTAACAGTTTGTGCGGACAGCATGATGCAGGCCCAAAGTTCCTGTTCTTGTAACAAACAAATGTTTCAAGGTTGGGAAAGAAGTGTCGAAAATCCCATGGCTCGACGACATTTTATAATTGGCGAAGGAGATATGAACCTTGTCGGTAGACGATCCTCAAATTAATCGCACATATGCACTCAGAGCTCGGTTTAATGTTCGGGGCGCTGTCCATGCAGGCCAAATCTAATCTCAGAAGTTGAAGCATCTTCAGGACAGTTATCAGTGCTGTTTCTTGACGTGGAAGACGATGGACAATCTGGGTTTGCCGCAGGTTAGTCCCGTAAAGGAATGGTTTTTCCACAGCATGGACCAATTTTATACTTTGGTGGGATAGTAAGATTTCTCCTCTCCAAGATAACGATAGATCGTCAGGTTTTTCCGCAGCTTATGCCCTTAACGGAATGGTTTTCCCGCATACTATCACTCTGGTGGAGAAAGCCACAGTAGGAAGGGATCTGGTGTGCAGACAGGTTTTGCGGCGACCTGATCTTGCAGATATGACAGTATGTAGCCTCGAAACCCGAAGTTAGCAGTTCATATTCTTCGCAGGCTCTCACATCTGGTCTCGAAGAGGGCAAGAATCTGCTGAAAAGCCAGTGGAATATCGGCAAATTGACTTGGGTGGAGTTGTATGAATCTCAGAGCCCTTCCAATGCCATCAGAACCGTCAATCAAGCGGGAGTGGTGGAAGGAAGCATCTGTCTATCAGATATACCCGGCTTCCTTCAAAGACAGCAATGGTGATGGGGTAGGCGACATCCCAGGCATTATCTCGGAGCTAGATTACATTGACTCTCTGGGCGTGGATATTGTCTGGTTGTCGCCGGTCTTACAATCTCCTCAAGTCGACATGGGCTATGATATCTCAGACTACCACGACATCTATCCGCCATATGGAACAATGGCGGACCATGATGCTCTGATCAAAGGCCTCCATGATCGCGGGCTCAAGTATGTGATGGATCTCGTTGTGAACCATACCTCAAACCAACATCCTTGGTTCCAACAATCTCGGTCCTTGAAGACAAATAGATACCGACACTGGTATATCTGGCGGCCAGGTCGTTATGACGCGCAAACCGGGCAACGAGTCCCACCGAACAACTGGGAGTCGTTCTTCGGAGACAGCGCATGGACCTGGGACGAGAAAACAGAAGAATACTACCTTCACCTCTGGGCAGCCGAACAGCCCGATCTAAATTGGGAAAACCCAGAAGTTGTGGAAGAAGTGCACAACATCATACGTTTCTGGCTTGAGCGTGGCGTCGATGGTTTTCGCATGGACGTCATCAATTATATCTCTAAAGCGCCTGGACTACCAGATGCCCAGGTAAAGAAGTCCGGATTCTTGCAAAAAGGTGCCGAGCATTTTGCTGCTGGCCCACGACTGCACGAATTTCTACAGGGGATCGGCAAGATACTTAAGGATTACAATGCTTTCAGTGTCGGTGAGATGCCCGATGCAGAGATTGAGGATATTCTTATGGCAGTGGGCCAAAATAGAGGGGAGTTGAGCATGGCTTTCCATTTTGAGATGTGAGTGAGGTCTCAGATATTCTGCCAACATTCTGAGGTTGTGGTTCGATTTAGGAGCTGACGAAATGTACTCTTTAGAGATGCATTGGACATGGGCACCAACGGCAGGTTCGAGCCAGCTGTCTTCTCTCCCACAGCTCTAAAGAAGATCGTCAATAAATGGCAAACTTTCATGCTTGAGAACATGGGGTGGAATGCTCTTTTCATGGAGAACCACGACTGCAGCCGCACAGTGAGCCGTTATGCGTCTGACACTCCCTCGCTCAGGACAGCGTCGGCAAGAATGTTGGCGAACCACCTAGGGTTCCAGTCGGGAACGATCTTCTTATACCAAGGCCAGGAAATTGCAATGGTAAACATGCCTCGAGAATGGCCCGTTGATGAATACAAAGACATTGAATTGGTCAATCATTGGCAGATGGTTCTCCGGGATTACCAGGATGACCCGGAGAGGCAAAAGATGTATCGCGAGCGATACTGGCTGGTAGCACGCGACCACGCACGAACTCCAATGCAGTGGAGCGCGAAAACACCATATGCAGGATTTATGCCCGAAGGCACTCACAACGTTGCACCCTGGATGTCCATCCACCCAGATTATCGAAGCTGGAATGTGGAACGCGCGGTAGCAGATCCGCGATCCAGCTTCCACCACTGGCGTAGGGTTCTCAGTGCGCGAAAGCAGTACCCTGAAATCTTCGTCTATGGAGGATTCGAGATGCTCAACTTGCATATCGAAGAGGATGTTATCGCATACATTCGTTCTAGCGCAGTTGGCGCAAGATGCGAATCCGGTCAAGCTTTGGTCGTGGCTAGCTTCAGCGCTAAGGAGATTTGGTGGACGATTCCTCAAAAGGCCAGACCTTTCTTGCTTGACCTTACGTGTGGACCGGGGCCAGCCAGACCAAATTTGAACGCCCTCGTGACCGAGCTGGGTAATTATGAAAGCCCACCCCAGCTAAGGAACGAAAACTGTGGCCGTGTGATGTTGAGCTTAAGACCTTATGAGACGGTCGTGGCATTGATATAACATTGTGAGGATAGCACAGAATCCAAAGAAGTGGGTACGTGTGCTCAACGAGACCTGGACACGTCTCTACTTCGGGATTGAGGATGACTGTCCTGAGAGTTTCACCTGGTAACTCCCGTAGCCGCGCCCGATCATTTAGACGCACCTAACCCTAGACCCCCCAGAACTGCCTTGGCCTGTTGCCAGACTAGACATGGCTTTCATAAAAACCCCGAGCATGGAGTAGCCGGACTGTTCAAACATGTTGGATGGTTGGCAAAATAAACCTATCCAGGGCCCAGACGGTGTAGCGTCTACGGAGGTAGAGTTGGAGACGACCCCAGGATGCCTGAGTACTCCTAAATACTTGGTCCGCGGCTTCGTCACTCGGTAATGATCGCTACTGCCTGGGTTGGAGCGAGATAAGAGTATAGAATGGACATGTTCAACAACCATAAATACCCAGCAGCAAGGTAGATAGATTAAATGTAGTTGTCGAAAGAGCACCTGTCACTTTACGGTGGAGGTCTTAAGAGCTGTTAAACTATAGAGTTTTGAGGGTGGACAGAGTCGTGTGAGAGCTTCTCAAACCAATACTATTACGTGCTAATTCGGATTAAGAAGATCCGTCTCGACGCGTGTCTTTATACCACGTAAAATAACGCACAGTCAGACCGAAGGTGTCACGTGGTGAGCACGTGAGTTCAAGAGCTACTCCAGTGGGGACGGGGTTGGGCTGGTCGTACTAAGAATTCGTTATCAGTCTCGTTCGTCAGTAGATGGAACGCCAAAAGAGCCCAGCTTGTTGAACAGTCTGTCGCAAGTTATTCTTTTTGTGCAACGAAAGATGTGAAGCACATCACCTTGTTTGATCGGCCAGCACCGCACTGCACGGCCCGCCATGGCAGCGCATCGAAATGGACGAGCATCCAACTGGCTTACCATCAACAAGCAGGGTAGACCTAAACATGCGTGTAGCGAGTGCCAGTAGGTGGAAGACAAACGCTATTGCTCTTCAAGCTTGACATCTAACGCTCAATTTAGAAGCCACAAACGCAAGTGCCATCCGGCTAGTGTAGCAAATTCGCCTTGCAAGAGATGTCTTGAGTTGAAACGGGCTTGCAGCCTTGTACAGATACCTGCCATGGCAAATCATCAGAGGCCCCCCGGTCCAGACAATTTATTCCCGCCACAGGATGTTTGCAACGAGCTTGTCGACCTCTACTTTGACATTATACATGACAAGGATCACATGTTATTCCACCGCCCTACTTTCGTCAGCGCTCATCGGAAAGGGATGGTAGATATGACGCATATTGCGGCTATGATGGCCCTCGCAGCCAGGTACGCGCAAGAATGCACATAGGACCTCTGATTGCGGGATTGCACGGAAGGAGGGCCTAGACTGCTACCCTGGACCCAGGTTGACAAGCATCTGCTGATAATTACGTCTTTGGGCAGGTTTTCCTCGAATCCATGGTTTCAAGACTCGAATCGGTGGACTAGAGGCTCGGTTTGGGCAAACTATAGCAAACATCTGTTTGACAACAGGAAAGACAAGGTGTCGTTGGCTGCCATACAAAGCTGTGTCTTGCTCAGCACTATTGCCTTTTGCGACGTCGATATGGAAATGGAATCACTGTATGGTGCCCAAGCGATCCGCATGGTCCAGCTTAAAGCCCTTCCAGATCAGCGCGGGGAAAGCCTCGTTCAGCGGGAAACGGAGATCCGAGGTAAGATTTCGCCATTGCCGCGATGACTGACTTGTCTGACACACCTCTGTAGTATGGTGGACGGTGTGGATGCTGGATCGTTGGGCTAGTGCAGAGGCGCGGATACCAAAGCAGCTAGTGGCCGACTCTAGATTCCCAGTACCTATGACAGAACAACTCTTTGAACAGATGAGTGCCGACTGGTGCGACCTCAACCAAACGTCGCCTCTAGAAAGACTCCAGTTGGAGCATCGAGGCTTCTGGGCTCATTTGATTCCGGTGACGGAGCTGATCGAGCCCATCAATGAACTTCATGAAATGACAGTGCAAGGTCGCCTTACGGACCTCGAATTATATGACCACGTCGAGAGTATAGCATCTAAGCTTACCTCATGGAGACTTCACCTTCCAGAATCCCTGGAATTTACGCCTGAAAACCTCCTGCGATACGCCAATACTGGCCACGGTCGAATTCTGGCGGCGCTCCACTCCGGTTTCCACCACCAAAGTCAATTGCTATACTATCAATTTCTACAACCTAGTATAGCCACCAACGCCGAAAGCAGTACCAGGGTACTCGAGTACGCGTCCCGCTGTCGACAGCATGCCACAGACATCACCAACCTCTTTTGGCTGGCTAGGCAGACGCCACGGTGTAAAGCCATGTGGCCCATGGTTGGCCATCTTCTTGCCGTCTCATCCTCTGTTCATCTACACTCCCTTCTATTCAGTGAGGATGCAGGTAGAGTTTCCAGCGTGAAGCATATGCTGAAACAAAATTTCGAAATGATGATGGAACTTCGTCAGTACTGGCCTAGCATCGACCTATCTATGTCGCGGTTACGAAGTTTTCACCAAGCATGCCAGCGAAGCATGAACACGTCCTTCATTATGGACCACTGGATGTTACAATTTCTTCAACAATACACAAAACCTGTCCAAGGAAGAGACATCTTTCATCTCTATTCAGGGAGCTCTGAGCCAATACAAACTTCGCCTGCTTGGATGTCGTCCGTAGGTGTCGAGCAGGGTTACATTGTCGATGATTCCATTGCACATTCCCAGGTCGGTCTCGAAGTAGGCACCACGATACTGCAGACCTTTCTCTGACGCCTTCCGAGCAATCCACGACGTCTCGTCAGTTGCTATTTACTATTCGACTATAGGCAAGTAGAGGCTCTAACAGTCCATGCTCGACGCAGGATTGTCCGAAGCCCGCTCATCCGCTACATGCGGCTGAATATATTATTGAGCTTGCTCAAATTGTCGAACGCGATCTCATGGTTTGGTGCTGCCGCTGAGTCGGAATGCGCTGCATGGGCACGACTGGACAGCTCCCACGTAACTCTGGCTTTGGGTCTTCCAGATTCCTCTGCTGTTCTCGTCTCCATTAGTGTGTAGTATCTCTCCTCTTGCGGGTGGAGGATGTTATGAACGACGGTTACTGGGACTGATGGATGACACCCTCCGTCTGGAGGGACGAAAGTCCAATGGTTGGAACGAATCGACTTGCGGATGCACGATGTTGCCCATTTATCCATTTCATCGTCCTTGGTGAATGATTTTCGTCCAGCTCATGAACGATGTTGGGTTCATCAAGCAATTCTCAAGTTCCAAAAGCTCGCTGCCCAAGTCTTCTGCAGGATATCTCAGGCAAAGATGTTTCCCCGTTTTGGGCTCGCCGTCCAATAAACCAATCAGTTAAGCCACCCTTCCATGTCGTCAGTGAACAAGGTGCAGAATTCTCTGGCTCAGTCCCTTGGTGACGACTGCCACGGCGGTCACTACGGAAGCAACAAAACACCAACCTAGTCCCCAGAATCGGTGAGTTATAAATGCTTGAACCAGGGGAGTTGGGTGGTTTCGCTTCCTAACGTGCTCTAGACCAGCCAACAAAATACCCTCGACACTTCCTGCTTCCACGATGAGTGTGCGTGCGTGCTAATAGTTGGCTTTCAGCCAACTATATCCGCATCAATAGGTATGGATGGGCGGGTTCACCATTCATGATTGAGCACATCATTCATTTTCATGAACGAGTCGCTGCCAGCCTCTCCAATTGACACAATGGAGTAGTATGGTGATTAATCGCTCCGTACCACCGTGGCGGCGGAGGGGAGGCCGAATGGCGAATGTTTTATCGTCGGGCGGGAGGAATCTTGGATGCATGGACACTGAGGCAGTTTAGACAGCGCCGATAATTGTCACCATGAGCTTAGGATGTACATGTGTCGGCTGTAATTGGCCCGGAAAGCTCAGGGAGCTCAGAAGATAAATATGATAAGCTCAGGTGGCTCATGAGCTAGTTTAGGGCTACTTGTATAGGATCGATCGGTATTAAACGCATGGAAGAGGAGAATGCCCCATGTTTGTTTAACCAAGTTAGTGATCTTGGGTATAGATGGGAATCCGTACCAGCCGCTTTTGAAGGCGGCAAATTTCCCTGTACAATACTTTGAGTTGGACTGCAGAGTATGGGTGGGTGGGTATTGTAGGCGACCCGGCCAAAAGCCCTAGGGCGTTTGAGGAAGGTGTTAGCGGGGCAACCGGCCTCCACTGATTGACATATCTCACAGGGCGTTTTCCAAGAAACATTATGATTCATATTATGGTATCCAGGACTGGATGTATGCGCTCTTTTCCCCTTGGCCCGTCGATAAAGGAGGATCAGGCCTGGCTGTAGACGAGATACTTTCTTGAAAACAAGCCCTAGCAGGATTCTCACCTACGACAGACAGACAGGTTTCCTTGCCTTGCCTTGCCTTGCCTTGCGGTCGCATTGCATGGTTATTTCAACAGCTGCCCATCCATATGCACACAGCACTGGCCTAGGATTCGAGAATCTCGAGCATCACCACAAGCATGTACCTCCGCGCGGCCCACGCCGAACTCAACATCCCAGCACTACGCCACTTTATCAAACAGAACCCCCTGGGTCTTTTCGTCACCGCTGTCGCGTCGCCGAACTTCCCAACCATCCAGTGCACGCATCTCCCCTGGCTGATCGACGTCCAGGATGAGACAAGCGAGACCGAACTAGGCACTCTGCGCGGCCACATGGCCAGAGCCAACCCTCACGCCAAAGCGTTGATAGAGGCTGTTACTGCTGCCGCTGCAGGACCGCGGAAATCAAACTCGGACTCTTCGGTGTCCGACGACCGTGACGGTTGTCTCCTCACTGACGAAGTCTCAATAATGTTCACCGGCCCAGCTCACCACTACGTCACACCCAAGTTCTACGTCGAAACGAAACCCAGCACGGGCAAAGTGGTCCCGACGTGGAACTACTCTGCGGTGCAGGTATATGGCAAGGCGAGGATATACTGTGACTCTGGAAGGAGGGGCGGGGACGGGGGTGGCGGTGGTGGTGGAAGTGGGACAGTCGGCGACGATGATCCCAAAACATCAACCGCAACAACAACAACAACAACAACAACAAGCTCCTTTCTTCAAAAGCAGATCAGTGATCTTTCAGACCACGCCGAGACGAACTTTGTGATGGGCAACGCCACCACGACCACCGGTAGGAAGAACAAGCCGTGGAGCGTGGACGACGCGCCAGAGAGGTACGTGGAGATCCTCAAGAAGAACATCATCGGGATCGAGGTGCAGATCACGCGGCTGGAGGGCAAGTACAAGATGAGCCAGGAACTGGTGGAGGGGGATCGGGAGGGCGTGATCAAGGGGTTCGAAGCCATGGGGACGGATGAGGCGCTGACGATTGCCAGGACGGTGGAGGAAAGGGGCCGGCTGAAAGATGACAAGGCTCAGGCGGCAAAGGCGAATGCTGCTGCATAGTATAGGTAGTACAGATAATATAGGTTAATATTAAGCAAGTAGAAAGTTTCCAGGGCTACATGTAGTGGGTGAACTCCACGGTCCGCGCTCTTCATAATTCCACACTGGCGAAGTCTCATTCATCTTCTTCGCAACGACACTAAAACAAAATTTCCACTACCCACACCCTTCAAGGCAAAGTGCAAGGGATTCCAGTATTATGATATGAATTTAACTCATTACCTATCACTATGAACGCCCCTTAATCAAGACCAAAGTACCTGGGGTTCCAATCCAGCCGAGTATCGCCGAGCAAGAACCTGAAAAGACTAGGGACCAGAGATCACACGCAACCATCCAAGTACGCCGCAATGCAGTGAGTGCATAAAGGCGATTAGCCCAGATCATCTTGGTCGTCAGTCATCCGCCCACAATGCTTTTCGATTAGTCCAAAACAAAAACACTCGCACTTTCAAGACCCAACATGACAACACGCCATCGTTCCCTATAGGAGGCATTCATTTCGAAGGTAAAGCCGTCTCAATGCTCTCGCTAGACGTCAAGGAGCTCACCCACCCACTCACACTCGCGGCATCGACACTGTCGTCGAAACTCACCCCGTCGTCCAGAATCACAATACTCGCCGTGCCTGTGCTGGTTGCCCCGTCCAAAATCACCGCAACCTTGATCGTCTTGTCCACGGGTCGAGCAAACCAGTTGCTGTCACCTAGGGAATGCGCTCCGTGCCAGGTCGACTTGCACTTTGTGTTTCCAGAGTTCAGCACCTCGAGAATGTCGAACTCGCCACATCCCGACGTCCAGCACGAGCAGTTGCCGTACTGCTGTGTGCGTGGGATCTGCGCGTTGAGCATCCACGTCGCCGGCATGTCGGCGTTGAACCCTGTCTTGCCGGACAAAGGCATCTGGAATTCGGCGAGGAACAACTTCGAAGCGCCCCCGAAGCCGTGGTACGCTACGGACCCAGGCCGGTAGTAGTCGCAGCCTGCTTCGTTTTCGGACGTGCACGGATTGTCGGTCATGAGGATGAACTCTTGGTTGTCGCCCACGAGTGTGTCGGCGAGGGTGGTAGGTCCAGACGCCCCGGAGGTGGCGTCGGCATTGGAGTACGAGAGTGAGTTTCCCCATGTGTAGTCGAATACCCCGCTGCCTGTTCCGCCGAAGTTGTTGAGGAAGACGAGACCTGATGCAGTGCCGGACTCGGCGTCGTAGTATGCTTGGCGAATCCAGCTGCCGCTTCCACCGCCGCCACCGGTGGATGGACTTGAGGTTGACGTAGCCGCGCTTGAAGTAGTAGAGTCTGAGGACGTGGGGATAGAAGGCTCTGAAGTCGAGAGGCTAGAAATTGGTGCAGATGACGATGAAGGGAAAGAAGGTGTCGAAGAAGTAGAGAATATTTCCGAGGTAGTCGTGGTGGAGGTTGAGGGTGCTGTTGGATTGGATGAAGACAACGTAGAGGGCGAGGAGGATGGCATCGTGGGGTAGGATGAGGACGTCGTAGACGTTGATGTTAAGTTGTCGGAGGTAGTAGAAGTGGTAACTTCCTCAGATGAGGTTGCTGAGGAAGACGGACTCGTGGGGTAGGATGAGGATGTCGTAGACGTTGATGGTAAATTGTTGGGCGTGGTAGAACTGGTAGCTTCCGCAGATGAGGTTGCTGAGGAAGATGGAGTTGTTGGTACCAGTGGTGTGCTTGACGAACTGTAACCGCCATCACTTGTATCTTCCGAGGATGAGGTTGAAAACGGTGCCGTTGATGTGACCGAAGTGGCAGGAACGGAAGTTGCCTGTGACGACGAAGGTATCGTGCTTGTTGTAAATGCTGAAGATGCAGCTCCCGTGTCTGATGCTGCAGAGGATATCACACTCGTTGTCAGACCCGACGTCGCAGCAGCCGTGTCCGATGGCGCAGAGGATATCACGCTTGTTGCAAAGCCCGACGTCGCCCCAGAGCCAGGGTAAGTTTTGGGCCAGGATTGAACCTGCCCATCGATTGTTGCCGTCACCCAGACTGTATCGATAACGGTCTCTGTCTCTGTCCATGTGCGAGAGGAATATCCATCGTTTGAACTTGGACCAGATCCATCACCAGACCCAGACGGTGTCGCATCATTTCCACCCACAGGTTCAGTATCTGAGCCTGTTGACGAAGAACCTCCCGTCCAGAGCTTCATCCATGATGTCCAATTACTCCCATCGTCACGCTTTGCCTTCTCGGCTACGTCGGCGGGGATAACCTGCTTGTGGGGGTGAAAATGGCGATGGGCGTACCGTCCAAAGTGCTGAGATCGGGGCGGGTGCTGATGCCGTTTTGTTTTCGATGACGACGAATCTGACCCAAGGCTGTAAAATGCGAATTGCTTCAGCTGAATTGGCCCACGGAAATGCCATGATACCTATGTCGATATTGTTAGTTAGCGTGTCCCAACGTCCCGCAAGTAAATGTCAAGGAACGCGGTCACACACCTCTTCATCGAATGGAGCCATGCCACCTCCGTAGCTGGCGGGTTGGAAATCACATTGTCCTCCACTTCCCATGTACGTGACTTGTTGGTACTGACCTGCAGTACCAAAGTTGGAGTACGAAATGGCATCGACTTGACTGCAGTACCAATTGCCATTCTCCTCTGTGCAGCCGGAACCTTGTGCAGAGGCTGTACCAGCAGCTGCTGCGAGGGCGATGCCGGGTAACAGGGCCCTTGAGTAGATCATCTTTCTCTGTGTGAGTTGGGAGGTTGCAGCCTCTGACGAGGCGTCGCTTCTTCTTTCTTTATGTATGCAAATTCTAGTTAGTCAGCTGCAATGATATTTATGTAGCATTTGAGATCAATAGTGTATCATAGAGTAGCGAAGTTCGCAATCAGCAAGTGGTATCTCGAGTGACAGGCGCAGTCAGTCAGATCCAACTGGTAAAGAGAGTGTAGAAATAAAAGGAGAAAAAGGATTCTACACGAACCCGTCCCAATGGCAGCGAGGATGGGTTTTGTCGTTTGTCTTATTGTTACCATTGTCGTGTTTGTCGGGGACAAGTCACCTTATTCAAGTACGCCACTGATGATGAATAGAAGAGCGAAAAGGTCTGTGCTGTCTGTGTTCAATCGTGGCTGGCAGCCTCGTGAACCCTTGTTACGCACAGTGACGCAGTGCCGCGTGGTGCACTGGGCATCAAGAGAGCCAGTACGTAGTGAGTGAAGCTGAAACCTCGTGGTGAGATCCAGGGACATGCATGCAAACGATTGCTCGAGACCACAAAGAACACAGACTTTCGGGGCTGACGACGGCGTCCACCATGCGAGGTCTGCACGCGGGTGTGTGGAAACGCCAGGGCTCACGGGCCCAGACCCTGCATACAATAGCCGGCATTGTGTTCGAAGACAAAGACGAAAGGTGAGGTGAGGGACAAGTGAGCGCTGCGTATACTCGGTAGTTAAAGAAAACATGGTCAAAGCGGACGCGGTCGAGGCGACGAGGCTTTTGCGCCAGGCGTCGCTGTCATTGGCTGAGCCGCGCAAGGCTCGGACCCCCCAGGGCATCAGCCTCGTTGCACGGATCTCTCGATACACCCAGCATGCCAGCCCCAGGGAAAAGCCACCAGCCACCAAACCCTCGTTCGGCGGGATTGTATGTGTCCCTCAAAGCATGATTGCACGTCGAATTCCCAGCCTCGTCAACTCACACATTCCCAGCCTCGTCAACTCACACCCACCGTGACAGCCACCCTCTCATCTTCTGTCGCAAAGGTGGATGATAAAGGGCTGTGCGCACTTGGATGGAAACCTCTGCTGACACGCTATGGCTGACACCACTGAAGAACAAAGAAGGTGGCGCGTTCAATGTGAAGGAAAAGGCGTTTGAGCGTAAGGAGAGGTGTCACTCTGATGCGGGCGCATTGATGTTGAGGTGCACCAGGCTTAATGAGTCCAGAAAGTCAGTATCGTTTCAGCATGATGTATGCTGGTGTCGAACAGGGCCTCATCTACCCGGCGAGTCTACAGCAGTTCAAAGGCGAAGTAGGTGACGTCCGCCGTGATAGCAAGTCGTTCAAGTTTCAAGGTATTGGGGTATCTCGATGTCTAACATATGAGCCTCCAAAGGGCTTCGTTCAGCCTGATCTTGGTCTAGGCAACCTCCCAAACTCCAACCATGCTTAATCTCATCAGCATAACATGTGGCCGGCTATGTACGGCCTCTAACGGCTCTTGACCTTGGTCCAGCCACTCGTTCCTCTTCCCTCACCACCACCAATCTTTCTCGATTGGTCGTACTCCTTTCCATCCATGCCACGAGTTCTGACGACGACCGCGTCATCCATCTTCTCTCCTCCATCGTCCCACTCCTCCTCATCCAAGAGCTCCCACTCCGCCGTATTCATTTCACCAAGGAGGTGCTTCTTCAGCGGATCCTTTATCATGGTGTACTTGTTGAGGCGCCAGACGCGGGCAGGATGGTCTCTCGCAGCGGCAGCAGAGCCGAGGAATGTATGAGCTGACGTATGAGAGCCTGAGCCAAGTCTGCCGACACTCATACTGCCTTCGGTAGGAGGCAACGACGCGCTCTGGGAGCGACGGTGACGAACCTGTAAGTCGCGCTGAGTAAGGGTTCGAAATGTGGCTGGTGACTGCGGTTGTGCAATGATCATCTGATGCAAATTACGACCGATGTCGCTGATGTCCTCCCAGGATTCAGTGCCTTGAATGAAGCCTTGACTACGGCAAAGCCAAGCAATGTCCCAGGCCAGAAGAGAAATGCCCTCTATGAAGAAGTTGAAAGCGAGAGGTTCCTTTTTCGCATATTGAGCTACAATCTCCGTCGCGTCAAAAGAGCCAATGAACAGTGGGCGTGGACGGGAGAATGAGCTGAGATCGACGCGCGACGCACTGGGGCTACTGGGTGCTGACAAGCTTGAACCCGAACCAGGAAACGCGATGCGGTGTCCAAAGTATGATGTCTGCGGCGTATTGATGGTCGGAAGGGGATAGTCTCGATGAGGAAGTGTGATCTCAGCAGGCAATCGAAGACCAAGGTAGTAGGCGCAAAGAAAGACCAAGCGAGCAGTGTTGTCAAGGGCGGCAGTGAGATCGACACAGCGAACATCTAGCGAGGATGTCAGTATGGCTCAGTTCGTAACCAGGAAAGAACTTACTGTTGATGTCCTTGAGATCAGGGAGAGGAAGCTGCCCAATCATGTAGCAATCCTTGATCTCGCCATCTTTGGTCTTCTTTTTGGCATGTCGTAGACCTAACAGCAGGGCAGACTCCCGGCACAAAACCGCTTTGGCATCGACGACTCTGTTATGAACCATGTCATGCTCAGCCTTCAGTTGAGCTGCCTTCTCTCTGAATTCTGCCAAAACTATCTCCTGACGTTTAGCTTGCGCCACTTTTGCAAGTGCCAGATTGGCTTTGCGCTCTTTGAGAATGCGTTGCATGTCGTAGCATTTCTCTTCTTTGAGATCCAGTTCTTTCTGCGCGATAACCAGTCGGCGGCTCAGTTCTGAACATTGTTCGTCCATGAGTTGATCCTCAGAGGACTCGATTTGAGAGTGATAGGCAGATCTAAGGATGGCAAGCTCATTGTCGAGCGGTTCCGCCGGTTCCTCATCAGCAACAATCGCCTCAACCTTCTTGCCGAGGGCTTCTTTCTCTAGCAAGGCTCGTGCCAGTTCCAGCCGGACTGTGTAAAGTGTGCTTTGCGCGCAGCTGGTGCAGTGTGGGCCATCCTCTTGAGTGAGGTGACTCTGACAGATTCCACAATCCATCTCTTTTGGCTTTGACTTTTGTGTCTCGACCCAGACAATGTCTTCATTGGGGTTCAAGGGATCTTTGAGTTCGTGTTCGGTAGTAGGCTCGACGGCCGCATCCAGCGACCACTCTGGTGGAGTGCCGGGGTACGAACTGTTGTCATGGTGTTAGACACGTCTTGAGTGATGTGGGGGATTGTGCATGAAAGCACGATCATGTAGACACGGTGGTCATGCTGAGGCTCACTGATAACAAAGGAACTAGGCATCACATACCTGGACGAATGTCGCTTTGGCCAAACCGTCGGCCGGAGTCTGGGCGTTCGCGGCCACATGACGAAATAGTGCCGAAAGACCTGTTCACGTGAGTTCGCGAGGCGCTAGTATGGCGCTAGTCTGTAAATGGACAAGTGCACAGGGTCGGCCCGAGTGCCGGAGAATAGCCGGAGATGGGGAGTCAATGGAATCACGGAAGGATCACTTTCGAGTTGTGCCACCTTCAACGTTCTCGTTGTGGGTGATAGAGATATATATCAAAGAACAACAAAAGCGAATGATGGAGTTGTCAACCAATGAGCCGGAGCGCTCTGTTCCTGCTTCACCTCCCCAAGGTGGTGAGCAGACAGAGATGGACGCAGTCACTGCCGTCAACTCATCTCCTTTGCCAACTCGCTCTCGACACGCTCAAACTCCCAGTATCACCAAAAAGCGAACAAACGACGAAGTCTACGAGCCAGTCCAATCACCAATTCGCAGCCCAACAGCTCTCAAAGCATCAGCAAGACACAACAAAGCCGAGAGCACAGTCTCCTTCGAGGACGGAAATGGCGTGCGGAAACCGAATCGACATGGCATCGCTGACGATCTTCGCGATAGTGAAGGGCTTGGATCGAAAACGCAAACAATTCCAGGACCAGAAGCTGAGAGAGGGCACGGAGAATCTCAAGCATCACCTAATCATGCGTCGGAACAAGGGCTCGCCAGACGAATCGAGCGATACCAACAAGAGCTCCAAGTAGAGTTTGACCAATTCCAGCAATCACTGGCAGAGAGAGACAGGACTGCGGAACTAGAGCTTCTAGATTGGGAGGAGCTGGAATCACGCTATCAGAGCGAGATCCAACCAAAGATGGCTGCTGAGCAAGAGATCATGGACGAGTTCCAAGCCCGATTTCAGGCAAGTGAAACCTGCATCCCAGACGCACCCAAGACTTCCCTGACTAATAGGGCCTTAGCAATTCATGCTGTACATGCAAGTATGCAACGATTACGAGGCGGAACGAGCTGTGAAGAGATTAAGAACGCGAATTGCAATTGCTGGGAATGCAGAGTCCTCCTTGGCCAAGAAGCAGGCTCATTGTAGGTGTCCGGGCATATACCAGAAGAATCCTGCTGACCCAGCGCAGACTCAAAGGTCCTCCACGCTTTCCAGAGTGCAATGGAACTATTGGGGAATGTTTGAGGGGCTGAATCCAACAGGAGCTGACCGGGTCATGGGAGACGATGCTCTTGGGGCGCGTGTTGATAGGGAGTGAAGCGAACTGCGACGACTACGGCAAACCACAACGCGCGGTGACGCAATTCCCAAGTAGCCGATTCTCTCGACGACTTGTGATTCCTTGTCCCAACAACTGCATGATAATGAGCGATGCATAGACGACAGTAATGCCTGATGATACCATCTCCAAAGCAGACCATGATCTGCTTTCCCGCTTGAATGCCCTCAAGAAATCCACCGTGACCTTTGACCAAACGTAGGCCGTACTTACAACCACGCGGTAAACCACACCCAAGCTGATGATAACAGCCCTCGGTCGACGCTTTCATCCCATCCTTCGCTCCCGCTCGATCCAGCCCCTGCGCGCGACCTCCATTCCGAGTTGTTGACGCGATGGAAATCTCTCGGAGGCAGCGCTGACACTACGGTCGGCAGTGCTACAACCTCGGCGGAGAAGGCGGAGGATGACAAGACAGTAGAGGAGCTCCTTGCGGATCTCGGGCCTTCCGATGCTTGGGATGTCGGGAAAAGTGAGGAAACACAGATTGAGGAGTTGTTAAAATCAGCAAGGTCTACACTTGACGATGTTCAAGCGGAAGCAAGACAAGGAGACGATGCCAGACAAGACCCTGTTCGACTGCTACCGACGATCGACGTCTCCGTCTTCCAGCCCGAGCCCGAGTCTGATGAAGAGGAGGACTCTGCCACAGTTAGGCGTGACAGAATAACACGGGCAACTTTCGATCAAGAGGCGGATGACTTGCTCGCGAGAATTCTTGATGAAGTGAAACTTGAGCCTCCGGCGGCAGCAGAAGAGGAAGAGCGGGATAACGGTGACGACGACGACGACGACGACTACAAGGACTCGGAGAGACCCAACAATAGCCAGAACGAGACTCACGCGCTGGACCTACCTTCTACCCCCTCCAAGGACCCCGAACCTGTACCCGGCGTCGGTGAGCACGACACCAGCCAGGACAACGACGATGATCTAGCCAGTCGCTTTGCAAGTCTATCACTACCATCGGTGCCGACTACCATTCGAAGCGCGAAGCCGTCGACTCCGACAAAGTCGGGCACGGGAGCGGGTTTCACCGACGAAGAAATCGACACATGGTGCATCATTTGTAACGACGACGCAACTCTGCGCTGCATCGGCTGTGACGGAGACCTATACTGCACCAACTGCTGGATGGAAGGTCACCGAGGCGAGGACGCGGGTCTTGAAGAACGCAGGCACAAAGCCATACAGTTTGTCAAGGGAGGTGGAAAGAAGAAAACACCCAAAAGGAGAGTCATGATGGGCGCTTGAACAGTAGTCAACCTCGAAGTACATGTGGTGTACACTAATTAGGGAAGTTCCCCCCCTGCTCCACCCCCTGTCTGGCGCGCTCTACACATGGTCGCCTTCGACTCTCTTCTCATCCCTGTCTGCTACCATCTTGGCTGCGCGGTTCTGGTCTACACTGCCACTCCCCGGCGGCACAACCCAATACACCACACCGTGCAGAATACTTGCAGCCAGAGGTCCCACCCAATTGATCCAATGCCAGCCAGGGAAACGACTGCCAACAAACACACCAAAGCACCTCGCCGGGTTCAAAGCGGCGCCACCGCTGCCGGGGCCAGAGAAGGCAAAACACAGCGCACACGCTCCGGCAGAGAGTCCGACCAGGATCGGAGCCAGCGCGGGCCCAAAGATTTCCTTCTGTCTCGGATCCAGACCGACGCCGAATGCCATGAAGACCAGCAGCAGACAACCCATGAACTCGATGACGAACTGTGACGACACCTGCGTCGTCGGCTCATCCGTCGTGAACAGAAAACACCCGCCTACTTTGAACGACCGGGTCCCCGCCGCGGCGCGCAGCAACAGACCCGCGAGCGTGCCGCCCAGTGTCTGCGCGGCAACGTACAGGACGAGACGCGGGAAGGTGGCGAGACGGGCGAAGAAGGTGGCGAACGTGATGAGCGGGTTCAAGTGGGCTCCGGAGATGGCGCCGAAGCAGTAGATCAGGATGGCGATGAGGATGGCGTTGATACACGCCGCTACGAGCGGTGCAAGGAACACGACGGTGCCAAAGACGCCCGATGTGGTTGTCGGTGTCGGTGGTGGCGTGTAGGGTGAGAGGGAATTGTACGTTGATCCGAACACCAAGATCATAGTTCCTTTAATGCACATAATCCCAACGTGTCAGCTTTTACAGTGCAAGATACAGTTTATATACCATTCGGTGTGTTGAAATGGGGATTGGGTTGCTTGATAGGATAGAGAAAAAAGGGGGAGAGCGAGACATAGTACTCAGAAGGTACCTGTACCTCGAAGCCATAGGTACTGTCAAAGTACCTGGTAACCAGCGAGAGCATTGCGAAGTGAAAAGTAGGACGTACCAATACACTCTACTATCGCCGCCTTCCACAGTCCTCCCTCTCTGAATCCACCCAACTCAAACATCTCGCGCAGGTTCAAGTTGGGCGCGGCATCAGGTACCTTCCTCAGAAGCTCTGCATTCGCCGGGTCCGACCGGTCGACAATGAACGTTTGGTTGCCGCCCAGTCGACCTGCAAAGGGGACCATGCCTGTCGTTCCAGACCCGGTTCCCGTCCACGTCAGGTGGGCGTAGCCACGAGCGGTGGGGGTAGGAGTGGCGGTCGCACTGGCATCAGAGTGGGTGTCCCTTCGATGCTGGAGAGGCGTGACGGCGGGACGAAGAGTGCCGGCGTGGTCGTGAAGAGAGGGATCGTCGTGTCGGGAGGACATCCTGGTGTCGGTGTTCGTTGGTCGCGTTCGCGTTCGACTTCACGTTCATGTGGTGACTATCCACTGATCGGGCAGAGAAGACGAATTTGTGCGGATACCGCTGTTGTGATGAATAGTCGTCCTTCAACTCCACCCCCCTCTTCTCTGTCTCTGTCTCACACTCTCTCGCGGAGTCGCGGCGAGAACTTGTGATGGAATCCCTCGCAAACAAGGTACAATTAAGATACGCTCATGGAATCGAAGGCGCGCGTGTAGTGTCTGAATCGATGTATGCCTTTCTGGAGGCGCGTAGAATGTTTGAATCGATGTTTTGAGCTTTGGTGTGTGCTAACAAGTAGTGTGGTTGGCTGGCTCCTCCGGGCGACACGAATGGAAGATCAAGTACGGCTGGGTATAACGCACAGAAACTCAGGGATTCATGCCAAACAATCGAAAAATCACTCAAGATAATGTTAAAAGGTTCAGGTCACAGTGACACCAAGAAAGAAAATGTGTAAGCCATGGCAGTGTTGCGTAGGAAGTTAATTAAATCCCATCCAGCTCGAGGCCGATGTCCATATATGGGCATTTGATGATTCAGCTCTTCCCCATTCTCTCCCACGGAATGTAGTTTTCTCCGATCCGACGCTCAACACCCCTATCAAGGTACCGAGTCCCTGTCGTGTCCATGGCCACCTAGGTAAGCCTCAGCGTCTCTCAGTCGTTCATAGGTATCTAAGCACCTAGTCAAACACACCACATCATCAGAGTTGAAACAAAATATATGTTGAATCGAAGAACACTCATGTGCCTCAAGTCAACATTAACATAGTCACACTGAAAACCCCTCTCCCCGACTGACTGCTACACTGTTGGGGTCTACTCAATCATCGTCGTCGTCGTCGTCGTCGTCGTCGTCGTCGTCATCGTCTCTCTCAATATGATCATCATCTGGGTTCAACAAAACTCCAATCTTCGTACTCTCATTCAACACTCTTCGTCCCTCGGCAGCATCAGATAAATTCAAGTCAGCCATGACAAGCTGAAGAGTCAATTCCGGTACCAGCACGGCACTAACATAACCACCCACGCCCGCAGCTCGAAGTACAGAGTCAGACTGGAGGGCTGCCTTGAGTGTGTCCGTCAAGGAATCCGTAATTAACGTAACCATGATCCTCGTCCCTTTGGGACCATAGTAGCCTGGCTGAGCAACATCGACAACCCCATTAGCCAGATACTGCCGGATTGCCTTTCCATTTCCTTTGGCAGCCTTGATCTTTTCGTCCAGCTTATCCAGGTATACACTCGTAGTTTGCCGATTGATCAACTTTTTCAGCAGATACATCTGCTTGGGTATCCGAGACTTTTCGAGGTCTTCCCAGTCAATGTCGGGATATCCTCGTTCCTGATACACCTGCTTAGCATCGGCCACTTGGTGCTTGGTACAAAAAGCCTGCTGTTGTTTGAAACTCAACGAACGCAAATTGTCGGGTACAAAAACCGATTCGGAATCGCGGACAGGCTGCTGGCAGATTGGGCAACATACGCCTACTTCAAGCGGTTCAAACTGTTCCATCAGATCGGCTTCATTCTCCAAAATGAACATTGAGTTCGCAGACGATAGAGACGACGTCGAGCCCGATCTGCGCCGAGAGCTAATAGGCACAATTGGTTCTTCAAAGATCGAGGTAATGTCTGTCGCCGACGTTGTGGCTGAAGACGTGATGCCGGGCAACTCGGGCATTTGAAAGTCTGAATCCTTTCGCTCGGAGATCGCTGACGGGAGATCCGCGATATCTAACATCTTTCTAGACGCTCTGGTGGCCCTCGTCGGGTGCTTGCCTGGTAATGGTGCGGCCCGAAGGAACTCCCGTTTACTTCCTGCACCATTGCTGCGCTTCTCTACTACTTCATGTAAGACAAAGTCTTGCTTCCCGTTCGGTTGGTTGAGCATCACGTCCAAATCATCCAACCGTTCAAACGTCTTGCGATGAGCGTACGTCTGCTGTAGCTTTCTCTTCTGCGAACTCTGCTTCTGAGAGCCCGAGGACAGAAAGTATGGTTCTTGCATGCCAGACTGCCCGGACAGATCGATGGCTTCGAGAGACGGTTCGTCTTTCAACTTTCTGCGTTTGCTCCTTGAACTAGCTGCGGTATGAGCTGGACGCTTCGGGGAAGTGCGCGTCAGAGGCTTGGTGCGCTTGACCGCTGTTTCGATCTCAGCAGAAGAGCCATTCTCCTCGTCGCTGCTCAGTGGAGGACCATATATGGCTTCGAGGTCGTCTTCCTTCATCTTAGCAGCCGCCATTGCCGCACCTTCGTCGAGGCTATAGGAATTGGAAGCTTGGTCGATAGCGAGCGCGGTATTCCTCCCAAGGACAGTGCGCAGCAGGGTCGGTCCCCTGTAGTTTTTCCGAGTAAGGAACGTCTTCGAGTAGCTGGAGTTGGTTCGGTTCATAGGATGGCTGTGATCATAGCAAAGCTGATCATCTCACATCTGCGACAAATGCACGGGATTGGTATCCTCGATCCTCGACTTGCGAAGGAACTGGGGGTGACCTTCTGTAAGGCACCAAAATCGAATATCAAGATCCCATTGTCCTGATCACCGGGATGTAAGCCGTGAAGTCATTCCATCCTCCTCGCGACTTGAATGCGGAGGTGATTTGCACGCGTCAACGCGTGGATGCTTGACCCCGGATGATGGTTTTTCCGTCACCGCCAAATGGGTCTCGCCATTTCGAGATGAGTATCAGCTTCCCATCGTGTTAATACCATATATCGTCACCGGCACTGTGTTTGAAGCTCTACTAGAATCACGGAAAGATGTATTGTACACAATCGACCGCTCGCTCCGGGTATGCATTTCTATCTCAGAATCGGAGACGACTCCTGCTCCGCGGGTCCCTCTTTCCAAACGCTCTTCTCACGATTGAGGTATCAACAACCGCATCAATGGCTGCATGTTGGGAGCCTTCTCCAAATTCCAGAACTCTTCAATGGCCTTCTTCGTGTTGGCAGGTGTTAACCTACCCTCGAGAGCCTGGTCTTCAAATTTGTCGTCTAACTGCTGCTTTGTCATGGGCTTTTCTAAGGAGCCTGTGGCATATTGGATAACTATCTCCTTGACTGTCTCGGTCCCTCCGTCACCCTTGTATGTGAACTTGACGATGGCTTGATTGTCTCTGAAGGACTCATCAGGCTTGAGCAGCAGCCGATCCCTCAAAGCCTTCACGGTGGCATCGTTGGCTGCCTCGTCCGAGAATTGGCTGATTCCTGCCTTTCCATAGAACAGTCCAACCGCCAGACCGTGATAGTTGCTGAACATGGTCTCTGTGAACTTTGTCGGGTGCGGCAACCCGCACAATCTTATCGTCATCGGAGACACGGTTGCCTCGACCGAGCTGACAATGTCCAGGACATCTTTGGGGTCTCGCTGCTTGCCATCCTTGAACAAGAAAGAGTGCATCTCGATTGCCGCATCGATGAGGGTGTGGATAACGATTCCGCAAGGGTACGGCTTGAACGCGTTCTCTAACAACGCCCAATCCCGCTTGCCATTCTTCTCCTCCAGCAGATGCACGATCTTCTCGGGATAATGTTCCTCGCCTGGCACACTGATCAGGTTGACCCATTTCTCCAGAGCGTGGGTCGTACTCGTAAACTCTTGTCTTGCCAGACGTGCAGCAAGGATGCCGTTCTGAGCGGCACGCCCCGCATGCATGATCAGTGTGTCAGTGGCGAAGACGTTTCTTGATCCAGCAGCCATACTGCTCGCGTGGCCCATCGCACGCGCCATGCCCGCAGCGTCCAGCTTCATCAACTTGGCTACCGTGGCAGCGGCACTGAACGAGCCAACGATCCCTGTCAAGTGCCAGCCCTTCTTGTACGGACCGAGACCAAGGGCCTGGGTAAGTGCCAAACCAACCTCGACGCCCACCGCGAAGGCCACGATGAGCTCCTTGCCGGAAAGACCCTCGGCCTCTGCGTAGGCCAATCCAGCTGACAGCGGCGGGCCGGACGGATGACTGAGAGTAGTGAGGTGGGTGTCGTCGAAAAAGCGCGCCGTCATGAACAGTCCGTTGAGTAGTGCCGCATCGTCGACCGTGGCCTTTTCATTGACCGCAAGGACTGTGGCCTGGCGTGGGATTTTTGTCATCGGCTCGAGAGCAGCATAGAGCTTTGCGGAGGCCGTGAGGGATGACGGAGAACTTGATAGACCGCAGCCAACACTGTTCAAGATACTCGCCTTGGTCATTTCGACAACGTCGACTGGAAGATCTTCGTATTTCAGTGCCGAGAGCCACGTGCATAGTTTGAGGGTCAGATCCTCCTTCGACGAGACTGCAAGGTCGAGAGACATGGTGCCGACGTCGTGTTCAGATTGGTGGATGAGTCGGCACGATACTGTTCTCGAGTTGGGACTGTGTAAAGCCAGTTGAAAGAACAACGTGTTTATAGCGACGCCTTTTGCGTATTTGATGTTGGACATGGACATACGGGAATAACTCAATGCGACCCATATGGTAATACTCGAATCCCCCTTCCCTGCCTTGTCGGGGTAAATGGGTCCCCACTTCGAACTTCCCCGAAATTGTATCAAGCCAACTCCAGAGAGAGACGTTGTAGACGAGGCAGGAGAATCGAAATGTCTGATCTGTAAAACTGTTTGATCTCTTGCTTCCATAGATCGACCGCTCCAATCCGCCGTCCATCAATCACCAATCAAGTGCTTAAACCCGTCCAAAGATCTCCAGCAGGGGGACATTCCACGACGCCATGCCTTCAGCCTCGTTGCTCCGACTATTTCAAGCAGCGTGCACGGGTACGGATAGGCCCCTGAAGCGGACAAGGGTATAAAAGATTCATGTACATACATTCACTAAACATACACAACCCCAGAATCTGAGTTTCGATCAACGGTCCGATTGTCAAGCAAGGTTGAGGTCCGAGTATCCCCTAGCCGCAACCTCCTCGCACCGGCTCCTGTACCCCGGGGCTGAACCCGAGTACCGCGCAACGTGCCTTTTCTGTTTATGGGCCAGGTTCTTGTTGACCCCCGTCATCCACGAGTCGACCTCGTTCGTCAACAGGCCCTCGGAGCACTGAATGACATGGTTCGTCCACTCCTCGACGCCCTTCTCGGTGGCTTCGATGCGAGTGATGTCACTGTCTCGACAATGCCGGATACAGTCTGCGATCCACCCGACAGCAAACTCGATACTTCGAGGTATGTTCCCGAACATCTGGTGCGGGCCCATGACCATCATCATGTTCGGGAAGCCATGGACGAAGAGGCCCAGCTGCGTCTGTGGCCCGTCGGTCCAGACATCCTTCAACTTCTTCTTGTCCACCCCGTGAAAGTCCACGGCCGTGAAGGCGCCCGTCACAGCATCGAAACCGGTCGCATATATCAGAACATCTAGCTCGTGCTCTTCGCTCAGGGTCTTGACTCCTTTCTCGGTGACGCGCTCGATCGGGTCCTCTCGAATATCCACTAACCGGACGTTATCTCGGTTGTATGCTTCAAAGTAATGCGTTTCCATCGGTATGCGACGCGTTCCCCAGCCGTGATCTTTCGGGATGAGCTTCTCCGCCGTCACTGGGTCCTTTACGCGTTCTCGAATCTTGTTCGCGAAGAACTCGCTGCACACTGCATTGGCCTGTCTGTCGTACGCTACATCCACATAGTTACTAAGCCATTTGGCAAACCCCGGTTGAGAATATATCTCCTCCCAATAGGCCGTCCGTTCCTCCTCGGACACGTCAGTCGTCTTCTTTGGCTGCGCTGGGTGAATAAAACATGCCGGCGTTTCTCTACATAGTCGGAATATCTCTGGATATCTCTTGCGAATGTCGTCCATCTCTTCGGGACTGATTTTGGAGTTGCGCAAGGGCGCCGACCAATTGGCCGTGCGCTGGAATACCGTCAGATGGCCGACGGTTTTTACGATTTCCTGAATGATCTGTATCCCAGTTGCACCTGTTCCGATGATGCCCACGCGCTTTCCCTCGAGTGGTACGGGCTCTCGTGGCCACCGCGCAGTGTGGAAGGATTGTCCTTTGAAGTCTTCGACGCCGGGTATGTTGGGCAAAGTCGGCTTGTTCAATATCCCTATGGCCGTAATTAGGAATCTCGAGGTATAGCGACGACCCCGGTCATCTGTCAATTCCCACGACCGGCTTTCGTCGTGATAGTGTGCCGTTTTGATTTCGGTGTTGAATTGCATATCCCGTCGCAGATCGAACTTGTCAGTGACAAATTGACAGTAACGCAGCGTCTCATGCTGAGGGGCGAAGTGCTCGGTCCAATTCCATTCATCCAACAACTCCTGTGAGAATGAGAAGTTGTAAGACCAACTCTCTGAGTCGAATCGAGCGCCTGGATATCTGTTCCTGTTGTGACAGAATCATCCGATACATTAGTGCCCCGTCGAAGGACAGTAATCGAACAAAGACTCACCAGTACCAAGTGCCTCCCTCGCCTGTACCTGCTTCAAGGACTTTAGTTCTCAATCCCAACTGCCGCATTCGATACAGGGAGTAAATCCCACTCAGACCCGCGCCGATTATGAGCACATCAAAATCGAGGTGGGCATTTTGCGCGACAAAGTCTGTTGGCCCGAGACTCCCCATGATGAAGATCCTTATTTTCCAGCTTCAATGCCGTGACTTACATGATGAACAGAGTGACGGATTGAAGACATCATATACATCGTAGATGGACCAATGTTGATACCACGACCGCTGGAGTTCTCCGCACGCCATCCGCCACCCGAGGCTAGTGATACGCGAGGGTTTGCGTGGAGACGATTGCTGAATGTGGAAAGTGAGATGATACCGCTGGATCTAAGAGAGCACAGTAATGGCAGTAGTTTGGAAGTACTTACGGTTAAGACTGGTACTAGTTTAGTTACCTGTCCAAGAATCGTGTGGACTGTTAAACGTCCATGATGTCCAACAACATGAGGGACCACGGACCTGAGCAGGCCACTAACCAGGCTTGTGGTCCCGAGTTTGGAAGAGGAAGTATTTCAACAAGCAAGCAGGGCAGCACAGGCTTATCTAGGTTTAGGATTGACTTCTCCTTCTTTATCTCTTCAGTGTCACCACGACTTGTTCCGGATCTGTATAAGGTTGACGTGCACCTCGGCCTCAGCCTTGCGCATCTTTCTCCATTTTCAGCCGGCAAGGCTGGCCCCAGGGTCGAGTATCCAGCCAATTAACAACCTCCATTTCTCAGGGAGGATCCGGACGAACGCGGTCGAAAGACCATCGGCGTGACTTGAGGCCGTCCCTGATCAAAAGGACCCAATGAGCATAGCAGGATCTCACCATTTCTTCATAAGGGGTACTTTTGGATCACAAACGACATGCAACAAATTTGGCTGCCTGAACGCCTGGACCAGAGTCCATGGTACCATATATAAATGGCTCTTGCATCGAGACCCAACCAGACGACAGCATCGAGTCGCGGACTAGAGACAATCCTGACTCTTTCCGACCACCTCGTCGAGTCGAAACAATTCACCAACGCAAGAAAACGACATGCCAGGAAACTTCCTCAACCCCGTCCACGATGACTACAAGTATGACCCGGACAAGCACATCCCCGACCTGTCGTCCAAAGTCATCATAGTCACGGGAGGGAACAATGGAATCGGCAAGGCCGCCGTGACGGAGCTCGCCAAACACAATCCCAAACGGCTGTACATGACGGCACGAAGTAAGACCAAGTACGACACGGCCATGGAGGACATCCTTGCCGCAGTGCCAACGGCAAAAGTGGACTTTCTCGAACTCGACCTTGCGTCCTTTGCCTCCATCAAGCGTGCTGCCGATGAAGTGATTGCGGACAACGACCAACTGGACATCTTGATCAATAACGCAGGTGTGGTGAGTTTGTGTTCATCTGTTGCACCATTTGTCGGACGGACCCCGTATCCCAATCGTTGCCTGATATGTCCACGCACGAGACGATCTCGAGGAACCACTTGCATCACCGTTAAACTCGTCCAAGTTCCTACTGACCTCTTGCTTCCCTCACATCTACCAGATGGGTCTCCCCCCTCATCCAACGACCAAGGAAGGCTACGAAATCCACATTGGCACCAACCACGTGGGCCACGCGCTTCTCACGAAACTCCTCATGCCGCTCCTCCTCAGCACGGCTTCTTCTTCTTCTTCTTCGTCGTCGTCGTCGCCGAACACGCCGGACGTGCGGGTCGTGACGCTCAGCTCGGGCGCGCACAACATGGCCTCGTCAGGGGTGCCGATCAGCCGCATCGCCACGCCCATGGAAGGCACGTGGTCGTTCTCGCGCTACGGCCAGTCCAAGATGGCCAACGTGCTCTTCGCGCGCGAGCTGGCCCGGCGCTATCCCCAGATCACCTCCGTGTCCGCGGACCCCGGGCGAGTGCAGACGCCGCTGCTGGACGAAAAGTTCAAGACGCGCGATTTCACGACCTACTTCCAGAAGACGTACGACCTTTTCGCCAGCGTGCTGGACCCCCGGCAGGGCGCGTTCACTGAGCTGTGGTGCGCCACCTTCGACAAGGCCAAGGTCAAGTCCGGCGAACACTACGTGCCCTTTGGCCACCGGGTGCCCGGTCACAAGAAGAGTCGCGACGAGAAGCACGCGAGGGAGCTGTGGGAGTGGCAGGAAGCCGAATTCAAGAAGCATGGTTATTAATTTACTAAGTAGGTTACGGAGTAATTGATAAAACCATTGGCGGTACGACGTAGCGCCGTACACCGTACCCAGTCCTCGGTCCTCAGTAGCCCCTTTTCCCAAGATTCGTCACACATCTTCGGATACACACTCCCAACTCCGCGCCTTACACTCAGTGGTACATAACACACGAACTTGTTATGCGCGGCTCTGCCCATCCCGTCAAAGTCAAGGAGACGCCAGCATTCACTTTAACCATGTAGTTCAAACATGTATGGTACACATTACAGTCACTGCACCATATGCCTTGGTAAACTCGCGTTCCATGATTGCCACCAAGAAGAACAGGAGAAACAAAAAGGGTGCCAGCGAGTGAGTGGATTCTTCTCTCAGTTCTGTTCCGTCGGGGCAAAATGCGCAACTGACAATTGGCATTTGATGTTTGATGTTTGGCAATCCGCACTTTCCACCGCGTGCCGCAAGCTAACTTGGGATAGCTAAGGTATCTGATCTCACCCACTGGACATACAATGTAGGTTAGTGTCTGTGTATGTGATTTCAGACGGTGGTCCGCAGATGGAGACCTCGTGGACCCGATGACGACGACGCACACGCTTGGACAAGGTGCATTTCGCACAGTATGCCCACGTGCACTGCTCGGTAAGACAGTTGGGAGCTCAACCGCTTCGCAGATAGCGTCGGAGGTGCTGAATAGGGTAGTGGTGGTGTTGGTGGAGGAGGAGGGGGGAGAGGAGGAGAACCGTACATTGACGCAGACGACGCACTGGCAACGGTGGGTGGCTGAGATTCAAAAGTGTGCCATGGCTGACTTGGGTTGTCGCGGCGGCACAGTGGTGGCTTCTGGTGTATGTAGGCCGTGAGCCTTGCGGCTCTGACTAACAGCGGGCGATCATGGATCGAGGCGGCATCATATTATCTCTCCCAAGAAGCTCAGCGGCTTCTTCACTAAGTAAGAAGGCATGTTCGCCGCACATGCACGAGGTGGACTCGTGGGAGAGGAGGGAGTGCTGTCACAAGAGAGTCGGGTCCGCAAGACAGAAGCGATCGACTGAATTTCAGACGCGAATTCTCAAACGCCTCGGCGTATACGCTTTGTATGACCAAGCCCCAAGGGGTTGGGCTCGCTCAATCTTGGTCGCACGATGACTCAGTCTTACCATACATCGCCAGCCAAAGGGCTCCAATGAGCCTTCAGTCTGCGTACGTGGTACAAAGCAATTTTCAGATTTCGATGGCAAGGAGATCGATCATCGTGGAAGGACTTAGGCGATGGTCGCTTGCTCAAGGCTTTGATGCTTGACCCGGTAGTGCCGATGGGAGCTGACATACAGACTGTCAGTACAGTGCATCCCGCATCCGTAGAGGCGCAGACTACTCGGTCAATTTCGTAGGTGAAACCGACCAGGCTCATCGGGGGTCGCCGAACTCAGCACAGTCGACGTCGCTTGAGAGGCTTGTGCAACTTTACGTACAAAAATAGCTCACAAGGCCTCGTTCAGAACTCTAGACTCCCAATGGCAAGCAGCTAGTTCACCAGTCCATTGGACTTTGGGCATGACTAATCGCAACTCAGCGAGCGAGTCCCGCACCGTTTCTAGACCACCTGTATCTCGCCAGAACAAATGTCAATTGCTTCTCCGTGTCGATAGGATTGTTCATCCTGCCTTTGGCCAGGGCAATAGCGGACCGCATGACGTTGCGAAATTGACGCTGGTAGTCTGTTGGGAGAGTTACGAAGCACGCTTCCGTAGCCCGGATGACGGACTCACACGCAGCTAAGATGGCGGTCCCAGAATCTGCCTGCAGCCGATATGCAACAAGCAAGAGCAAAAGGCTGCCGTGGAGCAGCTGAATGCCGAAGAAGTACGGCATGAAACTGATATCCGGGTCGTGTTCGATGATCCGCGTCACACACTGCGCGGCCATCATGGTATGCGACATGGAACTTTTGAATGATTCAGATGAGGTGAAGAAGTCGTCGTCGTTGAACAAGGAAACAGGATCCCACTTGCTCCCCACCAAAATCTTCAGCACAAAACATATGTGAGTCGCATAAGCAGAGAACGTGTTGGTAATGTGGTTTGCTTCGCCTTCGTCCACGACTGGCGCAGGGGACGTCTCCCACAGAGATTCGTGCTGGGACGTGTGGTCGAGGACAGGTCTCGAGGTCAGTTGGTCAAGGCTTTCTTGGTACTGGTCGAGTTCGTCAAGGATTCTGCGTTCCTGGGATACCCACATCGCAGAGCCTGCCGACGCCAGGACCGGGTTGCTTTTGGCTCGATTGTAATCCAGCAGATGTCCGGTGATGGTCATGAGTGGAAGGAAGAACTCGAAAATGCCAGGCCCCGAGCACAATCGTGGGGGACCATGGCGTCGACCAGTGCCTGCTGGCATCAGCATGCACCTTGGACCATCCGCGCGAGTACCGTGACTGTGCGGCTGGGCACCAGACTGCCATGTCACGTCGTCCAAGGGCAGTAGCAAATCCTTGCATTCGGCTTCGAGCAGAGTCAAAGAGTGATTGTAGCACAGAGCGAGATGTCTGTCCATGAGAAATAACATGTACCAAGTCCGTCGCCTTTCCTCACGGTGCACTTCTCCAATGCAATCTTCCGTTATATCTTGGCTTAGCGAGCATTTGCAATTGACATTCGGATGGGTACTGCCGTTGTCCTCCTGCACGACGTAAGACTCGACTTCTTGATTGAGCTTGAGATCTCTGGCAAGGCTGAAGGCAACCGACCACCATCTGATCGACGCAGCTTTTTTCTCAGAGCCAGATATGACGGAAGAAACGTGAATGAGCGCGATAATGTAATCGGTGCCCCAAGCAACAGGAAAGCCGTCGGAGAGTTGTTGTGGATCAAATGCCCGCTGTAGATCTTCATTGGTCCAGCCTGAATCTGGGGGGAAAGCTGGTGGAAGTCCGAGATCTTCCTGGCTGAGAAGAGGTTCGTACCTGGAAGGATTCAAGAGCCGATATGTCAGAAGACTGAGGTATTTGCAGACACGGTCGCGCTCTTGGGGTCCACTGAAGAGCCCCAGCGCCTTGTCGCTCAAGGCGGCTACGAAGAGCATACTCCCAAGCAAGGCTGGATGGGTCTTGCGAGGATGCAACGGGTCTAGAACATCGCATTTGCGGAGAATGAAGTTGTGGATGTGGTGGCAGGTTGGGTGCATTCGACTTGAGAAACTGCTGGAGAAGTACGTGTCAAGAAGATCGCACGCTAGGTTGGAGCTGAACTCTCGATCCAGAAATGGCGACAAGTATTGCAAGACCGGATATCTGCAGTTAGCAAGCGCCTGGCTGTTCGGGGTAGGAGCCTCGCGAGAGTCAGCCAAAGACGGTAGTCTGTATGAATAGGGATCCAGTATGTGCATGGTTGGCGACACATAGGTAGACTGAATGATGGGGAATTCTTTGCCGTCATTGAGCAGGAGTGACCGGGAGTCTGCCTCGGCAGCGAGGCTGAGACGCAGCATCGCCGTGGTGCTCTCAGGGGAGGAAACTGGCATCGTGGCGAGTGTATCTTCGGGGCTTTTGGTGGATTGAAGGGAGTGTTCCCTCGGCTCCGCAGGATCGGAGGGGGCAATGGTCTCTGGGCCTTCAAAAGAAGATTCCTTTTCTTCGTGAACATCCGAGAGCCGTCTTGGTAAATCTGATGGCTGCGGCGTGGCCGAGGAGCTTGTGGTCGATACTGGAGGCGGATCGTCGGGCTTCTGGCCATAATAACACTTGATTCCCGAGTTTTCACATCTCGAGCAGGGAAGACTGCCGGTGCACCGCGTCTTCAGGCGACGGCAGTTCTTACACGCCCGGAATTTCTCATTGCTGAGGATGCGATGGAAGGGCCGTTGATCAGCATGGCTCGCGTGTGTTTTCAAATGGCGATTGAGTGAATCGTTGCGGGAGAAGAAGCGCCCACAGCGAGGACACGGTGAGGAAGCTGGTGTCCTTCGTCGCGCGGGCTTCTGAGAAGACATTTTTGACTTGGCTGGTTCTGACCCCATTGCCGATGGCTGCACAGCGCATTGTGCCGCCGCTGTCGATAAGCTAGAGGGCCATCACCTGGACAGGGCACGATCATGCGCCGGCGATATGTTGCAACCAGCAGAAGGGTTAGACCTGACAATGCTGTCAGGCTTCAGGACTGTGCAAGATAATCGAAGTCTGGAGTGACAGCAACTCAAGTCGAAGCGAGCCTGGGGGAGTGGGGAAGGGGGCGCACGAGGAGGATTTAAGCGGCCGCTGACCGACGTTTGCCCAGTGAACCCTGGACCTGGTCGGTCTACAGTAGTCAGTAGTACGGAGGAGGGTCATGCTCGATTCCTCGTTGCTCGAGTCGTTCCACTTCCTCATAACCCCCCTCCCCCGTGTTTGACGCCCAAATCGAGCACTGTACTCCGTGTTCCGCCCCGCTTTCCACACGTCCGGGCACCATGCTAGTTAGTGAAGCGTGCCACACAACGCCTGGTGAACCTTCTAGGCGACTGCTGAGTCCTACCTACCTCTAACTAGCCCCAGCTCTCATTCATGACCATGGAGAAGCCGGGGTCGCGAATAGCTGGGGAGCAGCCGCAGCGCTCTCACCCTGGACACGCCAACCTTGCGACACGTGCGATGCAGCAGGGCCCATCATCGCGATGTCTCCTCGTGGTAGATGCAGTTTTGCAAGGGTCAGATCTGCCGTATTTCCCCCGCGCAAACGACATCCCACCACTCAACAATCGTCGATGCAGCTTAGAAGAGTTCGTGAGACTGTGTGCTGGATTACTGTGCATGGCAACAAGGCTCTCGGCGGCAGAAGGTCGGTACCCTGATGTAAATCCTCCGGAAAGCACGTCGATTGCGGTATTGCAACTTTAATTGGGCATACTTAAATTTCTACCTTGTTCTACCTTTGATGGTACACCAGTGAAGCCCGGACAAGGCTGTCCGGGGTCAAGAATGCCGTCAAGAGCTCTGAAATGGTTTCTGTACATGTCCAACCTCCTGCCACTTAGGCGGTGGGGTGATTATGGCTTTGTGCCAGGTCTTCCGCTGCTTGGTGCTTGACTTGTTCAATAGCGGCCTTTTCTTCGTCAGTGTTGGCAGTCTCGATGTGCACTTCGTGGCCGAGGGAACCAGTCCTCTTCTGAACATCTTCGACGCTGAAGTGCCTCTCCCGTGCTTGGTCGACAAGTCTGTCTAGTCTCGACTGGCCGACGGTTGTCTTCCATGGAGGAATTTTTGACCAGTCTTGGAACAACTCCTCGATTTCCTCCAAAGTCTTGTTGCAAGTCTCAGGATAAGTGAAATAAAACTGAACCTAATGAGCAGGAGAAAGAGATTAGTCTGTGCAATCAAACAGGGTGATTCGGCTTGACTTACAGCTCCGAGGATACACATGCTTCCGAAAACAATAAACATGCCCCATTTGATGTTTTGGAAGCCGGGAGGAATGTAGAGGCCAAGTGCGAAGTTGAAGAGCCAGTTGCCCAGGGCTGAAATACCCATACCGGTTGCGCGAGTCTCCAAGCTCCAAACTTCCGCAGCGTAGACCCATGCGACAGGAGCCAACGTCAACGCATAGACGATGATCAAAAGATAGGAGAAGGCAATGACAGTGTTTGCCTTGGATCCCTCAACTTTGATAAGGACGTTCGGATTCCCTCCGACACCGCCTGGAACACTCTCACCAGCGGAGAGGATGCCTCCCACGACGAAATGACAGGCTCCCATGGCCAAGGCTCCGTAAATCAAAAGTTGTCGGCGACCAGTTCGATCAATATAGAAGAACATGATCGAAGTGAAAATGATGAAGAGCGCATACTGCACTCCTGAGGCGATCAGGTTGATGTTGCCAGTAAGACCAGCCATCATGAAAATGTAGACAACGTAGTAGGTCATAACGTCTGCTGAATGTCAGAACTTCACACTTCGTGCCACCGTTTCGCCACAAAGGGAAAAATGCATAGGGGTCAAGTTTCTAACAAAGGGGCAACTTACTTGCTCCAGAGTTTTGTTGCCACATCTGAACCGTGAAGCCAGCCAGAGTCCGCTTCCACATGCCGTTAACCACAAATTTACGCCAGCCTGGAGGAGCTGATCTTTCGGCCACCAGGGTTTCAGTGATTTCCTCCCATTCAGCCACGACAAGGGGGTCATTGATTCTTCCCCCAGCCTGGATTTTCGCGAGGATCTTGATGGCCTCATCACCCCGATCGACTTTTGCAAGCCACCGAGGCGATCGAGGTAGAAATGGCAGGCCGATCATAAGAAAGACGCAAGGGACAAACTGGATACCCCAAGCAGTCCGAAAGGAGGCCGGCCCTTCAATAAAGCTGCACCCATAGCCGATGAAGTACATGATGAAGATACCCCATTCTGTGACCCGTTAGCCCTTGGGTTTCTTTCTTGCGTTATGTACGTCCAAGTCTTACCAATGGCAAGTTGTTGGATGATAATGATAGCACCCCTCTTTTCCTTGCGAGATATTTCGGCTAGATACACTGGAACCTGAGAACTGGTGATGCCGACGCAAACGCCATTGAGGACACGACCAGCAATCAGAGATCCTATTCCTTGAGTACCTGTCTGAACGGCGGTACCGACGAGCCACCTGAATCCTCGTCAGCGCACTGAAGCTACGGAGCAAGATCTGGAAAATTTTAACTTACCACAAGCAAGCAAACATGATCGAGTCTCGTCGGCCAATCTTGTCGGAGACCGGCCCAGCGATGATGGATCCCACAACAGACCCTGCAGCGAGAGCAGAACCGATCGCACCCTGCGTGACCCCAGCGGGATTGTTGAAGTAGGCATTGTACTGTTTAGTACCTATGATCGCCGACATACTCGAAATGTCGAAACCAAACAACATACCACCCACGGTAGCAATGAACGCTACGAAGTAGGTGTTGTAGATCTTGGGGAAGGTAATGCCGCCCATGTTGCCCAGTTTAATCGTGACTCTTGATATCGTATACCGACAGTCGATGTCAGAGGTAGGATAATAGATTGCGCAGTCCGGTCTGCGTCCAGACAGACATGGAGATATATAGCTTCCCAGTCTTTGCCCCGTGGTCTAAGCCCGCACAGATGGAGACCGCCATCATCAGCTCCATGGAGCGTCGTGGAGGAGCCAGGGTCTCTTGCACTCGTAGAGGTGGTGATCTACATGATTTTCATGTTGATGATGAAGTCTTCGTAACCTCAATTTGCCGTTGTATCGCCCATGACAACATTGCTAAAAGATAGCCTGTTGCACTCACCTGACACCCGGCTATATTTCTGGCTGTGGTTGCTGTGTAAGTGGGCAGTTCAGAACAATGCCTTGTCGGTGGAAGACAGCGACTCAGAGGAGCATTCCTGTTTCCGTTTAGTCCAGCCGCGGGCCTTCTCCGGCGATAAGTGCCGGTGGCACAGACCGACGTGAAGAGAGGCTGGATGGCCACCGGTTCCTTGCCTGAAGAGGTTAGTTAGAGCCAGAGCGATGATCGAGGAAATCGTCTGGCTTGTGTCTGCGGGGAGACATGAAAGCAACCATCGAGGTGCATTTGATTCGACAGCGAAGAAGAAGCTTCGTTCGGTCTTCTGGCTACCCATTTGCATTGATCGGCAGATGCATGACCAGCCCCAGAAGACCTTGATCTTCGATGTTTACGAATCTTGTGAAGCTCGCGTCGAGGAGATATTCGTGATATCGAGATGGTCGCTATGAAGCCACGATGCTGACACAACAGCCGAGAACGCGTAGCCGTGAATACGTTCCTGGTTTCCTGCTTGACTCGAATGCTAGTACCAGTAAAACCGTACAAGTGGGATTTCCACGTCGTATGATCAGCGTGTCTGCCACGACGAGTTGACAAGAAAGGGTCACCGGCGTGGCTCCCCGCAAGGCAACTATCGGGTCGAACGTCAAGAATGTGCCTGGTTCACCAAGTAAACTTGTTGTTCTGGCCATTTTGGGCAGTCTTCTTAGTGGATGCCATGGTGGTCGTGTACTCGTACACTCCTAAGTTCCTGGGGCACGAGAAAGCCATTTCTGCTTCGCAACTGCCTAGGCATGGGCTGGGGATAGACATGGGTACGAAGGTGCAAAGGAGTATCACCTTTGGATATTACTTTTACGTCCGAGTTAGTACGGTCCAGATAAATGCCCTTGAATAAGGGGGAACAGGAGCTTCGATGGAGCCCCAGACCGCCAAGGTCCGGTACCCATCTGCACGCTTACAGGTATTATTACTCGTAGTACAGCCCATACCCACAGTTAGAGCATGTGGACTTGTCCTTCTAGGCACGTAGTTAATTATTCACTCACCCAGGGACTCCCAATCCTTATAACATAGCCTCTTGAGTTAGCAAATTTCCAACGATTGTGACACCAAAGTTGGAGATCCTGGTAGGCAGGGAAATTATTTACCTTATGGAAGAACCAGAGGGCTGTCGAGAGCGAAACGCACATCAATGATGCTGTCTGGCCACCCCAGGACCGCGCTGGATCCTGTAGGAGTTGGATTCCTCTCAGAGGCCACTAACGTGTTACCACGAGCCTGATGTGAGCGGAAGAAAGTCGACAACTCTCGCGTTCCAAAGCGATTTCACTGTTGCTTATGCGAAGACGAGGTGTCGAATACTCCTGTACAGATGAGATGAGATCAGTGGCTGTCCACACTTCGGCCGAGCCTCTGATTTCTCCTCGGTTGGTTCGGCTTTACTGCTCAGACTGTTCTTTCGGCTACAAGGAGATCAAGCCTTTCGGCATTTGGTCACCGTGGTCAATTCTAGTCAGTGAGCATGTAAGAGTAAATGCTTTCGTTGTGATACGCACCGGACACATCGGGTGACCAATACACCCTGAAGCGAGGTCGGTCTCAGGCGTCGGCCCAACCTGGCTTCGTTCGCTGCGAACATGCGCGAAGCTGACCAAGACATACGGCAGCACAACGACCCCTTAACTACGTTGACAGCGAAACCGATGCAACTCAAGTCACGGAAATGAGGCCCACCGTGATCAGAATTGGCATGAAACACTCCTTTCCTGCGGAGATGGGTTAAGGCGTGTTACCGGCACGAGAGAACGGGACAGTATAGGCATAGGTAAGTATATATAAATGGTCATTGACGCCGTCCCCTGAGGTCAGTACTGATATTTATACTCTGGTCATCTCCTCGACCGAGGCTCTGGACCAGGTTGTTAAGCCACTCACACCCACCTAGAGACCTAGAAGACGCATTCATCATGGCACCTTCATCTCCGTCCTGGCGCAGAGTCGACGCGACCAACACCGCTCTTCTTCTCAGTGACGTGCAAACGCAACTTCTGGCACACATGCCCGAGGACGAACAAACGAGATATCTTGGCACGCTGCAGGAACTCCTGGACTCGTTCCGCACCAACATCTCAACTGCACGCGACCAGTCACAGTCCCAGCACGGCAGCGCCGCCGAGAACCACCATGATGGCGGCCCGTGTATTGTCCACCACGTGGTCGTCATGGACTACGCGACCATGAACCTCAGCCCGACCAACAAACTGAACAACTGGGCATTAAAACGGCTCAAAGCAGCAGGCCCCAACCGCGGTGCAGCGGTGGCACCGACAGATTCAGCGGCCACGATCCCATTGACCCTCCACCCGCCCAATGGCTGGAACATGGATGAATTTGTCCTCACGAAACAAGCCCCAAGCTGCTTCATGTCGTCGTCGCTGCTGAAGATCCTGCAAGCAAGGAATATCAAGCATGTTGTTCTTCTCGGGTTGACCACCGAAGGGAGTATCTTGAGCTCGGTCCGGCACGGGAGTGATTTAGATTTCCACATCATTGTGCCCAGGGAGGGTGTATGGTGTGACGATCGGGAGCTGGAGAAGGTAGTGCTGGAGAAGCTGGTTCCGAGATTCGCTGATGTCTGTGCAATGCAAGATGTCAAAGAATTGATGGCCGCAAATGAAGACCGAAAGACCGCCAAGTAAGCAGGTACTGAAAACACATAGGAAATGATTCGTTCTATTTCAGATCTTGCCAGTCTCAGTCTCAGTCTCGCCGCGCTCAATAGACGCATCAGCATTACCGCCAGGTACTAGGCTCTGACCCTCTTTGAGCAGCAAGTCGGGCAAGAAGAATGCTACCACCAGGCAAAGAACCGAAGTGCCCACGGCCACGTAGGTGATGTTGCGCATCACGTCGGAGTACGCAAGATTCACAGCCTTGCGCTGTGGAGTACCTTGTGCAGGGATATCGGTGCTGGTGATCGACTCAAACACAGCATCGACGATGGTGTCGGTCGCCCCAGATCCAAGATGGTGTCGCAGAGCGTCCTTGAAAGACCCGCTGTAGATTCCTCCGGCAATGGAATCGCCTATGGCCGCCCCGACAAAGGCGCACAGCAAGACAAGCGCCGTAACCTAAAGTCTCACAATCAGTCAAGAGTTCGCGGTCCTCTAGGTGGTCAGTACTGACCTGCGCCATCTCAGCATGAGGAACAACAACTTGGGCTCCAACAATGATGGCTATTTCAATTATCCCGGAGCCCCATCCCTGCACTGACTGAACAACAAATAGTTCGGCCCAAGAATTGTCGGCGCCTCTCAAGCGTATCATCAACCCAAACCCTAGCAGTTTGATTGCCGTCCCAATCACCATAAGCCACTTATACCGCCTGGTCTTGTACATGATCGCTCCGGCAATGATACCGACAAGGCACTGCCAGACGCCGTTGGTATAGTTCAGGAAAGTCGCATCTCGTGGGCCCATGTTGTGGACAATTGTGGCCCAAGCGTACAGGTAGGTATGAGTCGCTTCGAACCCCAGGGTATCAAGAAACCCCAGGGAACAGCAGATGACAATGGAAATGTTTCGGAAATATCGAGCTGGGAGAATTGGATGTGCAGCGGCGTAGATCTCGTACACAAATAGTCCAGCAAGCGTGACGGCACCAATGACAATCAGTGCGATGATGTAGCCAGTATCCCACCGACTGGGTGTCAAACCGGCAAGGCTGAAAGGGATCAAGAACATCGCGAATCCAGCTGTCAGCAGAAAAGTCCCGCCGAGGTCAATCTGGGAGCAGAAGTCGACGATGGAGATTTTTTGAGTCAGGACGACGCTCAGCTTTTTGGCTTTCCGCTGATAGTACAGCAATGGTACGACCAATGCAGCTGCAGAGAATGGCATGATGATCGCGAACATGCCTGGTAAGGTCTTCTGGTTAGTCCGTCAGGAGCGTCTTAAGGGGGTAAAGAGTACGGACCGATTCCCCATCTCCAGCCAATACCGCCTGGTCCGACAACGTCTTGAACGATAAACCCAGATATCCAAGGCGTGATCAAAAATGGAAAGAAGCTGATACCAATAGCAAAAGCTCTTGATCTCATGCTCGTGACATCGGCAATGATGATATCGTTCAGAATGTTGGCTCCTGTCATCCCCAGATTTGCGAAAATGAACCCTCCGGCATAGACACCAAAGCTGCTAGAGCTAGCGCAAAGGATGTATCCCAGCAGGTAGCAAACAATACAGAATAGGTAAGCTTCTGCGCGGCCGACAACGTTGGAAATCTTAGCAATGGGCGGTTTGGCGACGGCGAAGACGATATTCCCGGCTACTGCCAGCGTACTTAGGCCGGCGACATTGTCGAAGTCGGAAGTCGCATAGTTTCGATAATTGTAGAGCAGAGCGTGGTCGAATTGACTAGAGGTCGGTCAGTCGGTGCCTTACAAGACACTGGATACAACGGACTAGACTATCAGCATAACGCAGATACCGAGCCATACTATGCACCGTCCATTGGTGCCCCAAACAAGTTGCATTGCCTCTGCACGAGCAGTGCCACTGGTCACAGTGGAATCGGCGACAATCATTGTCGACTTTGCCATCTCTAAGTCATCTTGGTCGAGCTGAGTATGCTGGTCACTCTTGGAAACTTGTTGAGCCGAACTTGGTTCGTCGTGAGCTTGTGTAACCGCGTCCATATCTGCAAAAAATATATGTTCGCTGGCCAAAAGACTGCCGCTTTCGAGGACCCTGTAGTTAATTAAGTAGTAGTTGAGTATTCAAAGTAGTGGCGACATCCGGTGAGAACGATAAGCGTCCAAAGCCCGAGGTCATGCTCAATGTAAATAGTTGCCCTCCAGTGTGCGACCATCGTAGGCACAGACGCACAGGTAGTGCAGGGCTTCAAGTCAGGCCAACTGCGACGGGAAGCCCATTGATTGGCCTTTGGGGACATGCTTTGGGTAACAAGGCGTACATTGTCAGTCATTCGACAGGCTATATGCTGGCTAGGATGCAGAGATGATAGCATCCACAGATGACTGGTATGGGAGATAGCTTTGCAGCATGCTCGAATGGTCGATGCTAACCCAAACCATACCGATAAGCCTGGCAATGAAGCGCAGAGTGTAACCTTGTGTTTCCCGTGGGGAAGATGAGATAGCGATAACGCGAGGGGAGGGAAACTCGTAGAGAAGGAGATGGACGTCTAGGAATTCACCGGCATATGTCGATCATCAGGCGATGGCCAATGTCGTGCTGGTGCACTCACCGACCGACTATCTGGGTGAAGAGCTGATCAGCCTGGTGAGAGCTCAACCAAGTTAAGTTAGAAGTGCCCGAGCACCGGGGAATTGTATGCACAGGGCGGCGCGTCTTGCTTTGTCAACCCCTTTTGATCCCGAAAGGGGGCACTTGTGGGGGCGCTACTTACTTGGACACACCGGGCCAAGAAGTTGATGCTGTCGACAGGCCTTTCAGCTCAACACCGAGCGATAACGTTCTTCCAGCAGGCTGCTGGTCTCTTCCTTATGGTTTCAAATCTCTCACCAGACGCCCAAGGCTCTTTGAGTCTACCAGCCGGCTCCAGATCCCCAATAGATTAGATTTGAGAACATGAGAAGGTGAACCTGTTTGAGATGGAGATCAAGAGTGCCAGCCCTGAACTGGGCACCGCGAGACGACCACGACCACAGTGCAACATTGCACTTTGGCTGCGGTGTATACTTGCTGCGGCATTTTTTGGCCTCTGTATGCGCAGTATCGGCAGATTGGTCGAATCATTGCTTCCTAGCACTTACGCTTCCCTTCACGCCCAAGGTCATAAGACTCCGTTGACTTCAGAGTTTCGATGGCGCGATATCGAACCAGCAAGAGAAATGCAATACCATGACTGTTACGATGGAAGGCAGTGTGCTCGCCTTGATGTCCCCATGGACTACCATTCTCCTGAGGATTCAGCGGATCGAGTCGCTCTGGCCATAGTGCGTCTTCCTGCAAAAGTCCCAGTAAGCGATCCACGCTACGGTGGTCCTATCTTGGTCAACCCCGGCGGACCTGGTGGCTCAGGCGTTGCGAAAGTTTTGCAGCATGGCTCCCTGATGCAACAAGTGGCCGATTCCGGCCGACTTGTAAGTGAGGCAGGAGAATCGGACAAGTACTTTGACATTATCGGTTTTGATCCTCGGGGAGTTAACCACAGTACGCCCATCTTGACGTGCTTCCCGGATAGCTTCGCTCGACAGACTTGGAATCTTCAATCTCAGGCGGAGGGGCTCTTAGGTAGCTCGGAAGGGTCCTTGAGAACCAGCTGGCGGCGTGCTAGGGCGTTTTCCGTGAGCTGTTCCAGCAGGCTTGAATCAGAGAATGGGACGAACTTTCTCGAACATGTCAACACAACTCCCGCGGCGGCAGACATGGTCGAAATCATCGAGAGACACGGTCAGTGGCGCGAGCGGCAAGGTCAAAAAGCTCAAGCTGCGTATGACCTTGCACGTGGCCGGGATTTGAAGCAGACCTTCTCCCAACGTACGAGGTGGCACAAAGGCAGAGAACCGCTGCTCTTCTGGGGCTACTCTTATGGCACGATACTGGGATCTACATTCGCAGCCATGTATCCGGAAAGAGTGGCTCGGATGGTCCTGGATGGTGTCGTCGATTCAGAAGACTACTATAACGGCCCCTGGGTTCACAATCTCCATGACACAGATCGTATCCTTCTCAAAATCATGGAGTATTGCTCTAACGCCGGTCCGGAAAATTGTCGCTTCTGGAGACCAGGAGGTTCACAGGCTATACTCGGTGCCTACGAGACTCTCCTCCATGATATTTGGGACGATCCGCTTTCTGTGGTCGGTGATCAGCGTCGAGGCCCGGAAATCATCACATGGACCGACGTGAAGATGGTGGTCAAGGATGCCCTCTATCAGCCCATGATCCTCGGTCCTATTGCAGTTGAGTTGTTGCAGGACATCACAAATGGAACTGGCAGTGTGTTCGCCGAGTACAAGCAAAACGGGCGCACGCCGAGCTGTCGGTCTCAACAATGTGAAATTGACGGGCCGTATTCCGAAGAATGTGTCTCACCAGGCTGGAACGAACTCGAGGCGACGTCTGCCATCTTGTGCACCGACGCTCAGGACATCGGTAGTCTCACTGAAGACGAGTTCAGGTCCTACTGGCGCCTTCTGCAGGGCCAGAGCAGCGCCATGGGCGACTACTGGGCTCAAACGAGACTCGGTTGTGCCGGGTGGCAGACGCGAGCGAAATGGCGATTTGCTGGACCCATGTCCGGAAACACATCGCACCCCATCTTGTGGATTTCAAACACTTTGGACACCGTAACGCCACTGCGGAATGCGAAGAAGATGAACGAGAGGTTTCCGGGATCGGTGCTCCTGCAGCAAGACTGTGAAGGTCATTGTTCCATCACAGCGCCATCGCTCTGCACCGCGAAAGCGATCAGGCGGTATTTCCAGACAGGGAACATGCCGAATGTCGGCACGCTCTGTGAGACTGATGCGAAGCCTTTTGAGAGTCAAGCAACCAGAGCCCGTGTCTCGAGAATGGACGCAAAGGATGCAGAATTGCTTGAAGCATTGAGACGGCTGGCCGAGTCTCCAACGAGAGGGTTCCTATAGGGACATCCTCGCCTTGAAAGGAAGAGCTAGGATGTGCAGCACAGCAGGAAGGGAGATGGCTTGGCTGGGAACATCTGATCACAATGCACGCTACGAATTACAGCTTTCACGAGGTTCTTAGTCAACTTTGGAACTTTGACGATATAGTGGGTGCCGCTCGACGACACAGCCTTGGTCAGTAGAGTGGCGAGGATGATGACATTGAATGGAAGACCCAAGTAAACACTAGGATTTCTCTAAGCCAACGAAAACTCATTTTCCATCCCCCGGGAGGATTATGGGAACAGAAAACCAGGAGACCTTATTCTTAGAGGGGCAACCGACTCGAATCGATCTCAAATATCTCTCTCCAACGTTGCAAGGATCACGACTTATGTGCTGTCGAAGATCTGCGAACTATTTGAACCGATGTTCGCTCCCACATGCGCCAGACTAGTCACAGTGTAGCGTCCTAGGAAGAGGTTGGATACTCCCGGGAGTGCTTTTGGATACAGGACACGAGACCCGGTGTTGAACAAAACCTGAAAACATGAGATGTCAAGTGAAGATTGTCGGTGAATGAGCCCTCTTCACTCCTACATCAGATCGAATGTTGTGAAGGAGCGAGAGGAACAGCGCAGTCACATCTACAAGGTAGTCTATTTCTACCAAATAAACCAAAAAAAAATAGCAAACACTTAAAGTGAGAATTTGGCTGCTAGCCCCCTCCCGGGCCGTGGAAAGATTCATCTTGAGGTCAGTTATCTCGCTATGCATCGATCCGGGTCAGGGGCCCGTTCCCACCAAACCACCGAACCTGGAGAGAGGAATCCCGTCTATACCAGCTGCGCCAGCATAGACCCATAGCAAGTCTCCGGAGTGACATTTGGAATTGTTGACAGGAAATCACTGGATTAAATGTATCTAGCACAGTTGGAAATGGTTAAGTGGATATCGATTGCGCCAAGGGGTGTTGTGTATCGCGTCTTGCTGTGAAGTGGCCAGGCCAGGACTTCAAGCAGCTTCAGTGCCCGCTTCCTCTAACCATAGCCAACAGACTGTCTCTCCAGCTTTGACCACTACGGCCCCTTCTTCCCATCACTTGCAGGCACACTTCTCAGATCTTCGATATGCGCATTGATGAAATATCCGCGCAGCTGCTCTGGCGTCATGTACTTCGCACCCCGAATCTCGCCGTGGCAGGACTTTGTTCCGCACAGACACTTGAAGGTCTGCTGCATCTCCCACTCGGTGCTTGGGTAGAAGAAGGTAAGTTCGTCGCCGACACTGAGCCCCCTGGGGTGGCCATTCTCATCAACACGTGTGGCCACGCGAAGCTCGAGGACCGGTTGATCGGAGGCGTCCGAGAGGACGTGGAACTCCAGACTTGGTTCACAGCTATGGTTGATGAAGACAAGGTCGGTGTTCAACTCAATGTGTTGGTTCTCGGAGACCTGCACGGACGACCAACGCGCCTTGGACGTGAGCGTCATGGGTGGGCAAGTGGTGCGGGCGAACTGAGCGATGTCAGGATCTTGGTTTTGTTGTCACGGTACAACATGAACACGAGCCATACAAGAAATGTCTGGACCGGGGTGAGGGCAATTTCGTGCGAATTCAGCTGCTTTGGGGAGATGGACAGGGACTTACAAGAGCACCTGGACCGAGCGAGACTAGGGATGAGCTGTATGAAGTATGGAAGCCTTCTCGCTGGTTCACTCGCATAACGGACGAGAGGGTTGAAGTCGTGTCTTTCATGATGAATTGTGATTTGGTGAGCCCTTGGACTTCGATCGGAATTGTGTCGGTAGTTGAGGTTGGTGCCGGGTATTTTATATGTATATATTTCGCTTCGCGAGAGAATGACAGAGCTGAGGCAGTGATTTATCTACAGGCTGAGGCGGTTACCAAGTCCGTTGCAAGGCAGTGCTAAGCTTGAAATATGAACTGGGGCCGAAGTCACTTGTCCACGAGCTCGCTGGCATTGCCCAGCTCTTGCCGAGGCTTCGAGGGGCATGTTGAAAAGATCTTAGCGTTCTGGACGAACCTGATGACCAGAAACCCTCCAGTGCCTCCACAGGCGACAGCTCGGGCCCAGACGGAGTCTGAAGGGACAACTTAGCAGGGTGTGGAGGTACGGAGTACTAGTCAGAAGAGCAAGCCGCTCACCCGACTGAGGTACCAGCTCCATGGGACCCTCAAACCGCTCGCACAGAGGGGAGTTGACTGATCTCCTCTCCAAGGTGGGAAAGATGCGAGCAGCCAAAGACATTTGTTATTAGCGCAGCCTCGTCTGTGGCACATACCACTCTCGAGCTTCATGGATGGCACGATTGTCACGACATACCGAACAATTCCCATGCGAAGCTCCTCGGCTGTCGTCGAATCCATTATTGGCTCTCGGAATCGCAGGTGAAAAAACTCTTTCGCGGTTCTCGCCCAGATGTCGTGCCATTCTGGATCCAGTTAGCGGGATGTACCTCGACCCGACAGCTCTTGAGTGGGATGAAGGAATGACGACTTACGAGCCTATGACTGGGGCCAGAAAGTGTGTCAGAGGCTGCCGTTTCAGCAGCTTGGTCCGTTATTATATGGATAGGCGGGTAACACAGCACTGAGCAGCACTGAGCAGCCCCAGTTAGCTCTCCCCTCCAACACGACAAAGATCGTCCACAGGGGTTGCTTAGGTAACCTCAGCCCTCTACTGTACGAAGGCGTATTCGCAGCGGGTTGCTTACCTATTGTGCAAGGAGGGTCCTAGCAATCGGCTGACACCTTATCCGCCCTTCGCATGTCATTGCAGATTTGACCTTGGCTCAGAGTCAGAGACAACTTCCTGTGGACTATTATATGCTGTGGCTTGCTCTCGTATCAAATGTACCGTAAGCAGGCAGTGATACAACAGTACAACGTCGAGCAATCTCGTCTCTGAAACTAATTCGCGCAGCGAACTAACATAGATATACCTCTGGATCAATCATACTTGGAGACCGTCCTGCTACTTTGACGACGAGGGCCCCCCGACAACACCTGTCATTGACGCTATCAGGCATCTTTAGCATCACAAGGTCCAAAATAAGCTACCATGGCTTCTTCAACACCATTTGGCAAATTGCCAGTGAGTGCCGCCGCGGATATTCGACCATACGAGCTACACGTCCCGGATGCGGATATCAAGCACATGCAGGACTTGCTCAAACTCAGTCCTATTGCCGGTCCCATCTACGAGAACTCCCTCCCAAACGGCGACAGCAGCCTGGGTGTCCGACGAGACTGGCTGATCGAAGCCAAACGTGTCTGGGAAACGGAGTTTGACTGGTGAGTTTCCGACTCATACATAGCATAGCTCTCTTTCGGCAAGGTTTTTAACACTTTGTTATCCAGGAGAGCAACTGAAGCCAGGGTCAATTCGTTTCCAAACTTCCATGTGTCCATCGAAGACAAGATTGGCACCTTCAACATGCACTTCGCGGCACTATTCTCGAGCAAACCAGACGCAGTGCCCGTCGTCCTCCTGCACGGGTGGCCCGGGTCGTTCCTCGAGTTTCTGCCCATGTTCGAACTGTTCAGGGAGAAATACACACCTGAAACTCTCCCGTATCACCTCGTCATCCCGAGTTTGCCTGGCTTCACGCTCTCGGGCATTCCGCAACTCAGTCACGACATCAGCCAGATCGACGTTGGGCGAATCGTCGACAGTCTAATGAAACGCATAGGCTTTGGTACCGGCTACGTCGCACAAGGCGGCGACGTGGGATCCAGAGTTTCTAGGATCATAGCCGTGGATCACGAGGCGTGTAAAGGTGAAGTCTTCCTTCCTCCCTTCAATCCAAAGTCCCTGTTGGTTTTGAAACCCACTGACAAATCTCGCAGCTGTCCATCGTACGTTCATCACCAGTCTCATCTTCCCCTGTAAAACCATGTGACCCGATTTCATTATGGTTCAACGCAGCAATTATGAATCAAACCTGTGCAAGAGAGCTACCCAGCCAATGCAGCACAAACTTCGCAGACCTCACGCTGGACCAAACCCTCTTCAGCACCTGACCCACCCACCCTTGTGCCTTGGTCAACCTCAGCAGAACATAGTCTAACCTTCAGAGTATAGTCAACTTCTGTGCCATCGGTCGTCCCGCCTCGGCGACAGACGACTCGAAATTGTCGCCAATCGAGCAAGACGGACTCAAGCGCCTCGAGGCCTGGAAAGCCACCGAGACCGCATACGCGCTCGAACACGGCACGAAGCCCAGCACGATCGGGTTCGTGCTCGGCAGTAGCCCTATCGCGCTCTTATCATGGTACGTCTGCACATTCCCTCTACCTCTACCAGGCCACTAGACATTACACGGAGCGGTCGTATCACATCACATCACAACACCACACCCTACCACACACCGCGACGAACCAAGGCTCACCACATTCACCACGCAACAGGATCGGTGAGAAGTTTCTAGCATGGGTCGATGCTCCTCTGCCCTTGAACACCATTCTCGAGTCGGTCAGTCTGTACTGGCTTACGAGATCAGCGCATAGTAGTCTATGGTCATATCGTCACGTAAGTCTTCTGCAACCCGCAACCCCCCCCCAACACACACACACACACACACACACACTCTCTCTCTCTCTCTCTCTCTCTCTCTATCCTAGTCCCAGTCCTGGCCCATCATGAACCATCGAGTGATTTTTACACGCATACTGATCCGTATAATGCTCGACTTTCGGCGTTTCCAGTCTTATGGCCCGAGACCGCTCCCACACGACGATCCTCGATACTACATCAAGATCCCCCTGGGGTATTCTTACTTTGCAAAGGAGCTCATTCCGATCCCCATAGACTGGGTCGCTACTACGGGGAACTTGATCTGGCGCAGGATGCACGAGCAAGGCGGTCATTTCGCCGCGCTGGAGCAACCCAAGGAGTTCATGGACGATCTCGAGGCCTTTATCGCTCATGTTTGGAAGGCTTAGCAAAAGCAAAGGTTTAATTAATAACACCAGATCATGGCATGGCATAGCATAGCAAAGCAAAGGAAAGCATGACAAAGCTTTCTGCAGACAGGAAGTGACGTAGCAAATTGGACAGCAGATCGACTCGTGCTTCTATGTGCGACCGACGACATCTCAAGCACTGGCTCCTCTTCCTATGCAAGAGGTAAAGAGAACGTTCTTTGGTCCTCAGACGATATTACAACTCCGAAGATCAAGTGATTGGATCTCCCTGCATGAAGTCAGGATTGTACGCAGACATACTTGGGACTTCGTTTTCCATCCAGTCGAACTTGTTCTGCGTTTCAGAGAGCTCGTCCAACAAGGCGGTGATTGACGTATCATCGCTGATGCTCTCAGCCCTAGGATTCTCGCGGCACGAATGGGCCCGTCCGGCGTCGGATTGTGGTATGTCAAATGATGCGAAGAACGATCCTGCTGACATATGCAGCTCTGGCATCCGCAATTCAGTCGATGCCAAATCGGAATCTTGTGGGTTCTGATCTGTCATTATATCGTCGAGGACGCTGAGGAAAAGACCGCCAGTTACAGGACATTGTCCTGGCGGTACGGCCTCAATATTCGTCAGCGTATACTCTGGGCCAGGATCAACATTGAAAATCTCAATGCCTGAACAGTCGTAAGATGTCGTGTCCCTTACGTCAGGGTAACCGAATACATCAGATACCGACGCCGTGGACATTTGCGTATTGACGGCTTTACACCGGAGACGACTGGAGTATTCGTGGAAGTCCAGGACGCCGCTCCACGCTACCGCCCCAAATACCCTTTGATACGTCGACCTCACCATAGAGCCGCTCTCCGTGAAGCTTTCAAGTCTGCTGAATTCGCATGGAATTCCCGCGGCGTATGCGTACTGCCTCCCACGGACAAACAGAGACACAGCTTCGGCGGTCAGATGTAGATTAGCAACAGCGGGCAAGACATGCTGCTGCTGCTGCTGCTGCCCATTGTCCCCGACGACAGGAGCCTGGCATTGCCGGCAATGTCTTGGAAGGTGAGATTTCCAAGAACCAAGTTTGTCCAGGGAGTCGCGGAGTTTTGCCTGGTCGTCTTTGAAAGGACAAAGGTCACAGACAGACTCGTTCAAAATGAAAAGGAGCTTGACATAGTGTTTGAAGATGCTGAGTGTTCTGAGGGGCCTTTCTGAGCTTGCTGCATGTCCCTGGATGTTTGCACCAGAGTCCCCATGGCTTGACGAGCACAGTTCCCACTCGTCGGCCTCGTTTTCATCATATTGTAAAGCCAAGCGCACCTCTTGGGACCGAAGCTGGGGTATTGTGCCTGATCGGGCCGCAAGAAGTGTGTCCATGGAAAAAGCTGCGAGAACTGTTCGGAGGAAAGCCGAATCGACCGGGTTATCTCCTGGCCGATCCTGGTATACCCTCAGGAAGTGGAGTATCGCGCGGATCGCACGGCGGAGGATGAGGAATGCCGCGTCCCATCGCCTCCTGGCGATGTCTAGCACTGCCAGCTGAACGAGCGCCTTTACATGGTCTGGATCTAGACTCGATGATCGTCCTGGGATGCTCTTGATAGCCTCGTTGTAGTAAATCTCTGATATCGACGGATGCTCCTGCTCCCGAGCGGGTTGTTGTTGATGGTGTTGCATGGAAGCGGTCGCAAGCACAGCCCAGAGAAGTCCCATTCGACGTGAGCTGTGTGCCACCCCATCTTGAACTTCTGTCAGCGTGCGAACTATGCTGTGTTTCTGTGTAATTGGTAACCAAGAGTGACTGAACTTGAAGTACGTCTCGATGAGTTTCCAGGCGTCGGGAGGAAGTGGTTCGTGGATGTCGCCAAGAGCAGTGAGTGGCATAGCAGTTCCACTGCGAGCTCTGGAGTTGATGTTTGCCATATCCAGACACTTGCGGCTGCGTTTAGAGCTTCTTCTATCCTCCAGGCCGTCCGCCGGGATTGACCACGGACTGAAATTTGTTCCCAGAGGCGCAGATGGTTTTCCCTCCTTCCCAGTCTCAGGCTGTAGGCGATCTTTCAGAGCATCACCAGTAGTGTCCTCGAGATTAGACACTAGCTTGTCGATTTCATGTCTGATTGAACTGCTCAACCATGCCTTTCGGGACGAATCGACCGCGTCAAACTGCAAATTGAAGAGGCTGGCTTTTCCTTCATCGTCATATCCAATATTTGAACGTTGCAACAACCGTAGAGTAGCCTCTTGACTACCGGGTACCGCTTTGAATACCAGAGCCCACAGTGCTTCGACTATGTGCACGTACCCTGTAGCAAACCCACGCTTCTTGCTCTGTTGGCCGTAACGGCAGTCGAGTGATGTCTTTGCGCATGCGTCGCAGGGATGGCCTGAATCACATCGTTTCTTCTGCAGTCGACATTGGTCACAAGCTCTCGACGCTCGTCTTATAGGCTCAGTGACCGTTCCAGATGCGTTGTCTATCTCATCGATACCAGCCCCTCTCCGTCGCTTTCGAGGCCTCGTAGGCTGTGGTTGACAGTTTTCATTCGCCATGACTGACCATGAGACCAGAACTTCAACACGGTGCCTAGGGTAGGTTTAGACAAATAGAAGGATTGCCCAACAATTCCGCAGACACAATGAATGATCTCACTGCGTATTGCGTTGTGGTATGGATCTGCAGAGTCTCTTAATGGAATCATCTGTCCACACTCTTACAGCATGTGAAAGCGTGGCATCACGCCCAATTTCTAAGCGGCTTCTTAAAGTTTTATCCGCCTGTACGCTTAAAGATGTGGAGCAACAATAACCCCTGGGTACTCCGACCAGTGAATCACGAGCTTGTCCGATCTTCATAGTGGCCGATATGGTTGAAGTGGTCGTAACTCTACTTCGTTAGGCTAGATTCTTATTCATATGGCGGCTTTCCTCAATAGGATCTGAGAGTATTCGATACGACGAGAAAACGAGCTACAGACACCTTGACTGGGGACATTGCAAAGGAAATTAGCGTAGGACGCCAGCCATCAATACTTTCAAGGTACCAGACAACCCTCGCCGACTACACCTTCTCACCTGCAGCCCTCCTCACAATCATTCCTACTTCTTCTGGCCGGCTAACAAACGCACTATGGCTTGCGTCCAACGTAACGTCGTGCATCCTCCCACCGGCACCTCTCTCTTGCACCGCCCGCCTCACGTTCGCAACCATCTGTCTCTGAAACGCCACAGGAATCGCATTATCCCTCTCGCAATGCACATAGGTGCTATCCACATCCTGCCAGGCGGCATACGTGCTCTTGCTCCAGAAGGCGCCGTAGCTCTGGGGCTTGAGCTTCCCCAGCAGCTCAGCGAGGACTTTTTCGTCGTCAATGTCGTTGTAAAACAACTCCGCAGGCACTCGACCCTCAAGTACAGATGTCATGCCATCCTCGGAGAGATTGAACCACGGCAAAGGTTCACCGCCGAGATTGTCCATGACGGACACGCCTTCGTCAACGGCATGTGCAGAGCAGAAGATGAGGTGCGTAACCCCGCCCGCTTTGCCACGGGCCTCACGATCGCTCTTCAAGAGGCCCCGACAAGCAGAGCTGCCTGGAATACCGCCATAGGAGTGGAAGAACACCACGATTTCCGAACCTTGGTCGGCATGTTTTCTAATGGTTGATGCGACTGCGGCGACATCTCCATCAAAGTTGGGTTGTGGTGGAGATGAGTCGACTGACGGCAGAGATATGCCTTCAACTGTATAGCCATGGTTAACCAGATAGCTTGCCAGAGGGGAGAAGCAAGAAGGCTCATGCCAGGCGCCGGGTACGAGGAGAATGACGGGCTTTGTCATGGTGAGTGTGCTGAGCGCTGGGTGGGAGCAGACGTGGTGTGCTCGGGTTGTTGTCGGTAGTATGCAAATGGAGGTCAACCTTTCTCGAAGCACCCTTCTCAATGATAAATATAATAGGATCCAGTTTCAAGCATTCCATCTTGCCAGTCAGACTTCAAATAGCTCTACGAGTTCGGTCGGAGATTCATTGTGGTACGTCAAAATGCTCACAAAGCCCCTCGTCCGGAGAAGCATAGTTTGGCAAAAAAGTCGCCGATGCCTTTCGAGCATTGTTGGCATCGACAGCACACTGGATGCGTGGTATCGGGATCCAGGGAGGAGAAGACTTGGTGACAAATGTTGCGGATTAGTGCTTTTCCGGATGGATGGCGTGAACAAGCGGTGTCGACCGTGGACCCCACCCAGGAAAGTATCGTGCAATACGCAGGAAGAGCCAATGATCGAGGGTCAAGTAGGATCAATTGACAAGTCTGACCTCGACAACATTGATATAGCCGAACATGGTAAATGAGTGAAATGAAGGTGTCACTAAAACTAGTAAACAGGTCGAGGGGCACAGAGTTGCCTGTCATGGGTTGAAAAGAGGTGTGGTATACCCTCTGCTCTTGGTCCTAGCCAGCATCAGTACCTACAGCCATACCACCCAATGGGCACTTGGTACCTAGTAGGGAGATTCGTCTTTCTTTTTCTGTTTCCACGCTTCTGGCTCACTGCTGACTTGGGCTCTTATCCATTTGGTCTCTTAGGCTCTTCAATTTTGTCCTGTTGTTCAGTTCGTCTCTTGTCCTTGTCCTCTTCGGCTGCATTGCCATCTCCTCGAGACAGAACAATACCAAGGTACAAGGAGGTACCCGATGAACCGTTTTTCTACATACCATCCATCCCATCACCATCCTCGCTTATCATTCCCTTGTCTTCAACTCCACATATCAGTTTCCGAAAGGCAAGTACCTACCTAGTCTGATATCATAGATGATGTGATATCAAACAAATCAATAATTTCCTCTTCCCATTCTTCGCCTCCCCGCTGCCAACTCTCTCCTCCCCCCTACCCTGGTAGCGTATGCCAATCAATAGATATACCTGAAATTCAGATTCTCCCGATCGGTAAGGTCCACGAAAGCAGTCGCGTCCAAATCTCTCCCTTCCAACCCGCCTTCCTGCGCAGCTTGGATCTTGTCTCGTCTCGCGTTTTCCATCTTCATCAAGATCCAAAATGTAATGACGATGACAACTTCCAGTAAATGACTACCCCGAACGGCCCCGGTTCTCAGATTAGCCTTTGTTTTTCTTTTTATGATACTTGGGAAGTGCCACCAAATCAAAAACAAATGAACGCCATGCAAATGCTTGACACTTGACACATGTCGATGACATGGATGGCTGAATGGCTGAATGACTGAATGACAATGCCGAGGAACTGGGACTCACCTGACAATCATACTCCATATTCCCAAAGGATACGCTGGTGTTTGATTCGTCTTGTAAAAGAACGGACCGGCAATGTTCCCGGTGCAATACCCCAGGAACAGCACGGCGTTGGTGACGACCTTTTTCGTGTGTCCTGCCGTGTTTGCGATCTGGAGGGACAAGATCATCACAAACGCTGCGTTGTACGGTCCCGTCAGGAGGTAGCATATGTACCTCCCCACGTGGTGCTCCTCGGGCACGAACCGCAGTCCGAACGCGCCGGCGATGTTGGGGCAGAGAAAGATCAAGATGAATAGACAGCGCTTGTTGTTGGCGAAGCGGTCGTTCAGAAACACGCACGTCAGGATCGACACGATGATGAAGGCGCCGTAGGGGATTTGCATCAGCGTCGTGACGAGTGTGGAGAAACCGAATCCTGAACAAGGACGAGGGGAAGGACGGTGTCAGTAAATATCCCTTCACCGACTAAGCTATCGAAGGAGAAGGACTGGATAGGTAGGTGCGTGCAACGACAAATCAGTAAGGAGTAGGTCGGTACCTTTGATGATCAATGTTCCAAAATTCGAAATGCCACCATTGGGTATGTTCCCAACCAAGGCTACAAGGAAGAGTAGATATGTCTTGATGTCCGTGAAAGCTTCGACAACTTGGTATCCCTATTAGACAGTATTAGCCATCGGTAGGTGTGAAAAGTGTCAGTCTGTCTATGCCAAACCAATCACCCCGGGAGTAGTGATTAGGCAATTGCGAACCTTTAGATGCTTATTTTCAATACCAGTCTGGTTACTTTTGAGTCGTTCGACAGCTATCCTCTTTTCTCGCTGGTTCAAGAACTTTGCAGTCACGGGCGAGTCGGGCATGAAGATACCGATCACTATACCCCAAGCGCAGCATAGGGCGCCGATGATGATGAACTCATACCTCCAGGATGCGAGGGCACCTTTGATGTGACCTATGGCGTACCCCAAGAGGCCACCCAGTGCTATGCCGGCGCCGTTGGCAGTGTACCAAAGACCTATTCTGAGTGCTGTCTCAGGATCAAGGTCAGGCATGTCAGTGGAAGCACGTTCGAAGACTTGAGACACAAAGCGACGCAGACAGGCAGGAACACAACAAGACTCACGCTGTTCTTTTCGTGTGTACCACTAAAAGAAAGAAAGGTGTGGTTAGTCACTGGATTGAATGCATAAGGAAGGAGAAGGGCGGTGGCGGTGGTGGTGGTTATATTTACCATCTGTGTAATCAACATGAACGATGGATCTGAACATGCTTCAGCCGCACCAGCCAGGGCTCGTAAGACGCTCAAGGTCGTGAAACTGTTGCATGCCGCCTGGAGCATCAAGAAGAATCCCCACATGAAGATACTAGCGGTCACATGTACGTTAGAACCGTGTCCTTAAGTAGGTTGAGGACCAGAGACAAGATGGCATCACGGAGGAGGCGCTTACTTGAATCCAACATATTTTCCCAACGGGAGTCTTTGCATGAGGAAATTGGTCGGGAACGCCCATGCTAGGAATCCAAAGTAGAATAAACCTGTGCACAGGAACAACACGTCAACAGTTTTTCAAGTGGCTCTCACACCCTCAATAAGTGAAGACCAAATCATGCTCGATGCATCAAGGGAGTCGGTGGTAGGAAAAGGGAAATCCAAAACGTACTACTGAGCCAACTGTACTGTGTGCCGTGCAGGTTCAAGTCTTCCTTGATCCCAAAAATGGCAGCGTAGGAGAGCGTGGTTTTGTCAATGTAGAAGAACGCGTAGTTGACGGCGATGAGAGGGAGGATGACAAGGTCGACCTTTCGAATGAGTTTCTTCTCTTCAAGTGGATCGATCGGGTCGTGAAGGTCGTCAGGGTTGGCGAAGAGCTGCAGAGCCACGTCACCGTCGTGCTCTTTGGTCTTGGACGAAAATTGGAATTGGTGCTTCCTGGGAGCGAGACTCGTGTTCTCGATCTCGTTCTGGGTCGAGATGCCCTTATCGTCGGGGGTGGTGGTGTCCATTCGGTCTGTCCGCGGGTGGACGTACTCGTTAGTAGCGATGGCGACCGTTGAATGTTGACTGATACTTGATGCAATGACGAGCAGATCCGTCGATTGATCTCAAGAGAGTACGAGTATTGTCAAGATGTCAGTCACACAGCACACAACAGACGCAGAGCACGGCACCAGGCGAAAGAGAGATTTTCCACAGAACCAGAACCAGGACTCACAGGCCACCATAAGTAATGAAATCGGTCAAAGGACAGTCGGCTATGTCGGTGCATTGTCCGAGCGAGGTGACCAGCATTAAGCCATACCCGTTGGCCGTATGACGATGCTAAAGCTTTGTGGCGCTCCATGCTAAGAAAACGGCTGGCGGTGTCCCATGCTCGTACCCATCAAAGTCTTAGCAAGCTTGAGGTGCTTGGAGAATCCTACCAAATCAAACTTCTCGAAAGGCCGAGAACTTGAGAACCCCGGGTTGGTGGCATGCAGATCCATGAAGCCATCATGTCCACATGTGCGGAGAAGAAAGATGGAGAAAGGGGGTGAAGATGGGGGTATAGGGGGTGGGGGCATATACTCGAGGGATTAAGTTGGGGGTCAAGGGGATAGTTTTATTCTCTTACCGTACAGGAGGAGTCGTCATAATGATGGTGAGCATACAATACTCCGATACTCATCTTCTCTGGCAGCTTTGGAGGAGTGCAGACGTTGGTTGACCCTAGAGTGAATGTCATCCCGTGACGTGGATCGGTGGTGTCATCCAGTGGTAGTCAGGTTCCGGGAGAAGTGCTTTCTTTCTCAATGCTTCGTATATTCGTACGGCGCAGCAACTCACAATCGTTCCACTGTCCTATCCAATTCGTACTATGGTGTGCGAGGTATCCCACACGGACAGACTCCTCCATAGCCGGGTTTCCAGCCGGCCATGGTTCCGGTCTGGGGCTGCGATGGCTTGGCTACAGGGATTGTGGACCTCTGCACAGATGCCAGAAGTGCGGGACAAGAGGTAGACGAAGAGAGAAGACCGAGGAGGGAGGCCTGTTTTGGTACATATATCTACTCATACCTTACCTGGATACTTTGTCAACGCAGCATGACCCACTCGCCCGTGATCGCCGCTCAGCAAATGTTTACCAACTCAGTATTATTATCCGTACACTTCTGAATGATTGGTAGATTGAAGTCCAGACTACCCCTGGGGACAGAGTATGGAGTACTGATCTCGGCTCCTCTCGGGTAGTCAGAACTTTCGGGGCACCATGTCGGTAGAGGGTGTCGAGAGGGGTCAATTCCAGGCGAGTCCTGACCGTGGGCATTGTGAAGTTCAGAACCAGCTTCCCTCAAGACCTTCAGTGGATCATATGAGCATCCATCATCATCGTCACACTCGTCCGAGGATTGCTTGAAATGTCTGAAGGCATCCCGCCATTTCCTTCCGACGTACCAGTAGCAGATATATCCACAGTCGACTTCGATCTTCTGTCCGAAGGAGACCCAGAGCAAGCACGGATACTACTGCACTCGTGCCAAAATTATGGTTTCTTCTACCTATCAAACCACCATGTCGACTCTAGGTTCATGTTCTCTCTCGCCGACGCCGTGTTTTCTCTACCACCAGAAGAAAAACTGAGGTACGACATGGGAACTACTGGCCACTATTATGGGTACAAGAGGTCTGGGGCAATGTTTGTCGACGACAAAGGCACAAAGGACCACAGTGAATTCTACAACATATCCAAAGATGAGGTTTTGGGTATCCAACAATCGGCGTCCACAGGCACCAGTTCATCGACTACCGCAAACCACCAACATCCACAAGTGGTGCTAAATCGGTTCCGTGAGCTCACAACTTTCATGAGGTCATGCCATAGCGTCACATCCGCCATCACAGCGTCCCTGGGGAAATCACTAGGATTGCCAGAGGGCCTTCTCGAGTCCTTGCACAAGCTCGAGAGGCCTTCTGTCGACCAGGCACGCATTACTTGTGCACCGCCTATCAAACCTTCCGGGACCATCACCTTAGGTGAACATACCGATTTTGGTAGTGTTACTGTCCTCTTCAACCAGCTTGGAGGACTTCAGGTACTCGCTCCCAACAAGCGAGACTGGGAGTATGTGCGCCCTCGTCCTGGTTGTGCCGTGATCAATTTAGGTGACAGTCTGGTCAAATTGCTGGGAGGCAGATTGTACAGTGCGGTGCATCGCGTTGTTGCCCCTCCGGGGACACAAGGTGACTCTGTCCGACACAGCGTCGTCTACTTCTCAAGGCCGAATTCAGATGTGAAGTTGCGGGACCTGTTTGAGTATCCTTCAGCGGACGACGTGGCGAACTTGGAGAAGTCGTCGGGCGAGGTTCTACCGAATGCTGACGACTGGGTGAAACAACGGGCGAAGAACTGGAACACTGCACAGTACAGAGACAGAGACTCTTACAAATTGAGTCGAGGCACCGAGCATAATCGAGGATATTGATATGGGTGTGCTCAGGAAAATGAAGATCGAGACTTTCAGGACCACTGCCGCCTTATGTCTGCCGTTCTTGTTGGAAGGATGAGTTGCCGGATCACTCACAACTCGACTAGTCTCAAAGCTTTAATGTTTTCATGTCACCATTCAAGCAAAGGAGAGTAGGTACTGAAGTCATTGAATCAGATCATCATTATATATACTCCCCTCGCATACCTGGATAAACAGGACAACAGGTAAACGACAGACCCGGCTTGGGTATATAGAACATGTACGAAATAGGTAGGCAGTCACAATCCCAATCACTCCCGGTCTTCCCTCGCTCGTACTACTATCAAAACATTCAAGTACTCATCAACACACCATGACAAGTTCGAATCCCGCAGGTCTTAAACCAGTCCCAAACTCAAACCTTTACCTTTTCACCCTCTTCACTCCCACTAGTAGTACTACTACCCTTGTGGCCAAAGCCTCCTCTCTCAGGAGCACCGGCCGCAGCCATGGTCTCGGCAGCACCGATACTGGTGCTTCCACCCTCCTTTCCCTCCAAAGTCATGCCAGGAGCGCCACCAGCCGGAGCGGCGCCCGTGTTATGTTCGACGTCCTCATAAGGTCTCCAGAAATCCTTCTTACCCCTGGCGGCGCGCGTGACCCAGGGTGGTAAGACACCACCTTCGATCTTGTACGTCCAGGGATCCTTGTACTCCTTGTCTGCGGGTTTGATGCGGCCGCCGGACGCCTTTTCGATGATCCACACCAAAGTGTTGATAACCATGTAGCTTATGATACCGGCGATCAAGCCATATGCGATACTGTAAGTGAATGGCATGATGGCGATGGTCAAGAACGCGGGTATGGAGTCACCAATGTATCGCCAGTTGATGTCTTTGGCGGCTTTGGCCCTGTTGTCAACCAGGGTCAGTACTGACTAATCTGATCGAGCAAGAGGAATATCCAAAAAACGAAAAGTGACAGCAAACACCACTTGAACTTACATTAGAGATCCGACAATGATGAGAACACATCCAGTAGCATAGGGAGGGATGGATGCGAAAATGGGGGCGAAAAAGATGGAGATGAAGAAACACAATCCCGTGGTCATGGCAGTGAGACCGGTGCCACCACCTTCCGAGATACCGGCACCACTTTCGATACTGTTGGCAAGCTTTGTTAGTATGCCGCACACAAACACACTCGGAAGGGAGAGGTCGGGGAAAAACTCACTATGCGGTAACAGGTGGTGTTCCAAAAAGAGCACCAATGGAAATACCAAAAGCGTCAACCAGGTATGCCACGGCGGATCCTTCAAAATCTTGAGTCTTTTCGTCAATCGCGCCGGCGAATCGAGCCATCGAGTACAAGGTACCAGTGCAGTCCAGAATGTCGACGTAGAGAAAGGTGATAAACGCCAGGCCGAATTGGCCTCCATACCCGGAGATATCCCATTCTTGTACAACCAAGATCTTCTCAATGGGATGGAACGTGACGACCTATTTGAAAAAGTCGAACATGCTATCACCGAGATCGGTGTATGGGAAATACGTGACGGGAGTGCCTCTGGGCCAGGAGATGATGCTGACCAACAAAATGCCAAAGATGATGGCGCCCTTGACGCGGAACATCATGAGCATGACGGTCAAGAAGCCGCCGCAAAAGATGCCGATCCACATGGTCGGGTTTCGCATCCTGTCCGCTGTAGGACACATGCCCGCTTCGTCCCGAAACTCCGGTTTGCAACCGGCCAGCTCCAGGGGAGTAGCTTGAGCGCCGACAACGGCACCGATACCAGCGCTGTAGGTCAAGCCAATCAGTGTCAAGTATAATCCGATACCGACACCTGTCGCCAGTTTTATGGATGCAGGGATCGCTCGAGCAAGCCACTGGCGAAGTCCGAGGACAGTCAAACCGACAAAGACAAATCCTTCAACAAACACGGCCGTGACTGCGACCTGGTAGGGGACAAGACCTGACCCGTGGTAGCCGACAACCGTGTATGCGAACTGCAGGTGGCAAAATGGTCAGATTTTGTTGTTGTTGGTTTTGCGTCCATCACCACCATGGTAACAATAACCCAGGGGACTTACATAAGCATTCAACCCCATACCCGGAGCCAGAGCGATGGGCATGTTTGCAAAAAGACCCATGCAGAACGTGGTCAAGGCAGAAATCGCCGCCGTGGCTGTGACCAAGTCTCGCTGAACGCCGGCGACGCAGAGCATGTACTCCGGGTCGCTATCACACAGATCTGGGCTGTCGGGTGGACAGACGCAAGTTCCGCCGGACTGAGAGACGATGGTGGCGTTGACGCTGATGATGTAGGCCATTGCGAAAAAGGTGGCCAAGCCAGCTCGAATCTCGGTGAAGAAATACGTGCCCTTTCGTTCCCGGGCATGTCCTGACCCGTCGAGTCGAAAGCGCTTGCCAACGAACGAGCGCGCGACGGCCAAGTTGGCGTTGTGAATCCATTCGTTGAAGCCCATGTTTGCGGTTGAGCGTTATGGGGACTGAAAAAGTGAAATGAAGAGAAGAAGGTCCTCAGAGGGCACAGGAGAGTCAGCCGCCCTTTCGTTCAAAAAAACCCTGGTTCGTCTTCGGGGGATCATCGAGGTTGATATATCATTCAGATCACTCGATACAATATGCACAGAAGGGGCCCTCCGCGAGATGACGCTCCCTTGGCGGACAAGGCTAAGAAACTGCTGATAAGAGGCATCTCTGCACACAATAACGTGTGATTATCGATTGATGATTGTCAGTTGGACCTGAACTCCGCCTCTCAGTGGCCCGCGTCGACGCATCCGGACCATCAGCCAAGACGACAGGCGGATTCCGCTTTTCCCAATAACGTCCAGGTGTCCTTGGCGAGGCTTTTCGACGCTTGGCCGTCTGATAGCTGCAGACATGGCTGTTGGTCGGGTCGCCTCGTTTGGTCTGTGGTGCTTCGGCGAGCGGCGATGTTCTCAAGATCTGGCCACGGCAGATCTTCCTTTTCGGCCAGTTGGCTCGTGCAAAGGGAGTCGATCTGATATCGGTGCCTCTGGTATAGCCTATAGCAACGAAAGGTGTTCCGCCAGGCCCCGGCTGCCAAGTCTCCCCGGACACTGGCGAAGGGCGATGAGCTCTGCGGCACCGCGTACGAGTATTGTACGTGTTATCTCATCAGTGCTGATGCACAATAAATTTCCGTAGGTCGTCGTACAGTACCTACCGTCCGCAGGCGGTGGAGATGGTGATGCACAAAGAGCATGGGTTGTTTATTGGCATGGATCGATCTGATCGAGACCCTGCTTTCCTTTGACGATGAATTGTGTCAACGCTGTTGGTCAGGCAGGCCGATCCCACAATTCCGTACTCGTCGCTCTGGCCAGCTGCATTACTGCAACCCTGCAGAGTTTTCATGTTTTGTCGTTGGTGGAGACAACGCTGGGAATTTTATTCCCGGCAGAAGCAACCTCGACTACCTGTTACCGAGGCCTTGACTAGGCCCAAAAGTGCGATGCATAATTGGACGCAACAGAGAGGGGAGTTGACAGGAGGCTTGTACAATAATACGAGTACGAGTGCGTTCTTCTTTGTTTCTGCCAACGAATGATAGCTGGTGCGTGGGAGAAGTTTGTAGAGAGAGCACTGACTCCGCAAGTTCAATTAATTAGAGCCTGGACGACGCTAGTCCATCGATGTACTATTACGCCGTACTGCACACTGTCCAATGTGCTCGTACTCACTCACACTCACTCGCCTGCATGAATCATGATGAACCCTTGACGGTTTTCCATCGCTATACACTCGTATGTGCTGTCCATTAACCATGAACTCCGTACTCTGTGCCCACAGCAACAGCGCCGGTGCACCACGTCCCAACCAACTGGAGGCACTTACTCTTTTGCAAACGACTCTTGATTGAATCCGAACCAACTGCTAATCCAGCACGTCTGTCTCACCCAGAGTGCCCATTCGTCTCGACCTCCAGGTCAAACTCCTTCCTGATGGCGACGCCGACCTTCTCGACCGCTTCTCGCATCTTTTCGGCCGGAGCCGCCGCGAACGTCATGCGGAAGAACAACTCGCGATCTGTCGCCCGTTGCGCTCTGAACCAGCTTCCCTTGGCAATCAACACGCCCTGGTCGGCGCAAGTGGTGAACACGCTGTCCTCGATCTCCAAAAGAGTGGCATAGTCAATATCGCCGCCTTTCGCCTTGTACAATGGGTGGCGAGTTAGATCGACGCCGATCCAGTGGAACATTCCTGCCTTTGGTGGCACCCAGGAACACACTTCTGTCGGCAAATGCTCCTCGCACGCGTTGACAATGATGTCCCTTCTCCGCGTATATTCGGCGCGGATGAACATCAACCAGTCCAAGAATCCCTTGTGGCCCCAGTTCTCCTCGAGCAAGTTGTGCAACGCGATCAACGAGAACCCGGACGGCGTCTGCACGCTGACCTCGGAATGTCGCATGAACCGCTCAATGACCTGGGGCGCACCCGTGACCCATCCCGCTCGGCTGCCAGGCGCGATGATCTTGGAGAACGAGTCCATCCTCAAAACACGTCCTGATGTGTCGATCGACAGGTAAGACGGGACCAGATTGCTCAGAAACTCCTTGACGGGAGCGGGCTTGAAAGGCGACGGGACGGTATGTGTGTGTCCCGACACGTACGGTTCCATCTGCAGGAAATAGTACGGCTCATCTTCGAGGATGAATAAGTCATGCTTCTCGGCAACCCGGTAGAGTTCCTTCCTCCGCTGCAGAGTCTGTGTGCTGGCTGTCGGATTCTGACCTGTCGGCACAGTATACACGAGGAATGGCTTGGGCGCTCGTCGTGCCTTCTCGTCCCAGTTGGACAGGGTATCGTCCAGGTCGTCAGGCAACATTCCGTCGGCGTCCATCTTGATTCCCAACATCTTCGCCCCCAATGGCGCAACAGTCTCGATGGCACTGCTGAATGTATACTCCTCGGTGATGACATAGTGTCCTCGCTCGGTAAACATGCGCAGCGCAATTTCCAGGGCTGAGGTGCTCCCCGCAGTCATGCAAATGTCCCAATCCGAATATGGCGGGTTGTGCACGATCTCGGTATGTTCCGTGAGGTATCGCAAAAGAGCGCCGGGACCCATGGACTGGCCGTAATTGAGCGCGATGGACAAGTCGAGAGCAGACTTTCCGTCTCTCGTGGCGTCATACTTGCCGGAAGAATACGTCTTGCCGGACACTGCAGTCTCGGCCTCTGTGAACTCCGTTGGGACGGGAACCTTGGCCGCGAGCTCTTCGAAGGGAAAGTAGTTGCTGGACGGAAGACCGCCACAAAGGCTGATGGTGCCAGGCTTGTAGTATCTCATCGCATCCTTCAGACTCGACGGCTTTCTCGATTTGCTCTCCTCTGTCAGCCGATGTGCGAAATTCTTGGCTGTGGGTTTGCTGAAACATCCTTTGCTTTTGAACATGTCCGCACTTGTGAATGCAGCCACTGTTGCCGGTGGCGGCTTTGACGCTTGCCGATGCGGCAGGACATCGTCGATGGTGAATACTGGATGAGCCGCCGTTTTGGCTTTTGCGTCGTTGACCACGAAGGATGATGTATCCGTGGCGGCGGTTACCTCTGCGTGAGGTGCCATGTTGCAAGGCTGTCGGGAAATACTAGGAGTAGGATCAATATGCTGCGCAATGCTGAGAATGTCAACCTTCTGGATCACCAAAGAAGGTACGGAGCAGCAGATCTGAATGTTTTGAATGCGATCAATCTACAGGTGACGCCAGGGCTCCGAAAAATTATGTAAAGGGAAAGCCACCCAGGGGTCGATAGAGGAAAGCTGCGCTTGACGTCGGTTATCAGCTTATCTTCGGCTAGTTCGTCTCCACCTCGGCCAATCACATGACCCCCATGCACGTGCAGCCCTAAGCTAGTCCCAACACGTCTTAATCTGCCATTGTAAGGGCGCAGGGGGCCCAAGGGCGTGTGTACGTCGTGTGCTCGTAGACGGAAAATGCATCAACAATGACACCTCACTATCTCCTGTACCTCCGGCTTCAGCGGCATCGACGGCATCAAGGGCTTCCGGAACGCCTACAACGTCAGCTCCGGCATCACACACCGTACTCTGTCACAGGTATCGTAGCAAAAGCAACTCCTCATATTCCAGCTACTGAGCCTCAATCAATACTTCATACTCGTACTCAATCTCCGTGTCCTCACTCTTCCCGTATTAACGATTGTTTTCGTCCATGGCCAGTCCCAATGCGCAGTGATATCGTGTCATAGTCAGACAGCCCCCTTTTGTTCTTTCCTTGTCCATCCATCCATCCCTTGCTATCCCGGTATGATTTCACTCGGTTCCCTCCTCTCATGTACACTCATCAGAGCCCAGAAACAAAAGAGACTTCTACCCCGTGTCGAATCACTCTCTGCTCACCGCCCTATCGACAACGTCACTCGACCTGGCAATCCCCAAGGCCGCGCGCGAGACACCGGCAGGTGGTACACCCTGGTCACTTGCTGACCTGTCGCCACCTTCACTCTTTTTCTTGTTTTGTGTCTTGTTCTTCTTTCACGCCCTTTTCTTCTTTCGCGTCTTGAGGATTTTGGGGATTGGACTTGCTCTAAAAGTTGTCGTTGGAGATGCCATTGTGGCCGGTGGACACGGCGCTGGGATAGCCGTACGCGTTGGTAGCATCGTGTTCGGTCGAGTTCAGGCCATGGGTCGGATTCAATAGTTCGCCGGCATTCTCGGCTTGCCCGGTGAAGCCTGCAGCGCCGGAGGCGGAGGCAGAGCCCTGGACACCGCCGCTGCCGCCGACGGGACCGCCGTAGCCACCGCTGCTGGTAGGTCTGGCCTGATTCTCGCCTCTTGTGGATTGGGTCTCATCCCAATCAGTTCGAATGTTCAGATTGAATACCCCGTCGAAGTGACAAAGGAGAAGAGGGAAGGAGCGGGGAGGGACACCAAACTTACTTCGCGGTACTTGGACAGGTAGATCTTGAGCGCCTCTGCGTAGTTTTCGAACCCCAGCGAGGTCATGGCAAAAAGAATATCCTCTCCATTGACCGTCTTGCGCTTCTCCTGTTGACATTTTTCGGATGCTGTGCAACGTTAGTCAAAATGCCCGACGCCCTTTCTCGTGGCTTCTGGAAGAAGCCCTTGTCGCTCCAACGTACCTTCGCTGGTAATGAAGCTGATGAACTCGCTGACGCATTCTTGCATGCACTCTTTCGCTTCCTTGGCGATTTTGGCGTTGTCGGGGAGGGCTTGTTTCATGATCCGGGCCACTGGAGCAAAGTTTCTGATGTTAGCATCTGACATTGCTGAAGCAGAAGCGGACAACGAAGACAGCGAGCGCGCGCCGTGCTGGCGGGACGGCAGTGGACGTCTGGGATCCAGGTCCGCCGACATGGTCAGAGGATTGTAGTCTCGCTGAACAGCAATATGGTCAAAGTACTCCGAGTGGTCCAGGTACCGCACCAGTCAGCGCAAGGCAGGGCTGCGATGCAAATCATGGCTTGGGAAGAGGAGGAGCACGAACGAATGAGGTGAGGCTGGCTAAAGAGAAGGTGCAGCGTCGTACACTCGGATTCGCACAGAGGGGTCAAGCAGCGTCCCTGGCGGCACGCAGAGACGCATGGCTGTGACGCAAGGGTCGAACAAATCAAACGTCGGCGGCCATCCAAGAGCTGTCGTCGCACGGGGACGGGAGAAACACAGACACAGACAAAGGGGGGATATAAAATGAAAGAGCACCAACCATTTGCGATAGGAAGCCATCGGTCTTGCTCCTTGACCTCGAATTCACCCAGACCGGTGCCAGCTTGTCCTTCTTGTTCGCGATCCATATGATCCTGCTCTTCGCCAGACTGTGCGCTCTGTTCGACATCGGGCTCCTTGGGTGGGGAGGTCGACATGATGTAGTTTCAGGATAGCCGCAGCGGCCGGATGACAAGGCGAGAAATCGTTTGGCTAACCTTGACCACGTCACACACCGACGCAGAATGCCTAATGCTGGCCTGCGTCACTCGCGAGAGACCCGTTGGTCAGACGATCGCCTTCTCTTGCGCTGTTCGTGCCCGAAATGATTTCCAGCCGGCTGGCTTCCCAGGCGGACTAGTGGACGGGCTGCAGGGTGTGCGCTATGGCGGTCTTGGGGAGGACGGGGCCGTGTGCGAATCGAGGCGGTCTACCACGAGGCACGAATGACGAATTCGGTGGCAGAGGAAGCGACAGCCAGAGACGCAGCGAGGGGTGGATGTGTACAGGCTGTACAGCGCAGCTTTGCGACGCGATGCGACGAGGATCGGGACGGACAGCTGCAGGAGGCGGATGCGGATGCAGACGCACACGCACACGCAGATATCGCGACGGTCTGCAAGTGTGGTCAGCCGGAGAGAATGCTTGCTTAGTGTTAATTGACCAGATGGGCCCGACTAGTATCGAGATCTAGGGTCGTGGGAGGTGTGTGAGAGTGTCAACATACATGATTGATGCAGCTGCGACAATGCCTTTAGCACCTAACGGCAAGGCGGAGGTGGGAAGGCAGCGAGACGAATGAGCTGGACGCTCAGCCTGCGGCGGGACGAGCGATTGGACAGGCGGAAGATTTAGACGGCGTCTGTTGCCAGTCAGTTAGTCTGGAGGCAGAGGGACCGCATCAAATCAGGAACAAGAGAACGTACTGGGATGTGGTGACAGTACGCGATACTCGGTACCGGGTGCTTTTTTACGGGATAGCGTGCCAACAAACACCAGGAGATGTGACTGGGGCGAATATAGAGATGGAACTGATGGTACGGAGTACGGCTTGTAAGGTGGTGTGGTTCGTCGTCCGATGGGAGGGGAGAGAATTCACGAGAGAGAGAGGAGGGCGACGACGAGAGCGACAAATGGTTGGCGGAGGAGGAGAATGGCTTTGTTCAGCAGGTACGGAGGGTTGCGTACTGTAGGTGTTGCTAGGACCAGCAGGAGTACTAAGTTAACTAACTAGCTAGTTACCCTAGGTATTACCTACAGTACTGCAGCACGTCTACGGGTTACTGGGGGGCTGGGGGAGAAAGACACTTGGGGCGGGCACAGGCATGAACAGGCACCCTGGGTAGGTATGAAGGGCCACCGTGCCGCCTGGGGGATTAGATATACAGCAGTACCTGAGTTCAGTTAAAGAGGCCGTGCGCGCGCTTTAGTGGTATCAATAATAAGGTACGGTACAATAGTACCACAAACTAGACCCACTAACCTGGTAGGCGTTATGAGTACTAACTAGCTTAGTTAATAGAGGGTGTCTCTGCGTGGGCTGTAGCCGTATCACCCTCCTTCTTACTGTACTTACCGGAACCTCACATCTGTGTCCGAGAACCATAGCGACCTACGGGGCCGCAGACACAACATCTGTTTTCTACAAGTACGTACCAACTAACCAACCCATGCACTCTACCGAGCTCATGCATCAGACCTCTAACTAGGGCTCACACGTCCTGATTGATGGCCTCGCTTCGCGACCCATGTCCCGGCCGCCATCTATCTGCAAGCCATCAGCCTCACCCGAACCATGCTCCCGGTACAGAAATAATCCGGACCACCATGCTCACTCTCTCTCAGCTGGCCAAGTCCCAGCGCTGACAATCTCATTCTGTTCGCCTGACACTGGCTCCTGGTCCATCTTCCCGCCTTTGTTCTCGATGCACGACCGCCTCTCTGGGACTGTCAAGGCGCGACTAACTCAGGTAATCACGGGGTTAGAGGTGGTTGACCGCCTTCCCTGGGACCATGATACCTTGAGACTTGTTCTCACCTTGGACTACGATTACTTTGACACTGGTTGACCCCTTAGCAGGCTGAGCGTGCACGAAGCGAGGGCCAAAAGCGTGATTGAAAAAGCCTCGGTTCTATTTCCAAACATCCGTACGAGTACAAACATACTCGGTCCTCTTCATCGCCCCCCGCCGCGACGCGGTACGTACTCCATTTACCCAGATCCCGACGCTCTGAAACTCGCGGTGAAGCCACCGCCATTTCTGGACCGTGTGTACGGTGTACAATGTCCGGAAATGCTCAATCGCGAACGGAGTAGGAATAGAGAGAGATCGCAACCTTGGAGCTCTGCTGTTCCAGGATAGGTTCATCAGGGCAGGGGCCCATGAAAAGAGGAAACCCGCCCCCCGTCTCCCCACGACGACAACAAACAACAAACGACGGGTGATTGCTGATCGCAGATCACACTCGGTATCGCCGTCGTATTGGTACCAGGTGTGTCCCCGGAGTGAGAAACCGTGATATACTTCTCATGAAACTCGTCAATTTCCGCTTGTAGTGACACAATCACCAACCAGCACTCGCAGGTACAAGTACGAGGTACAAACGGCCCTCTTGTCACATGAAGCAGCAATGACGCATTCCACCTTCACCAATCAATCGCTCGATGTCCTAAATTGTCAACATGGCTGTAATTGCCAATGGCCTCGGAGTCACTCATCGTACTCACAAGTCACGAGCTACTGCGAGTGCTACCTGTGCCGGTACCATAAACGACTTTTTGCTTCTACCGGTGCCCTTCCTGGTCAAGTTCGTCATGCATAAGCGCCCATTTTTTTTACCTGCAGGCTAAGGAGTACTGGGTATCTAGCTAACTAACTAGAGTTCTGCAGCTCAGCCTAGTAATCACCCCGAGCCAGTCCTACTTAAGTTAAAAGACCTTAGCTAAGGTAGGTATAGGGAAGTTGGCCACCTCAGCCGCCCGGGGTGTGATGTCGCCCGTTGCCTTTGCAAGAACAAAAACAAAAAAACAAAGAGCCCTACCTTGCCATGCCATGTCTTTCTCCCTGTTACACGGCCACGTTACCAAAAAAAAATTCCGCCCCGGAAGTGATCAAGCACGCTACAAAGCCATATCTGGGTAGGAAACCCCGAACCTTTTCAGGATTTTCGGCACAGCAGGGAGCAAACGGGGTGGGGACTTGCTTTGGTTTTGCGAAACGCCGTGACGAAAATACTGATGCCGGCCCGTCGGTCGACAAAAAGGAAAAAAGACCATATGGCCGCCTATGCACCCCTGCGCCTCACATTGGGCACCTACGCATTCGTCTGGCCTAACCCGGCTGTGCGTGGCTGTTCTGCTGTTCGTGCGTTGTGCCCACGTGCAAAGGTTGCCATATCGTTCATTCCTTTCCCTATGCTAGATCCACACCGATGGCACTTTTGGATTTTTGCAGGACGAAGATGAAAGACGTGACCATCCACTTCATTATCCGCCTCACTGCGTAAATGCGGAATGGACGTCTGGGGATCGAGAAGGACGTGCAACCACCATCCGGAGCATGTGCTCGGCTTCTAGGAAAAGACTGGTGCGAAAAGTATTGTTATTCAAGAGAGCACTCTAAAGCAGTCAAAGACGTTGCGCGCGGGACGTATCAGAACAAAAAAGGGGTATCATAACAAATCACTCATAGAAAGCAAAGACTTTCAAACTCCAGCATTCCAGCCTGTTTTCAAAAAGGCCGCATTCACCTTGGGTACAAAGCTGAAAAAACCAATGGCCGAGACAGTCTCCTTGGGTCCTGGGTCTCCGGTCATCACGGAGGACCTCGCAAACGCCACTTGCAAAACTTGAGATGAATTCAAGATGCTTCATAGCGACGCGTCTGGTATGGGGCCTCGTAGATGACTTCACGGTCATCATTCGTCACCACATGGGCACGACGGGTCATGTTGATAGGCTCAACCACGCTATAGCGCTCAGTGGTCGAAGGAAACGCATTGCCCTCATAATAATAGCGCGTTCGATACTCGCTATGATGGGGGCCGGCATCTCGGGAACCGAGGCGTACAGCTTCATCACTCGCCATCCTTTCATCCATGTATGGTTCGTGCTCGACGTAAGAACGGCCTCTCTCGCCTCGGAACTCAACGTAGTGTGCAGGAGCTTCTTCCGCGGGACGACGATATCCTCGTCCAGTCATTTCTGCAGACGTCTCATACTGCTTTGGCCGTCGCCGATATCTATCCTCGTGGTAGTATTGAGCTCCTGTCGGAGGTTGAGGTTCAGCATCCCCAATTGCTCTCTCATTCAGCTGTCTGAAATCGTCGTCATGATAGGGTCTATGTGGCAGTCCAGGAATGTCGTCAGCGCGGTCGCCGTGCCCTTCCGGGTTCACAGGCAGATTGGATACCAGACTCGGATGACGCGCTATTTCGTAGCTGCGAGGTTGAGCTTGGCCATCATTGTGCAACATTGTTCTACCACCCTCATACATTGCTAGAGCGGGCATGTGCATTCGCTGCAAGGGTCGGGCGTTTGCACCAGCTGCATCAAGAAATGGACGATGGGGAAGGGGATTCGTGGAAATTCCCGTGCCCGGTCGAGAGTCAGGCAAGTCTGGAGGTCGGGACCCGGTCCGCGGCGCAAACGAGGTGCCGCTGCCACCTTCAATTTGAGAGGGACCCTCAGCGGTCGTTGGGTCAAAATTTGCGAGGAAATCAGCTGCTGCAGTCGACTCAAGATCACCTAAAGAGTCTTGTGGTGCGGAATGCTGCGAAGGTGCTGACAGCCGAAACGAATGCCGGCTTCCAGTTTTGCTGCTTGGCCGTGCTTCTGAAATGGTGGTCTCACTGTACGCTGTTAAGGGCTCCCGATATGACCATTTTGACGACTCGTCTTCATATGAGTAGACCAAGGAGTCTCGGGACAAGGGTCCTGGACGACTGCGCATCTCCCAAGCAGGACTGGACTCGGATAGTCTAGAATGGTATTCCTGACGAGGGGGGTATCTTGTGCTAGGTGTAGCTTCAGCTGGGTGCCCATGCAGATCATGTGGTAGAGGAGAAACAGCAGCCCGACCCTGCCTTGGGTGTCTTTGAACAGTGGCAATTCCACGGCTGTGAAGATGGTAATCGTCTTCTCGAGCGCTCCCAGATTTTTCTAAGCGAGCCATGTGTGGCCAAGTGCCACCATCACGTGCACCAACATTGCGTGTTCGAGGCGATAGTGATTCCAAGGGGACTGCATCAAACTGTGGAGCAGGATACAGCCACATGTTGGGGAAAGCTTCAGTAATTACCTGAAATTTGTCATCATCAATGCCTCGCGAGTGCCGTAGAGCCATTATTGCAGCACTACTTGGGAGCAGGATCATGTCCCGTGTCCAATCCAGCCCCTGCACGCCTTGCCCAGGTCTCTGAGGTAATCCATGCAAACTGAGACTGCTACTGGAAGCATCTGGGTCGCAGTGCGCAGACTGAAAATGGCTCAGTAAGTTCGGGACGTCATGTTCGATTCCATTCCCTTCACCCTGTCGGCTAGGTATAGATCGCAAGCTCTCAGCACAGATGGCGCAACGGAGTCCTGATAAACTGCGCAAAAAGTACAGCTCTGATCGATTGAAAGACACATCTCGAAATAGCGGAAGCCCAAGTTGGAAGTTGAACATCCGTCTGAATCTCAAGTTCACGTGGTAGATGATAACATAAAGTCGAACAGGATTTGAAAGGTCCCAAACACCGTCGGTCCTGCGCCAGTATTCAATGACCAGGTTAGTTACTTCGACCGCGGGATTTTGGATGGTGACATGTTGTTGCGGTCTACTTGGAATACCAGTTGGGGGCTGCCACGCAGGTGTTTGTAACTGTTGTTGGGAATTCTGCGGAAGGTTGTGATTTTGGTCTTGCACCCATGGAATGTTTGGAGATGGATCAAAAGGTGGTTCAACCGGCCAGTCAGCGTCCCAGTAAACAACAGCGTTGCCGTGACTCAGCTCGTGGGTGTGCTTAGCAGCATAATGTTGAACGACTGCCTCGAAAGAGAATAATTTCTGAGTGTTATCGCACACGCGGCACAGGAACAGGTCTTTGCCAAATCGTTCAGTATGGGGTTTGACCAGCTCGTCGAATGTCCACTTCATGTCTTTCAGCTTCAAGCTTCGGAAATGCAGGGATTCTGAATCTTGCGGGAATGCTGTCCCTTTCAATGCAAGCATTCTGTCTTCGCCTGCAAGGTCTTCACCAAACCGTTGGCGTACATGACAGAGTACCTCTGCGGCAAACTTGCTCGCCGTCGCTTTGGTAACACCCCGACCATCGGACCACGTTTGGCGAATGAATTCCCGAGCATAATGTTGAATTCTGTCGCGGGAGGGAATCTTCAATTCGGCCCACATATTGGCTTCGTTCTCTTGCGCTACACGTTGCTCCTCCTCGAATAACTCACGTTCGTCGGCCTTCATATCGTGGGAGGCAGCAATTTGGCGCCGTTCCTCACGTTCTGCAGTAACACGTTGTGCTAACAGTCGCGGCTTTAAAATCTCCCAAGCACCCTCGGTGAGCGGCATAGCTATTTTGATTGAGGCTTTGAAAGCTTCCATAAAAGGCAGAGTCGATGGCAGGATGGGTGGTCTCATGGCGAGGCACCGCTGTTCAATTTCTTTGCGACGTGCGAGCATGGCCTGCTCTGCTTCCTCCTTACTCTTTTCAGACCTCTGCTTTGAGGCTTGCCGGAAAGATGTAGAAGTGTTCGACCCTACAAAAGGATTCATTAGTAAGAGATTTCGACCCAACGGAACGATTCAGACACCATAGTGTCGTCCGGAAGTAAGAAAAAGATCTTACTAGCTGTGTCAATCTCCATAGAGCCTGAGCTGGGCGAAAAGTCCCCAGACACAGATGGCGGCAAAGTGATTGATTGGTTGACCTGCATTGGATGGGTCTGTGCAGAGAGCGGGCGATCTTGAGCCAGAGGCGTTTTAGTCGTCTGGGTTATATCGAAAGCCTTATGCGCTATTGGTACAGCGATCTTTGAGGGCCCATCTTGAAGTTCCCATTGGTCTAATCTCGCAGCATCCAACATTTTCCCTCTTCCCGTACTTTCCAGCCCCTTGTACCACTCTTCCAAGGCAGCAGTTCCAAGCGCCTGGACATTAGCACGCTCGGTCCGCATTTCTTCGAGTTGAGCTCTCAGGTAGTACTTGGCCAGCTGAACATCAGGAGGCGGATCCGCTCGTTCGAGGATTGTCGAGGGAATATAGTCCCATGACGAAGTCAAGATGGCATAGGGCAATCCAGGGAGAAGAGCTGATGAACCTGTGATCAGTACTTCCTTTTCCTAACGGGGTCAGTAATGTGAAGCATCAGAAGTTTTGAACGGCTCACCTTGATGGTACGTTTCTCCAAGCATCTACCACAAGATCTTATGCGGAACGGCCAGATTGAACGAACGTCCCCTGGTCCGGGACCGGCGCTCCAAGGAGATGTTGAAGTCTCCGATCGCTCTTTCTTGAATACAGCATGACAGAATTGGCATGACCGGCTTCTGATGAGTCGCCACATGTCCAATTCGGTCAGGCCCTTCAAGGGTCTTGGAAAACCTTGCAGAAATCGTTTTCTGGACGCAGTCCAAATGTCATTCTGGTTTGGAAACGCGTCTTGGGTTGTTGGAGAGAAGTCCTCCTGCAAGGGAATGATGCTGGGGTCAAGCAAAGAACGGAAACGGCGATTGACACAAATCAATCGGCCAAGGGTAATGGGATGAACAAAAGCAAAGATATGGCGCAATATTGTGTCCGGTAAATCCTCCATCGTCCGCTTGATACGGGGCGACTCTCCTCCCTGCCGTGGTAGAGAATGGCCCGGCAGAGGAGAAAAGAGCTTGGTCTTCTTCCTAGGCAGCCTATCATCGCTGCTCTGGCCGGCCAATGTGCCTTCACCCGAAAATGATCGAGATAGCGGACTGCCGGTAGCTCGATCTGGGGTTCCTGGAGTCCGTCTCCTTTTTCGCAGAAGAGTTGCATCTCTGCGATGCAACGGGTCGGTGAAATCCATGACGGATGGCCATTCAAGCCATTCGCATGAAGAGAAATGAAAATAGACAAACGAAATTAAATCTTTAGCACATCAATATCAGCGTTGTGAGGCTGATATCAGAATGTGCTACCCAAGCTTGATGTAATAGACACAAAACCGAAAACATCTCGAGCAAAAGATGAGTTCTTGAGAAAAATACGAGGAGTAGTCGCCGCGACGGCAACTGCGATCAGGTGCGAGTTGATTGATCTCGAAGCATGAGCAGACCCAGAACATCGAAAACCAATCAACAGGAGAGAAACACCCCAGGGGAGGGGTGCTTGGGAAAAAGAGTGCCTTTGAGAGACGAAAGGAGGCTTCAGATCTCAGATGCGCCCGTCCAAGCAGTAGCTGTGTTCGCCGAGCAAATGTGCACGTCGGGCGCCGGTGGAAGATGTGAGGCGGTGTGTTGTGACGAGCACGGCAGGTGAAGGGTAGCAGAAGGCCGATTCCGTGCGATCTTGTCGGCAGGGAGAGCAGGAACACTTGCGAGAGCAAGCAGGCAGTCGATGATTCGAGGAATAGTGGCGGATTCTGAAGCAATGTGATGCCTGGGAAGATGCAAATGATGGACACACGAAGCTGCGGTGGTCAAAGTTGAGCGCAGGCGCGGTGAGCCAGGCGGCCCGTCCCCACCCGAAAATTCTGGCTGTCTGACACGCTTGCTGCAGCAGAAATCCAGACAAATGCAATGCATCTTCTGTTCGTCAGTCACAATCTCGTCCCTCTCTGTGCCCGCTTTGTGCCAAGCCACTGAATGACGGAGAAACCGGGCTGCGCCATCTCCAATGTTGCTGCCGCTGCTACTACGGGACGGAGACTCCAATGGCGCTGAACTGGTTCCTGAGAATACAGACAGACACACCCAGTAAGCTGAAAGTGAGACCTCATTTTACGACACTCTCGCACACCCTCCTGTTGATTGCGGTTGTCCGAGGCAGACGAATATCGCTTTTACACCTCCTTCACCCTTTCTCACCCACCACCACCTCTTCCAGTCCCGCCCTCTCCTCAGTAGACATCAGGCACCCAGGTTCCGCCCGGACCTCGTCCCTCCTATAGCCCTTCATGGCCTCCCTCAATACTTCTACCAACGGCCCTTCGATCTCTAAAAGCTACCAAGCCATCGTCAATGCTCCTGCTCCCTCCGGGGCAGCCGCGAGCTCCCCAACCTACGGACAATGGGCCGTCTTCTCGGTCTCAGCTCCCTTAGCGAATGCTTTCCAGCAGGATTCAGCGAATAAGGAGAGCGTCCTTAAAGTTCAAAGTACTGGCGAGGGAGAACTCATTGATCTGGTGGACGAGTTCTCAGATGGACGGATACAGTTTGCATTTGTCAAGGTCAAGGACTCCAATACCGGTCTGCCCAAGTGTGCTTTGATCGCTTGGTGTGGTGAAGGAGTACCAGAGAGAACAAAGGGGTATTTCACCAGCCACATGAACACCGCTGCGAAGCTCTTCCACGGTTACCATGTACAGATAACCGCGAGATCAGACCAGGACCTGACGCCCGAGGGTATCATTCAGAAGGTGGCAGATGCATCTGGCTCCAAATACTCTTCCAGCAGCACTGTTCCGCCGCCCGTTGCGGCCTCTACGAAGCCCTCTGTTGCTTCGAAGCCTGTTTTTACTCCAACCCAAAGCAGCGGCGTATCTGGAGGGTATAACTCTGTCGGACGGTCAGCACCTAAGCGCGAGGCGAACGTCGATGCGGATGGCTGGGGAGATGACGCACCCCCGGTAGTTCGGACGCAGCTAGAAAAGGTCCAGCCAGCATATCAGCCCACAAAGGTCAATATGAGGGAGCTTACGTCTCAGCCGACTTCATCGTCAACATTCAGTAGCAGCCAAGGAGACGATAGACCCGGTGTGGTCAAGGGTGCATATCAGCCGGTAGGCAAAGTCGATATCGCCGCTATTCGGCGCCAGGCTCAAGAGTCTGGTCAGTTACGGGATGACCGCCCCACGATTGTGAAGGGATCCTACGAACCGGTTGGCAAGGTTGACATTGCTGCCATCCGGGCTAAGGCACAAAAGCCAGAGGATTCTTCGGGCTTTTCAAATCCTGCACCAGTTTCTGCCACTACTACCGGTCCCTCCGAAGAACCAGAACGGCCACGCTCGTTGGCTGAGCGATCAGCTGCCTTTTCTCAAGGCCCAGAGCGCCTGACATCCTTGCCAAAGCCGAAAGTGGCGAATAAGTTTGGAGGTGGTTCGACATTTACGGGTACAAAGGCACCCGTCCCAGGAGGCTTCGAGGCTAAACCCGTCACTCCGGCAGCGCCTGTCGGGGCGGCAAGCAGAACCTTCGCTGACCAAGGAGGCAAGACGCCCGCGCAGCTTTGGGCCGAGAAGAAAGCGCGCGAAAGAGGGGTTAGCGGATCAGGAGAGCCGCCTCTATCTCCATCTGGGCATTCCGGACAGAGCCCAATCGTGTCACAAAAGAGTGGTGACGGAGGATGGAAGAGCGGTTACACGGGCAAAAGTTGGGCACCCGTGCAGACAACACACACGGGTCGCAGCAGCATCGGTCAACAAGTCACTGGAGGCAGTGCAAGTAGAGAGCAAGAACTGGAAGTCCCTACTTCACCTAGCGGTATTGGATCTCTTCGCGATCGCTTCAGTGGTGCTCCGCCAATGGGCGCGCCGGCCTCTTTCGACCGGGCACCACCCCCTGCACCTGAACCAGACACGAGCAACAAGCCGAACCGTGGTATTCCGATACCCGGTCTTGCCATGCCGCAGAACGAACTAGAGGAGGAGAGTGCGCCTGCGCTGCCTACTCCACCTCCGCAGCCTCGAAGCCCTACTCCTCCCACTCCAGTTATGAGAGAGGCTTCCCCCATCCGGGTTGCAGTGCCAGTCAGTGCATCGGCGGCCCCAGCCGAGGTAGCTGACGCGCACGATGAGCAACTATCTCCGCCGCCCGCCGTGCCGGTGGCGTCCATGGCCAGGGCCATCCCTACACCTGCTGAGGAGGATGATGAGCCCGCGCGCGAGCCTGACTTTGGCAGAGCTGCAGCGCAGGCAGAGGCCGCGGCAACTATGGGCCACGAAGCGGTGGAAGCTGCGCCAGCAGCGGTGCCTGGAGGTGAACGTGCGAGAGCCGAGTACGACTATGAAGCTGCGGAAGACAATGAAGTTTCTCTACGTGAAGGTGAGCACCGGGGTTCTCTCCCAATCACGACGATATACTGATTTTCTATAGGCGAACTCGTGAGCGACATCCAGCGAATTGACCCCGATTGGTGGCTGGTGAAGAACGAAGCTGGACAAGTGAGTTGTTGCTTCTTTGCACTGCAACCCACGGACACTGTATCGCTAACATACGCTGGTAGACCGGACTCGTTCCAAGTAACTACCTCACTCTGCTGGAGGGGGAGGAGCCGGCCGCTGCCGCTCCATCGGTTGAAGCAACCACCGCAGCAGCTCCTGCAGTGCCCGAGCCTGCAGCCGTACACGGCGCCACAGCCACGGCACTTTATGACTATGAAGCAGGAGAAGACAACGAGCTGTCGTTCCCTGAGAATGCCGTCATCACCAATGTGGTAAGTTCAGGTATCTATTGGATTAGGGTCTCTGTTGGCTAATAAATCCCTCCCAGACATTCCCTGACGAGGACTGGTGGCACGGCGAGTACAATGGACAGTCAGGACTCTTCCCAGCGAACTACACGAAGCTGAACGAATGAGGCTATTTCGACGTTATGTGGAGGGGACCTTGGGGGTTGGAGGAAAAGCTTTGCTAGCCAAGTCCATTAGAACCAAAAAGATGAAAGTGTTGCCCTCTACAAGTAGATGGTGTGGCCTATTGTTGGTCGCTCTATGGAGTACCTCGTACGTCTGGGAGATCTGTCTTATGAAAAGCATGACGAAGCCGACCCAAGGAAAAATTTCATTTAGCGGTATGCAAGCGGGTGAAGCTTTCATCAGTGCCGTGGCCAGTCTTGGTTTAGTTGGAGCCAGCAGCGGCAAGCTAGTTAGAGATTTCTGCGATCGAATGCTCCATCCTGGTCGGTTTCCCCAGAGAACAACTCCATTCCGCAGCCGGCACACGACCAGGAAGAGTTTTTTGTTTTTTGCTTTTGGTGATCTGCACGGTAGGAACCTGCAGGGGGAGAAGATGATGGCGAGGGCAAGCAACAATGGCAACATCGGGGGCTGTATTTGGCACCTCTGCTGTGATTGCGTGGGTGTCTTGCGTCGCCGACCTCGTGCTGATAGACACATACTGTATTGGACCACCGCACCAGTAGCCCAGATCGCCCTTCTACTCGTGTCTTGATCGCTGTGGGTATTTCGCTGGCCGATCGGGAGCCTCAGTTGTGCCTTTCATCACTTGGTGCCTCGTCCTGGCAAAAAAAGATTCCAGCTTATCTATTGGCTGAATTTTCGGCTTCCCGCGCAGACGATCCTCACAATTTTTGGTGTCCGTGACTCTTAAATTCTTCCCTTGCTACGGAGTCTTTTTGAACGCGCTCACATTCGATTGCTGCCGATGTGGTGAGCTGTGTTCTGCCTTGGAGCTCACTCGATCTTTGCTAGTGTCTCTTTTCTGTGGTGGCGAAGAAGGCTGGCAGCATGGCTTCCTCCGCTCGAGTCCTCCGCCAGGCCAGCGGTATTCTGCTGCGAGACTGCGCTCCCAAACCATGTCCCTCGCACCGAGCCTTCTCGGTGCGTGCTCGTCTTGCGCCAATCGCGACTAGACACCACCTGCTGAGCCCCAAGACACCCTCATGGCAGCAGGCCCGAAAGTTCACCAGATCGACAAAGCGCTATGCTGCTGTCGACACCGCTCCCCGCCCCGAGGCCTACCTCGAGAGCGGTGTCGTGGAGCCAGGGAAAAATCTTGTGGGCGTGTCCAAGGTGCTTGTGATTGGGAGCGGTGGTCTAAGTATTGGACAAGCAGGAGAGTTTGACTATTCAGGTGAGTAGAGCTCAAACCTCAACTTCAACCAGCGGTGTTGGTCGCTGCGACTAGCATTTGCACGAAGGTTTCCACCGTGGCGATACTGGATTCTAACGTCTTTTGCGACAGGCTCACAAGCTCTCAAAGCTCTCAAAGAGGCTGGTGTGAAATCCGTCCTTATCAACCCGAACATTGCAACTATCCAGACCGACCACAAACTCGCAGACGAGGTCTATTACCTACCCGTTACACCTGAGTACGTCACTTATGTGATTGAAAGAGAGAAGCCCGATGGTATCCTCCTCACCTTTGGTGGCCAGACTGGTCTCAATCTGGGTGTACAGATGAATAGGATGGGTATCTTTGAACGATATGGTGTCAAAGTGCTCGGTACGAGCATCAGAACACTGGAAGTCAGTGAGGATCGAGACTTGTTCGCCAAAGCATTGAATGAAATCAACATCCCTATTGCACAGTCGATTGCTGTCGGTACTGTGGACGAGGCTTTGGACGCTGCCGAGCAGGTTGGATATCCTATCATCGTCCGATCCGCATATGCTCTGGGTGGTCTCGGCTCTGGCTTTGCCTCAAACCGGGAAGAATTGAGCAATCTTGCTTCGCGATCCTTGTCCCTTTCCCCTCAGATCCTCGTAGAGAAGTCTCTCAAAGGATGGAAAGAAGTCGAGTACGAAGTGGTCCGCGATGCTGAGGACAACTGCATTACTGTCTGCAACATGGAGAACTTCGATCCCCTCGGTATTCACACTGGTGACAGTATCGTCGTGGCTCCCAGTCAAACTTTGAGTGACGAGGAGTATCATATGCTCCGCACTGCAGCCATCAAAATCGTTCGACATCTGGGTGTTGTAGGCGAGTGCAACGTTCAGTATGCCCTGCAACCAGACGGACTCGACTACCGTGTCATTGAGGTTAACGCTCGTCTATCTCGATCCTCCGCATTGGCCTCCAAAGCTACTGGATACCCTCTCGCGTACACTGCCGCAAAGATCGGTCTTGGCCACACACTGCCTGAGCTGCCAAACGCCGTGACGAAAACAACAACGGCCAATTTCGAGCCCAGTCTTGACTACATCGTGGTCAAGATTCCTCGTTGGGATCTGTCAAAGTTTCAGCACGTCAAGCGAGACATCGGTAGCGCCATGAAATCGGTCGGAGAGGTCATGGCCATTGGCCGTACTTTTGAGGAGTCTTTCCAGAAAGCCATCCGCCAGGTGGACCCAAGATATGTTGGCTTCCAGGGCGACAAGTTCGAAGACCTCGACGATACGCTGCGAAACCCTACCGACCGACGCTGGTTGGCTGTGGGTCAAGCTATGATCCACGAGAACTACTCCGTTGAGAAGATCCATGATCTGACCAAAATTGACAAGTGGTTTCTCCATAAGCTACAGAACCTGAAGGACACCATGAAGGAAATCCAAGAAATCGGATCCCTGGCAGAGATCAAGCACGAGCTCATGCTCAAGGCCAAGAAACAAGGTTTCTCTGACAAGCAGATTGCCATGTACACCAACTCCACCGAGGGCGAGGTTCGCGCTCGACGACAAAGCTTCGGCATAAGGCCATGGGTGAAGAAGATCGATACACTTGCTGCCGAGTTTCCTGCCGACACGAACTATCTCTACACAACTTACAATGCGTCTTCTCATGATGTTACCTTCGAAGATCATGGAACTATTATCCTGGGATCTGGAGTCTATCGAATTGGTTCGTCTGTCGAGTTTGATTGGTGTGCCGTTAATGCCACCTTGTCACTGCGGAACATGGGTCAGAAGACTGTTATGATCAATGTAAGTAAGACGGAGCTCGACACCGCGAACCTCGCCTTGCCTTTCTTTTACTTTTTCAATGACCCCTTCTCGCCTTCAAATGGGAACCCTTTTCGTTGTCAACAACTGATCCTCTTCCCATTTTCAACATGATGCCCTTCCAACCTTCAACATGACCCCCCTCCCACTTTCAGCGTGACCCGCTCCCCATCTTCAGATGGCTCACTTTCTCATCTTCAAATGAGCCCCTACTCATTTTCAAATGGCTTATTTTCTCCTCTTCAAATGACACTTCTCATGTTCAAATGACACTCTTCTCATTTTCAAATGACCTCTTCTCATTCCACTTTCTTCGTGGCATCTTATTCTTATTTACCCCTACTTTTTGCTTTTACTAATCGTATAAACGTGTTCCAGTACAACCCAGAGACCTATAGCACCGATTTCGACACCGCGGACAAGCTCTATTTCGAAGAGTTGTCATACGAGCGTGTGATGGATATCTACGAAATGGAGGGCGCAACCGGCGTTGTTGTCAGTGTTGGTGGTCAACTTCCTCAAAACATCGCTCTCCGTCTCCAGGAAGAAGGTCATGCGAATGTGCTCGGTACTGACCCCAAGGACATCGACAAGGCTGAAGATCGTCACAAGTTCTCCCAGATTCTCGACTCGATCGGGGTGGATCAACCTGCATGGAAGGAGCTTACTTCTGTTGATGAGGCGGAGTCATTCGCTGATACCGTTGGCTACCCCGTCCTGGTTCGACCATCTTACGTTCTGTCCGGCGCTGCTATGTCGGTCATCCACAGTCAAGCTGAATTGAAGGACAAGCTGGAGTCTGCTTCTGCTGTGTCTCCAGACCACCCTGTCGTGATCACCAAGTTCATCGACGGTGCACAAGAAATTGACGTAGATGCCGTGGCCTCCAAGGGAGAGCTAATTCTGCATGCAGTTTCGGAGCACATCGAGAATGCCGGTGTTCACTCGGGTGACGCCACTCTGGTTCTCCCTCCTGCCAACCTCGACGCCAACGTGATGAGTCGAGTCAAGCAGATTGCTGAGAAAGTCGCCAAGGCTTGGAACATCACTGGTCCTTTCAACATGCAGATCATTAAGGCCGACGTGCCCGGAGAAGAGCCGGCTCTCAAGGTCATCGAATGCAATCTCAGAGCGTCCCGATCATTCCCGTTCGTTAGCAAGGTTCTCGGCACCAACTTCATTGATGCAGCTACGAAGGCCTTGGTGGACAATGATGTCCCCGAGCCTCGTGACCTTATGGCGGAGAAGCGCGACTACGTCGCCACCAAGGTTCCGCAATTCTCGTGGACTCGCTTGGCCGGTGCCGACCCCTTCCTGGGCGTCGAGATGAGCAGTACCGGTGAGATTGCCTGCTTCGGCAAGGACCTCGTGGAGGCATACTGGGCGTCCCTGCAGTCAACAATGAACTTCCGCATGCCGGAGCCTGGCGAGGGTATCCTTCTCGGTGGATCCACTGAGCTGCCAGAGCTGCCCAAGATCGTTGACTACCTCAGACCCCTGGGATACAATTTCTATGCTGCGAGCGATGATGTGAAGCGGCATCTTTCGAAGTCAGGAGTTTCAATCGAGGTGATTGAATTCCCAAAGACCGATAAAAATGAGCTCCGAAAGGTGTTCCAAAAATACAACATCCGGGGTGTGTTCAATCTGGCAAAGACCAGGGGTAAGACCTTAGTTGATGAAGACTATGTGATGAGGCGGAATGCTGTAGACTTTGGTGTGCCCTTGTTCATGGAGCCCAAGGTGAGTGTCGTCACGTTCCGTCCCTTTCCGTGGTTGGTGTGCACGATCAGCTAACCCTCCCTCACAGACTGCCTTGTTGTTTGCTCAGTGTATGAACGCCAAATTGCCACGAAAGGAAGGTATTCCGGAGGAAGTCAAGAGCTGGAGCGAGTTTGCCGGTGGCAAGATGATGTAATAGCAGGACAACAGATGGTCGAAAGGAAGATCAGGCTGAGGATGATGGGGTGGCCGTCGGTTGAATTGAGCGTTTGCGCGGTAAAAGCAAAAGAGATCTCTTCGTGATTTCAGACCTCAAAAAAAAGTTTAGAAAAAAGGGCGGACGCGGCCTGGTCAGCAAAATATATGGATGGTCTGCTGAATTGACTTTGGATATTGGCGCAGTAAAAGTGTCGAGACTCGGACTCTATGTATCTACCTAGGTAGGGATACCATATGCCAAGCAGGAACATGGACCCGGACTGAGTTAGTTCTTCAGCTTGAGTCTCGGTCGGGATTTGTACTCGTATGTCCAGATATTGGATTGCTTGCGGCTTGGGTAAGGATCCGGATAGGAGTGGATGATCATGATCGTTTGAGTATGAATCCCCTGGGCCGCAGCCTCGTCTTCTCAGCCTCGTCTCTCCAGCCTTGTCGCTTGACCTTCCCCGGCTATTTTCAACTGCGATGCTGTCATCACTTACTCGGTACATCCTCACAACCTCTGCTCAATTGAGACTTCAGTCCGTACTCGGCACAGATACAGGTGTATTGGACTCGATGTCTTGTCAACAAACCGTCTACCCTGCTATCTAAGCCGACGAATACCTTCGCCCTCACGGGTGGAACACAAACATGCTGCCCTCGTCTCGACAATAGCATTTTACAGCACTCACCCTTCCTTTTCCCCTTCGTCTCCACCAAGACCTTCAAACCACGATGAACCGCCGTAAGGTCAAGAGCCCAGCGCCTCCATCACCACCCACCAACACAGCAGAGGCGAATGGCTCTGTTGTTTCCTCACCGTCGAAACGACAATCAGCACAAGCACAAGCACACTCCGAGACCACGGCATTTCCCACAAGCAGTACATCGTCCAAAACCACCTCGATCCTCTCCATCTGGGCGCCAACACTCGTCCTCATATTCGGCGGCTGCTGCTCCAACGTCTACACCCTAGAATCCCTGATCAAAACGTCGCCCTCGTCGGGCCCACTGATCACGGCATTCCAATTCCTCCTCGTCGCTGTGGCCACGCTCCCACGACACCTGTCCCTGTCCCGCGGCTGGCGCCATGGCTGGCTCCGGCCCCGAGCGATCCCTCTGCGCAAATGGCTCGTCTACACGGCGTACTTTCTCAGCATCAACATTCTCAACAACATGGCGTTCAAATACCGCATCAGCGTCCCCTTGCACATCATCCTGCGGTCCGCGGGGCCCGTGACGACCATGGCCGTGGGCCGCATGTATGGCGGGAAACACTACCCTACGCACAAGGTGGTTGCGGTGTTTTTACTGTTCGTGGGCGTGGTCCTGGCCGCTTTTGCCGACGCCGCGAGCAAAGAGGCACACCGCTCGCCGTCGGACTTTGAGCACCAGCCGCCCACCTCCGCAGCCGCCACGACGGCGTCACAACAAGCGCCGGGTTTCGCTCTCCTGGCGTCCGCCCTGATCCTATCTGCCTGCATGGGCCTGTACACGGACAACATGTACTCCACCCACGGGCGCTCGAGCTCCATCACCTCCGAGACGCTCTTCTACAGCCACGCCATGTCCCTCCCCTACTTTGCGACCCAGATGAAGCCGCTCACGCTCGAGTTCGCCAGCGTCAAGGCCGCCGCCATAAGCGACTACGAGTACAACGAGCACGACAACCCGGGCACCTTTTCATGGGGTCAGAACAACAAGACCCCCATAGCGCTAGACCGCCGTCCCGTGGGATCTGCCGGGTCTCTGCCGTTGGCGGCGTTATTGTCGTCGCCTTCAAATTGGATGCCGGCCCTCTCACTCGCCCTGCACGTTCCTCGTCCCGTACTTCTCCTCCTTCTCAACGCGGCCACCCAGCTCCTCTGCATCGTCGGCGTGAATAGACTGTCTGCGCAATCGTCGAGTCTGACCGTCAGCATCGTACTGAACATTCGCAAACTCGCCAGCTTGGTCCTGAGTATCTGGTTGTTTGGCAATGACTTGCCAAGCGGCGTCATGGTCGGTGCCGCCATTGTCTTTGTAGGCGGTGGCTTGTATGCCATGCCTGGAGGCTTGGGGTTGGGATCTGGACCGGGGTCCTCGAAAGTAGTGTCTTTGAGTTCAGCCCCGACCAAGGAGGACGAGCACAAGAAAGAGAAGAAGGGTCTATGAGTGGGAGACTCTCGAACCACACACACACACACACACACACACACACACACACACACACACACACACACACACACACACACACACAAACACAACTAGACAACGACAACCATAAAATGACAGAAAGTAGAGTGACTACGTAGGGGTGGCCACCACCTAGAGACTAGAGGATAGAGGGATGGCAAAATAGAATGAAATGCAAAATGCACCGGAGTGGATCGTGTGTATGTCCCTGGTACTTACTTTACTTGGGGAACCCCCATGTCATCAAGCCACCTGGGAGAAATCCCTTCGCCCGCGGGTAGTCAAGTTTTGGGTGGTTCATAACCTCACTCGCCTACGTGGGTAGGTAGACACATACTGTATGTGATCGTAAGTCGACATTCTCGTACAGATGGGTCTCCTGCGCGGTGTTTTCCACACTTCCCGACACACATAGGTAGGTAGGTCCCTACCTCCCTGCCTGACCACGGTACCGTGTGTTACGTGTGCAGTCGACGATACAGGTACGGACGGAGCAACGAGTTAAAATAATGACGATGCCACCCTGGGAAACCAAAAGAAATACCTCGTCGACCACGCATGTACACACACACACGCACATTTACACGTTACCAATGGCAACAACCATGATCTTGTTCCGTTCCGTTCTGTTCACGTCGTAAAACGCTTCTCTCACCCCCCTTGATTTGTCTGTGCATCCATCCATCCAACCAACAGTCTCCATTTCCACCCACCTGCCCCTTTTTCGTTTCGCCTGAGGTGTGTTTTCCCCCTTCCTCTTCTGGATACCTACATATGCAAACGTGGGTTTTTCTTCTTTGAGTGAAGGTAGGGGGGAGAAGCCTGGGATTTTTCTTTTCCTATACGCCAAGTGTTATGCCCGTCCATGCCCGTGCCATTCCCGTTTCTTATATAAAAGACCAGAAACCACACACTCCCCGGGGACAAAAAACAAACGATCCACCATCACCACCAGATCACTCCTTTCTCCCCCAGCTCCCGGACTCGGGTAGTTCCTGTCCTGCCTTCCTCATGTCGTCCAGGACCAGATTGAAATTCTCGGCCATTTGTTGCAAAACCCTTCCACGATCCCAATCGTCTCGAGTCACCCATAAGGTATCCATAAGCACAGAGTTCACTTGCTCCAATTGCTCTACTGAGAGTTTGGTAGATCTGTCGGTGATTTCGGCGATGAAATTGTCCAATATCCGCTCCTCGACCTGCACGAGGTTTGCTCGTGTTGTTGGCGTCGTCACGGTGGTGGTCGGTGTCTGCGACGACTCTGAAGGGTTTAGGAGCCCTTGTATACCAACAGGCCCATTTGATTGTGACGGTCGTCGCTGCTCGTTGAACTGCGGGACCGGTGGCTGTGAAGAGGGCCCATGACCATTGCCCTGGCCCTGACCTTGGCCGTGTGGAGGGGACGACGGAGGTCGGATATGGGTAGCACCGGCGAGTGTGTCAACGAAATCTTGAGAAGCGGGCACATTTCCTACGCAACCGGAATTGATTAGCTCAGTGAAGAAAACACGCGTTGTCATCAAGTCAAATGATCCAGAGTCAGGGATAGACTTGGGCGTGAAAGGAAGTGGGTAATTGGAAGCCAACGCAACGGGAGCTGCGACATTAAAAACGCGGGTAAAGGGGGAAGAAGTCACTCTCGAGAGGGGTCCATTCAAACGATTGCGCGTACCTTGGGTGGAAGGGATCTGGCTGCCTGCTGCAGATCGAGCCTCGGGATACTCGTACAGGTTGGGTCCCGTTTCATGGTCGAGGTCACCAGAAGATGTCTTCTTCTCGGTTGGAGTCTCTGTTGTGCTCGCGTCGTTCTGGAGATCAGCAGCCTGGCTGCCGTGAGGCAAGGGGGTGAACGGGCCTGTCTGGGATCGTGGTGCTGAGATTCCCGATTCCTTGAGTAGTTGTTGCGAAGGTGCTGTCCACGTATGTAATGGTCTGGGCTGTGCGGATTCACGATGACCATATGAACTCGTTGTATGCGTTCTCTGAGTGTCATTGGTCTTGTCGTTGGATGCAGGGTGAGATTCGACGCCGCCCATTGGCGTATCACCCTCGACATCTGCTTGCGGAGCACCATTTGTGAAGTCACTATGCGCGAGCTCATCATGGGGATGTAGGCCGTTGGTGAGCACAGAAGCAGATTCTGCGCCATCTACTGTGACAGGGGCCAGTCGTTGCGCAAAATCACGCCGTCGTTGCATCGGCTCACCCAGAAGAACAGGGCCGGTAGATTCTGTGGTGACAGAGGGCCCAGAATTGCCATGAGCCACGTTTGAGGTGATTTGAGGCGGAGGCATTTCCTTGTTCCGCTCGCTCATTGCTTGGGCCTTCTCCAACACCTCCCTTTCACGGGCGAGTTCGCGTTCATAAACTCTTTCACATTCAGCATTCAAAGCAGGCTCGCCCATCTCGATGGCTGCAATGTCAACCTCGACGTTGGCAACAAGCTCATTTGCCTTGAGTAATCGGTCTTCATCACCAATCATCTTCGCGTCTTTGGCCAGACGCTTTATGTCGGCGAGAAAATCCTTCGGGCGCTTGTAATAGCCATTGCTTAGACGCTTTTCGATGGTCACCGAATCAAGGTTGTAGTAGAAATTGTCATTGCCTTGGTCCACAAGACCCAACACCCCATGAGCGTCCTTGCCGATTTCAAAGGGTCTGTAAGAGGCATGAGCTAAAACTTCGGTTTGCAGATCAGAAGTGACAGTAGCTGGGTCAGCCTCGTCGTAGAGATAGCGAATCTGGCTTTCGTCAATCACGCCAGTCCGAAATTTCTTGTACTTGGTCCGAATTTGATCCATGATAGGCTGCAAACGGAGCTTGAGCATGTTGAGAGTAAGTCGGTCTTTCTTCTTCTGCGCCTTGAGTTCCTCCTTGGACATTGGCGGCGGTCTTTTTTCTTCCACGGGTGCCACTGGTAATCTTTCGAGTTCGCGCTTCTTGCGATGTTTTGGATTAGGAAACTCATTGGGAGCAGTCTTGATGTAGTCCTTGAGGACCCGGAAGAACTCATATCGCTCATCGCGATTAGGAACTTGCAACTGAAATTGATTCTTGGGAGAATACCCAAAAAGGAGGCGTCTCATGTCCTCATCAATCTCGTCGGGATTTCCTTCGATGTAGCCGAGCAGCAATACAGGATCCGTCGGTTTGACAGACCTCAAAAGGCCTAGAAAGATCGAATGAACAGTTTCTCCGACCCGATCCCACCATTCCTGAACGTTTGGAATGAAAATCACACTTGGCTTGTGCATCTTGACTTCGGAGAAGAGCCTGGTCAGAGTAGATTCCGCTGAACTGGTCGTATCACTCAGAAGTGTTGGTAGATCAAATGCTTGCACGTGGAGACCTTCGAAGTGGTGAAGAATAGCAGCAGCAAGATATTGTTGACCCATTCCAATTTTGCCTTGTATGAGCAAGCGTGGACGAAAGACTCGAGAAGTCTCGAACGCTTGTTGCATCTTTTCTCGTCCAAAACTATGGCCATCAGCGACGTCCTCGTATTGGGCTTCTTCCAAGGCGGTAGGGGGCTTCTTTCGCGGCAGCGCATCTGTAAGGCGTTTCTCAATCTCTGCAAGCTGGTTGCGTAGAAGTGGCTCGACATTAGGAGGCAGCGGAGAGGCCCCAGAGGATGTTGACCGTTCCGAAGAAGGCGTCATCTTCTTCAGTGAAATCATGAAATCCTTGGGTGTTACTTCAATTGTCTTGGGGTCAATGAGTAGCTTTTCTGAGGAGCTGTATATTTGTGGATACCGGCGTTGGACCGCATTGAGAGCTGCTTCAGTGCATAGTGCACGAAGGTCTGCACCGCCGTAGCCCTTTGTCAACTTAGCTAGCTCGTCCTTGATGTCCCCAGGTAGAGGAGGATCCCAGCCCTTGGTATGAATATCAATGATGGCTCTTCGGCCATCGATGTTCGGTAGAGGGAAGTAGAACTCTCGGTCGAATCTCCCAGGTCGTCTGAGAGCAGGATCGATTGAATCAGGTCGATTAGTGGCTCCGATGACTATGACTTGACCCCTTCCATCCATACCATCCATCAAGGCCAGCAGAGTGGACACAATGGATGCATGAATCTGCTCCTGTTTGCTGGACCGAACTGGGGCAAGACCATCAATCTCATCGAAGAAAATGATACTGGGTTGGTTCTTTCGAGCTTCTTCGAAGAGCAACCGCAGTTGTCTTTCCGCTTCACCCACCCATTTACTCAATGCATCCGCACCTTTCCGCATGTAAAAGGTGACTTTTCGCCCTTGAGAACTTACGCTGGTGGCTAGAGCTCGGGCAAGCAACGTTTTACCCGTTCCAGGGGGGCCGTGGAACAAAACACCACGAGGAGGGGTGATTTTGAAGCGCAAGAAGATCTCTGGGTAGAGAAGGGGCAGGGCCACCATTTCTTTCAACTGATCGATGTGACCCGCAAGGCCACCGACGCTGTCAAAGTTTACGTTCTGGTCAACGCCCAAAGGATCCGCGTCTGCAAGCGCCTGTTTGTCTTTGAGCTTGCCCAAGTTTGCCGGAGTGCCGCCAGCTGCTTGCGCAGGATCTGCATTGTGTGTTTGCGGAAATAGATTGAAGGCACCGCCAGTGGTCGGCGTCATTCCAACCGTACCGCCCACAGGTCTTGGTCGCTTCATGACCTCGTCGTCACTGCTATCTGAATCGACGTCGCCTTGAGCTCGAGGAGGGCCTTCTCCAAGGACTGGTGCAGCGCCTCCGCCTCCACCAAACGGTCCATAAGTATTGAAGAGACTTCTCTGCCATCCGCCGCCTGCTGCTCTCCGTGGGCGTTGCGAAGGAGATGGCGCAGGCTCTTCCTCGTCTTCGATGGGGGCCAGATTCCTAAGCAGGTCGTAATTTGGCTTCTTGCCGCCTCTTCGCTGCCGTGGCTCGAAAACGATTTCCTCTCGTTCGCGCCGTTTCTTCTTCTCGTCTCGTTTGAGCTCCTCAACTTCTGCGGCAAGCTCATCAGCATCACTTGCTTCTGATCTCTGCCGCGAGGCTGCCTTGCTTCGAAGACGGGTCGATCTACGTCCGTTGTTGCTACTGTCGTCTTCATCTGGCTTTTGAGGTGAAAGTTCAGAGCCGCTACTGCTAGACAGCTCGTCTTGAGCAGCTTGTTCTTCGTCTGGATCGAAGTCGCTGCTTTCCTCCTGTGCCTTGCGCCGACGACTGCGAGATGCGGCTTGCTTTGCACCACTTCGTAAGCCACGTCCACGCGTGCGCCTCGGTGATTGTTCAGGTTCAAATGCAGGGGACTCAGCCTGTCTCTTAGAGGCGCCTCTAGTCAGTCGTCTCCGAGGGATCACATCGTCCTCATCCTCTTCCTCGTCTGCATCTTCCTTCGCTGGCGCCTCTTCTTGAGTGGCAGGCGCCTGCTCTGCCGCAAAGTCGTCGTCGCCGTCACTTTCAGCTTCAGCGTGATCGTAAATGTCTGACAGCAATCTGGGTGGGGCGTGATCAACGTCCTCCTCTGCATCCTGAGCATCACTCTCAAGCATCTCATGTTGCGAAGCTTTGATTTCCAGCACCTCTTCACCTACAAGCTCGGCCTCTTCCTCGCCTTCTTCTGCCTCCTCGCCCAGGGCTGCTGATTGTGATTCTTCATCAATGGTGCTCTTTGATGGGTATTTCAAGCTCTTCCCGCCTCTGGTTGCCCGCTCGGGGACGCTTGAACTGTCTGGGCCCGGCGAGGTTGCTCGGATAACTTGAGCGTGGCGGCCCGAATCAGTCAGAGCAACCAGATTTTCTTCCGGATCATGCGATAGACGGCTGCTTCTTCTTCTATGAAGCCCTGGTGCGTCTGTGGCAGCAGTCGACGGCTGCTTCACCCCGTAATTTCGGTTGCGCGTGGACTCCCGTTTCGCCATGGGAGTTGTCTTTAGAGTCACAATCAGTTGTTTGCTGGTTCCTCTGGGCGGCGGAGTCTCAGGTTCGCTGGACGATTCCTTTGTGAGTTCGTCCTCGGACTCATCCGACTCTTCATATGTTACAGTCTTCTTCACACTTTTGCGGACGGGTCGACCTCTTTCATTCGTCTCAACCTCTTCTTCCTCAGACTCTTCATCCTCGAAAGACTCTTCGTCAGATGAAACCTCTTCGCCATCAGTGTCGATATCCGAGCCTCTGTACCCACGTTTCTGCTTCTTGCGCGCTGGGGGACCTGTTCGACGAGACTTGCTGGGACGGGTTCTTGACGGTCTCGGGGCGTGGTCATCGTAGTCATCGTCGTCAGGATCCTCGGCCATGGCGACCTCTTCGAGAGTTCGCTTGTTGCTGTTGCGATAGCTCGGCATGGTGGAAAACTACAGACTTGGAGTTTGTGTTGATCGGCTGCGAGAACGGTGGGCGATGGGCTCGGGCGCGTTACGAAAGGACCACAGAATTGGCGGGTGACATGATAATCCCGTGTCTGGGGCAGGGTGGAGGCAATGGGTGAAGCTGCGGTTGAGTTGAGAGTCGCACGGGATGAGCAAGGATGGCGCGTCTCCTCACTGGCAATGGTAGCCGTGACTAGATGGTTGATGGAAGGCGGTGAACTGCGCCCGAGAGAGCAGGTAAAAGTGTCAGATAACAGATGCACCAAGGGAAGATAATGATGGTTCTGGGTGATGACAATCTAGTTGACCTCAACGGCTCTTTTGGGGGGGGGGGGAACCGTGTTTCTCAATCTCAATCTCAGGCGCAGGCGACCGGCGTCGCGCCAAGCATTGGCCCGGCCCACTCTGCAACGGCCACCACCAATCAGAACAAGCCATTGTGCATCCTCGGACAGGGAGACGATTGAATCTCAACAGCACTTTCGAAGCAGTTAACAATCCAACATCTCGACAACCACAACGTCGACTGTCCCAGGGCTCAAATGTGTGCGGGATGGGCTCCGAAACTCTACGCGACAACCTCAATCGGACTTGCAGTGCCCCAGCCGCCCCAGCCGAGGCATGCCATGGGCCCAAAGATTTGTAGAAACATTCGACTGGTCAAGACGATGCCGCAAAGATCGACGTCAGATCTCGGTTGTGCCTCGCGGGGAACCTTATCGTCGGCGCAGGGGTACCACTCCCTCGGCACGGTACTTTTGATAATCACGTGATTCACCCTCGCACCCCGTCGACTACGAGCTGGGTCGGCAGGAAGGCATATTGTAGGAGTTGCAGGAGTTGCAGGAGCGGATGGACGACACTTCCCGGGCAACAACTCAACCAGACCATAAAACCTTGCTCGCTCTAATCAATGCTTCTTAGTAAGGGGCCTACCAGTAATACAGCTGTCTAGGGCTACAACGTCGTCATTCTTGCCTGATGCATATCACAAGACTTCTTCTTCGGCCTCATAAGGCGAATCGATAGCATCCTCCTCGCCTTCTGTATGACCCTCGCCCTGCCACAACACCGAAGCCTGTCGAGTGAGCTCTGCCAGAATGCTACTTTGCCGGCGAGGGGTGCGCCCCTCTATCTCATCACCATATCCATCAGGCCGTAGACTGTCAGGCTTTCTCCGGCCATGGAGAAGCGCTTCTTGTGCTTGCTGTTCATGAACAGGATCGGGTACGCGATGGCTGTCGTCGATCGGTCCGCCACGGCGGAGGCCCTCGAGAATGACTCGTTCAATTTTCATGCGATTTGAGATGAAGCGAATCCGGGGGAAACAGCTGCGTTGCCCCACACGGATCATACGATCCAGGCGTTGCGGACTGGGGTCGCTGAGTATGTTCCAGTAGTCGCTCACAATCGTTTTTGGCCAAATGGTCACGGTCCCGGAGAAGCGCTGCAACCATATTTCGCTCCAGTCCTGTCCCATCGGCCTCGGCAGCAACTCGAGATGCCGCAAGATCTTCATGTATTTCTGCAAATCCAGCTTGACAGAGGTCTCAATGGTGGAGCCAAGGAAGCCACCTCGCCACCCGCGACCCTTGCGATGAGTGACAGGGTTGCCGGGCGAACCCCTTGGTGAGAAGAAGAAGAGATTGATATGCGGATTGACTTGCGAGACAATCGAAAAGTTGACATTGAAATGGAGATTCAGCGCTTTCAGGGGGATGTCGGTGCGTAGGCTACCATCTTTCCACTTGTTGCCAAAAGAGTATGGAACCAACTGACCGTCGCGCGTCTTTCGCATCAGAACGATCGGGTTGAGGATTCCAGGGACAGCTGCGGAAGCAAGTACAGCAGACCAGATGACGCAGTCGGGACTCGTGATATGATTGTTGAGAATTGTAGGAGAGTGCGGATCGGATGGGACGCATGAGACGTTCAGGATACGACCGGTCCGCTGGAAAGCTTCTTTGAAGGTCAGAGATCCCCGACAGAACCAGCTGCATTGCTTCGCCCAATCCACCGAGTCAAATCTGGCGCCGGTGCGCCACCATCTGCGAATCCACGTTGCAAACCCTTCGTGGCAGGCTCGGATGCGGTGGGCCAGTGCGGGCACCAGTAGTTCTTTCAATTCATCATCCGTTCTCGTAGCTACCAATGCCGCAACTAGCGCACCACCCGATGTCCCGGTGATGATCTCGGGGAGCTGTCCGGCGTCAAGAAGGGCTTTGATGACGCCAAAATGGTAGTAAGCGAAGGTGGCCCCTCCAGACAGGCATAATGCTGTACGTCCATAGTTGAGTTCCAGATGTCGAAAGAAGACAGCTTTATCGTGGTCCGTCAGCTCTTCTGAATGGAGCACCAATTTCAAGCTCCTCTCCACCTCATCAACAAACGACTGGATCAAAACCTTGGTGCCGAGGTAGGTCTCACTATACAAGCGAGGGTTTTCGATACCCACGAAATTGTTTTTGACACAGCTTTCGAGCAATGCCTTGAGCTCATCGAGAGCAGGAGATACCCGGAACCCAACTCGGCCATTATCCGCTTCGGTCTCGGCCTTTTGTCGAAGCTCGATTAACTGAGCGGTGACTTTGCGAACTGTCTGATGATTGTAGTAAGAATATTGATCTTGTTGCTTCCATTCCTCGTTCCCGAGGTATTTGTCAAGCTGATCAGCCGCACTTTTCCACTCGTCGTACGTGTTGGCTTGTTGTAGCTGCCGCCGCAGCGTTTCTCGTCGGCCAGTCCATGTGAAAAGGTGCTCATATGCAAATATATAGAATCGAGTGAGGTTGTAAATGATGAATAAAAAGACGATCCAGGCACATACGACGAACAACAAAGGATAGTACAATAGGCTGTACACGAACCCTTCCCTAGTCTCATCCTTGGACCTTCTCGGCGGTTTACGTCGAACGCGAGTTCGCTTTACTCTCTGCCGAATGGGTCCCCAATCGTTGAGCGCTACCAGAGGCTCGGTGGTCGGTGCTGTGAGGGCATGCGCAAACGCTTCAAGGTCCTCGCGGGCGATGAAGTCGTTGTCGTAATCAGGTAAAGCGGAAGGATCATATGATCCATTTCCCGTCGCTGGGTTACTTTCTGTTTTCCCGTTCATCTCGAGATACAGCACGACATGGTGAAACGGGGGTCTGGCGTACAACGAGAGAGGATTTGCACCAGGACAGCATCAGCAGGAACGAAAGGAAGGCAATGTAATGGGGTGGAATGCTAAGCTGCAGACATGATGTTGGGGACGATGACATCGGCAAGATTCCGCCACCAGCTTGGCGCCACACCAGCCACTTGAGAACGCCACACACCTCCTCGGCCTGATAGACGGAGTACAAATAGAAACACCCCAGATTTGAAAAGGGAAAAGGGTCCTAAGGTCTGACCAGGCGCTACACGATGAGGCTACGGAGAACTGAAGTAATAATATGTACAGCTGCCGATTCCTGTAAAGTACACACCACCTTACGTATTTACTTAAGGTACTCCGTACCTCCATGTGTGAATGCTCCCCATGCCCCTCCTAAGCAGGGGTGATCCTGCGGATGGAGTGATCGGACTTTGATGAGGAAGGGGTGCAATCGAGGTTCAACAACGCATTGGACAGAAGCACACGCGCTGGAGCACTATTGCCATTGCTCTTCGATCTGAACACATGGGCAGAGTAAACATCTCGTCGAAGAGGTGCATCTCCCAGGCAGAGGAAATTGATGTCATGCCAAGACTGCGCTTGACAGAGGCTGCTTTTGGCCCTTTTGCTGCCCCTCCAAGTTCCAACCCACCACGTCCTCTTGCATCTACAATAGGTACTCCATGCCCGTTCATCCTAGATCGTCCCGCAGCCCGCCGTCCTCGACTCTTTGCTAATGTAATCCAGGGTTTATCACCAGAGTCACCACACTACCGTTCCCTGCGGGATTCCACGGAGCTCTTGCGTGCCCAGTGGCCCTAGTTCACGTCTCGGGTCGATCCTAACTCGTGACCTGCTCTCTTGGTCAAGATTCAAGAGCCGTTACCGAACCCAAACCCCTCCGTGACGCGAGCAATGGTCGAACCCCCACGCGTTGCTCGGCGAGCCAAAAAACCTGCAAACGGGACTTTTCCAGATCCCAGCCTTTTCCCACGATTGCTTCGGTCCTGCAGAAGGTTGTGCTGTAAGTCATTTGTCAAGATGCTTGAGCGGGAAAAAATGGTCTGTGGCCAATGAATATTGTGGGGGTTCGATATGCCGTGGTGTGTCTGTGGACTGTCGAACATGCATGGTGTCGTGATGCGTGCAACATCAATCCCACCAAATCGCTGCAGCTAAGCCTAACGTACATGGTTAGCAGCGAACGAGGCCCTCTAGTCGAGGACAATTCCGCCTTAGAGCAGACGTTTGTCTCCCTCGTCTTCCAACACTCGCTCGGGAAATCTTTGAAGATGGCGAGTCTGTCTGGATCCTTCAATGAGCCGTTAAACTACGAGTGCGCCTTCGCTCCTGTGTGTGCTGTATGTGGCTCTTGCTTCCACCGATACATCATAAGCAGTCCTGAAGATCTTGACACTAGTTGCAATACGTAGATCTGTGTCGAGTCGTCCCCCGAAGGACGTATGTGACCATCACGAGAAGGAATCGACTCACCGCTTCAGCCTCATGGTGACAGCCAAGCCAGCCGTGGAAGAAATTGATGGTCTCGTGTCGACAACTTCTCCAGGAATGAGGACAGAAAATCACAAGCATGTGAAACCTACAGCTGATTCGACATTCCTACTTAGCCCCTCGAATGTTGGCTAGCTAATCTCGGTGCACTTAACCACTCTCTTCACTGCAGCTCAGAATCTGTCCTCGATGGTATGTCACAGACTAGTGACTTTAGCATCGGGATAAAGAACCGCCCTAGGAGTACGAGAACACTGCAACATGACGGCGACGAGTGAAAAGCCTCGTCCTTAGCTCGGTCATCGGAGTGTTTAGCCACGACTTCAGGGAGGCCCCGGCAGAAGTATTGAACAGCGATTGACTTAGTAACCAATGGACAACGCCTGCTGGCTGCAATCACGATGCAACACAGCAGCATGCTACATGCTTCGCGCATCTTTGATGTATCGTCTGCGTCGTGATACGAAGAAGTCGAAGCCCTGGTCAAGTTTTGAGTCATGCCCACTGGGATCGCCAGGTTGACAGCGATGAAAAGTTCGGAAGCGGTGTTTAATGGCAGTATCTCTCCTTGCTCCTCCGCCTAGGCAGTTCTTCCCGCCACCGGCCACGGTGCAGGGGACTCTCGAGTCATTCTAATAAGTATTGTGCGAGTGTGCAGTGCAGCCTCGAGGGTGTGTGATCTGGGACCTTCGGACTGCGGAGCGTTGCCCATCTCCACAAAAAGACATGAATCCAAGTAGTGTACTAGCTAGCAGTTCGTGGCGAAGGAGTCCATTGGAGGATTCAAGTATATCAGCCTGGTAATCCATCGGTCATGCGGTCAGTTGGACATGCAGCCGCGTCGCCTACCGCTTACAAGGGCAGAACAAGGTGAGCTGAACACATGCAGCATCCCGAGACGCTTCTCCTACCGAATCCAGCTCTCGCACCCATTCCGCAATCCATGGAAGACTTCACGAACCGTGAAACGACTCTTGTGCGCGTCCGTGCGGCAAAGGAGGTGTGACAAGACGGCCGTCTCGCATGCTTGTTGACTCAACTGGTCCAAATAGCATACCTCACGTAGCCTGTATGTAGGAAGGAGAAAAGCGGTCAGAAGCTTGGCCAGTCGATCGCCTCAGCACAGGTTGTTGGCTCTGAACATTCTGGATTAGCGCCATCTGTCAGGCGCTTGGTCTTTTGTGACCTGTCCTTTCCACATGAGCACGAATGAAACGCATCGAGCACACTGTCGCCGTCAGACGATGAGGCGAATAATCCAAGAAGCGGCACTTTGACGTTTGGGTCAGTGCCGACCTCTGATCAGTCTCCTAGCGTCCCAAGGTCATTCGCAACACATTGACTGCTCAATGATGCTGGAATGATGCCGATGCTCGACATTGACATTGGTGATTGGTGAGGGACAAGCAACCGGGTTGGTCGGCTCGCACCTGACCGAGCTTCATAACTCAAGCCCAGACCGGACTTGAGATGTGATCCTCTATTGAGCCATTCTTAGGGCCCAGATTTCGCTGCAGTGAAGGGTGCATGACAGGGCCTACTGTATGCGCGATGACCGCACCCAGCCCGTCCAGCGCGTCTATTGGCCTTACCGTGGAGGGCTGGCACGGATCAGAGTAGGGCATGCAGGGCACGCCTGGGTCCTCGCCTGCATGTGATGGTTAGGGGCTTGAACCGAAAGCAGACGTCTAAAAAGTGTGCTGCAGGTGGCTTGATCTGACGAGCAGCTTGATGAGATGGGAGGCCCGCCGTGTCCGCTGAGCCCACTAGGGCGAGGGCTCACTAACGGAGGGGCACCGCCCTCGTCGAGTCGTCACCCGTACGCGTCTGAGGATTTTTATGCGGCCCGGTTCTACACATTCGTATTGTACTGTATGTTGTCTGAGACCCTTGGATCTGATGATCTTGAGCCACCAAGGGCCGAGCCCGCCCGCCAGCCAGCCATTACGGCTCGTCAAGCATCGCATGATGACACGCGCATGGGAGTAATGACCGCGGAAGGCGAAGGTTGGTTGTTTACGGAGAGTCAAGGGACGCATTGAGCGCGCGCCCTGACGCTGAAGATGGTGTGCGAGATCGCCCAGGGAGGGTGTGTAGTCCTTGGCCGTCTGCCGTCTGGCTGTCTTCTCCAAGCCTTTCCTGACGATGCTGGCCTCATCGCGCGACGGACAGATGTTCTCGAGATGTGAGTTGATGCAGCAGAGCTTAGCGGGGTTGTGCTCGGCTTAACTGGCTTGTGCAAAGAAGGTGGTCGTCGAGTCGTCGATCCTGAACATCGGGCTCGCTCACCAAGCAAACAGGATCCATTCCTAACCGCAGATCTACTTCAGCGGTTGTACAGTAGAGAAGCGTAGCACCAGTGGTCCAGCCCCATGTCGGCACTCGGCTGCAGCGTTTTCTTTTGCTGGGCCGAGTGGATAGGGCAGTCTGCAGACAATCAGTGGCGTCGGGCGAGCCTACTTAGTGCACCGAGTGAAGCTGAGCTAGATAGCGGGCATGGAGCAGGCTAGGCAGCTCAGTGGTAGGCGAGGCCTCGAATTACGGCTATCAGGAGCGTCGATGGAGGGTTTGTGAGTGGGCGACTCTGATCAATGATACACGCATGCTTCAATAACAAGGGCACGCTCCAATCTAACTTGATAGCAAAAACTTTGCACGCTCCATCCCACCGTCAGGCTAAACGGTAATAGTTGCGAACTACTCGACGCCTCCGGGCCTCGTCCTCACCTACAGCAATACGAGACCCTTCTCGTCTGTTGTTGCTCGCCTTTCCACCCCTCCATCTCGGTTCTCCCGCGGCAGCTATTCTCGTTGCTATACACACCATCCTCGACATCTTTTTTTCCTCCTCCAAGGCTCACCTCACTGCTGACGCTCACGCTCTCGCCTGCCTCGTTATCACGCAGCCTCCTGTGCTTACACGACTGCCTGGCGACACCAGCCTTGGTCTGCCCCAGCATACACAACATTCTACTTAATCTCCCGGGTGGGTTTTATTGTCTTACCAGTGGATCACGCTGCACGAAAATCTACGACAACACTGTACATACTCTCTCCACGGTTACAGACCTCACGTCGGTCGCCGTCGGTCTCTCCTGGGGAAACAACTCGGGCATCTCTATCTTCCAGATGCCACGATGCCCTCTTCACAAAAGATTGGTAGGTAACAGCACTATCTCCTGCGGCACCCGTACACAGCCCAATGGTTCTGACACACCTTGTCGACAGGCTTAGGATCGCGCAAATTGATCTCCCACATTCCTTTAAGATAGGCGTTTGCCGTTCGGATTGTCTCGAATTTCTGCAATCGGCACCTCGAGCTGGGACGCTGAGGTTTGCCCAAGAAGGAGATGGAACACCAGCAGACTGAGGATGGACACCACTTCATTCGCGTGAGTACTGCCCTTTGTCCACGCACAACCCCGCAGATGTCAACCGCAGAACGCGAGGAAAGGTGCACGGGCGTGGCGTTCGTCCACCTAAGGAAACAAGAACCTGGACTAATTCAAAATCTCGTGGCTAGTCACTGGCGCAATTCATCCGTCAGCATGAAAAGGCCCTCGCCAACAGCCTGCAAATGTCTGTCCACAGGCGACAGACATCACTGAATTCATCCGCCTCGGCCGCCTCGAGCCATACCTCTGGCGCCTCTGCTGCGAGCACGAGCACCCCCACGAGTGCTCTTGCTGCAGCGTTTTCTTTTGCTGGTCTGAACTTCAGGTCTCATGCAGCGAAAGCGGCCTTACTAACTTTGACACCTCACCATCTCTTTTACCTCCTGTCACGAATGGAAGAGCTGGATATTCTCGTAGGCCCCATGAATATCCGCCTGGAAAACCTCCATACAGATCCGTCTCCATCCAACTACGTCTCATTTCTCCAATCACACAAGCCATCAAAAGGTCGCAGTGACCGAGACTCCATCCACTCTGTCTCCAGTATGCGGAGCGTCATGTCAGGAATGAGTACTTTCTGGTCGTCTATCGGCTTGGGTGCTAGCACCTCCAAAAGCGAAAAGGCAAAGGCACTAGCAGAGGCCGACCTGACATATCTCTACTCAGCCTTCACCAAACTTCCCTCGCTACGACTGACCACCGACCATCGCGCCAGGCTTATCCAAGGCTATGAAGAGTTTCCATTCGATACTGCCGTCCCACTCTTCGCATTCAAAAACCTCCAGCAGCTGGATATTGTCGATCTTGACTTCCGTCAGTTTTACGGTTGGGATCGACTGGCCGAGCAGCTTACTCTGCTAACAGTGAAACGCGCCAATCTAGATGATCCCGCCGAGCTTCTGACCGACATCGTGTTGGACGACGCTGAGAAGCGGCGTAGACGATCGACCAAAGGCGGTCGAGCGTCGCCGACTCCCCCAAATCTTTGGCCTGAGGTTGCTACGCCCCAAGCCGGATATACACATCCGCATTCGGATCCAGGATCACCTATTGGAGCAAGTCTTGAGCACGACGACCATGTCGACTTCATGCCTCGAGACAAACAGATGTCGGGCAGCGTGTCGCCAAAACGACCCAGCCCAGGGAGGCCAACAAGCTCGTCATATAGGCATGTTCGCACTTACTCCTCCAAGGTGAAGAGGTCTGGCTCGGGAAGCTCCAACTCGAGCGAGTACTCAGTACAGCCCCATCGTAGCGACAGCACTTCCAGTCTCCTTAGCCTTAATATCCTCGCTCCAGCTAAATGGCAGAGGTTGAAGTATTTGTCACTAGCGGACAATTCTCTGACAACCATCTCGGCCAGAAGCCTGGCCCCGGTAGCCACCACTCTTCGCTCCCTGAATCTCTCGTCAAACCTTTTTACGGAGATTCCAGACAGCCTTGCCTCCCTCACCAGGCTTGTGTCTTTGGACCTGTCCAACTGTATGATTGGGTCTCTGCAGTCACTGTCCAAATATCCCCTGCCGGCTGTCTTGACAGTCAACCTGAAGGCAAACCGTCTTCGATCTCTGGCAGGCATCGAGAAGCTCCTATCGCTAGAACAGCTAAACATCCAGGACAACAAGCTTTCTGACCCGATGGACATGGCGAGACTCACTTGTATTCCGAACCTGAAGCGCATCTGGGTCAAGCGGAACCCCTTCACCAAAACATCGTCCGACTACCGAGTACTTACCTTCAACCTTTTCCGTAAGACGCCTGGGTATGTGGATGACATTGTAATCGACGAATCTGGCCCGGGATATTCGGAACGCAAGCAACTAGTGGATCGAGTTCCTGAGGTGGAGAGGCAAATTGCACCACCATCGATCCGGATAGTAGAGCTGCCAGTCGTTGTCCAGCACTCTGAGCAGACACAACAGGGCCACAGTCAACAGACGGAAAGTGTGGTGAACACTACACGCCGGAAGAAGATTCCTCGACGACGCATAGTCGACCTGGCAAAAGATGAGGCCTTTGCTCGTCTTCCTGATGAGGATCTTGCAGCCACCATCCCTTTCCCTCCTACTGTCACCGATCATGCAACTGTGACTGTGGATGAAAATCCACCACAACTACCTGTCTCAAGTCCGGGAGAAACCGCGGAGGAAGACTTGTACGACGGGTCCACGCGAGTCGCATCTGTGGGATCAAGCACACAAGCCATCCAAGAGGATGACTACAGGGCCAAAGTCGAAGCCTTAAGGCAAGAGTTCGGCAGTAATTGGCTCAGTGTTCTGGGAGACCAGAATTGGCACAACAACCACCACATGGAAATAACACAGGGACAGACGAATCTGGGACATCATTCCCTACACCGCCCCGGCCCAGTAATTGTTAGCGGTGGTCGAACTCTGGGTTGAGAACAGCAGCGAAGGGCCACAGCCTGATCTCTGTCGGGCTGATCGCTGTACCTTCCGCGAAGACTCTTTCCGAATTTGTGCCTGCACCTTGGGCATCTTAGACCGGGTTGTTTCCAGACATTTTTGAGTCCTGGGTTTTTCATGACTGCTTTTTTTATACCCATTCGTTTGCGTATTACTGCAAGACAAGGGGTGCATTGCGAAGGATTATGGTATGCGTATGATGTTTGCATATGTTTTCGCGGTTTTGCCCCGAAAGATTTGTGTTTGATGCATAGCGATGGTGTCCGGTGGTTGGATTGGTTGTCTGATACACTTTTGCTGCGGTAATGCTTGATGCATGTGAGGGAAAAGACGAAGTACGACTTTGACGGACGAGATGTCTTAAGATAATCCCTTTCTTGATATTAGTTTTGGCGCGACCGGGAAATATGAACTTTCGCCTACTCTTCTGACGCGCAACTCTTTGACTAGTGACAGTACTGACCTTTCCATCACTCCACCTGGGAGTCCCGGGCTCAACCTAACTAGGTACTTAGGTCAGCCATCAGAGTTCTGACACAGCTCCATTTCAAGCCTCTGTCTCACATTCCACTTGGATTTCGGTGAGACGCGCATGCCTGTCCGATGGGGATGACACCGCCACTGGCGGATATCAGCATGTTCCCCGGAAACGCGTAGAGATTCCAAGATAGCACCATCTCTCGGTCGGATGCCCGACTCGTGGAGTTGGCGACAGCCAGAGGCCAAAGGGGACCACTACTGAGAATGGGATGGCATGAGCGCGATGCGATGGCGCTAGCGAGCGCTGTCGCGATTAGCCTGCATTCCTGGAAACTGCTGCTGGGTTGGCCAGGGTCGTCGCCAGAGCATCGCATTAGCAGGTGGACATGTTCTGAATTTTTTTTATTTTTTTCAATTTTCTCTGCCAAAGAGAGGCAGATCTCACGTTAGCGTTCCCAGGAGAGCCAGATGTGGATGGGCCGAGGCTGACAGAACGACGTTCCAGACCGTGCTTGTAGCGTCAGTCTAAGTAGAACCTGAGATCGGCATCTTCGAGAAAAGGGGGGAGAGAACTCACGGGCTACAGCCGTTGTAATAGGGAGGTAGCCTGTAGGAAACCATGGTACGAGGAGCAAGTGTCTTTGGTAGGGGCGCCGAGGGAGCCTCACCAAGCCTTCTACGTACCCGGTGCAGCGCAGGGAGCCCAGGGGCGTATTTGTAGTGGTCAATTGGGGGGCGCGAAAAAGTGTTGCCGCTGCCGTTGGGCTGTGGCGCGTCCCCCCTGGATCCTGTCTAGGGGCCCCTCTTCTAGGCGCTTGGTGCCGTCCTTGGCCTTCTAATAGGTAGTGAGTTCTGTACCTGGGGAGGTACCTAGGTACCTAAGATTCCTAAGGCTTAGGGGTCCTGTAGGTGAGCTGTCCCGGGACTCCGTCTCCGTACTTCGCCTCGTCGACTTCGCCTCGTCTCCTCGTTCACCCTCTCTGTCGCCAGCGCCAAGACCAACACCGCTGCCAGGATTGAAAATAGCAAATCCGCCCTCCTCATCCCGCCGTCGACATTGCTTTACGCTTCCCAAATTGCTTACTTGTACTCAGTTCCATCTGCAGCCCGGCATCAGTTACTGTCGAACGGATTGCCGTCAAAGCTAATCCAAGAAGAAATCGCCCTTGCCGTCGAAACCGCTGTCCTGCGCCGCAGACCTCTGGGGCCCCCTCAGCCTGCTCGTTCCACAGACTCCCGACGCGATAACAACATCTCAGACTGCTCCAAACTCGTCACCCTGCGCACATCCATCCATCGAGGCACCAAGTTTTCTGGAGGGGCCTTCTAGCTGAGCCGTCTGCGGGCTGTTCTCCATCACCTGTTCTACACCTGGTACGTTTCACCCTGACGAGTCTGTGACTTGCGTCAGCTTCCCCTCCTTGACGCCAAAACGATCTCGAATCGACCCTGATTGTATCCAGATAGATCTGTGAACTCCTCGTAACATCCTACGCGTATCGAATTCCCCTTCCTCAAGCCTCCCGACCCTATCTGGTCGGCGCCCTCCTCCCTTCCTCCCTGCCCCGCCCGCGGCGAGAACACCATGGCAGAACAGCATGAGGTGGATTTAGACTCTGTCATTGATCGATTGCTCGAAGTCAGAGGAAGTAGACCTGGAAAGCAAGTGCAATTGCTAGAAACAGAGATTCGATACTTGTGCACAAAGGCACGGGAAATCTTCATTTCTCAGCCCATACTGCTCGAGCTGGAAGCTCCAATCAAGGTATGATAGGACGATACGAGTGCCACGATGATGGCAATACCTGAAATAGGGTCTTGCTAACCGTGCTTGGGCAGATTTGTGGCGATATTCACGGCCAATACTACGATCTTCTTCGCTTGTTCGAATACGGCGGTTTTCCTCCGGAAGCGAACTACCTCTTCCTCGGAGACTACGTGGATCGTGGCAAGCAATCGCTCGAGACCATCTGCCTGCTCCTTGCGTACAAGATCAAATACCCAGAAAATTTCTTCGTCCTGCGAGGAAACCACGAATGTGCAAGCATTAACCGTATTTACGGCTTCTACGATGAGTGCAAGCGCCGGTACAACATCAAGTTGTGGAAGACTTTTACGGACTGCTTCAACTGCTTGCCAATCGCCGCCATCATCGACGAAAAGATCTTTACCATGCACGGAGGATTGAGTCCTGATCTCAACTCGATGGAACAAATACGTCGCGTCATGCGTCCCACGGATGTAAGCCAATTGTTTTTCTTCATGTTACGCATGGATGATCCGGTGGTCATTCGGGCCATCGCGCCGAGAGCGCGTATCATGTCAAAGAAGCGTACTGACGGACATAGATTCCCGACTGCGGTCTTCTCTGCGACCTGCTCTGGTCCGATCCGGACAAGGACATCACGGGGTGGAGCGAAAACGATCGCGGTGTCTCCTTCACATTCGGCCCGGATGTCGTCTCGAGGTTTTTGCAGAAGCACGACATGGATTTGATCTGCCGTGCTCACCAGGTAGTCGAGGATGGTTACGAGTTCTTCTCCAAACGACAGCTTGTCACGTTGTTCAGTGCACCAAATTATTGTGGCGAGTTTGATAACGCTGGAGCCATGATGAGTGTCGATGAAAGCCTCTTGTGCTCGTTCCAGGTACGCCGTGCCGCATTTGGGTTCATTTACGTGGTCCATCGCTAACATGCTGGAAATAGATCCTCAAACCTGCCGAAAAGAAACAAAAGTATGTCTATGCCTCCAAGAGCTCAAGCAGGCCTACCACTCCGCCTCGCAAGTCCAAAAACTAGTCTCTCGACTTGGGCTGATACGAGATCATGATAGCAGATTTGGAAGAAGATAGGATCGCCTTCTACCTTCCCCCACGAAACGGTAACCGGTGTCTATTCTCCCACGGTTCGGCAACGCGCGATTGGACTTTCTACCCTGAAAATCCGAACCTCAATATTGATCCTGTAGATGAGTTTTTTTTGCCAATTCTAGCCTCCTCAGACTCGATACGTTGACGAATTCCCTTGGCCGAGTACGATTCTCTTTTTGCGACATCATACTCGATGACTTGCACAACAATAACGCGACGAAACATGTACTTGCAGAATCCATTACCTTCTTCCAACACAACAAGGCTGTCCAAGTGGGGAGGGTCGGGTTGAATCCAGGCACAGACTTTTCTCATGCTTTCACGAGTCAATTGACAGAGGCAAATGGACAGATGAACTCTCTGGGATCCAGGATTGTGTATGGGAAACATGGGACATGGGGCATTACTTTTTTGGCCTTGGCGGTACTAATTCAAGATGCAATCCTCGTCCTCTTTTTTATCTATTCGCGCTGTGTTAAAGTGTGTGAGCAAACGAAAGAGAAGTGAAGATGATTGGGATGGGAGATGAAATGCGAGGGGCGACCAGGCGTCGGTTTTACGCATATTCTCAGATCGTCCTCCTGTAAAATGCAAGATGGCTTGATTTTTGTTTCGTTTTCCCCTTCTTGTTTCTTTTTTCCTTTTCTTTTTCCTTTTCCTTGTGCTTGATGCTTGATGACTCGGGACTTTTGGTTACCGATTCCGTGATGACAGCGCGCGCCAAATTTTCGTTTTGTTTCGACGATCCAAGAGCAACAAAGCCAGAAGCGATTACGAGGGTGCGTTTGTGCGTTGTGCGTTTCTGTTTTGCGTGTGTTCTGTGTTTGGATTTTGGGGGGTGTGGGTTTGAGTTTGAGAGGGAGAAAGAGAAAAGCGGAAGAAGTGGTTCGGTCGTTTTATTTTTCTTTTCGATCTCGTTATTTTTTTTTTGTCCTTGGTCTGTTTTTGTTTTTCTTGGTTTTTTCGAGTGAGGGTGAGGGAAAGAGCGAGGGCAGGAAACCTTTTCACGCAAAAGGCACCTTGACCAGAGATCAGGTAGGTCAGGTCAGGTCAGGTCAGGCAGGTGCCCGTTCTGAGCATGAGTCTGATACGACAGGTACTGATGAAGTGGGTGTGCAGAGGGGACAGAGAGGATAGAAACAGAGAGAGTACTTGCTGAGATGATGGTGGTGGTGGTGCTGGGTGGTGCTGGTGAACAAAGAGAGGGAGGGAGGGAGGGAGGTTTCCCACTTACCACATACAGTAGTAAATCAGTACCTACGGGAGAGAAGGGACAATTGTCGACAACCATTCAGGATCAGTACCGTCGAATGAAAGGAAAGAAGAACTCACGCCAAAACCAAGGCCATTCTGCCTACTCTAATAAATCCAGTACTTCGACTTGTACGCCACCACCACCACCTGCAACGGCGGCAGCAGCAGCAGGGTAGTAGTAGTAGTAAGTAGGTGTAGTAGTGGTGGTAGCAACAGCGGCGACGGCGACGGCGACGGCGGTATGTTCTAGCGAGATTGAAGAACGGATATAAAGTCGTCAATACCAGTAGAAGTCCCGTAATGCCAGATTGAACCAGCAGATGTGTTGTTTGCCTAAGGTATGAAGCACTTGATTATCCATCTGGTCTAAGCCATCAGACGGTTATCATACCAAACTGCGTACAGAACAAGAACTGCGAACTGCGAACCAGAAACCGAGAAACGAGAATTTTGCTGTCCTCCAGATTGAATCGTAGCCCCATTTCGTACTCTGACATTACTCTGTAGGTACTTCGGGAGGAAGGTAGCCAGGTAGATAGGGGAGTCTCTGAGACGTCCAGTGGAAAGCAGGTCCTGGCTTGTACGCACGCACACGCAAACACACTTTTACAAAACAACAATAGAGCACTTCAGAGCACGTCTTCTTGATGGGGCAAATAAAAATGCATTCTTCTTACTCACTCAGCGTGTATTTCGGAGCAGCGACAACAACAACAACGTCCTTGCCCTTTGCCGCCACACCTTTCTTGAGCTTTGAGAGCTTTTTCCTCAGATAGGTCAAACGTATATTTCTGTTTGCAGCGAGATTTGACCCAGAGAGAAATAAAAAGCTCGTCTCGACTTGTCATTGCATGCAACGCTTGATAAATCGATCCATCGATCGTGAGCTTTACACGTACTGCGCCAACCATCGGATACCTTCACCATAACCTGCATTTTCAAATTAACCGCGTCAGAGTTTGCTACGATAATCGTCCAAAGACTCGTTCTCTTCCGGGGAGCCAAGCAGAAGGCGAAGAACAAACTCACCTTGTCTCATGACGACACTGCACATGAACACTTCGATGGGTCGGATTCCTTCCAATGGCACCTTGCCCTTGCCCGTCGTTTGATACAGACCCAGTTGATGTCTCAATTCGTCCTCCGACACGGCGTCAGGGTGATCGATCTTGTTGCCGAGGATGAGGAAAGGCGTCTTTGCGAGGTCTTCCATGGCGAGAAGAGCATCCAGTTCGGCTTTGGCTTCCGGAAGGCGTTCGTGGTCTTTGGCATCGACGAGGAAAACAATGCCAGACACTTCGGGGAAGTAATCACGCCACAGACGGCGGGCTGTAGAGGAAAGAGGAGTCGAATGTCAGCGACAAAACGAACTTTCCGCGGTTGTCTGCACGCCTGCGCATGAGACGCCACACATACCTTGCTGATGGCCACCGAGATCAAAAGTGGTGAACCTGTTGTTGCCAATTGCTAGTTCTTCGGAAGCTGTGAAAATCATAAATAGTCAGAAATGACCCGAGGGCTCGAAAGGCTGTGGGAAGGGACAAAACCGTACTGGGATGGAGGGTGGGTTGCAGAATGGCGACTCGGTCGTTCTACGCATCCAAACAGTCAGCATTTCCTTCATCTCATCTCGTCTCTCTCACACTCTCTTCTCTTTTGAGTTTTGAACTTGGACTGTGAGAGCTGAGTGTCCCGTCTGCACCCGTACCTTCAGCATGTGTAATAACGTCGTCTTTCCCGCATTGTCCAGTCCGAGGAATAGGAGTTTGGCATGTTTGTTGAGCAGGCCGAGCGAGGCAAGGATATCGTAGACTGTGAAACAACCATATCAGTGAGTATTTGTGACAATGTCCAGGATCGATATCTCCCACATACACCAATTGATGATCCACATGATGCGGTCAAGATTCTAAGGATACGCAGACACGATAACCGATACTGACGACAAATCTCTATCGCTGAGGAAGGACAAAAGAACGGGGACGTCGAAGTTTGGGCCGAGTCTCTTTTCTCACTTTAGCGGTTCTCAAGGGCGATGAACAAGCGGCCAGATGTCATGTCATGTCACGTTGTTGGGCGATGCACTTTGAGATACTTGCTGCACAGTGTCATGTCGCGCCAAGTGAACTCGTGCACGTGACTGGCTTCGGCGACTTCCATTCTCACCGAGGGACAGAGGACACGACTATTCTACACTGCTTCTACACTGTAACCACACAACACTACACGTGTACAGTGCAACAGCCGTAACTGAGGGACATTGCAAACAAGGCAATTTATCAATTTGGATGTGTGCATTCAGGCTCTCGATCGAGTCTTGACCCGAGAGAAGCTCTGCATTCTGAGGACCATGCTGATGGTCATATGTATCTACCCCATCCCATAAAACGCCCAAGGCCATGCTCGGAATATGGATGCATACTCAATGAAAAAATGATGCCCAGCCGAGTCCACATGGACTTCTCAGGAGTCCATCCGTATATGAAAGGTCATCAGGCCCTGGTGCAGAAGGCAGCCCCGGACGCTACTAAAAAAGAGGGTTCAACACCCTCGAAAAGAAAAGTCGTACAACTAAAAAAGTATGTGCAATGCTGGCACCATGGCCATGTGTGACAACAGGTGGTTCCAATGAATCAAAGCGAAATCACCAGTTGAGTTTGTTGGCCGACGCCATAGCCTTTCATGCGCTCGGCGCATTCAAGACCAAGCTCCCTCATTCTTTGGGCACCACGGCCGCGGAGAGGTTTGCGTTCAGCTTGTTCTTTTGCTACCTTGCGACAGTGTTGACGCCAGAATTTTTCTTTTCTCTTCTGACGCTTCTTCTCTAGACCAATAACGATGTCGACCGGGCCTCGAACATGCAGATCCGCACGCGGAGGTTCCTCGATGGCAGGCGTAACAGCCCCCGAGGCAATGTTGGAAATGGATGCGCTTCCAACCTTGAAGTTTTTGAAGAATGGGTTGGGAGTGTCTGGAAGAGATGCCGTACGTTCCATGTTGGGTCGCTGGGCCAAGCCCCTCATGTGCAACTGAGGAGTCTTGACACCAGTCGGAGATCCTCGCGGTGAGCGTAAACGGGCAGGTGGAGGCGGAGACCTCAGTCTCGTTGGAGAGTGTCCGAAGAGTCTCCTTGGTGGAGGAGATCGAGCCACCATGTGCTTGGGTGGCGGTGACCGATGCACCACGCGGCGAGCTGGATATCCATGCCGAGGCGAAGGCTCCCGGGGAGAAGCGATTGACGTCTTGCGGCGTCCGCGGATATCTTCAAGGGCACCAAACTGCTCGGTGAGCCAGCGAGGTTCATCCGAGCTAGGATGGGAGTGCACCACGTCATCGACCTCATCTTCCTCTTCCTCAGGATCGGTGGTGGGGAAACTTGGGTCGATGTCCTGCGGGATTGGAATGTGTCTCTCGCGTTTGCGTTGTTCACGGCAGGAGATGTAGGCGGCTTCCAACGGACGATCCTCATCGAGAGTGCCACAGACAAAGTCTGTGCTATCCGGGAGTTCTGGTGTTCCAGGCCTCATCTTGGAAATGCGATGGCCGTTAGCATGGTACTTGCCAAGTGGTCTTCTAGCTGAGAAAAGTGGAAGCGCCCCAGAATGTTCTTCGGAATCTACAGAGCTGGCGTCAGAATGACGGCGAGAGCTGAAGTGGGTAATCTGCATGTTGTCAATGCTCGTGTTGCGAGTGGTGGTTCTGGTGGGGGCCCAGAACTGGCACTCTGATCCCGCATCACTCTCCTCGTCAGAGCTGGCGAAACCTCCTTCGTCGTCGGATTCATTTCCGCCGTCCGACTCCTCATCAGAGGGAGCAAAGTCGTCAACATGTGCTTCGTTGTCCTCAAGCTCCTCTTCGAATTCTTCCTGCTCGCGCTCTTCTTCCTCGGCCTCCTCTTCGGCTTCCCGACCGATCTGACGGATCTTGTTTTCTTTCTTCATGCAGTCGTCTAGGGTCAGTTTTTCTTTGTGCTGGTTAGGCCTGTCGATCCACGCATCCGTCTCGTCATGTGAGCTGCCGAATTCATGGAAAGTAGCTTTAGGTGAGGGTGGGTTGACCCTGGCTCGATCAGCGGAAGCCGCGATAGTGGTATCAGCTGACCGGCCGGTGAGGTCGTTCGAGTCTGTACTTTGTCTGCGCCTCGAGGGGGCCGGCGACAGACGACGAGGAGACTTTTGCTCGATGCGCAACTTGGAAGGCTGAGATTTGCCTTCGCCGGAACTTGTGCGGGTAGGACAAGCAAATGTAAGCATGCACTTCCTCTTGGGCGGCTCTGTCTCTGCAGCAACGTTCGTTGTCGGCACCGAGACATCGTCTTTGCTCTTCTCAGAATCGGTGCCAGCGCAAGCGAACATGATGCAGCGCTTCCGACCAAGACTCTTCTCGACCGCAGCTTCACCAACATTGGCGACGCTTGGTCGTTCATCCTGGCAGTTCGGTGCGATGACTATCTTTGAAGGGGTGGGAGAGGGTTTGTTGCCGTTCAACAAGCCTGTAAAACGACCCGGAGGAGGTGGCGGACTCGGCGTCGCGGAACGGGAGGGACTGGTAAGATCTCCATCGCTTGTCAACTCAGCGGTAGAGGTCATGCTCGCCGTGCTATGGGAGGAGGTTGTCGAAAGGCCACGGGTCGCAGTGGAGACAGGAGAAGGCTCGTCGTGTTTTGACTCGGCCATGATGGCACGGGTCAGGAGAGATTCACGGTGGGCACGCTGTAGAGCGAGGGAACGAGTTCGAGTAGGCATCTTGAGCGACGCGAGGTGATCGTCCGGAGGTTCATCTGCCTCAGCGCTGACCTCATCGTCGGACAGAGCAACGGTAGGAGCGTTGGAGAAATTGAACATTTTCAAAAGGCTCTGCATGGTTGAATATCCGCCGGTTTGGTCTCTGTCTCTTTGGTGATGTGCCATGTGAGGCTGAGGGCGGTGGTAGGTTGATTTATGGGTTTGTGGGATCTTGCGAATCCTCTTATCCTCCTTGAAAGGAGTTTCGTCCGGCACGACAAGAACACGAATCCCGAAAAGGACTGTGTCTGTTTGGTACGGTTGGCCCTGAGGACCGCCGTTGTTATAAGTGGGATCTCGACATGGTGGTAGGATGTGAAAATGGTTGGACTCGACTGAAGACAGAATACACCGTAGGATAGAAGGCGAGAAGAGGAGAACGTCCGAAGACAACTCAGGTGATATCTAAAATGGTCGAGTAAGGTGGGTGGCGCTGTACGGACTGCGCAAGGGTGTCGGAAGCCGTAGGACGGACGAGGCGCTAGACGCGGTTCTGAGCGGCCACCAGGTATTTCGCGACAAACCGAAGATTGCTTACGCAAACTCCAGATGAAGCGGAAAGAAGGCGGTAGAGTCGATTGACAACAGGAAGAGGACGGAAGGAGAGGGAGAGGAGAGGGAGAGGAGAGTTGGGAGGGTGGTGGTGTGGTAGGGTTGGAGGGAAGAGAAGAGAAGTCGGGATGGCTGTGGCTGTTTTGATGAGGGAAAAGTGCGGGCAGCAGCTGCAGCGCGAGAATTATTAGAGAATTGGAGATTTGTGAGCAGGTCGGCAGTGCCAGAGCCAGCGGTCGGCGGTGGCAGCCAGTAGGATCGGGGGGCAGAAAGAGTTTGACTGACGAGACCAAAACAGGATTTTTCGCTGGTGCGGTGGATACAGCACCATTACGAGCCACGACTCCGGACGGCCGTATTGCTGCGACAAGGTGGTCCGGAGGGGCCGCCGGTCGATCTCTAGGCGTGGGAAAATCCTGTTGCGCTGGCAAATTGGGCTTTGTCAGACCGCGGCAATTAGGGTTCCCTACACGCTGCGGCTCCAGGCACACTAGCCACGCCGGGAACCACAAGCCTCCTGTGTTACAGGTGCCTTAGGGACCACGACAACACTTCCTTTAGGCTTTGTTGGTGGCGCCTAAACACGCCTAACCACGACGCCGCGCCGAGCACCTGCTGGAACCGCCTGGGCCTCACTAGGTACGATGACCTGAAGCCATTCTCGTATAGCTCAACAATCTGTAAGCACTCCGTCCACTGCACAAGAATATATGCGAATTATGCCACGGGTATCGACAGGATTGTATTGGATCCCTCAACCTCTCCCTCGACGTCTTCACCAAACCCACCGATTTCTCCTCGTCCCCCCTGCTCAAACTCATGGAACGAATCGGGCCAAGGGCTGAAATTGTAGCCACCCGCTCGCTCCCACTCGCAACTGACCACGGCCTTTGATCGGTGAGAAGCCGCAATACTGTACTTGTCGACGACGTCGTCCGTCTACTCCACACAATCCTTCTCTTGTCGCTGTCCTAGTGGTGTCGCATCAACGGTCTGATGTGCATGTCACAGCCCTGCCGATCCTCTTGCATACAACAAACCACGGGGTACCCTTCTTAGCTGATGATGCCTGTGTGCCTGGTGTGCCAGGCAACGTCACGGTTCTATTCTTGCTGATCAGGGTTCTCTTCACCAACGACACGGGATCAGGGGACGCGGTTGACGTATTTGATCGAGGTACAAGTGACCATCCGTTGCGAAGTCCCTGGCAACATGGACCCTGTTGGGCAGCCTACGGAACTACGCTTCAGGATGCTCGGATTCGAAGGTATGACCTCAATACTCCCATTTCCATGTCACGGTCTCTTTCCTGCCAGGTCTCAAGTATCTGACTCTTCACATCCCTGGCCCCTGCATCCTCCAATGCCTGGTTCGACCCCAAGTCTCATCTCTACATGCGTCATAGCGATGCCCATGTGTTCTGTCGATGCTGCTGTACAACCCTCCAACCTCTACCGAGGACGTGCATCGCCGGAGTAGCATCTCCAGGTGCTGGGACTCGTATAGTACGAGAACATGTTCGGGCCCTGCTCCCTGCTACCTAGAGCATTCCCTACAGTGGTCCCTATAGGCAAGAGAGATGACGTCAATCACTCCGCTCCCAATTCAGTCCCCTCGCGAATATCCGTGCGGCCATGTTGCCCACATCAGGCACATAATAATGATCCTGTAACATCCACACGGCCACACACGCGCACACATACACACACACACACACTACTGCACCGTAAGAGTTCCGTCCAGCTCACCACACCGCTGTCTGGCTCAGGCACACCTTGGCTGATCTGACGTCCCATAATCTTACCTTGCCCCTCTGGTTCCCTGACGGACGGGCCGTGCAGTGCGAGATGCAGATGACTTCTTGGAGTGAGTGTGGAATCGTGATGCAAAACCGTGACAAACGTAATCTCCATCCCTCGAATCTTGCCGCACCTGACCCTTCACGCCGGGCATGCATGCACGCATGCATTCGACTTCAGGGAGCTTCTGGCGCTACTTTGCATCTCCAACAGCTTGTAAGGAAACCTCCAAGTATGAACCGCCAACCGGAGCACGGCTTCGCTTCATGTAGCTCTCCACCACATGGCGACAGTCCACAGCGGCCCGTATTTTCGCCCATTTATGCTTCTGGGCTAGCACCCACTGAACACAATGGTGAGAAGCGAGCAGCACTTGCACGTTTACTGTACAGAGCGCTAGGCGGTGACCCAATCGGTCACGAGAGTGCTCAGACCTCTGGGAGCATCTAGAACAGATGGCGTAATCATTCGAGAACACGGGGGTTCGAGTACGAGCAGACGCTCGGACAGTCGACGAGATGCCAACTCGACGCGGTCAAAACCAGTACCAAACGTGTGGGAAAATAGACGTGGTGCGGACAGGTTCGAGGATCCTCGTCCTCACAGCACTTGGACTTTAGTTGCCGCGCTTAAGATCTGGCAAGCATGTGACCCTGGTCTCTTGCTTTGGTTGTTCTGTAAGGATGAAACGCAAGTAATTAGCAGCCACATCCACCCTCTCATCTTCCAACGACACGCGAAAAGCTACTTACGGTAGCCAAGCAGTCTGTCTGCGAGGAAATCGGCCACAGATCAGTGGATGTCGAGCGCCTCCAGAGGCAGCATAATTGGGTGGTGAAGAGGCAAGCGATGGATTGTTGGAGTCGAGGTGGACCACTCCGTCGGGCAAGCTGACATTTTTTCTATGAGGCATTTTCCCAGGACAAATCACAGGCGGGCAGAGCTAATGCACCGCTTGCTCCAGCACTCTCCTCCCCCCACGCTTAGATACCCGCATGCAGCAAGCTGCGAAGGAAGCTTTTCCTCATCTGCGAAATCATCCGATGATCGTATCTAGCGCATCTCGTATTGTAGTCGTTGGTTGCTTCTGCGACAACCCTCAGCGAGGGATCGAGGGGTTCTCGTTTCCAACCAATGCAAACGCATTCTGAGAAAGAACCGGATTGGGGTCAAGACTTGCCTATTCCAGAAATTCCCTGTGAAATCCGTCGACCAACACGCCCGTACAAGCCAACCAAAAGGCCAAAGCCTGCTTGATGCCTTAAGGGTGCCTCATTCAATCGCTTTAACCCGCAAAGGAAGCTGTACTCGTGCGGGCGCAGAATGCTGCCGACCAAAGCCTGACAATACTCCCTCCTCATCGGGCTGAGCACCTCGTTTCCCTAAATAATTGTGCAGAGTCGGGATCAGATTGTATGGTACAGTACTACTCCGTACGTCTTTTGAATGTTAAATAATGACGGACCATGTATGGGTTCTTCACCGCATCCTTGACTTCTGTTTTTTTGTTTGTCTGTGGAGTTGATGGCCCTGTTTCAGGTTTAGCAGCGAGCCGAACACAAGCTACACTATTGTACCATGCGGGGAGCATTTTTATTACTTGTACAGTACGGATGCAACTCCAGCACACGAAGGTAATCTCCGCCTCATCCCAGTCCGTTCCTCACATGACAAACAGGCTTGCAACTCTGTATGCTCACCGCATGTTCTTCCCGCAACAAGGGAGATGCGAGGGAGGGAAGATCATACACGTCTTGACCATCTGACATCCTGGGTGGTGGACAGACCACATGAGCTTGACCCGTGGACGAACTTTGCAAAAACACGTTTATTGGTTAATTCCTCTCAGGAGAGTCGGGCATCACCGTCGCCTAAGGGGACACTCCTAACGTCAAATGTACTGTGTTGTTGACAGGTTCAGGAGCCGCCGATCTGTTGTCGTCTCGAGCGAAAACTAGACGAGCTTTCGTTCTACTATACATAGATCATTAGGCACTCCGTAGGTACTCGCGCTATCCTCCCTCGGCCCGTTTATGATTAGTCTCTCGCCGCTTTATTACGCCTTCGGCTCACCTGCTGTTTCCCATTCGGTCCTTGGGCGCGCCTCTAGAGTTCTGCCAGAGCCTGAGCCTGAACCTCTGAGTCTCTGATGCCTGTTTCATACACAACGTCAACGTTCGTGAACTTAGAGGATGGGATCTGTTTGAGACGCTGCGGAATCCGCAATATGGCGCCCTTCCCTGACGAACTCGAAACTGATCAATAAGGCTCCTCGTACCATATTGTGCTCTTCCGCGAGACAGTAGTCAACCTCAATCCCTGTGTTCGGGTGGAAAGCTGAGATCCAGCGTCTCTCTTATGCACTATTATGCAAATACAATCTCGTCTATAGCATAGCAGAGCGACATCAAGCATTAACTGGACCAGCGAACTATGCCTTCGCTGGCCCTCCTTCATACTCGGCGTGATCTCATCATCTTCCCATTGGCCTCGTCGGTCCGCTTCTCTTGTCTCCTTAGTAGACCTCGTTCGACCTTTGCTTCCACCTTTTCAGTGAAGCTGCCGTGACAATACCTGGAATATAGTATGAATGAACCCTCCCCCCCCCCCTCCCCCCCCTTCTCCTTTTACTGCAATCTCTCTTTTTGTTCTGGTCCGAGAAATTTGGAGTTCCGGCGGTACGGCGTTCAAGGTGCACGGGTGGGTTTGCAGGGAACCATCAGGGCGAGGAAAGTCGCGAGGAACTCCTTTTGGGTTCTGACGCTCAGAAGTTTTCCATCTTGTACACATCGTATGAAGGTTCCTCGTACGGATGAGCACTGGGAGACATAGACATGTTAGGGATACCAGGGTCAAGAGTACGATTCTTGTTGAGAGGCAAAAAGGATCGACTTTCTTTTTGCTTTGGCTTCAACAAATATAAAAAACCGCTTATCGAGGGGAGAGAGAGAGAGAGAGAGAGAACAGATGAATGATGATGACAATGACAAGCAAAGGCAGAGAGAGGCTTACGCTTTCAGCGCCTCGACTGCTTTCCTCACGACGTCTTCGCCAACACACAGAGTCTCAACCTTGGCCGATTCCACGAACTCCAAGTTTCCAACGGTGCCAATGTGAGGATTGGCCTTGTCTCCTGGTCGGAACTGTCCAGTGCCCATGGTGGTAAAACAACATTCAGTGTAGTTGCCTGGACCAGGGTACCGGCCAGCCCCGGCGGCAAAGATGGCCGCCTTGCATGCTTCCAGACTAGATACCGGGACGTTGAATACGAGCTTGAATTTTTGGACGGTGGCAGCAGCCATTCTCAAGGGGTGGCTGTTAAGGGAATTATTAAGTACAATGAACAAGAGTTCGCGACCTTTGATCAACAATGAAGACAGAGAGCCACCCCTCCATATCTTGGCTATCAAGACACGTGAGGGGATTTGCACGGCGGCCTCCGGATTTTCCCTGTAGCGCATTGGGGCCCGGGACGTCCGGAGGCCTTCGACGCTTGTGCCACGACTACCACTCAACGTCCGATTATCATAGACAATCAACTAATTCATTAACACTTTGTTCCACAGGGCAGCACTCAAGATGACTGTGTATTCTCCCGTACCGCAAAGTCCTTATCGCTTCACCGATATTGAGACCGAGACGTCATTCCGAGTGTTAGAACTTCTCCATGGCAAGGACGATGAGCCGATATCATGCCTCCTCCACCTTGCAGACTGGACCCAACCTCCTGCATATGAAGCCTTGTCCTATGCCTGGGGCGATCGCAAGATGAGCGCGGCCATCAAATGTCATGGGAAACGGCTTGAGGTGGGACGGAATCTCCATACTGCTCTGGCTCACCTGCGATTACCAGACCGGTCGAGGTTTCTGTGGGTTGATTGCCTCTGGTAAGTTGTTGTCTCGTGTCTCCTTGACCGGGCTTTCAGTGAAGACGCACAGTTCAAGAGACATTCCAGGAATCTCGATGCCATGTAATCTGTAATCGGGCTATAACTCTCTCTATCTTCCTCTCTCTGGTACCTGCTCTGTGAACTCTGACCATGCTCTAATTTCAGCATGAATCAAACAAACATTCCTGAGCGGAATCAGCAAGTCAAGCAGATGCGCAGGATTTACGCAAAGGCCACAGCCGTACTAACGTGGCTCGGGCCGGACTCCCCGGATCGCTTGGCAAAGACCGCAACCGACGCGGTTCGAGTGATTTCAGACTTCCTCTGTGCACGCCTCAACATCCAAATCGCGAATCTAAGCACAAGGAGCAACGTGTACCAAGAAATCCTGTACGAGAATCGCCGCGCTCTTCCACCGCCTAATGAGTGTGACTTCAGCTCTGGAGCCACATGGCAGGCTCTTAACTGGTTCTACTCTCATTCCTACTTCACACGCCTGTGGATCATCCAAGAAATAAATGCCAGCACAAATCGCATCGTCCATTGCGGCCGTGAAAAGATCGAATGGGATCATGTGGATCTCGTTGCAGGCTACATGATTATGGACACAGCCTTCTCAAACAACTTCGGCTTCTCCAAAACGCACTGCTGGTGGGCCGCGACGGTGACAACGGAACGCATGCGCACCCCTAAGAATTGGCTGTCTATGCTCTATCTAGCTTCCAACTTCTCCTGCGAGGACGATCGAGACATGATCTATGGCCTCCGGGGGCTGATGGAATTGCCTGAACCTAGTGAGCAGGCGGCCCTGTTGAACCCTGACTATGCCAAATCATCCGTAGAGGTCTTTCGCGACTCGGTGGAGGCGGCATTCCTGGATTTCCAGAACACCGACGTCCTGTTGTATCTCGTTGGCGATGAATCACCCTCATGGATCCCCCGCTGGGAACGATCAATGCTGTTCCGGAACCCATTCCGTTTTGGCAAGTCGCTGCCCTGGAAACCTGCCAGCGACAGCAAACCGCAATATAGAATTGACACAGGCCTGAACGTTCTTCATCTCTCAGGGTTTCTTATCGACACGATTCAGTCAGTCTATTCATACAACGAGCGGTACTTCAGCAACGCAATGCTCAACTCAGGCGAGGGCAGGGAGGAGTTGCAACAAGCCTGGCCTAAAATCCTCGGCATACTCGCGGACAGTCAGCAGCCGCCATCCTCATCCGTAAGCACAACGCTCCTCACGGCTGTTGCAACCGCTCTCTCCTTCGGCGTCGATGCCGATGCCAACCCTGCAGACCCACAGGTTTTGCTCTACAACTTCATCGCATACCTCTCCCTCATCCTCCCTCCCGAAATATACGCCCACTACATCCCATCTGACCTCTCCGAGGCCGCTGATGCCAAGGGCAACGGGGACGCCTTCGGCAAACCAGTCTGGGATTTTGCCTATCCTGAGTCAGGATTCTTTATTACCTCGACAGGCCTGGTGGGATGTTCCGTCTGCGTGCCACAGCAGGGTGACTTGGTGATTGCTGCTTTGGGAAGTACTTACCCTTCCGTCATTCGACCATGGCAGGACGGAGAACGATTCTTGATAAGAGGCTACGCTTTTGTAGATGGGGCCATGAGAGGTGAGAGAGCAGCGGGCGGTGAGATCAGAGTGTTTGACTTCCATTGATAACACTATACTGTAGCATAATCGTCCCCAAGCTCTGGCTAGTATTGGGCGGCACAAGCTAATTGCTCCCTCTCTCTCTCTCACTCTCTCTCTCACTCTCTCTCTCTCTCTCTCTCGCAGAGACACACACAGAGGATTACAACTGAAACAAATCGAATCGCATCGTTAGGACCGGGATTTACGCCAACTTACCAGTCCGATGCATCTGGATTTTGACGGTCGAGGGAAATAAGAGATGGTGGTTCGTTTGGACATGAGGAAGAATGTGCGTGGTCAAGGACGGGATGTGGATGGAGACGGGATGCTGTGGTTGAAGGAACAACGATCGCTCTCGGAGATGGGCAATCAAAGCTCAGGCGCTGGCAGGGTTGTAGTTAGTGTACAAGTATGTGTGAAGCCGAAATACAAAATGGTAGCCCCAGGCGGGATGATTTACGAGGGTTCATCAAGCAGGAGAGACGTTCTAAGCGCCTAGGCTGTAGACCAAATATCTCAAACAATAGAGCGCAATGCAAAGAAGAATCAAAAGTACTTGTACAATGAACGATCTACTGTAAAGATAATTCCATACCAAGGAAAATTTAGCAACAATTGTAAGATTATCGCCCACAGCTTAGGGGCCAGATTAAGGAGGCCCCTTATTTACTCAAGTTAAAGTGGCCTTTAACCACTCTCTAACTTGAGGATCGATCAAACCATCACGTAGCAATTACAATTTTCATTCTCAAGTAATAGAGCTGCTAATTCATTATCTCAAACTTACTATCTACTCGTAAAGTGATGCGGACTTCGACTCATGGCACGGACAACACGTCCATCAATATGTTTGTTGATTATTTACGTCTCTAGCCTTTTAAAGAGGGGAGCTCTGACTGTTGCCTCTCGTTTACAGTACAGTACGCGGCAGCAGCTCCTTAGTGGCGGTACAGCAGGAGATGAGTCTCTCTTTACTAGACCAAAGGTTGGTGCCCAGGAAGATCTTCCATCACCAGAAGGCCACAGCCTGAGGAGCTTCAAGTTGATCCCCCTTGAAACCCCTTCACTATTTTCCTAGGGCTAATCTCATCCTAGAACTGTACAACACATCTATCGTCTGAGACAAAATCAATTAATGGATGCAAGAACCTGTGGAATGAGCGGGTCCACAAGGCACGATGCCATCGGTCGCACAACAGCGATCCCAGCTCGAAATTTATCCATGAGAAGACGTTGTAAGTTTGAGGTGGCTGGACAAGTCAGAAAAATATAGCAGGCGTTGGTCTGTTTTCCTGGTACGCGTGGATCAATCTCATTCATTTTCATAGCAGGTCTCATCGCCAAATCCTTCCTGCTCACTCGTTCTCTCTGCAGTAGAAAGCACTAGACGTGATCGACACGGTCGCGTCGTATTACTGTAGAGCGAGGATTATGACTCTCGCCACCGGTGAGCAGGGACGTTAGTCGTAGACCTGCAAGGCTGTGTGTGACCTGCAAGGCTGTGTGTGACCTGCAAGGCTGGCACCCATCCCCACAAATCCTTTATCGTCGGGACGATGGACAAATAGCAGCAGGCTACAACTTCGGCGGGACCCGCCGCGTCTCCTTGTTCTTCGTTCCGCTGGAGGGGTTTCAGGGGAACAGAATGTTGTGATTTGGTGCACTTCAGACGATGGCACCAAGAAGCAGCAAAAGACCCCGGGCCCCGAGCCATGCCGTCCCCAACTTTCGGCACGGAATCGCACATGCGGAATCTGATTATACAGGAATTCCGGGAGCCGAGGCCGATTGATCCAAATGGGTAGCCATCACAGGGGAGCCTAATCCATCTTGAATTTGCGCTCGCACGGTTACTCTCCTGCTGCCCTGGCCTTGTGGATGTACGTTCTTTTTTCAGGTAACGGATCAGGACAGTGGGATCAGATCCCCTTCAGCATTCCTCGGGAACCATCACAACCTGAATCATGGCTATATCGACCGTAGCTGAGCGCTTGCTTCGCCCGTTGATCCAAGGGGTATCGCTGCCTCTGAGGCTCTTCCAAGATCCGTTCTTCACCGGCGTGGCCCTATTCGCACTGACTCGAGCACCCGTGCAGCACCGAAATCGACTTTTGACCTTGTTGCGCGAGAGAGGGTTATCGAGTGACTGTATGCGCACGCTGATCTATGTCTTGAAAGGCCTTTTCGCCGCCGGCGTGCTTCTGAGAGCCAACCAAGCCTTGAACGCGCTGGCGCTGAAGATGTGGCACTTGAGAAAACCGGGCGCTTCGTACCAGTTCGGTGCGCCGGGCAAGCCCGAGCTCGTCGTCGTCACCGGGGGGTGCAGCGGGTTTGGATATGAAATGGTAAAAGGGTTCAGCAAGTACGCGCGGGTGATTATTCTCGACGTCACGCCGGTGCCTCCTGAACTGGCGATGAGTATGTTATTGTCTCCAAACGCACCCACCTTCTCCAGGAAGTCGTCGTCGTTGTCATCGTCCAATGGCAACCCTGTTGATCTCGAGTATCTCTCTAGTTCCCGATGTTCATTACTACCAGTTGGATCTCGCCGATTTCCCGGCCATCGAATCCACTGCCGAACAGATCCGCCGCGACCACGGAGACCCAAGTGTTCTCATCAACAATGCTGGCATGGGTATGGGCGGGACTCCCCGGATCTTAACAATATGACCCCTTTTTCTCAGGGGAAAAATGAAAAAAGTACTGACCTGACCTACTGGATAGTCTCTGGAACGACCGTGATTGGCAGCAATGCCAAGTTGACGGAGCGGATCTTCAAGGTCAATGTCGCCTCACACTTTATCCTCATCAAGGAATTCCTCCCTGCCATGCTCAAGGCGAAGAAGGGCCACGTCGTGACCATGGCTTCGGTCGCGAGCTTCTTCACCAAGCCAGGGACCATCGACTATTGCTGCACCAAGGTCGCAGCCCTGTACCTCAACGACGGTAAGTAGAACAAAAATTTGTGTTGTCATGCCATGTCATGTCATCTCTCGTCATAAAAAGAAGAAAGTCAGATTCTCACTAGGCGGTGGACGCCTCGGTTGTAGGACTTCGAGCGGAACTGCGCGACCACTACGAAAATGGCCGGTGCATCCAGACGACCTCGGTGCATCCGGGCTGGCACGCGACCGGCATGACGGCGCGGCACAGGGCCAGGATGGAGAAGAATGGAGCGAGGATGGCTCCTGCGAGCGACGTCAGCGATGCCATCATCGAGCAAGTTCTCGCCGGGAGGAGTGGCCGGATTTTCATGCCCAGGGGTGAAGCGAGGCGCACAATGAACCGGAATTGGCCCATCTGGCTTCAAGATGCTGTCGCTCATCTGGATGACCGGAGCATGATCCGTGTTGGCTGATGGGCCAGTGCAAAGAAACCGTGAAAGTCGCCACCAAAAAGAAAATACGTTGGTTCATTGCACCGATTGACGGAGGGGAAAGAGAGACTGTCTACACGGTGTGGAGGAGGGGCCATCAAGAGTCAAAGTCTGGGATACACTACGAGTATATGAAATGAGATTCTGGTGTCTAAATCTTGGAGTCTGTCGGTTCCGACTCCAAATCTTTGAACCGTCTGAACCAGGAAATCGTCTCCGGATTTTGCACCGTCGAGCTCGGTTTGACGTCTCTGGCGCCGCTTATCACCTTCTTGACCGCGATCTCGACCTTCTTCCCGTTGATGGTAATGGGAATGTCGGGAACTTCGAGCACAAATCGAGGTACGTGCCTCGGAGACAGTGCGTTCCGAATGGCGGTTTTGATCCTCGCCCGCATTTCGTTCGTCAAGGAGAAGCCGGGCTTCATCATGACGAACAGAAACACGTGCTCGTCGGTGTCTTGGGCGCGGCGGCGACCCACGCACAACGTGTTGCTGATGTACTCGGTAAAAGGTTGCGCCTCGACGATAGCATAGATCTCTCCGCTACCGAACCTGACGCCCGATGGGTCTATTTGTTACGGGCGCGTGTTAGTTTCTAGGAGCCATGTCAATCTGTCAAGCCAACTTACTCAACACACCGTCACTCCTGCCGTGCATCACGTAACCTCCAGTGGCCGGGTTCTGACTGAGCCAATCGTGTTGTGCCCAGACGTCGAGATCGGGGAAGCGAGAAAAGTAGGCGTCATGGTATATCTTGTTGTCTGTGTCGCCCCAGAAGCAGCATGGCATGCTCGGGAAGGGTCTGCGGATCACCATCTCGCCTGCCTCGCCGGTCTCAGCTATGGAAACGCCGCTGGCCGGGTCCAGGATGTCGACGTCCATGCCGAGCGCGTAGATCTGTAGCTCGCCGGCATATATAGGCCCACAGGGATCGCCGATAAGGAGGGACGACGCCGTGTCGGTACCTCCAGAGGTGTTGCAGATCTGCGCCCGCGGGGGAAACGAGCGATAGAACCATCGATATTGTTCTAGCGACAATGGCGCCCCAGTAGTGTAGACCATTTCCAAAGCTGATAAGTCGTAGTCCCGTCTCGGAACGGTGGTGCGCAACATCTCGATCTCCAGCAAGTTACGAGGTGAAGTGCCGAGGAAGTTTACACGGAACTTCTCGCAAATCCGCAGCAGCTGTTTCGCGTCCGGATACAACGGACTGCCATTGTAGACAACCAAGGTCGAGCCGGACGTGAGGTGCCCACAGAAGGCGTAGAAGACAACCCAAGAGGTGCTGGAGTAGACCATGACCATCTTCCCGGGACCCAGGCTATTGTGCAGTGTCGATATCTTCTTCACCTGCATGAGCCAGCCGTGCTGGTGGACGATGCACTTAGGCGCGCCCGTCGTGCCGGATGAGTAACAAATCATAAGGGGATGATTGAAGGGTACCCGTGTGAACGTGAGCTCGTCGGAAGCGCTCGACCGGCTCAAGAAGTCTTCCATGCTCGGCACGCTCGCCATGTACTTGTGAGGTAAAATGGGCACTATAAAGACCTGCAGCCGATAGTTCAGTCTCTGCAGAATGGCGCGGAGCTTCTCGTCCGTCGACACCGCTTTTCCCTTGTATATAGTGTGGCTGTCGACAAAGACGACCTGGGGCGTGACTTGCTGGAGCCTCGAAAGGCAGCCCTCGACGCCCAATTCGGGACTGATGCAGGTGAAGATGGCACCGATCGAAGCGGCGGCGTGGAAGAGAACGACAGCCCAGTTCGAGTTGGCGACCAATGCACCGACGCGGTCGCCCTGCTTGATACCACTACGCCTCAACGCGCTGGCCGTCTGACGCACTTTTTCGCGGAACTGGCCCCAGGTCAACGTCTCTGCGGCCTTGTCGTCGTAAACGTCCTGATCGTCCCGAATTCCAATAAGGGCCACGACGTCAGAGTCCGGGTTCCCAAAGAGCGCATTCTCTGCGTAATTGAGCAAATGTCCGTGGAAAAATGGCGGGTTCTTGCTCATGGGGATGGTATCGTCGTATGCCTTCCGAGTCGAGCCTGGCAGAGGAGGCACGATGTTCAGATACCCGTATAGGTCGATCCAAAACTCATGCGGCTGAGTGACGGACCATCGCTGCAGCTCACGAGTGTTGGAGAGTTCCAGCCCATACTTGCGGTTTACGTGCTGCCGGTACCTGTCCATAGGCGCGGTCCCATTGTGACTGGGTCGCCACACGATCTCCGGTGGTGGTTTGGACGGCGCTGAGGACATGATTGTGTTGATCACTCTTGACTTGAGAAATACTCCGACCGCAAGTTCGACGATGGCAGCAAACCCCTTACCTCTTTTTTTGTTACCCCCTGAGATCTCGCGTAGAATACCTATGAATCTTGTTGGTATGCAGAGGTACAAAAAGCTGCGGTGAATGGCACCGTAGTGTGCTGATCACGGGGATCTGCTAATAACCACAGCTTGGGCCGAGTGTTCGGTACGATGCGTGACCTGCATGTGGGTGTCAGTGAGGTTGTTGCATGATTCGGCATGAGCCCTACCGGATCCCAGAGACTTCGGCTTGTTCTTGGTGTTGTAAACCCGCCCTCGGAATTCTGCGATCCACATAACCATTGGTTACTCGGGAAGTGCAGCACCGTGCGTTGGAATGAACAAGCCGCGAATGGTACGGAATTACACACCACCAACAAGTTACCCCTTGGCTAACCCCGATGGCTGTTCTCTCCAGGTAGACTTTGAAATACCTCGGCAGATCAACTCTCAGAGGTACAGATGCTTCATAAAAACGGTCTTTCCTGACGAGGACGGGATCTAGTTGCTCTGAAAAAGGCAGGATACCGGGGGGACTGTTGGACTGTTGGACTAGGCTTGAGTTGCGGGCCGTTGTCGGAGGTCGTCTTTACAAGTCGAATACTCACGCCGGAACGCCGACGCCGACGCCCTCACATTCCTTACAACTTTTGCAACACCATCAATTCACTGGATTTCGCTATATATGACTATATTCTCGGCCTTCACAAAGAGGAGGATTTCTCTCCGTCTAGAACGTCACCCGATAGAACGCCGCCCGATGGCGGCAGATGACTCCATGCGGCACGCTGTGCGGCGGCGAGAAAGCCCTCCCTCGGAGAGAGAAAGCTCGCTCCTTTTGTCTATATAATAAATAGTGATCTCCCTCCTAGAAAGGGAGGTCAGCCTCGTCAATACATCCCATTTGGCCCCCAAATATCGCCTAGAACTAAGCGTTGCATAACAGGGACCTTCTGCTCCGTGATAGCTTTATCCTATCCCTCGGTGTGGCATACTTTTCATGAAAAACCGCACATATCTACTTCGTGCTGTAGCATACCACCGCCCTTCACGACAAGATTCTTTTCACAGACCCCTGTGTCTGCTGTCATTTTCCCCATACTTCTCCTTCTACTCCCCTAAAACAGCCAGACATGGTTCGAAACAAAGCCTTCATCTACAAGGCCGTCCCCAATGGCTGGCCTGTACCTGGCCAGGACCTAGCAGTCGAGGACATTGGCTTTGACGAGAATGCCGTGCCTCCCAAGGGCGGGTTCACGACAAAGAACCTCTACGCCTCGTTCGACCCCAGCCAGAGGAGGCGCATGCGGGATCCGTCTCTCAAGTCTTACTCTCCAGCCCTGAGTACAGGCAAGCCCGTTATTTCTGTTAGTGTTCTTGGCCGAGTTCTGAAGAGCAACAATTCCACGATTAAGGAAGGCAGCATGGTATTGATGACAGATCACTATATCGAATCTTATTCCGCGGTTGAGGAATCCGTTGTCGCCTGTGGCAGGATCAAGATCATTGAAGAGAAACCTGCCGTGCCCTTGACTGCCTATCTGAATCTTCTGGGCATAACGGGCATGACCGCGTACGGCTCGCTCCACGAGATCGGCACACCTAAGAAAGGCGATACTATCCTCATCAGCGCCGCTGCTGGCGCCGTCGGCCAGGCTGTAGGTCAGATAGCTCTGCGAGAAGGTCTAAATGTGAGTGTTCCTCTTACTTCGACTTAACCCCAAATATCCATAACGCGAAATTTAACGCCCTCTCACGGGAAATAGGTCATAGGTTCCGTTGGTAGCGACAACAAACTCAACTTCATTCTTAAGGATCTAGGCTTTACGTCGGGCTTTAACTACAAGACTGAAGACCTACACAAGGCGCTCACCCGGCTTGCCCCGAACGGTATTGACATCTACTACGACAACGTGGGCGGCGAGCTTCTTGACATCGCGATTACGCACATGAACAACTTCGGACGAATCATCGCATGCGGCTCGATCTCGACGTACAATAGCAAGTCGATTGCCGATGATTACGGCCTCAAGAACTACTCCCAGGTCGTGCGCCGCCGCCTTCGCTGGCAGGGCTTTCTAGTCCATGATGACAACATTATGCAGTGGGCCAGGGAGCGTGATGAGAATGTTAGCAAGTGGATTGTCGACGGGAGCTTCAAGACCGTCGATTATATTACTGACGGGATCGACCATGCTGTCGACGGTTTCTTGGGCATGCTTAAGGGTGAGAATCTGGGCAAAAGTATTCTGAAGATTCCCGGTCCAGAGTAAGCGAGGAGCAAGCCATTTTGAGGAAAGGAGGGGAAAGGAGCAGATGGACCGGTGAGCAAGAGACAGAAGTGTTTTGAAAAGAGGCGATAATCCTTCTGGGCAGACTATCTGAGATTTCCAGAGCAGCACCAAGGAACCAGCTGTTCATCCCCTTGATGACAACTGGCAAAGAAGCAAATCGCCAGAGAAATGAAACAAACGAAAGTCAGCACAGCCGCTACGAACCTAGTCCCAGGTATTGTGCAGATATCTATCCAGTGGGAAAGTCGCTGTCTCCGAAGGCTCCACCGTTCCGAACGCAAGCCTCGAAAAGGGCACCTATTTCTCATATATGAAGAACTCTCAACGATTTCTGCTATGACGGCAGCTACTTGATGCTAAGAGTTCACCAATAAGCTGGGTTATGAACATTCATACAATGAAAATTTAATGCCTACTATTCTACCCCGAGCTCTATTCAGTACGTGACGACCTTTGAAGAGAAAACCGAGTTCATACTCCCTTCCTCCGTCAAGAACTCCCGCAAGGGTACATCTGAAGAGGTGGATTCTCGTTCAGAGCTGAATCTGAAACTTGGGACATCTCAAGAGGCACATTAGGTGAAAATAATATCTACAAGGAAAGATATATACCCATTAGGGTCTCGTAGGAGGGCTTATAGGGGTGCTCGTAGTGTTGCTCGTGGAGTTACTGATAGGAGTGCCAAAATCCCCTGTCTACTTGATGAATCTCCTTCGGAAGTGTGTATAGTATGATCAGCTAACTGTCGACACGCAGGAGACTTGGTAGTTAACTGTGATCGAACAGGTGCACGGTTTCGAAGTGGCCAGGCCACAATACAAATTATCGCGAAGTACTGGAATATCTGTGACAATTCTTTATTGCCTACCCAGTTATGTCATTGCCTTTGACATTCTCGAAAGACCCCTTCTCATCGTGAGCTCTCACTCCTGATTCGAATTTTTCACCCCTCTCCTCCCCGGACCCGTGCTCTCAAAAGCAGAACCTGCGCTGCTGAGCGATGCTTGTCAACGCCAGAGTCCTCCAAGGCGTGGCAAAGCTTTGCCTTCTCAGCCATGGTCCGTAGTCTACCCTCGGTAACTTATCCATGGACAGTTTCTGCAACGTTGACATGCTGCACGGATGGATTATCTCCTTCAAGCTTGCTCACGTCTGAAGAGGGTCGCTTGTCGATTCCAGCCTCGGTGGCAACTCTTTCAAGTTGGTGGGTTCTATCCCCGTGCCCGTCAACAATCAGTTCATGAGTGCGGTGATCGACGCGCAAATCTTCCCCATATACCGCGACATCGTCTCCGAAGATGGTCCCCATCTCTTCCAGCGGAATGTTTTTCGTCTCTGGAATGAAGAAATAGGTAAAAACAGTGCCTACAGCTGAAAGGATGATGAAGACAAGGTAGAATTTCCATCCAATGTTAGCAAATGCCTAGAAGGTCAATATTAGATTCTTCCCATGATAAGGACAAGACGACAATACTCACTGTCTCCGTGACTTCCAAATACACAAGATCGGTCAATGCAACCGTCGCAATGACTATGGCCAGGCCTCGAGCTCTTAAGTGACTAGGGTAAACCTCTGAGAAGAAAACAAATCCGGCGCTGTCAAACCCGAAGGTGTAGAACAGTGTGAACATGTATGCCGCCGCGACACCCATTCGAAGGCCCGCCTTATTGGTACCTTCTTTGGCAAATGAAGCCACCATAGCAGCTTCGAGAGCAAGTGACACGCAGCAGCCAGCGAGACCTACAATCATGAGCGGCTTCCGGCCAACCCTGTCCATGATCAATGCGCTTAGACTAACGCCGATGAGTCCAAGTGTAACCCAGCCGCACTGAAGTATCAATTGTATAACGGTGTCATATCCAAGCTCTTTATATATCGTTGGACCTAGATATCTATTAACACTGTGTCTAGATAGCGGCGACTAAATACAGTACCATAATTATTCAAAACGAGGACACCAGTAGATCTGCTCTTGTCAGTCGTTATGTGAACCGAGGGAAGGAAAAGCAACATCATCCAAGTAGCAAGCATATCGCAGGATACTTACTGTCCGAAGAAAGCGTAGCCCATAGTCAGGAGTACACGCTTCCGATAACTAGGTTTGCGAATCATCTCGAGCTATGTAACAGTTAGCGCATTGTAATTTTACGGATTGAGAAGCGGCTCACGTAGCTTGGTGTTAATTGTCTTTCCAGCTCTGTCTGCTTGGTCATCTGGTAGAACTCGCCTCGAGCAAGTTCTTGATCAGGGTCATCCTTAGAACTGTGAAGTTTGAAGACCACTTCTCGTGCTTCATCGACTTTTCCCTTCATCAGAAGATAGCGAGGTGACTCGGGAATGAAAAAGCAGACGAGGGACACCAGAACTGGCCATACCAGAGCAAGTCCTAACGGACCCCGCCATTGAGCACCTGGGTTTTTCACAAAATGAAAGGCGAGGCCCATGAATGCCGAGAGGACATAGGCGACTGATAAGTTGATTCCAGTCAAACCGACCATGAGCCCGCGGAGACCAGCGGGGGCAAGCTCAGCAGTGTAGAACGGTGCTAGGTGAGGTTAGAAATACAAAATATGACGAAGAATCGTCTATAGCAGTTTAATAAGTCACTTACTAATGACCATATAGCCCCAGCTGCCAGCTCCCGCAAAGAATCGACCGACAATGAACATGGTCACATTTTTGCTGCCACAAATCAACGCACCCCCGAAAACTGAGAGAAGACAAAGGTAATGGAAGGAGGCTTTTCTGCCCCACTTGTCGGCAACGTAGGAGGCGATGAACACATTGATTGCTGCTCCAGCTTGAAAAACCTACGATCTGTCAGCAATTGAGCTAGAAATCTGCTCATGAACCATGTGGCGACTGTTATAGATGGTCGGACGCTGCCGGAAGCATTGAGACCTTCGCCATACATCAAGGTATTGACTTACTCCTGACATCGCTCCAATCAATCCTTCCGCATCTACATCGAGAACGACCAGGGTCAGCCTGCGAGGGATATCTTGGTCTCAGCAGCCTTATAATTACCTCCAGTCAGCCTTGGGGGCTGAGCCTCCAGATCAAGTAATCCCATGTATATCAAGAAGGAGGGCTGTGCAAGGGTTGTCGAGATAACGGCAGCTGGGTAACCCATGGCGATCATTCCCAAGGAGATCAGGTAGCACACCGTGAAGTTCCGCCAGGTCCAGGTCCGTCCGCTTTTAAGGGCCATCATGGGCGGGAATGAACTCGTCAACAAGTGAGAATTGAAGGTAAGTGAGGATACTTCTCAGCAGTGTGTACAAAGCAAAACACTTCTGTGCCGTGCCTGAGGAGGCCTGTGGGATTTTACTTCTATAAGTCAGATATTGTTCTGAGGCTACCCCTATGGAGGCGTGCTAAGGCCTGTTCCGTAGAGGAGCAAATATTCCGGAATTTGACCCCGGCTTTGCTAGTAAGCTGGGAACTCCGGAATGAGTAGTGGAGAATGCGGAGTGTGAGATATCCGGGGTCTCCAAACCGGAGTCTATCACGCGTCAGGTACGATAAACCTAGGCCCCCTCTTTCTGAGAACAATCTCTTGTTGGCATTGCAGCACAAACTCTTCCTATTCAAGCTAAGTAGAGAAAACCAGGCTCGGGGCAGTAGATCGGGGTGATTGTCCTCTTCGGTAGAAGATATCGGCACTATTTAGACTGACGAACACAGAGATCATGCAGCAATACAAAGTAGAGTTTTGGTCAATCGGAGAGTCCTATTTACCCTGCCCGGGTGGTCTTCCCTCTGTCTTCTGTTTTAGAACTATCGCTGGAGAAGACACTTCAGGTGGCACCGCCGAGCCAGAAGGCAGGGGGTAGGAGATTTGTACTACTAAAGATGTTCCGCTTCTGGGCACACCGATTTTTGTGCCAGGCGACTCTCCCATGGATTGATGATGGGTTCATCATTTTCTCAGGGGCATTTCCAATACACTGGCATTAGTTGCTGAGATTCATCGTCCTGCGCACGTGTGTCCTAGAGGACCCTGTCCAACTAGGAGCGACCGACGCATGAAAAGTATTGTCATGTTCTCGAGGAAAATTCGGTCCGAGTACCATGTCGTCTGTCAACTGCAGCACCAGCAGATGGGAAATTGCGATATGGGGTGCGTAGAGTCATGTCTTGTGCCTTCCTGAATCGACAGTGACCTTTGACCTCGACGGAGCCAAAACGTTCCGTGCATTTGGGAGCTACTACGATTGTCATGGGAAGCATTGTGACAAGCCCACCTCGTGAGTAAGTGCGTGGCCACGCTTCTCCCAACGCGCTATACGCAGCCTCGTGTGTCAATGGAGACACTACACGTCATTAAAAGGCGGGTGAACTAGTGAAACCATTCGCATGTCTAAAAAAGTTGGAGTAATGGAGGGTTACAAGTAAAATTCCGAAGCTCCGTTGTCGAACAGTCCTGCCGGTCGGTAACCTTGAGGAACAGTACGTATGTCGAGCATAGCATGAGAGCTTTCCGAGAACGCTGGAGCCTCCGAAACTGCGGGTGAAAACCCTGCCAAGAGGAATATAGACACCGAGAGGTCGTCCTCTCAAGAGGCTAGTGAGTCTGGACTCGTCACATCTCATCTCCGATATGAACTGCTGGGCTCGGAGTTGCACATCGTGAAGGTAGTATCACAGCTAGTATCTCCCGATCTACCTTGCCGATGCAATGCCATCCCCATGGGAGACGCACCAGGGGACTCTCTTGAAGACCAGCACTAAGCGATTCACAGGCCATGGCTCCGAGGGATATAAGGACTATCCATAGAGCACACAAGATTAGCCTCTTCAATACATGACGCGCATGACCGGTGTCGTGGCTTATGGCTCTCTTTCGGTCTAGTTTCAGGGGCCAGCGACATCCAAGAGCACGAGTCCGTAGCGATCAATATCGTCGTTGTTGTTTGCTCATCGCTCGGTAGATTTCGTCAAGAAGTCAACAGCTTGGATACCAGACCCTCAAGCCGAGGTTCTCCCTAGCCTTTCATATAATCTCGTTATAACTTCCTTCTCTTTATTCACAAACTAGACTTAATTGTGCAAGTGCTGTAAGAACCAGAAAACAACAGCGTCCTTGGCTCGTTCCAGCCCCTTCTTCTGGACCAGGTTGTTCGGATCACCTCGTGTAGCAAAGCCGTGGGCTAGGCCTGGGAAATATTGATAGTCGTATTCGATGTTGAGCTGCGGGATGACCTTATTGCAATAGGCCTTGAGCTCGGGTGTGAAGATCGGATCATTTTGGGGAGCCAGTATCTGAACTGGAACGGCAAGGTTATCGACTTCCGACTCTTCGAGCATCGAGGGATGACCTGTAGAAATAGCATCCACCAAGTCATTGCCTTTACGTAGATATCAATCAGCCAAATGCCTGCTTGAAAAGACACGTGAGAAGCAATAGACCGACCTTTAGCTCCTAGCTGAAAGGCTGCCCAACCTCCATAGCAGAACCCAAGGGCCCCGACTTTCTTATAACCAAGTTCGCCCTTCAATGCTTTGGCGGCGGCGAAAATTTCAGGGCCCCTGGTCGCCTTATTATGGCGACCAAGGAAAGCCCCCACGTCGAACCTCTTGAGTTTCTCAGGGTCTCGCATCGTCAAGGGATCGACGATCTCGCCGCCGTAGCTAGCAAAGAGGAATCAGAGTCAGTATAATTGATCAACTGCGATTCGCCCCCGGCTTGGCTGCACCGCTGATAGTCAAGAGGAACAGAGAATCAAACTTTCGAGGGGATGTTAGGGAAGCTCACAAGTCGACCAAGTACACCGTGGCTTTGATCTCTGGCGCGTAGTGATCTGCGAGTAGTCGCAGATTGGGCGAAGTCCAGCCGAGAATGTCGTGGATGATCAGGATAGCTACATCCTTGTTGTTTCCGACCACATAGGTGTCGAGCCCGGCGATCTTGGTCTCCTTGCCCTCGAATGTGCTTACTTTCCAACGGAAGCCAGTCTTGCAGCAGTCTCCCATTTTACCTGTCGAGTCGAAGGGTCGGGAAGCGAGGAGGAGTCTAGAATGTTTGATTGATAGCTTGTGCTTCCTTTAATTTTCGCACTGAATATATCTGCGGCTGTTCAGGAATTCTTCAAGTGGTCGTCGCGATATCTGCCTCAGGCTGGGCGGATAATCCAGACGGTACATTCGGCATTTAGGAGGACTACGGGTACTAGGTCCCGCGTATCCGTATGTCGAGAGTCGATACTATGGCGTCGTCTTCTCAAAACACCGGAGCGGCTCGCTAGGAATCACCCATGCTCACCATGAGCTCTAAGAGATGCTGTTTCCCAGGACCCGTATGCTTGTAGCAAGTTCCATCGTGGAGACAGGCTCGGTGATTGGCCACTGTTCCGCGGCACGCGGGAGGAGGCCGAACATCCGAGACACCGGGAAGGAGATGTACGGAGAATCGAACGAGTTCCGAAACGACGTCAAACCCCAGATTCCCCAGTCGCGGAACCTTCTCCAGGTGGAAACGCTTCCGGGCAGCACGTCTTCGAAGCGAAGCGCTACCTCGCGTGACCTCATAGTCCGCTGTAAATAGGCAAAGAGCATCCACATTCGCGGAGCCTGTGGAAATCAAGAAAACAAGACGAAAGCAACGTGTCTGGCCATTTGAATCTGAACAGGAACTGAAGTGATCACGACCGAATCATGACGGCTGAACATGACCGAGTGACCAAGCTTTTGAGACAACGACCGTGTATATATACCCCTTGTTCTGTCTATTCTGAGCCGCTTCGAGCCGCTTGCTTTATCTAGAAACTCGGCGGAGCACGTCGCATGAGGTGCCTCTGCTTAAACTCCCAAGACTGATTCTGGGATGACCTTTCTTATTATCTTGACCTTCGTGGTCACTGCTTAGCAAGCGTCCGACCTGCCAGGGCGGGCGGACTCGTAACCTAGTACCCGATTCATCCTAGTATTAGGAATTGAGCACCGAAGTGGGGGGACTTAAATATCCTCAAGCCCAAGGGTAAACGAGTCGAGATCTATTTCCTCCTTGCGCCTTCTTACTTCAATGCGTGCCGTCGGCGGGGTGACGATGGAGAAGCCGAATGCCATCGAATCGGTAGGGCTTCCTTTGGCAAGTCTAAAGTCATACTTGACTAGTAAGTGACATAACACAATCTTGATCTGGTTGGAAGCGAGAAATCGCCCAGGGCAGGCATGCTTGCCATGACCCCATGCGGAATAATCCTGCGAAGTCGTGACGAATTGGCCGGCATTCTCATTTCCGGCTATTTGCCTCATGTTGTAAAAGCGATAGATGTCAAACTTGTCAGGGTTCGGATAGATTTGGGGGTCCCTTAGCTGAGAAGATGACACGACCAGCATAGTTCCTTTAGGAAGGAAAGTCCCGTCGGAGAGGGTCATATCCTCCAACACAAGACGTCGCATGGTACCTGATGGACAGTTCACTCAGCATTGGTCCACGAACTGCCTGGATCATTAGGAGCCGAACGATAGATTCGGGACTTACAGAGCGTAAGAGGCTTGAGTCTTTGACTCTCCTTCATGGCACTGTCGAGTAGTTTCATGTTGTAGATTGTCGTCTTCTTCCAGCCGCCCTCGCTGTCACGGAGGACTGAGATAATTTCCTTTCTCAGAGGCTCTAGGCATTCTGGGTGTTTAGAAATGCACAAAAGGAACCAACTCAGCATATTGGTCGTCGTAGCAATCCCACCAAGACCTATACTCAATTGAATCTGGGCGGGGTCATATTCCTTTCCCTTGGCGGCTAGTTGCGCCCATTCAATGGTATTTTGTGTCGACGCGGTGCCTTGGGCTTCTTTACGCTTCTTCAAGACGCCTTGCATGATGCTGGAGCACTGTGCACTGTTGGCCCGGAGTTTCCGACAGTATGGAAGAAACCAGTGAGCGATCGGTCGTATATAAGGGTGGTAGACGCTGAATCGCTCCGCGGCAAAAAAAAAGGTGGTTGCGTACTGTTCCAGAGATTTGATCCAGTTTGGATCTTCACAGAAATCCTTGCCCAGAAGTCCCCGAGTGGCCACCCTACTGACGATCTGGGACACTGTTGTTGAGGGATTAACTTGGTGCCAGTCTGGAGCATCGGTGAGGGCTTCTTTCAGGACCTGGCCACATTCATCGGACATGGGCTTGGTGAATCGGGTCAAGTTGGTGGTGATGTACTTGTTAGTGAGCGTGATTAACAGCCACAAAATGTTCTTGTTGATGCCCTCGAAGCCGGGAAAGGCTCCAAAGAATGCTCTGTGAAAATGTCTCGTGGAATCCAGGCGGGGTTCGTTCCTAATTTCATTGATGAACCTTGGTGGAAGGACAGTCATCAGTCCCTGGTTGGTGTACAGCTGGAATGGCTTGTTGTCTGACTCGTCGAGGGCTTTTTGAAGAATCCCTTTGGTATCGGTTGTGAACTCCTTGACAGTTCGTTGCCAGGACACTTCGTACCATTTCTTCTTGTTCATGATCGGAAGTTTGTTGCGCGAAGGTAATAGCTGCGTGCCTAGCCACAGAAGAAAAAATGTGACGCCAACGATTGTGTAGTTGGCCCGAACCACTTTCACGAGGTTGTCGAGCATTCCACCGGGTAGCGCGGACAGAGCGACTGGGTTGGTCTGGTTCTCCATGATGTCTGAAAGCACCCCGGACATTTGGTTCCTCATTTGGCTCCGACCTCTGATGTACGATAGCAGCCAGGAAGGTCTTGTTTGAGATGTTATATATGACTTCTCTTCTCTTTACTGCCAAATACAATGCCTCGGTTCGGAATGATATAGAAGCACGACTTTCCGAGGTCGACAGAGTTTCAGACTGTGGAAATATCTCCAAGTCCTTGAATGGCGCTCAGAAGTATTTCGGCCATTTCACTACATACGTATGACCACGTCCTGTGCCTCTGCATAAGCTCGCCACAGTGGTTCTTATGCTTGCACATATGCCGACGGAGCCCTGATCCGGCCCCACGGGGCACTCCGACGACTCCGCAAGATTCCACATCTCGTATGGAAGACCTGGGCGGCTGCTCAACCTGGCGCGCAGCAGACCGCTTTGACTTTCGACGCCTGTGATATAGCACAATATAGTGAGAAAGGAGTGAATGAATTGATGGTGTTTGAAAACTTGCAAGTGTTGCAACGGGAGCGTCGGGGCGGCGGCGTCTGCGGAGGGGCGCTAGGCGTGAGTATTTGGGTTGCAAAGACGGCCATGGGACATGCCCGCAACTCATCAGCCGGTTCAACAGATCCTCTCCAGTGTCATCGATTTCTACGCGTACGTAATCAAACTTGGCTTACATAACGCTCGCACAGTAGCCTGACTGGGCGAATGCCGCCCGCCCCCTTCTGTAGTACCGCAAGACTACTCGTACCAAATCCTCACCCTTTCGGCTGATTCCAGTCTTCGTCCTCATACTCGTGCTTGATCTATCTCAGACGCATGGGTTTGATACAGGTGTACTCTCAAAGGGCACTGCCATCGCGCCGATGATCTTGAGTACTGACACCACGCGGAGCCCTCGGATCAAAGCTATCTGTCTGATGTGCTACGAAGAAGATTCTAAATACAGGGAGATGTGCAAGCCAAGCTCCCAACAATCACTCGTACCTATGTTCCCGGATACATGTACTCCTTAGATATCTAGGCAACTGGAGGCGCTGACCATGCTTCGCGGGATTATATTGTGTAATGCTCTCACACGGCATAGAGGCTTGGCAAAACCAGCACCAAGTCCCGCGATATCACCGCACCTGAATCACGTGACCCTGCCCTCAAAGCCTTGTGATTGTGAAAGAGAACTTGTCATTCTACGAGGGGGCCTAGGGGGCTGTCAGACTATATAGGGTTCGAGGGCGTACGGCCTCGTACAGGGCCCCTCGAACCGATACCGTCAAGGGTATTAGCGTCTCGAGACGATACCCCTAGACGGGTGTCTTTACATGTCTTGGCGCAAAAATAATCACAGCCTCATGGCGTTGAACATTGGCCGTTTCCTCTTCGACGTGTTCCGAGATGCAGACGATATCGCGGTGTCCAGTCCCACTCGTGCCGTTGATTCGGTTTGTGGCCGGTGGGCAGGTATTAACCTCTGTCCCTTCAATGGTCGCTGTGACATTTCGCGACTCACCTTCCTTTGTCCCTGTTACTGTTCTCGATATACCTGACTTCTAGCTCGTCGTCAAGATCACGACCGAAGCCA